GCACTTTTAACTAAAAAAAAATATAAAAGTAAAAATAAATTTTTAAATTTTTAATAGCGTAAAAAGTTTTATAGTATTATAATATTTTAAAATTTAAAAACTATTTAAAAAACTTGCGCGCGCAATATAGTAAAACAATATAAAAATAAAATTAAATAATTTTAAAAAAAAAAAATAAAAAAATTAAAAGTAATAATAATATTATATAAAAAAAAAATTGCAGAAAAAGTAAAAGTAGTATAGTTATTTACTAAAAAGCGCGCTATAAAAGAGCGCGTAGTAATAGTTTAAAAATAAACTACTATACGCGCATAAAAGTAATAAAAAAAAAAGCTATAATTTTATAAAAATTTTATAATAAAATAAATAAATATAAGCAAATAATTTTATATTTTATAAATTTAAATATAGTAAAGCATTATTATATTATAAACGCTAAAAGTAGTAATTTAAATATATTATAGTTATTACTACTTTTATTTAAAACTACTGCGCGCAACTACTAAATTAATTTTTTATAAAAATTTAAATAATATAAATTAATTGCAAATTTTTATTTACTAATATTTTAAAAAATTTTATAATAATAACTTTTATTAGTAGCTTTATAACTTTATTTTTGTAAATAGCTGACTTTAGTTGAAGTAGCTTATCGGGTAGAGTGGCTTATCGGCTAATAAGCCTCGGTACAGCGAAGCTAGCTGGACCCTGACCCCGCTCAACTTATGAAGAACATCATCCATCAATCATCATTGTTAACTATAGCCTAGGACACCAGCCAAGGTAAGTATGTAACAATCACACTGATTGTGGTCATCACAGAGTCTGTACTTTCGTTTTGCTTATCAGAGACAGTTTGCCCAACTACCTTGAGCCGTCGTGTACCCAAATTGCCTACGCCCCGAGCACTCAGAGATCTCACCGAGGGCACTGATTCAAGAACATTCCTCCCATATGACTTGAAGCAACAGGTACCAGTACATCAAGCCAGCAGACAGGATAAATGAGAGTACGTTTGTGTCTCCTGTTTTGTTGTAGGCTACATAGGGAGGGTTCCGCGGTGCAAGCCCCACTCAAACGGCCCGATTACTCCCACGCGGTTGGATCGGTGGAAGCGTGCCAGGGACCACGGAGGAGAACGACCATACAGGTCATCCTATGATCGAAATTGACAACGGCGAAACAGCCAGCTTCTTCAGTATTTTGGTGGCGTAGTTTCCGTGCAGCAGGAAATGCGTAATAGAGAGTCAAAGGAAAGCGAGATTTCGTTTTGACAAAAGTAAAACTCGCGCAGGTATATGCGGGCATACGGCATCATCTACTAAATGGCGTTGGGATAAAAGGCTTGTTAATTTACAGCTAACGAACTTCTTAGGCTCTGGAAAAACTGGACGAAGTGGTACAGCAGAAGTTGAAAGCACAGCAAAATGCAAAATGAGTGCATAAATCGCATAATCCCCAAGACGATGTGCTAGAACGACGCAAACTATTAGGGTCACTGCTTGAGATATATCCGGCAAAACACTTTCAACCACAGGACCCAAACCCAGCTGCTCGAGTTCCCTGAATAAGTTCTGTTCGACGCTCTTGCTGCCCCATTGAAAAGTGACAGGAACCCTGCCATACCAGTATCTAGATAACGTCGTCATTTTCAATTGCACTGAATGGTTCATGACAGCTGGAATCTATACGAGGAGAACAGTTCGAGTAGGTCGACATGGAGGCAAGGAAGCTTAATGAGAAAGCTCAAATTATGTTTGTTGTCGACGATCTGCTTTCTCTACCATCCACACATCCTTCACCTCGGAGCCGACTTGTTTTGCTCAATGACGGCGTCGATGCTCATCGGATTCTCCTGGTAAACAGCTCGACTCCTCCTATATTGTTCGGCTAAACTGTATGGTTCCTTTGATGTTTCCGCTACGTCACTCGCATCTGCACCCCGTGGCTCTTGGTCGGGGGGCTTTTGACTGTTCGGTGCAGTGCGTGTCTTGCTTTGGGTAACCGCCATTAATTGCGGTCGTTTTGCTGGCGGGTTGGAGTACTGGTCGTCTGCTGCGCGTTTAGGGGAGGTAGAAAAGCCGTAATGGGTCTGTTGGCAGCCAGCTGTTGAGTTCGAAGCAGTGACTGGGGAATAATGCTTTTGCGTTTCTTCTATAGAAAGGGCTACACGCCGTTCTCCTGGTGCGGTGGCAGTAGACCTGTCATTGGTAAACATTGTGCTAGGCTGCTCGGCGATGTTTGCACGATCGAGGCCCAGTAGGTATTCAGCTTGCTTTCCCGGGGGTAGAAGAAGTGCTTCTGAGCATATTGTCCGATACCTGGCATTAGCCTCCAAATCCTGTGACTGGCCTTTGCCTGCAAGATCCATCTCGGTTTTGAAACGGTTTAGCGAAGATTTAGTTGGTGGTGAAAATAGGAAATGAGGAGTGGAGGGTTGATGATGAAGGAAATGACAGTACCTGCAACCAAGTCCAATTTATACGATACGTCCTCCACCTGGGTCTAGATCATCTCCATTCGTTTACGATCCGATTCATTGTCAAGGGTACTCGGTATGCCGAAGCATCGCATGCCGAAAGCTTTAGGGTCGATTTGCAGTTGTCACTCTCCCGACTTCTCGCAAAACTTTCTGATGCCCTCGCATAGTTGCTGACATTCCCGTAACTTGACACAGTGCAACCCCTACCTTGTGGGACTTCCATGCTACACTAAAAGAGTCAAAACGTAAAATGGCTCAGGACTCGGGATGAATATTCGCAGGACACAAAGCGGCCTCACCGCGCATACATTATTGTACAGGATCTGCAGCCTGCAAGGGGCTTATGTGGTGGAACATCCATAGAGGCGGTAGAGATATGAGGCTGCTCATGGTCAAAGTGAGAAGAAACTGCGATATCGCAACTGTGGTGACTTCCATCAAGGGACTTCCACCGCAAGGAATGCAGATCAAGAGAAAAGGTTCGGGACTTCGCAAACAATACAGACCACATAATGAACTCATTGTTGAATATTCGCAATTTCCAATCATGGCAGCACCGCAGAGGCCCTAGCGCAGTGCTCTAACCGCCGGGCTCAGATACGCGCTGCTACCCCACGGGAGCCTGCATTCCTCCCGGCACAAAGGAAGTAATCCCATTGGAATAGACAAAGACGGCCTGTGTTTCAGGTTTCCCACAGGCTGCCGAATACTTGGACGTGACCGATCAAAGCGCAGCACCTATCTTAGAATTAGGTGGGTACAACGTGACAAGGAGATCTTAATCCCCGACAAACCACGTTAAAACGACCCCCACTCCGCTATGCTCCACCGCTGTCGGTGAGAGTAGTGACATAATAGTGTCACACAGCTCTAGTCTTTGAATCGAAGCACAACGAGCAAACATTTTGTATTTAGTGTTACCACAATCCAGGCTCACCGACTACGACGTTTCCAGTGTCTCTTTCGCTGATGTCATGAAAAATCACTGGAGAGCTGTGTTATCCATTGGAATCAGGCATTGCACGCTGCAAAGAGGCTGCACCCTCGATCGGGTGCGGTTCAGGGTAGACGACTATGCTTATCAGGACCAGGAATAATTAAGCTAGGAACTTGTTCACATTCCTTCGAGTTGATGTTATCTACTGGTCCGACTTGGCGGTCGAAAGAGCATTAAATGAGGCGGGCTAGCTTGGGAGCACATTTTCTTATCTATTCAATCGCGATCTAAACTCTACGCCTGACTGCATATGAATCCATGCAGAATCAGGGGATAGGCTAGAGAGCTCGCACTGCATATGGCGCTAACCATGCACCACACCTGCCTATCATTTATGTCACAAGCTGCGGCTTCGTCTTCATCGCATGTTTTTACTAATACTACACCTTATACCTAATCTATCGAAGCGCAAGAATTTGCGCTAGGACATCACTTGAACGCAACTTACTGAATCTTTATGTAGCTGTGTCGCCTCACATTCGAGTTGTACATCTTGTAGTATCTCGTAACTCCCCGCAAGCTAATCCTCTGCGGTGATGCATTAAATCTTTTTGCCCAAGTGCAGGGACACCTGCAGTGAATATTGCGTCCTGCTAAGCAGACGTAGGATAGAAGGCACTTCACAATTGTGAACCTTCTGACAGACGGATGCAACAGTTCAGTTCAACACATTCTTCTTTAGCTGCTTCCCCTTGCCACTTTCATCGTTTTTCATTCCTGGACGTGTCATATGCTCGCTTAGAGAATTCGTGATCGCGAAATCTTGCACTTTTACTGTGAATGCGGTGTTTCTGCAGCACAATTGCTGTTATTTCCCTTGTCCCATGCTCTTATTCCTGATGTAAATCATTTCCCGTCCTATTAAACCTCCAGATATGATGAGACGTGCACTAGAGAGTTTTGTGTTTTTGCAAGCCACGCTGAAATTCTTTCCTTTGGCTAAGATCCCATAGCTAAGAGACTTTCAACATACGGTAATGTTTTCGGTAGCGCCACCACTACTCGTAGGTATAGGGTAAGAAGCAGGTTAATTCAAGAAAAATACACCCTCACATCTTCATGCCTGGTGAGGAAATGTGCTACCTCAGAGTGCACCATAACGAGAACATTTTATCAACATCTATGTTATTCTGTTTTGCTAATGTATTTGTTTCAATGTATAAACATTTAGTGCATTTGCGAAATGGAGGCTAAACCTGCTGCATCAATGCTCTATTACTTAATGGTGATGTTCAATGTATCACATTGACCAAAACAAATACTCGCTGTCTAGATAAACTATTGCGTAGACATCTACGGCTCTGCGGGGTTGAATAGGGAAGTATAGCCAATATAAGCTATCGGCTAGTAAACTAGGATGATGTTTTAGGCAGTTGATAGCCGCGGTGGCTCTCCCTAAATGTTCGGCTTGCCGAAGTATTCGGATAGACACGTGCCAAGTTTTGTTGTGTACTAAGCATGCCGGTACGTGAAAGGAGAATCGTTTGTGTGACCCGTGCTTTTGCTCGGCGCAAGAGGAATTTGAAAAGTGATTTTGGGGTGATCTCAGGAGGACGCTTGCTTAGTCTGCATGATCAGGTACAACTTTGAAAACGAAATACTTCAGGGGTGCGTCACAAGCACGAAGATCGCCTACGAAATTTCACTCAGCTATTCGATAAGGCCGATCTTACCCCTCTCGCGTAAATCTGCGGCGGTTACTCAAACTAGTACAAGATAAAGGTGAGTGGCAGCAAACGAAGATTTTGGTGGGCACATGCCATGAACCAAAGGTCTGGTAAAATGACCCGTAATAATGCTGTGCTTGTAGCAAGAGAGTTTACGAAATTACAGAGTTTAAACTAAGAGTACTGAAGCTAATCTCCATCAAGGATTCGCCTGAACAGGTAGATCCAATCAAATTACACACTACACTCATATAAAATGTAGTAGGGACATATGTTATACATAATAAATCGCGCTATTGATTAGGTGGGTAAAATTCTTATAGAGATCTTACCTTCATCTTTTGAAAATCGCCGCTACCGCAGAGACGGGAATCTTGGGCGTCATTGTTGCAACTAGTCCCAGCGTTCCCAGAGAGCGAAAATTGGCGCCAGGCCCATGCATTGTTGAATTGATTCCAAGTCCGCTGGCTGAATGATTCATAGTGGAGTATCTATTGATTGAAGTCTTCTTAAGTAAAAGATACCGCATTGCATACTACTAGTTTGCTTACTAATACGCCTTCATTTCATTTCATACAACATGCAGCAGTGAAATGAAAAGCCAGACTCGGGTTGATAAATAGAGCTAGAGGGAGCTGTTATCATAATACTTACTTCACTTGAGCTCATCAAAATCAGAAAACTGAAGAAGGTATTCATGCTTTCCTTTGGCCGGATTCAAGACATTTCAACACGTGCCCAACGTCTCATGCCGAGGGAAAGCCATCCAAAACGTATAGATGTAGAGCTTTCTGGACCTATGCGAGCATACTTCACACCATTGAAACTGAAGCTAAGAAAGTCTGCGAAGACATCGGGGAAGGTAAGTTGAAGGTCACGTGCGGGCGCAAATAGGAATGGAAGATGCCCAAAGCGTAAAAGGCTGCAAAACGCTAGTTCAATACTTGATTCTGACGTAAATGATTGAATACGAGATTTTATCAGGCGGGAATGTAAGGGAATACAATGTGAGCTGATGATGCGCGAATGAGAAAGGAATGAGCGCTGAAAAACTAGCCCCCAAACTAGGCAAACGACTGCCCCTACTGTCTCATTCTGCTGACTTGAAATTTTCCAACTTCGTTTCTCGTACTCGTTGAAAGTCCATGTTGTGCTCGCCGCGGACAAGTGCGGGGCCACTGGGAATGATTGTCCCTCATTGCCAAGCCACCTGCGTCGCAGAGTTAACCGCACCAGACACAGTCCAGCGGTAGTCTTTCCGCTCCACCTCGCATGCACCTCTCTCAAAGTTACACTGAAACTTGAACTGAATATCTAATATGTACATATATCAGCTCAAGCCCCGGTTGTGCGCGCTTGGATCTGCCTGGAATCTTTTTATTCCCTTCTCGTATGAACTAAAATTTGCTAGTGCAGGATGACTAACATTCTAATACAACAAGTTGCGCAAAACAGCCCTGAGGAAGTGGAAGTTCAATACGACAATGTCTCCGAGACAAGCGAAAAGCGAGGAACGCGCGCCGATATAGCCGCGATGTGGAAAATGGGCAAGACTCAAGAGCTTGTTCGTAACTTCCACTTCGTCTCTATTCTGGGATTTTCCATGATTCTTATGGCAAGCTGGGAGACTATACTTGGGTAACTTTCCGTCCTCTTCACCGTGTTCTATTCTCAGGTTAACTATAAATAGCACAGCAGGTATCGGTCTAATCGACGGTGGAACAGCAGGGATGATTTGGACATATCTTATTGTTTGGATCGGCTTCCTCTGCGTTAACACCTCAATGGCAGAAATGGGCTCCATGGCACCGACATCCGGTGGCCAGTACCACTGGGTGAGTGAGTTCGCTCCACCGCGGTTCCAAAAGTCTTTCAGCTACATGATCGGCTGGCTTTGTGTTCTGGGATGGCAGACTGGCGCTGGAAATACAGCATTCCTTGCAGGTACGCAGATTCAGGGCTTGATTGCGCTAAACATCCCGGATTATCCTTTCAAGGCGTGGCATGGGACGTTGCTCGTATTTGCTGTTTCGGCGTTCAACCTTGTCTTTAACACCTTTTGGGTCAAGAAGCTTCCCATTATCGAAGTGGCAATTCTTTTCATCCATATTCTGGGCTTCTTTGCAGTTATTGCGGTGCTATGGGCCACTGGTCCAATTAGGGATGTCCATGCTACCTTTACAACGTTCAACGACTACGGCGGCTGGAACAACACTGGTCTCGCAACTCTCTCAGGCATGGTAACGGTTGTTCTACCTCTGCTTGGAGCTGACGGAGCTGTTCATATGTCGGAAGAAGTGCGCGACGCCGCTAAGACTATCCCAAAAATCATGATCTGGACAACGCTCGCGAATGGTGCAATGGGATTTGTCATGCTAATCACGTTCTGCTCTGTCATTGGGAGCATTGATGATGCATTGGCATCTCCAACAAAGCAACCATACCTATACGTGTTCTACAACTCCACAGGTTCCGTCGCTGCAGCATCTATCCTAGGTGCTCTCGTCATTCTCATGACGATGTTCTGCAATCTTTCGATTACAGCAACGAATTCGAGACAGTTGTTTGCGTTTGCGAGGGATAAAGGCGTGCCTTTCCATGAGACGTTTGCATACGTGAGTGATTCGCATCATTGTCCAGTGACAATGGACTAATGATGCATAGGTACCACCGAAGTGGAACGTTCCTATCAACGCCGTATGCGTCTCCTTCGCGGTCTCTTGTCTGATGTCTCTCGTCAATCTCACCTCGTCGGTCGCGCTCCTTAATATTGCCTCTTTGTCTACCTGCGCTATCATGGCATCCTACATCGTCTCAATATCGTGCATCGCCTTAAAACGTATACGTGGCGAGCCGCTACCGCCATCAAAGTTTAGCCTTGGTCGCATGGGGCTTGCCATGAATATGGCTTCAATTTTGTTCTTGATATTTGTGTTTGTATTTTCCTTTTTCCCTAGCGGACCGAAACCTACAGCGGCAGGTATGAATTGGGGTTGTGTTGTACTTGGTGGTACGGTGCTATTTGCGGTTGGCTATTATTTTGCGAAGGGAAGAGACGTGTACGTGGGACCGGTGGAGTACATGAGGAAGGCGGATTGAAAGATTTAACCCGATTCAGTAATAGTTCGAGGATCAGGCTTTAGATATAAGCTCCACGAGAGTTATTCAAAGCGCCTACGCCCTAGCTGAGCTATCACTAGTTCTATGAAGGTAATTCGAGTGCGGAGATGTGGATTGGAGCTCCACCCATACCCATTTTTTCATGAAGCAAGAAGTAGGAATGCCGACAAGTACTGTGTACTGTGTGTAGTAAGTGAAATGTAGGAACGATTCGTGTTACGATTCGTGGCGTTATTTTATCTCATGCTGGTGGATCTTGAGACTAAACAAGCTGATATTTTGAGAGGCCGTTTTATCGCAATGGTAATTACTTATCTATCTTCTGCAAGGTATCTAAAATAGTGCGAGGTTAGAGCTTATGGAGACTGCTAATTACACTACCAGATATGGCTGCGTAACTGCCAGCTACGCTATCCATTTCGATCGTAATTCGGGGTGAACCGAGGTAACTACAGCCCAAGCTGCCATCCGATGGCAGCTTGGGTTGTAGTAAGCTGCAAAGCTCATCCTTCAAGACAAAACGGTGGTAGCAGCACTGCTGCGTCATCTCCTATCGGTCACGAAAGTAGAACTTAGCTTCGCCTCTGTTCATGGTCTGCAACAGTGTATTGAATGTGTAGGCAGCGTGGGATATTACGAATTTCTACCGCGGCCATCTCGTCACTACAATCTGGGAAGCTCCGTCAGCGTAATGGCAGAAGATTCTGTCCATATTACTGATAAGGGACTGGGTAGTGGCGACATCCTTTGAATTTCTTTGCTCTACCGCATTTGCCGTCGAGGCCATGATTTTGGATGAGAGGTTCCAGGCCGTGCTGGACTTGGTTGATGGATCACCAAAAGAGTAGCTCTTTTACTACGGGAGAGATATCTTGGGGTACATCGAAGCTATCGTTAGTCATACTGTTGTGAAGTATGTCGCATGCATGTATCCAGATCTGATTGCGCGCATGATTGCGATCCGCTGACTGCGCTCAAAGGCGCCGAGCCACAGGTAGTTCCAACATCGCGAGACTGGAGAAAGAGAGTAAAGCTGGACAAGAGCATCTTTCTGGGAGTGCCAATTACAAAAGTACCACCACAGGCGAAGTCGTGTCATCTGAACGGTCAAACGGTTCAGGTATAACAGGAAATTTCGGGTTGATCTTTTGGTCTCTCCGTGCTGCCAACAGCTACGTGGCACAACCTACGCGAACATCCAAAGAGGGTTGGGGGACGTATCGTCCTCAAATTTCAAGGTAGTGACGTTGGACGCATTGCTTTTGTTACGTCTTCTGCAACACTCGACCCTATCACCCTTGCAATCGACCAGTGAATTTCGATCGCAACCCTACCCACTATCGAAAGCATTACATTAAATGTATGCATTTCGAGAGACACTTCATACACTATGCATTCGGTCACCTAGTCACATAGGATAATGCTAAGGTAGGTGGTAGTTATCAGCCCGCCTCCCCGCATTCTCCGATGCGGCTTACCGTGGGGCGCCGCCATCACACTGGGTCTCCACTCCAACGCCGGAAGCAGTCAGGCGGCATGCACTCCAGAATCTGTGACGATGAATTATTTCTTTCTATAAAGATTAAACGTTGCAGAAATGCCGAAATCTGTTAACGGTATAGCGTAATAGCAGAGGGCTTCGAGACATTAGCGCTGTGAAGCGAAAGTATTTCGAATACCCACATTACGGCAATCTCACTCACCTAATTCCCCATGCTTTACCCAGTCACGACATATAAACTTTTCGCTGTCATTGCACGGCGTCAGCCACGTTGTCAGCTTGTAGTGTCCTAGTTGGTGACAAAGCGACCGATGATCGACAAAGGTTTCCGTCTTCATGTTGTAATCTTACTATGCTGTCCATATCAAGTAAAAGTGAAAATATCTCCAGTCCGTCGTCACTTCGGCTCACTACCAATCGGCTCTTTGCGCAGCTGAAGCCGCCAATGGGCACGCTTACCTGTAAAGCATGCCTCCGGTCTATCGCGCTCGACACTGTGAAGTTTGGTTTCAAGGACAGCCACAAATGAATGTGGTGTTGACATACACCAACCAAATGTATTTGCTGATTGCATCATCAAGAAATGCGGCTTACGGCATGGGCGCCAAATTGGTGAATTCTCCGAAGCCGACCATGATAATGTGGTGGATTGTTGATCCGTGTTACTTCAGCCCGAAGAACAGCTAAATCATGTTTGTTGAGAATGGACATATAAGCCTACCCATTGTCTTCGCGCAATGCAGATCGCCTAGATTTACTCTCTTCACATTTGCTTCGCCTTGAAACACATCGAACGCCGTGATCAAGATGGCGAAACACGAAAATGTTGAGCTCATACCGGGCACAGAGATCATGGACGAAGATGGGACCGCGAAGAAGACTCTTGTACCAAAGCCATCTTCTGATCCTCAGGATCCGTTGAACTGGTCGACCAAGTGGAAGCGTAAGTCTATCCATACTGCCCTAGTCGCGATGCAACCTAACAAAGTAGCTTAGTCACCGTCATGGCATCTCAATGGCTCTTCACCTGGATCTCCGTCACCGGCGCACTATCAATCGCACCAATGTTCCCTCTTCTCGGCAAGGAGTTTCACCTCAACAACAATCAATTGTCCATGCTGACCGGTATCACCGTGATCACGCTCGGCTTTGCCAACTTCATTATTGTACCGCTGAGTAATATCTTCGGAAGACGTGCTATCAGCTTGGTCTTTTCGGTACTCATTATGTTGACCTGCATTTGGCAGGCGCTGGCTACATCGCATCGAAGCTTGTTGGCCGCGAGAGCCATGAATGGGCTGGTTTGTGCGACCAGTGAGAGTATCCCAGTGCAGATGATTGCGGATGTATTTTTCCTCCATGAACGCGGACTGTGGACCGGCGTGTACTTGTAAGCAGCCCAAGTCAAAGCATTTTGTGTGTATCACTGACCTTTCGTACAGTACTGGATATTTTCTTGGAGCATTTCTTGGCCCGGTCATGGCTGGAACTATCGCTGCTCACCATAGATGGCAATCCTTTTTCTGGCTCGAAACCGCCCTCTCTGGTGTCGCTATCATTCTCGTTGCCATCGCCTTCCCAGAGACAAAGTACCACCGTAACCGCACTGCGCCCAAATTGACTGCTCCCATTCAAACCACCCATCAAGACGGCAGTGGTACAGTAACCAGTGACGATGAAGGCAAATTGGAGAAGCAGATGACCCATGCCGCCCACCATGACTCTGAGAGTACCTCACTCGATGCACCCACGACCGTTCAAGGCCGCCCATCCCGCTCCCAGTTTATGCCCTTCCAGGCGCCAGATCCACGCTGGAAGATGTTCGTAGTGCGAGATACCTGGACACCTATCAAGGTCTTCTTCAATCCCATCATCTTGTGGGCTGGCCTCATGCTCGCCGGCCCCGCAGACCTTGTTCTCTTCTTCAACATCACCGAGTCGCCCATCCTCGCGGCCCCGCCTTACCTCTTCAGACCGGATCAAGTCGGCTACACAAACTTCGCTTTTGTAGTCGGTGCACTCATCGGTCTGGCGACTGCGGGCCCATACTCGGACTGGGTCGCCGCCCGCGCTACACGCAAAAATGGCGGCGTGCGTGAGGCTGAGATGAGGCTGCCTGCGCTGTGGTTCTACATGATCATCACGGTTCTATCCCTTATCCTTGGCGGAATAGCATACCAGCGCCAGTGGGCCTGGGGCCATATTGTCGTCTGGGGCTACGGCCTGGCTGGCTTGTCTGTTACAACCGTGCCTACTATTAGTATTGCCTACGCAATCGACTGTTACAAGCCCATCTCTGGCGAGATTATGGTCGTCGCAACCGTGTGTAAGAACTTCATAGCTTTCTCGTACAGCTATTGGGTGTTTGATCTTGCGCATGAGAGCAAGGACGGCTGGATTACGCCAGCCATGGTCATTTTTGCTTGTACGGTTGGGCCTGCGCTATTTGCGTTTCCCCTATACTATGGATTGGGAAAGAGGATCCGCAGATGGACTAAAGCGAGTGATGTGCATCGCATGGAGGAAATGATTTGACTAAGGGGATGAATGACTTTCACGTGTTTCGCTGTTTAGGACGGTAGATTATTACAAGTTGTAAAAGATCAGCAACACGTTCATAGCGATAACGCAATCAGTTCTCGAATCTGCGGTATCCTCAGGTTTCAGTTTTAATTAATTCTTACGATGTGAGATGCAAGGGCACGCCGATGCTGTGGATGGCGGGTCGCTCGGTAATCGCTACGAATTTATGCGCTAATGATTGACGTCATCAGAGATTTTCAGATGCAAAGCGCGCCGTGGTATCAACCACATCGGGACACAATTTAGACTACTGTCGCAGCATGTCTAACCTCCACGACAGAGTTGTCATTATTACAGGTTGCAGCAGCGGTATTGGTCTCGCAACTGCACGCCTCTTCCTTGAGCGCCAGGCCCTTGTCTTCGGCATCGATATCGGCGCCATCCCCCAGAAACTCGCCGAGACATACAGCACATTCTCTTTTTACCAGGCTGATCTCACTACTGATCAGGCCGTTGAGCATGCAGTCGCCAAGTGCATTGGGAAGCACGACAGAATCGATGTTCTGGTGAATTGCGCGGGTGTGAGCGATGGCTGGTCCAGTGCCGACACGCTGCAGGACGAAGAATGGGAACGTGTAATAGCTATCAATTTGACCGTTCCTATTCGGATGATGAGAGCGGTGCTACCGGCGATGAAGGAACAGAAAGGTGGAAGTATCGTCAACGTCGCCAGCAAGGCGGCTATTTCTGGAGCTTCGGCTGGCATCGCATATACAGCGAGCAAACATGGGCTTGTACGTACTTCTTCTGCTCGTTGCCCGATTGTGCAGAGTTGGATCCCAAACCTTGTTCTATGAGGCTTACGAGGGGACAGGTTGGCGCAACGAAGAATGTCGCATGGCGCTTCCACACCGAGAATATCCGCTGCAATGGCGTGCTTCCAGGTGGTGCGTATCTCAGTCCATTCCAACACGCTTGACTTGTATCTGATCGGTCAACAGGTGTTGCAACAAATATCGCGTCTTCCGTGCAGATGGAGCAATTTGACTCGGCCGGTTTCAACTCATTCTTGTACGTCCACCATTCGAGAAGCATGTCGTAAAGCTGACCTCAACAGCCCCATTGTTCAACTCCATGTATCAAAGGACAGCGAAGGGACTCCCGTACCGGTGATTGGGGTTGATGATGTCGCGCGCGGTATCGCTTTTCTCGCCTCGGACGAGGCAAAGATGATTAACGGCGCAATGATTCCAATTGACAATGCGTGGTCAACCATATAGCGCCAGCCTGCAAGCAGCAGGTCCAAAATATTTGCAGGGCGCAGAAAGGAGGCCACCGTGTACGATGAGATGGCAGGAATTCGACGCATTTGGCCTGCATGATGGCAGTCACCTTTGTAGCTGGGTTGTCTCCTGCATCATCAGATTTCGTCGTTTCCCTCTGAGGTTGGTGGCATGCGGCTCGAATTTCTCGCGAGCCTTGAACTGGAAGCTCGAGCAGTTTTGAAGGAACATAGTCCGCATGTTGTAGTGTTGTAGTGGAGTTCAACATGCTTCAAGATCTTCATACCCCTATCTAACAACCCCGTTCTATACGCTGAATTCCAACCGATTTCCCGCATAATCCCTTACAAAAAACCTCGTCGGATACTCGACGCCCTCAGCCCCACTATTCTTCTCCCCTGGTCTATCCGCTTCCTTGGGCGCAGCTTCGCCGCCACGTTCAAAGTGCTCCCAAACTTTCTGCCGCAATGCGACCAGATCCTCAGCACTGCCGAGCTTGAAACATGGGTGCCGTGATGATTTGTTAACGAAGTCTTCAGGCTTGCCAAAGGCTACGTGCACTTGTTGCCCTGAAGTACCAATGTCGAACCAGGCGAGCGTCTCGCGCTGAAGTTGAGGCACCGCTCTTGGTGTTAGGCCGAGAGTGGTGCTGTAGAATTCGTGGGCGAGGTCGAGAGTTTGGGGTGGTACAACAATGTTGATGTGGTGGATGCCGGTGATCATCTTAACGATACTGATGAAGTAAACTAGTTGTTCTGGCGACTTCGATGTAGGGGATTTCTGTGTATGATAGACGTGTTAACCAGGTTGATGGATGAGGCTAAGGTCCAGATGCGGGGTAGCAAGCAAGAGGCGAAAGGCTCGTATAGTGGGGTATCGGCGATTGAAACCCTGATTAGCTATCTACAAACGAAATCTTCAGCCCGAACCCACACTACAGATTCAGAATATATACGGAGATTCACTAGAGAACAGCTTAGCGTTCCTACAGTCACTCTTTGTGCAGTAGGCGAACGCCCTCTAATGTTCGCGAAGCTCGAGCAAGTGGTGCTCCGTACACCTGTCACTACTCTTGGGCAGTCAACCGTGTAACAGGTTCCAGAGACTGTCCTATGCCCTGATTTGACTCAAGGCTAAACTTCAAGATTAAAATGTTCAATAATCATTTCGCTGCTGAAATTCCAAACATTCAGCCATAGTTTCCTTTCCCCTGGGCAAACTCATCTCGATTTGGCTAACGCCTTGGCCGCTTCAGGAACACGATAGCCAGTTCCCTTACTCAACCCTTACTGAACCCTTAAGAAGCTCGGGAAAGAAGTGCAATAATGAGTAAGTAGCTTCCGCCTTCAGGACAGCACGCCTTCGCCCCGGTTATCCATTCGCAGATTAGTTTTCGTGAGTTCAAACTGTATTATCAAACAAGGGTGAGCTGAGGATATTTCTCTCCCTCAAGACCCTAAATTTAACAGTCTATCATAATGACAAGACAGAGGATATACCGCTCCACATACCCACCCCCGCAATGCCCCACAAGCATATCGCTCCCTCAATTTCTAACTCAATACAATCCAGACGCGGTGTCGAATGGCAAATCATCGTCGAGGACGACTGAACCAGTCAATGACTGACGTACACAGATCTCCGCCGTGAGGCCTCTCAGCATGCCTGGAGATTAAGAGAGAGATACAGGTTGGGAGCTGGCGATGTAGTTGGTATCAGCGCGCCGAGTTCGGTGTGTTCTGAAAGATTGGAAGACATGGGGTTTGAGGTTCTGACCGGATGGGTAGGTTGCTCATGTTCAGCTAATTCATGCAGTTCTTTGGACAGGGGCGACGGTAGCGTAAGTCGAGTGCCTTCAGAGAGTGTATATGCGAGAAGTTCTGATCACTAGTAGGCTGATGAACTTCCTGAGCACCCCCGACGATTTTATACATTATTTCACGGTTTGCAAACCCAAGCTCTTGGAAATTGGTCCAAATCTCTATGGTATCTTTGTTGAAGCGTTGGCGGAGGTCCCATCACTTGGTCAAATTGATGGCATATCCCTATTAGGTTCCCACCTAGGCTTAGTGAAAGTAAGCCGAGATTTAGCACGGCCGTTCTTACTGAGACTGAATAGCGCACAGTATCCCCTAGACTTTTCGTGCAAGAAAAGTCTGTCCGTTTTCGATCTCTCATTTTCTGACAGCCGCGAACATACCCCCGCGATCTGCTTTAGTTCCGGCACAAGTGGCAAGCCAAAAGGTGTAGAACTCAGCCACCACAATTTGATCTCGTCTTTAGCCGGTATCCGATCCACTGATCCCGCTTTCAACAACTCGGATTCACGGAGCATCTTCTTCGCGCCTCTATGCCACATATACGGTGCGTAGTGCATCCTTTTGTGCCAGGTGTGTCGCTAGTCATCACAGGGCTCAATACGGTCGGTTTGATGGGTGTCTGGCTCGGATCATACACGATGTTGATGAAGAAGTATAGTCTCGACAAGCTTCTTGAACTAGCTTCCACTTACGAAGCCAATACGTTACGTATAGTACCTTCGATTGCACTAGCGATGACAAAGACCGCAAAACTCGATGTTTATGATCTGACGAGTATCAAGTTCATCATGTGTTCTGGTGCCGCGCTGCAGCCGGAGGTTATTCAGGTACTGTATAAGAGATTTAACCATGCACCTATTTTCCAAGGATACGGGTGAGAGTCTCACTAATTACATTGAACAAATCTAATAGCCATTAGCATGACAGAGACTGACATAGCAACGCTGTGGACCCATGAACGAAACCATATTGGAAGTGTCGGCAGGCTTTTCGCAAACGTGTAAGTTCTGGTGCAGTTATCTGTGTTATCGTTGCTTCTGTACTCCATAGCTATAGAGAAGCACGAATTGTAGACGACGACCTCAACAATGTCGACGACGGTCACGATGGAGAAATGTTGGTTCGCGGACCCACTGTACTTCGGTAAGGACTACACGACCTTGATCTAGCTCTTTGCTAATCGCATACGCATAAGGAGATACCTGAATGACCCGACTGCAACATAAGAGATTGCTGGCTTTTTGTTCTACTACTGTAGGCAGCAGCATTGCTATCACGTGGCTAAAATTAGTTCTATAGTTCTATTTTGCGTTATAGTACTGTACTATTTATTTTGTTGCAATACTGCTTTTACAATTTGCAGAGAGCTTCTAAGCTTTATAACTTATTTTTTTTAACACGAGAGACAATTCTTAAAGGCTGGATGCGCACAGGAGACGCCCTTCATTTTGATTCTGAAGGCTTCTTATACCGACGGACCGCAAAAAGGAACTCATCAAGTACAAAGGCTTTCAGGTCGCTCCGAGCGACCTTGAGGGCATCTTGACGTCCCATCCCTTTGTAGATGAAGGAGTTGTCTGCGCCAGGTGGGACGAGAAGGAGGGAACTGAAGTCCCGATGGCTTATGTCACACTTAGCAATATTGTACCGAAAGACCCCAGAGGACGGCATAACGCAGTTATGGAGATCGGGAGGTTCTTAAACGGAAAGGTCAGTCCGTATAAGAGATTGAGGGGTGGGGTTGAAATCTTGCAAGAAATTCCAAAAACGGCAAGTGGGAAGATCTTGAGAAGATTTCTACCGGCTAGATTGACTAGGGCATGGTCGGCAAAGCTGTGATCCCGAAATTCTGAAGTGGGAGCACTGGGAGAGAATGGAAGTGAGTACCGAAGTCGGTACCTTGGCAGCGCTGCTGGGCATAGTTGGACAATATGAGTGCTAGACCGTAAATTAGTATGAACCGGGATCCCAATTGAGTCTTCGAAGACTTTCAAGCTAAACCCGGTGGAGTTCCCCGCATCCCAGTTCGTGGATTTCGTTTTCCGGGTACGTTTTCCCCCGTAATTCTTCCGCGTCACGGGTCGCAGATCCTGTGGGGGTGCAGAACACCAATGCCTAACAGACTTACTTGCTATATATGCAAAACAGCGATGACTCATTAGCTTCTTTTGATTGCTGATATAGAGATACATCGTTCCCACCCTTGGTATCGACACAGTTGTAGTACGCCCAGTATGCCGTATTCACCAACATCTTCCCTCGCAGGCAAAGTCATTGCAATCACAGGCGGCGCAAGCGGAATCGGGCTCGCAACCGCACATCTTCTCGCTAACCGTGGCGCCACCTTATCACTCGCCGACGTCTCCGATCATGGCTTGGACGCCGCATCAAAAGCGATCAAAGCCAAACATGACGTCGAGATCTTGACCTTTGCTTTGGACGTTCGCAATCCTGAACAGGTCGATGCATGGATCAAAGAAACCGTAGCCAAGTTCGGGAAGCTGGATGGTGCAGCAAACATTGCCGGAGTCATACCAAAAACCATTGGAATGGGCGGTATTGCGGAGATGGAGGCAGAAGAGTGGGATTTTGTTATTGGAGTAAATCTTACCGGCGTTATGCACTGCATGCGCGCACAGATGAGAGCTATCTCTGATGGAGGAAGTATTGTGAATGCGTCAAGTATGGCAGGACTAACTGGGCGGCCGAACAACGCCGCGTATTCAGCGAGTAAACATGGCGTTATTGGCTTGACGAAAAGCGCCGCCAAGGAGATTGGAGCGAGAGGTGTGCGAGTCAATTCATTTGCACCGTGAGTCGAACCTGAATAGAGAGCCAACAGCCCAGTCGACTTACTTGTACACAGTGGTTACATTATTACGCCGATGACCGCTGCAGCATCAAAAACGGACATCAAAACAACTAACGAGTCATCAGCCGTACCTCTTGGGAGACATGGGTACCCGGAAGAATGTGCAAGCGTAATCGCTTTCTTACTGGGGGACGAATCCACGTATATAACAGGGGCAACTTACAGCGTGGATGGAGGCTGGCTCTCTTGAGACAATACATGATCAAACAATATCTTGATATTCAAACATCAGGTTCCTGCATTGATTATCTCTGCTTGCTACATGAATCGCGCTGAGCGATGCGGGGTATCTGGAGATGCGGGGGACTACCGGATGTGAAGTGCCGATTTCCCTCACTTGGTGTAACTTGAGTGCAAACCAGTTCAGAAACCTCCAAACTTGTTGTGGGCCAGCTGATGCATTCTAGGGTAGCTGCGTCTCCCGAACTACCCTTTGCTAAGGTTTAAGAGATTTGAGGTCCATAATGTCAGTGTCCTCCACCTCGTTCCAGACCTTGGACAACCACACCGCCAATTCAGACGAGAGGACCGTATCGGACAGGTTGGCCCGAAAACGCACCCTAGACCGCAAAGCGCAGCAGGCAGCACGGTCCCGAACGAGATGGAACATTGAAAACCTCCAGTACCAGGTTTCACATTTGAATAATGCGCTCATCAACGAAACCTCGCGATTACAGGCACTACTCGAAGAGTCCAAAAGTGAGACGGAGCTGGTCCGTGCAGAGAACCAGACTTTGAGAAGTCAGTTGGAGGATGCTATAGGAAACAGTCAAGGCGTGGGCGTTGAAGATGTGGAATTTGCAGCTACAGGTACCCTTTCGTGGGACGACCATATCGCGGAGATGGCCGTTGAGGCCCCGCTGCCGCGGTCTATGAGTGTTTCATCGACAAATTTGCAGCCATATGAGTTTATACCGTGGAACACAGGACCGACATGTGTATCGGACCGGATCCTACAGAGCTATGCCGCAACAGCACGTATGCGAGTTCACGCGACGTCCGATATCTTCCTCAAGGAACAACCTGATATGACTGCTCTACTCGCACAGGAGCGTAGTGTCAATCCTTCTGGAGTTTCCAATGTGGTCTCCGATATTTTGCTGGCGTACCAAGAGATCGATACGCTGCCTAAGAAGGCCGCATGTTTGTATGTCATGTATAAGTTTCTCAATGTGAGTACAATATGAAATGTTATATCACTACCCTCGAGCACTTACACATGACAGTGGCTCATTTTCCGAACCAAGTTAACCCATGACCAAATGCCCACCTGGCTTCGTCCCGTTCCATTGCAGCTACAAATGGAACACCCGGCGTGGATTGACCGAATTCCTTGGCCCAATGCCCGCGTCTACCTGATCAACAACCCCAGTATCACCTTCGACGACTTCGCCTCTTACTATTCTTCCTCTTTCCACGTTTCTTGGCCTTATGATCACTCACATGTGTTTATCTCCCTATCGCAGAATACGATTCCCACACCCGAAGCCGCCCTTAACAACTGGTTTCATACAAATGAAGAGTCGCACAGCATCGAAGCAATAGCGCCCGAGAACACGATCCTGAACCCGGTATTTGAGCAGCATCTGCGACAGTTGAAGAATTGGAGTGTTTCCAATCGTTTCCGGCGCCAGTTTCCTGAGTTGAGTGACATTATTGATCGTGATTCACGCTTGGAACCTGAGGAAGAAAACAACATAGCAAATTTTGGTCATGCCAGCCTTCACTAGTGAGAATATTGAGGTCAATATGATTCAATTAGTGCTGGACGCAGAACTTCATTGATGGAAATCTAAAAAAAAGTCTACACTCTGCCCCTGTCCAAAAACTTATTCGGAATCTCAACGTACTTGGCGCGAATATATTCACACAAATTCTTACCCAAGCTGTCGTACCCACTCGTAGCATTGAATCCCCGATCCAGATGATCTTTCAAAAGAAAGTGGACGGCCCTAATATTAGGCATCTCACATCTGTCAATTTGCCTTCCTGCATCGTCTTTGCCCAACAACTTCCTCAACATGTCTGTGCTTAGCACTGTGCGTAGCCATTCCCATTCATCGTCATAGCGTACGAATAGTCCCAGATTTGCATTCGATGATTTGTCGCCTGAGCGACCAAGGGTGATGTATCCTAGTGGGGCGCGTGTCGTTGGCCCAAATGTAGACAGATCGATGGCATTGGCTGTAACAGGTTCATTGGGTTGCTCCCGAGGATATTCTTGAGTCAGAGATGGACTTGGTATGTCGATTACACGACCGTCATGGAGATGAGCTGTCTCTTTGACAAATGTCTGGGGCATCAGACTGACCCAGTACTCAAAGAAGGGTCGACCTATCGCTTGTCGCATGTCTGGAGCCATCGTACTCCCTGGGTAGCCCTGTAGGAGGTTTTCAATACAGAAGCGTGCGAATGAGCCACGGTCGGAGTCTATGATCGAGGATGCTGAAAGGATGTCAGGATCACGCGATTGGGCAAAGATGCGGAGGTCGACAGTCGCTTCATCTTGGCTTTGCGGATCTTCAGGAACTGTGCCAGCAATAGTAAAGTTTAGACAGGAAAACTTCGACAAATGTTCGCCCATTGTTGCTTTAGTTTGACGTTCGATCATCTTCGCCTTTTCTTCAATATCGAGGCCGGTGAGGAAGAAGTGGAACTCGGCCTGCCAACCTCCCTTCGCCGTGATTCCGACTGAATAAACACGTTAGTTTAAATCTGCATCGCGAACCATCATTGCGTACCTTTGGTAGTTGGTGGTGGTGGGGATCCTTTCACACCTGAGACTTTGACGGCATTCTCACCAACTAATTCCAATCTAATGTCGCTTAGTGAGGCCGTAACGTCCGAATTATAATATAGATCCCCTTGAATCTCATAGAGAAGTTGACTTGCGATAGTTGCTGGAGTGACAAGCCCGTGTTTACCCTTTTCCATGGTGATGACTGCGTGACCCTTCTCGTCCACGGCTGCGATAGGATAACCCATATCAGTGTCTTGATCGCCTAGATCCTTGAACCCACTGTAGTAACCTCCAGTGGCGTAAGTCGAACACTCGATGATGTGGCCGATCATTAAAGCACCAGCGAGTTCTTGGATGTGTGTTTCGCGCTTCCATCCATGCCACCACATGGCTGCACCGACTGTAACTGACGCATCCGCGACTCTCCCGCAGACCACAATGTCAGCTCCTCCCTCAAAACAAGCAGCTATACCGGTACCTCCAAGATAGCACTGTGCACACAGAGGTTCGTATCCCCAATCTTGGATGTTTTGGTTTGCTGGGAGATTGAGAAACTTCTCTCCTATACGTCGACTCGTTAGCCCAACTCTGCATGTAAAAGATGAATCAACCAACCCTTTTTGTATAGCTCGAGGACTGCGTCCGTAACGTCGTCCCCATCGACGTAAGCGACCTTAAGATCCACCCCATGTTTCTTAACCAACCCTCTTACCGCTTCGGCGAGGCCCTGAACATCGGAAGCGCCTGCATTCACTGCAATCTTGACACCCCTCTTCGCGAGCCAAGGAATAGCAGGATCAAGTTCCTCTAGAAAGTAAGGCTCGTATGCCTTCCCAACAAGCGTGCCAGAGCCGAGCTTCTCTCGTTTATCTGATCCACGGAGAGTCATGTTGGCTTCAGACATCCAATCCCCAGTGATGACATCAACTTCTTCGTTCTTGGCCATGTCATGAATCGCTCGTTTTCTGTCATAGACACCTATAAAATGTTCAGAATGAATGCAAATAGCGCAACGTGTTGATAGTAGAATTTAATTCACGTAAAGTATGAACGGACCTCCAGAGCAGCCAGCAATACGAACAGGGCGTTTAGCCGTCCCGTTTGAGGCGGAGTGCCCGTTGACGCCGTTGCTTGTGGGCAAGGCTTGCTTGATGCTGTTGATGATCGAACCCATGGTGAAAGATTGGTGTGAATGAGTTATCGGAAGCTATGAATGTAAATAGACAGATTATCTTATAGCTTTGATTTGAATCGACAGATAAAGGGTTGGAGCTGACATGCCGAGGAGTGATAAACGCGTCCAACAGAGATATATAGTCAATAACACTGGGATCGAAGATCGAAGCCGGACATAACTTCTACGGCAATAGAGACGAGCGCATTTGCACATGTAAGTTCATTCGTTCTCTCTGATAGTAGACAAGATTGCGACCTACTCGGGAAACGATTCCATAGGTCACAAGTTTGTGCTGCCGGCAGGCAATATCCGCAATGTTCACGCCACGATCAACAGCGCTAATGATTCAGGGTCTAACCGCAAATGGCACTGTCCGTGCTGTGCAATATCTTAGCCGTAGCTACTCCAAGGGAAATGTCATCATCGCAGGGGTCGGTGTTTTCTGATAGGTCTTGCAGGAATCAATGCTAGATAAACGGCGGCGTGAATATAGAGGTTGATAATTTGGCTCGATATGTGCCCCTGGTCTTCTGCATCATCCATTTTAAAGAGAAAGAAAAAGGGGTTTAATCTGCATGCTCATGTTATTGAGAGCTACAAATAATATTGAAGAAGTGATGCTAGCCATCTTTAGCAAGCACTCCCGGCTTCAAGCCACAAGAGACAACCCTCAAAATGAACATTGATTAACATTATAGTGTTACTCCACACTCTCAAACCCTCTGAGTACCAGACCTGTCCTGATATGCTTCTGGTTCTTGATGTTGTCTTGGATAGCCCTACTAGGCACATGTACGTCCCATAAATATCCCTCGTCTCTGTATCTTTCAAGACTATAAAGCGTATTTTCATCTTCGGGGTCGGCTAGGAACCAATAAGTATATGTCCCCTCTTTTTCATTCTCTTCCACTTCTTTAGCTACGTGTTTCCAAAATTCGATACCTTTTGAGCGCATTGCCGAAGCATACTCAATTTTGGCCAATGCTGCGTGACTAGCTGAGCCTGAATGGGGATCTGTTGACCGCAACGGAAAGCCAGCAACGGGATTCAAGTGCTGTTCTCGCGCAGGTTCGCGGAGAAGATCTTTCGTTTTGCAGATTTGGTCGAGGGTCGACTTGGTTGTACTTCCTAGGTAATCATCATATGCCTCCCTGGACCTAAAACTGTTGCGTTTAAGAGAAAGCAGACCGATTTACGCGCAATTCGCTTACCAACATGCAGTCACCACTGCTGCAGTGTTGTCGGCGTACTTCTCTTTCAAGAGATAGAAGCACATGATGGCCCCGCTATTTTGTCTTATATACTGGAGCACGGGTTTGAAGGCGTCGAGAAGCTCTTATGGTTATTACCATAGTCATAGATAACAATCGATGGCATACATACCTGAGTCATCTTCTCCGCGTGGGGTATCCAGTGCCCGAAAACCACAATGCTCTCATCAGCTGTATCGTACAGTCCCATCTTTCTTTCTTTCTTCATCACAGTATTCAGTCCGGTTCAATCAGAGGCATCAGGATGAAGTGAGAAGTCATCGCGTCCAGTATTTCTATCAACGATTATGAACGCCCTGCGTCATGTCCGGCTGATGAATCATTAGTGCAAGTCTAACCTTGTATAGATCGAATAACATAGATGTGGGGCAGTGTCGATCAAAAGCTTCCAAGTCACGGGATTAAGAGATAATCATTTTTCTCGGTTTGTGTGTATGAAGATCTCGGGCATCACTATCTACTTTTCACTTAGTCTTGCAACACTATGTAAGAGATCAAGTAAGGCGTTATGCCCGGGAGGCCTTGGCAGTTCGTCGTTTTGTAGAGCGCACTACTGGCACCACTCTTTCAATCTACCAAACGAACCAAATCTTATTGACTAAATATATCAAGTAACAGAGGAAAGGCCTCAAGAGTAGGAACCCAATATTTTGAAAGCAAACATTCGTTCTCTGGACTATTTCTAAACGGTCTCCTGATCATTCTTGGTCTCGTGACCAGCACCTTGTAGTCTTCTGTCCACGGTTGCAGTGAAGTGCTCGTTGAAGCTTTTCGTGCAGAATGCACATATTACTGAAGCTCCCCCAAACGCCAAACTAGCGTAGAATACGGTATTGTAGGCTACAACGTTTCCATCTTGTAATGCCTTGATAAACTTTCCTACGTTTTTCGGCGTCACTCCAGGTATTTTGGTAAAGGCTGAGACAAGACTGGCCATTCCGGCTTTGATGATAGCTACCGTAGAAGCAGTGGAGAGTCCCTCTGCCTCGGCGACGGTTCGGAGCCGTGGAGTAATCTCTTTGTCTTTTGTAGTATTGAGAACGCCAGAAAATATAGCCAAAGCGATTGATCCGAGAACTGCACGACAGGAACCAAGCAATCCACTGGCAAGACCGAGATCCTTGGGAGGAACGGTGAATGGTATCGCAATGATGGCGATTACTTCGATGACTCCAACCGCAAAGGAGCCGAGAACCGTGGCAGCAATTCCTCTATCACGAGTTGACGCATCACAAGAGGCCATGGCCCCAATGAAAGCACACATAACGATACTGGCGATGCGCAGTTGCCAGTGCCCCCAACCCCATCGAACAGTGAGCGCTCCTATCACCTGGCCGAACGCGACAGGTCCACCAACGGTTCCAGACATGAGGCCGATTTGGATGTTATTGGATGTGTACAAAGAGGTGATCATTTGGGGCCATATGACGGTAAGAGAGTAGTAGAACATGGTGGCTATTGCGGCGACGCCGGCCAGGGCCAGCCATCGTCCGTTCTTGAAAAGTGACATAGGGATCAAGGGATATTTCTGAGGTACGTAGATTTCTATAATATTTTAGCTTCCGCTCCTCTTCGTGTCAAAGCAATATACATACCATATACAGCAAATGCAGCAAGGGTGACAATACCGATGATCAACGGCGCAATGACACTGGCAGAAGACCATGGGTGTAATCCACCTCCCCAAGACAATCCGAGAACGAGTGATACGAGCCCACCGACGAATAAAGTGATACCTCCATAGTCAAGTTCATTGAGCTGTTTCCTGATGGACTTCCCCTCGTGAAGTTGAGAATAAGAAGGCGGGTAGTAACAAAAGTAGAAAAGCAACACTGCGATGCCTTGCGTAATGAGATTGAGGTAGTAGTTCCATCGCCATGAAAGCTCCGTATATCCGGCGAGTGCTCGTGCAAGAAGAGGCCCGAATGCGGCAAATGGAAGGGTCGTCAGGAAGAGGAACGCTGTAATAGCTGGGCGGTGTTTGTTGGCAACCAATTCCATTAGCACGAAACTGTCTATGTTAGAACAAATCTTCACTTGGAAATCAACCACGGGCTAACCTGAAGCCTGTCTGGACAGCACCTGCCACACCGACAAAGACAGTTCCACCGATGATAGTGGGAATATTTTGAGCAGTGGCGTTTATGATTGACCCCAACATGCCGAGGAGGCATCCAACGATCATGAACCATCTACGACCAAAAATGTCGCTCAGTCTGCCAACCAGCGTCATGCCAACGCCAGTGCAGAGTGTCTTTACGGTCGGGATAAGAACGTAGTTGGGATTCGGGCCAACATCAGCATTAATAATGCCCATGGTATTAGCTGGAAGTATGTAACCTGTTTTTTAGGTGAGTCACTGAGTCATCGCCTCGTGTGCAGAAAACATACCTAAATAGAGGCCTTGTGCCATGAACGAGACGGCTGCAACTGATCCTATGAATCTCCAGTTGGTGTAGTATCCCTTCGGCATGTCTGCAAGATCGCCCCCGACGGCCGACGCAGCTATGCGGTCAGCATCGTCGTTGGTCATGGTACGGTCAATATCCTCTCTATGCTCATCGATTGACACCTTTTCGGTGTTCTCTTTTGCCATAATGGAAGTAGTATTGAAAACTCAAAGTAATTCAGAATATGTTTGCAGTCAGTATATTGATAGGAGCATTGATTAATATCTAGTATCACGATGGGGTATATATGCAGTGTTTCCTTCGCTGGAAAGGGAGGTGCCTACAAGGAACGCCACACCTACGACTGGCTGACTCTGTTGAAGTAAGAAGCACAGGCGAATGTAGGTCGCTGATCAAAGGCCTGCATAAGGCAGGCGGGTACTGACTCATTAGCGTGATCACACCCTGCACGAAATCCTGGGGTAGCATGTGGCGCACGCAAGCGTGTCATTGAAGAAAACGAGGATCAACTAGCGTGAGCTGCCTACTCATGTACGCAGGTATAGCCGCACTAAGCTCCGATTTGCAAGACACGGAACACGATACGCGGATGTCTCCCGGGTCGGACATTCTCAAGTTGCAGCTGATACAGCGTACCTGAAAAGGCAAGCAACGTAGTGAAGAGGATTTTCATAGTCTCTAACTTACCCCCCTATCTTCTGTCGGGGCTACCGCACACCGTCATGTCCTTGTACCCTACCCGAAACGCATCAGGGAAGTACGAAAACGTGGACTTCACAAAAGCTGCAGGGCACGAACTTCCGACTGTAAAAGTCAGCTATCTTCGACGCGATGTGCTTCTATTTGTATGAACTTCCCTAAAACGATGACGATATCAACTAACAATATCTCTAAGGCAGCCGCAATTGGGGTTAAAAAGGAAGAAATCCACTTTCTCTATGAGCTACACCCATCATTTGCTGTCTTTCCCACATTCTCATCCAATCTTGCGTTCAAGCGCACATCGCAGGATGTCTTTGATTTCATCGAGCGTATGATCGCATCCAACGCGCCCGTACCTGGCACGCCACCTTTCGATCCTCAATGCTCTGTAGATGGAGAACGCGGTCTCGAAATCATCAACCCCCTACCAGTCGACTCTTCAGGGCTAGATCTTGAGGTCCGGGGCAAAATTATTGGCGTTTATGATAAAGGAGGGAACATGATACTAGAGGGCGAAAACACGCTGGTAGATGCAAATACAGGGAAGACGTTTGTGAAGTTTACCAACATGGCATTTGGGATTGGACAAGGAGGGTATGGCGGCCCTAAGGGCCCTTCAAAGAAGGTTTATTCTCCCCCAAGTAGAGAGCCTGATTCAGTATATGTTTACAAGACGTCTCCTGAACAGGCTCTCCTCTACAGGCTGTGCGGTGATTACAACCCTCTCCACGCAGACGAGGATTTTGGCAAAAAGGCTGGGTTCAAAGGAAGCATTATGCAGGGACTCGGCACCTGGAATATCGCGGCGCACGGGATTTTGTTACAGTTGGGAAATAGTGATCCATTGCGGTTCAAAAGTATCAATGCGAGATTTTCTAATGTAGTATACCCGGGTGAAACGCTGGAAACGAGAATGTGGCATGCACCCAGCACAGACGGAAACATTGATGTCGTTTTTGAGACTAGGGTACAGGAAGATGGACGTATTGCCTTGTCGAACGGACTTTGTGTGTTGAAGTCTGAGCACCCTCCGCCATCCAAACTTTAGATGCATAAAACAAATAAAACTAGAATTTCCCAACTCTACTATCCGATAATATCGCTAGACATTCCGATCCGGGTACGTGATGCCTACAGGGAGATGACTATCTGCTCTAACTCATATTGATCAGTGTCAACAAGAGTCAAGCTCTAGGTACTTATGGTAGTACGTATGTGTTGTCCTACGGGTGTTCTCTAATCCTATCTGTTGATCAACATTCTATAAGTATGACGGTAACCACCGCGGGTTCCTCTTCTCCCTATATGCAGCCAACCCTTCGGTAGCGTTCTTGCTTCTCAGCATAGCCTCAGCATACAGCTCTTGCCCTCTCATAGTCGCACGACTAACGCCCGTCTCCCATACCTCTCTCGCAGCCAGCCTGCTTATGATTACCGAATCTGGGCTCTTTTCCGAAATCTCTTGTGCATAATCGATAGCCCTTTGCAGTAGCTTCTCTTGCGACACAATCTCTTTCACTAAACCCCAGCTCAAGGCCTCATTCACCGACAGTCGGCGGCCAGTTAAGATAAGATCCATAGTCCTGTGATTTCCGAAGAGGAGCATGGCACGAGGGAGTGCCCCAGCCAGGGCAGAGACTCCGCGAAGCACCTCGGGGAGGCAAAAGGTCGCATTCGGTGAGGCAAAGATGATGTCTGCGTTGAGCACAATCTCGAAACCGCCACCGTGGGCGTGTCCATTACATGCGATTATTATTGGCTTCTTTCCAGTACGATTCGTCATTCCTCCGAAACCACCCTGTGGGTACTCGTGGGCAATGTCGTTGGTTTTAATGATGTCGAGGCGCTGTTTCAAGTCCATTCCGGCACAGAAGGCCTTTTTGCCTGCGCCAGTGAAGACTGCACAGCGTCTAAACAGTTTATTTAGTGATAATGCGATGCTATGCATAGGGAGTCATTACAGTTCTGGCTCTGCATCATACCACTTCCACAATGCCCCAAGTTCAATAGTTGCTTCTACTGGTAAACAGTTCATGAAATCTGGACGATTAATGGTGACGAGGAGAATGTGCTTTGCGGGGAACTCGACGAGACTGTGTTGTAGCTGTGGGTATGGATTTTCGATCCATGATGGAACGGAGTTTTTAGTTCGTGGAGAAGACATAATGAAATTTAGCGTATGTTTACGCAGAGCTTTTAGAAAGTATAACCAATTGTATCCAAAGAAGCTCCGCAGGCTCCGCAATGATGTATACAGAATCGAGGGGTGCTCGTTGTCCGCTAATGATTCATTAGCGGATTAGCGGCGCGATTCTTCCACGGTTGCCGTTGGCCGCCTATTCCCGCCGCCTATCACCAACCACCCCGCGAATACTTTCCGATCACGTAGGTCTTAATAACGATGCCAGCATTATCTAGGATGAGCGCGCTGAACTTCTACGGTGTCAATAGATACTGGAGCATTTACAATCCGAGATATTTCTTAATCCCACTTCGACAACATCATGGGCCCTAGACGCGCAATCCGAATTGGCAACGCATCAGGGGCGATTGGAGATGGCCTTGATCAGCTCTATCGTCTTGCGCGAGATGGTGATGTAGATGCCATCACGGCAGACTACCTTGCCGAGTTCAACCTGGCATGGAAAGCCATTGAAGTACCACCTCCAGCTTCGCACCAAGTTCGCATTGCTAACCCTCTATTAGATGATAGATCGACCTGATCTCGGATATGAACCCCATTTTCTGGAGCAATTGGAATGGAACAATGGTGAAGCAGCTCGCCTTGTTGCGCAAAAGAGAATCAAGATTGTCCATGATGGAGGAGCACTAAATCCCCGGGGACTCGCCGAGAAAGTGCATGCCTACTTGGGGTCTCAGAACATTACGTCGTTGAAAGTAGCCTGGGTCAGCGGCGACAACCTTACTGAGCACGTCCGCGGCAACAAAGATGCATCGTACCAACATCTTGATATCAAAGGGGCATTGATAGGAGGCGACAACAATAAGATCCTCGCTGCCAATGCGTACACCGGACAGCTGGGTATCGTGGCCGCACTGAAAGCGGGTGCCGACATTGTCATCTGCGGTCGATGCTGCGATGCAAGCCCGGTCATGGGTCTCGCTTCCTGGTGGCATGACTGGAAAACGAACGATTACGACAAGCTGGCTGGAAGCCTTATAGCCGGGCATATAATTGAATGCGGTGCATATGCCACGGGAGGTAACTACTGTGGTGCTCGCGAGATTCCAAAACCCTACCAAGTCGGGTATCCCATCGCCGAAATCGATGCTGACGGGCAAACCGTCATTACCAAACCTGCAAACACCAATGGCGCCGTCACAGTCGATACGGTCAAAGCTCAGTTCCTGTACGAGATTCAGGGCTCGCGCTATCTCAACCCCGATGTGATAGCCCGCATAGACCAGGCGAAGATTGAGGAGATTGGCCCAGATCGTATTCGCGTTACAGACATTACTGGCAGTCCTCCCCCTCCAACGGCTAAGCTGGCTATATACACTCGCGGCGGCTATCAGGCTGAGATTTCGGCCTTTTGCGTCGGTTTGGAGATTGACGCAAAGGTCAACATGCTGAAGACGCAAGTACTTCGCGAGCTGGATCCCGCGGATTTCACGACTCTAGACATCACGGCTTACGGCACTGCTGCTACCGACCCAAAGACGCAGGCAGAGTCAACCATTCAAGTCAGGATGTTTGTTCAAGCAGATTCTAAGGAGGCGATTGAGAAGTTCCGGCGTGCGATATTCTATAATGGTCAGCAAGGGTATTGTGGTCTCCATCTTGCCATGGATTGGAGAACGATGGAACCAAAGCTGTTTGTGAAATACTTCCCTGCACTCGTCGATCAGCGGAAGGTAAATCTCTCTGTTAGCTTCGTGGGACACAAACCTGCCGAAGACATTTCTGTGCCAATGTTGGAAGAGTTTGGGGAATCATTCCTGGGCCAGGAGAGCTATGAGACTATGAACCCTACTGATATGGCGCACTTCGGACCAACGATAAGAAGACCTCTCGGTAAGTTACTTCAAGTCTCAATCAGATGTGCCTAATCATTTTCAGGTGATCTTGTCTTCGGCCGCTCGGGAGACAAAGGCGGAAACGCCAACATCGGACTCTGGGTGCGTGATGCTAGTACTTATCCTTGGCTGCAATCTTTTCTCACCATTCCGCGACTGATTGATCTACTCGGAGATGACTGGTCATCAAAATATCGAGTCGAAAGATTCGAAGCACCGAATCTGTGGGCGGTGCACTTTGTGGTATTTGGGATATTGCAAGAAGGAGTTAGCTCGAGTAGCGTGATCGATGGCTTCGCGAAGAGCTTTGCAGAGTTCGTGAGAGCGAGGATAGTCGAATTGCCGTTGGAATTACTACGCGTTGAGCAGAAGAGGCGGTCGGATAGGGGATGGACTGAAGGAGGTGCGGGAGTGAGGCCGAAGTTGTAGATTATAACGACTAAATCACATATGGAAATTGCGAGATATGAACATCATGTCAGGTATGCGATTGACAATCTGAGTAGAGTCACTTTATCAATGGTACGGGACCGTCAAACTGTAAAGTATAGACATGTGCGCTATGAAGTGCATTGGCTTATAGCTTTGCTCTCTGGGGCTCACTATGTAAAGAACATGCCCCGGTAAGATGCTCTCTTAATTGCGCCCTTAAGATCTTCCCTGTAGATGTCTTCGACAACTTCGTTATACCCCACACGCCACCTCTCAACTTCTTATACCCACTGACCAACTGATCCATCTGCTGATGAATCTCTTCTAATGCTCGGGTAGCATGCCCATCCGCGAGTTCAGGTTTCAACACTACATATGCTGTTGGCAATTCAGTCAACTGCGATTTATCCCATACTGCACCAACTCCAGCTTCAACAACATGGGAGTGGGAGTTCAAGTGCGCTTCCAGCTCAACCGGCGACACCTGGAAGCCCTTATACTTTATTAGCTCTTTTGTCCGTCCCACAACACTCACAACACCATTCTTATCGATGGTACATACATCCCCAGTATTGTACCACTCCAGTCCATCCTCCTCAGGAAAAGCCCTTGTGTTCGCCTCAGTGCTCACGCCGCTGTAACGTTGCGTGATGTTCGGTCCGCGAATCCACAGTTCTCCCGGTCCGCCCTCAGGTGCGTCTTCGCTCGTGCCGGATACTTTCAGCATCGCCTCAACATTGGGCAAGAAATGTCCAATTTGACCACCGGGCAGTCTCTGACCTTTTCGCTGGTATGCAACGTAAGGGGCACCCTCAGTCATACCATAAACTTGAATTATCTCCCATGGCGCTCTACTGCATAGCCTCGCGACTATCTCGGGTGTCATGCCCGCACCACCGCAATTGATGACCTCTGCGTTCGAAAAGTCGTACTTCTCCGTAAGATCCGAGTTTGCGATTTGCAGCGCAATGGATGGCACACCTTGGAAGCTGGTTGGCCGCACTGATGAGACCAGTTTGCCGAATTCTTCGAAGCTGAAAGGGGCTGGCATAGCGTGATGCAGCGCCCCAGTCCAGGGGCCGAAGAAGAGAGGCATCGTCGTCATTGCAATGTGTACAAAAGGAGTGAAGGCGACGATGCGGGCTGCTGGGTGGAATTGTGCCGGGTCGTGCGCATAGAGCTGGTGTACATTGGCGACGAAATTATAGTGTGTAAGCTGAACGCCTTTGGGTGCTCCAGTTGTGCCGGAGGAGAGATGGATGCTAGCCAGACGAGTTGTTGTATCCCCATAGTGGGGAATTGCGAGCGTTTGAGAGGAAATGAAGTCGTCTGGGGCGTGAGCATACGTGCCGTGGCGGTTGATAACTGTCATTACTGTAGGGTCTTTCCAGGTGGTTCCTGTCTGTGCGAGTTCCACTTTGGCGATTCTGATTCCCTCGAGGACGTTCGCAAGGGATGCGCTGTATGCGAATATATATTTGGGTCTGGAAACCGCAAGTGCATGTGCGATTTCGATGGCCTTGAGGGCATGATTAATAGGACAGCCGACTCCACCAACCCAGAGCAGAGCATGGAAAAGTTCGATATACTCGACGCAGTTTGGAAGTATCACCGCCCATCTATCTCCCTCTACGGGACTGTAACTTTTCCGAAGTCCATTTGCAATTCTTCCAGCTCGAGACCTCAGCTCTCCAATGGTCAGACTTCGATTGGTGAGACTGTCTGAGGCAATAAGATGAGAAGGTGCAAGTGGGACGGCGCTGGTATGGAGGAGTTCTGTCAAATTAACGTCCTTGGGAATGTATATCTCGCGAGACTTGTCTTTGTACACCTTCATATTGGTTTGCTTCGTGTAACGCAAAGCTACCACAGCTTCAAAACAACAACATATTCTACTCCATGTGCACAGTAAATCCTAGACTGTCTACGGCACGGCTCCAATACGCTAATGACTTGTTAGCTTCTTTTTAGTGTGAGTACACCGGAGTGTCTTGGGAATGAGGGACAGTCGGCATCAATGCGCTACGGATGGGAATTTCCGTATATGCGGGGAAGTCTGGGGTCGGCGAGAAGGGATTGGCGCGGATAATCTTGTCCAGCAAGATGGAACACTACCTGCGCTATTCTCAAATGGGTACAGCTACGTCGATACGACCTACGGATCATTAGCGGCGTGATATCTCCCTGCACGTCAGATAGCTAACATGACCAACCGACAATGCGCGCGGATTATGGTAGTGTCGGTTCACCGTTACACAATCTTCTCTCTCATGCTCTACTCTTTCCTTCTCTGAAATCACCGCGCACTCAAGATACCTCCTCAGATTAGCCATAGACAATCAGGTAGTTTGAAGTAGAAGCGCTTTTCAAACCCTTCTTTCCTAAGATCACAATAATGGCAAACCTAGAGACCCAACCCCCTCCCACCAAATTCCTCCAGCTGAGCTATCCAGTGCCTCGTGTCGTTCTCGCGACAATGTCCCGCCCAAAGGATCTCAATTGCATGAACACGAGCGCACACTGGGAAATGGACGCTTTCTGGAAATGGTTAGATCTCGAGCCTTCTCTTACAGTGGCCATAATCACTGGCTCAGGCCGTGCCTTCAGCGCAGGTGCTGATCTGAAAGAGTGGGACAACAGCATGGCAGCGGATGCGGATCCAAAAAATAGACTGGGAAATGCGCCTGCATTCAAGCCGTTGAGTCGAAGATTGGGGAAGAAGCCGGTGATCGCCGCGGTCAATGGGCTAAGTATGGGCGCAGGGACAGAATTCGCAATCAATTGGTGCGTAGAAGGTGTAGAATGTGCATTGCAATGCTCACCATGGTTTGGAACAGTGATCTCGTCGTTGCGGCCGAGAACGCCTACTTCGCCCTTCCAGAAGTCAAACGCGGCGTGTCCCCTATTGGCGGAGCACTTCCACGCATCATTCGGACGCTTGGCCTTCAACGTGCGAGTGAATTTGCGCTCACAGGCCGAAATGTCTCAGCGAAAGAACTACACAGTTGGGGTCTTGTCAACAGCGTGGTTCCGCTCGAAGGTCTCATAGCAGAGGCGGTCAGGTACGCGACCATGATCGCAGAGAACAGTCCAGATGCGATCATCTGCACGAGGGCAGGCCTCAGAGAAGGTTGGGAGAGCGCCAGTGTGGAGAGGGCTGTTGAGATCACGCTCGAGCGGGAGTTTGCACAGTTGCAAAGAGGAGAGAATATTCTAGAGGGCTTAAAGGCGTTTACGGAGAAGAGGAGGCCTGTTTGGAAAGCTTCGAAATTATAGCTATATAACTTTGGTAGTACATCTAGACGGACGTACTTGTTAGCATTTATAAGGCAAGCTACCTGTAAAGTTACTATTTAGACTAATATAAATTAATAAGTAGAGAGATGATATGAGTGTCTAGCTTCATGATTACCTCACCGTAGCAACAAATAATTACTTTCCCTCCTGCTCAGTGCAAGAGGTCGTTCTTTATCGATTGCAATACTGCGGTACCGTACCGTTGGTTGGGTATCAATACCTCTGTTATGATTTGCAGACAGCTCTACAAGCTTTATACCTTTTTCTTCTTCTCAATGCTGCGGGTTGTAGTGGTGTTTGTAGGGTAGCGTTGCGGCTACGTGCCCTTAGCCATGCCCATCAGCTCCGAAACAGTTCTTCAATCCGTCGGACAAGTCTACTTCCAAAGGAGAGTGATTTACATTACCTAAGTACCCAGTAGAACCGAAGCGTTGGCGTCTGCAGCGTGTAGAGAGCAGATTGCCACTCACCGCTCGCCAAAAGAAGCTTAGCTGCCGGGGAGCTAAGCTTTGGGACAAGCTTCATTTGGGGATAGCGTCGGTTGAGACCCTGCGATGACCTATGTACTTTCGACGATAACACAATAAATAGTCTTATAAAGACGAGCTTGCCCCCGCCTTGGGATTACCACTGTATTTTTGCTTACTGCTGAACCTCGAGCTGCTCCTCTTGCTTATCCTTTGTTCTTCTAGCAGTAACAGCTTGAAGAGCGAGTGCGAGCTTGAAGCTGTGGTTGGCTCCCCCGCATTTGAGCTCCGAACAGCTTCCACGCCTTCTTTCGAATTTCCGTGATAGCACACCCAACGAAGTCGCAGCCACAATGGCCTCCCTCCTCCGTACTGCAGGACGCGCCCGGTCTGTCCTTGCTCGCACAAACACCCAGGCTACCTCCAGAAGAGCGCCAATTGCGGTTCAACGGCGATATGCTTCTGCTGCTGCTGCCGCCGTTGCGGACAGCGGAGAGCAGTCGTTCTTCCCCGATGAGCCCAGAGCGCCAACCGTCCAGACGGCGATTCCTGGACCAGAGAGCAAGAAGGCTATCGAGAGACTAAGCAAGGTGTTCGACACGAGGAGCTTAAACATGATGGCCGACTACTCGCGAAGTTATGGCAACTAGTACGTCTCCAGTACCTCTCTAGATATGGGCATAGCTGACAAAATAAATAGCATCGCTGACCTCGACGGCAACGTCCTCCTCGATGTATACGCCCAAATCGCCTCCATCCCCGTGGGATACAACAACGCCTCTCTCCAGCTCGCAGCCACGTCACCCGAAATGGCGTCCGCGCTCATCAACCGCCCCGCGCTCGGAAACTTCCCCCAGCACGACTGGGCCGACATCCTCGAGAAGGGCATACTCTCCGTAGCGCCCAAGGGCCTGAACCAGGTCTTCACCAGCCAGTCTGGCTCCGACGCCAACGAGCTCGCATACAAGGCCGCGTTCATGTGGAAAAGACAGCAGCAGCGAGGCGGGCCAGACGCTGAATTCTCCGCCGAAGACATTAGCTCGTCTATGAACAACAAAGCCCCCGGCGCGCCTGATCTGTCCATTCTCTCCTTCAAATCTGGCTTCCATGGCCGCCTGTTCGGCTCCTTGTCAACGACGCGCTCCAAGCCCATCCATAAAATCGATATCCCGGCTTTCGACTGGCCGCAAGCGCCCTTTCCTTCGCTGAAATACCCCCTCGAAGATCACGCAGCCGAGAATGCAAAGGAAGAGCAGCGCTGCCTTGACGAGACAGAGCGCATCATTAAAGAATGGCACGCCCCGCCCGCCGCCGTAATAATCGAGCCCATCCAGAGCGAAGGCGGCGACAACCACGCGTCCCCCAACTTCTTCCGGGGCCTAAGAGAATTAACCAAGAAGCTGAACGTGCTCTTCATCGTAGACGAGGTGCAAACGGGCGTAGGCGCGACAGGAAAATTCTGGGCGCACGAGCACTGGGGCCTATCGAGTCCACCGGACATGGTGACTTTCTCGAAGAAAGCCCAGACGGCTGGATATTACTTTGGCAACAACGACTTGCGGCCTAATAAGCCGTACAGGCAGTTCAACACTTGGATGGGCGACCCCGCCCGCGCTATCCTCTTCCGCGCTATCGTCCAGGAAATCGAGCGTCTTGATCTCGTCAACAGCACCGCTGCGACGGGTACGCATCTCTTCGGCGGCTTAAAGCGTCTAGCAGAACGCTACCCTAAGGAGATTCAGAATCTGCGTGGTCAAGGCCAGGGCACGTTTATTGCCTGGGATAGCCCGCGCCGAGACGAGGTGCTGAAGAAGGCAAAGGGCCAGGGTGTTAATATCGGTGGATCGGGCGATGTGGCGGTGCGGTTGAGGCCCATGTTGATATTCCAGAAGCATCATGCCGATCTGCTGCTCGAGAGATTAGAGAAGGTCTTCCAGTCGTAAGGGAGAGTATTAGCGTCTACAAACTTTACGGAATACGCTGATGATTTGGGTATGGCGTTTTTTTCAAGAGCGATACAAGCACGTCGTTATGTTAGAATGGAGTCACTTGATGGGATTAGTACACGAACTGAATGATTAAAGACACTGTCCAAGAGAACAGCATCACTACATGCATGACCTTGTTCTACTTGACGGGCCAACACTGATGTATCACTCTGTCGCCATGAGTGTTCCGCCACGAACTATCTTCAAAATCCAGAACAGCCATCATTCATCCGAGTGTTTATAAGAGGATACCTGAAGTGCGTTCACAGCCTTATCTCAGAACACGACATCCAATCATGTCACGCTGAATAGGAGGGCATCCAATCGCCTAACTAGCACTCACCGGTTGGAAACCCCTGCCATCCGCCTCGTGCGGGGCTGAGTATACTTTTGATATCACCGCATCAGTCCCCCAAGCAGCTTTCCTAGTCAGTCGTGCACAATGTCGATTGATAGCCAATTCTCACTGTCCCTAGAGCTTACTAAGCTTATCCCATTAAGTCTAGGGGCTATTGGGACAACGTATGAGGCGGCGATGCGTCTAGCGCGAGATCTCCAGGTAATCTTCCTTGACAACTCAATAGGCAATATCATGTCAACAGTCTGACGTTTAGGTATAGAGCTCTGGATCCGATATTGTGGTTGAAGAAGACCTCGCCGAGATGCTGGGTCGAGCTCGTATAGTTGACAACGTGGTATCGTCTTTCCGTGCAGAAATGGCAAAGCCTGACCCGTCTATCACCTTGGCAAGTGGTATATTTCTCTCCAGAGGACCTGGCCCTACCGTGACGAGAGCCCTTACTGAGCCGGCGTATCTCTCGACAATAATACTGTGTGAGTTAGACACCGCTTTGCCTCATCTGAAATAATGTGTTCCCTAATATGGCCCCGGTTAAGGTTCCTTCTTCGTCTCGATTCATGAGAAAAGCTCACTTGCAGCAACGATCACACACTATCTGGAGACCTTGGCAGAGGAGACACCGGCTAATGCTGCAAAACGTATGGTTCCAAGTCTTGATTCCGTAAGAGGTACTTTACGGGCGTGTGAAAATCAGACAGCAGCTTACCAATGGCATTGGCGGATGCAACTACTATCTGCTGCTGCAGCCCTTGGCTATGATGAGTCCGAAATGCAATCAACCATACCCCCGGTCGTATTTCAAGGCCTCATGGCTTTGCTTCCGTTGGTTCAGACCCTTCCCGAAGACCGGACTGTGATGATCGAGACAGGGCAAGGGACATGCGCCATTGTAGTCTGGGCTCATCTCTTACTGGGACTGCGTGTTGCAACGAGATTCTACGACCGATCCCGCAACAAATTTGTCGAGATACGATTTCCCTCCAGGGGTGATCTAGCAGACCAGGTGTTCATCTACTCCAACATCACTCATCAAAATTGGACCAACAAGGAGTTGCAAGGAGTCCAGGTAAAGCCCTCAATTACCTTGTTCTCAGCAAGCACCAAAGAGCAGCTCATCCAGCTAAATGTGGATCTACGGATGGACATGATACATAGTAATATTAGAGTTCCTGCGATGGGCTTGGGTCAGCATTACCTGGACACCGTTACCATGCATCACACGGGGAGAGAAAAGGTCATGGAAGAGATAAGGTGCATAGCATGCAGTTTTGCACTCTGCATGTCGCGCAAGATGTTCGAAGAGCCAGTAGGATACGGCATATTTGCCAATGCAAACAACCCAGAGTATCCAATCCAGACCCCAACAAGCAAAATCCTCGATTCGGCTTGTATGCTCTTTGGTTTGAACAATCACCAACTCTCGTCTGAGAAATGCGAACAGTACGCTTCTTTATACTCGGAGGCAAAATTAGTGGATATACCAGACGCCCCGGCATCTATCAGGCCGATCTTGCAAGAGTGGAATGGACTTCGTGTGGGCAGCTTCGTATCACTCAACAATAAATGGCCGTATTTCAACCACATTGCGACCGAGCTGAGTATACTCATACTGGCGTTTGCGAAGGTGTTGGACCTTGAGGCGTGCGCAGAACTTCCGCTTTCCCCTCGCATGACGCTCATTTCCGGATCAGAGATCAAGGAACGACTATCCACATGGGATGGCAAGGTGAGTTTCATGATAGACCAAAGCTCCTGGTTCGAGGTCATTGCTCTGCTACTCTTGGGGGAGCGCGGTGAGCGTGTCGATGTACGCACTACAGCCCTGGTGAGCGAGAGTGGATGGAGTCTTTTCGTTAGCTCCATGGGCGATTCAGATCCTGCTTTTGTTGGTTAGTTCAACCCAATGTTCCAGCGAAGAGATTAGTCTTATTAATCCATTTTCAAGATGCGAGCAGTATAGTCATCAAAAGAGGTACTCCGTGGCGCAACGGGATATGCAAGCAACGCATCATTGACGGACCGCAGTCCGTTTTGAACTACGCAGGTTGGACCCAGTGCGGGACGTTTCCCAGCACAGCAACATTGGAGTGTGCTACGCCGATGGAATTTGGCCGACCTAAAATAGGGGAGCTCAATGACAATTTCGTCATTCAACTTCTACTGCAGACCACTGGCGAAGGTAAAACGATCCGGTGGACTGGGTATAGAAATCTCTGGAGTTCGCTTTGGACGATACGGAAGACATCGCCATGCCATCACCCAAATCGACTTGGAGCCACCCTTGAGCTTCAGCCAGGTTGGATCACAGTGACCGGGCGTTGTTCAGCTCTTGACAACGCGAACTATACGCTAGTCATCTTTATGACAGCCGGCAGCCCCCAATCCAGATGGAATGCGATTCATGACGTGGCCCCAGGGGCTTATCAAGCAGGTTACGAAATCTTTCTACGAAGCCTTGATTCCTGCTTTAGTTGTGCTGCTGAGGAGGCTTCACGGCAGCCTTCAACCTCTTATCTGTTATTGTGATAGCTGGGAGATGGTATATTGTTAATGTCGAGGCACATGTAAGATCGCGTGTCATAGGTGAAATCGAGCATCGCCCGTAGAGTTTTCAGGTGGTAGAGTAATAAGTCGGATACTTAGCATTCTCTTTGACACTCGGTCAGCGGATACAAGGTGGATTAAACGCCCTCGCTATAAAGAAGAATACAATGAATACATTGCTCGTGTTAGTATCGGAGTTCCGCGAGTCTTCAATACTTTCCTATGATGCTGGCGCACGCACATTTCAAAAAGCCCCGCTTGCAGATGCCGGGGCTGTGAAGCAAGATCTCAGGGCCCCTGGCACGAGACATTGTGTTGAACAGCACATCGAACGTTTGAAAAGTATATATTTATCGACCTCACCTGATCATCCTCGCCATATTCGTGTACTTTTTTTCCACATCACCCCGCATCCCGTGCGCTGCCTATGTTCAATCTCCCCCCCACCCAGAAATCTCCCAATCAATCGCCAAGCAAGGACCCGTAATCGCCCCCCCCCCCGCATATCTACAGTATCCCCCCCTCATGTCGAAAAGTAAATGGGCAAAAGCATAAAGCAGTGGAGGCAGGTCCTGGGCGAAGAAAAAGTAAAAATCGTCCAGTCCCCACCTCACGGGTATCACTGTGCAAGATACAGTCCGAACCGAACCCGTTTCCCCAGTCGCAGGCAAAGCAAAAAAAATAAAAAAAATAGGATACCGTGATGAACGCCAATATACAAAAACGTATATGTGTTTGCAAAAGGAAATTTTGGCCGTAAGTTGAAAGGTTTGCCGCCAGTAGAGTCGATGACGCCAAACGCTAGATGGGAAAGCAATCGAGTGTCTAGTAGGATGTGTGAGGACATGTTGGCAGTGTGTAGGTTGATAGTGGCGGGAATCGAGGCAGCCTTGAGCATTACTCGGGCTTGTCAAGATTGACGCGCAGGCTGTATTCGAGTTTCTCCTTTTCACAGTATTCGCTGAGAAACTTGAGGCCGAAGCGTACTGCCTGAATAGCAGTTGTATCCGTCGATATAGGAAGAAAGTAAGGTCCCGACATGCGTGCGCCACTGACCTTTTCTGGCTCTCCAGCAAGTTTGGCGTTTGCCTCTCGCGCAGCGTAGGTTTTCCTGTAGGTGCTCTGTAGATCTTCCATTGGTAGTGCAACGCGAGCTTCTTGGTAGTGGCGGTGCATCTTCGTTGTATGGTCGGATAGAAGAGCAAAGTTCTCTGCTAGGGCGGCGTGCTGTTTCGCGAGTTCGGCGTGGGCGATATCCTGGGAGAAATCGGGGGGTCTCGTGTTGGCAGCGCGCTGTGAGACATGTGTACAGATTGCAGATGCGATGACGGAGCTGAGATAAGAGCGGAGGCCATCGAGGTGCTTGAATTCTTTTGTGCTGCGAGCATAAGACAGACACAATGGCAGTAGCGTCTTCCAGGTTTGCTCGACTTCTCCGGCCCGACCACGGAGGTTTAGTGACAGATCTTGAGCGTAGTATGCTGCCATGTAAGATCTATTTGTTGTTAGCAAATGCCTTGTGTCTTTCGACTGGTGGCTTACAAGATGCACTCCAAGTTGATGACGGCCGCACGCTTCTCATCTTGCTTGGTGAGCTTGTTGCCTGCTGTAGTGAGGATCTTGGTAGCTTCGTGCTTGAGCGCGCGTCCCATTTGGTTCAGCTTCATTGATGTCTGGGCTAGCAATGATATATCAGCCTGCTTCTTGCCGTTCAACGGGGCAGACGTAGGTCCGGCCTTTGCGTCGATCCTTGCCCCTGCGGGAGTTGCGCCAGAACGACCAGGGGTCGCATCATAACTCTCAGTCGAGTTCGTCCGCAGCATACCGATTGCCTTGGGATCTTTCTTTGGAGTTCCATATTGGGATTGGCTTTTCTGTGCGCTAGACTTATTCGACAATGCTGGAGAAGATACAGTCTGTCGAGCAGGGGTGACCGGCCCATCTTGGCTGGACTGGACCTTTTGACGTTTCGCGGTGGCGACCGAGGACACATCGTCGTCAGTACGTAAGCGCTTCTCGGGGGGCTTGGTGACAGTGACTATTGGCCTAGTGCTAGACGTGGGCGCCGGCGTAGAACTGGGCGTTGTGGAATCATGTCGACGTGCTGCAACTTTGGGTATTTGTTTCTTCTTGATTGTGACACCATCTGCAGGCTTAGGTACCACCTCTTCCGGGGGATCTTTAGAACTATCTTGCCGATCTTGCTTCCCGGCATTTGTTCTCTTCGGAGGAAGGCGGAGGATCTGTTTGACTGTGGGCGCCTTCGTTTTCGAAAACTTCAGTTTGACAACAAGACTGGAGTCGGTATCTTCAGTCCCACTGGTAGCTTGGGTTTTGGGCGAGATTTTGGGCGAGTTTCCATTCAAGGATACTGATCGTGGGCGAGTTTCAGACTTTACAATGCTATGATGGCCCTTAGACCGTGCATCCGGCACACTCAATGTGCTCTTCCGGTCTGACGAAGATGTAGACGCATTTGAAGCGGCTCGTGTCCGCTGTACCTCCAATCTGTCTAGCTCTGCCTGAATGTTGGAGGGTAGCGTAGGTGATAGGATATTGGGGAGTCCATAAGGATTGTCCAGAGGGTCATGCACTGGCGATAATAGTGGAGGCAACCCATGCGCCAAAGCATTCGAGGCGTTCGGTTTGTCGATTTTGATCATCGTCTCAGACGAATCACTTTTTCGGGGTGATGACAGAGGCCGCTGCTGTTGGTCGGAGTGAGGACTATCGTGGTTGGTCTTGTCTTCTCTCTGCCCTTCGCGTGGGTCATTGGAAGATCTGTCACATATTAGCGCCGCGTGCTGATTTGAGGAGATTCGTCTCACTGTTTGGGCGACTTGGGCATCTTGCTCTGCGCCGGATCAGACAGCTTCTCCGACTTTTTGACGCTACTGGATTGCTCCGATGCGTGCTTCGCTGGGTCGAGATTGGGAGAGACGACCTTTGACCCAGGAGTAACGGTGCCGTTGGCTTGCTTCACTTTGAACGCCGAGAGGTTCATCTTTTTCTTGACCGCTTGATTGCCTGTATTCGACGCCTGCGATTTTGCCCGCTGCGGCTCGGGCTCATCCTCTTCTCCCGCCTGTAGCTCGAAGCAGTCTTGGCAGGGTTCGCGGTAGAGATAGGTCCGGTACTGCATGTGCTCCTCGTCATGGCGCCATAGACGCCCCATCATCCAAGCATTGGCTTCTTGTTGTGAGTGGTATCTGTACGGGTCCATGGAGGGTGTAGAGAGTATGTAGGGCACGCGCGGGACGGCGGCTTTGATACGTTTGAATATCTTGTCCAGCTTATCGACGTCATCTTGTTGGTCGTTCGACAGATGTTTGCGCTTGAGTGATCGCGTTGTCTCCACTGTGGCTTCTGGTGGTTCGGAGCCCGACATTATGTGCTGCGTCTATTTCTGCTGCAGAAATCTGTCGCAGGGAGACGACGTCGCAGGCGGGCGGTGATATTTCCAGTAGGACGTGTGAAAAGGGTGGAAGATCATTAAGTTGGTAGGTGAAGCGGCGGAGGGCGGGGGTTGGATGAGGTCGCGGTGAGAGATCGCAAGCGTGGTCGCATGCGCGGTGAGAAGCGCAACTGCTTCCTATTGTCTCAATATCAGCACAATCGTCGCCACGGCCTGGTATTGTCGGCGTCGGTGAAGAAGTATCTCTCACCCCGATCACAGGCGGCTACCTCAGCCGATGCGCAAGTTGGCTAATGCTGCAGGAGAGGAACATCGCTTGGACCCTATTCAGCGCCTCTAGCAATGCGACTATGTACGCAACGTCCCTGGTGGTTCGTTCGTGGAGGCGGGCGGCGTGATGTAAATGTACACAAAGTTGTCGCGATGGCTTGCTTGGTGGAGGTGACGAGAGGTGCGTGCCTCGATGACAGGGGTGTTGCGTCTGGCGTTGATCTGATCTTCGGAGCCAGCCCCCTAGCCCAACCCCAAAGCCGGACGTAGCACAAAGTACAAGACGACAAGTCTTTCCCACACCTACGAAGTCAAGTCTCCTAAATTTAGTACCGGGTTATATAATACATCGCCTACTTATTGTCGTTTTATACTCTAGACAAATGCGATCAAGTGCCATCACCGCTTCTTCTCAACATTGCACAGCAGGACCCCTGATTCAAAGACGTTGCGACCTCCCTGTATTTCACTGAGAGTGTGCCTGTTCGAATTGTGAGAGAAAATTTCTTTCATCCATAATGGGTGCTCTTGCCAACGATGAATATGTACAAGTAGGAAGGCATGGGTGGCTAGTTACGACGTGAAGTATTGTTCACCTACGCCAACACAGTCAAAATGCGCCAAAGGGCCTAGAGCTCCTCGTCCTCCGTCTCGTCATCGTCGTCTCCCGCAGGCGGGGGAGGCTTCTTCTCTCCGTCTTTACTTCTTGTCGTCAGCCTTCCAAAAGGCAGGGATCGAGGCGGCGGCACTCCTTCGCTTCCTGGCTCTTCACCTTTGGATCCCTTTGCGGCTGAGCTCGATCGGGCAGTTTCCGATGATTTAGCTCGTGTCCGCGGCGCTACGTGCTCATCCTCTGCGTCCGTCTCGTCGTCAGACGGATCTGGCGTAGTCGGCTCAGGCGCATCCTCGTCGTCTTGCTCCTCGGTCTTGGCTTGATCAATCTCCATTTGGTCGCTGTCTGGGTCTGGCTCAAGATCTGGCTCCGCTGTTTGCGCGGGTGCTTTCCGTTTTGACGTCCGTGACGCGCCGGCTTTGCGTGTCTTGGGGTCGGTTCTCGAGGCCTGAACGGCGGATGCTAGGCAATATATTAGACATGCGTGATAACTGCGAGGTGCTAGCTTACCTGTCGATTTTTCGACTTTGGCTCCGGCTAATAGACGACTCTGGTCCCTGATTTTCCTCTTCTTGTCGTTTAGTAGCTCCATGAACTGCTGAAGCATCGCCGTCTCTGTCTCATTCTTTGTCTTGATGAACTCTTCCAGTTGAGCATTGAGCTTCGTTATTGTATCCTGCTCAGTGCTAAATCGCGCCTTCAAGCCTGCCATCTCTTGCAGCGTCTGGGCGTGTGCTTGGGCTGATGCTTGCGCCCAGTCGAAAGGATTGAACTCGAATTCTTCATCGCGAGGCAGGATGATCTCGCCCAATGTGACCTGCGGGCAATTCATTAGCCTAGCTCCGTATACTGTTGTTAAGCTGCTCTCACTTTGATGCCTTGCACGTCCTGTCGGATCGACAGCTCAAGGTTGTCGTTTTTGATGGCGTACACTATGCGTACGCCGTCCAATATGCCAGTCTGGCCATTTTCAGGCTGTTTCTGGAGAAAGAAATGAGATAAAATGGTCGCCCACTCGTCATCGCTGCCCTTGAACTTGTGCCTCAATCTTCCAAGATTGCGTTGCTTGACTGGGGACGCGTTAGAAACGCGATATACCTGATACGGGAGCAATCTTACTTGTTGTCACGTATGGACTTTCGCCCTCGCAGCCAACAAGCCGGAGATCAAGTGTATTTGAGCCCTCTTGTTGCACCTCGATCACGACGGTTTGCCCACGACCGCTAGCAGGCTCGACGGGCACGATGCAGCGCACATCCATCTTTGGCACGTGTGATGACGAGCTAACTGCAGACTGGCGATGATGTATGGCGTGCGTGTAAGTATTGTGTAGAGGGTGTGTTTCAGTAATCTATGGGAGTAGGATGATGCCTGTCACTATGCTAAGTGCGCCAGGGAACAGGCAGTGAATGGCGTTTCAAGTGGCGCAAGAGTTGTATCGCGCCGCTCACTCACGGGGCTACTCGAACTTTATAACAGCTGGAGGGGCGTGAAACGCGTGCAGTGTGAGCCCTGGGGAGCTCTGAAGGCAGCAGCTGCATCAAGCTCGTCGTCGTCGTCGTCGTCGTCGTCGTCGTGTTGAGGTTGTTTAGGCAGCCAGCCGCGTAAAACTAGAGTCAAAACAAGCCAGTTGGGCCCTCGTGCCCGCCGCACAACCCAAGATACTCGACAACAGCACCCATAATTAGTATGGTATAGATCGCAGGCGCTGCTATGATGCGGGGACGACTTGGTCCTAAATTGGCTATATCCCGAACCCCATCGCACTGCTAAGGCTTCTGGTGTTGTGGGTGGGTGGACCACGCGTCGAGCGCTTGGGCCGGCCCGTGCCCAGGCGCGCTCCTCACCGTCTCTCGCTCTCTCTCTCGCTTCTGCCCACCACCCAGACGGCGGCCCTGCATGCGGCCCCAACCTCGCTCGTTTCTACACTTCACACACGATCCTGCTTTTCACACGCCCACCAACGATCGCGCGCCCACCATGGCAGCGCCCAACCGCAGCTTTGCGCAGCGCATGAGCTCGCTCACCTCCAACAGCACCAGAATGGAGTCATGGGATGACGGCGACTTCGACGATAGCGACGGCTTCCTGTTCAAAAACTCGACGATGCAATCTCTCTCTTCCAGAATGAGCGTCCGCTCCGAGGCCGAGTCCAACGACGACTGGCAGGTCCTCATCACGCCCAACGACGAGCCTTCCACGGCCAGAGCCATCACGAGCGCCGCGAAACGAGCTGGGATTCCCATTCCCGCGTCCATAGCCCCCAACGCCCTCCTGGGCGGCACAATCAAGCGACTAGGCAAGAAATCTTCCAGTCGCAAAATTGAAGCAGATGACGACTTCGGCATCGACTTCGAGCTTCCCGGCGACGCGAGTGGTGTACTACAATTGAAAGCGCCAACCCCACACACTCCGGACTTCGATGACTGTGGCACGGAAGACTGGGGAGAAGGAAGCCTTGGAATTCGATTCGCTGGCACGCGCAATGCCCGCGGCGGCGCCCGTAGTTCGTCCGCGTCTGCCATGAGCCCGAGCCTGGGTAGCTGCATGACCTTTGAGAGCGAAGACGATGATCTGATGGGCCTTGTGCTGCCCAACGAGCCGCTCGATTTTAATTCACGCCTCGAGAAGCTCAAGAAGAGCGAGCAGCTACCAACACCAGATGCCTCTCCCCTCCCGCCGCCGCATCTACGTGAACTGCCGCCCACTTCTGCACCCAAGTCGTTCCTTATCGACGATGGTCCGTTGTCGCCTCCCGCCGCGATAACACCCCCATCACCACCTTTCGAGAGCCAGACAACGCCACCAAAGGCAAAGCCTGTAAACGACGAAGAAGACTTCATGGATGGTCTTGACTTTGGCGGCGATGAAATCTTTGATAGCCGGAAGCTCACCCTGAACCGGAACGTAGTCGTGAAGAAGCCAGCCTTGAAGCCGACAGCACCTTCTGCTGCTCGCCCTTCCTCAACCATAACATTCACCGACAGGCCAACTATCTCCCGGATACCAAGGCCACTTCCCCCAAGCCGCACAAGGCTTACTCCCGTGTACGAGACCGGTGCATCCACCCAGGGCCAGAGCAGGGTAATGCCAACAACTACTAGTGCGCAACTCCTGCGTGCAAAGCGCTCGGCTCCTGTCCTCCGCAACACCAATCTGAGCCAACCTTCGCGAATGCCCTTCCTCCCTGCCGGCAACTCGACCGCTCAATCGCATCATGTCATGGCGAAGAACTCACAGCCGCATCTTCGGCGCGACTCCGACCCCCGCCGACCGCAATCACCCTCCATGAGGCCTTACTCTCGTCTGTCTGGCGGCCATCAAAACGAGACGCCCAGCCGCGCAGGGGTGAGACGTGATCTGGCTCCCTCTGCCCTTGCACGTCACCCACCTCCGAAGAAGCTAACGCAGCCTCAGCGAAAGCGGAATTTTGGCGACGGACACGAGTTGGACTTGTTCGACGATTTGCCCACGTCAGCTACAAAAGAGAAACAATTCGAAAAGGTCCCGCGCAATGTAGCGAGCAACAAGACGTTGCGTCAGCAGCCCAGCAATTCGCGCCTGCCCATGCCGGATCGAATGACCACTCCACTGCCTCAAACACCACGAAGTCCACCCAGGATGGACCACACGCCTCGGTTTGCGCGTGATACTGCGGCTAGCAGAAACGCGCGTGAGCAGCGGTTGGCAGGTACGAGGTCACGACTAGATGGCACAATAGCACCTAGGCCCATGAGTTGGGCTGCACAGGTCGTCGCTCGTAGTCCTCATACTAGTCCAACTGCTCACCGAAAGAAACCCACAGGTCAAAAGCCACAGTTGATTAGGCAAATGACCCAGCCATTTACACACAGTGAGTACACCACGCACATAACATGCTCCCAGTCGACTAACGCTGGAACAGATGAAAAAGGCATGGTGTACAACCCAACCCTACAACGTTGGGAAGGAAATGAAGAAGCTCTGGTCTCCTTCTCTCATCCAAACACCTCCACCACGACACTCGCGTTGACTACAGCGAGTACCCCGACCTTTGCACCACCAGGCCATCCGCTCAATCGTGTACACGACCGCTCGCACTCCATGTCGCACACAGCATTATCATCAATTCATGCTGCACAAAAGAGCTTCTCGTCTCGCGCAGCCAAACTTGCTGCTGCGCCAACGCCAGCGCCAGCGCCAATTCCTGTACCATCACCTCCACGACCAGCATTGATCTCACAGATCTCGGTACCGCGCGGCGTTCAATACGAAGGACGAATGGTATTTGATCCTGTCAAGATGACTTGGCTAAAAGCGGCCCGTCCGTCGAACGACCCGCGATCACCATCAGAGGCGGATGAGGAAGAAGACCCCTTCGCTGGCCTGGACGACCTGAAGGACAACGAGAGTGTTGTCGGCAACAACGCCACAGGGGGGGCTGGCACACCAAACCCTGACGAGCCAAGCTTTGTCGGCGAAGAGTTTGATGTCGGCCCCGGCTTCATTCGCAGACAACGTGAAGAGGAAGCTATCTGGCGACGACGAGTTGAAGGCTGGGTTGGCGGCATCCGCGACACCGGCGAGCAGAGGGGCGGCTGGAGATGGGCGATTCGCGACTTCGCCGCCAGCGCATCGGCGGGTGCTTCGGTCTACTAATGATTTGTATATGCCACGCATGCTAACGACGATATGATTGCATCACGCATGACCGGACTATGTTCCAAAAAGTAATGAGGTGTCTGGGGCTGTCTTTATGATATCCCGAGTGTTATGTTGGGCGTGTTGGATAGCCGCCTCACTCTTTACGACGCATTATGACTTACGACTCTACATTAAAGATGGGAGCTCCATTGCACGGATACACGAATTTTATGACCTTTTCTCAGATAGTGTTTTAGATCTATCTTTAGCATTGAATACAGCTACTAATATCACTTTATATATACAACGGATTGTAGAGGTGCATCACGTAAAACAATGTCACGTTGGCAGTCGCTGCCTCCACCTTACTATTCAATGGGCCAGTCCGAAGCATCCACTAGCGAGTGTGCACGGGCCGCCATGCTCGAAGGCGGGGTCAGCCACGACCACGAAACACGTCAGACATTCTCCTTCACACAGTCCGTGACTCACAATGTCACGCTCAGATGACCCAGGTCATTACTTCCAGACTACGTACGACGTCTCTTCCAATCCTCCATCTATCAGCTAACTCGCAACAGCTCAGCACTCGAACAAATAGCACGGAAGGCAGCCAAGTCGAACAACACCAACGGCAACCCAATCAAGCTCCCCTCCAAGATCCTCGCCATAATCGCCGACCCGCAAGATGACAACCAGATCTATGTCGCAGAAGCCGCGGGCTGTGTGAAGCGGATAAACATTGAAGTCGGTCAGACATCTGTTCCTCACTCCAAGACACGTTTTGTCCGTACTCTTAGGCAGCAGCGTAACTAACCATCAGTTTTTCACAGACGAATAAGGTATCTGCCACCTTCTCTGGGCCCCAGGCGCCTCTTACGTCCGTTGCCGTTTCACTCAAATCAGACACAATATTCGCGGGTTGTTGGGACAAGTCGATCTGGTCATGGACGCTCTCCACGCGGAAGCCAGGAAAGCGGTTCCAGGGGCACAGTGACTTTGTCAAGGACGTAATAGCCTTCACGTTACAGGGTAAGGAGGTTTTGGTATCAGCCTCTCAGGATGCGAGCATGATTGTTTGGGACGTCGCTACCGGGGAGAAGCTGCGCACTATCAAGGGACACACACGAGGCATCCTAGCACTCGCGATCGATCCAGCCGACTACGAGCCAAATAAGGCATCTGTCACCCTCTTCAGTGCAGGCAGCGACCGAGAGATCAGACGCTGGACTATTGGGCTCTCCTCGGCAGTCGAAATTCAGCCTTCGCCTCTCATTGCCCACGAGACGAGCGTTGACGCCCTGCATTTCGATTCGGACGGTGATCTATGGACAGCTTCTGCAGATAAGACAGCGAAATGCCTGTCGAGGGGCCGAGAATGGGAGGAAGACTCAGCATTTGAGCATCCCGACTTTGTGCGCGATGTTGCCGTCGATGAAGACGGTGGGTGGGTAATCACAGCATGCAGGGATGAAGAGGTTCGCGTTTGGGACAAGGGAAGCGGAAAGCTACATCACACCTTCACGGGCCACTTCGAAGAAGTCATCGGGCTCTTACTACTACCAAGACAGCGACTAGTCAGCGTAAGCATTGACGCAACAATCAGACTATGGAGTCTGAAGTCGCAAGACCTAGCCAAGGCAATCACAGAAGCCGAAGATGAGCGGCTTGGTAAGGAAAAGGAGAAGGTCCCTGAGCAGAAGGAGGGCATGTTAACTATTGAAGAAGAGGCAGAACTAGCCGAACTCTTAGAAGATAGCGAGTAGTCACCGGGGAGCGGGCCAGCGATCGAACGTGCGTTGCCAGGACCCTACTGGTACTCCGATCGAGCTTTCTGGTCGCCTCACCTAGGTACAACAAGATGAGACACCGGAGCAAGCACAGCCATGCCTCAATCCACAATCGGGTCCCATTTGCTGAAAAACAATGATTCGGGACCGGCGAGCACACAATCAAGGCTGGATGATTTTGAGTATCTTTGAACGCTTTCGATATGAAATCATTCAAGATACTAACTTGACTCAGCCGAGATCGGACAACCTCACGGTGATACGACGTGGGCTATTGCCGGGTGTGGTGGAGATCCATGGTTGGCTTTCCCGGTCCTCTGCATAGAGTTTCTCGGTATCTCCCCATTTCGTTCCCTCATTTGATTCGTGGTGCTATTTAATCGGTGTCTAGCGCTTGTGGTTTCCAGATCATGACCCTTTCACCGGACCCTCGCTCGCATCAACACGTGATCGCGCATAGGCGCACTCCCCCAAGACTAAAGTTCGGCTTCAGCTACACTTCACCTGCCTAGCCTCTCGCACTACCCTAGTACCTAATTCTTCGCCTCGCGCCTTCCTCGCTCTGACCTTCCTCTACCTTTACTCACGGCCAGTCCTGCGCCACGCGACGCTTCTTTCTCCTTCAGCTCGCGCTTCAACCCTCTCTTTTGCCGGTAGACCCTTCTCCTCATTCATTGATTCACACCTCGACTTGGACAGCTCGCCACTCATCTTGTCCGCGACCATGCCCTCTCCATTCTCGGCGTGTTCGTTTGCGCGGCGGTCCCTGTACCGATTTCTCTTGTGATCACTTGGTGACTCAGGACAGCCGCAACAATGGACAAGATGCTTCGCACCAGGGAACACTCGTTGTAACCCCGCCACCAGTGCTGACCTTTTCAGGACAGTGTGTGTGGATGACGCCGCAGATATTGGGCTTCGTGCCCTGACAGACCTCATGGCCCTTGGCATGTTGGCGTGAAGGCAAGCTTGTCCCTTGTTGCGGCAGAAACTCATGTAGGAAGTCCTGGGCATTTCCTATCAATCAGATCGTGGGTGTAGAGAAGCACATGGCAATGTGTCTTCTCGCATACTGGACGTTGACGACTTGCAGACCATCAGCTGTATCCTACACTAAGCCTGGAGAAAGGCCAGCCTCCTCTACGACAGGTGCCACATCGCGCACTTGCGTGTCACTGTGACAGCCCCGCTACTTAGTACCCTTCTGAGGCGAACAGTGGAAGATGCCAACAGACATGGAGCTACGCCACTACCTTCGGGTGGGCTGCTCTCCGACAGGCCTTTTGGTCCTTGGTGATATATTTCTGCGTAAAGGCGACTGGTTGAAACGGCTTCAGCTTCATGGATACAGCTGATGGAAGCTGCGCAGCTTCGGCTACAACTGTCGACTGCAAACGGGTGCTTTGGTATGTGCCGCTTACCGGATAGTACTTCATCATCGAAAGAGTTGGAGCTGCCGGACGGCACGCCCGTGATGGGCGGACGCTCCACTGCGTCTTCCTCTCGAGAAGCCAGGCCGACCGCAATGCGGTCGGTCAAGTACCATGCACCGAGAAAGGTGCAGGTCATAGCGAGGCATGTCTGAACTGTCAGGGATCCATCCCGCCACCAGTGCTACTCTTTTCAGAGGGCGAGCGTGGAAGAAGCCTGCGATATTGAACGAACCATCGTTCTGACAGACCAATAGGTCCATGGCACAAGTGGCAGTTCAGACATTCCTCGCTCCCAGACGCCATAAGCTTGAAGATAACCTTCGGCTTAGGTTCGTCCCTAATGCGCTCACAGTAGTTGGCCTCCAACGATCTGGGCGCATCCCGGAAGGTTGGTCTCGAATACTGTTCTTGATGCGCTTTCTGGTCATTGCTCTCTTGAGCATTGACTCAGCCTATAGCCACCATTGGCTCCGGCTTCGTGGATGCTAAGACTCCCTTGGATGTTAAGGCTTCTTTGGATGTTGAGACTGGATCCAATCCTCATGTCCTGTTCTGGCTCGAAGTGTGGATCTTCCTGTCGCTTGCCCTTACCAGTCTGAGGTAGAGTATCTTTCTCGCGCCCTTGGATGGTTCGCGTGAGGAGCTTGTATGTCAGGGAACGGCTTGCCGTAGCCCCGTCACCAGTATCACCCTTTTCAGGGAGATGAGTGTGGAAGATGCCTGCGATATGGAGCTTTCTTGGAAGTCTCCGATAGACCGCAAGGTCCACGGCATGTTGCATACAAGCACCCTTGGACGCACATCACCCCTTTTGAAATCGTGTCCCTTCTAGCCCACTGTGGCACCAACTTCCGGGTTTTCCCGTACTCCCAGGTTCAACCTGTTGTCTCTCCCGGGACCATTGTCCTACGAGCCGCGCCGACCGCGCAGAAGAACTTGTCTTGCAGGGAACGCTTGCGTAACCCCGCCATCAGTGACACCTTTTTCAGGGTGTTGAGCATGGAAGATGCCAACAGATATCGAGCTCACCCACTACTTTTCAAGTAGGCGGCGTGAGTCTCTGACAGGCCGAAAGGTCCATGGCGAATACGCAGACAAGAAATCGTGTCTCCACCCGTCCCTGACCCTTTGAGCTACCATAGTGGCTCTGTTTTCCAGAGCAACCCACTTCCAGCCCCGACTCCTTGTCCAAATGTCCTTGGCACCTTGTTCTTCCTCTAACCAACGCCCCTTGTGGCACCCTGCCGCCCCGACAGCGGGACAGCTGCTGTGAAGACTGTCGGGAGAAGAATGGATCGGGCGTTTAACGCTGGTCGATCGCAAGAGGTGGACGGGCGGTAGAAGTCGGACCCTTGCGCCTCCACGTGGTGCTGCCTGGATAGTCGACTGTCTCTGGAATTGAGAGATGGGAGATGAACTAGATGCTTGGGACGCAACAAAACTGTAAGTCATGTCTGTCACCTTTCGTGAATGATTTGTCTCTACTCACTTGTCTCGTCGACCATTTCTGGGGGGCTTAGACTGCACTAGGTGCATGGCATTATGCCTAAGAACAACCGACGCTCAAGGCGCTGCAAGATAGATTGGGCGAAGATTTTGCTTTGCACAGGGGGGAAACTTGGCTTGAGCGTGGTTGTATCCTTCTATAGTATTTTATCTCTCGCTTTGAAAAGCTATCTTCTTCATTATACGTGCTGGTAACATGTCCTCGTGTTATATCGATATTCTTTTAATGCTTCTGATGCCTTGTGTCGTTAACAGTATCTACGAGTAACCTATACTAGCAGAAAAACATGTTCATCGCAGCAGGTTCGTTGATGCTGCTCCTTCCCCACTGACGTGTGAAGACTTTGGCTTTCACCTTCACCTCCTCGCGCGTTTGCCTTCTTCGCCACCTGACGGGCCCGCTAGTTTCAAGGGGTCTAATATGCCTTTCAACACGAACCTTGTGGGCACATTTTTTCTGACCGCAATACTGCCTTGACTGCAATGGTGAACCATGCAGGTATACCGCGTAGTTGGCGGCGGGCGCGAAGGGCTCGGCAAGATCCTACCCAGCAACAGCAGCGTCACCAGTACCGACAGCAACCGCAACCGCAGCAACAACAACAATACGGCGCATATAATCAACAGCAGCAGTTCCAATACAACCCACACGCGCAAGATGGCTTGGGCTATGCCACGCAGCAAATCGCGAATGGGAATCAGTATGGCAACAGCATGGTCAATGGATCTGGCACAAACTATGGTTATGCTAGTCAATCACAGTGAGTACCGTCTTGATTTATGCAGCTCTTGTTGCTAATGAGCGTAGGACTTGGTATCCCGGAGTCTCATACGACCCCACTATGAACGTAGTGGTGCCGGGTGACTACTCTCCCATGCCGGCGTATCCATATAGCTATGGTGTGCAGAATTATCGATACATGGTCAACGCACAGCAGTCATGGCCTTCACCGCAGGAACTCGGTCATGTGGGATACTATGCAGGCTACAACCACCATCAACACAGTAGACATCGGGATAACAGTCATCGAAATAATTCTCGGGCTCATCGCGACAACAACGCGCTGCAAAATCAGCAAGGTTCTGGTTCGCCTGATCAAATCCAGACTTTCATGCCGGACCACTACCGACCAACCTATACCGGCGAAGCTGATTCAGATCTCCCCTACGACGGTCAGTCGGCTCAAGACAACGTATCTCGCCGACCTTTGGTTGCAAGTCGACCGGGAGTAGAAGGTAAACGCCTAGATCCCAGCGTGAACATGGAGCCCTTGTCTTCGTACGTGCAGCAGATGGCAGACTATGAGAGGCAGTATCCCAAGCCACCCGCCTTCTCCGATCCATACGCGCTTCCACAGGATACGGTGCCGTTCGCCCAGCGTCGTGTTCCTGGCGTTCGACCCGCGAGTGCGATGAAGTTCATTCCAGGCCACCGAGCGCTGTCAGATATTGAGAAGTTTGATCGGAATATCCGGGAATTGCCTGTAGAGGAGCAAGACGTCCGCGAGAGGGAGGACAAGGTTGAACAGCAGGTCGTCGATGACCAGCGAGCAAACGGAAAACAGGTGTTGTCACACGCTACTCGACAGACTCAAGCAAACGAAGAGCGCAACTTCACGTCTCGAGAACAAACAGAAGCTTCTTTCGAATTGCTTAAGAAGGCAAACTTGCCGGGACAAGCTCCCGCAGAACAGCTCAATAAGCCAGTCAAGGACAAGATGGACCGAAAGTAAGCTTTAAATTCACGCCGTTCACATTTCATGACGCTAACTCATAGCCAGAGCTGTTCCAGCCACACCACATGGCCCGTATCTCTCAACAACCAAGACGCCAGCCTCGTCACCCCCTCCAAAACGCATCAAAGAAGAACCCGTCACCTCGCCAGTTCCAGAAACTGGGAAGTCGACCATTGCCACTACATCAGCAGTCATCAGCCGCCCCGCAGACAACGGCTGGGGCAACTTCTACGCCCACATCCGCCAAGATGACAAGAACATGGTCGTCCAGTTACAACGGGATCTCGGGCGCATGGGCGGGAAGGCCTTTCGACCTGAGATACGAGAGACGTATAAGGATCAACAGGGACATAGTGAGGTGGCGGTGCATGAGAAAATTGCTGGCAACACGGCAGTCAAGGCGGGCGAGGAAGAAGAAAATGAGGATATGGATGGAGGTGGTGTTGAGATTGGAGATGAGCAGTTGGTAGGGGTAGTTGGAAAGGAGTAGACTGCAGATAAGCTTTGCAACAAGTCACGTTGGCTTATGGTTTATGGCAGGGTTAACTGACTTAAGTGCTTAGTGTAGACGTGGCCTCGACTAAAAGATGATGCAGTTATTGCCGTGTTAAGGTGGTTTGTTTCCTACAGATGTATTTAGTCTGCAACGTGCTTAGTCTCTAAAGTGGTACTCCTCCATTCTGAAGGCTATTCTTGTAGCCTATGCCAGGAGGTATATGCCTCTATTGCTGTATCTTCTCAGGCAGTATAAGACCAAGAAGACATAAAAGAAACGATCTACCAACTTAGCAGACTTGTTCTATCATATTGACGTGCCCACTTCTTCGCTCACACCTTAACGCTAACTACCTCTCTCTCCCTCTCTAAATTTTCAGCCCTCGAATAGCACTCGCCAACGGCTGAAACCAAGTATCCGCCAACTTCCTATTCCCAGCATCATTCGGATGCACGCCATCACCCGTCATACTCACCGTATCAAACCCCGTCCACGCATCCACAACCGTAATAGTACTACTCGACGTATTCTTCGCCGCCGCCCACGTCCCAATCGCGCTGTTCAACGCCACGACGCGCGCGCCACACTCTGCACAGTTGGAAGGCTTCATGGGAATAATCTTCGCGACGAGGATCTTCATAGACGCCTTTGACGCGCGCATCTGGTCGACGAGCTTGCTGAAGGCTGTGGTGATTTGTGCGGGGGGCCGGTTGTTCCACACGTCGTTTGTGCCCAGGTGCATTATGACTATGTCGGGCTTGGTGGACGAGAGCCAGCCGGGGAGTTGGTTTTGGTTTGCGATGTTCACGGCGAGGAAGCCGCCCTGTGCGATGAGGAGGTATCTTAGTGGTTATTTCTTCTTGACTTGTTCGTGGGATGGATCATGGGGAAACGCACGTGTCCCTCGTTCTCGCCGTCGTATGGGAAGCCGCAGCCTTGTCCGGCCAATGTCCCAACGAAGTCGGTGTTCTTGATGCCGGCTTGTTGTAGTTTCTGCCAGAGATAGGCGCGCCAACATCCCTTGGGTTGGGTTAGTCGTTGTTAGTTTAGGTGGTCGGCGAAAATCAGATTGCGTACTGGGCTGCCCGTTATAGAGTCACCTAGAGCCATGATCTTGACTGTGGATTGCCGCTTGACAAGTTCTGCTGGGGCGGCTGTCACAGTTGCTGCCAATGACAGTGCTGCCAGGGCAGCTGAACTGAAGTTGATGCGCATGTCTGTGGTTGAAGGGGCTTCGACGACTTGAAGTGGTTTGATGAAATATCTCTGGTATAGGGAAGAGGTCTTAGTCCGCATTTTATACAGTAGTCCTGGTCTAAACGGGGCATAGCTCTTTGTAATCCTCCGCAATTGACTATATGAAAACCACCGTCCATGCGTTTATATAAATTGAGCCCGAACGGATGGTTTATGTGGAGGCGAATCGAACAATGCTGTGTAATTCTGATAGGGTCAAATCTGTATAGCTTGGAACTATTATTTTTCCCCTGATACCACGGAAGAATTCAAGCTCACTGTATATTTTGAGGAAACGAGCTATTGGCCAGGAAATGAACACTCCACCCTCTATTCTGAGACGACCCTATAATGAGCGGGAAGTATATAGTTAGTACCCGCCACTAATCGCGCTTAAGTAACGGCGTGGCCCAGGGTTAAGTTGACACTTCGGACACTATAATAGACGCAACGTTGACGGCGGATCCAACTCCGTGCCCAAAAGGGCAAAAGGCGGGGGATCCCTCTGGACCAGGTGAAGTCTAGGTCAATGGGTGTATGCTATGATATATTTAGCAAGAGAGAAGAGTTAATACACGCATCTCGTCTCTTCGACTGTCTAATGTCTATTTGATGTGTGCTTATTCACCGTCCAGATGTGCGAACTCAAAGAACTCAAAGACTGCATCTTTGTCCGGATCTGCAGACGACAATGGCATCTGATGGCCCTGTTCTGACCCTACACTCAAGTCTCCGGCTGGCGGATGGCTCATACTTTCTTGGTGTGGTATCGAAGTGATGTCAGTGAGAGCATCTTGTAGAATTTCGTAAAGGTGGTCGCGTGCGAAGGATTTCCAAAGTGCAGTGAGCCTACTATCAGGTATAACGTCTGTGATACTCGATGTAAGACGATCGGGCAGGAGTCGAAGTAATTCTCGCGAGTAGTTCTCGGTAGCGCGTTGTTGTGCCTGTGCCGGTGCTGCATTATGTGTATCATCTTGCCCTACGGTCTGTTCCTCATCAACATCTGAAGACGTCAGTAATGCTTTGAATTACAACAGGAGCAATGACTTACAAGCAGATGGCTGCCTGGAAGTTGATGCGTCGGCAATTACAAGGGAATATATCTCTCTCCATCGCTGTTCCTCTGACTTGCCCTGGATGCCTTTTCGACACTTCAACAGATTGAATGTTGCTTGGTCAATTCCCCATACTGGAAGAATCTTCGGCTGCAAGCAGCACGGATGGGGCTCCCGTCTATGATTTGCCAGTGCTTCAGCTCCCGCAGCGCCCCGGAAGGTTAATCCACACCGTTCGCATTGGTGAAAAAGATGGTCTCGTTCCAAGTGTTGCTTGAGTCTGTGGATCCCGAGAAAGCCTGGTCTAGCACAAGAAGTATGTTTGCAGCGCCATGGGCTGTGTTTGTAGAACGGGCATCCAAGGCGAGGCTGAGATGAGTCTAGTAGTCGCTTTCGCTTCCGTGCGCTTTCTACGCTAGTGTCCTCTTGCTCGTTCCTTGAGTTGGCATCTTCGATGTCGTTTTGATGCCTTTTGCTTGATGATGATGTTTCTTCTGGATTAAGCAACAAAGATCTGTAGCCACTGTCACCTGCAGACCAGCCCTGGCTTTCCTTGCTCGAGATGGTCAGCGCGATCGTTTCATCGTTAACATATGATTGTGATCTATCCGTTTCTTGCTTGCGCGCAAACCGGAGGTGGGTGTCCGGTATGACGTGCCGAGTGTTGTGCCTAGTGTGATCCACAACGCAAGGATTCGGGGCAGAGCTGGTAGTAGAATAGCCAAATGAGATTGGATATTCAAACCCCCTCTTGTCTTGAGAATCGTCTGGAGGGGCCGGGTTGCTGATGTCATGTGGCTGTAAGTCTCGGTCGACTCGGGATAGATTCTGGAGGACTTTTGACGTCAAGTCATCGATAGGACGGAATCTTGAGGCGCTGCTGACAGTCTCTAGGGCACAGACGACATATGACGACTCATCTGGATCGCTCAGGCACGTTTCAGGGTCAACAGGAGGCTCGATGGGTTCCTGGCACAGAAACGGGTCGTTTGACGCCTGAAATAAAACACCAGCGCAGTATGAGCATCCTGCATCCCAGAGGACCCGGTTTTCTGCGAAACTGCATCTGCAACACTGCCAAACGTGCATATGCTCGACCTGTCCTGTTCCGCGTGAGTAACGCACACTCTCTTTACAGTTGTCGCATCGCCAGTGTCCCATTTCAGGTTGATAGATGTCCATAATTACCGTGCAGGTGAATGTATCCTGTTTGTTGATGCCGTGTCGTGTGTAGATATCCCTCTTAAAAGCCAGGACAAACAGTGCGCAAAAGGCAACGCGCAAAGCTGCGCATTTCGCAGCCTCGTAAAGGTAGCCACTCGGGAACGCGGGTTGCAGCCACGGAGGGGATGCAAATCGCGTGCCAATCACAGGTATCCGCTGGTATGAACACAGTCAGAAGTCTGATACCACCACCTGGAAGAAAAGGCCTACCTCTGGGTATAGTCAGCAGCTGTGAAGGCGCTAGAACTATCTCCGCACTTACATCTGTCTCTGTAGGCTAGCCATAGCTAAACAGCTAATCCAGGACCGCACGCGTCGTTTTCCAACCCAAATTCTTTACAAGTCAAGCGAATCCAGCACAGTATCAATCCCAACTCACAATCACACATGTCCCTTAGCGTAAACTAGTAACGTATCCATAGTCATATATATATACTTTTTCTTTTGCACAGGTAGCAAAAGTCCAATATGAACAAATTCCCCACGCCCAAACTACCAAACTCCTAATATGCACCCCCCTGCTCTCTACGCAGATATTTCACTCTATACACAAATGATCCCGTGTGTGATGTTCCAAACTCCAACTGTGGGGGCAAAAAACAAGTGGAACTGCCTTTCCACTGTCCCCTTACCGAATATTGAGCCTGAGAAGAAAGAAGAAAATGATTAACTAGATTTGGGGGGATATAATGCTGTCTGTCTCTCTTTCGCTCTGCACGTGTATGCAAATATATACACACTACTTCGTCTCCCACCAATGCTTCTTCTTAATGCGCCCGGTACCCGCTACCTCGCCGGCACCTCGACTCGTACTGCGCGCATTCCCCCAGTACCCCCATTTCTCGCGCTGATCCCAGAACCACCAGCGGCCCAGCTCCTCGGCGAGCTGGACCCAGTCCTTTGCGCGCGCGCCGTGTTTCACCTTGACCGTGGCGATGAGCTCGTCCATTGTCCAGGCGACGATGGGCTCGGACTCGGTCGGGTCGATGGACACGTCTGTAAAGCGGAGGGCGATGGTGGAGCACAGGGGCAGGATGAGGCGGTAGGATGTGGAGGCGTCGCTGATGGCGAGGAGGGAGCCGCCCGGGTTGATGGCGGAGAAGTGGAAGGGTTGGAAGAAGGCGGGGGCGCTGAGGCCGTTTGTGGTGGGCACGCGGTAGTCGAGGTTGCGGATTAGCGAGTTGCCTTGGTAGTTGGGGAGGACGTCGCGCGCTATTTCGGCGGCTGGGTTGTGCAGGGATTTGGTTTGGAGGAGGAGATCTAGGACCGTTGGGAGGATGGATAGAGGTGTTGTTGAGGCGTTGAGTTGCAGGCGGGGAAGGTCTGGGTGGACGAAGAGGAGGGGGATTGCGAAGTTGGATATGTGCCCGTTGTTGACGGTGGATTGGGCCTTGTCGACTGTTGCAAAGGCGAGACCGTGGTCTCCAGTCATGACTACGAGTGTCTCGTCGAGAGCACCGACGTCGTGCAACATCTGGAAGATTTGCGAGACCCATTCGTCTTGCCACTTGATCGTGTTTAGATATGCATCAAACGGATCCTCGGGACGCCATCGCTGCTTTTTCATGTATTCTGTCTTACCCTCCCAGCCCTTGGGGGTTTTGAACGGGTGGTGAGGTGTGCTCGTGAGGTGCGAGACAAAAACGCGTTTCTGCTGCTTTTGCCCGTCGACAAAGAGATCGCGGAGGTAGTCCAGGGTTTCAGTTTCCGGGTAACCAAAGTAATTTGACCAGGGCTGCTTTGGAGGATAATGCTTCGAGGTCGGCTTGGAAAGGGTGCTCTCTGCGATGACGTCCTTGAACCCCATATGCTCGTCCAGCACGTCCTGATAATCGAACTGGTCTATGACCGATTGCACCAATGTCGACGACCATTCCCAGGAGCGATGATCCTTCTCTTTGTTTTCCCTAGCAGTCTCCGTCTTCTTCTGGTCCTCATCTTCAGTGCCCTCCTCTTCACTACGCGTGAGTTGACTCATGGTTTCCAGGACATGTGGCAGACAAGCCTGATAGATGCGACCCCGGATTTCCTCTGTGAAGTCGACAGGTAATGGTTCCACACCGCAATGGCTGCTGAGAAGACTCTTCAGTGTGTAGGCAGCTTGTGTAACCGCGCCATGGACGTTGATTCCTCCCATGCCATCCTTGAACGCAGCTCTCCAGCTTCCTTTTGAAGCCTTCTCGTCGTGTGCTCCAAACCCGGTGGACTCACCAGAAAGAAAAGCAGCAGTATCTGTCAGACTTGCGAGCTTAGCGTCAAGTTCAGCCGAGGCGTTCGGGGAAGTGTACGAAGACAGAATCGTTCTATATGCATGACTGTCCTTCTTGAAGGGAAAGATGTCTTTCCGGGTGCTCTCGAGCGTAAGAAGAAGAACATTTTTGATTTTCGGTTTTTTGGTGTCCAGAGTTTCCTGGAGCGTCTGGTGGATCTCTGCATCGAGGTTGGATAGTTTGAGCGGATCGCAAACCGGCTCATAATGCTTTCTGTGGCCGTTCCTGGGGCGTTGAAAGCCTGCATCGCGTCGCTTATCCGGGGGAGGTCCAGGGGGCGGGGGCCCAGGAGGCCCAAGAGGAGGCCCAGGAGGAGGAGGGGGTCCTGGGGGATGTCCATGGGGAGGAGGGGGTCCTGGAGGATGTCCATGAGGCGGCGGCCCTGGAGGCGGCGGCCCTGGAGGTGGAGGACCAGGCGGACCATCCTCTGGGTGCTCCATCCACGGGGGAGGACCAGGACGATTTGCCTTGTTACACAACTCAGACTGAGGCATCCAGTCAGGAGACTGCGCATGATTGTAGAACTTGTTGAACCGCTCGAAGGGGAAAACAGCCATTTCCACAGGGTGCGGCAGGCAGAATTCCGAATTGATGGGCTGGAACCACGCGGCTTCGAGGATCGTGATCGGCAGCGTACCGGACATGTGTGCGTAGGGCGGATTTTTCGGCCGCACAATCTGGAGTATTATAACGACGACGGCGGCGAAGAGCGTGGTGAAAACTACAGCAATCGCGGTCTTCGTGCTGGGGGCTTGTTTGGGTGGGGTGTGGTCCATGATCTCGGTACTTTCGCGGGCGGCAGGCCATGGTGCGGGCTCTTCGTTGAGGGGAACGAGCAGCTGCTGCTGGTCTTCATCGGTGCTGGGTTTCCTCTTCTTGATCAATTGGTAGCTTTGTCGAAAGGATCGGCTTATTCTTTCCAGCACATGCTCGACGGCGTCGTAGAACCTTGGTGCGACGACCAGGGAAATGGCATAGAGAACTGCGAAAGCGATGGCCATGGCAGGAAGACCTGATAATAGTAGGCCCAGGCCTCCACTGCCTCCCATCAGCTTACTCGCTGCCATCCACTGGATCTCGCCTCCCGTTTCGATAGAGAAGGATATTTGTGCTGCGGCGCAGGCTGCGGTGAAACCACTGTGAGGCTAAGCGTTAGCGCCCTCTCTCACTTCCACTCTCCCCCATCGCGAAACTTACGCAAGAAGGCCACCAAAGATTTTCCGGTAGGGTGATGCATGGCGTGCATTTTGTGTGTAGACGAGCAGCTTGCTGCCGACCAGGAGGATCACATCGGGAAGGATGAAGGTCGGGAAGTATAGGAGATAGAGGACGATTGGCAACGAGGTCGCATGGCTGCCGAGATGCAGCAGTTTGGCGACAAAGGAGCCGACGAAGAAGAGAGCAAACTGGTTCTTGGGGTCCAGGAAAGCCTGGAGAGGCGCAAGGTAGTTGATTTGCATGGCATTGGTTCGGGAAATGCGGGCGTTGAAATTCGACAATCGGAAACGCGGAGAGAGAGAGGTGGAGACGAGGGGGGGGCGGTGTTCTTCTGTCTAGAGAAGAGGCCCAAAGGAGGGTGAAAGGCTCGCTGGCGACGAAGACGAAGAAGAACAAGAACAAGACGACAAGAGCAGAGGCATACCACGATACATCATCACCAGTGCCTCAGTAATACGGGACGCCCTGTCTAGGCAGCGTCTCGCGCCGCGGGAGTCGCGTGCACACCTATATAAGGGTCGGCGGGCACATTGGGTCGCTTGCAGAGGGCAGACCGACCCCTAATCACGCAAACCTGTTAGCTGGGCCGCCCCAAGCTCCACCGGCTCAGCCACGACGGCGGCCCTTCAGACACACACGTCGCAAATTCAGCCTGCAAGTGGAAGTGAAGGGTGGAAAATACGGGGGGCCTTGGCTCAAAGGGGCCCAGCGCTGGTGACTCGGGTCCCTGGATCAGCCTCTTAGCGTGCGTCGTCCTACCCGCGCCCCGACACACGCGGGACCCGAGAATGGCAGTGCAGCACGTGCCTACGCTAAGCCGTCAGGGGCACTGCACCGCCTCTCTCCAGCTCGCTCAGAGGGGCCTCGAAACGCGGATACATAAGAGACTGGATAGAGACGAGGTGTAGCTGTCCAACAGTCTGTCAAACCTATACTAGCCGCAGGTTGGCTGCTGTCCGTCCGCCGGCCGGCCACGGCACAACGCCTCGTGTGGCCTCGATCTTTGGTCGTTGTGGGGTACGTCCCACTAAGAAGAAAGCCGTATTGTTCGCATTCCGACCAATGGCCGCATGGCAAAGAAGATGCTACAGCAGTTAGCTCCTTTCGAAAATGGGCCCACTCTCTACCCGCAGCGGTCGCGTTTCTTCTAGGCTCCCACAAGCTTTCCTTCGACGCTGAGCGAGCCTTCTAGGACAAGTTCCAACTGCGCGGGTCCTACGGTTCTAGAGCACGCCTCTTCTAGCTACGAGGAGATTTTCCGACAGCTCTCGTGGCAGTCGGGCGTCTGTCAATCGTCGTGGTCCGTGTCGCATCCTTTGATGCATTGGGTCGGTTGTACGCGGGTCTGGCTTTGGCGCGTCCCCTTTGTCCTTCGCTTGACTAACACACAGGGTCTCCTCGCCGTGGCGCGCGATCCCCGTTGTTTAAACTCCAACAAGGCCTGACTACACGTTGGGCAGGTTTTCCTGACCAAGGATATACGTAGGAGTTATGCAAATGAGACCTCACCGAATCGATCAAAGTTCTGCGGCCACCCATAATAATGATCAAATTAGTGTTAGATCAGCAAGTAAATAGAATAGCATCTAAATCGGCCTCCTCAGTTCCTACATTATATATTAAGTCGAGAGGGTAGCTACAGAGTACTTGACACGAAAAGTCACTAGGAGCTAATAGCAAGAGGGCCCTTGCGTGCTCTTCCTCTCCTTTGTTGGACGCCTGATTCCGTACTTTGTACATAGGCTCCTATCCTCGAACGCCGTTTACGTGCGTGACGAGTACATACCTGGACCTTTTATTTTGATGGATACATTAAAAAGATATAGAAATAATGCAAGATGGAAGCCAAAGACGAACCAACCAAATCAGGTTTATTGGTGGCTATCACCGCCATTGATAGGGAGGAGGCTCTTCTGGTCGCTGGAGCCGTTGGTTGGAGGGGTTGCAAGCTGCATCGGGCTCATATGACCGTTTGCATGGTCTGCTTTGCTACCTAACGTCGATTCCTCTTCGACCTCTGGAAATGACATCGCAAAGGCGTCCTCCATGGGCGTCAGATTGGACTCTCCATCGATGGGCATATCCTCGGCAGGTGGCGGTGGTGGAGGGGGAGGTGCTGACTGCAGCTCATCAGTGTCGGTTCGTGTCCTTTTGGGTGACTCCAGGCCGCCATCCTCTTCCCTCTTGCGCTTCAACTCCGAAGCCGAACCAGTTGGTGAGACCTGATGTGATGATGTGCTCTCATCTTTCAAGTCCAGCATATCGTCGTCCCAATCCACCTCTTCAGACTTGATGCCGCCTTGAGGTGTACTCGGTGTATCACCCTTGCGTCCCAACTTTACATCACTCTGGCCTTTGTGCTTCTCTCGCTCTTCCTTTTTCCTAAATGCCTTGTCCATGAACTCTTTTACAAAGTTTTTAACCGTTTTCTCATGTCGTGAGCCCAGTTTAGCTGTGGGGTCTTTGACACGGCCGGACTTGTAATCTCCGCGGACGAGCTTCTTTGCTACCTAGGTTGACAGTGAGAGAGGCTCAAGTATTAGGGGGCAATACCATACCTCTTTGCTTAACCTCTTGAGGTCGTCCTTCTCGAACTTCTTACGGTAGTGCGACGTCACAGACAAGACATGCGGTGAGAGCTAGACTCATCAGTTTATATTCACAAAAAAGAGTCTGCGTACTGACAGTTGCCTCATATACCTTCTCCTGCTTCTCCTGCGGTAGATTGCGCCATTTCTCACTCTTTGACTCCTTCTCTTTGTGTTCATCGGCAGCAGGCTGTGGGGTAGAGGACGCCGAAGGTCCAGTAGGCGTGACGTTTGCAGTAATGCTGGAGATTATGTCTTGCAACAGCTGTGTATCCGTCTTGGCTTTCGGCGGAGGCGGCGGGGGCTGATTGGCGGGTTGGGTCGGACGTTGCCATTGCGTAGTACCTGAGGAGTTGTAAAAGTATGTCGTTCCATTTTCTGCTGTAGCCTGGAACCATCCGGGAGGAAGTGGGTTGAATGGTCGAGGTCGAATGACGGGGCGTGGGGCGTTGAAGAAGCCGGCTGGACCGCGAGGCGCGTTCAATCCTCGAGGGCCTGCTGGGACGGCTGATGCAGGACCTTTGGGCGCGGTTGCGACAGGCGATTTTGATCTTGACCTTGATCGTTCTCGACCCCTTTCTCGTCGCTCAAAGTGATTTACGGTTTGTACTGGCGTGCTGACGTTGGGGTCCCGCTTCATACGGGGTATCCTATAAGCAATCTCTAGCTTGCTCCAAGCGCCAAGTAGTTTCGTAGCCGACTCTTCCACTCGCTCGTCTCCGCAGCTCTTGAGATTCTCTATCGCTTCTTCAATTTTTGAATCCTGAATCTTATTGCGGGTAATTCGCGGAAGTTTGTGGAGTATGTCCAGAACCTGCATTACTACGTTGAAGTCGTCCACCCAAGTCGTCAAGGTCTTCTTGAGGGTCTCATAGCCATGCATGCGGATGATACGGTGCCCGACTCTCTCATTATCACTCTGCTGTATGCGGCTGAGCAGCTTGACGGCAATCCACTTTTCAGTGCATTGCCGCAACGCTGCCATGACCTTGGCCACACCCTCCTCTTCAAGCTCCCGTGGTTTCAGATCGTTTATATACTCCTCGTCGTCCTCGCTCGCCTTCTTCCTACGAGGTTTCTTGGCGACAGCAGTATCCCAGCCATCGCCATCATCAATGCCGAGCGCTTCGATGGTAGCATGCGGCAGCTTTGTCGCGTTGTCAGACTGTGTCTTTCCGCCAATGAAGCCAGAGCAGTTCGGTTCGCCGCAGTAGCAAGGTTGGGGGTCTGCACCGTAGCGATCGACGTTGTAGTTGAAAACGAGTTCCTCGCCCGCCCTGATTTTCCGCTCGGCAAAGATACCCATGCGCAACTTATCTGCCACCACCCACTTGTCGACAAAGCAGTTGGGATTGCAAGAGTGATTGCAAAATCGGCCTAGATTTCCCTTCTTAGTCGCGTCTACAAACTCGCCCTTGGTGAGGGACATGAAGTAGAAATGCTTGATGCCTTCTTCGTCGTACTGCATCATGCGGCGGCGGAAGTTGCGCTCGTCTATGACTTCGCCAATGTACTCGAAGATGAAATCGCCGGGCACCATGTCCTTGTTGGCGCGCAGGCCAAATCCCTTCTTCTCGGTTTTGATGACGGTGACGTCGGCGTACTGTTTTCGTTGAAAGCGTTGGTTCTGGCATTTCCTGCCGCAGCTGCAGTCACCAACACACTCCATCTTGGTCGCGCGGTTGATGCAGTCGGAGTCCTCGCCGCAGGCATGGTTGACTTTTGCAACCGAATCTACGATTACAAATTAGCACGTCGCGATATTTGTAAAAGAGGGAGCTGAGCTGGGACGTACCCCATTCCTCGCCACAATCGCACTCCAGGGCCGGGTCGGTGGTGCCAATGTGTTTATTCGCATATGTACATTCTGGTAGGACAACGAAAGTCTCCTTGGCTGTCCCCGTGGAATCGGGAAGATCGAGGTATAGCGGTGGTGGACGTGACACAACCTTCTGAGACGCAGTGCGCGACAGCTTGGGTGCTTTTCCTGGCTCCATTTTGAGAGTAATGTCGCCGCCCACAGTTTCCTCCTCTTGTGCGCTGCTACTGGGTGATGGTGCCTCGGAATCTTGCTTGATGGCAGGAGATTGCGATTTGGTGCGAGTCTTGAGCCTCGGAGGTATGGCTGAGGGCGTGGGCACGCGGCTAAGAGAATCTGCGTCTTCCACCTTTACTTGGGTTGAATCACCCTCGTGGGTCGCGCCTTCCTCCAGCTTCATGTCGCGCAGCTCAGGCTCCAGCTGAGCGCTCTTCTTCTCTGAATCGCTGTGTGACATGGCTGTCGACCGTGTGGGCGGTGAGGTGTGGCGGCTGAGGGAGGAGAGAAAGTGAGGAGCTTGAGGAAGAAAGGGACGCCAAGCGATTCCGATTTGCTTCTACCACACATACACAACCAATTTCACCTCATAGTACCTGGCGCGCTTGCAACAAGCCAAACAGATCCAGCGCCTTTCCAAGCAAGAGAAGGGCGTTTGCGTGTGTGGGCTGTCGCCTAGGCGATCACCTGCGGCAAAGCTTTGCTTTCTTTTCTAGGCTTCGAAACGACGCCTTCACACCGGGACCCAGAATCCTGCTATATGCACCCAAGTTGCATTGAGCCGTATAGAGCGACGATGATATGGCGGGAATGGGACTTGTCAAATTCGTCAGGAGATGGTGCCGTCGACATGAAGGTACGCGGGCTCGAATGATCGACGGAGGCGGAAGACGCTGTGGAGGCCACTCGGGCAAGACGACGCCGAAAGTGATCGCAGTGATCTTATCAAAGATCGCGGGGCGATTTAGTGGTGCTTGTATAGATGGTGCTCTCGTATTTGGGCGCGCGAACGAAGCCAACGTTGCGCGAATTGCGTGGTGGAGAACGGAGAGCTGCGATTTTCCCATTTCGGACACAGCCTCGGCGATAATTCTAGGCCTTTGACAGCCCAAGCTCCACACAGCAACGGGGAACAGGAACTCAGCAACTGATGAGCATCTTGAGCAAATCATACAATGTGCATGCAGACGGAGCCTTTGGATATGCGTACGTCTGTGAAAGGTCGGGCGGCGTGTAGAGCAAACGCTTGGCATTGAAAGAGTACCCTGCCAGGGCGTAAAAGCACAACGATGCCATGTTCGATAATTAGCATGCGATGACAGCAAAAGAGATCTGTCATAGGTGCAAGGGCTCCAGTCACCGGACGAGCGAAGGACGTCATTCCTACATAGTAGAACAAGTGCGACTTCAGCAATCTCCCTAGGTCTAAACGACATAGGGGACTATTCAGGCCTTTCACTGTCGTACAAGGCCCCCCCATAGACCAGATCATCCCAAATAGTTCGCCGCACAAACAAAATTCGTTCAGCTCTTCTTCTCAACATGTACAAAGGCAGTTTCAGGTTAATGGATCAATATTCTTGGCCTTTTGAGATGTCACTGGAGTCCGCCTGCTACTATGGACGAGATGTCTCTCACAATGGGAGAATGATACGTACGGCTAGCGGCACACAGGCACCCATGTTGCCTCCAAGATCACGGCTGGCGGCCCCAGTTGCCGAGAAGCCTATAGTCTTTCGCAGAGGCGTGTTTCAGCCGACCAGATTCGAGGACATGTGAATAGCAGTTTAGCCAATATTGCTACTAGCGTCCTGCATCTCAGTGGCTTCCGCAGCGTTGCGATTGTGCTATTAGAGCTACATTGGCGCCTGGAGCCTGGAGACAGTAAGCGATCAAGAGCACAACTAGACTTTTAGCAGTATGTCTATCTGCATTGTATAAGTGTGTGGAAGTTGTGGAGTTATTCGCGAAAACCAAAATGACTTCAAATGACTAAGCAGAGCACGTTATTACCACGACACGTTTTCGCACTTCCCACCAAGCTTGCACAGCAGCAGTTCGCTCAACACGGCCTAACGACTTTATTCCATATACCAAGACTGTTTGCATATACTATCTGAGCGCCAATGACCACCAAAGGGCGACATACACACATCGAATAAGGAAGTTGTGATTTGGCAATATTGGGGGCTGCTATGCCGAAACCATGCCACGGCCCGCTCTCACCCCCAGCCCTGCTGGTGATCAGGACCAACAAGCACAACGTGGGGTGCACTGTACGGTGAAGCAAGTCTCTAGAGGGCGCGTGCTACGTGGCGATGCAGGTGCAAACTCCCATCACAGGCATCATATAAGGACGCCAACACCGAGATACACGGCTGCGATCAACTTGTTTCTCAAGACCGAAAAATGCCATGCTGTTGTGGTCTACTTTGCGCAAACTATCGCGCCGTTGAGCAGGGATCTATTCACGCCTCCTTCCGTTGCCCCATCAGGTCCGCCATGACCCGTGGTTGTTAAATTGTCCGTCCGAGCCAATCGTCCATGCTCCAAGCCAAACAACGTTCCATGGTCTTTCTGGAGGCTGCATGCTGCATGCCATAGTCAAGATGATGGCGACGCTACGATCGAATCGATGTCCCCAAACATACCCGGGAGCACAGTGAGATGGAAGAGGAAGTTGGGGCCTAGTTTCGTAACTAGAGGAACGGCTGCGGGTGTCGAGCTGATCCCTGTGAGACACAAGATTTGGGCGCTGACTAGAAGCGATTGGCTCACATGGCCTCTTGCGCAATCGTCGTCGACGCCCGACTGGAGGCTTTGGGATGGGGCAAGGCGCCGCCAGATCTCTGCTATGGCCTCGTAGTCGATCCTGCGACAGGCTGATTGAGGCAGATAGCGGCGGAAGAGGGTTGGAGGGTGCGGAATGTGGTGGAGACCTGCCCGTCGCCCAAACTTCGTGCCATTCGCCAACCGCGTTTCTCGAAGCTGCGCTAATCATGTACGACATACCGAGCTTCTCTCCCATGTAATTTCTCTTGCGTCCGCTGTCTCCTAATTCTGACCAGCCTCGAGCTCTGGTTCCTTTGACAACAATTCTTGCCTGCTGGCATGATTACGACCAGAGCCGCCCGCAGGTTTCTTTGACGTTGATGCTCTTCTTCTATCGCTCGTTACTCTTTCGTTTCAGTACTCTCGTTTGTAAACTGTTCCTAGTCCTAGACGCAGCTCTCAACCGCGCGCGAGGGGGTGTGTTGCTCTTCGCGCGCGCGCTTTCTCCACTTACTTTACGGCCTGGTGATTGTTTGATGCTTGATTTGTCCGGTTGCATCCAACTAGGGTTCGGCGTGAATACTTCTTATCGCCCTCTGCCCGCGGGTATCTTGTCGATAGAGTCACGACATGGAACCTGCTCGCGAGCCACCATGGGCAGAGCACGAAAAGGTACGTACCAACTTTCGAGTTGGCGTGGGTGTTGACTAAAACTAACCAATTTCCCACACCAGGTATATCTACTTGCCGAGATATTGAAGGCGGCTCCAATTCCTTCTCATGTTCTCTTTGGTCTTATACGCGACGCCAACATCCAGCCTAGATGGAACGACACGGCGTTGCCTCCTGGTATGTTGACCCTGCCTTTGCGCTTTCGCGATTTCGTTGTGCAAGAGTTGTTTACTGACGCGTTATACGCACTCTAGGTCGCTCCATTCGCTCAAGTCAGATGGCCTTCGATAACATAGCAACCATGTATTCAGGACCTGACTACAGACGTCCTCAGTTACCTGTTCCTATCATGTACCCGGCCTCCGATGTCACTAAGAAACGACCACACCAGCAAGAGATAGCCACGCCAATTGGCCGCTTACTTCAACCCCGTCCACCGCATCCATATCCCGGAGAATACATGACTGCTGGCCCTGCATATACGTCCTCAATGACCCCCACTGGTGAACCAGCAAATAAAAAGAAGCGAGGGAGACCAACAAAGGCAGAAGCACAGCAGAGAGCCCAGGAGGCAGCAGCACGAGGCGAGGTGTATCCGCCACCGCGGCGGGGAAGAGTATCACTCACAGCCCCTTCAGAGTCGTCACCTCCAGGCTCCGAGTCACGACCGCACGAACGAACCCCTCCGCAACCTATACCTGCGCAACTAGGCCCTGCAATGACGCCACAACAACAAATAGGGAGGGAACAAGGGTCAGAGTCCTCATCAGGAAAGAGAAGACGTACAAGGCCTCAGCCACTAGAATTGGACAAGCACCGAGCAACAAGCGAAATGGAGTCCCCTCTTGCCTTTGGGTCGGGTGATCCCAGCCGTAGCCAAGGATACTCATCATTCACACCCATCTCCGCCCCTCTCCCGTCCTCGACAGAATCTAGGGATAAAGATGTACGTATGGAAGGAGTCGAAGAGACTCAGCCACGAACTACTACACCTCACTCGTTTAAAGACACGGTCGGCATATGAAAGCGTTTCTTACGTCATAAAAAGCAACATACGGCGGTAATACTGTTTTGAAAGCGTTCCGTCACGACTCTACTTACGCACTCACGATGACCGTTATAGCCATGATACCAAGGAGGTATGCTCTGCAGTTTTTACGCTCGTTGCATTCATTCATGAGCACCAATCATGCGCACGCATTATTTATCATTTTCATGTTACTGTCACTGTTGCTACCACGGGAAGACCTGTTTCCCAGATATACTCTCATTTCATGTCTCGATTTTAACATGATTTCTTTGCCAAAATTTGTTCTGTTCTTCTTCCGCCTGCAAGTCGACGACGCTTCCACGAAAGTTGAGATATGACGAGCAATTACCTAATGTCTTACTATTGTTATCTTAACGACATCAAGAACCCTGTACCTGTTTGGCAATGAGGCGCTTGTGCCAGCCAGCTTCTTCCCTGCAACGTGTACTATAGATGGATTTTCAGAATCCTTCCATTACGGCCTCTGTACAAAAGCACCTATTAGCCACAGTATCAATAGTAGACCTGGCCACGGCCTATGAGCTCGCAGACTTTCCATCATTTTGAGCGCAGCTTTTTCGTGCCATGTCGCACATTGCTCCTGCACGTCAATGTATGCCGCCCTGGTGTCCACTCAAACCGCGAGGACGGCCCTCTCACGACGTCAGGTTTCTGCAGCCTGACGAGCAAGGCAGAGCGGGATTTGGTTGAGGAGCCGAATGCGGGCGCGAGAGGCGACGTCAAGAGCGGAGCGCGACACAAACAACGGGGTCTTGTTTCACCTATGAATATCCCTACAGGCATCGGTACTACTATCGCTCGCTCGTACCTCACCGCACACATGACCGCAGACGCAGGGGTATATCGCTACCTGGAGAAAGCTCACGACAAATCTGCAAGTAAGCGCCCTCCCTCACAATACACATACTTTGCAACCATCAACCGTGACCAAGAGTCGTAACCATACTTGACGTTTGTTTCGGAAAGGGGCTCGGAATGAACGTCTTCCATAATACGTTCAATTGACCGAGCCGCGCCGCCAGGAGACAATGACTCGAGTTGCAGATTCTGGTTGATGATGCGGCTGGCGCAGCTGCTGCAGCACGAAAGGGGAGAGTGTACATGACGCCAATGCATGCATGTACGCATCGACCACACCCCCCAACACCGAATTCGATGGAGCGAGATAGGATCCTGCCCAACCAACTTAGCCGCAAATCAGCACAGGCTAAACACACAGTCTGTCGACCTTTTGTCGCAACTCGCCTTTTTGCTGATTCTCGGCGTGTATGCGAAGCGGGTGATGGTGTCGAGGTAAGCCGCCAAAGGATCTTGCTAAATCTCACGTTCCCACCAAAGGTTTTAGCTAGGTAAACGACCTGAAACCCGGACGTTGGAGCGATCATAGCGGTGCGGGATAAAGACAGGGGAGCTTGCAATATGGCCCGAATAAAAAGCGCCGTTGTTGTCACCTTTGTTATTGCCAATAATTGCTCTGATCTGGGCAGGTAAGGGAGTTAGTTCCGTGAGTACGAGGGGAACAGCGTCTGTAGAGACGCAGGGGCCAACAGTTCTCTCCGTCGATCCGAAGTGCGTGAGTGGACGGACAGGTTGGATTTTAACGGTGGTTTAGGCACAATATTGTTGTCCTGCGGCCTTGAGCGGGTTGTTATACCCATGGGTTCTGAAACCAATTTTGGGGATCTATAGCTTGTGCCTGAAAATCATAACAGACCAGCTAAGAGCCCAGATCTCATGCTATGTACTCTCGATTCTTAGTTGCTTTATATTCGCTTGCTCGCATGCTGCTCCAGTCTCCAATCTGGCTTCACAGTCACAGATGTGAGACTCAGTGTCATCGGCTTCATGCTATTCTTGGAGCACCAAATGTGACACACGGGAGGTGCCCTTAAGCTCCACTACCCGCGCAAATACAATCGCCTAAATGGGATTCTGCATGCGGGAAAGGGAGCCGCAGAGCTTCCGAATGCAGAGTGGTAGTTGCTTGGTATGCGGCAATTCAAAACAGGCATTTTGCGGAACGGGAGGGAAAAATGGGTAGAAGAACAACGGGGGGAACTGCATTAGAACCATAGATTCTATACTAATATGCTTACTTGACCAAGTGATCAAAGCAGTGTATGACGGGTACCAAAAATTGTCATTGCGTAATACTTGACATATAAGGACTATGATGCCAGCTAACGACTTCTATATGCCCTCCAAGAGAGTCTTAACGCTTGAGATGAAATGTTTGCTGAAAGATACAATAAAAAGGGGACACAAGGTGTGTCGTGAGGCAAAAAGCAAACTAAGGATAAGATGCTATACAGGGAAATAAAAAATAGATATGAGGCGTTTCATGTCATGTCGAAGGTCTTCTACATGGAGAGATCCTAGCTAGCTGTCTCGGAAATATCTTGACAGTCGTCGCACGTCCAACGATGTTGTTTGGGGTTGAGCTCTCTGACAGGCGACTTTGCATACTTTTCTATGCATTCTGGATGGAAATACCGACGGATGCAGTCCTGGTCTCTATTAGCTTTTCTCTTGCACGCTGCGACAAATACTTACGATACCATCACAGACGATAACGGCCGACGCACGAGAAATCAACGCGTCCGTTCCACAAAGACATAGATCGTAAGGAGGCTCTGCATCTGCATCTCCACCTTGCAGCGTAGTTTCTGGGTCTGGATGATTATGTAATGATGCTCCTCTCATTTGCACGTCGCCATCTGAATCGGTCGTAATTTGTGTGAGATGGCCATTGCCTATGGCTTTAGCTTTAGCCTTTTTATCGTTCTGCGACTTGCGAGTCCTATTAGCAACACTGTTGCTTGCTGGTATGAGCCGTGTTTGCGTATGTTGGACATCCAACCCAGCGAAGCGCTGTGAGATTTCATATGCCTCTCGTTCAGCCGGCTTCTGACCTTCGACAAACTCCAAAGACGCCGCATGTACCTCCTTTGAGATAATGTCGTCTTCTAAGAGCTCATCTAACTTTGTTTGGAATTCCTGAAAAACTTGCTCCTGCCATAGCCAAGCCCCGTTCCCTCGTGCGAAGCGAACTATGGCGTCTCCAGCATGGATGTCGGCATGGATAGACTCATCTTGCATAAACCTGTCAAACACGTTCAAAAAACGTCTCGCTGTATCTGAAAGGAGGTTATTCTTGCGATCTTCTGCTCTTTTTCGTAAAGCAATCCACTCTGTGTCGACCTCATCATCGCTTTCACTAATTGATTCTCCTTCCTTAAGCGGCCGTTTGCTACGGGATCGGAAATACGTGACTCCTGGAGGAGCTCTAGGAACAGAGTATGTCTTCTTTTCTCTTGCTGGTCGCTCTTGAACACATTCTGGTAGCTTTCGCGCCGTTCGGGTGTTTGTGGGCAGATTCACGGCCGTTTTCGATCCTGGATGCCTCGTTGATCGCTCTAGCCTAGCCTCTCGTTGGTAATCATCATTTCCTTCAGACAAATACTGTCGTCTGTCAAATGGCCGTGGTGGAGGCATGACACGAACATCGAAAGGCTCATCTGCGCGGTCACTTGCACGCTGACCTGTCCTGTTCTCTGAAACTTCGCATTCAAACCGCCAATGCTCAACACCGTTCTCGTCCACTCGTTCCTGCACAGCTCGGTGTCTAAAGTTATTGTGCAACCCATCCATGTGCATACGAAGAGCGTCTATGCTTTTATGTGGCCGCCTATGGCATCCTTCCGCTTCGTATGGACAACCCAAGTCTGAGCGATGAATTTTCTTATTCGCATAGACGAACGTGAGTTCATGTCTTGCTGTCTCTGTGCTCGCAGGAGGCGTTGGATAAAAATTCGGCTGTGCCCCTATCCGTATCTGCTCATTGTGTGTAGACAGAATCGACCTCCCTCGTGTGCTTGTCCAGTACATAGAAACCTCTATACCAAATTTAAGCTGCTGCCTGCGGTCCTTGAGCGGCAAGATGGTTGTCCCATCCGGGCACTCTAGGATATCCTTGAACAGAGTTGCCAGACGTGTGTGTGCATTTTTGGCTGCATTCTCGACGCCCATAAACCTGTAGAGGTCCTCGGCCTCACTTTGATAGATAAAATTGATGCTGAGCATCATTTTGTACGCCTCATCGAGCTTGAGCGTCTTGGGGTCACCTGAGATTGAGAGGGTTTCAGGTTTGATAGTAAGCCGATCGGTCTCAATCAACACGTTCTTCTTGTGATCGCTATCCGCTATGCACTTTACAGCTGCTTGCTGAGGAGGCGGACTTTTGCATGGGAGATCTGATGACTTGGGGAAAATTGAGACCTGGACGGTGCTTTTGATGGCAAACAGCGGTCGCATCTTCCTCATAGATGAACTACTGTCGGTACCGTTCCTGTTTGCTTGTAGTGACTTGATTCCATGTATTTCTAAGACAAACAATCCCCTCGACTTATCTTGTTCAACCATTTCGTCTAGGGCGTCCCATGCCGGTGGGCACCACTCAGACCGAGCGTTGTGATTGGGTCCAGGGAAATTCTCTGTGCTCCCGTTTTCCAAGAGGTGCTGGTTAACTCGTAGGGCGCGGGTCAGATTCCTGCCTAGGAAGGTTGGGGCGCGCTTGAGTGATAGATATTCATACAATAGAATATTTCCTGAATATCTATCTTGTCGCCCGGTCATACTCTGCGCCTTGGATGTATTAGTTAACAAAGCTAAGTGTAGAAGCGACAGAGAACTTACATTTGATTGCTCAGCGCGATTATAACCAGTGCATAGCAGCACAGAGGTGGCGACACGCAATGGAAAAGTGAGTCGAGCAAATCAGGTGACAGGTGAATGGCGCTTGCTCATCTCCCAAAGATTCGAAACTTTCGTAAACTCGAAATCAGGGGACAGAGATTGAAGGAAGCTTGAAGTAATTTTGTATGTAGGCTTGTTTGATCAACGCGACGGTGAGAGGGACGCGACAAGTAGAAGCCCGAAAACGTGATGAAATCAATTATGGACCCATAGAACAAGGTCGCGATTAGGAAAATGGCAGAGGCGTGTTCTGCTGTTGTGTAGATAGAGTCCCCTGTTCTTTATTTCGTCGTGAATGAGAGGTCAATGGCGGTGTGAGAGTGCACATGTGAAATAACAAACAGCCTGAGCCCTAGCAACCTTCTCAAAGTCGCAAGCAGTCTTTCGCTTCAACCATGCCTCTGTTTGCCAAGCGAGATCGCAGTAAACACAAAAGTTCAGACGTACTCGCTAGAGATTCATCACGTGATCACATAACTGCGCCAAGACGGGGGCTAAGGGCACGGGCCAGTGCATCATCAATCGCTCGCCTCGGAAGTCCGCATGCATCGACCATTCACTTTCATTACAGCAACCCATCGCCTGGAGCGTATCCGTAGCTGTTGCTCGAAACTACCCTATGCTCTTCCGCGACAAAGTCCAAGGGCTTGAAAGCCTCCGCCTGTAGTCGATCCGCCCGGTTACCTCTGTCAATTGTCCCGGACGGTTCACTCGACTGGCCGTTGCATCACCATGGCTGTTACTCTGAAGCGCAAACGTGGCGCTGTGTCGTATAAAGAACCAAGCAGTGAAGAAGACCTCTCTGACAGTTCTGATCAAGAGCGAACAGTCAGAAGGAAGAAGCGCAGAACACCCTCCCGACGGTCTACTAGGCACCAACAAGTCGATGACGAAGACGATGACGAAGACGAAGATGAAGATTCGAGCCAGTATGCCTTTCGAGAACCCCTCTCCGTTCGCATTCCACAAAGAGTTTCACGAAACTCGCGCAGTCGCGGCAGTCGCGGACGGCAAAGGATATCATACAAGGACCTTAGTTCTGGTGAGGAAGAAGAGGACCCAGATGCGGACTTCGAGTTAGAGGAAGTCCAGGCACCACGAACGAAGCCACCAACCGTGGCAGTCAGGTCGCCTCGTCATCCAAAGATCTCAAGCTCGAAAGGAGGGCCGCGGCGCAAGTTGGTTTTGGGTGCCCCTCTGAAGCCAAACAGCGCCATACAGGCAGAATGGAAAGCGGCAGAGATTCCCACTGACGGACACAAACAGGTATGTTGTAGAAAGCAATGATTTTGCAAGGAGTTCTAGAGCAAGCTATATGTATTTGCATACGAAGCGCTCTAGGAAGTTTGATCTCATCTTCTGCTGGCTTGTCGTCTCCTTATGTGCAAAGATGCTGACTGTGTCTCTCTTTCGTCTAGGCATGGGCATCTCTACCATACCACGTGCTCCTTCAGATCTTTGTGTACGCTGCACATCCGCTTCATGATGAGAACATGAAACCTACATCTTCAATACCATGGCTTGTGCAAGTAGCTAGGATGTGCTCAACATTCACAAAGCCGGCCCTGACAGCTCTCTACCGCAACCCACCGATCTTCGCAACCAGGTTGACACGAAAAGATTTGGTACATCATCTCATCATGCCTCCCTCTAACGAACATGAGGATTACCGAGTCATGGTAAAGCGACTGGAGTTGGATGCGACGCAAATGTCTGCACTGACAGATGCTGCGCATAGCGTTGCTGATCTAGCAGCTCTCGTCAAGTCGTTGACGACGCTTCGTGAAATCGATATCTTCGACCCCATCGATAGACCACCCTTCCGTGGGAGGCTCAGGCGGTTACGCCGGTGGGTCTACCCCAACGAGCTCTTCGAAGCTTTACGACAAACCCAACTGCGTCTCAGGAGCTGGCGATGGAATAGTACCTTCTGCGACCAGGGCCCTCTTTGGCTGAAAACGATCCATGGTGGAACGGCCTTCCAAAGCCTTCGCGAGTTGACGTTTACCAAGTTCCATCCTGAGCCCTCGCATGAAGATCGTGAAGACCGCGAAGACCTCCAAGGTCAGCCGACAACAGAAGAGCTGCTAGCATCCGCTATAGCTGTTCTACCTAATCTGCGAACTCTGTCGTTCGAGTCTTGTGGTGTTGTCAGCTGGCGTATGCTTCCGCTTCTGCCAGACAACCTCACTAGTCTTACTATTATCAACTGTGGTGAGCTGCTCTCTGATGCTCTACAAGCGTTTTTGGCCACGCACGGCGCCCAACTCGAGGAACTGGTTCTTAATCACAATCAATCTCTTGATCTGTCCTTTCTCGTCGATCTGAAGCGCTCCTGTCCTAAGTTGGAGGTCTTACGGATGGACACGACCTACTATAGTTCTCTTGCGATGTCTTCTGACAATGAACCGTTGTACGACACCCTCCTAGGCGAAAGCGAGATACCTAGCTGGCCTTCCACTCTTCGAGTGATCGACATGGAATATCTGCGCAACTGGAACTCGAAGTCCGCGACCAACTTTTTCAGCTCCCTGATCGAAGCCGCCGAGGAACTACCATGGTTACAAGAGATCACTATCATGGCAATGGTGGACACTGATTGGCGGCAACGGGCGGCATTCAGGATGAAATGGAGCGCCAGGTTCAAGAAGGTCTTTGCAAGGAGATGGGTTGCTCCAAGTCCCCACCTCGCGTCACTCAGGGCTTTCAGGGAGTGGAAAGAGCAGAGCAAAGTCGAAGAGAAGAATGATTCATTCATTGAGGGCTTGTCGGAACAAAAGGCAGATGAGACAGAGAATGCAAGGATTGCGGATACGAGCGATAGTGACGTCCCACTGCTCCCTTCGCGCGAGCAGAAAGGGGATGATAGGTGGGGATCAAAGCGCCTTCGCTCCCGGTCGAAGGCCACTGGGAGCTACGACGAAGCATCGGAAAACGAGGTGGAGTCTGAGGGTGGCGAGGCGACGTCGGATGGAGATGAAGATTTCTTCGTGCAAGGTCGCTGTCATACAGTCATCTTCCGAATTGACAACTTTCGTCCCCGCGAGGAGATATACAATGAAGCCGACTTTCTGGATGCAGAGCCCAGCGGCGACGAGGAATGGAACGGAAACGAAGACAATGACGACGAGGGCGGTTATGCCTGGTAATGAGATGGAGAGGTTTGGGTGATTCGGTATACGAAGCATTATTATGATGTTTGGTTTTCTAAACTCGGCGTACGGGCATCATGCATTGGTGTTTGAAGACGGGCAGGACCTAGCAGCGGTTAGGCGTTAGGGTGGGTCCTTGTACAGCTATCCAGGTATCAGTATTGGGTTTGCGTCAGGCACGATGTTGGGCCGCGACTATCTTGGCGCAGAAGTTGGGGTACGGGTGAATGCGACCAAAAGCATCGGGTCTCGGAATATAAGCCTACCTCTCCATAACCCGCTAGTAGTATTTCTATTTAGAAATCCATTCTGCAGGCTGTCGTCCTACTGTGGTAGCGTGAGGGCGAGAGGGAAATATGTATGTATGAAAGGCAGCTGAAGATTGGCTCTGCGCCACGATTCGTTTGTGGCGCAACGTCATGGTCGGCGGGCTGTGTATGCGAGCGTTGAGAGGTAAAGAGCCCTGCAACCGTCAAGCACCTAGAGCACTCACATCACTGGCCTGGACTCTCCCTCCCTCGCCCAGCGCTCCCACCACTTGTCATATAACCGCCTTGTGCGATTCTCTGCCTCTTCTCTACTCTTCATCTTTTCTTTGTCTTTTACACCTAACCATCAACGCCCTGCTGCCCCGCGGTTCCCCCAGGTCGTCGATAACATGGCTGCGCCCACTCCCCCACAACACCCAGGCTCCCCAGACACTGGCCCTACCGACCCTACGCTGCCAAAGCTGCCTGCTGGATGGATAGCCCAGTGGGACAACTCGTAAGCCTTGCCTGCAATTATTGCCGGCTGCTGCCCCGCTACCGCAGCGTCTGCCCCGCGACACAGCTAACTCTTGCACAGATCGAAGAAGTATTACTGTACGTACTGTCGCGAGGGCGCATTCGGCCACAGGACATGCCATCACGGCTCCAGCTACGCAGTCTACTAATACACGGCAACAGATGTCCAGATCAGCACCGGCGTGTCGCAATGGGACCTGCCCACCAGCGAAGCCCCCGTGGGCGGCGGCTCCAACCGCAGCACTCCGGCACAGCCCTTGAACCCATACCATAAACCAGACGGCACACAAGGTCCTGAAGCTGGTGACGGGACACGAGGCATGGGAGACGGCCCGACTGGAGACAGGGCCGGTGGGCTAGGTGTAAGATGAGACACTTGGGCATCAACGAGGCTGGGCTGACAATATGATCAGGGTTTCGCAATGAACGCTATCATGGGTGGTGGTAAGAAGCAGAACAACGGACACGGCGGCGGCGGCTCAGGAAACCTTGTTGGTCAACTCGCTGGTTCCCTGCTCGGAGGCGGAAAGCAGTCACATGGCAGCAGTGGACAGGGTGGTAGCGGTGGGTCCGGCAACCTCGTCGGACAACTAGGATCACTACTAGGAGGCGGAAAGCAGCATGGAAGCTCGTCTGGCGGTCAAGGTAGTGGCGCTGGCCATGGATCCAGTGGTGGTGGTGGTGGCCTTGGAGGGCTGCTCGGAGGTGTGCTTGGTGGACAGGTACGTACCGCTAGGCGCGATATACATGTTCAGGACATATTACTAAGGATGCACAGCAACATAAGCCAAACAAGCCAAACAACGACTTTGGCTATAGTCACAGCTCAGCATCGAGCGCGACATATACAGGCACTGCGCCACCAACGTCGTACAATCCCGGTGGCCAATCTGGCGGATACAGCGGTGGACCTCCCAATCAGTCTAGCTATTCGTCGCCTCCACCTGGCCAGCAATATGGACAAGGTCAGGGACAAGGAGGCTATGGACAGCCACAGCCACAGCATCAACAAAACCAGCACGGCGCGCCTCAGCAGCACCAGCAAGCGTACGGATCTCAAGCAGGTTTTGGAGGGCAATCTAACTACGGAGGCGGCCCGCCCAGCTACGGACAAGGACCACCGGGAGGACCACCAGGAGGACCACCTGGAGGCTACGGACAGCAAGGTACTTTGTATGACGCCCACATGAATGACAGAGCTAACAGTAAGAAGCCGGCTATGGTGGTCCAGCAGGCTACGGCGGCGCTCCTAGCGGTCCTTATGGAGGACCTGCAAACTATGACAACCATCAACACAAGTACGTTACGTCCATTTACGTAGCGCATTGGCGACATGAGACTGACTTTGTTACCCAAATTTTAGCCAGTATGGCGGACAGCCTACACCGCAGAACCAATACGGCGGCCAGCAGTACCCCCCGCAGCAACAAGGTGGATATGGCGGACAACCTGGCCAGCATACACCACAGCCGGGATGGCATTAAGCCGCAGAGACTCGAGGTACCCAAAATTGCGATACGACTGACTAAAGTGTGCTATATATGGAGCAGGACGATTCATAATGGCGACGGAATATCAGTAACCTTGAATCTTTTACTGGGTGGGGCATTAGAGTCAAAGCAAAAGGGATATTTATGGCCGAGATACCTTTCTCTCGATTCTGTAGATCAATACTTCTTCTATTCTGTTCATACTCATACTCACGCTTTCGCGGTCGCCTGACGTTGGACTACACTAACCTGGGTTTGAGACTCAAATGTGATTGAGTGTTCTGAGGGGTTCTTTCCTCCGTTCTAGGATGCTAGAAAGTTTCGAGGTGAGACGTTGCGTCGTTGACCATGACGCGTGGCTGGATGCTACCAGGGCCGCTATCACACCAGTCTCAGGCCATCAGTGCAGTACCGCCATCTCAGCGCGCAGCACAACAGGCATATCACGACTCTCTCGTCCGTGGCACGAGACCAGCTCAACCTCAACCTCAACCTCAACCTCAACCTCAACCAAAATGTCGACCCCACAAAACCCTCTACACATGTCTAACTGTTACCACAAACACACTCCCTCCCTCACTCACCCAAACAAATCCGCCCCATCCCCACTACCACCAAGTACCCCCAACACGCCCGCCTCCCCTACAACTCTCCACGCAACCTTGACCTTCCCGCTCTCCTGCAAATCCGGTACATGGCCGGCCTCGCAACTCCCTATCCACCCGCTCAGACTGGCCCTCACCGCCCGCGCATCTTGCCGTGGTACCCGCACGAAGACGTGCCGGCCGCGCGTCTGCAGTATGTCGATGGGTATAGCGGCGCCTGTGGTGCCGAGGTAGGAGGTCAGAGACTGGGAGAGGAGGGTTGATATTGTGAGGGCGTCGAGGTTTGCGGTTGGAGTTGGGTATGCTCTTGTTGAGGCTGTGGTTGTGGTTGTGGGGGGAGAAGGCGAAGTAGGGCGCGAGGACGTCGTTGGGGGGTAAGGACTTGTGGCGGCTGTACTCGGCGTTATGAGACAGAGGTGGAAGTATGACCATGTGGGTTTCCGGAACGTGCATTGGTGGAGTATGTGTGTTTCCTTGCGCTTTCGCTTCTTCTTGTTCGGCTGGCTTGGAGGAGTGGTTTCGGGGGCGACTTCTTCCGCTGTTGTCGCGTTGGGTGGTGCTGTGTTCACCTCTTCGGTAGATGTGTTTATGGTCGGTGCGGTGGTTGGAGTGAACAAGGTGGCGGCGAGGGGAGATCTCGGGAGGAGTGTTGGCGCCATGTGTAGCTTTTAATAAAGGCGCCGGCCCCAATTATGGGTGTGTGTGTAAGCGCAGGGTGATGTAGAGGTTCGAATTAGGGTTGCACGAAGTCGCTGCGTACAATTTGGGCGACGCGAACTTTTGTCGGGGTTAAGTAGCGCGTCCTGCTATCTCCGCACCTCTCCAGATTGATTAATCACGGCGACGAATATAACAAATGTTTAGCAGTTTGTTTGTACCAATCATGGTTAGTTTTGTAGGGCTCTCAAGCTATCTACATATGCAGACATGCCTTTCATCGTATTCATCGTCAGCTGAAACATTCAAGACCTATCTCGTCTTTCCCCCACCGCCGCCGTCGAAACATGGCGAGGCAAGCCTGGAATTCCAAGACTATGCTGGCAAAGCTGTGATATACATGCTAGAGAGAAAGAGTACGCCAATGCCTACAGGCGCCGTGGCGAACTGTAAAGTAAGAAAACGCAAGTTGGGGGTATTGTATGCCGCAGAAGGTAGATGCAGAAACACACTTCAACCAAAGGAAAAATGCCGCCAGAAAAGGAGTAGAAAGAGAATTTGCTGTGAGAAGACAGTTGGACGTATTAGTACGCGGGGCGAGAAATAGCAAGCGGCCTACGTCCTTCTTTTGTGCTTTCCCTTGCCGTTGCTGCCGTTGCTGCCTTTCGCATGATGTTGGGTAGCCGTCGCTACAAGAGCCTCGAAGCCACGTGGTAAATTGAGCTCTAGTGGTTTCGGCAGCTCCTGATTAATGAGTTCGATAGCAGCCTTGAGATTTGCTACAAGAATGACAGTGGTGCCAATCATGTTGAACCACACATTGTTGGGCTCAATATAGTTGTCGTTGACCGTGTTGAACTCTCCACGAAGCTGGTTCACTTTGTCGTTCAGCTCGTCAATAGAGCTCTTGCATGACTCCCCAACTTCGGTGATTGTCGAGTGTGCAGTATCCGCGGCTTGCTGAATGTCGGTAGCTGACAGCAAGAGGTTTTGCAGTTGAGGCGCATCATTTAAGAGCGCTATAATTTCTGGTTCGCGAGTAAGAACCCAAGAAACATTGGTTCTAAAGTTCTGGAGCTGACCAACGCTCTGTTGTACAGTGTGAAGTTCTTGGAGTAGATGCGATGCATCTGGGTACATCTGCACGAACCAGTGAACCATTCTCTGGTAAACATCATCAGTGGTGATGTTGTTGTACTGCTCCTGCAGGCCATTGATCCCGGCTATAATGGTGTCTATCCTGTTCTTCGTGGCGACGGTATCAGCTTTTGACCCTAGCTGTCGTTTAATGTCAACGACATCACGATCTCGGGCTGACACCTCTTCTGTCAAAGATACTCGAAGCTGGGCCGTCTCTTCATTTAATCTGCTCAGATCCTCTACAACGGTACTCGGTTGCGTTTGTAATTCTGTTCCTGCAATCGTGCCCCTGGCTTTCTCAAGCTCGCTGTTAATAGTCTCAAGCTGCTGGTCTACAGTCTCCTTGAAAGAATCGAAATGATCCTTGAATAGAGCTGGTACCTGTTTTTGTAGAACTTTATTGAGATTGGACTGCATGTGAAGAGTAGTCTCAACTTCCGTCAAGTAGTTGTCCATTGTCCTGATATCGCATCGTATCTTCCCAAGTGGGGTTTCATCTGAATCATCTTCTGCTCCAGGTTCTTGTATTGTAGCTAGGATCGGCTTCATTTCAGATATTTGGCTGCGAAGCCCCTCGATATCTTTAGTGAGCTGCTCGTACTGTTCTGTGCTTTGCTTGGCGACTCCTAACCGCTCCTTTACGTCGGTAATCGTCGATGTTAGGCCATTGATTGTCTCTTTCATCTTCTGTAGTTCTTTGACGTCAATGTCGAGTTGGTCTAATCTTATTTTGGTAGAGTCCACAAAAGAATTGTCGGCTTTTGTTGCAGCATTGGTAGTTTCCAGGTTGTGTACACGTTCTGAAAGTGCATCTTGAGATGTGCTGGCACTCTTCTGTTCGTCGGATAGCTTTGATAGCCTACTCTGAAAGGTTTTCACCTGTTTCATGGCCTCCGAGTCCTTTGATCGTTCCATCGCATTAAGACCTTCGATCTTTGTTTCTAGGCTCTTTTGAGAGTTCAGAGACTTCTTGACGTCTGCTGACAAGCCTTTGAGATTTTTAAGGTCTTCGTCAATACGCTCCGTGAGCCGGGTTTCTGTGCTCCGAATCTTCTCCTGAAAACCTTCCTTCGCTTCGCCGATTTCCGATGTGACTACTTCAGACTGCATCTTTTTCCAGGTTTGAACAGATTCAATGTCATTCTTTATAGCCGAGATAGCTTTCTCTTGACTTTCTTGAGTACCTTTGACCTGCTTGATATGATCTACATCAGCCTGGTCTTTCTCAGCTCGGCTTGATTCAGCGGCTTCGAGCTTTGCTACCCTGACCAAGAGAGGCTTGATGTCCTTCACCTCCTCTCGGAGACCTTTGAGCTCAGCAGTCAAACTTGGTTTCTCTAGTGTCTCTGACCGTTCTAGCCGATATGTCTGCAGCTCTGCTTGCATAGACGAGTTGGCCGTCTTCAGCTGAGCGAGCTCCGTCTGCATAGTCTTGAATCGTATGTCAAGTTGCGCAGCAGTCGGAGTAGTCGCGGAAAGATTGTCGACTTTCATACCGACAGAGTTGGCATGGCGGGCAATAGCTTGCTTTCTTTTTCTGAGATTCCGTAACGATTCTATACTAATCGGCACCTCTGGACTAGTGGCTTGCTCTTGTTGCAGAATTCGGTTTGTGGGCGCGGACCCTCCTGATATAGGCAGCATTCTAGGTACTGGAGGTGCGGCTTGCACTGGCGTTGTCCCGCTTCCCCCGGTACTACCAGTAGATGTAGGCTGAAGGTCATTTCTAGCGGTTGCGTCACCAACAGGCCGGGAAACACCATTTTGCAACGTCTTGTCCGTGGGATCTTTGTTAGATCCGGGTCTGTATTGGTCAGTTCTCAATCCTAACCTGGTCTTTGGCGCTGGCCCTGTTGGCACGCTGGCTGGCAGACTACTAAGAGAAGTCCTTCTAGAAGCCGGAGGGCCTGGAATCGTAGGGCTCCTGATATTGACGTCCTAATTATTTTTTAGTGTCCATGGCCATTGAAATGGTACAATCATATGCTAGTAGAACCATACCCTTTCTTGCATCAAGATCGAACGCTCAGACAGGCGACTTCTCTTCTCGGGAGGGCTTGTGTCCCTCGAACGAGGACCGGGAGGCCTCTTGCGCGAACTCATGTTGGTTTGTGCGGGTGGGAGTAGGATTGATAGTCGAGCATCAAGTGAGCTGGCCTTGGTAGTAAACGTTAGCTTTTGGTGAGAGACGAGCTGATTGTGGAGCCGCTAGCGATAGGGTGCGTCAGACTAGCACGTGACTCTTATGCGCCTTGCGGTTTCGAGCGATTGCTTTAGGCCCAAGCAAGCATTTTTTTTGGAGAACAATACGACCTAGCGACGGGAATCTGTTCCCCTGGCTATCCGTCGCTTGTAACGAAGAATAGACGGCGTGAGTACACGAGACCAGACTCTGAGTCCCTTTTGTGCTCTAGAAAATACTGCTGTTTCGGCGCGCTACTTCTGCAACATTGGCAAAGAGCACCCTCCTGGCGGTAACGTACCTATTGTCGGCGGGATGTGATTACGGCTGATGCTTTTCCAATAACGTGGATGCTAGGAAATGAAGACACGGATATTTGGCTGCGGCGTGAGGAAGCCCAAGCTAGATGAATAGGGATTGGAGAGGGGGGGAAGCAAGTGCTGGTCGCGTCCTCAGAGGGTGCAGGTAATAGCAAAAAGAAGCGGCTTATATAGTAGTCGCAGCAGGACGTAGTGATGTCCTTGGAAATCAGCTTCTTCTGGTTACGCGCTGCTCTGTATCCAGTGGTCAGTTTGAGGTAAAGGGCATGGTCAGGCTCGTCAATCGCGTCGACTGGGAGGGGAGCGGACGCGTCCAAAGAGAGAGCCGATAAACCGCCAAAACCCAACTGGCCCGTGCGCCGTTGCTTAGCTTTCCTCGCGTTCGCCAAATGTTGCTGTCGCAGATCGATCGCAGCTTCCTTGCGCCAGACTATTCGCACTCGCACCACACTTCGCCATGGCTGTTGTAAGTGATTATGCCAGTTCAATTCATCCCAAACACCATTCACCAAACTAACACGATGCAGCCCATCACCACCATCGCCGAGAGCAAAGAGCTCCGAGGCCTCAACCTCATCGCCGCGCATTCTCACATTCGCGGCCTCGGCGTCGATAGCGACACGCTCGAGCCCAAGCCATCGTCGCAGGGACTGGTGGGACAGGAGAAGGCGCGCAAAGCGGCCGCCGTCATCCTGAAGATGGCACAAGAGGGCAAGATTGCGGGCCGCGCTGTTCTGATTGCGGGCCCCCCCAGCACAGGCAAGACGGCCATTGCCATGGGCATGGCACAGTCGCTGGGCCCAGATGTCCCATTCACCATGCTGGCCTCGTCTGAGATCTTCTCCCTGGAGATGTCAAAGACCGAGGCGCTCACACAGGCCTTTCGCAAGTCCATCGGGGTCAGGATAACCGAGGAGAGCGAGGTCATTGAGGGCGAGGTTGTCGAGATACAGATCGACCGCAGCGTCACGGGGGTTCGTACAGGGCACTATACACACAATGGACAGACGCTGACTTTTGGTGCAGAGTAACAAGCAGGGCAAGCTTACCATCAAGACGACGGACATGGAGACCATCTACGACATGGGCACCAAGATGATTGATGCCATGACCAAAGAAAAGATCATGGCCGGCGACATCATTTCCATTGACAAAGCATCGGGCAAGATCACCAAGCTCGGCCGCTCCTACACACGCTCACGCGACTACGACGCCATGGGCATCGACACCAAGTTCGTGCAGTGCCCGGAAGGCGAGCTCCAGCAGCGACGCGAAGTAGTGCACACAGTCAGCTTACACGAGATCGACGTAATCAACTCGCGGACACAGGGCTTCCTAGCTCTCTTCTCTGGCGACACGGGCGAGATTCGCAGCGAAGTACGAGACCAGATCAACACCAAGGTTGCAGAGTGGAAAGAGGAAGGCAAGGCTGTCATCGTTCCCGGTGTGTTGTTCATCGATGAGGTGCACATGCTCGACATCGAGTGCTTCTCCTTCGTCAACCGAGCCCTCGAGGACGAGCTCGCACCCATTGTCATCATGGCTAGCAACAGAGGAAACACACAGATACGAGGCACAGACTACAGGTCGCCACACGGGCTGCCACTGGACTTCTTAGACCGAGTGGTCATTGTCAGCACACATGCTTATTCCTCTGAAGAGATGCAGCAAATCATCTCGATAAGAGCACAAGAGGAGGAGGTGGATGTATCGCCAGACGCTCTAGCGCTGCTGACGAAGATTGGACTCGAAACTGGGCTACGATACGCTAGCAATCTAATCACCACCTCGGACTTGATACGCAAGAAGAGGTCCGGGTCTGAGGTGACGATCGACGACGTCCAACGGAGCTTCGCCTTATTCTACGATCCCACAAGGAGCGTCAAGGTAAGCTTTGCGCCTGTCGGTTTTTGTAAAACTATGCTAATACACGTACTAGTTTGTCTCCGACTCTGAGAAGCGTCTCATCGGTGACGCGGGCAATGTGTCGTTGGCTGTCGCCAATGGCACGGATGCGATGGATGTCTCGTAGACGGCGTAATCATTCTCGTTGTTCCCGGCGTTCACCAGGTACCGGAAGATTCTTAGCGTTTGGGCATAGAGCTTGCAGGCAGAGCTAAAAGTTCAGGTAGTGTAATACTAGAAGCTTCGTTTGAGTGGGAGAAACCTCGTTCCGTCTGGCTCTGACCTAATCCCTCACGCTTCCCAAGGCTTCACCGTAAGCGCGCGACAGCGAAGAAAAGGGAAGGCCTTTATACAAGTCTTGTGAGATGGTCCGTGTGTCGTGTCCCAGCCTGTGACCTACGTAGACATGTACCAGTCACGATATATTGACCAAGCCAATGACAGAATCAAAGGCATGACCCTCTCAGAAGAAGCATAGGTGAGAACATGGAAGACGGGCAACTTTGGAAACCCCTACCGACCCTGCAGCGCTGGTAGCGTCGAGTGCTGACGAGGCCTCAGGTCCTACAGAAGTGGCGTTTCCTAAACCGGGTAGCAAGGCACGCGACACCAACATTGCGTACGCATGCCCGCGGGCCTCCACAGAGAGACACTGTAAAGGTTGGAACGGCTAGAACATGCCAAAACCCGTGGAAAATTGCAGGTCTGTATGCGTTGTTGGACATTTCCCTAGGCGTCAGGAAGCCCCCTACAGTGTGTACACTGCCAACCGCTCCGCATCGTGTCAAGAAAAGCTTAGCACGCAGCGGCCGCGTGTCACTGGGCAGTCTAGACTATCAAGCCTTTTAGTCTCGGGTTTAACGGCAGCACTTTGCCTCTTCCTGTCTGATGGGGGCCTAGATACCCGGGGATGGCTCCGATCCGCCAGGGCAAGATGGCTGTACTCACAGCTCGGCAACATGCATGACAAAAGACGCGCCGCATCTCGAACCTCTTTGCTGACTCCCTTTTCACTATTCCTTCACGCTCTGTTCTTTGCTTCGTTCTATCCAGTTCGCGATTACTTATTGTATAGACTGCCTCATTCATACCTGCCCAATCCCGTTGTTTCACACTGTACACCTTAGCATAGCACAAGACACCTTCCTGGACGAGATCTGACTACCAGTGACCCTTCCACCATCAACCAGACCAGCAGCCCGGGCTAGTGTACGACACTGGGTTCGAGACTATTTCCGCCCTTGCATTTCATCATTGGTATATACAACATCGATACAGAGAGTTGCAGCCGGGTGCTTGAAGGCGCAACAACTAGACCTTTGTCATGCGACTACCAATATGTACGGCTACTATTGCATGTGCAACACTCTTTGCAACCTCGCTGGCTGTGCCGACTACAAAGGCCACTCATCAGAAGACTGCACAACAACAAGCGGACAAGGCTAAGCGGAGAGACGACGAGGGAGCAAAGTATTTCCATGAGCCTGGGTACGTCGTTGTCTCATTCTTACCCTACAGAACTGATCCTTCGACATCTGGGGCTTCACTGAGTCTGTTGTAGAAACGATGATACGCTCGGCCATTATGATGCACGCTACTTCCACGGCGTCGTCTCAGACGAAGAGCGAATGGACACGCAGTCGCACATGGTCCGCGCATACCTCAACTTCTTTCATGACAAGGGGTTGGATACTTGGATCGCACACGGGACGCTACTCGGGTGGTGGTGGAACGGAAAGGTACTTTATGCATCTCACCTCGGACAGGAACGCCCTACTGATGTGTACACAGCGCCTCCCATGGGACTTCGATCTCGACACACAGGTCTCCGAATCCACGCTCCACCACCTCGGCTCGGCCTACAACCAGACCAAGCACCTCTACACCTCGCCAGACGGCAAGACTGAGCGCGAGTTCCTCCTCGATGTCAACCCGTGGATATGGGAGCGCGAGCGCGGCGACGGCATGAACATCATCGATGCGCGATGGATCGATGTCCGCAACGGTCTGTACATCGACATTACCGGTCTCAGCGAAGTATATCCGGACACGGAACCAGGGGTCTGGAGCTGCAAGAACTACCACTTGTACAAGACGACTGACTTGTATCCAATGCGGGAGACAATGTTTGAGGGCGTCATGGCCAAGGTGCCGTATGATTACGACAAGATACTGGTGGATGAGTATAGTCAGAGCGCGCTTGTTTCTACGGAATTCCATGGGTATGCTGCAACGGAAAACTACCCTGAAATTCACACAGACTAATATGAAGACAGACATGGATGGGATTCGAAGCTTAAGGAGTGGGTGAAGACCCAAGAGACAATACAGAGAGAGGAAGAGACGCGGATGATGAAGATAGAGGAGGATAAGAAGAAGGCGTTGGAGCACGCGAAGCTGGACTAGTGGGCTAGCTGGCCTTGATCATTCAGCATTGAGCGTTGAGCGTTACTGCCTTTCAGTTTTGAAGGTGTTTAGCATAGCCGGTACATCGTTCCTCTGGGTTTTTGGCTTTTGAAAGAGGCTTCATCGCTTGCATACCTATGGATACCCTCGGCGTTTGGAGTTTGTTGTTGGACCAGATCCTAGACGTCACCGCAGTTCCTATCAATACACAGTCTTCGTCACCCTAGGTGTTTCTCTGACAGAAGCCTGAATCATTGTGGTGTTGGTGGTAGACGGTAGAATGGGGCTCGCATCGGATTTAGCTTGATGACAAATCTCCGGGCGACGCATCACGGATGGAAGCCTTGCAGAACATCACCGAAACCTCCATGGCGTTATCTCAGCCACATGCTGCGAAGCTTGATATCTTGATCACCGACTAACTCTACAACTAACTCTACATAAAACAGCTTCTTTAGGGTCTAGATCGACTGTACATGCCCCAACAGCAACATGGGCGACTCCAACGACCTATCCGCCACCACAGACCAGCTCCAGGTAACGCTCACACATCACGGCAAGCCCATCACACTATCGTTCGCCAAAGATGCCACAATATCCGGCCTCTCTGAACGTGTCGCGGCAGAACTCTCCATCCCGCCGTCAAACCAGAAGTTCCTCGTGGGCGGCAAGCTTGGCCTCCAAAAACCACCCTTCAAAGACCCAACGATACCACTCACAGACCTCACTTCCAAGAAGATCACACTCATGGGCAGCACAACCGCCGAAGTATCCTCCCTCAACGCCACCATATCCGCCGCCTCCGCGCCTCGCCGACCAGGGCCCGTAAAAGCCGCCACGCCCGCGCGAAGTCGAGACTACAAGAAAATCCAAGACGAAGCGCAATACACATTCCACACACTACGCCCGCTACCCTACCTCCCAAATCCCGATCGATCGCTACGTTTCCTCGAGAGGCTGCGGGACGACGCAGGGATCAAAGCGGCGATGCGGACACACAAGTTCTCGGTACCTCTGCTGACGGAAATGGATCCCGCAATGCACACGACACAGGAGTCCCGGACGCTCGGGCTCAATCGCAATCAGGGCGAAGTCATCGAGCTACGGTTGCGCACCGATGCATACGACGGCTACAGGGACTACAAAACTATCCGCAACACGCTTTGTCATGAACTGGCGCATAATGTGTGGGGCCCGCATGATCGGAACTTTTGGGAGCTGTGTAAGCAGATCGAGAGGGAGGTCGATCGCGATGACTGGAGGAGTGGCGGTAAGAGTGTTGGTACCCAGGAGTATTATCAGCCGGAGGAAGATGAGGTACATGATCATGGTGGATGGACGGGCGGCGAATTTACACTGGGTAGTCGGGGAGGCGGGGAGACGGTGGTTAGTAGTGCCGGAGGCAGTGTGCCGGTGGGAGGACTGAGTAGGAGAGAGGTGCTTGCCAGGGCGGCGGAAGAGAGAGTCAAGAGGACGAAACAGGCTGAGGAAGAGACGGGGGGCTCTGGGAACAGTTCATGAAAAACTGAACAGCTATGTCATCTTGTGCTACATGCTACGAGTCGTTTTCGATCGCGCGTATACCCTTTGGCGCATGCAGGAAACTGGGCGATGTAGGTCATTTAGGCCTCTTGGATGAGAGGATATATTTTATCATTCAGTCACATTTGGATTTCTCCTACTTCATGTCTTTTCATCTCTCAACTGCCTGCTCCTTGATCAACAGTTAACAAGGAGAAAGTAAAGAAAAGTCGATGATCCGCATTCTCGGACAGAAGCATGAGCTAGCTACCCCACAGATCAGCAGCATGCCCGCAAGCTAGCCGACGTACTCCGCATCTCCGCATTTCCACCTCACAACACTTCCTCTCTCCTTCCTAACTCTTATATCGATCTTCTCACCTACCTATCCCTTCCTCTCGTCCTTAACAACAGCGAAAACCCCACTTACCCAATCCATTCTCCCAACTTCCCATTTCCCAACCCCCTCATTCATCATCTCATAAGCATGTCCTGGTTCCTCCCCTTCCTCTTCGTCGTCGCTCTGGCCTGGTGCACCGTCGGCATCCTACTCGCCCGCTGGCTCAAGCAAGCTGGTCATGCAAAGCCTTTCAAGGGCAGGGAGTGGGATGATGGCGCTTTGTATGGCGCGGGTGTGGGGCATGGGCGGCGGGTTTTTGGTGCTGGGGTAGCGGGGAGGCAAGGCGAGGAGGGGAGAGGGATTGTTATGGGAGAGTTTGGGCGGGGGAGGGTGAAGGGGCTGTGAGGTTCTGAGGTTGGGGGTTTCTTTGCAGGTGGAGAGGGAGAGGTATGTGGTGGTTGAGGTATGTATATTTGGATACTGAGTGCTTTGTATCTTCAGGGGCTGATAAAATGTAGAAGATGCTACGCAAAGATGCATACACTGCGGATTCCATAGGTCCCTGACTTTGTTCGGGTCGTTGCAAGCGTTGGAAAGCAGCGCTCCGTTTGCTCAGTCGCCAAGCAAGCCTTTCACTTCCAAAACCACGGTAACGGCACAACTTTCCCCCAAGAATAATACTTGTTCGGGCTGCTGCACGTACCCACCCATGACAACGAGGCTATCCCATGCAACGCCCGCCCACGCTCGCCGCTCTTTGTTTACAAGCCTCCAAGCATCCTTTGTCTACCACTGCCACAACCTTGAACACCACCGAACCCAAGAATCGGCGCATGTGCAAGAAACCCTGTGGATTCGACACTAGCAGCCTTTGTGTCTTTACTGTCATTGGGTTTCTTGCGGTCTAGTTTCACTCTCGACATTTCACTTTCTACGTCAACTTACGATCTGGTTCCCCCAACATTACGACTTGCGCAAGCTTTGGAACCGTTGACGCGACATTCACGAGCCACGGGACTGCTTAGAATTTGCTCCCACACCTACTCTTACACCACGCCCATTCGGCGGTGTTTCACCAAGGCGATACCGCACTCAACAACCATACATCGATCAAGGAACAATATGTCCCATAACATACTCAACCGCCTTGCAAAGTCTGGCGTATCCGGAGGCAGCATGCTCAGCGCGTCCGCTCCCATCATGACAGCGCTGGCCCAGCAAAATCAAGCAAAATCACAACCTCTCCCGCTATCTACTGTCGCAAAGCTGCTCACCCGCTTCCTCTTCGGCGAAATTCAGCTCCCTCCTGTCCTCCAGCAATACGGCCAACTGATGCTAGTATTTACAGGTGGTGCAGCAATAGCATCAAGTCTATACTACTTTTTCCAAAACCACAAGGAGAACCGCGCAAAAGTTCAGCTCGCTGTCTTCCATGTCATCCGCATGGTCGAGAACCTTCCAGACTTACAAGCGCAGTTGCAAGACCCGCGCGCACTAATTGCACAGATGGATAAGGAGGTGACTCGAATGATTGGTCTGCATCTCTCGAAGACCGAGGCGGGCAGTGCAATGGTGGAGCTTAAGAGGAAAGTCTGGGCTGTTGCTGATGAGAAGATGAAAAATGAGAAGAGAATGAAGAAAGATGGCGAGACGATACAAGAGGCCGAAGCCACAATCTCGGGGCTGTTTGCACCAGCAGAGGTCCGCGTTCAAGCACCATACCAGAGCGAAATTCCTCAAATCGTCATCAGATCGCCATCCACGGAAAATGATATCCAAATGCAGCTACAGGAAGCAGTAGAGGATGAGGAGGAAGTGTCAGATGTCAGTATGCTCGATATCGACGACAAAAAGTCAGTGCAAAAGTCTCCGTCGCCTAAGCATCGCTCTGCATACACGAGCCCAGCTCAAGCGCCCCTGTCTACATCATCGCCAGCTCGTAGCCTATATACGAGCCCAAATCAGCCGCCTCAATCAAGTCAGGGTCGCAGCACCTATAGGTACCCATCATCGTCAGAATCTGGTGAAGGGCCCCCCTCGCCAACACCAGCGCCACGGCCGAGGAACACAACCCCTCAAACTGCTCGAACGAGTTATGGTTTCTCGTACGACGATGACGAACTCTACTCCTCTGTCTCAGCTTCCTCATCTATAAAGACCTCTCCAGCCGAGCAGCAACCTCAACAGCCTCAACAACCACCAATACCGCGTTTCATCAAAAAGCCTCGGAACATACTACAAGCCGCCATCCTCCGAGCATTCGATCCAAACGCCCTCGGCAACCGCCCATATGAGTCTCCTGTCCTTGGTAAATTGAAAGGGATGCAATCGCCTCGTCAGATCGAGGTCGAAGCTCCTCCAGTCAGCATCGCTACCAAGACGGGTGGAAAACTGACAGGCACCCCGCTCACGTGCATACACGAGAGCGATTCGCCACAAGAGAGCCCCCTTCCAGGGACCGCAGAGTACCGTGTTTCAGAGAGCCGAACGTTCTATAAGAATGTAGTGGATGCAAGGGAGAAGCGGCGGCTGGTTAAGAGGTTACTTAGGCCTGAGGCGGTGATAGAGCATGGACAGATCCAGAGCCCAGCGCCAGTTGGTTTTAAGGAGATAGCCTCCGGCCAGGAGTGGCCTGTCCCTGTTTCGACTTCCTCCTCACAGAGTGAGGACGATAAGTCACGGGAGCATGGTCATAACTCGCCGATAGCACCCTTCGACGGCCCTCCTACAGCAACGCCCATTTCCCCTATCATATACGCTCCACCGAGCGATGTTGAATTACAGGAGGTCCCTTCTCCGATCTCAGATCCTGCTCCTTCATCAACTGTCATCGAGGCGAAAACGGCAGGGATCACCGTCATCTCAACGGTTCAGCACTCTGGGCCTCAGACGCCTACGCCTGCGTATACTCCACCAAGGGTTGTAGCCAGCCCGTCGCCGACAACGTTGGCCAAGGTATCATCCAAGGCTCGCACGCCTTCGCCACCGAAGCGCAAACAAGGTCGTTCAAGGAAAGTGGTCGGTGAACTCCAGACGCCCAGTCAGGTGCAGACACCAGGGACGCGTCAGAGTGCCCGGAAGTCGGCGTACAAGGGAATGTATGGGAAGTAGTCGCTTCAGGTGGCTCAAGTACGACGGGATCTCTCTTGAAAGTTCAGGCAATTTTGTACAAAGTAAGCTGTATTCACCACATTGGTTCGTAGGATACGATAGAGTACTTCATGCGTGCAGCAAATAAATTCCAAGCTCAAGTAGAAGGAATACAAACGATAAACATCAAACAACCCCCTTCGCTTCGAAACGGTCCATGTTCCATCCCAGGCTTCCTATACGCATAGCTTCCCTTGGTCCACACATCGCCTTCTTTCCCTTCCTGAATAATACCACTCCCATTCTGTCGCCCCTTCAGATCCCGGAAATCCCCTTCAACAATGAAGATTTCTTCAATGTAGTCGTGCACAAAGTTTTGGATCTGATTCTCTGTGTTTGGCTGCCATTTTTGCAAGTACGTTGCGCGTCCTGTGCTGGGGTCTTTGTTCAGAGTCATTTGTGATATTCCGGGTTCGAGGGGTTCCCATTTACGCGCGGTGTTGGTGAGAGGGTGGGTGGTCGAGGGGTGGAATTCGAACTGTTCCATCTTGGACTGTAGATTTGTTCGGGCTCAGAAAAGGCGGTTGTTAGGAAATGTCTAGATAGAAGGGCTAATATAGTTGGCGGGGATGAGAGGATCGTCGAGGGTAGTGTAGCAGATTTATCTGAACGCTGCATAGAACTACAGGTAGGAAAGCGATACTTATCTAGAGTTGTGCTTGAGAGTGCTCCGGTCAGAGTGGAAAAATGTAAGACGGTTGCTTAGAAATGCAACTATAATCCGATTCATGCTCAGCCAAATCGCTGCTGTTCCCATCGGCTTTTTATGTAGTCCTTCGGCTAATTTCTCTACACACGAGTATCGGCATAATCAAAACCAATAGAAAATGAGAGAGTAAGACCGAGGAGTGGAAAGGGAAGGTGTGTACACACGGGCCAGTTCGGAATGACGTCATGGCTCCATCTAACATCACTAACATCCTTTCTCAAGAGGATTTTCAAAGCGCCTACGCCCTAGTTGAGCTATCGCTGGTTCTGTGAAAGTACTTTGAGTGCGGAGATGTTTGTGATTACATTGATTCTTCCAGGATAGGCTCTCGATCCTTTCCTTTCTCAAGCATCGTTGATCCTTATCTGACCGGCCAGAAAGCATCTCCAGAGAACGTCTCAACAACATGCTGTTGCAGCCGTTCATTGAATAAAGCCTTCCATCTATAAGCGGTATGTTCCACGTTGGTGTGTCCTTCCATCAACACATTGAAGCTCTTCATGGTCTTCTATCAAACTTCTTCAGTACTTCCATTACTTGTTGACATCTTGTTCACTATGACCTCTCGGCATTGCAATAGCCATGCTTTGTCACTATGCAGTGAACCAAACGCAGAGATCGACCATTACACCTATTCAGGGATCACTGAGCAAAGGGATCAGACATATCCGGTTAACTGGATTTTTCCCCATAAATCTCTAGTTAATGAAGTGCCGCCTATATACATTCAATTGACAATACACTTCTATGAAGCAGGCGCGTAAGGCGCACTCTTTACGCTCTCAATATCCACGTAGCCGTATTTGCTTCCATCCTTATCCTCTGCAAGTCCCTGACCCCACGTACCCACATCCTTCAGGAACGCTTTCAAGTTGTTCTCGTCGCTAAGATCAATCGGCTGTTGGTCCTTGCCAAGCTGCCTGATCTGCGTTCCAGCCGCAATGTTTGTGGTACCGAAGTCGTTGTCGTCGACCAATTGGTTAATAGCTGCATCAACCTTGCCATTGAGAATCTGCTTGGGTAGTTCAGGCTCTAGGCAGATGGGTCGCGCGAGGCCAACACCATCAACTGTGTTAAGTGCGTCGACCATAGCTGCTGCAGTCTTGAGACCGCCGGTCACATAGGTCCTGGTCTTTGAGAGCGCGGGTGTGATCTTCTCGGCGAATTCAATGAAGAAAGCCTCACGCTTCTTCGTTGACTCGCGCTTATGTACGAAAGCAAGTTGCTCGTATGTGCCACCGGAGAGCTCGACAAAGTCAAAACTGTTGTCTTCGAGGATCTTGCAGAGCGTTGCTGCTTCCTCCGTGCCGAAACCTTTCTCTTGGAACTCGACAGAGTTGAGCTTGATGCTGAGTACGAAGGAAGGTGATGTGCGGCTTCGAATTTCTTTTCCAATCTCCGTAATGAGCCGTGCGCGGTTCTCGAGCGAGCCACCATACTTGTCAGTGCGGTGGTTCGTAGTCGGGGACAAAAACTGCGCTAGGAGATAGCCGTGAGCGCCGTGGAGCTGGATACCGTCATAGCCGGCCTTCTCGAGGTACTCGGCTGCGTGAGCAAAGCCTTCAGTAATGTTCTTGATGTCCTCTTCAGTGGCGGCACGTGGCTTCGCGAAAGTCATGCCCATAACATCCCCTTTCAGTTGGACATCGGACGCAGAGATGGGGTTCTTTTGGATGTTGTCTGCTACTTGGCGGCCGGGATGACTGACTTGTGCAACAATCAGGGAGCCGTGCTTCTTCGCCTGAGTCGCAATCTCCTTGAATCCCTCGAACCGTTCGCCCTGGTATGGTGCGCCGCGGGGGATGATGGGATTACCAGCAGCTTCGAGATGGTCGTACTCGATCATGACGTTTCCGGTCAGAATCACACCGAATTCGCCCTCGCCCCATCGTCGGTAGACATTGGCGAGATTCTTAGAGGGGACACCGCGAGCCTCGAGATTCTTAGCATTCCATGATGACAGGCGCTCGGTCATTGCGCCCTTTAAAAAGCGGTTTTGCGCAGTCTTCTTCGAGAAAGCAAACTCAAGAGGCTTGCCCAATGGACTAGCATCTTTGTGCTCTGATTCGTAGCGTCGAGGTGCCATCTTGGTGTTTGTATATAATCTAAATCAATTGGGATCTTAAGGGAGTGAAAAAATGTTGAGTTTGCAGTTCGTAAAAATTGTGGAAGGGAACGTAATGACCAAGTCTCCAAGGTTATATAAGATCGAAAGTTCGGCAGATGATGTAGGTACTTCATGTTTATGCATTTCTAAGCGCCCCACTGTTGCGCTACAAACTATCATGTCACAGGTAGCCCACGTCATGGAAAGCTGGCACGCACGTACGTTAGTCGGCGGTGCCTCGGCGGACGTGTTTGAAATTTGCGGGTTGGGCGAATATCGGCGGTTCGGAGGATATCGAATGATACTATAGTGTAGCTAAAACGCTTGTCCAGCGGAGAGAGATCCGTATGAGGCTTAAAGGAAGTGGCGATCCTTCTCTGTGCTATGCTATGTGGTGAGGCGGACCGGCCCGGAATATCACGTGCTCCGGCATGCACTGCCAGCATTTTGACCCCACGAAATGCAATGGCGCAATGCGGGTCACAATCCTGTCTGTAAAATACTCAGAAGTAACTGTATGCGATTATAAGCATCGCGGCTCCTCGCAGGCAGCTAGATCCTGGCAGCGGATTGACATGGATACAGTGCAAGGGGAACAATCACTTTTCTCTGAATGATACTTTATCTCGAATATGGCAATCTGAACTTTGTTGATGCCCTCAACTTGTGGTGTAATTCATTCCTCGATTCGTGATCATTCTACATATCTGTTACCTTTCTTATAATCTCATCGAAATTTCCCTCACCCCTCTTTAGAGGCCATTGCGCCTCGAGCCATTTTCATGATGCTCACTGTTGTCCTTCTCGGATTCCCCACCTAGCACGCCCCCAGTGGGTTGTCTAATCTCCGCCCCAGTAACCGAACTTCTCCGCCTCTCCGCCTCATGCGCTTCCTCCGTATCCGCATAGTCCACCAGCAACTCTCCCCGCTTTCCATAGCGATGCGGCACTTCGTGTGCAATTTTCACAACGTCAAATGCACTCGTAGTCTTATGGAAGATCTCATCCATCTCTTCGAGCGATCGATACGCAGTTTCCGGGAAGAAGAAGTACACACTGGGTACCATAGCGGCGTTGATTACGGCAAAGATGATGTAAGTTTTGTAGCCGATGTTTGCAAAGGCCGGTGGAGTGATCATTACCACCATGAAGTTGAACGCCCAGTTGGCAGTGGTGGAAATCGCATTTGCGGGCGCGCGGATAGATAGCGGTGTGATCTCTGCAGGATACAACCACGTCATGCCAAGCCATCCGACGGCGAAGAAGGAATTGAAGACGAACAGAAATACAGTCTAGTCGAGTTCAGTATCACCCGAGGTTAGTGAGAAGGTATCTTTACGTACCGCAAGAAGACCCGTGCTTGAGTTGCCTATGTTACTCGTAGCACCTGCCAATACAGCCATCGACATGGACATACCGGCTGCACCGAATATCATTAGAGAGCGTCGGCCAAACTTTTCGATTGTGAAGATAGCGATCCATGATGCCATCCAGTATTCAGTACCATTGCAGGCTGATAGAAGACGGCTGAGGAAGGGCGAGAGACCAATGCTGTTCTCGAAGATAGTTGCTGCGAAATACGTTACAAGATTGATACCGGATATCTAGGACGTTATTAGGGGCTATTCGCACGCTGAATTGGAGTTTGGGAAATTTACCTGCTGGAACATTTGATTGATATATGCCAAGACCGTCCGATGAAAGTTACGGTTTCGGTTCATCTTGAAGCACTCCCTAAACCCACCCTTTGACATTTCAAATACAACATCTGTAACTTCTTGGAACTCTTGTTGGATCCTCCTGTCGTCAGGTGGTAGATCGCTCAAAGCGGCCAATACATCGAGGGCCTCGTCATTCCTTCCTTTCAAAACAAGCCAACGCGGACTTTCGGGAAGGCCAGGGATAGCGACGAGGATGAAGATGGCGAGTGCAATCTGGAATCCGATGGGGAAGCGCCAGGCGATGCTGCTGGGCTCAAGGAACGAGAAGCCTAGATCAAGCCAGTAGCTGAGCATGACGCCAAAGACGATGAGCGAGCCTTCTATCATGACCATTTGCCCTCTACGGTGAGGCTTCGACGTCTCTGATTGCCACATAGGCACAGTACTCGTGTTCATGCCATTACCAAAGCCGGTAATCCATCGCCCAATAATGAGTTGTGGTAGTCCAAAAGCGGCTGTCTGCAGGATCGCGCCAATGATCATGATAACAGAGCCGTAGAAAATAGTGCGTTTGCGTCCAAGCATATTACCAAGCCAGATAGTCGCTACGGCGCCAAAGAAACAGCCCAAAGTATATGCACCGACTGGACGAGATTAGTGAGGTAATCTAGCAACATCCTTTCCGCAACTAACCTGTAATTGCTTGTATAGTTGCAGCATGGCTTGAGGAGCTTCCTTCCGGTGGGTTCACAGTATCGATTTGAGGGAAATATCTGAGGAAGGATTTGAGAGTGAGAAGGCCGCCTGTTACACCTTGGTCTAGCTCATGTCAATATTGTCTGAGCGTCCAAACAGTAGGTGCAGACAGACTTACCATAACCGAAGAGTGCAAAGTCCGTTCCGGCGACTACGGCAATAGCAATGTTGAGTTTGGTGCCGCGAAGGCCGTAGAACTTAGGCATTGTGACAGACAGTGTTCGCTACGCGCTGCTGGTATATCCTATGAAACAAAACAAAATACCGCGGACTTCTTCACGGGGCGCACTCGCTTGAAGTAGATGGGATGGAAAGGATCGAAGCAGAGTTCGATCCGCCAGTCTTAATAACAACAACCGAATGGATCATCTATGATTCAAACAGCGTCCGTGAACACACCAAGATTTTTTAGCGTCAAACGATGCCATGGATGCAGGGGCGTCATCCCTACAGCAAGTGAAGCGGTGACGTTTTGGTGGTTGAGCCGCTGTTGCTCACCGCCCCGTGGGGTTTGGCGTGCGGGGATGATCACCATCCGATCAAAGACCTTTTGAGGCGAACCATCGCTGATTCGTCGCCTTTAAACAGCAGTCTAGGGTGTTTACTTAACACTGGACGGCTTGCTTTATTAGGAAGTCCCGGCGCAGTTGAAGTTGTCGGATTTTCTTGCCGAGGACGCTGCAAAGCCGAAAAAGCGCCGCTTTCGCAGAGCATCAAGAAAGTGCTAGTCATTGCGCAAATGGCTTCCCCAAAGCAGTATTCCTCTGGAGCAGTTCCATATAACCAAACTCCAAAACTCCACGGCTATGAAAGGCCATTGAGCATTCTCTAGGCGGTGCCTAATAAACGTAGCGTCATTAGGATCATCAGGAACCGTTGATCTGAGACCTCATCGTTGTCCAGGAGGAACTAAAGTGGAGTCTCCTCTTTGTACAGCTTGGTCAATTGCCTGATCGCCTTAGGCTACGCTTGATCGCACGACAGTGACCTACTACGTGTGCACGTCCTCCAGCGCACTTAAGCTTTGAAATGGATACTGGAGCGAGGCCTGGCACAGGGCGGCTTGCCTCAAATGAACAAGCGGGTACTGCTATTTCGAGAAAAAATGTAGTCATACCATCGCTAGAAAGAAGTCTCGTATAACAGGGCGATACCGGTGTTGAAAGGGAGGATACGAGGAGCAATTGGAAAGGGGAAGAACCATTGGCGCGTTTCGAATTGCGATACCTCTCGATTCATCACATTATGAGCAAGCTAGAAAAGTACAACAGTTACCATATACTCAAGGCATAAACCTTCTTATCTTTCTTGGCGAAGCTATATCCATCATCTTATTAATTACTACAGTACCCTTCAGCTGGCGAAGACTCGGAAGTCGACCAGTTGCACAACTCTATCAATACGAAGCCCTTGATGCTTCATCTAATTCCTTACTCCTGCTATTGAGCACGTCCAGGTACGAATCATACACACGCCCATCAAACTAACTACCAGTAGTGCCTTGCATCTCGTCATCTCATAGCAGTGAAAAGCACATGCCCAACACGATTTCAGATCCCCTTACCATCCTGCCGCTCATCTTCTTCCAGCCTACGCACACTCTACAGTGTCCGCATCAAGCGTCGCAATGCTCGAGTACGTTTATCTAGACCAGCGCGAAGTGGTTCGACCAACCCAGTGCCTACGAAGACACCAACCTGAATATCAGGATTGGACTCTGCATTGAGCAAGTTCTCAGTTTCGTCGACTTGATGCTGTGTGTAGATTGGTTGCTTGAAGGGATCAGTCGATGCAGATTGGAAAGCGCCAAAGTCGTCGTCTTGGTCTGGGACTGTTGGTACAGTATTGGGGGATAGTGAAGAAGGCTTTGGCTCGCTGCTCAAAGTAGCTGTACTAGCATCGTGAGTCTGAGGGTGAGAAGATGGGGTTAGGGGGGAGGTTTGTTCTTCCTTCCATGCGTTCTGAGCAGCTTGTGCATCGTTAACAACGTCAGTGGCTTCGCTGTGGTGCTCAGTGACCGAAGAAGTTGATGCGGAGGACGTGGACATGGCGATTCGATCTGACATTTTGCTTAGTTGACCTAGCGCTATAATAATCTTCTAAGTTCTACAGGGAAAAAAAAATGCAAATTAAGTCCACGCGGAGCTCACACTGTGCATCGAGTGAAATTTCTCACAATGCTTGCACAAGTGAATGGTTGAAACTTCGTGTTGGGCGCGGAGGCTACAGACAGAGCACACTAGACAGCTCGAGGTAGATCTGTTAAATTTGAGTCCTGACAAACTTTTCCATAACCGTCATTCTAAAGCGCTGGAACGCCTTCCCAATGATGAACACCAATGCCTTAACAACGTTATTGACGGTATTAAATGCGCATAGCCTCTCTCGCAGTGGGCTCTCTCTCAATTTCGTACTCGATCTCGCGCTTCGGACCTTTGGAGTCCTTCGCGGACTTCTTCTTCGGCTTGGGCGGCGGCCCAGCGGGGCGTTTGCGCTTGAGATTCGCGAGAGTCTTCTTGAGCGCTTTTGTCTCCTCGTCTTCGGACTCGTCCTCCTCCTCCTCCTCGCTACCACTGGCACTGTCGCTCTCATCCTCGTCACCTGAAGCTTCATCTGGACTCTGACCGCCAACCCAATCCTGAAAGTCCTCCATCTCGTCATCTGTCTCACCCTCGATGTCGCTAACATACTCGACCTCGCCGACACCGTTCTCCATCTCATTCTCATACTCGACCTCGTCCTCCTCGTCCTCGATGCCACTGTCGAGATCCTCATCTCGCTCAACCTGGCCTTCTTTCTCCAAGCCTCGTAGGACCTTCTTCCATACATTGGGCTCGACGTTGAGGGGGCGATCTCCATATGCGCCGGAGCGGAGGCGCTCGATAAGTACGCGCTCAATTGCTCGCTCGACCTTGGCGGCAGCCAATGCCTTCCTCTCTCGTCCATCCTCTCGCCGCCGCACCTTGGGCGCCAGTCGAGGCACGAGCCTCTCGCCCAATCGCTCCTCTTCCTTTGCCAATTTGCGGATGCGGATGTTGACTTGGGTAAGTCTCGTCAAGCGCTGCTTGTTCTTGTGTATGAGAAACTTGGGGAAGTATGCCAGGTGCTCGTCGACGAGCTCAAGCGCCTTGGAGTAGTTGCTCGGTAGCTTTATGCGCTCCCACCACTTGGAGGGAAGGTGCGAGCGTTCGATGGCCTTGATGTAGAGATAGAGAGAACCAGTCGCGGGATCTGAGCGGATGGTGGCGTAACGTGAATTGGCGAGTGGGCAGGCCTGTTTACTACAAAATCCAGAGACATTGTGCTCGTTGCGACAGAAGGTTTGGTCTTTCGTCGTCTTCAACTTGAAGGAACAAAAATCACCACCGATTACGGCCCACACTAGCTCGTCTGGAAGAAGTCAGGATTCCGGTCATATAGCTGGTCCTGAAGAAGAATTCGCATACCTGAAGCCATGATGAAAATGGCGCGAAAAACGCTCTACTACAGTACGTTCGGACTGAGCGAGTACGTCAGAAAGAGTAACAGGCTGCGGTGGTGATAGGTGCCTCTGGCCGGCGCAGTAGAGGAGCTGAGGAGGTGTTGGTGGTGCGGGCTGTTGTCTGGTTTTCGTTACAATGTTGGCGTGCAATCATTTTTCTGTAACTTTTCGGTGGGTCCCTGCGCCCAGACCACCTGCGGGCGGAGAGCGAACCGTCAAGGCCCATTACCAACACCATGCGATGTGATAATTCAGCGCTCGCGGAATGAGAGCTTTCATCCCGTGTTTCAGTCGCAGCCGTCGTCGTTTGGTCTCCAGCATTGCAGTTTGCCCAGTCACGTGCGCCTTCCATTCGTTCGGTAGGCCGCGAAGCACGCCACTACAGTATGGCATTAAAGATCGCATACGGGGGCCCTTGAGCACTCTACAGTATCGACCACATTACTCTAATCCGTTGAGACACGATGAACCGACCATATATGCCCTATCCACCGCTTCTGGGAAGGCAGCCATAGCCGTCATTCGCGCTTCAGGTTCGGCATGTACAAAGGTACAGCCTCTCTATCATGCGTAGCTAAACACCATGCTCAATGCGCAATAGATATACCAGGGACTCTGTCCATCGACTGTCTCGCCGAAGCCTCGTTATGCTGCCCTCCGCAAGCTCTATCGTCCTCATCTACCACCCTCACCCGCGACATTGCTCGACTCTGGCGCACTCGTCCTATACTTCCCCGCACCGAATACCGTCACTGGTGAAGATGTCCTCGAGTTGCACGTTCATGGCGGCCCAGCTATTGTTCGCGCAGTCTTAGCAGCCATACCTGAGTGCGCTAGGGCACCTGAGGCCTCTCACATAGCCACGGCTTCGATTCGGTACGCAGAGCCTGGCGAATTCACGCGTCGCGCCTTCGCCAATAACCGTATGGACCTACCCCAGATCGAATCCCTGGGCGAGACACTGTCTGCCTCGACGGAACAGCAACGTAAACTATCGGTCCGCGGCACAACATCTTCGCTAGCAGTGCGATATGAGCATTGGCGCATGCTGTTGCTGCAGGCGAGAGGCGAGCTGGAGGCCTTGATCGACTTTTCAGAGGATCAGCATTTTGACGAGTCCCCTGCTGTACTATGTGCGTCTGTTGCACATCAAGTCCGCAGTTTGCGCGTTCAGATGGAAGCACACGTTACCAACGCTGTTCGTGGAGAATTGCTACGTAATGGTATTAGTGTGGCTCTGCTTGGGGCGCCTAATGCCGGGAAGAGCAGCTTGCTCAACCGCATTGTCGGAAGAGAGGCGGCCATTGTATCGCAGGAGGCTGGCACAACCAGAGATATCGTAGAAGTCGGTGTCGATCTGGGCGGTTGGCTTGTCAAGATTGGAGACATGGCTGGTCTGCGTAGGGCTGGCCTTGTAGGAGCGGATGTTGTGGGTACAGTCGAGCAAGAAGGCATCAAGCGCGCTAAGCACCGAGCGCTCGAGTCTGACGTCCTGATCGTTGTCCAAGACGCCACAACCGAGATGGATCCCGAGGTTATGGACACAGCGAAGCAGTGCGTAGATCTCGGAATCAATGTGATAGTCGCTGTCAATAAGATCGATCAACTCGAGGCTATCAACAGCGCACAGGAGGCCTGGAAAGCCAAGCTCCAGTCTGCATTGGGCATCTCCCCGGATCGCGTGTGCTACATCTCTTGCAAAGAAGCCTCGTCACCAGATGCTGGCAATCTGCCGTCTTTCCTCAACACTCTCCTCGATACCTTCAAGGATATGACTTCCGCCCTGGTTCCAGATTCGGAGCCCGACCCATCGATCTGGCAGGAGTCGCTAGGCGCAACCGAGCGTCAACGTGTGCTTCTTACCGAATGCCTTGGTCACCTCGAGACCTTTCTGACCACCGCGGCGCCACAAGCCACAAATTCCTTGCCAGGCGTGCACGTCCTCGGCGATGAAGCAGACGAGGTCGACATTGTGGTCGCCGCAGAATCCCTGCGCTCGGCCGCCGAAGCACTAGCCCGGATAACAGGCAAGGGTGAGAGCGGCGACGTGGAGGAAGTGCTTGGGGTCGTTTTCGAAAAGTAAGTTATACATCCCATGCATGTATAATTTCCAATCTTCCTTTTGTGTACATTTTCCTAGAACGTTCTGCGCATGCTCGCAAGGCGTTTTTACACTCGGTACCGTTTTGGCCCCATGGCGAGTGAGATTGCCCACCTAGGGTGCACTGCCAGGAACAGCCACTACCGTAATAGTGTTTGACGTCTGTGCGAGCAATAAGAGCACAGGGAGGCAACTGGACCGGTCCCGTTGCCCTTGCGGCTTACGTTATTCCACGTTTTTGGTGTCTTAGATTGCAGACGATTTGACTAACAGCGTGGGGATTGTAGGTTTTGTGTCGGGAAATAAATCGCGCAAGAAATAACGGATGAAGGACTGCGGCGCTGCAATGCAAAGATGAAGGATGTTCTATTGATTGGCGTGGATGTATATGCCTCCAGGGCAAACTACGGTGATGCTACGAAGGGGAAATCTTTCCAGACCAGCTGGTGGAGCTCTAAGTACCCAATAACGCCAAAAGGAAGAAAAGGGAAAGGAGTGCAAGATGTGACGATTGTCATATATGTTGAAGAATCAAAACAAGAACAGAAAACGCCGAGAAAACGCCAAAAGACTCCATCTCTAAATCCAGTACCCCATCCTGATCCGTGGCTCACTGAAGAGCATATCCCATCCTGTCTAACGCCTGAATCCCCCTGTTTTGTTATCATGATGTGACCGATCATCCATATCCAGATGTCCATATCCAGGTCCCAGAACTCCATCGCTTGTTAATGCTCAGCCAAGAAAGAAGAAACAGAAAACATGAGGAGCAATTGTTGTACAGGTGCTGATAGGGGACGAAAAAGAGTGCAAAGATAACAACTGGAAGTACGAGTACAAGGCCTAGGCCAAATGAATACAGGGTGTTGGAGGAGTGGCGCTCATGGTCGCCATGCGAGGAGTAGTGTACGGCGAAGCATCTGGCCTAGCAGATGGTAGAGATGAATTGATAGTCGGCTCGCCATCTCTCCCGTCGTTGTTTGCGGAGCGTTCTTGGTGCGAGGCGGGGCCTGTGGTGGTGTTTCGTGATGATGTGATCAGCCATGGGGCATGGGCAATTGTAGGCCCTGTGCATGGTATGATGCTTTGACGTAGTGGCGGTTTGCGGGAGCAGCCGCTAATGCTTAGTTGTAGCCGCCTCGACCCATTGTGGTGATGCTGTTGGATTTCGTGGGTTGGTGATATGGGTGCTTCTTCGCTTGGTAGGTCTTCAACGTTAGGTATCGTTGAAGTGTGAATGGGTGGTGGCTTTAGTTGTATCCGCCTCGACCCATTGAGAAGATTGGCTTGAAGGTGTAGGTGAAGTGAAGAATGGTAGACGTTGGGAAGGAAGTTGAGATGGAAGGCGTATGCTTAGAAGATGGCAGAAGGTGGATGACTGAAGAAGAGGATGGATGGATGAATGACTGAAGATGAAGTGCTTGACTCAGAGGAACGCCGTCGACTTATATGAAACAATGGAATCTATAAGCAAATGAAAACACAGACTAGAAAAAGATGTACGTCTTCGAGGTGTGGGTTGTGACTGATTTCTGCCTCTGCCTGCTCGCCAGGCATCTTTATACGTGCACGTTCACCTTTCCCTCTACCCTCCCACTCACCCTATGCGTCCAGCGAACCACAGCACTGGATCGGGGGCGCACCCTGGTCGAGGCATCTAGTCATCCACCCCGTTACTCGCCGGACGCTGCGCCGTTGCAGACAGGAATAAGTCCCAGGGTCTGTGTGAGCGCTGAGAAAGGTGTGGCAGTGAACGCTGGGATAGGAGCCGCAAGCGCACGGATGATGGGCTGGCGCGGCTGATGGACCCTGGGCATCCTTTTGCAGCCCGGGCGCGGTGGATTAAACTGTGCAGATGTGGGTGCTGGGATTGTACAGGGCGTCATTGGCGAGTCCACGAGCATGTAAGAGTGCCGCCCTGGAGCAGACACGTCCTCGAGGAGTGCGAAATTGGTGATGAGTAGGGTGCAATCGCGTGGGGGGGAACGCAGCGACGAGAGGTGTCTGCCTGCCGAGAGACACCATATTCCCCTCTCGCCGACTTGCGTCTCCTTCAACTCTCTGCTGCAGGCAGGGAAGACGTCGTCTCAGCGCATTGGGGGTTCGTGACACCGACCGGACTGTACTTTTATCGCCGCAACTCACTGTTTGGCCTCTACAGTACTTCGGGCGGGGCAACCAGACGGGCCGACCATTGATCGACGAACACCTCCTACCACTGTAGGAACTGCGGACTCGAGAGTCAATTATCGCACGTTGCACACTGCTATCAGTGGCCATCTCTGTGCCTTGCTCGCTTCTGGGGGCAGCATTCCGTGGATGCGGGCAATTCGGTGTCCCGGTAAACCATCTTCGCGCGACGTTGCAACGTCCCGTACCAAAACGAGAGGCCGCCTGAAGGCTTGACATTTTTGAAACGGCGAATCAACATGCCAAAACACAATTTTCCCAAGTTTCAAAGCTTCTGGGGAATACAGCGCAGGGCGGAGCGTTGAGCTTTGTCAGAACGCCCATACGCCATCTCTCCACTGCACTTGACGCCACTCCTATGCCCGACCGTTGGTGCCTGATTGCTGGGAAGGATGCAGTTGCATTCTCATGTACAGCACTCGGCGACTCATGAGTCTTCCGCTAGTTTCAGCGCACAATGTTCTCTTCAGCTGTCCTGCTCTGCATCAGGTACCCGTTTGTTGCGCTAGTGCGCAGTCACATATTCCAATTCAGGATAGCTGCCGCTGCTAAATGCAAGCTCGGAGCCGGATGCATTCCCAAGATGTATTTTGAGATGCAGGTACAGACTTCGCATCGCGGTGTCTACAAAGGGTGGGGGCAGAGCGAGGTTGACCGGCCAGTAGTGAAAGTCAATCGCGCGAGAATGTGCAAAGGCGAGTATTCAAAACTGCTCCCGGCAGCCGAGAATAGGTCGACATTCACTATCATCGCACGGACATGGCTTCGTATGCCCAATCAATCCTCGGACAGCGACTTTACGCTTCGAAGCTTCCATGACGCCCATTTGGCACGGCCACGGCTCCACACTCCAATCGCGATACCTAACCGCATCCCACACCGAACAGGGCGTGTGAAACATCCCCAATACATCTTGCATATGCGCTCACATGTCTTCTTGGAATACTCATTATCGGGTTCAGCCACGTTCGTATGACAGAAGCAGAAGGAAGGCCACGAGTTCTTCATGCAAGCGACAACCCGGCAACTTGGAATGGAATTTCGATAAGAGCACAGCAGCGATTGACCCCTGAAACTATCTATGGAATCCGATTATGCATACTACCTACGTAGCGATCTATTGCGATAGGATCGACTTCTTAGCTAGGCAGACGCTTCTCGATCCTTCAGTGCATTATCGTGACCGGTTGATGGAGAAGGCAATGGTGCATTGCTCCAAAACAGACATTGCGACACCGAACAACCATCCCAAGAATAGTCCTTTTTGACACGGCGACAATTTGCACCGACTCGCCAGCAATCTTGCCCCATTGCCGATTACGCGTCGCCGAATCTCGAAGCGCTCGTCGTGCATCGTGCATTTCTACACCCTCGATCGCGAGGCTGTCTGCAGGAACCCATTCCCATCTCTCATCAGCCTTCGCCCCCAAAAATAGACCGACCCCAACCTAATCACAAACAGCCGCGACAAGCGCGCTTCCAGCAGGGATGTAGCACGTAGGGCTGACGCCCTGACTGCGCCGTGACGATTAAAAGTCAGCCATTTTCCTGAAGTGGTCAAGTAGGCTAAATGCAAGCAGAGCGTACTTGATTCGTTGTGAGCTGTTGCCCAGAGCTATTTTGGTGCATTGTCAGCATGGAAATGGCTCGAAGAAGAGGTATTTGATCGGGTTTGTCAGGTAGAAGCCTCGATCTGGATATTTTTGGGGCTGCGAGTGAGGTTAAGTGCCCCGATTTGTATTTGTGAGCAATCCATCACGTGGGAATTGCAAATCAATCTCGAGGAACCTTTGCACACCAGATCGACGCGCCCCCACGAGGGACTTGACATCTCGATCTGGTGGTCTGGCGACAGTTTCGTTCTGCAACCTGTCAATACTACATGGCACGAAATGCTCCGACTCATCACTTCCGGGCGTAGGTGTTAGCACAGTCCGCCCGCCAGCCTTGCTTTCTCATCTGTTGTTACCTCAATACAAGGCTGCGGACCGAACACATGTTCATTGCACCCGAGACCTCGCCAATTTTCGCTTCTCAAAAGTAGTTCCGAAATCCCCGAGTACCGTTGGACATGACGCCCGCCCTATCCCCACGATACGGCACGGTACTCCGCCGCGAGGCTATGGGACAAGGCTACGGAAGTCGTGAACTACTGTACTCCAGGGCACAGATCTAGACTTTCATCATGTGCTTTGAGACGTCTTGGCCGCATAACTGACCAAATTGAGCTAGATTGTTGGGTTGGATGAAGACACCGGAGAATTGGGGGTGGCACCTCTTGGTACCACATGCGCAGAAGAATGGGAGTCATCAGAGTCGAGTCGTCACCCTCCCTTTGCCTTACAATTGCCTTGTCGTCAAGATCAACATCGCCACCTACCGTCGCCCCCCATTTCATATTAATCAAAGAGATCACGATGTTCTTTCGGACTCTCCGAGTTTGTTTATAGCCGATCGACAGCCCTGCGCGGGTAATCAGCCTTGTGCTCACACAGGGCTGAAAGATCGGCAGAAGATCTCTACGATCACAAACCCACCGTCCTGGTAACACGCAAGGTTGGCATGAAACAGCGAGCGTAAGAACAACGTGACAGCAGGTCAACAACGATGTAAAATTATTGCGCAAACTGTGATCGGTGAGTTCGAGCAAGTTATGACTGTATCCAAGCATTGTAACAAAATAACGTAACGATAGGCGCAAGTTTGCCTTCTACAGCCTTGTTGACATGCGAGCAAAAAGTGAAAGCAGCAGATCTGCCGTCGCTTCTCTATTGTCCAGGTTAGCAATGCACGCACAACGCCTTCTCTCAACACTATGAAAATAGGTTGCAAGCGCCGGCTCGCTAGAGTCTTCTATTTGCAAATACTACGCAAGTCTGCTTACGCGCCCACACATAACAGCCCCACTGGATGCACTGCCAACACGTGCGAAATACATCATAAGTAGGACAGAGCGTAAGCAGAGCCGCAAACATCGCACACGTCAAAGCAGTGTGCTACTATCCCACGCTCTCTGCCACGCACGAGAAGGACTATCAACGCGGCTCTTTGGGGCTGTACGTCGCTATTCTGTATCTGAAGTCGCATCTTCACCTAGCTGGATTATTGAAGAACGCTGGAACGTTGGGGACGAGATGTGACATGTAGGTTGTGCTCTTTTGTTCGGAGAGAGAACAGACATGGTGAGATACGATAGCAGTGCGAGTGATTATAATTCCCAACTGCCTTCCTTCTCCTTTTGGTGAACAACCCACCCGTGTCCCACTTTTTGTTATCAGTGTAATTCCACTCACCCCCAAAACAAGCCCGCGTAGCTCTTAATTTCCATTTCTGCTGTACGCACAGTCCCAAATGTCAACCAACACCCTGCCGACCCTTTACGCACACTCCAATCCACTCTCAATCCTCCACAGCGGGCCGTTCCGCCGAAATCCTCCCTCCCTCGTTCCTTCATCCCTTCATCCTGACGTTAGACGTAGCTGCCTTCAAGGCAACCTCCACAGGCCCCAAAAGCCCCGGTCCATGTCCTTGCTCCTGTCTCAGGTTTTCTTCCGCGTCTGACAGCCCGTGTCAAAACGCCACCAACGGCACAGCACGGACTAGAGGAGTGGTGTCTTACAGACTCCCTTGTACCCCAGCCACCGCGTTTCGATGAAACACTGCTAGTCAGCGTACAGGAGAGGTTGGCGGGGGACGGTTTGGGGGCTGATAGATAGGACGCCTCGATGACAGGAATTGATTGTGTACTACATACAGTGAGAGAATGACGATAAATTTCTCAATTTGAGTACGCCTTGACTCCAACATGACAATCACTCCGCGAATAACTGCTCCGGGGAGGAGAAAGCAGTCGAAATGAAGTAGTTGTAATGTGGGGAATTGAAAGTATAGTGATAGTCCGGGCGTTGCAGAACTTAGGTGGGATCTAAATTACTGCGTCGCAGTGGTCTTTGCCAAATGTACTGTACTACAATACATTTATTATGCGGGGCCGCCTGAATGAGCGAAAAATGGGCCAGGTTCTAGTCTGGTCGAATCAGGTGTCCTTAGTGACTCGCAATGGCTGACGAGCCACGACTACTTTCGGTGATCCCCCCTAACAATCCTAAAATCATAGATGCAGACAGCTACCCTGGCAAAATGCCTATTAGCTATTCAGCCACTGATCTTGGAGTAGATCAAGCGCTGAAAATCTCCTCTCTGGCTCCCATTGCAGCATTTTGCGCATAAAAACCATGAAGTCCTCTTTACTCTTGCCTTCAAGATATACATCTACATCCTCTAGGGTGTATTCCGGAATACTCGCAAATCCCTTCCACTGGGCTAGTTGGACTACATTAATCACGGTCTCGGCTAAGCTGGGGCAAACATACCATCGTGGTTCCAGTACGCTAGAGTCTCGTCCGCTCGACGCAAAAGGTAGCTGGGAGGTGGACCGAGCAAGGCAATCATCTCCCCTAACATTCGGGCGTTGGATAGTTTTCTGTCAGTGCCGCCAGGGTGAAACATGTGCTCGCCTTCGAAGAGGTCCCAGATCTTGTGTTTGTTAGAATAGCGGTGAAATCCGGGTTTGCTCAACGCACCATGACTCCAACGTTCCAGATATCAGCCGCAGAGGTCCACGGCATGTAGAGCATGACTTCAGGGGCGCGATAAGCTTCGGGCTGAACGAATCCCTCGTGCTGAACTCCGATCCGGGCCATTCCCAGGTCTGTGATCATGCACCTTCCGATGCCTCTCATGTCTCGCTGTAGGTTAAATTCACGGGACTTATAGATGACGCGGTTTCCGTCCACCTTGCGCAGCGCTGGTTCGTCAATCTCTGACTTCTCCCATGGTTCAAAGACGGACGAGTCGGAGCAACTGAGCATGATGTTTTTGGCTTGGAGATCTACCGCTTAAGTGAGTAACTCGAATAGCATAATGGGTTTAGAGCCATTACCTGTATGCACAACTTTTGCTCGGCCGTGAAGATAATCAAGGCCTGCAAACACCTGTTGGAGTGATGTCTTGAGCATATCCTCAGTGAGACTCTTTGGATTCAAAGTCTGCTGGAGGTCATGGAGGCTTGCCAGGAGCGGCTCCATAACTAAGCAATGATGCGTGCCTGCTCGTCCTTGAATTACAAAAGAGTCTAATAGCGTCCTCACAAAGTGAGCCCCAGCATGCGACGCCTGGGTGGCGGCAAGGTGTTTTAGCACCTCAAGCTCCCGGCTAGGTTTTTGCGATGAGATGCAGACCTTAAGGGCAACGTGTCGGTGTTCCCTATCCAATTTTAGCAACTCGTTATCCATGGGGGGAGGGACCACTTCGTACTGCAAGTCACGGCAGAACCATACGGTTGAATTAGAGCCAAACCCAAGCTTCCCAAGCACTTGGTAGCGGTCTTCAAAAACCTCCCCAATGCGAACTGGGTAGAAAACGGATGGGTCATAATGCGGCAATCGCTCCTCTTCGATTTTAGTCACAGAATCAAGCGTTGTGAAGCCGGAGGTTGGAATACGATGAAGAGGCGTTAGCGAGCGACGCCGAAAGGCAGAAATGTTCCTGAAGACGGCTCTCATTAATTAAACTGTAATGGACACAAATTTAGTTCAAGCTTGCTCTCAGTAGTGATGCCTCGCGCGCGTCTGAATTGGGGTGGGAGAGATGTACTTGTAGCGAGGTTGGATGCGGTTGGCTTGCTCAGCCACAGCTCATGTTGCTTACTTAATGCTCACGATACACCCCTGTGTGACTCAAGGTCAAATCCGGAAAAAGCTTTGTGTGAGGGTAGATTTCATTTAATTGTTAATCGGCTATTTTGGTACTTTGGATTGACTCGGCGCTCGGGCGAGCTTCCCACCCCTCTTCTCTTGTTTTCCTCTTCGGGGTGCATTGAGTCTGAAAATTGGCAGTTGTTGATTAGAGAAAGAGAAGTGAATGCAGTCCCTACTTGACCCCTTTAAGGATTGTCGACAAGCAGGGGACGGGGAGATGGTGGTGCCTTGCCTTCGGTCAATCAGACATAGTCCCTTGAGAACCAAATCAAGCAAAGGCGTTGTTCCTTGAGGTGATAATAAACGTATGGGCAATGTTCAAGACTGCTAAGAGATACCTGATGAAGCTAGTCTCTTGTCTCTTACTTCGTCGAGCACATACCTCGCCGCAACGCTGAGTTGAGGCTAGGCAGCAAGTGTAAGCTAGCATTACTTCTTGACGAACATCGCACTATCTCGTGAGAAATGGTATCTACATAATAAATCATAAACGTCGCTTCCAAAGACATGATCAGCAGCTACGCGCTATAAGAACTAACATAGTACTGCGAGTATGTCAGCGATTTAATCCAAAAAGTAGCAGACCTGAGATACATACCGTCAGCACTGACTCATTGTCGCCGTCATCTTGCGGTAGATAGACGTAAAGTACGAGAGCGTGCTCATGACAAAAGCCTGATAGTCGTTAGGTTCGCCGACTATAGTTTACGACTTCACTCACAAGCAATAACCCTTCCACCGAGCCTACCCACGCTCATGACTTTCCCCCAGTCGCGACCGTCAATCCTTACCAAAGCCCATCCCTCGTCGCTGCGGCCATCAGCACTCCCAAGCTGCTTCATGCGGGTGCTCGGATGAGCAGCGATGCCATTCTCGCCTCCTACGACCTGACTTGGGTCCAGCTCTGGGTTGTTGAGATCCGTCCAGACGGACGAGATACTCAGTGCATCCGTCCTGATGCTCATCTTTAGACACCCGTGCATGTTCGCCGCCAACTCCAGTCGTGTTCTGGATGCTATAGTCCCACTACCAGACTTGGTATCCGCCAATGCTAGCTTGGTGAACCTGTCGCTGATGCTCTTGAGCTGCATGAGTGGCGGAAGTACGATGTGTACATCTGGGTCCCGACATTGCGGCTCATGTAAGCCAGCTACCGTATCCGGCGCCAGAACTCTGACGGGTATCTCCTGCGTGACGATTGTCTCGCGATTTCCTCGGCCGAATTCGTCGTCGAACGGGGCATCAAAGCCGTCGTCGTTGTTTGCAGTTGCTGGGGGGAGCGCGTTCGAGGATGCGGTGGTAACAATGGTGAGTGCCAGCATAGGCATATTGTCCTTCTTTGTGAGGCGAATCTGGGCAGATGTCGCGTTCAATGCCGACTTGAGGGCGCGATTGAGTGATGTAAGTGGGACTTCGAGATTGATGACATTGTTTGCCGCAGACTGGACGAAGATGTCCCTGAAGATGGAGTCCTGCACAGCGCATTAGGCTCAGACAGACCAAAGAGGTGAAGCAGCAGGCTTACAATAGATAGAACACTGCGACTTGTTAGAAGATATTGGCACAAGACGTGACGCATCCACTCACGCCCACACTTGCGTGCCTTGCTCCGGTATGATAGTGAAGCATACTTGCTCTTCGCTGAGCTTCACCCACGCGAGCGGGCCGAGCGAGTTGAGCGACGCAGTAAGCTCTATAGAGCATTAGTGAAGCCCCAAGAACACCATAATGCTCCCACATACTCGTAAAGGTGGTGATGTTCTGTATTGACGCCTTGAAGCGCATCTTGTTCCACGCTGACTTCGAACTGTCGCGACGCGTCAAGAGCTGTGGGCGCGTAAGGTGCGCCCGTGCGCGCAACGTCATCAGTTCCTGAACTGTTCATCAAACACTACATCATCTCTCACGATATTTTCGCATACAGTGCCTCCACAGGTTCGGCGTCAGCTACAGGCAATACTGGGACATAGGCGTTCTTGGAATCTTTTTTTCTATTTGAAATTTATCTAATCATGAGATGACTTCTTCAGTCAGCCTTCAACCAACAATTCACCCCTTGTTCCCCAAGACGTCGTTTTGTCTACGTCTGCCTTTGAACCGAGATTCCCGTGCTTGACACAGTTGTCTTGGAGTATATCTGGTAAGGGTCAGGATGTGTTCTAGATTATTTTTTAGAATACTAACCTGTCCACTAGTGCCTTGAATCTCATACTTGCCGGCGCCTGAGATGGGTACTGTCTTCCTACTCTTCGTCGTGGCGGTACATGCAGTGAACGATATCGTGCCGAAGTTCGGTGTCTGAACAAGCTGACCAGGTGTGACCTGATAGGCTTGGACGAACCAGTTGGCGGCGAGAGCTGTTAGTCGCTCTGGCTCAACACCAGCAGGGGCTGCGAGTGTCTGCGTCGTTTGCTTATTCTGCGTTTTGTTCTCCACGGTTACGGTTCCTCCAGCAGTTGCCATGTTAACTGTGACGGTGATGGAATTGCCATTTGCGACTGGAACTGTCGAGGTCGTATCTGTCACTGGTCCTGGGAAGTAGGCAGAGAAGCTCTTGAGTGTGCTGTTATACACTATGCCACCACCGAGGACGTAGTCTTGTCTGAGGGTATCACCGATGCCAATCCATATGGACAGCCTATTCGCGCCCGACAGGTTGGGCACAGTGAAGGTGCCGGTAACTGTAGCGAAAGAGTCTCCTTCAGGTGCTTTGAGGACACCACCTCCCCGGTTTAGGTCGAAGGCGGCAGATGCAGTGGATATCCAGCAGCACGCTATGCTGAGGGCCGCAGCGAATCTCATGGCTGACGCTGTGTGGCTACGTTGACCAATTGGAGCGAAAACTGTAGATACAATAACATGGGCCAATCAGCTGACTTTGAGCGATCCTCTGATATGCTTCGAGAAGCAGGAGAAGCCTGGCGGTTTAGCAGGAGAAGTAAAAATATGAGAAACTGCAGCTGACAGCAGAACAGGATTATATTGATCAGGGGCCCGTACCCGGTTGATGAAGATTCTGTCGACGCAACCAGGTCTTGTCTCGCTGCGGAAGCTATTTGGCAGAATAAGAAACCGTGTTGTCACAACCGGCTGTACTGCAGGATAGTATGGTCAGTACGCTTCTTTGCTTGCTTCACATGTTGCCCTGCCTGGTCTGGTATCTAACACCCAATAGGATCGCGAGCACATAGCTTGCTACACGAGTGCCCAGCAACTGGTCACCCCCCATTGACGAGGAGAACCCAGGCAATATAAACAAGTGAGAGTTTTGTTATCCCGCGGCCTTGGTATGATTGATTGGATCATTTGATGGGCTATTACGGCGGCTTGGCACGAGACGAAGCACGATGGAAGAGGTTCGTGCAACCTTGTCTTGACCTCCGCATTCATTAACATAATCCTGGCCAATATGTCGCCAAGCCACCCAAGAGCGCTCATAGTCACGAGACATCCTTACACGCGTGGGGCGTCATCCATTTCATCGCCTTATGGATTGACTGCCGAACGACAGTCAAGACAATGCAATATTCGTCCACTTCCAACGAGCGCGGCGTGCGGAGCCTCTCGGGTTCAAGGAGACTCACTTCCAATCAGATGTACGACACTACGAGGTTTCTGACCATCGCGATCACGGTTTAAGCAGAAAGTCCGAGACCACCACGTCTAGTATTACCTATTAGCAATATCGATGCCCAATACAAGAGAAACCCTGCACGATAAAAGGTACACGACCTGATTTAGCAATTGAAAACGTTGAGCGTGGGGATTAGGACCTGAATGGAGCATCCATGCACACATTCATTCACCCACATCCTCCCGGTCCGATATAGTGCTACATAATCTGCCCAAAACAGAGCGATTGCTAAGCGCTGTTTAGCACAACCTACCAGGGCAGTATACGATGTCTCCTCGGCATCGTCACTGCTTATCCTTGTAGTATCAATACAACCATTACAAAGGTATAAGAGACTAGGTGCTCTGAGGGTACTAGTCCTGACCACTTCTACTTGCTACCTCTAGAAATTAACCTAGTCACGATGAAGGTATTATCTGCTACGGCACTCGCGCTCCTTGTGCCCGCGAACGCGCTATTGCGTTTTCCATGTGCCCAGCTTGTGATTGACAGGTTAGACCCATTGGTCACGCCTGGGCAAGCACCTTCACCGCATCTGCATCAAATATTGGGAGGAGTGAGTTCAATGTAAAAAGTTCAGGTTGAGCGACAGGAACTGATGTGTCACAGAATTCCTTCAATGTCACCATGGCCCCGGAAAAAGACATGCCTAAGGAGTCAACGTGCACTTCCTGTCAGTTCAGCGAAGACTTCTCCGTAAGTTGACCCCGACGTTTTTAGTAGCAGGATATGCCAGCTAACAACAAAGCAGAACTATTGGACTGCGGTGCTGTGAGTCTTGGAAAGGCACGCGATGCGCGACTTAGACAACAACTCACACCACAACAGCTACTTCAAGGCCAGGAATGGCACGTACAAGCGGGTTCCACAGATTCCCAACTCTGGCTTCAACGGAGTTAATGGCGGCATGACTGTCTACTACATGCAAGATGGTCTATATAATTTCCAGCAAACGTCCAAGGTTCAGGCCTTCAAGCCCGTAAGCCATTAGCTTCTTGTGCCACGAAGTGCCTAGCCTCGTCCAGGACACGAAGACTGACTAAAGAACTAGGGATTCCGCATGTTCATCGGCGACGTTAACGCCCGTACAAAGGAAGAGGCTGAGCGCTTCAGGCAGCTCACCTTCACATGCCTGGATGACATCAATACTCGTGACCCGCAGACTTTGGACTTCCCAACACAGCCATGCAAGACGGGCATCATGACTGCAGTTCGCTTCCCGACGTACGTGGACATACCATTGCAGACTTCAATATCCTGTCCTTCAACCACTCCACCCGCTATTAGGGTTGTATCATGATGCTAACTCACCAACAGCTGTTGGGACGGCAAGAATCTCGACTCGCCCGATCACATGGCACACATGTCATACCCCGAATTCGGCTCCTTTGAGTCCGGCGGTGCATGCCCCGCTTCGCATCCTGTCCGCATGGGTCAGTTGTTCTATGAGGTCATTTGGGACACCAGCAAGTTCAACAATATGGCTGACTGGCCCGCCGATGGAAGTCAGCCATTTGTATGGAGTTTTGGTGATGGGTAAGTCGATGATCACAACGCCCGACCCGTATCTTTAGGGCTCTGGGGCTAATGACACATCAATAGTACCGGCTACGCGAACCATGGCGACTACCTCTTCGGCTGGCAAGGCGACGCGCTACAGCGCGCTCTCGATAACCCGTGCTACCAGAACTGCCCTACGCTAAAGACGCAGAATGCAGCTGCTATGAACAAGTGCACTGTTCCCCGCGTTGTCAAGGAGGAGATTGACACCTGGGTTCAGGAACTTCCTGGTGGTCATCAGGCGCAGTATGTTAAGAAGAGGTGGACCGATTAAATCATCATTTTTCAGACTAGATCGAGTACGTAGGAACTTCGAATAGTGCGCTCAAGATTGTTGTCCTTTCGCATTGTCTATAGAGTTTTGGTACTGACATACCTGGATAAAGTGAACTATTGTGGGAAAATATTAGATCATAATGCTGATGAAACGTAACGGAATCAGGACCGTATTCATCGAGGTCATTTGTGCATTTCTTGCTAGCTCTTATAGCCCCGGAAGCCATGAAAGCCCATGACCTATGTTTTAAGACCTTTGGACGGAGCCGCACTGGAATTCGGTTGACCAGTCAAGTGGGAAATTATATGAGCTACATCTAGAAGTATGTTTCTTTGGGCGGATCTGTTATGCGGAAAGCGAAGGCACACCCTCGGTTGCTGCTCGCGCCGGGGTATGCTCATGGCTAGCGCGATCGTCCTATAGACCTTTTGAGCAGCTAACCCATCTTGCTCATACACTTATGACTACGCTAACATCTGTTACGCCATTGATTCTAACAATCCTACGTCCGGAGGTGTGTCCATCATTTGGTATTGCCCAGATGCAGGCTTTAAGGAGCGGTACCTATTCCGACCCCGAGGCATCTTCTCCACACATGCATACCGGGCAGATTCTCGGACTCAACTAGTGAAGTCAAGAGGAGAAGACGCGCATAGACTCTGCATCAACCGACGAAAACCTGCCCGCGGCCCAGAGTAGTGTACAATCGACGTCAAGGGCTTCACTGGAACCCCGCAATTAGGCTGCTTCCAGCTTCACGGTAGCACTAGTTACAGCAACTGTTCCTGACGATCTCCCATGGTTCGCTCAGCTACTGGCGGATGATCCTCCTTCACAATTTTGCCTGCAGCAAATGATGCTGTGGAGTATTTGGGGTAGCAACACGATGCCGGAACCCCGCAAATACAAGGACCGGGAGCTTCGTAGCTTAAAAGTAGGGTTAGGTACAAGATTTCTCAGGCACTGGAAGGATTTCAGGTTTGACTTTATCGAACTGGTAGCCTAAGATGCGGTACTATAGTCTTGTTGCTTCGGCATTCGCGTTTGCTGGTTCTGTAGTTGGTACGTTCAATTCTCATGACAGACGATCCGTTTCGAAACTAACATATCCAATAGCGCAGTCACCTACCGAGCGAGTCATCCCGACTCTTCCCCCTCAGATCAATGCTCTACCCAGTTTAACCCCAACTATCTACGATGAAAGCGCACCAGACGCTCAAAGCTGTCCCGGCTATAAGGCCTCTAACATAGCCAACACTGGATCCGGGTTCAGCGCGGATCTGACCATCGCTGGGGCGAACTGCCGGGCTTTTGGTAACGATATCACGGACCTGGTCCTAGAGGTCAACTACCAAACCACGGAGCGATTGAATGTTAGGGTATATCCCAAGCATATCGCCCCAGCGAATAGCTCCTGGTTCATTCTTCCTCCCAATATCGTTGATCAACCGCAGTGGGATGGCAAGACAACTGCGAGCTCGAGTGATCTGAAATTTGACTGGAGCAATGAACCCTCCTTTCAGTTCAAGATTTCGCGAGTTAGCACAGGCGAGGAGCTATTTTCGACATTCGGGCATGTCATTGTTTACGAGGACCAATTCTTGGAATTGGTCACAAATATGGTTACGGTACGTAGGCACTAGTGGACCTCACCTGTGAAGGGTCAGTGATTAATCTGTGCTTGACTAGGATTACAACGTTTATGGTCTGGCAGAGAACGTTCGTGACTTCCGGCTAGGAACAAACCACACTCAGACCTTCTACGCAGTCGACGCAGGCAACTCAGTCGACCGCAACGTCTATGGTGTGATTCCATTCTACCAAGAAACTCGCTATGGGACGAATGGATCCGACAGTACTTCTCACGGAGTCTATGCTCGTAATGGTAGGTCTGTCGTTTGTACTACCTGCTTTCGGTCGTTAACAATCATATTATAGCCCATGGCCAAGAATGGTTGCTACGCGAAAACACAATTACGTACCGGACCTTGGGTGGAAGTTTCGACTTCTACTTCTTGAGTGGCCAGAAGCATGATGGTAGCTCTAGCGCCCTTACCACGATTTCGCAGTTCCATCTAGGGTGCATTGGTACTACGGCGATGCAAATGTACTGGACCTTTGGTTTCCATCAAGCTCGTTGGGGATACGAGAACATTTCCGTTGTTCAAAACGTCGTTGACAGCTACCGAGCTGCCAATGTTCCGCTTGAATGCCTCTGGAACGACCTCGACATCTACGATCTGTACCGAGACTTCACAAACAACAACGTCACGTATCCATTACCGGCTTTCACTCACTTTATCGAAGGACTACACGCGAATGGTCAGCACTACGTTCCAATCATCGATAGCAACATCTATGTTTCCAATCCGAATAATGCAAGTGACTCCTACGGCCCGTACGAGCGGGGTAAGGACCTACAGACCTTTATTCGCGATCCTACGACAGGTGACTATTACTTCGGCAACAACTGGCCCGGCTTTAGCGTTTGGGGCGACTGGCTCATTCCATCCACTCAAGCATGGTGGACCAACGAGATCCTCACTTGGCACAAAGGTACCCCGTTCGATGGTATCTGGATCGATCTCAGTGAAGCAGCATCATTCTGTGCCGGGTCATGTGGTAATGGCCGCCTCACAGATAACCCTGTACATCCTCCGTTCCTTCTTCCTGGCGATCCGTTGACATTTGACTTCAATTACCCCGAGGGTTTCAATATATCAAATGCCACCGAAGCAGCATCAGCAGCAGCCGCCTCTGCCTCGCAAGCCTCTGCCATCTCTGCATCTCCTATCTTGCCTGCTGCAACGACTACTATCCAGGGCAGGACGGAGCCGACCCTCGGTGTGCGAAACCTCAACTACCCACCGTATGTCATCAACAATGTGCAGTCTGGACATGCATTGGGTAAAAGCGCTATTGCTCCAAACGCGACCCACAATGATCAATACAACACGACAGAGTACGAGATGCACAATCTGTTTGGGCTACAGATCTCAAATGCCACCTACTACTCACTGCTTGAGCTGTTTCCGGGACGCAGGCCGTTCACCGTTGGCCGGAGTGTCTTTGCTGGTAGCGGCAAGACGACGAGCCATTGGGGCGGAGACAATACGAGCACATGGGGAAGCATGTTCCTGTCTATTTCTCAAGCTCTTACTATGGTATGTTTGCTTTCCCATAAGCTTACTGTAATTGTATACTGACGTTGCGAAGATGATGTCTGGTATCCAAATGTTCGGCGCCGATACATGTGGCTTCGCCCGCAATACCGACTTCCAACTGTGTTCTCGCTGGATGGAACTAAGTGCCTTCTTGTAAGTTTTCATGTCCTTATCAATAATGAAGACAGATATGGCTGACACTATGTAGTCCGTTCTACCGGAACCACAATGTCAAAGCCACAATCGGCCAAGAAGCCTATCACTGGTCTTCTGTCTCTGAAGCCTCCCGCCGAGCCATTGCTGTCCGCTACAGCATGCTGACCTACATGTACACGCTATTCTACTATGCACACACCAAAGGCGAGACTGTCATGCGCGCTTTAGCATGGGAATTTCCTAACGATGAGACCCTACGTGAGACGTATAGCCAGTTCCTCCTTGGGCCCTCTGTTCTGGTAACGCCTGTTCTTTTTCCCAACGTTGAAACGGTCAATGGTGTATTCCCAGGTATTGGTGAGGGCACGCGCTGGTATGATTGGTATACGTTACAGGAGGTTCAGGCGAGCCCAAGACAGAACGTTACGCTCAATGCACCACTTGAGCATATCAATGTTCATGTTCGTGGCGGTAGCATTCTCCCGCTCCAGCAACCCAAGTACACCACAACCGAGACGAGGAATACACCATATAATATCTTGGTCGCACTTGACGACAACAACGAAGCCGAAGGGAGTCTTTATCTCGATGATGGAGAGAGCTTGCATCCGAATGCGACGCGGCTAGTTCATGTTAGTATATCCTTGCGCTTCCTTTACAATTGTATACTAACACATGTCATAGTTTTCGTACGCCGATAACTGCCTCTCATTCTCTTCCAAAGGCAACTACCATGCCACTCAGCCCCTCGATAAAATTACCGTCACCGGTCTCTCTGCTTCGCCCAATGGCCATAAGCGCAAACGGGGCAATCTCCCTAACGGTACGCCTCAGCATATATCAGGTACTTATGGCGCCGAGGAGCCGTATTCGGTCAGCCTGGTTACTTCATATGAGAAGGGCGTCTTGAAGATCACGGGCACGGAAGCTTTGACGAAGAGCGGCGCCTTTGAACAAGATTTGAAGCTGTGTTTTGCATGGTAGATGATCGGAAATGTAGAGAAGCGATGAGGCACTTGCCACTATCTTTTATAGCTAGCGTTCCATGTATTTGGGACTACACATACTCAACGAAGTCTCTCACCACAAGGCTGAATAAGTTCAAACAGTATCTGAATCATGGATGCATGAAGATCGCCAACTAATTTATATCTCCACCTACACGAGGTTAGTGCGGGGTTGCTCTCACCTGACAGTGACATCTTCATCCATCCTCCACTATTACACATATTTCGACTTCACCTTCACCATGACTAAACTAGTCGTGATAGTTGGCATAACAGGCAATCAAGGCAGTTCCGTCGCCAAATCATTCTTACAAGATCTAGAATGGCGCATCCGAGGCTTAACGCGGGACCCACACTCCCCAACCGCACAAGCTCTAGCCGCTCTAGGCGTTGAAATGGTACAAGCTGACCTGCACAATGCGGCGTCCCTCCAAACCGTGTTCAAAGGCGCCAACCTCGTCTTCAGCGTAACCGATTTCTGGACCCCGTACCTCAACCCTTCCAACCAGGCGCGAGCAAAGGAACTGGGGAAGACAATCGGGCGCTATGCATATGAGCTTGAATACGAGCAAGGCAAGAACATCGCCGATGCCGTGGCCCGAGAAGTTGACGGGCTCGATGACGTGGGTTTTATAGCGAGCACGCTGTGTAACGCGCGGAAGAGCAGCAAAGGGAAATACAAAGAGTTGTACCATTTTGATTCGAAAGCCGATGTGTTTCCGGACTACGTCGAAGAGAAGTATCCGAATCTAGCGCGCAAAACGAGTTATCTCCACACGGGGTATTTCTACACGAGTTGGAAGATAATGCCGGGACGGTGGCTGGCCAAGGTAAATATTGAAACCAACCGCTGCGTCACTCTGTCAGTGAGCTTCCTTCCTAACAACATTTAGCTTCCCGATGGATCCGTGCAAATGCAGTGCCCAACGGACCCAGGCGTTGTAATTCCCCATCTGAATCCTCGAACGGATACTGGACCTTTTGTTCGCGCCTTGCTTCAACTCCCGCCAAAGTCCACGCTGATGGCTGCTAGTGAGTGGTGCACATGGCCTGAATGGATCAAGGTGTGGGGAGAAGTAACGGGCGTTAAGACGAGTTACAAGCAAGTCAGTGTCAAAGATTTTGATGAATATATGCCTGGTGGAGCGGGGCAAGAGATTGGTGAGATGTTTGAATTCTCGTCAGAGTTTGGATACAATGCTAGTCAGCAGGACACGCTAAAGACTTGGAATTTAGAGAAGGTGAGTATCCCGTCCTATCCTTCGTATATGCATATTGATTTCTGACATTCGTTCACTAGTTGGGGATGAAAGTGCCAACGATGGGTTTGCGAGAGTACATTGAGTCTGAAGACTGGGTAGCAGCAGGTCATGTCCCTGCTTAAAGAAATATGATCCAGTATTTGTTCCTAATAGACTAGAATGACAAATCAATCGCTGCATAAGTTGGGCCACGAACTCTTTGATCGTGATTGTAAAGTCCTTTCTACATACTATAACTTGGTATGCTGCATTTATGACACTTTAGACGGAGGTCCTAGGTTCAACTTCGTCTTCTGGTTCACAATCTTCCACGTCAAGTCCATCAACCGTTCACCCAACTGTACATCATTTGCCTTTTCACTACCCTGCTCCACAATTGCGGGCGGGCAGATATACTGACCACTCTTCTCCGCCTTCGTCGCCGCATACATCGTACTCACACACCCTTCAAATTGGCTCTTCTTGAACGGCGCAAGACCAACGCTCATTGCATAGCCACCAAGTGGATACGCCTCGTGGATGTGCACAGCCGACTGCCGGGTATCGACGATGCCGGGATGCGAGGCGTTGGAGAGAATGTTAGGATATTGAGAATTCAGGTGGCGATCAAGGTACTTGGCGTACAAGATCGCAGCGAGCTTTGAACGACCATATTGTGGCTGTGGGCCATAGTCCGTGTTCAGCTCGTCGAGGCTCTCGAATTGCGTCTCCTTGGGCGCGTTCTCGTGTAGGTTGGATCCAAGCTGTACAAGGCGGACTTTGTCACCCTTCTCCGCTGTCGACTGCAAGAGAGGGAGGAGATGAGACGTGAGCACGACGTGACCGAAGTGGTTGGTGGCCATGTGTAAGTCGACGCCGTTCTTTGCCAGTTGATATGTCATGATACCTCGTCCGGCATTGTTGATCAGAATGTCTAGTCTATCCGTCTTCTCGCTAATCTCCTGTGCTGTCTTGCCTATTGCTTCCCAATCTGAAAGATCGCAGGGTAGCCACCACCCTATTTGCCTTATCTTCGCCCATCTCTTCTGTGATTGCTTTGATCGCATCGTTGGCGATGTCTTCGGACTTGGAAATGATAAAGAGCTTCTCAATGTTGTGTGATAGCAGGGTATGTGTGCATCCATAACCAATACCCTCTGAGCCTCCAGTAATGACGGCAACTTTGCCAGAAAGATCAGGAACCTCATCAAGAGAGAATTGCGACTCTTTTGGCGCAAGAGCATGGGCACCTCCCAAATTCTCAGCAATCGTGTTCTTCGCGGCTTGGATCATGCTGGGCGATGATACCGGTCCTTTGAGTCTATCGGTATTGGAGGTAGAATATGATCTCGGGGTAATCTGAGATATTGAAGCTCGTAGGAGGAAATTTTTGCAGGCGCAACGTTGGACGACAAAGGCAGGTCTAAATAGGGTGGAGGACAACATGGTTACCAGATCTCCCTGGCAGTCCCCATTCTAAGGGTAGATCTGGAATCTGCCAAGAGATCTGTGACGTCTCCAGGGGTCATCCAATACCATTTTGTCTTGATGTCAGTACGAAATGATTTAGTCCATTCCCAGACGATTGTTCTGCACAATAAAGCGAGAACGGTGAGCGCATGATTGCGCGATGACGCGTTGATCGAACATGACGAGCTATACTCCATTCACCTTAGTTTGTTTCAGCTTATCGATAAAGGACGCGACTTTTGCTCGCGAGACCCCGTGATTCACCCGATCGCGAATTACCGCTGTCGTCTGGCGAAGCGCTATAGCTTTGCTATAGCCGTACAATAAAATGGCTCGGGATCAGAATAGCGGACAAGTATGTTTCTATTAGATTTCAACCAACTAGTTGAATTCCAAGCGCTGCCTTCTCTTAAATTGTACATCAAGCGCATCCATGGTGTCGAGGTTGCCAAGTCATAAAACTAACTCGACACAGAGAGCTGTGACACGAGACATGTCTACAGAAACTCAGGCTAGTGTCACACCTATAAACCCAAGCCTCTCACTCATGCATCGGGAGGATACTACTACCCCGGTCGCTGTAAGCACCGCAGCTAGCACCGCAGCTAGCACTGCAGTCAGCACTTCGGATCTCAACACACTCCCACCAGACGTAGCCGAAGCTCGCAGAACCCGAATCAACCACGAGCTCGTCACCATCTTCAAGCGCCCGTGCCCACCAAACAGCACTCCCACAGCTAAAGGCATAGGCCTATACACCCATGTTGCAGGCCCAGTCAAGATACCAATATTTCCCCATGAGAGGTACATGGAAAACGACCCTGAATACCTACCGGTTGGTGGACCGAGGGAGGTGGGGAATAAGACAGGATTAGAAGGCCAGACTGCTGAAGAAGTCAAGAAAGTCTGGCATGAAGTCATGGATGCAATGCAAGAGGAGAGAAAAGTACTCGGGCCCAGGAAGAGGAGTGCAAGAGAGCTGAAGGAAAGGTATGCGGCTTTAGATGTACCGGGAGCTAGGGCACCACCTCGGTTAGAAGCGCTGGTAGTGCCACAGGTCGCAGGGCGGGAAGATATCGTTGCCCCAGAGCACAGCACGACGCCCCAAAGCGCGGGTCTGCGATTGACTGGCAGGCGGCCCTCTGGAGTAAGCGGACTTGCGCATGAAACGGGAGCTACTGGTGACGTTACTATGGGAGGGACAGAGATCGAGAGACGTGGAAGCGGAAGCGCGTTGAAGAGCGGAAATCAATATTATCCCAGTCGGGATCCGCGCATACAAGGACGAAAATGACCATCATACGAAACGTAGAAGGAATAGCGGGCGGGCAAAGAGGCGTAAGCGTACTCTAGAGCTCGTGAAGAGGACGATACCTTGTTCACGCCGAACCTAGACATAGGTTCATCTGCTCATGTGGAGCCGAAACGTCTGTCGATGGGTATAACTGTGCTTCACAAGTTGTCGAAGAACATGAATGTGTATATATAAATAAAAGGATGGATTAATGAAGCTATTCATTGCAGTTTGACCAAGTCATAATTCGTACGTACTGCAGACACGTTGTGGTATCGCTCGAACGCCGTGAACCCCATTCGGTGTAGAAGACTTCCCTTCGCGAAGCGCGACCGTAACCTGCCAGTAATGAAACGCTCAAAGAACAACGATGCAACTAATTAGTAACAAATCCTGTCAAAAAGCTCCCAACGCGTTAGCCTAAAAAAATATTACGCTATGCCCTCCATACCCATCGGCACTTGGAATCCACTCAGCCCTTCACCAGCGCTCGTGAGTCGCGCACATAAGCTCAAAAAGACGACAGTTTCGGTAGCAGCGAGGTAGTTTAGCGTATCCAGCAAAATCTTAAGATGCCGGGTGAAGTTCTCCTCGTACTTGGCCAACATATCAAACATTTTATCCACCCTCTGAGGATCATAGACAAATTGAGTCGTGGGTCGATGGGACGCTGACGCGGCAGTCCGTGATGGAATGAGGACCGAGGCAGCGGGACCAGAGCGGGATGGAGGTCGGGTAGAGGATTTAGCGGCGGTGGAAGGATTGGGCGCGGCGAATGTAGCATTGACTTGGGCGACTAGGTCGGGATCTCCTGTTATGAGATATCGGGACAGCGAGTACGTGAATGAAGCAAACATGCTGCAAGTAGACATGATCTTGTTATTGATCTAGATTGTGTCAGCGTTGTTTGTCATTTACGCACTGCAATAGATAGGGCACTTACCCGTAATAGCTTACTGTTGGTAAGCATGCACTCCTTGAGGCATGTCGCAAGGAAGTCCACATGGTCCTGCATCAATTCGTCCACCGTTCGTTTGACTTGCGGATTGCTACCGTCATCTGCTGTCGCTTTGCTCTTGCCTTTCGCGCCTTCTTTACCCTCCTCATTTAGTCGAGACATCAGAGAAGCCCAGTTTGGCTCGATGACTTCCGAAGTACAGTAATAGATCAATTGCTGTACGAAGACTAGCATGCGCGCTCGCAGTGTCCAAGCCTTTCGTTTCCACAGCTCGATCCGCGGGTTCCTAGACCGGTGCTTCCAGGCCGCGTTCTTGCCTTGCTCGCCCCAACACTTCGCCAGTTCGGTTTCAAGGTGTTTCAAGCTGAGCAGATATCGGAAAAGTAATTGGTATCGTGTCAGTGTTACTCTGCTGACAACTAATGATAGCGGAAATGGCATAGCGTAGTCAAATACTAGAGCTTGGTAGCCTGTGATGTTCGTATCATCCGTAATGGGCGCGGTATTCGCAGGGGTGTAGTTCGAAATCGTCGCAGTAGCCGCATCCTGATCCAGACCTTGCACATTGACAATCTTCATCAACCAATTGGTGAGACCTGTGTCATTGATTTGTACCTTGATGTCTTCTTTGTATGGGTCTTCAACAGCCACGGAACCAGAATGTCGCGTAGCAAGATCGAGTAGTGATTGCAACTTGCCTACATTAACATGCTTTGCTGGCTTCTTGAGCTCCAACTCGCCCATCTCAAGAAAGTAGGTGAAGAAGTCGGATCGATCGAGAAAGAAGTAGTGTTTGAGCGATCGTAGTCGAGCAGGTAGTTGGTGGGTGGTGAGTAATAGATTGAGGAGCGAAGAGTTCGCATACGCGTATGACGAACTGACGTTGTCTAGGAATCGCGGATCGTCGAAACTTGTTGGCGCGTCTTGGACGATCTTGCTAACATCGACACCTCCGCACTCGCGAACAACGTTGAGATACTTTCCAGCTAGAAGCACTTTGTCTTTGACTGCGTCCAGCTGAGGAGGTACTAGTGCGTCCCGGATAGTGTATCGCTTCTCCCAGTACTCGTCGGTGTAGTCCTGGTCTAACCTCTCTCGCTTGATGCTCTTTTGCTCCTTGATCAAAAACTCCGAGTGGGGATCTCGGATCCCTCCATGGTGTAGCCACTCATTGAGCATTGCCATGTACGGTCGACTGGCCTCTCGCAGAAGTGTTGTGAGTAATGTTCGCGCTGCAGGATCTCCGGACATGGACGACAATCGTTTGGTGATGAGGCCAAGAACGCTCCCGCCCTTGCATAACTTCTTGGTAGTATTGCCCCCTTCGCGCAGCGACTCGAGGATATTCTCAAAGTCGTTGCTATCGTCATCTGCAGAGTCATCGTCATCCTTTTCGTCCTCCAGGATGCCGTTCGCTTTCAGTAGCTCGATGCCGGTGGTGTAGAGCTGGAAAAGCAGGTGGCTTGTTTGCTTCGTATGCAGATTCAAGACATGAAGAGTAAACGAATCATTCGTCAACAGCTGGTGTTCCAATTGCGCGATCAGCGTCAGGTAGTCCTTGAGCAGTCGCCGTATAGCTGCGCATAGAGCGTGATTGACGGAGCCATATTCCTGTCTGCTCAGCACTTCAACACAAGCATCCACTGCGATGTAGTGTGTCGCGGTCTTCAGCATCGACTTTGTCAGATCGCGCAGGCTTGGATCTAGGCCGGGCAGTATGCGGAATTGCGGCCCAACGAGCCGTTCCTTTTCTTCATGCGGATTGTACGCCTCGCTGAACCGAATGTACTGCCCCTCGAATCCCATGAATACAAACAGTAGATCCTCCAGCACAGCCTTCTCCTGCAATTCTAACGATAGTTGTGCCAGCGGTGTAGGTTGTAGCGCGGCGGGGGCGGTCGATGCTAGTGGGGGGATCGAAATGCGCGTCGCAAGCGGAGCCGTCGTATGCGGCACCAGCGAGGCCTGTGGATCCCATGGCATTTGGACAGGTTCTGGTGTCGACTTTGTCGAAGGTGCACTGCGAGACGGTCTCTCCACGTCCCGCGCTTGTTTCTCCGCGCGACTTCGAGCGTTGACCCGACTCTCGCTCGAGTGCTTCAGCGGGCTTCTAGTCCGTCTGACTTCTGATTCCCGTTCGCGTACCTCCCTCTTTTCTGTGCGCCGCTCGCCCGAAGTCCCCATATTCGCTGACTGCTTCCTCGTATGCGATGTTGTCGTCGACCCTCGTCTGTTGTTTTCCTCTCCCGATGCGGCGCGGGGTCGCGACGAGGACGTGAAGTTTGCATTGGCGGAGCGTCTCTCAGCGGTAGTCAAGGGCTTCATCTGTGGCATGTTGCGAGAAGACATGTTGGCGAGGAAGGCACTCCATAGAGGTCGAGTGGTGCTGCGTGGATTGTGATTGCGCTGAGTGAATGTTTGGGCTGCAGTACAGTCAGTCGGGTGAACCTATGTTGTTGGGTCCCACTTTCCCAACGCGCCGGACGGTTCGCGCTAAGCGAGCCATGACGCAGGTACAGTACATAACATAGATGATGCATCAGCAGCACAACGATTTCCCCTTTGACATGCACGCCATTTTCATTCACATTCTATCTAAAAGCCTTGGTTCCCATTTAATACAAATGAATTCATACCAGTCCATATGCAAGTGCCGATTGCCGTCATCAATCACAAATCATAAACATCCTCCCTAACCTCCTCGCCCACTCTCACCTTGGTCACTGTATACATCCACCCGGCATGACGTCTACCAAATCCTACGCGGTAGCCAAATAGTACACCCTCCAGACTCTCTATTGCTTTCCGGACTTCTTGTTCATGACCGCTCGCAAGAAGGGCTTCCGCACACGCAACCGCCTCTTCTCTGCTCTCGAACGTTTCGACGCCGCCACCGATACTAAAGTTCTTCCCGCCCGATCGGACTATCTGATCCATGTTCTTCAAGACCTCATCATCGAGCATATCTTTAGTTATAATCCTATTTCTCACGGTGTACATCTCCCTAGTAGCTGCTCCAGTGGTCGTCCTGAGGATATCTGCAATGCCTTCGTTCCGCTCTTTATCCACAATAAGGGAGAACAGCGGCTTTTTTTGAGCATCTAAAATCGCCGCACTAACCAAGCTTTCATACAGCGAGTCTCCCTTCACAAGTCGGTTGACGTGGGCTGTAGCAGCCTCATCGTTACCACATCTCCCGTACAATTGACTTAGCAAGAGTTCTCGATCGCGCTTTGTGTCGATATAAGGCCCGGTTCCGAATCTGCTTGGACGCTCAATGCCATTCTTATGATCAATGGTTTGAATCCAGTATACGGTCTTGTTCTGAAGCTCGGATATTGTGAGATCGCCGGAGTTGGAGTTGGTCTCGATCATGGTCGCTTTGGTGTTTCTAACTTGATAGTATAGCAAAGATGTTGGTGTGGAGAATAACCTGTCTGACTTAATAGTATAGCAAAGATGTTGGTGTTAAGAACGACCTGTCCGTGGGAGGGCTTTTATATCAGAGTGTGAGTCGTTTCTGAGTGACTGTGTTCTTCAGTCATTAGGTGACATCGCAAGAGATTGCGCTAAGTGAGCCATGGCGCACGTTCATCGATATCCCGACTTCGACTCATTGCTCTCGCTCACACTCATCAAACCTGTTCTGTCACTTGGCGCTGCAATATATCACAGTCATTTCCCACACTGGAGTCTCCTAGTGTCAAGAGTCACATTTTGAAAGCCTAGACATTTTATGCGGCATCGTCGTTGTTACAACACTACCATCAAAACTTGCAGCGAACTCTAGACGAAAATTCACAACTCCACTTCTCTCTCTTACATTTTCATATTGCAAACTTGTATTATACTAAAAGACCTCTTGGGGTAGCTTACATTCAGCAACTACCAACTACATATTCTAGACTACATCTCCGGCTGTCTGTCTGTACAATATCGACCTCTAACAAGCTCAAACCGGGTCAATAAGACCACGTGTATCCTTCCTCTCCGTCTCTCCTACACGAAATTCCGTCACAACCACCAGTTCTATCACCTTGTTCGAATGCCCATGTATGATTGCGCCAACGAGCGAGCCTTCGATGACTCCCCCTTCCAAAGGCCAGATGACATGACCATAAGAGCCGCCGTCATCTAGGCGTTCTCTCGCACACTCAAGGGCCTCGTTTTTGCTCAGGAACGACTTGAAATTTCTGTCATAAGCGAAGGGTAGAAGTCCGTCCGTATTGATATACCGTCCAATTGTAGGCTGAAGTCCATCCATTGCAAGTACTTCAGGAAAGTCCTTGTTTACCAATCTTCCAGTTACGGAGTACAAAAGTATCGGCGCTGCATCCGTAACACCCTTCACTGCATCTGCGAGGTCCTTGTTTATCTCCCACGTGGCACTAATTGAAAACATAACTTGTCCGCCACCAGTTGTCACCTCCAAAGTTTTGCCACTAGTAGTTTGATCCTCCAGGGCTTCCACTATCCATTCTCTCATGACGCCTTCGCCTTCGCCTTGCGCATGCAAGCGATTGGTGAGGAGACTTGTATCATGTTCTGTCGTAACGTAAGGTCCAATCACCTGCAATCCTTTGTTGCGACCTCTGGCTACATACCAACGTAGGATGTCGGGCGGAAAGGGGTTGACGGGCGTGTCTTCGGGCATCGTAAAATCACTGACTTTGTGGATCTAGTAGCGGACTGAGTTTAGGGACCTGGTATTAGGCTGAGTTCGGAGTTCTGGTAGTAGGCCGAGACTAGAGTCGTTGCTGTAAGTGATTGTGGGATTCTGGTCGTGGAGGGAGAAGTCTTCCTAGCGGAACTTTTATACGTGGAGGGAGAAGTCTTCCTAGCGGAACTTTTATACGTGGTATGACTGGTTGTAGGTGAGTAAGTACCTTCTTCAGTCATTGTCTAATGTGCAAAAAGCCTTATAGTACCAGTCATGGCGTAGATCATGTATCTGACTCTCAGGTTCGCACCAACTTCGATTGACTAGACTTTTGGCTTGTACTAGGTCTACGGTGGACCCTCAAAATATGTCATTGCAACTGACTGTTTAGTGACTTGAAGGAAGACTTTAACCGCTCAGGCAGTTGTTCCACAATAAAATGACAGTACTATATACAATAAAATCCATGTATCCATGCCAGTTTACTATGTCAAAATTGTTCAGAAGTAACTGCAGTGTGTTGAGAGCTGCTCATTGCAGCTTGCGAAGAGTTGATTCAATAAGGCGTACGCGAAATACTTGGTTTAGTGACTTGATCTTCTCTATTTTGACTGCACTTTCCTAACTTCCTACTAGAAGCAGGCCGTAGTTACAGAACGACTCAGAAAAGGTCAAGATCCGTTAGGAGAAGCAGTGAACAGCCATATTGCAGGCGCTTCTTTCAGCAATAAAGCCTTATTAGGCTTTGTCTTATCTTGAAACTCAAAGCAAGACCAACGCTACACTGTCCAATTCCCTCTCCTGTATTTCCTTGTTCCTACCGAGGGGATATTAATATTGCTTTGATTCATCACGCAGAACTGTCAACTTAACATGATTTATCCTGAACTATCTTCGTAGCAGATCTATTAATCTATCTATAATACATATAGCAAAGTCCGCAAACTATTGTAGCATGATGCCACTACTTGTTATCTGAAGGTGCTGCTCCTGTTACCGTATCGTATATCTTATCACGTATGGTTAACAGGGCCTGATTGAAGCTATCCAAACGAGATTGTTCGTAGGGCACCACCTTCCTCTCGTGCTCAGTGACGAAGATCTGAGTTACACACACTAAACCGATAAAGGCCCCCCCTTTCGACGTAACTCTTCCAATCCACTCCCCTGCGACATTCTCAATGTCTTCAAAGCAACGGTCCGGACTCCATTCCTTTTGAAGATCCCCCAAAATCCGGCCAGCCGCCTCATCAGTCATGGCCGTTTTCATTGTTCCTCCAAATGGAAACACCAGTCCATTCGAGGTATTGTGCGGCTCGATCAATTTTGCCAAAGGAACCTTTTCTGGTTCTTTTACGTTGCGGAAGTGAGCCGAGAAGTATCGATCACGCACCAAAAACAGCTTCAAGAGAGCGGTTCCGGTTGTGTTCTTGATTGCTAATGCAACAGGCTCGTTCTTTTCAGTGTGCACTTTTACAATGAACAAGGTCAGACCTCCTTCTTTAGTAACGCGCTTGCCATCTAGCTCCTCAATCCCGCAACTCAGTTCGTCGTTGAGCCACGCGTAGCTTTCTTCAGAGACTTTGGTATCGGTTTCTGCATCGCATAGCGCTAGGAGTTGCTTTCGCACGGCTTGTCGATAGTCACAGGAGTTGGTGTACGGCCCGATGGTTCTTTTTCCCTGGCTCGAACCATAGTCGATTACAATCCAGATCAGTTCATCGTCGGAGTAGGTGTTCATGGTGCGGTTGGTTTCCGTATTCTTGGCTCGGAGTTCGTGTTGGTAATGTCGCGTTTGGAATTTATGAAGTGTGCATAATCGGCGCAGTGTGCGATTTTATATACTACAAGAGTGTGACTTGATCGTGAGTAACTTACACCACTTACTCAATGGCTGACACAAAAATGACTCGAGGGTGACACTCAAATAGGGGTTGTCATATTCAGAGAATCGACCGTGCTGGAAGATCATAAGTGTAATCCTTTCCTGAATAACCGTACTCTGGCAAGAAAATCATGAGTAAAGTTGCCTGCCAACGTCCACATTCATTCTCCACTAGCTTTTGGAACAGTAAATAAGTCACCGCAGAGCAGTACAACGGTACACAACTGCGATCGTGTGAGATGCTCTGATTTCTTAGTGACTTCTCAGCCTGGTCATGACTAATTCATGGTATGACGATACACCAATGAGCCTCTCGCAGACACAGGTATCACTTCAGCACGTGATACAAGCTTAAGATCCCATCAAGGTGGCAGGTCGGCCTTTCGATGCGACATGAGCTACTAAACTATCAATACAATAGAATAGGCCTTCCATCTCAGCGATGCTACCAGTCTTCTAAACGCCCCTGAATGCAACCTCGGATTGAGTAAATCTCTATGCATTATGGAATCAAATATTTCAAAGCACCTAGACCCCAAGGCTGCCTTTTGAGTGATCACCAGTCTTTAGGGGTATACTTTGAGTGCGGAAAACCTGCATGCAACGAGGCATACGCAAAAAAGGCTCAGGCAAGAATACTATAAATACTGTCGAGGTACGTTATTTCCAGTGACAGAATCATATATCGATCAAGGAGTGATACGGAATGAAGCCAAGTGTCATTGAATTCTATGAGAAACTACAAAGGTAAACTACAAAGGTGAGTACAAAACCGAGATAATGAAAAATTGTCTACCTCCCAGGGCTGCCTGTTGAGATATGGCCGATCAGTGGGGGGTACTTTGAATAAGGGTGGGTTACAGGAAAGCCCTCATTACTCAGATGCAGACTACTCAACTACCACAACGCATGCTGTCCGCCCACTATCAACTGCGTTATAGCAACCAGACTTTCCAAACCCGTAGTTAAATCCATGATCCCTCCAACTCGTGACCCGTTGATGTGCTTCAAGTGGAAAACACGTTTCCCCGGGCAATCACCCTTGTTAATAAGTTCGGTTGCCCTCGCAACAGCCTCTTGGTCGGTGAGAAAGGTCTCAAATGGCCCAGAAGCTGCGCATTTCATCTCGCCATACTCGACAAATTTTCCAAACACGTCCTCCAGTGACAAATCTCCGGCTTCTATTTGTGGGATTGCTCGTACTCGCACCACCCACAGCGACTCGAACCTCGGTTGGGTCAGTTGCTTCAGAAAATCCGCAACCTGTGGGTTGTGCTCGGCGCGGAAGTCAAGGGTAAACAAAACCTGGTCGTTCATTTTTATTCCATGATTACTTTCTGGTCGCGTATAGAGTTCGGTGGCGCACTTGTGGACTACGGCATCTTCGATGGGATAGCGGCGACAGAACTTTTTGAAGTCTTCGCGGAGTACGGGGGGTCCACGATCCAGGAAAGGTCCATGGTAATCAAAGTAAGGTCCAAGGAGGGTATAGGTGTTCCGGTTATGATCATGAACTTCGCACCAAGAGAGTAAATCCAAGGTTTCGGGGGCAGGTAGAGCCATTGGGAGTTTGTTTTCGTGGTTCTGGTAGTAGATTTAGTTGTTGTTCCGTAATTCTGGTAGTAGATTGAGTTGTTGCTTCGTGATATCGGGTTCGCTGGTGGTTGTTTGTAGTAGTAGAAAAACACGCGTTGAGGTTGCGGCTTAAATAGAAGTCCAAGCATGAGTCTTTCACGGGTGAGTCTTGAAATCAGTCATTAGTTGACGCATGAAATGGCCTCTGCACTATGATTCAACGCACAATAGTCACCACCGGAACAGACCATTTGCAGAACAGGGCGTGCACATGATGCAGAGTTTGATGTCTCCTTACTCAGCTCTGAGTAGTCATTGTCAGAATCGTAAGCGTGACGAATAAGGTTAATTGACAATGCTGGAGTCTGATGTCTCTGGCTACTCTTACCCCTTCAGCACTGGTCACCCTGCGAGACTACACTCTATCAATGGCTCACATTCTCGACATTGCTAGTTAATGAAATGAGCCAAGGCGTCGATGACGAGTAACCGCTTGTTTCTACCCAGTAGTATACGATTACTCGTACATCCTCGAACCAAGTCACAAGTTACACTGCCGATGCACCCTCCACCTACGCATAAAAGCCTATAAGAGGAGATTCTCAACTATCTACTTAAAAAAAAACCTGAGACAAAGTTCCATACTGAATGATATAATATTGATTGATTGATATAAGGCTAAAAAGCTGAATAAGAAGGAGCTACAAGTTAGAAAGGATAGAGTGGTTGAAACACGAGCATATCCAAGTCTCAAAAAGCGATGATGAATTCGCCCCTTCCAAAAAAAGTAACAACACACCGAATAGAACCAAACGCAGTCTAACATGATGAGGTATATACCCAAAGCGCCGGGGCCATCATGTGCGAGTTCCATCTTTAGGTGGCATGTATTCAAACGCCAAAAAGGGTAACAGGAAACGCCCGGGAGATGCAAAATCTACCCGCTCCGTGGTATTAGACTTCATATCGCGCCCGCCCTGGTCCTGGGACTTCGTTTCCAAATAAACGTCCAACCTCGACGCAGTATCTTGCCTCTCCATGTCCATCTGTACCGACTTCGCTGCCCCAGCATACAAGCACTGCATCTAGGATACCGCCCAAGACACCCTCCATTGCGCCCAGAGCGCCCCAGCCGATCGCCGCGCTGATCAAGCCCACGACATATGCGTATAGACTGCCTTTGTACGGTACTGTTTCGGCGCCGATTTGAAGCATGCGCGCTGTAGACACCCATCCTCCAAAGCCAAGAGAAAGTGTGATGACCCAGCGAATAGCATGGAGAAGCAACTTGGCGAGCCGGTAGGATTGTATTGACGGCCCGCCGTGATTTTTGAAGTCCCTCGGGCCTAGTGTCGTAGTAGGAGACGCAGCAGAGATGAAGTTCATCTGACTCAAACCCCTCGCCGCCTGGTTGAGTGGAACCCCATGGATACTCGCAAATGTAAGCGTAAGCGGGTTGGTAAGTGCAGCAATCGGCGTCGGAACAAGGCTGTATGCGCACATGCTAACCATGCCGGCAAGTCGTCTTGGGAGAACGATGAGCGGAAGGCGAACCAGGAGCGAGATAAGGGTTGACATGCAAATCGTGCCAGCCATGGTATACGTTGCGTGACTAAGACTTGCTTGCACCACTGTGCGAGCTGCGGGTGCAGGAACGCTGTTACGATGGAAGTACCACTGGGACACCGTGGCTGCGGTAGTCGCTCTTTGTACACCAGCGATGACACCGAGGGTCCAAAAGTAGTCCAAGAAGAATGCAATTCCAAGCCACCAAGTGCTCGTGTCGATAATCCAACGAGATTTGTTGCTTGCAAAATGACCGCCAAGGAAGAGGCGTGTGAACATGAGGATCCATATCCAGGACCAGAGGATGACAGCGGTCAAGGTAGCAATGCCCACGAGAAGCAAGGGAAACTGTGCTCTCAAGATGTCGCTGGAGAATTCTAGCATACCGGTAGCTTTCTCCAGCGAATGTCGTGCCTTGAAAATGGTGTAGACCCAGAAGACGGTAAAACAAAGTGGACCGAATGATAGCCATCTCATAACTCGGTCTTGGACGCTGTCACCGTGCCATGAGCCCTTGAAGCTTGACACGAGCGGGTATAAGAAGAATGAGAACGATATGACCGGAACTGCAAAGAGCATGAGCATGACGAGGGGTCGAGCAAATGATCGAAGCAGTGATAGCCACAGTAGTCCAACTACTATTGAGACGAGGGAGTATACTCCGATGAGGTGAAATGATGAATGTAGGACGGTGTATATTGTATCTCCGAGTGGGTTCTTCTTGTTTGGCGGCGATTCTTGTAGCAGGGAGATGAACCATACCCCGAGAATGGCGCACTGGACTATAATAAATACCTCGGCCCAGAAAAAGTTATGTCTCGGGGGGGATATTGGGTTGTCTGGGACGATGTCTGGAACGGTCTGGCGGTCTGGACTTATTGGTCGCGCGTGTTCTAACAGCGTATCTTCGTCGGTCTCCTGCGGTATGGGTAACGCTGATCTTAGGGGACTGCGACCGCGTTTCGGTCTTGGCATATTTCGGAACGCTTGGTACGAGGGTGGAGGGTCGTCTTGGTGCCCTAATAGTTCGTCTCTCTCCAGCTCTTCGATGCTCCCTCGATCTGTGGACTCGAGCTCGACATCGACTAGTTTGCCCCTCCCTCTGCTACTTGGATTCGTTGACTCGGATAGAGGAACGCTCGACTCCCGCTCTTCGTCTTCTCTGTTGTTGATTGTAGATGACCTCCCTCGTGCTGGCTTGTCACCTTTCCACGAGCTCTTGATTCCTCTTCCTAGACCATAGCCGGGTGCGTCGTTCTCGTCTCTATCGCCTTCTATGGTATGATCCGATCTCTGCACTCCGTCGTCGTCGACCTCGGATGATTCAGAGAGGTTGCTCGCGCCAAACTGCCGCCGTGATCTTTGCAGAGCGTAGTGATCTGCCATCTCGCGATCGTGCTCCACATGGTCGTCCTCTTCGCGGAAGTCGTCGGTGGCAGAGTAGAACAGCGGGGCGGGCGCGTTCGAGGTGCGCGAAGCAAAGGCAAATCGGCTCATGGCCTGGGAATTATAAGGGTTCGGCATGTTGCGACGCTGGAGGTATGCTTGGGCTGCCCGCGACGAAGGGCGCTGCCTGTCCGAGGGGTTGCGGTTGAAAGAGGACTCGGGCTGACCCAGTGACAGCCGCGACTGAGACTGGGAGAGGAACTTGGAGGCATCTGTGAAGCACGCCTGTTAGTCACGCGAGTCGTTGGAGCACCCAAGACAGCGACGACGGCTCTGTCACATGTACTTGATAAGGCGCTAGGAGACTTACATTCAGAGAACATGCTAGGCAACACAGGGAGTGGGCTGCTATTCTACGTGCACAGCTTCCCGCTGGCGACCAGGTGTATTTAACGCGGGTGCAGCTTCAAAGTGAGGGTTGCCTCAGGTGGCCGGTCAGCAGTGTGAGGCGGTCGAGGGTCCCGGGGTACAAGAGGCAGCCGCGCGGATGACGCAGCTTGAAAGACATGCAGGTATAAGTGAGAGGCGGCGTGAGGCTAGTCGACTGGAGGCAGTATAGATAGCGTGTATGCGTTTGAGTGAGAAGTGTAGAGGAGGGCTATAGGGAGCTATAGCTCACATAGGTGTTGAGGCGTGAGTGGTTGGCGCGTGAGTCGGGTTGCTGCTGCCATCATCATCGCCAAGATGCGAGGCTTATCGATACCCGCCCGGGCTTTGGACATGCATGCGGCATCGCCCTCAAGCCAGGCGCAGAAGTCTCCAAGATCCGATGAAGAGTTTGCAGTAACTGTATCCGAACATGGGCCAGACAAAGAGCAGCGATGAATTAGAATTTATGTACCAAGAATTTGCCGTACCATTATTTGTTCTCGGACTTGACATCCTAAAACGTGATTGTACATGCATGTCGAACTATGGCACAAGCGGCTACCGAGCTATGACATGTTCAAGCCATCTTGCGGTTATACACCTCTATCTCACTTGGTCGTTAACCAACAAACGACTCTTTCAGCAGCAGCGCCGCCTATTGGCACACTTCCAAATCGCTCCGCGCATTCTCGAACCCCGTGTCTTATCCAAAGCGCCATCTACAGTCTCACAAGCTTGCGCCTCAGCTACATAGCTCCAGTACCCCAACGCTGGGCAGCGTCACATACCCCAACATGTCTCAGCCCTGGGACTATATCGCCAAAATCGTCTCTCTGGGTGACTCTGGATGCGGTAAATCAAGTGTGAGCGACCAACCCTCTCCCTCCACTACCCGCGACATCTACTAACTACCTACCCGCAGCTAACAGTCCGCCTCTGCGAAGGCCGCTTCTCTCCACACCACGACGTAACCATCGGCGTAGAATTTGGCTCACGCATCGTCTCCGTCGGTCCACCTGCCTCCCATTCCCTCAGCATCAACAACCCCACCAAATCAATACCAGAAGCACAACAACCCACCTCGCCCTCAAAACAGCAACCACAGAAGCACATGAAGTTGTCGCTATGGGACACTGCAGGGCAAGAGACGTATAAAAGTATCACACGAAGCTATTTCAGGGGAGCATCTGGCGCCCTCTTAGTTTTCGACATTTCGCGAAAGAACACATTTCTCAGCGCAACGTCGTGGCTACACGATCTGCGCCAGATCGCAGAGGAGGGCATCGTAGTCGTGTTGGTCGGGAACAAGAGCGATCTCGCCCCCTCATCCACGGTCTCGGATTCTGAAACGGCTGCCAATAAACGCCAAGTCACAGTGGAAGAAGCGCAGGAATGGTGCAAAGAGAACGGTGTAATGCAGTACGTGGAGACGTCGGCCAAGAGCGGAGAGGGTGTCGAGAGGGCGTTTCTGGAGGTTGCTGAGAGGATATATCAGAACATTGAGGCGGGCAAGTACGATCTGAATGATCGGAGGAGTGGTGTAAAGGGCCCAGGTGGGGGAGGAGGCAGGGCTGGCGGCGTGAATCTAAATGATGCTAGTAAGAAGGGGAAACAGCAGGGCTGGGGGAATTGCTGTTGAGATGCGAAGCCAGCAATCTAAGATATAGGATTCGTGAACATATTTTCCTGGGTATGCGTGCTACCTGCCCGTTTTGTTATTCAGCCAAAAATGGCATTGCTCGGTGTTTAGGAGCTATTTTAGGATTTTCGACGTACGCAAAGTACATATTGTAATAGTCATCCCAGTTATCTTTAATCGACGGCGGTATTAAATATGTGCATTATCAACTTCACGATTATCTCTACACCAAAGCCTCGAGTGGTCTATCCTTCGTTTACAAGTCTAAACAATCTTCATTACTCTATGCTCTATACTCTATACGTTTAATAATCTACGACATCACATTTTACCCCCCTCTACGCATCCTGCACCTCATAACTAACCTTACTCACCCCCTTCTGCCTCTTAACCCCCCTAATCACAACCTTCCCACACTCCTTCAACTTCAACACATGCGTCCCTCCACACGGGTAACTCCCCACATTCCCAATCTCCACGACGCGAACGCCATCCTCGTCGCCCTTGAAACTCTCCAGCACGCCCGTGCAATCACTCCTCGCCCTCTCCTCAGTCCAAAAGTGGATCTTGACATCGAGATCGCCAGCGACTAACTCATCCACCCTGGCCTGAATATCCGCCTTCTTGTCCCCAGCAATGAGGCCTTGGAACTCGACGAACGCCGCACCGGGGTAGTGGCTTGCCTTCCCATCTACAATGTCACTCGGTAGTGCGCCTTCTTTCACGAGGAGATTGATCGCTAGCCCGATGACGTGGCCTGCGGTGTGTATTCGGGAATGCAGAACTCGCTTGTCGACATCGATGGCTTGTATTACCTCCTCTTTCCCTTCGAACTTCGCGCCCGCGGGTTCAAAAGTTCCCACGTGCAAAATTGCTGGGTCGACTTTCCGCACCTGGTGCACGTGGAAGGTTGGGCCGGCAGAGGATGATGTGGATGTTATGGTTCCGGTATCCGAGGGTTGGCCGCCGCCTTGGGCGTGGAAGATGGTAGATGTTGATGTGAGGATGTAGGGTTCGCCTTCTGGTGCTTTGAATAATGCTTGTGTTTCCTGGGGGAGGGAAGAGAGCGGTTGCACGGATGAGATGGTGCTGTTGTGTTTGTAGAGCTGGCCATCTTTTTGGTAGAGAGGCTCTGTTCTGTGGTCCATTGCGGTAATGCCTCTCCTGTTTAGGGGGCTAATTGCGAATCTAGTGACTGATGATGCTACTGGATGTCGCCGCAGTATTGTCTTTGTGGTCGTTGAAGTGCCGCAGATGTAGACTCGAATACGCAAAGTGATGGAATTGATATATCCCATGCAAGACTATGCGCTCTACTGTTTTATGTGGGAAAAACTTGCAACTGAGTCATCAACGATATTCAAGGCTTGAGATGTGTGGAAGATTCGAGACTGTAGTGAGGCTTATTATCCATACCCGTGGACATCAAAGGCAGGAACGCGCCCTAGATGTACATGCGCCTTTCCCGATCAGGAAGGTGCAGTCTCTACTTCTGCAACACCATCACTATCATAGGTATAAGAGTGTAATTGAGAAGTGAAAGGGTAAACGAGTCGATAGTTTTGGACGCCCAATATGCACATTGCGCTTGCTATATGTTCCAAATGTGAACCCGGCTTACCAGTCTTCCAAACAACTCCTCCGCCCTTTTCCTGCCCATGTGGTATCAACCCATCGTAACACTAACTATCCATCGCCTTTCCAATGCACAAATGCGCTCCCCCCTGGGTTCTTTTAGCTGAGATACTCCGCTAATGCCTGTTTCGATACAGGGTCTAGCCTCTCCTGTACTATCTTGACGATTCTGCCGTCATGTCGGTTGTTCGCGTCTTTCAGATACTGCCCAACCCACGCCTTGACGTCTGTAATCTCTGGGAATGGATCCCGGGGCGCCTTCTTGCAGGTATTTAGCTGAGTGAAGCCAACGCCGAACCCGAGTTCATCGACATCCGCGTCGGGGATAATATCATCAGCAGCAGTGGGAACAGGCGGATTGACCAACAGTTCAATTAAGCGCTGTGTAGTAAGCGTCCAGCCTTTGGGGTACCGGTCGACAAATGCTTGCGAGTCACCGAGAGTCTTTGTGAAGGAGACTACGGCCGTCTTGCGATCGGTAGGACGCGCAAGCTTCTGCGTGTCGGGGAGAATGACGGTGAGGTAGATAGCCTTGAATATACTATCACAAGATTAGCTTATGGTGGAATGAGGTTTGAAGATCACTTACTCATGCTGTATTTGGTCTGTGACGTTGATGAAGAAATCCGCACCCAGTCCCTTGCCTTGTCGCGCCGACACGAAGTGGTAGAAGGCAATCAAACGCTGCTGGAAGTTCTCGGTCTTCATGTTGGACAACCGCGTCAGCATCAGTTGGAGGATAGTGACGAAGTACGGCTGGAGAGCCTCAGCCGGTATGTACGCGACGACAGCTTCGATGAGCTCGAACGAGTATGTTTCGTGGGCCTTGCTGGTGACAAGTTTTTGGAAGATGCCCAGAATGGGTTCAACTTTGTGGTTGTCGACGATTTGACGAGCATCACGGGCGATCATCGCACTCAGCAGACGAGCGAGCGCCGGCACATTGCCTCGTTGCTCCCAAACCGCACCCTGGATTATGATCTCGAACAAGCTTCTGTAGAGACCGCTAAGTTCACCCGAAGGATTGGCTTCCAGAAGTGCCGAAAAGAGCTGAAAGATGTAAGGAGAAAACTCTTCCACGCCCTCCGATAAACACGCAGCGAAGGGCTCATAGAGCTTCTCCTCGAAGTACTGCGGGTGTTTCGGTGCGCCGAAGCGAATGAGAGCTCCGATTCCCTCAAAAAGGTAGTACTGGAAGCGAGGATTGCTAGGGTTGTGTCTGATTACTTTGACAATGTTGATGAAGTTCTGTAGGACGGATTCGCATATTGGCAAGGCGCCGTCGCGAATGAAAATCAGTACGCGCATGGCGCACTTCATCAAGAATTCGTTCTCCTGGATTTTTTCTGGGGCAGAATCTTTCGTGATGAGCTTGAACAGATGAGCCAGAAGATCCTTTGATGATCCCACGACATCAGATCTAGGGATGATAGGTTGCCGGTTGCTGTCTGTCATGAACAAGGCCCGTTCGACGGCGATAGCAGCGTAAGTGTGGATGACGTAGTTGTCATTACCCAGCTGATTGACAAGAAGAGGGAATGCTGCTCGCCAGAGCTCAGGCGATAATTGGCTACGGAAAACATAGAGGAATTTGATGGCGTCAACCTTAAGGATCGGTGATGCATCTTGTGCTTGAAGATCGGCTGCGATGTGGGATTGGAAGAATTCCAGTATGTTGACGTTTTCGTTGACACTTATGACACCTTGACCTGCAGTTGCAGTTCCTTTTGCGGCAATAGCGGTGAAGAGATATACTGCAGTGTCCTTGGATTTCCAATTATTTTCGGTATCCTTGGCATAGTTCTGGAGGTAGGCGTCGATGTAGGTTTGCGAAGTGGTTGTTACTAATGTCTCAAAGCGAGACATCAGTTGGCGGAGGAAATTAGTGGCAGCTCGTCGGCGAGTGTCGTTATCAGATCCTTCCAGGTCCCTTCGAATAAACTCAATCGGCTCGTCTTCGAACAATTCCACGTCGGATTCGCGCAGCGTCAAATTCGGTAGTATGACCTTTTCGATGACCTGGACCAACACAGTCTGGTTGTTGAAGGCTTCGGCGTGCCGTGTAGAAGCAACAGCGGTAAGGAACTGGAGAGCCTTGCTGACTAGTATGTCGTACTTGGTTTCTAAGCCGACCGACATGAGGAAACTCCATGTGCTCTCGATGAATTGCCCGAGTTGTGGCCCAAAGACGTCCTCGTACTTTTGAATGTACAGCATCAGCACTTCGAAAATGCCAGCCCTGACATACTCCTGGGGTCCTGACTCAGTCTCATCGTCCGTGTGCAGCGAAGCATTGTCATATATTAGGTATTTGTGGAGAAGGCCAGAGATGCTGCTGATGTGATCTTCAAAGTCGGGTGGCAGATCCTGGCAGGAAAGATCGTAGAATAGCTTCATCAAAAGATCGAGCGTTGTGAAGGCACCCTTGAGCGCCTCTGGATTGCCTTGCGAGTTCGTTATGAGGGCGTCGGTGCTCTCCAGCAACTGGAGGAACGGAGAGCTGAACTTGGACAGGACGTGGTTGATCTCAGTGAAAAGGTCGTCGGATCGGAAGAGAGGCCTCCATCGCTTGAAAATAGAATGTGCCACTTGCAGTACGCCGTTGTTGACCGTGGTGTTATCGGGTGTGAGGCGAGAAATTAGATCGTCAACCAATGTATCCCACCGCTCCCAGAAATCGCTGTCCGCAATAGCACTGATGGCTTCTCCGAGTTGTGCTTGTAGGTTCGCAGGGACAGAGACCATGAGACCTATCAGCTCCCGCTTGATCGCAACGACCTCATCCTCAGGCAGCTTGTAGTTGCCATCCTCATCCACCCAGTTGCGCTTTATGAAGTTTTTGAAGTAGAGCGCGGCGGATAAACGAGTGGTCTGGGGATTCGAGTCGGAGGCGACGATCTGGAGGAGCGAGAGGGAGAAGCCAGGTTTTGTCTGCTCTTGAGTGATGGCTGCCTCAGCTGCAAAAAGTCAATACTTTGTGGCGGTGTTGGTGGGGTGGTAGAGGGGCAGTTTATGGTAGCATCTGGAGTTTGTAATAGACGGCTCACGACACACAGAGGCCCAGAAGGCATATCTATTTGCCTTCAAAGTGTCCATTTGCCTGCTTCCAATGCAATCCTCTTGTTTTGCAGCGAGCGATGAAGGGTACACTACATAGGTAGTACCACGGGTTGAACAGAAAAGTACTGACCTTGTTTGTTCTGTCGCGGATCCAAGCTCGCCTGGAGCAGCTGTGAGAGTGTCGCAATATCAGCGGCCATGGTAACAGCAACAAACCTAACCAGGAAAAAAAAGGTGGAGTGTTGGAGCGGAAGAGGTAATTGTTTTGGCGGCGATGGTCACTGTTTGTGACAAGCCAAGTCGGCAACGGCGCTAGTCGAGAGCTCCTTCGCGCGAGCTAGGGACTACCCCAGACGGTGATTTTCACGACGACCTCCAAGCGTCCATCATATGACGAGACCGTGACCTTCTCCCACCCGCCGAGCACGCCACCAGAATGCCTCTTCTCCGCATCTGAAGCCTCACTGCCGACCAGCGCCCCCTCGTCCCCTCCAAAGACGCCCAGCAATCACAAATGGGCACCGACAGCCCCGCCCTATCGCCGCCCAGCACCCATGACAGACTCGATGCGCTCGCGTCACTCTTGTAGTACTATCTACCCGCCTCTACCACTCCGACTACCACGCCCTTCGTTCTTGCAAAAGGCAAACGGTGCCCTGCGACACCGAGACGCATGTCTCCGCCGTCGGAACATGTCCCTCGCACGCCTGACCGACGCTCCTCCACCCAGGCCCTGTTCACTGCCTTCCGCTCTTTGACCAGCGGCCGCCTAAAAAGTCCGACGCCACCACCCTCGACCTCGTCTACGACATGTACGCCCGCGCGCTCCCCATCTTTCGCATCGTCTATACACCCTGGCTCGATAGCAAGCCCTCACTCGGCCGATGGTACCCTTCAGCGCATAGGTCAGATCACAGGGCCGAGGGCTGGAAGACCCGTAACAGGGGGGCCTCCAGAGCTGGATGAGCTGATCGTGCAATTGGATCGCAGCCACCCATTCTCAGAAAGAGCGTTAGTAGTGGATAGGATATGCCAGGTCCTCGACGAGTATCCCGTGCAGAATACCCTGGGTCTGTGGTCTGTCGCAAGCGACTTGCTCCTCCCCGAACAGTCTGATGAAGTCGCTGAAGCGGGGTACAAGCTCCTCAAGAGCTGTGCGTCCCTCGCCGACTTGAGCACAATTGAGCGCAACGTCTTCTTCGATGCCGCCTCTCTGCGCAAAAACGATCGCAACTTCCACAGGAGACTCGAAGTCGTCACTACGCTCACCAAGGGTGGGCGCGATATTGAGGCTTGCGAGCCGTCTATTGTTCCCTTCCTGTTGACTTCCTTGGAAACCTGCTTCCAGGCTAGTCGTGAGGCATCCAATGTGAATCGGAAGGCCAATGGCAAGCGGAGTGTAGACAAGCCCACTCAAGAAACCGAAAATCTTTCTCGAATGTTTCAATATGTCACTGACATCTGCAAGTTCAATGCCAAAATCTTTACCGATGATGACTTGGATCTTCTTCTTAGTCGCACAGTGGCTATCTGCCAGAATACGACCCAGGAGAGCGATATGAACAACTGCATCAAGCTTTTTGACACAATCATTACATATGTTCACGTACCGACGCAGTCTCTCCGGTCGTGCCTTGAGGTTTTGTGCGCAATTCATAAACAAATACCCACCCTGCAACAACAGACGTGGAACACGTTGAGTAATCTCTTCAAATCTCACGTTTCGCAGGCTGCCATTTCAGCACTCCTACATGCTCTTCTGGACGGTCCTATGCATCTAAGTCTGGAGGATCCTTCGCGGAAGAGTCGACAGTTTAGCCTATACAGAGGCACGATACAGGTGCTACAGCTTCTCCTGTTCGAGGACGGCCGCAACGAGCTACCTAAAGTCCCAATGTCTTTGCTCTTCCCGGCTCTGAAAGCCTCTATCAAGGAGCCACACCACACGCAGGAGGAGATTGTTATCAGTCTAATAGACACTGTCCTTGCGCAGGAGAGTATGAGGGAGTTGCTCATCGCCGAGACAGATTTGAGCGATCTACTAGACATTGTTCGTATATGTGCTGAGCGTGATGACAATCGTCTTCGTGCCAAGGAATCGACTATAACAGATAGCTCGACTACTACGAGGAAGGAAATTGTCGAGACACAATCCGCTCCCGAGAACGGGTCGTCGAACAAGGGTAGGTATTCGACTATGATTGCACATGCATTGTACTCACGGAATCTAGGTGGAACTGATGCCTCTACTTCTCCAACATCGGCAACAAGACATTTTGACGGCGAGGCTGGTCCACGTTCCGTCATTACCGCTATGCCACCACCAGTCCTAGAGGCCTTTCGTAGCAACCCAGACAATGGCATATGTCAGGTCTTGGCTAAACTCGATGGCACAAGCGATGCACTGGATTTTGTTTCACAAGAAGCGGTAATGGAGCTATTCCTACACCTCGCGCCTCGTGTCAGCGATTCCAGTGCAGAGAAGACGGTCCACTACTTCGCCAGGGAGCGTTACCTCAACCCTTCGCATGGTGACTGGATGAAACTCTGTCGTAGTCTTGTCGCTGGTATACTTCAGGACGTGACCCGGCCGCGTTCGCTACGGATTCTGGTAATCCAAAACCTGCGCGAAACCTACGATACCGTGGAACAGATCTGCACAGATGATACAGTGCTGCAATGCGGAGCCCTTCTCTTGAATAACATTGAAGCTGAAGAGGATGTCGAAGTCCTGCACGAACTTGTAAATTTTGCCGTAGATGTTGCCGATAAAGCAACATTGGCCAACTTTTCCGATATTGTCCAGGTTTTAAAAGTGCGGCTAGACCGGCCACAAACTTCTTCGACAGCCGTAACAATGTCCTGGCCGTCTCAAGCTCTGCTTGCCAGAGCAGATGAGCGTTTCGGATCCCCCTGCAATGTCATATCTACTGCTTTTGTACGTCTCTTCACACGAAGCGTTACTCACTCGGCACAGAAAACTCGAATACTTTACGAGCACCTACGAGCTATTGCTGAAAACGATAAATACGAGAACGATGCGCGCCTGACGGCTCTTAAGCTACTGTTTCGTCTCCGTGCTGACTCTCGTCACGCACTTATCGTCAGCTCTTCTTCAGAAGGTGAAAGAATCGCCGCAGAGCTATGTCGCACGGTGGAAACAGCAGTGACACCAGAAATCATAGACGAGGTCGTACATGGGGATCAAGCCAGAGCTGAGGATGGCTCTTTTTGGCGCGAGCATCGCAAGGCCTCCGGATCAAGCCCGCATTCTTCTCTCAACCGGCATGCCAGCCGGACCACTACTACAAGTGGCCGTATTTCAAAGCCAATACCTCCACTGTGGATGTACCCAGGCCCCAAAGGTTTGCCAGAGGAGCCTCCAAGTGAACCAAGTCGAGTGGTCTTTTCACATACTGATGTTGGACAATACGCGCTTGGTGATGATATCCTAGATATGGAGATCACATTATGGCTGGAACTGATTATCTCCCTACTTCAAAGACCCCCCGACTGGGAGATTTACAGCTACGTGCTCGTTCACCTTGGACCACAACTATCCAATCAAGCTTTGGTACGCAGCTGTGTCGGCCAGCTGCGTATGCTTAGGAATGTTCTTTGCGAACAAGTACGGAATGCTAGCTTCCACGAGCCTCCGGCACGTACGCTTCTTAAGAAAGCGGACGTTGCAGTGTGTTTATTCCACATTCTCACCGTCATCATCAGCTATCACGAGTACTTCGAGAAGAGCGAGGAAGATGACCTGGTCAAAGCGCTCCTACAGGGTATCACGCAATGGGATAGGACATCGAAGTGGTGCATTCATGCGTTGTCAATCTGCTGCTTCGAGATTCCCCTGTCTGTCAGTAAATCACTTGACAGCATTGTCCAGAAGATGTCCCAGATCATCACGAAGCCAGCCACGGCAATTCACATCCTAGAGTTCCTCACCTCCATGGCAAGGCTCCCAGAACTCTTCAAAAATTTCCGTGAAGACGAGTTCAAGCTGGTATTCGGTGTCTGCTTTCGATACCTACAACACATTAGAGACCAGCGCGACCGTGTCTCAAACGCAAACTCCTCACACAGTCATCGGACACTGCGACATAGTGGACACTCGAGAGACTTCGCGGCATCGCCGGACCATACTGCAAAGATGCCCAAGAGCGTTGAGGATGACCTACCCCAGTACCTTTACTCGCTTGCATATCACGTCATCACGTTTTGGTTTATGGCTCTGAAGTTAGAGGACCGTGCAAAGCAAATTCCTTGGATCACCAAAAATCTCTACCATACCGATAGCTCTGGTAGGCAGGTCATGGAGGAACAAGGCCAAGTCCTCTTGGATATCATGAATATGGTGGCATATACAGATCGAGATGAGACTGTCCGCGACGATGACTTTGCTAAACCTGGTGATGGCGAAGTCTGGAAAAAGACATGGATTGTGGGAAATAGTCTCGTGTCAATAGAGACAGCTGCAAGGACAGGCGTCTCTCTTGTCACGACGCGTCGACCCGTGAGTCTTCTAGCCTACTATTCCTAGTAGTAACTTGCTAACTATTTTTTTAGTGCGGTACTCGATTTCTCACCGTACAACCTTTACTCACCTCCCCGCCGCGCCACCAAGTACCTATCACTGTAGGCCTCGCTTCCGAGGCCTTCTATTCAAACTCCTACGTTGGCATCCTACCAGACGACATCTTCCAATCTTTCTATGCGCCTCTCGACCTAAACAACTCGTCGATCCCTTTACCCGACGACGACATGACACGCCGCGCAATCGCATCGTTCGACCGCATCGCCACAGTCGACAACTACAAAGTAGGCGTGATATACATCGGCGAAGGCCAAACCGACGAAAGGGAGATCTTTATGAATGATATAGGTTCTCCGGCATACACCGCATTCATTGCTGATCTTGGTACTTTGTGTCGTCTGAAGGATGCGAAATTCAACACAGGTGGCCTCGATACAAGAGAAGACGTAGACGGCGAGTTTACATACTGCTGGCGCGACCGCTGCATCGAACTCATTTTCCACATCCCCACCATGATGCCAACGAATCGCGACGACGAAATGACCTATCCAAACAAGAAACGTCACATTGGGAACGACTTTGTTAACATCATATACAATGACTCTGGTCTACCGTATAACTTCGACACTTTCCCTTCGGCGTTCAATTACGTACATATCGTCATTTCTCCGGAGTCAAGGGCAAGCTTCGTGGACCGTCGCCTAGACGCGGATCCTGACGGGAGGAACCGATACTACAAAGTCCAAGCCATCTCGCGCCCAGGCTTTCCTGATATCTCGCCCGCTGTAGAGACGAAGATACTTCAGGGAAAGTATCTCGCGGCGTATTGTCGTCTCATCGCCATCAACGCATGCGTCTTTTCTAACGTCTGGTTTATTCGCGGGGGTGGTGAATCTACCTCTTCCTGGCGCAATCGCCTCCGCGAGATCAAACGTCTGCGCGAGCGATACGGTGCTATCGATCACCACCAGCACCACCCTGTCTTTTCTTCTCCCGCATCGCCAGCGAGCAGCCAAGGCCTCTCAAGCCCGCCATCTCGCGACCACAACGGCGTTTCACCCTTCCAGCGCATGAGCATCGCAACGCACATTACTGACGGCACGAGTCGCAGTTCCATCAGCAGTTCTTCACATGATCCTTAGTTTTGTGTTTCAACGGCGCGCAATATCTCACTGTGGTGACTGGTGTTATTGTGGGCAATTTACAGATACCCCAGGGTTTAATATCAATATCACACATAAAAGTTGTCTGCTTTTCAATACTGCCTGATTTGGGTATGGGATGCATTGCATGGCGTTTTGTGCATGGGATCGATTTCAATCGTTTCCCGATTAAAAGTCTTTTGTTTGCTTTTGCTTTCGGTTGTTGGGCGGACGCATCAGATAGGGAGTGTATATCGGTGTATGTATGTACTGGACAATGCAAAATAAATAGGCATCAAGTCGATAGTTGATACATATTATTTCTCGTCTGTTTGCAAGCTGCTTTGGATAATGTAAACGCATCAACACATCATTATCAATTTACAGTTGACTTCTGTGCCGTCTAAACATCAATCATACATGAACGACCTTGTTAGCGATAGCTTTCAGAGTGTATCTTGTCGTCTCTCTAGACGGCATACGATGCGCCACTAGAGCATAACCTATGCACCCTGGTTAGTAATCTTAAAAAGTGTTATCACGCTGGTCAGAACACTGGACTGCCCTTCCATCGGCAGGTTTCATCGGTCTAACCAAATAACTGGTTCGTAACAGGCAGTAGACAGAAGTATATAAAAAGAGAAAGATGTCGAACGTGCGTGTGTATGATGTATGTATTTGTTCAGGTTATATACACTCACCCTAGGCTCACACCCTCAGTAGCCAAAAGTTCCCCACCCAATGCCTCTTGTTGGCCAGTTGGACTGTTAGGATCAGTCGGCGGGCGCGGCGCAGAATCATTAAAATCCTCCATCGGGGATGGCCGATGTGGTGGCGCCTTCTTCCTTTCCTCCAGTTGCTGGTGCTGTATATAGCTCGTATACCGTAGTGCTACAAACAACATGAAAGCTGAAACGCCGACTGTGATCGCGGCGCGCCGTGTGAGCACCCAGCGTAGGCCTTCGACTTCGGACCGGGCGTCGGAGTTCAAGGCGACTGTGATTTTGTAGTTTAACTCCTGGATCTTGATTCACAGTCAGTATTTGTACGTCTAGTAGCATTCGATGGATGTAGTGCCACGGTTGAACATACCTTAGTCTCCATACTCCTCTGCTCCTGCCTAACAGCCATCTTCCTATCATCAAATAGGCCCTTCAACTCATCCCTCAATCCACCCGTTTCCTGCCCTAACCTCTGCCCCAGGATATCAACCTCATGCTGTAGCTGATTTCTCTCCGTACGCATTCTCTCATTCTCGCCTTTTCGTGTGTTTCCGATCTCCGTCTTCAGCTCGCTGCAAGCAGCCCGGAATAAATACGTTTCGTTTTCGACATTGGACTTGGAGACGAGGCCTTCGCGCGCGAGGGTCATATTGTCCAACAGCAGCTGTCGCACGGCTTTCATTATTGTTATCGATTGAGGTGAGGTATAAGCCGAGTTTCGCGCAAGCTCGCGCACGAGGCCGTATGTGTCGAAATGGTGCACGTAGGGCGGTGTTTTGAGGTGCGAAAGCTTGTATTGTTCCTCATCTTGGGGACTGGGCATGTGGAGGACGCTATCAAGTGGATTGGGGTCACCAGTCATGGGTGGATTCGACGCTAGTTGCGGTGGTCGAGTATCTTCTATTGCGCTGGCTTTCGAGGGTGTGGGTGTGGTTGTAGGGGTTGGTACGTGAGCATTCTCCTCTACCTGTTCGGAAACATGCTCTTGTGCGCTCTTCTCAACTGTCGCTTTGCCCTCCTTTTCAGACTCCTTTGTTGCCTCTAGATCACGTATCGGATGGACCGGGTCCTGTGCCTTTCCATAACGTTGCGTAGCTTTTCCCTCCGACCAGCGGGGCGTTGTCGTAAACTGTCGGCGTCCTCTCCGCGGGCGACTTGCAGACTGAAAAGAGGATTCTGGTTGTCCTACGGCACACCCTCGTGTCGAAGGCTTAAACAGCATAGGCCATAGGAAAGGAAGCCTCGGAGCGGCCATAATGTCGTGTTGTGAAGTGCAAGCGGCGAACCTCGGAGATCTGAATCTTGAGATGGAAGGAATCGGCTAGCAGGGATCTGCCGGTCCTTGACCGGACGACTTCCACAAGACGTCATAAGAGCGAGTTAGAGAAGCCTGTGAAGCCTGTGAATAAATTCTATTCGAACATTAGATTTATGCATGGTTTCAATGTAACATCAAACCATCACAACTAATGCTAGTTTATATGTCCGCCAAAGTGCAAACTTTCTAATCGAGACCCCAATGAAGGACAACAAGTTAAGAACTTCAATTGCACTATAGGCCAGGACGAATATTTGTTGGAAGCTATCTGAAGTAGCAGGCATCCTATTTTTTGCATTGGGTATATCAGGTATATCTACAATTTGTGCTTCTTCTCCCCGGATGCGATCTTACGAAACTCCTCTTGGGGAACGCCTTTAAGAAATCGCTCTAGTCCAGCAAAAACTTCTTCTACGCCCTGTTTGTCCAATGTATCCAAATACGGTTTCTGGATGAGTGCTTTGATCTTGATAAGACTGTCGCTGTTCAAGTGATCGCCCAGCCTGTCGTCAACTTCTTTCAACACCTCACCAAGAAATCTGTCACTGAAGTTGCTGTCCTTTGGGTTTCCGGCATCGATGACCTTGTTCACAAATCCGGTGTGCACTAACTCTTCAATAGTGATCCGTTTGCTCATGATTAGAGCTTCATTTGCCTTGGATATGCCTAGTCTCCTCACGAACGCGACGCTCGCATTGCCCTCAGCCACCAGGCCCAGACTAGAAAATGGTGTCAAGAGGAACGAGTGCGGCGCAGCGTAGATAAAATCGGAGAAGGCGATGAGAGCAGCGGAGAGGCCGACAGCAGGGCCGTTGAGGGCTGTTACGAGGATTTTGGGATGGGTGTAGAAGGCGTGTGTGATGTGTAGGTTGTTGGAAACAAAGTTCTTGAGCCAGGCTTGACGCTCATCGACTGCTGAGGGGTCTTGAGCACCGCCAAAGGACACGTCTGCGCCGCTGTTATAATGTTAGCTTGATACCACAGACATTTCTTGTCCATAGATTGTTGCAATAGGTTGACTTGGGTTTAACTTGAAGATGACTTACGCAGAAAAGTACCTCCCCTTGCCTGTCAGAATAGTTATGTACACATCATCCCGGGCAGCGACCTCATGCATTGCGCGCGCAAGCTGGTAGTACAGGTTTCCATCGAGCGCGTTGAGTTTCTTGGGGACGTTGAGCGTGATGATGGCAATCTTGCCCTTGTATTCGGTAAGAATGCCGTTTTCTGCCATTTCGGATATTCGTCGAGGTAGATGTAGTCGACGCGACGCAGAAGGAGGAGATTGAAGAGGCAGAGAAGATGGGGAGTTTGTCGGATTACGACTTTTGGTGAGATGACGGTAACGAGACTCGAGGATTATGAGCCGAGGCTAGAATGCGGAGGCATGTTGGATCCACATCGCATGGCTTTAAGGGCCGACTGGGCGAGGGAACACTTGGGATAGTGAATGGCCATCCTAAGATCTATCAATTCTCTCGCGGATATGCGCATAGAAGTGTGCGGGTCATGAGCGATTGCAAAGGCGAGAAACAGTATGTGAAGGTGTGGAGGTGCCTGCGGAGCGCTAGGCGGGGAACTTGGGGGCTTTGTCGATTATATTTTATCACCGATTTATGTCCATACACCCGCTACTAAGATCTTCGACCTCATCACTCCACTGCACCTCGAAGATTCAGTCAGCGTCGCAAGCGCATCACACCCAATCGCACAGCTTCAAGATGGCAGGCCCAAATCTCGAAGTTTTCAAGGTTTGTCTTCTCTACGTCGCGCACCTCACAAATGCGCTGCCACGCCATCTGCAACTTCACCATGTCTCCACGGGCCGTCACAACCGCCCGGTCGCATCGCAATTGTCCAGACTTATACTGATTCTTCATAGTTTGGAATGTACATCCTATTTCCCATCAGCATCATGTACTACTTTGGCACGAACCTCGACGGCAAATTCTCGGTACCAGAGTTCTGGCCCAAGCCCGGTCAAACGCACAAGATACCCTACGATCGCGAAGAGATTGCGAAGGAGCTAGAGAGGATCAAGGAGCGGAATTTGGAGAACAAACGGCGAAGGGAGGAGCAGGAACGGCTGAAGAACTTGGCCGGTGAGGGACGCGAGGCATGAGACCGAGGAAGATGGAAGACGGGTTAGGACGGGTGGCGCCACAGGAAAGAATCAAGACAGCTGAAGGGAAAGCAAGGAAACTAGCTTGAATACTGCATGGGCGGCGTTTTGGGTATACAAAGCATGATATTTACAATATGTACAGTGCTGTACCATATAGTTATGTATAAGTCTTGAGGGGAATACCATATATCGGCTTATCATGCAACGACTTTACTTCGTAACTCCTCCCAGAGCTCATCTCCTATACTCCCCTTCGACCAGTTTGTATACACTCCCGTGACTCCCTGCACTTCCTGCAACTTGTCCAAAAAGCCATTCAATTCTTTCGCGGCCGACTCATCCTCCAGTGAAACTTTGGTATCCTCGTTCGGGTCGTATACAATTTCACTCTCCTCAATCTCCATGCCCAGCTCTTTCGCCAGCGCTTCAGCTGTAGTGCTTGTTTGCGCCGGCTCCGTGAAGAGCACGACTCTTCCCTCTTCATCTTCGATCACATCAAGTACGCCAGCTTCCAGAGCGGGTTCCAGAACTTCATCTACACCCATGTTCTCCTTAAGGCGAAATATAATTCTTCCCTTCTTCTCAAACATGTAGCCTACTGGAGACACGTTGCCGCCTGCTTCCTTCACTAACAACCGTAATTCTGCCAATGCACGCAACTTATTGTCTGTCTGACATTCTATTATCGTCGCGACTGAGGGCGGTAGTATTGCTTCGAGGACGAGCGATTCCAATGCCGCACCGGAGGCAGAGAGGCCTTGACCCCGCGCTACGGCAGCTTCGATGGAGGTTTTGGGGACGGCGGATTTCTTCGCTGTTGCGATGGCGAGGGCTAGGCGGGGATTTAGATCAGGGTTTGGTCCTGCTACTACATGGTCTGTCAGTACAAGAGGCCTATCGTGTTTCGAAGCAGAACAGTATATGAGTGTTTGAACGTACGCTTAACGGCATTGGTGATGTCCCGGGTCATGAGAGACCGTTGCTTGCTCTTGCCTGCGTCATTCTTCGCTTTGTCGTGCTTGATACTCGACCATTTCCTGACATCGCTTAGCATGAGGGAATTATCTGAACGAAGGAGTAACATACGAATGACCTGATTGTAGATTTGGGGTACTGCTCAAACATCGCAGCTGCTCTTGTATGCGCAATTTCCGTGGACGTGTAGCATGACGACAGGCGCAATGGGTCTGACTATCAAAAGCAAACGATGCGCGGGCCAAGCTACGGAACATTGTCGCCATTGGTGATATATTAATGGTTGGTCTAGTAAGTCATCACTCTCGGAACAAAATGTTGGGGATCATCGTTCCTGCCAAGACGGAGGTCCGCAGACCAACCCACACATGCACCCACAGCTCCGCCCTTCGACGTCTGACGTGCTGGCTTCTCCCACGATATGATTAGTTCGTATCGACACCTCCGATAGTTACCCCAAAGGCTCTCGAGCCCCCTTCCACGACTATGGCAGCCGACGAACAACCCGCGAACGAAAGCCCCTCAAACCCAGAACTAGACATCAAGAAGCTACACGCCCTTCCTTCCGAGCAGCAAGACCTATACCTACTTACTTTCACGTCGGACCTTGCACGTCATGTCGCCTCACTCGACGCGGACGGCGCTTCGGCTCATCAGATATACATCAAGAAGGAGATATTCCAGATCATCAACCTAGCCTCCCCCGCGCCCACACGACTGATCCGAAACAACTTGGGGCGAGCAATCGCCGGTATATTTGAAAAAGGAGATCGGAAACTACTCTTTGAGTCCATAAATGAGTGTGTTGGCATAATCAATGCTGCCGGCAAGAGCGAGAAGGATGTCAGGACAAAGCACGCGGCCACCCATTGCTTGGGTGCCATATTCGAGGCGGCTGGAGATAGTGCAATCGGGCTGTCGCCATTTGCAGCAAAATCTCTTTTAGGCCTCGTCAAGTTCGCTCAAAACTATACTGGACTTAGAGCGGCGATTTTCAAGGCGGTGGGAAAGGTGTTCAAAGGAGTCAGCCCATCAGCGGATGAAGTCATTGCACGAGACGCATGCAAGCAGGCTCGTAATGCGTGTAGCGACAAGTCTTACCTCGTACAGACAAGCGCATGCTACTGTCTGGAGCAATTGATCCGACACACCACCTTCTTCGACAACTCCAATGACTTCGATAAGTTACAGAGTGTCGCATGGAAGACTATCGATAGCGCGTCATCATCTGTCAGACACGCAGTAGCTTCAGTTGTAAGCGCTGCGATAGTCAAGAACTATTCGGAGAATGCGCCGGTCGACCTCCCTGTTCTGATTAGATCAAAGACAATGAAGAAGAAGAACAAAAAGGACGACGATGGCGATGAAGATACCATGGAGCGACCTGATTCTCCCGCGCTCAAAAAGTCAGCTACTCAGCTCTCTTTTACCATCACATCCCTCTTGAGACTCCTTTCAATGCAATATTGCCGGCCTGCAGCTGGAAATCGCGCGAGAGCTGGGATCGCGGTCTGTTATATGAAAACATTAAGAGGATTAGGCGAGCAAGTCGTCGAGACCAAGTACCCGGAGATCGCACGAAGCTTGTTCGTTGATGTTCTCAGCAACCACGTCGTGTATCAGAACCGCTACCGCCTCCTGAGCACGAGAAAATATGTAGCAGTCATTCTCGAAACGGTCATTGGCCGCGATATGCTGGGAGAGTCCGGGCAGCTTAGTGCTGCAAAGTTCTTGGTCAATGAGATCTTGAAAGACTACCCACAAGCCCTCAAAGAGCGACCAGAGCCATCAAAGCAAACCTTGATTGGAGCTCTCAGTACGCTTTCGTCACTGTTTAATAGTCTAGGGTCGGCCACCAATGTTATCGCCGACTCGTGTCGAGATGCCCTACTTCAAGTCCTCCAGCATCCCAGTTATACGGTTCAAGTCACGGCATCTACTTGTCTTCGCGCGTTTGTCCTCGCCTGCCCACTTCAACTTCTTCCTGCCGTCACGATATGTATGAACAGTGTCAATCGAGAGCTCGGCCTTCTTGCTGGCCCGAGACAGTCGCCTCGAAAGTGTGTCGGTTTAGCTAATGGTCTCTCCGCTGTGCTGAGCACATCAACATCTCAGCCACTCCACGGATCCGTCGATGTGAATTCAAGAGTTCTCTCACAGGCCACATCGCTGTTGAAGTCGGCTAGCAACTCCGATCTGAGGATCTCATCTACGCAAATACAAGTTGCGTGGATATTAATAGGAGGTCTCATGACCCTTGGTCCCAATTTCGTCAAGATCCACCTTTCACAACTACTCTTGTTATGGAAGAATGCGCTACCCAAGCCGTTGAATAAGGACAATATGGTGCAAAGAAACTTCTTAGAGCTCAGCTTTCTAGCACACGTACGAGAGTGTGCCCTCGGCTCCATCTTGACGTTCTTGGTATTCAACAGCAGGTTACTCACACTGGATGTGACAAAACGTCTGGCTGCGATGCTCCAAAACACCACCATGTTCTTGAACACATTGCCTGCCAAGAAAATAACAGACGACATCTCTCAACGACTGTCGCCTGCATTGCAACTACATGATTTCGACTTGATGGTCCGAAGAAGAGTGCTTCAATGTTACACAAAGCTCGTGGAGCTTAGCCCAGCAAGCAGCAATGAGGTCTTGCTACAAACGAATCTGCTTCCCTTCGCTATTGCGTCTTTTGCGGAACCGGACAACTATACCACGAGTTCCTTCAGCACGACTATCGCTAGCGCTGCTGGCACCTTCGAGAGCATATGGGAGGTCGCAGACAATCACGGTTTTGGCGTTACTGGGCTTGTCAGAGGCTTTGATATTAAGCCATTGCCAGGAGAGCATGAAACCGAGTCTCGGCACCATTGGCTCACTCGACATGGGCCTGAAGATATCATCGATCGTACCGTATGTAGGAGACTAACACTGTGATCATCCCAATACTAACATGCGACAGCTGCTTTCGCCAATTTGTGGTGCTCGAGAACATGACTCGATATCTTTGTACATCCGTCCATCAAACGACGCAACTGAGCTTCCAGATCCCCCAGCTACCGAAGTCGTGAACGCCGCATTACAGCTGTTCGCAATATGTTTACCATTGCAAACCCCTAGAATACAAGAAAGCATCCTAGAGCAGATGACATCATTCCTCTCGGCAAGTAGTCTTCAGCGAGACATCAACAGAAAAACCGCGATGATGGTGAACATTGCATACGCGATACTATCGACACTAAAAGTAGCTGTAAAGGAGACGCGTTCTGCTTCTGGAAGTCTGAAAGGGCCGGCGGTGGAGAAGGTCATGCAAGATCTACTACACGTAAGCGAATACTTATATCTACTATCCGCATACTGACACATGTAGTTGTTTATCATTCTTCCTGACCCCTACGTTCGAAACCTCGCTGGAGAAGCCTTGGGTCGGCTTTGCAACAGCTCTGGAAATTCTCTCACTACCAACGAGGTGAATTATCTAGTTGATCAAATCGTCGCAAATCGTGAACCCAACGCTCGATCAGGCTATGCCGTTGCGCTCGGCTGCATCCACTCCCAACTTGGTGGTATGGCCGCTGGCTTTCATCTCAAAAACATTCTCGGGATATTGATGTCTCTCGGCAACGATCCGCATCCCGTCGTCCACTTTTGGGCGATCGACAGTTTGTCCCGAGTGGCTGATTCCGCTGGATTGTCATTCTCCAGCTATGTCACCAGCACACTCGGTATGCTAGCTCAGTTGTACGCTGCTGATACGCATAACGACGAATCTGCCTCTCTTGCATCGTCAAACATAGAAATCGACGTACCCACTCCAGCTGTCATTGCTCGATGCATCGATAGTACGATCAATGTCCTCGGCCCGGATCTTCAGGATGTAGCTAAGGCACGAGATCTGATACTGACGCTTGTTGGGTTATTCCAAGGGGAGGCTGATGAGTTGGTAGTCATCGAAGGTTTACGGTGCCAGGAACACATATCGTTATACGTGCCGGGTCATATGGACTTCTCGGCGTATGTCAAGCATCTACAGCGATCTGTAGAAAGTAGCTCAACACAGATTCGAGACATGGCTATCGATGGTCTACACAACCTCATGCGGCGAAACACCGAAGAGGTCATACGCTCTGCCGATCTAGGCTTGGAAGATCAACTTTGGCATGTACTCGACCGAGACTCTGAGCATGAGGTTGTCCGAAACATTATCCGCAACTGGCTGCATCAGACCGGGTTGTCAGACACAGCGACATGGGTGCAGCGGTGCCATTCAGTCCTCACGAAGACAAAGAAAGTCGACGCTCAAGATTTAGCTGAAACGAAGCCAAAAGCAGGAGCGACAGACTTGCAAGACGAAGAGGTTGCAGGCTTCGCAGCTGCGTCGAACGCCCCTGGAGCAGAGTCTGGAGACGCCAGACAAACCAGCCAAGAACTTCTCAAGTGGCAGGTACGCACTTTTGGCATGGACTGCTTGAGCGAGCTGGTCGCAATGGTCGGCAAGGAGGCCACATTTCGAGCAGAGTCGCCTTGTGTGATGGCATTGCAGCAGAGAGTTGCTGATGTTGTTCGTATCGCATTCTCTGCATCTACTGCTGGTGTTGTTCAGCTACGGATAAGAGGATTGAAGATCATCGATCAAGTGCTGAAGGTATAATATACGCACGTATTAGTTTAGATCGGCACTGACTCATTCACGTAGCTCTTCGGGAAGACTCCAGACCCCGACTTTGCAGAAGTTACACTGCTCGAACAATACCAAGCTCAGATCGGATCAGCGCTCACCCCAGCATTTGCTGCAGACTCTTCTCCAGAGCTTGCAGCTGAGGCTGTTAACGTCTGTGCTACATTCATTGCCACGGGCATCGTTACAGATGTAGATCGGATGGGTCGTATTCTCAAGCTCCTCGTCACTGCGCTTGAGAACTTCTCCAGTATGTTTGAATATGCAGAGCGGGCCTTACAACATGCTAACATACTACAGGTGAAACAGAGACCGCTGCTATTGGTGATCTCAAAGGGCTCAGCTCAAATGCACAGGTCATGGTCAAGATGGCAGTCTTCTCGGCCTGGGCGGAATTGCAGATCGCTAGTACTGAGCAGACCTATTTAGTGGATGTGCTTAAACCACATATTGCCAAGCTCACGCCCCTGTGGCTCGCATCCTTGCGAGAATATGCTCGTTTGAGATTCGAGCCTGACATCTCTTCGTCAATGGGAGGATCAGCCTCTCTATCTGGTAGCTTGGATACAATATACGCAGCGCTAAACCGCGAGACTCTGCTCAAGGTATGGTGGCCCTTTCTTTGTGGGGTGCTAGCTGACAATGGTAGTTCTACCAAGAATCCTGGCTCAATCTTGTAGATGCCATCGCCAGCCTGATCGACGAGGATAGCGAGTTTGTATTTGATGCTTTGGACGGAAAGACTGAGTTCGATGAATCAACGCCTAACGGGAAGGCTGACCACATCAATTATCGCGATGAGCCAGTCGCCTTCTTTTTCGTGCTCTTCGGCCTCGCCTTTGAAGCACTGGCAGGTCGTCCAGGCGATCTGCAGGCCTCAAAAGAACAAATACTGGAGATTCTGCAAGCTCTGAAGAAGATATTACGGCCTTCAGTATCCGGACATGCTATCTACCAAGAAGTCGTGTTCTCCGAGACGATGGACATGCTCGATCGTTTGGTGCTCACTGAGGGGCTGACTGTACAGACGGTCATTGTTGAAATTACGAGAAATCTGTGCCTTGGGCATCCATCTGCAAGGAGAGAGCAGCGGTAAGATTTACCAAGACAAATCGAGGCGTGTCAACTGACTCTCAACAGCACTTCTTCCGCAGACGAAAATCTCTCGGATGACATTGATCAGCTCTTCGAATTGACAAAGATTATGGTGCTGGTGTTGTCAGGCTTGGTGCCTGGTCTGGAAGACAGCAATACCAAAGGTATGTGTTTTTACTCTCGCACTCAGACTAAATTGACAAAGTCCAGCCCGCCACGAAATGAACGAGGAAGCTGTTGCTCTCCTGACAACAGCGTTATCCGCACTCGTCGATGCTGCCCAAGTCTTCCCATCGATCATCAAAGCCGACTTGCACGCTTGCATTCTACACATTTTTGCCACTATCTTGGGCACCGGAACCTGTCAAGCAACAGTCGTGCCGAAGGCCTTGCCAATCTTCAAACGTTTCGTTACAAGCCTCGCACCAGATGCTGAAGCCACCGATGACACTAGCAAACAACTCCGCGCCACACTGACGCGGTTCCTTGCCATCCTCAAACACGCACAGCACCGCGAATTTGATGCTGCGCTCGTGTGTGAGAAGAACACCATTTTGGCGACTACGATCTTGTTAAGTTCTGCCGCGAGTTCGTTCTCACCGAGCGACCCGCTCATGAAGCGCTTTGTTGACGATTTGTTCGATTGTCTTGGGAACAGAATGACATCAAAGGTAGCAGCAGGCTGTTGTCGCTCACTGCTACTTCTACCAAAGAAGGGGGCGCTGGAGATGAGTCTTGCAAAGATGATGCTACCCCAGATTCTCACTTCACTTGCGAATCCATCGGATGTTGAAGGCTTAGAGGAGTCAAGGACGACGCTCGCATCAACGTTGGTTGCATTTATTTCGACATTGCCGAAGCCGGAGCAACGGCAGATTGCAGCCAAGGTCATCATCCCCGCTCTCTTGTCCCGGGCAGAGAAAGAGCCCAAGGCAACCGCTGAGACGGCAACGCGGCTACTTGAAGTTGCAGGCGCAGACCAGATAGCGTTCAGAAGCGTAGTCGCAGGCCTAAGCGCTGATCAAAGGACTTTTATGGAGAGTGTGCTGAAGAGTGGGCAAGGGCCGGCGAGGAGGGAAGTCAGTAGAGATGATGATGGGCAACCGAAGATTGCCCTAAAGATGGATTTCGGGGCATGAGCGGATGCGGTCAAAGGGGGTCGTTGGTAGAAGGGAGTAAGAAAGGAGAGTGAGTTGGCTGATAGTTGCATATACCCTTATCTGAAGTTGTTTATATATTGCATTCTATTGCGGTGATCATCATGAACGAAACCAGAGGATATACACCTAGGTGCAGAAGTCTAATATAGCTTAGCAAGTTATTAAAGTCTCGCGCTCACTATGTTACGATGGCCTTCAGTAAGTCCTCGGTGCTTATATTTGTCTTCTCAATACGTGAATCTGTTTAGGTACTCGCAAATTTGACGGTCCGCAGTGAAAGTCGGAGATGAAGATTTCACCAGGGTCAACCCCCGACGACTAGCAGTGAATACCCGCGACAGTCAGAACAGTTTTCATCCCTCATACACTCTCCCTCTACATCAAATCTCGCTCTACCACAACCCACAAATGTTCGACTTAAACACTTCAACCTTCTTCTTCATTGGCGGCGTCGCTGGCATCTTCGTTATATACAGCTATTTCATCCGCCGCAAACCACTTCCTCCCAAACAACCCGAAGAGTTTGCGACACATCATCAGCGGGGCTTATCGTCTGACTTTCCGCCGGGAATGCAGTTTGATAAAGTGGAGGGGGGGTGGGCGAAGGAGGGGATGGAAGGCCCGTTTTTGAGGTCATAGCCTGGGCTTACTGTACACGGATTGACAAGAGTAGGAGTCTTTCGTTGGGTCGTGCTCTTTATACAATTTTGTGAGGGTAGCGAAGAATTGTCCATGATACACCAAATAGTTCATGTTGAGGTCTTTCTGGGTGGATGCATTTGGTCCTAACTTGCTTTCACCGTGGTTGACTATTGTTGGGCTCGGAACATGCAACCTATCCTAGAAGATGTAATCACAAGCATCTCCACACTCAAAGTACTTTCACAGGACCAGCAATAGCTCAACTAGGGCACAGGCGCTTTGCAACTCCTCTTGCTTTCACTTTGATTTTCTGTTGTCTGAGACTAAATGAGAGCCGAGCGAAACAAACAAATAGCCTCGTTCGCCGCACACGCTGTTTCACTCGGGCATTTTGTCAGTGCGCGCCTTTCCCCAGCAATATAAAGTTGCTCTTTGTTCCTTCTTGGTTTGCCTTCTACTACCTAGAGCTCCGACATACCCATACTCAACCTCTTCATCCTAGCCAACTTTCTCCGCTCAACTTATCCTGAACACCTCCATCATGTTCTCTCTAATTCCATGGCTCATGCCGCGATATCGCCAGCCCGTATGGCTTGATGTCATCATCAACAACTTCCTCAACTCGGTCACTGGGTATCTAACCCGGCTGTTACGTGACACGCCGCTCGAGTACTGGCTGCTAGATTCTCAGGGCCAATTCGGCACGCTATTCGTGAGCGTCATCCTAGTAGCTCTGATCTGGCTGATTTCTTTGGAATACTCGGCCCAAGCTGAGAATCCTGTCGCATCTTCAGTCTCTACTGAAGCCACCCATGACAATGTCCATGGGCCTGGGGAGATCCAAGAGCAGCCCGCGCCAGTTACGCTCCCATCTGACGACATCGCTCGTACACCATCACCAGTCAGGGCCTCAATCATGAGAAGTTTCGCCCGGCCAGACCACCGACCTACGAACGCGCACCTTGAAATCTCGCCCTTCCGCACCGCGCGACCTCTAGGCGATCCAGATCGCACAGGGCGCATCACAACTCCAGGATACCAGACGCCCTTTGGCAAACCTACTCACTCTCAAGATTTCTCTAGTCTGGCGGAGAAGGCGCCTGTGAGCTACAAGACACTGAAGGAAAACGGCATGTTACACCCAGACGGCACGCCGACGAAGAAGTGGACTGTGTCGAGGCGGATGACCGACTCTCGGGGCATTAGAGGAGAGGATTCGAGGAAGGAGGTGGTAGCGTGGTGGGTGAATGATTCTGGGCGGCGGGGTGGACGTGCGAGATTGAGGCAGGATTTGGACGAGGAGGAGGATGGGGTAGCTGCAAGGCTCTAAGGGTTTCCGAGGATGAATGGAATGAATACACATCCGTCCATTATGACGAGAAGATAGTAGCTGTGTATGGCGGTGAGAGGCTCCATAAAGCTGCAAAATTATGTGAGATTGTCTCAAATAATCGAATCTCTCTAGGGTATACTAACCACCAATACCTCAAACTCGATACTGCTCTTCTCTTCTCTTCTCTCAAACATGCCTCTCCAAGAATTCCAGTGCAGGTACAACATACTTTTCAAAAAGCGGATCAGTGGCCTGGATCTGAAGGTCAAACGCATGTCCAATTTCCTCGCCGATAACCAACTCCGTCTCAACGCCCACCTCCTTGAGCGCTTCATGCGCACGCACAGTCAGTTCGTAGCTCACAAAAACATCTGATCTACCGTGCAGAAAGTACGTCGGCGGAAATCCCTGCTTGAACTGCTTCGTCGCGTCCACGCGCTCGTAGTCACCCTCTGGAACGATCGAAGAGATGGATGTCCCATTCTTGACCTGCTGGATATACCACGCACACCTTGGATCAGAAAGCGTGGGCTTTCCGTCAGTGAACATTGGCAGCGACGTGATAGCTGGGGGGCCGTCATATATCTTCGAGATGAACTCAGGAGGCTGATCCGGCACCTGGGCAAACTTGGGCAACGGCCTGGTCCAACTAGGGTCATCGAGGATTTTGCAACCGTAGAAGTCGACGATTGCGCGTGGAGGCTTGGAACATAGTCCCGTGGTGAGAGCGAGGAGGCCGCCTGCAGAGTGGCCCATTGCTACGATTCTCGTCTCGTCGACTTGGATACTCTTGGCCTCCTGGAGTAAGGCCGGAAGCTCCTCTTGACACCATCGCAAGACGTCCTTCGCATCTTGGACTGGCCCGTCGAGGAGCGAGACCTGGGGGCATAGGCGATACTCGGGTGTTACTACCACAAAGCCGCGTGCAACTAAGTGAGCGATTTGGTTTTTTGGCGTCAAGTCTGCTGATCCTAGGACGAAGCCTCCAACGTGGAAGATGAGCGCTTGCACATGTTAGTAAAGTGGTGATTTGGTGAAGTAATAGCAGCTTACCTATGGGATGAGAGCCTTTGCCATGTGCCGCGTCGGGATAGTAGACGTGCGCCGGTATGGCTCCTGCTGACGGGTCGTCTTTCCATGTGAATGTGATGCTTGAGAGCTGCGTCGTGGGTGCTGTCGGTTCTGCCATTGCTACTCAAGTCAGGTTGGTATGTTGAGTCTAGAAAGTAAGTTGTTTAGAGTGCTGAGGAGGATGCTGTTGATATGCCTGAAGCCAGAGCACACGCAGGCTATTTAACATGCGCTCCATCTTACCTACCCCTTCTCTTCACCACACGTCACAGCACGCATCCAGTAGAGCATCGGTGAACCGAAAGTACCGATGGTTCAAAAGAATGCCCGCCTAACAAGCTAGACAACCAGTGCCTGGCCCTATTTACGCCTCGAAGGCACCGACACAGGGTGTTTTGTGGAGAAGTCGAACGGACATAAGCATATGGTCCGTGCATTGTGCATGATCGGGGGCAGATCATCCCGTCGGGCCCGAGACAAGCTTTTGACAAGCATGACAAGCAAGACGCAGTTAAGTGGGTATACAATAAATTGTTAGCCCAATTAAGACACAGGTGCGGACTAGAGCCTATGCAACTCACGACTCGTTGCTAAATCTCTACCATTTACTTCTAGCCGTTCTTCCTCACATCTCCGAACAATCCTTTGTCGACATGGCTTCACTTATTAACCTCCAACTCTGCGGCACTACTGCATCATCAAATGGCAAACCTCGTTCGCCTGGCAGTTAAAATACATTCAGTGGGCAAATTATTTCTACAGGTAGTATTTCAAATATGGACAATATCTTCCCCAAGTCGTTAAAATGGTAATATTCGAATAACTAGGCAACTAGATAGATAAAATAGCGTTGGAAGGCGATCTAACTGTATTTTCAGGATAGTGACAAGTCATTATAGAATTATGAAGATACTAGGTTATACTAACGAACAGATAAACACAACGTGCAGAAGGTATTCCAGCTATACTATGACAAGACGACAAGCCTTTTACAATCTTGCGAGTGCATCCAGGCCATACTAATAGACAGAGGAAGGTGTATAGATGTCACGATCAGTGGTCACCGGGACATGTATCAATAAAACGAAATCTCGTGATTTATGAGACGAAATTAAACTACGTCCCCATAAGAGCTATTCGACGGGTATCTTCCGTCTACCAATGACTCCGACAGCAAAAGGCTGCATTGCGTCTTGTAACACTGTAGAATCTCGAGGTATGGCCGGGCACCATTATAGTGCATAGTGCCACCCATGACAACAGAGAAAAATGTGCAGCACCATGTTCCACCGCATGAAATGACATGCTCTACAGACCTTGTAATCATCTCAGTCGTCATTCATCTACTCCATACCCACGTTCACAACTACCCCATAAGCCAAGGCGAACTACTCATCCAGCCTGACCTCGACTTCCACGATCCTCCTGCGCTCTCTCACTGCCACTCTCTTGCTCAAGTGCTCTTCAGTCTCTTCGTCGTCATCAGTCTCCTCAGCCTCAGTCTCCGCAACCACGTCAGCGATCTTCTGCGCAACAGACCCGGTCTTGGGGTTGCCCTTGCGCACCAGCCGCTTCACCATGCGGTTACTCCACCAATCGACCATGCCAATGTACAGGACCTCGAGGGAAGCATAGGGCCGCATGACGGGGCCGATGCGCGTGTACGTGTCGAGTCCAGAGTACGTGACGAGCAGGCGGCGGATGCGATTGATGAACCGCAGGGGCAGCAAGCTGCTGAGCTCGCGGAGGCGGAAAGTCTCCGCCGTGTTGCAGGCAGCTGTGAACCGCGAGCTGAGGAACATGATGTCGCGGTCGAAGTTGAAGTAGCATGCTGTAGTTCGCTCTTTGCCGGTAAAGTAGATAATCTCTCCACCCTCGTTCGCAATGCTGAGCTTCCGTGACTCACGGCAGGCATGGAACAAGGCGGGAAGAGGAGGGATGTACCGGACATTGGGCGTGTAGTCGATCTCGTTGTAGCCGTGGAGCTCGAGGAAGCGGGTTCGGGGCTCGGGCATAGCGAGAGACCAGATGCGCTTGCGAAGTGTGGCATTGAGACGACGGAAAGGTTGAAAGGTTTCGAGATCATAGCCGGTGGTGTACAGCAGGTCATTGATGTAACTGGTGTCTGTGGAAGAGGGAGGCGTGCTGTCAATGTCCATCGTCGAGCCCTGTGAGCTGGTGAAGCTTTGCGCGGGAGAGCAGGTGGTCATAGTCGCGTCAAATTCGGAGTTGATGCACGCCATTGTTGCGGTTGAATCATCAATTCAGTGATTATATCAAAGGGGGCAAACGATGTTACCCCAAGTGTATGTTACGGGACGCGACGTGAGGAGGTGAGGCTGCCACGGTGACTCGTAGTCAGGGAGTCTAGGCACCCATTGTGAACGGGGAATGTGGCAGTTGCCATCCTTCACTTTCACCTTGAATATCCACGGGCGTGAAAGTCAGCTTGCTTGTTAACTAAACAGCGTCTCGAAAGGATGTACTACGGAGTCGGATAAGTCGTCGAAAGGCAGGAGTAAATCTGAACTGGCGCCGGCAGCTTCGATAGAGCCAGTCAACTGCCCCTGCGCTGACTGCCTATTCATCTTGTCAACCGCTACGACACGCAGCTTCGTGTCTTCAAAGGTCGAGCCGTGCATATCCGCAATGAAAGCGTTTAGTGAATTTAGGGTCCGAAATGCCACCCACCAGTATTTGACTCGACCTCTTGCAAGACACGAGTTTTGAGAGTTAAACCCCACTCCAGTGAGCCCTTGATATTTCCTATAGTGTTTGGCGAGACCGTTGGGTGTTTGCAGAGGAAGCTTGTCGCCGTCAGCAGCGCTAATGCGAGCGGTGAAGTTGTGATGTCTTTTCTGACGTTTGTCGGCATGGAGAGGGGGAAGAGAGTCATAAACTGAGACACCTGCTTCCCGCGTAACTTCTTGGAGCGGAATGTTGCTTAGCAAACCAGAGAGGACGGCCAGCGTTTTCACGGCATCATTAGCGGCGCGGTGACGCTGGTGCGTCGAGCGCCATCCGCTAATCCTCATAGCTTTCAATGTATTGTATAAGCCATACTGATCAGGAGGGGTGCCATTGCTGGACGCAGTATCCATGCGTTGGTTTGATACAAGGTCTTGTACGTCAACCCATTCCGTGAACATAGTTGCCAGTGCCGGGAAGTCGTCCGCCATCCACTTCAGCTCGGCTACAAAGCTGAAGCCAACAAGTATGCGCCTACCCTCGTATTGCAGGAGGAATCTCTGGAGTCGGGGACCGGCTTCATCGTCGCTTACGTCTGTCATGGTACCGACAGCAGGACCATGTTTTCTTTCACGGACTCGGATGGTGAACGCTTCGATATCATTTTGTTCGTAAAATTGATTCAAGTGAGGGATGAAGTCAGGCCCTTTTCCGTTCGCGCAGAAGACTGCAACGCCAATCTCGCTAATTCCTTCGCAGAGGACCCTGCGGCCGTTGAAGTGCTGAGTGATGCCCTCCGTGTCTAAAGCAACAAGGATCGATCCATGGAGGTTTTCTTGGAGAGTGCCTAGATCCTCAATCTTTGAGTTCAATAAAGAAGCAATGTGCTCCATGTCGAATGGATATCAGTATTACTGATTATAACACCTCAATTCGGATATATCCACGGAAGTGAGCTATCATGGAGCGCAACGGACGATTGAGCAGAGCGTGGATGGAACAAGGTAGATGCATATAATAATAGTCTATAGGGAGCATATCTCATATATGTTTCCTTGGATGTATAGTGAGCCAATAATCGCTTGCTTTTCAGAAAAGCGGTGGATCTCAACCCTGGCCCGGTGGTTCAGTTCCAGTGGTTCAGATTACAAGACCACCTCTACGATTTGACTGCAGCTCTAGCGAGCTTTAAACCCTCTTCTTCTCGCAACCATGGATCAGAGCAATCGATAGTGGAAGCAGCCACGTGTGTCGACTACTCATCTTCCGCCTCGGATTTCCAGAACACCCACGCAATGACGGCGAGGAGTTTCAGAGCAGCTGCCGTCCACAAAGCGCCGGCCAGTCCTACGGAGCTGTGCGCAAACAAGCCACCGATACAGGCACCGAGAAGCAACAATACCGGAGCAGCAATCCTCCTGTTTCGCTCCACATTGGATAGGGCGAATAGCTTTGGGTCTGAGAACAGGTCACAGTAATTACTCGTGAGAACGACGCTGGTCAGGCCATTGTACTTCAATGCGCGCGAGGTAACAGCCTGTCCACTCGACTGGAAAGCAACCGCAGCAAGGGGCACCAGAACGGGCCAGTGCAGCTCATTCGAAGAGTCGTTGTCAAAGGTGACAATGGAAGCAGCCAAGACGATGAGGAGCAGCTGGAACGCGTAGGATGCGATAAGCACCCATCTTTTAGCAGGCGAGAAGTAGCGGTGGAAGCGCGCGAAGAAGAAGGAGCCCAGGCAAAAGGACGTTATCGACGTCAGCGCCTTGACCCAGCGAATGCCCTCGTGGGGGGCGATGAGACCCAAGCCAAGATATACCGTGTTTCCTAAGCCTGTGTAAGCATCTTTAAGAGGCTGAGCCATGGCTTAGTACTCACCCGTCTGCATGCTCACGAAGGAGCCCCATATGAAGACAGCCGAGCTATCCAGCAAGCCAGTAATAATGTAGCAGAAGAGCAGGACCAAGTCCGCCCAATTCTTAGTAACATCTGCCGCAAAGTGCTTCCGCAGGCGCTGGACTGCTGCCGATGAGTCCGAATTCTTGCCGGGCTGTCGGCCGAGGAGCGGGCTTTCCTCGTCTGGAGCTCGCTGTGTGGCGTCTGTGCGTGGTGTACGAGTGCTCATGTTTGCAGGAAAAAGGTTTATCGAATGCTGGGGTGTAAGGCGGGGAGTGGCCGGTAGTTAAGAGGATTAAAGCGGGGTGCAGAAGACGCCAATCTACCTGTCACAGCGATCGTCAGGCACATGGGCTCAAGCATCGGTTCAAGCTTTTGCTGACGGCGGCAAGCGCAGGATACTTGCGGGCGTCGCCATGTCTACCTTCCCGATGCAAACATGCATGAAACGCATACCTGCTTTTGTGAATCTCTGTGCGTTGGAAAAGTGTCAGGCCGGCCGTGTTGCTGGTAAGTCGTGGTTAGCGGCCAGCCAAGCGATGAATGTAAGAGACGCTAGTTGTGTCGTCATCGGGATTCGGCAACATGACTGCGAAACGTCAAAAGGCGCGTCTTTGCCGGCTGGATAGCTTCAAAACTTGCGATACTTTCACGCTATAGTAACTTTAGCCCAATTGATTATTATTATTAGCAAGCATGCATTTCCCGTCCCTGGTGGTCGCCCTTGGCGTCTGCGGTGTCCTGGCAGCGCCTCTGGAACCACAACAGCCACTAGCTGAGAATGCGCGCCACCACGCAGGACCGCATAAAGTTACAAACCCATATAAACCAGGCTACGAAGATCCGTACGACAGGAAGGTGGATTCGCAGGCCGACAAGCTGCAGCCATTGCCATACGTGAGTATCCCATCACTTGAACTATGACTCAGGCACGAATCTCTACAAATCCTAACTTGCATCAGCGAAACGGCGACGGCACAGATGTCCTGGGTCCGCGCAACAGAGAACGAGAACGCCAAAATCCTGATCTAGTCCGCCCACCCAGTACCGACCATGGCGCCATTCCCAACATGCGCTGGTCCTTCGCCGACTCCCATATCCGCATTGAAGAAGGCGGCTGGACACGTGAGACGACCATCCGTGAGCTTGGCACCAGCAAGGAGCTAGCCGGTGTCAACATGCGTCTCGACGAAGGCGTTATTCGTGAGCTCCACTGGCACAAGGAAGCCGAGTGGGCCTATGTCCTCGAAGGCAAGGTCCGAATCACCGCGCTTGACACCGAGGGAGGCAGCTTCGTCGACGACCTCGAGAAGGGCGATTTGTGGTACTTCCCATCTGGCCACCCTCACTCGCTGCAAGGACTGAGCCCCAATGGTACCGAGTTCCTCCTCATCTTCGATGACGGCAACTTCTCCGAGGACTCGACGTTCCTCTTGACTGACTGGGTCCGTCTCACGCCCAAGTCAGTCCTGGGTGAGAACTTCCGACTTGCACCAGAGGTCTTCAAGGCTATCCCCGAGAAGGAGAAGTACATCTTCCAAGGCTCGAACCCAGACACAATCGACAAGGAAGTCCCAAGCGGTAGCAAGGGCTACAAGAAGTCCAAGCTGCAGTTCACCCACAAGATGCTTGCCCAGGAGCCGCTCAACACCACTGGTGGCCAAGTCCGCATCGCAGACTCGACCAACTTCCCCATCTCCAAGACGGTCGCTGCTGCGCATTTGAGCATCCAACCTGGCGCAATTCGGGAAATGCACTGGCATCGTAAGCAATACACCCAATCCCATCCCTTATCAAACGTCTTAACTAACACCCTCCCCAGCCAACGCCGACGAGTGGTCTTTCTACATCAAAGGCCGCGCCCGCGTAACCATCTTTGCCGCAAAAGGAACAGCGCGCACCTTTGACTTTCAAGCCGGCGACGTGGGCATCGTGCCGCGCAACATGGGCCACTTTATTGAGAACCTGTCCGACGACGAGGACGTCGAGGTCCTGGAGATCTTCCGCGCCGACCAGTTCCAGGACTTCTCGCTGTTCCAGTGGCTCGGTGAGACGCCGCAGAGACTGGTCAGGGAGCACTTGTTCGCGAATAGCCCGAAGGAGGGAGAGGCGTTCGAAAAGGCCATCAAGGATGCCGAGAGGGATCCTATCAGGGATGTTGAATTTGAAAAGGACGAGGACAAGGAGGAGCTGTAGATGTATATCTGGCAAAAAATGTGAGCTAGGATGCTTTTTCGGTCGTTGTCTTTTATCTAGTTATTAGTATAGCGTGGGAAAATGAGTCAGAATACACTTTCCAACTTTCTCTTTATCGATTTATACGAATACCCAAAGCATTTAGTCAAGACGATGGCTGACTGACCCAAGCAACCTCCACGCCAGTCAAAAGCCCGTAACCCAAAAGACCTTAGACAACCAGCTCACTCAAAGCAGGCGACTCGCTCGCCCTCTGCCTCGAAATCTCAAAGCTCAACACCGTATGATCGGTATGATACATCAAAAGGCGCCATCTTCTCGATTGTGCCAAAGACTCTCCGTCCACCGCTCCCTCGCCGTCCTGTGGCTTATCAAGCATACCTTGAACCGGCCCAACCGCCACCCCAACCAACCTCTCGCCCCTTACACCCACCTCCGAAACCACCTTCTCGTTCCGACTGCGAAACGGCAGTATGTACTCGAGTTTGAATGCATATTGCGGCAACGGATTCCCCGTCTTCGTTGTCCAGTATATGCTGAAGATAGCCGCGCGCCCAAGCGGTGACGCGACAATGAAAACGCCGAGCTCGGGTATTTGGGAGAAGTAACACATTCGATCATGCGAGTTGGGAGACAGAAGCGCGCGTCCTGGATGCAATGGACGGCGCATGCTTAAGACGGGGTCACGGGAGTCACGGGCGTCGAAGGGGTGGAAAGGTCGCTGGACGAGGAATACTTCGTCTTTTGTGACAATTACGCATGGGGTGGAAGGGACTTGGGCCTGTGGTGGCGTCAGCTCATCCTGATAAAACTGGTGTGTATGCATACTGGCAATTGTGGGGTGGACAGAGCCGTGATGTCGCAGTACGCTTGCTTAGTAGACAGACGAACTACACTCGTATATGTCATTTGCCCTTGATCGCCCGTTTCCATGGGCCACGGTTCATTGACGTCGTCGCTATCATCATCGAGATCCCATGGCTACACAGGGAGGGACAGTCAGCGGAAATTCAGGTCGGTTGGAAGACGTAAAGTACGGGAGGGAAATGCTTAGCGTTTGAAAAGCACACAAAAGATCGTGCTGTACGTACCACGGCAGAGAGATTATCGTTGAGAACCTGGAAGAACCACGGTGGCGCTCCAGAGAGATGTGGAGGAAGAGTAGGCTGGGGGTTGGACTGAGGCGGCGACCCTGTAGCGATTTGGGTCGGAGCAAGCTGAGTATCAGGAATCGATGGAGAGATGCCGTGAAGGACACCAAGTCCTTGTGTAGTATCTTCTTCGACATGCATATCACTGCCCTGAGACACACCAGACCCTTGCGTAGCCTCTTCGTCGAAACTCTCCACCGAGTCCGTATCCGAGCTCTCGTTCGAATTGGGCATCTCATTCTGCCCGCCCTCTGGGTTCGAAGAACTGCCTTCAGCCTCTTCCATCTCAGAGTCCTCGACCATCATATCGCTAGATCCGTTCCCGTCATCGTCATCGGTGAGCGACTCGTAGCTATAGAAACCCGCAGGGGTAGGGTAGTTTTCATCGGCCTTTACTGTAAATCTATGCTTGTACATGGTAAAATCTGCAAAGCAAGGCGCAGTCTTGTGGGGCTTCAAGGTCGATTCGTCCGCTGCTGACATCTCATACGCTGATCGTGTATCTAGCATCATAGCACCCCAGGCACCGTGGGGATAGTTTGAATGGTCCATACATAGACACTCCCCTGGGTCCAAATGAGGTGCCGTTGTTGGGACCATGGCACTTGCGCACCAGCCCAACTGAATAGTTCGAGCGGGCATTTGGGTTCCAGCGGGCGTTTCGGGGTGATGTAGGTCCCATATCAAAGTTTTGCCATCAATCGAGCTGCTGATGAGCCAGCGCCCGGACGGGTCGTCTCCGTTGTTGATGAACGATACCGAAGGAACATTGCTCTCCGTCGTAAGAGTAATCACATGATCTTTTTGTCTCGGCGAGGGAAAGTCCGATGCCGGCTCGGTCTCGCAAGAGTCTGAATCGACAGAGTCGGATCCAGGATGCGCAAGTGCATACGCGAAAACAGTAATATTATGCGTGTTCGCGCTGTATGCAATGATACGAGCTTCCCGATGGATAGCTAAGCCCCAAGCGCTAGCACCAACATTATGGTGCAAGAATGGCCCCACTCTATTCTCGTAGACAGATTCTGTAGTCGATCGAAGACTCAGGAGGGTTTCATGTATGACTTTAATACGGTATCCAACGACATCGCCGTCGTCACAGGTTGCAAGAAGAACCTCCTCGCGACCAAGATAGTCAACAAGGATACGAGTAATAGAATGCGGATCTTGCGGATCGACCCCAGATCCGGTTGCGAAATTTGATATCGGCGGGTGTAAAACAAGCTCTGGTTCTTTGGATAGCTTCTGACTTGGAAAGCTCGGCTGGTAAACATGAATTGTGTCATTGCAGGCAAGAAAGTAAAGATTGTAAAGTTGTGATAATGCGGTAAGGTCGCAGCGCCATGGTTTTATCTTGGGTCTGTCGTTGCGATCGGGAAACTGCTAGAAGTCAGTAGCTGTTCTTTTCATATACCGTTCGTATAGGCAGCTTCGGGTTGGACGGCGAGTTGAGTTTTGCGAATGTCTCAAGGGCTACGTTATCGTGAATTATTGACCAAGAGGAGCGTTGGTCGGTCGCGTCGTCAATGCCATAGCGTTGGGGCAAACAATCGAAGAAACTCACCCTTCTCGATCCCAAATGCACACCCGTCGGTATGCAAGAGATATGTTTCGACATCGTGGATTCCTCATTTCCGCATTCCAACTGCGATCTAGGATTGTTTGATGTCGAAGTTGGGAAGTCCAAGAGGGTTGGTAGGTTGAACGGATTGATGGTTGTGAGCTAGCTCTTGAACGCGCTACCTAGGTACTTCCTGATTGGGTCTTGCCACGTGCTGGTGCTTTCACGATTACTAGCAGCACAATAGCAGAGAAAAGCGTTAGTGGTGAACGTTAATAGCGGGTGAGAGACATGCGGGGCGGTTTAATATCACTGTATTCTAGACACGGTGCTCGACAGCTCGAAAATCAACAGCTAGTCTTTTAGTATTTCCCGAATTTGCCAAGAAGTTGGGATACCTAAGCTCCGCAAACGGGTCCAGCCATATTCGGACAGGTGGAGAAGCAACGAGGATCATGTCCCCCGTATATAGTTAAGCGGTACTCTCGAGCCTTCTCGTAAATGGTGTGTCACAGACTAGTCTCATAGAATTCCATAAACAGACTTTGTTGGAAACGCAGCATCTCACTGTCAACAAAGAGTGTTTTGGCCCTTCCAGACATAACATCGATATATAGTAAGATGTGCAGCATCTATGTGTTGAAGCATAATTGCGCTAATTGCTCGCATAGGCATCAAGCAGCACGGTAATGCCGATGAATTACGCCAGAGATTATTATGATAAGTTTACGATCCTCGCGAAACCGCCCGAGTATATGTAGTGGGTATGTCAACCTGAAGATCAAATCCGTAGGTCAAAGTATCCAAAACGCCGTCTAGTGCTTAGCCGTAACTTTGTCGCCAGTGAGCTTCTCGACAGCTTCCTTGGCACTAGATTTTCGTTAGCCAAACATATCCAGTACAAGACTGATGAAGAACTTACACATCGCCCAAAGCAACCATGCAGACCGTCTGCCAAACGCCAAGCCCAATCCTAGGAGTAACGCCACGGTAAAGACCCTTGATACCGTTGTTGGAGTAAATGTACCTGAATGCCGAGGCAACATTCAGGTTCTTGGGGCGGTTCGGATCGACAGTCTTGGACTGCAGCTCAACGCGGATGACCTCAATGGGCTGGTTCCACGCGCTCAAACCACCACCAAGCGCCGAAGCAGTGATCTTCTCAACCACGCTAAGCTTCTCGCCGTGCTCTTTACCAGTCACCCTCCTGATGCCGGTCTCAGCGACGCGGGACAGACCGAAGCGGGATCCCCAGTTGGTGACCTGGCGCACCGCGACGGCGTTTACACCACGGTTGATACCGCGGAGACCTTCCGTGCGCCAAATTCCCATGAATGTCTCGATGGTGGTCGGGGGCTTCGCTCCAGTAGCTGCGACCTTGTGTTTGGTAATCTCAACCGTCTTCATGCAGGTGCAGAAGCCCATGGTGGCATAGGCCTGAGCGAGACCACCCGTCATACCACCCGAGATACCAGCGACAAAGTCAGGCGCCCCGAACGATTTGGCATAGTATTCGGCTTCCGACGCAACGAAGAGGAGGACGGCGCCCTTGGTGGAGGCTTCGATCCAGGCCCACGGAATGAGACCTTGGTAGACTGTGCATCGTCTCGTTAGCCCAACACCCCAAAACAAGTGTTTAGAAGAACGTACACCCAAAAGCTCCTCCGCGTGCCCAGATGCGGCCAATAGCTCCCGCAAAGCCTTCGGACCGGTTGGCAGCCATGGTAGTCTTGACGACCTCCAACGGCTATTGACGGCAGTTAGTCATTTGCTCGGATTTGCGATTTCTGAAGGGTTTTGAGGTCAAATTACCTGTCCCAGAGTAGTGACCCTATCGCGTGTTGTCAGCGTTGATTCATTGAAGCTTGACGCTGCTGCGGCTAATCACTTACTCGAACAAGTTGAGACCAGCGCCAACTGATAGCTAAATCAGCACACATTCACACTTCCCTACGCCGCAGAACTTACGCAGCAGGTTGCTAAACTTCACGGGCTTCTTTTCAAGCCTCGCTGGGCCATTTATCGACGCGCTGGGGACGCCGGTCACAGGTGTGGAACTCATTCTCTGGGGTTGTCTTGTCGAAGGTATGGGGCCTGACCAAGGCAAAGGGTGCTCCGTCGCAAAAGTGATTTGGGTAGAGTGTAGAGTAGAAGGGAGCAAGGAGAGACAACGAAAATATTGGGATTAGTTTGCGAGGCGTGGTCTGTGTGTTTGAAGCTAACATCTGGGGGATTGTCCACCTCGCTCCAGTATGAGGCTGATGTCGGAACTAGCGCCTTGTGCCACTCCGAACTGCGGCTCGGCTTCTCAACCGCGCATTGTACTGATGATAGAAAATCAATTCCGTCGTCTGTTCAGCCGTCTCCGAACTCAGCACCATCGCATTGCCCTCTTTCAGCGCTTTTGTCCGAACTCGTTGGGTGCATCGGTTCCCCAACAAAATGGACATCGGGTTCGTTCCTCAACGTAATTGCCTATTCCGCTACTGTAATAGGCCGCCGCCTGCACAGTCCCCCACTCACCGCCATTCACTAAACAACGCACTGTTGACGCTCACTTTGCGCACTGTATATGTGTATGTGCATGTGTACATGGACGAGAAAGCAATGTACTGGACGTTAAGATATGATATTGCGACAAGTCGTTCACCAAATGTAGTACTACAGCACCGAAACGCTCACAAGCTATATCCACTACATTCTCAGTTCTACATGGTACAGAGAAATCTCTTGAATCTCTAGCATAATCTCCATCCGCTCTCGGGCCACGACTCACATGTTCAGGGTATTCTTACAAAGTAGCTCCAACCAGCTTGGCGTAGGCCTCAGTGCTGAAAGACTTGGGCCTCTCAATGGGAGCACCAACGGCGCGGTCGATGATGAGCTGGGGAAGCACACCAAGAGCACGGGACACACCGAAGAGGACGGTGTAGTAGTTCTGCTCGGTGAGGCCGTAGTACTGGAGGAGGACGCCGGAGTGAGCGTCGACGTTGGGGAACGGGTTCTTGGTCTTTCCGTGCTCAGTCAGGACGCCAGGAGCGATCTTGTAGACCTGGCTGACGAGCTTGAACATGGGGTCATCGGGCAGATGCTTCTGGGCGAATTCGCGCTGGGAAACGTAGCGGGGATCGGTCTTACGGAGGACGGCGTGGCCGTATCCGGGAACGACCTGGCCAGCCTTGAGGGTGGACCAGAGGTAGTCCTTGATGGCCTGGTCGCTGAGGTCGTTGCCGATAGCCTTCTTCATCTTCTGAAGCCAGACGAGGACTTCCTGGTTGGCCCTGGAAATGGTTAGTATTTTTCTTTCAGATTATTGGGAGAGAAACCTACAATCCGTGGAGAGGGCCAGCAAGACCGTTCAGGCCAGCAGCCAGGGAAAGGTAGGGAGAGCTGAGGGCACTGCCAACCAAGTGGGTGGTGTGGGCACTGACGTTGCCGCCCTCGTGGTCGGTATGGATGGTGAGGTACAGACGCATAAGCTCAACAAAGTCCTTGTTCTCGGAGAAGCCGAGCTGGTTGGCCAAGTTGAAGGAATAATCCTTGTCCTTCTGGACAGGCGCGACCTTGCCGTCCTTGTAGACGTTGCGGTAGATCTTGGCGGCGATTGTGGGAAGCTTGGCAATGAGGTCCATGGCATCCTCGAAGGTGTGCTCCCAGTATTGCGACTTGTGAATGCCCTTAGCATAGGCCTTGGCGAAGTTTGACTCGTGCTCGAGAGCAGTGACGGCGATGGAGAACTGGGCCATAGGGTGGAGGTCGCTGGGGCAGCGGTCGATAAGCTCCTCGACGAACTTGGGAACGGCGGAGCGTGCAGCCCATTCAGCGGAGAGGTCGCGGACCTGCTGCTCAGAGGGGACCTCGCCGGTCAACAGAAGCCAGAAAAGACCTTCTGGGAGAGGCTCCTGACCGCCGGGGGCCTTGGGAAGGAGCTCCTGGCACTCGGGGATCTGGAGTGTGTGAGCAATGGCCTCTAGCAGACGCTTTGGGTGTAATAATTACAGTCTTGCCGCGGAAACGGATACCCTCCTCAGAGTCCAAGACGGATCCCTACAAATGGTCAGCTTATCAATGGACATAGTGAGGAGCCATGAGGCGGTCGCATACCTCCCAGACGAGGGACTTGATGCCACGGGCACCACCATAGACCTGGTCGAGGGTGACCTCGCCAATGACCTTGTTGCCATGCTCCCTATGATATCCTGTCAATGGTGTGTTGCGGCGTGGGCGGGAGTGCCTGAGACGTACTTGCGGAGTTTCTTGATCTTCTCAATCTCGCCGGGAAGCTTGTTTGCGAAGGTCTCCTTCAACGACTGCGTTCCGACATTGTCAGCGGATGCTCTCAGAAGCCACGGCGGAGGGCGCATACCTGGGTCTTGCCGGCCGAGTAGCATCGGAAGCCATTGAAGGCTGTGGTCCGCAGAGGAGCGGCAGCGCGGAAGGCGCTCGATAAGCGCAGAGCAGAAGCCATTGGAGATGTGTGGAGAAGGATGGCAGAAGGTGTGCGGATGGGAGGAGAAGACAAGAAGCCTAGGAGCGGAATGATGCGAGAAAATATCGGCGAAGCTCAATCAATTTGCTGGGGAGCTGGAGCAGGCGCACGGATCATCATCGGCGGGACGGATTCCCAGTTCGCTTTCGTGGCCACCCGCACACACACACACACCGGGCCATGGTCGGGACTCGGAAGTCGCCTCAAGTAAGCCGATGCTAATGGGCAAATTTGACAGCACACGTATTCGAAAAAGAAAAGAAAAGAAAAAGAGCTTGACGGTGTGTAGGACCATGTTTTCTTCCCGCCTAGGAGCTGAACAAGAGAACAATCATGACTTGGGGTGCACTGTGGTCACTCGAGATAGTTTGCATACATACCGCCCAACTACTACTGTTGCCCGCATGCCCGCATCCATCCCGCTTTAAAGACATGGCAAACTGTTGATCCTTGTATTTGTCTAGGTATATGGGTCTCTTGTGGGTTCTTGCTGTGTAAAGCTTCGTTGTTCAAGTCATTATTGGCCAAGTTGGAGCTGAAGAGCACAAACATGTCCACCTGTCCACCTAGCCCCAAGCGACACGACAAATGAGAAACCGCGGTATATCCAATTAAACAAGTCTTACTCTTCCCGCGATACAGTGCGTGCAGGAGGCGGTGGACGTGTTTCAGAGGCGTCTTCACGTCAAATCCTGTCATGCCGATCGGGTCTCAACGTGTTCCAAGGTTGGCCGAGGTGCCTAGGTTGGTTGGGCTTGGGGTGGCAGAATCACGTGCAGCGCCACCAACGCCGAATTCTCTAACCTGGCGCCCAAGGAGATGCGACCAGCCATCCTCAACTGCACCTGCGCGCTTGACATAGATCAACACCCATTCTCGCGATTGCATCTTACTGCGACTCTCATCTAGTGTATAAACGCTTGCGCAGTGCAACCGCCTTCTCCGCCGCCAAATCGACCTACCTAGGCAACTACGAGGGTGACAAGCAAGCACTTCCTCTAGGCTATTATAAGGCTTGACGGCTACATTGCGCTTTGCCACGACATTGCAAGTCCTCATAGTACCGCAAAGTCCTCCTGGCACATCGCATCACACCTGGGGTCGTTGGTCTTCCAGTTTGCGCTCAGATCGATCGACTACTCGATCGCTCTACTCTCGTTCCCAACCTAGATCTCACCGCTTCACCTCTTGACTTGCACGCGCCCGAGTACAGTCTGCGTGTTTGCCATCTCGGCTCTCTCACCACACTAACCATGGCAGCCATGCACGAGTTGACGACGCAGTTGCAGTCGCTTCAAGCATTAAAACCACCCGGAGTCACGCCAACCAAGGTCAAGGCCATCACCAAGATATGCGTAGACAACATTCAGGTATGCCGGCCGCGTAGTCCTTCCATGTCCGTTCGTACAGGATCCATACTAAGCCATTGCTCCCACTTGTAGTCCGACACCGTCATCGTCCAAAAGATCCTGCAACAGCTTCAGAACAGCGCCGCCACACACAAGCTCGGAGTGCTATACGTTGTAGACTCGGTCGCTCGACAATGGGTAGAGAAGGCTAAACTGGCAGGCCAGGCCGTATCTAAGAATGCTGCCCGTGGAACATATGCTTCCGGCGTGCAGTTGATCCGAGATGTGCTTCCTGTAGCAATGAGTAATCTCGTGCAGTCAGCGCCCGAGAACCAGAAAGAGAAAATATCGAAGCTCTTAGACATCTGGGAGCGCGGCCAAACGTTTCCGCTCGATATGCTTGCAACCTTCAAGCAGCAGTTGAACAGTGGCCAGAACAGTAAGCCTTTCGTCGCGTCCTTGTTCGTTTGCATGTCTAACCACTGGACTCAGTTGCTTATGAACCGCCAAGTCCGCCAAAGATCAATGGCGCAGGGCCCACCTTCAAAGCTCAGACTAACCAGCAGCCACCAGCCCCTCCACCACAGGCACAATCACAGGCACAGACGCAGGATCCGAATGCTCTTTTTGCTGCGCTTTCTGGCTTTAGCCAACAAAATGTCCCCACTAACGGTGCGCCTGCTGTAGCGCCACCTGCTTTTCCTTTCGTTCAGAATATGGTACCGCCACCACCTCCCCCAGGATTTGTGCCTCCGCCCCTTGGAACCAATGGACAACCTGGATTACCTCCTCCACCAGCTGGCATGAATGATTTAGCAGGCCAAATCCTACAGGCTATGAGTGCAGGTTCAATTGCCCCTGATCAAGCAATACAGGTACTAAACGCACTGGCTACGGCCCAGAATGGGGGCATGCCTTTGCCACCGCAGACAGCAGTCGTCCCCCAGACGCAACTGCAGGCTCAACCTGTTGCACAAAATGGTGGTCAACCAGACCGATATGAACAGCACGACACTAGAATGCGAGATCGTAGTCGATCGCCTGATTATCAACTCCATCGGTCTCCTATTCGTAGATCTCCGCCCAATCCAAACCGTCGAGATAGTCCCACGTACGGTGTATACGACCCAAATGCAGGCCCTGATGGCAACGCACAACGATTTGAGCGAGGTGAGCGCGGTCGCGGCCGTGGTAAACAACGGGGTGGGCGCAATGATCGTAATGAGTATCGCCAACGCACGCCTCCTCGACGACAGCCTAGCCCGCCTAGAAATGCATTTGTCCAGTCAAAGTATATCGAGTGGGATGATAGTCTGCCGCGCGACCATATCAGAGTCTATAGTCGTACCTTGTTCGTAGGCGGTGCTGGCGGAACAGAAGGTGAGATCCGGAGTATCTTCGCTCGTTTCGGTAGAGTTCAGACGTGTATTGTCAACCAGGACAAGCGACATGCTTTTGTTAAGATGTTGACACGGCCCGATGCCGTCGCTGCCAAGGAGGGCATGGACAACCTCCAGGATCCCACGGCCCAGTCGAAGGCGCGCCAGGTAAGATAGTAAGCTGCGCCGCCAATGGTCACGTACTAACATCTCTAGACACGTTGGGGAGTTGGTTTTGGCCCACGAGACTGCAGTGACTACCAAACCGGCATTAGTGTGATCCCCATCTCTCGGCTTACCGATGCTGATCGCAAGTGGGCCCTAAACGCCGAACATGGTGGCACAGGTGGCATGCCACTCGAGGGAGGCATGGTAATGGAGGAGCCTGATATTGAGATTGGCGCTGGAGTGTCTTCAAAAGGTAGGTCGTTGTCTTGCCAAATATTATATTCGGCGCTAACCCATCTAGCCATTAGTCGACGCGTTCCTACGGATGCCCCTCGGGGTGGGCGCAACGGGCGGGGGGATTTTGGCGGGCGCGGCTTTGACAATGCGCAACCAAAGTTCCGCAAACCGGCCAACGACCCTCGCCATATCTCTCCGCGGCCCGAACAAGGCGTCGCGGTCCCTCCCGCTGTCCCAGGCTTTGGCTTCCAACTCCCTGGTTTCTAAATATCATCTTATACGTTGGTTTATTTCTTTACGGGAGCTATTTTACAGTATCTTTACGGCGGCTGATCTGCTTATGATATCCAAAGCATGGCAAGGCGTTGATTGGGGTGCAGTAGAGTTCAATAGCATATTCATGGTTAGCAATCTAGACAATCTAAAAGCATCATCTTCTCAATAGTACCGCCTGATCAGCCTCAGCTATTCAAGAGACGCAAATCACGATTCTGATACGGGACTGAAGCCCGTCGCGATATACTAAGAAATGCACAATAATACTCTCAGATGTGACTGAAGCTTGCCGTGGTGGTGCATCAAGAGATGCAAAACATCAATCTAATACGGCACTGCCGGCCCTCGGGCTGAGCTCAAGCATAACAAAACCAACGTTTCTCTTTATACCTATATTCTGTCATGATTTTCCCTGTTTAACTGGTAGAGGAGATTTACTTGTTTATTAGCTTGTATTAGCGTTGTGATACCCATCTCGTTGCTTATATAAAACTTAAGAAAAGAGTATCTAACAGTTTGAGTAGGACTGTTCACATCATTACGAAGTGCGACGGAGAAGGGCTGCTACGTGTTTGATTGTTTTTGCTATTTATTATATCATGTTTTTGGTCGTCATATTGACTATGTTGGACTTTGTTAATCCTCCCATGTCAGGTTGAATCGCCCGGGAGCATTCTCATACTCTTTCAAACACTGAATGACCTCGTCGGCGCTCAATGCCTCGGACAATATGCCTGCGTTGGTGGGTGCGATGAAGCCGCTGGTGACGGCGTTCTTGACCCAATCGATCAATCCCGTCCAGTAGTTGTCGACGTTATAAATGATGACAGGCATCGAGTGGATGCCCAGCTGGTTCCATGTAGTAACCTCCATCAACTCCTCGAACGTGCCATAGCCACCAGACAGGGCGACGAAGCCACCTCCGGGCCCTCCCGCGACGACTTCCCTGGCCATCATCTGTTTGCGCGTATGCATGTCCTTTACCACGGTTGTCTGGCCGTATATAGACTCGTCAATGCGGTGCGAGGTGATATCATCGGGGTCGTGGTTTTGCTCAAACCTGACCAGCGGCTGCGGAATGATGCCGTGGACGCTGCTGGGGCCGCTGAGCGAGACAAGGGTCCGCGCTACTTCGCCCATGAGACCGACTGTACCGCCGCCGTAGACGAGCTTGGTGTTGGATTTGTGGAGGGCCGTGGCAAGTGCGCGCGCAGAGGCCATGTGTACGGGCGAGGTGCCTTCAGAGGCGCCGCAACTGTGGGGTGTTGGTATTCGGGTGCTTGAGAATAGTCAAGCTGCTGGAGGCGGGGCACATACAATACGCAGACTACAGGCTGCTTGGCTGTGCCATTGCTGGCTGTTGCATTGTTGTTCACCATGGCGAATGTCGAGTCTCAAGAGTCGGAACGTGAGTCGGAACGCAGTGTCTGGGGCGATTGACGTGTCCAAGGAGGGGCTGTCGTACAAAGAACAGGAAAGGAGTGGAGAAAGCGACGGTGTACAAGAGAGCGTTGGGTTACATATGCGTCAACGATGGTCCAAGCCTACCCACATGTGCCTGTTCGTGGTTTCTATCGACTCGTAGTAGCTGCATCTCGGGAAGCTCTCAAAAGAGGCATGCATTTCGTCACTGCCCTGCTCGTGCCGTCTGCCGCCTTCTCGTTGGTCAGCCGGCCCTTGTTCGCGGGGCCTTGGCATATACGTGATATCTCCAAGCTAACATCCATCTCTGCAAACTTACTCCGCATCACTTCGCTTTAATTTGCAAATTGTGAAGAAGGAATCGCGCGATTCCGCAGATTTGCAACCATGTCTGGGGTACAAGCACAGCCGCCGGCTGAGGAGGGCAAGAGCGTAAGTAAAGCTCGAAACCGCCCCTCTCATCTCATAATGCGATGGATAGCTAATCATGTGCGGCGCAGGTGTTCATGTCCATCGCTCAGAGCGTTGGCATCTTCCTCCTCATCCAAGGTGGCATGAAGTATATCCTGCCTCAGATCACAAAGACTCCCACCGCCGACCCTGCGCAAGGCGCATCTGTCGCTTCCACCACCCCCAATGGAGCAAACGTAGTCATCCCCGCCTGGGAGAATCGCCCGCGCCAATTCGAGCCCGATGTCCAGATCAGCCCGGTACCGTGGAATATTGCGCCTATGTGGCCAGTAGGCACCGCGCTCGACATCTCCATGTACATCTCGCCATCCATCGCCATGCCCGCGCTGAAGAAGATGCCCAAGGAGTCGCTGTTGATCGAAGAGAAGAACTTTGTGTTTGGCGACTACAAGCAGAAGCGGGAGATTCAAACCGAATTTACCGTGCCAAAGGAAGTGCAGCGCAATGCAACACTACTCGCGCATTTCTACGTCGCTCAGAGCGGCAGCGTACTTGACCCCACCCAGCCAGGCTATGACACCACAAAGGCGTACCACTTTATCCGGCCACTGTCTGTATACCATGCCAAGAAGAAGATTGCGAAGACAAGGAACCTGTTGAGCGACATGCCGGAGAAGGATGCCCAGGAGACCGAGGCGGAGAAGAACGCGCCCAAGGTCATTGCTTCCTACTATCATCCCAACTTTACCATTTCTCTGATCCCAGACGCCGGTGTCATATCGTATCCCAATCTGCACCCTGGAACCAAGAAATTTATTCAGCTCGAGGCTAGCGGTGCTCGAGATGCATCTGGCCAGCATGGCTGGTACTATCCTATCCTTTTCAGCAACACCTTCTGGCAGCTTAAGAAGCACATGATTGAGCTCAACGACACGGTCACGACTCTCCCGCTGAATGTGAATATCAACAACCTCGCCCACTGGAAGTACAATCTGTTTGCTTCAGTAGACGAGAACCTCAACGCCAACGCCAAAGCCGCCCAATCAGGCCAGTCTACGCCAGGGGGTGGTGATGGGTCCGAAATGGAGATGTTCAAGGAGATCCTCATCGACAGCAACTCATACCTGCTTGCCATCACCGCCATCGTCTCCGTCTTCCACATGGTCTTCGAGATGCTGGCCTTTAAGAATGACGTACAGCATTGGCGCAAGAAGAAGGACAACGTGGGTACTTCGGTCCGCACCATCCTTGCTAATGTCTTTATGCAAGCTGTAATCTTCCTGTACCTCCTGGACAACAATGAGAACACGTCGTGGATGATTCTGTTTGGTCAGGGCATGGGTATGGCTATCGAAGCCTGGAAGATCACCAAGTCGGTCAATGTCCGTGTTCGCCCGACAGCACCGGGCTCCTGGTTGCCCTACACCATCGTTTTCGAGGACAAGCATGTGCTATCTGAGACGGAGAAGAAGACTGAAGAGTACGATCAAATTGCGTTCAGGTACCTCTACATGGTGGCGGTACCCCTGCTCATTGCATACGCCATCTATTCGCTCATGTACGACACGCACAAGTCGTGGTACTCGTTCATCATCACCACGCTCGTCGGCTCCGTCTACGCCTACGGCTTCCTGATGATGGTGCCCTCGCTGTACATCAACTACCGCCTGCAATCCGTCGCCCATTTGCCTGGCCGCGCCATGACTTACAAGTTCCTCAATACCTTTATTGACGATCTATTTGCTTTTACGATCAAGATGCCTACGCTGCATCGTCTTGCCACGCTGCGAGACGATGTCATTTTCTTCGTGTACATATTCCAAACGTGGAAGTACAAGGTTGACTATAGCCGTATCAACGAATTCGGCCAGGGTGGTGACGACGAGGAGGTGGAGGAGAAGGATGCAAACAGGCCGTTGGCGGCGTACCCCGATGGCGACAAGAGTTTGAAGGTCCCAGATGCTGAGAAGGTAGCCAAGGTCGAAAAGGAGAAGGCAGCACAAGCGACGGGGAGCCAAACCAAGGGCCAGGCAAAGCAGAGGAAGAGGTAGAACAAAGTAAAGTCATGTACAATACGAGAAGGGGAGGGGAGAAGGGGAAAGTGGGGCAGAAACATAGTTGTAAGAATGGTATATAGCATGGTCGCGGTATAGATGCACATTGCGATCGACGCATAATTGTAAATACTTCTACCACGTATACAAACCATGATCTACAACCCAAACTCTAATTTCTCGCACAATGGCAACTGATTTGATAGCTACGCGGCTATGCGGAGGGGCACGAATCAGGGGCTGAAGGTGCTTCTCCAGTTATCGCGAGTAGCACAGACCCCCAGGACATCCGCAGCGTTCCGGGGCCCAATCATAAGAATGGCGAACTCGCACCTTGCATGCGAAAGGACCCAGGAAAACATGCAAAGACCGATAATGCCGTCTGACGGTTCTTACTAATTCCCAGTCATACGAAGGCGAAATTCCCGCGGGGTGCGAGCAAAGGCCGGGGGTGGCTGGATTCATACTTAAGGGAGGGCGCCCGGCTGAGAAGGAGGCAAAGGCATCCGTGGCGGGCAAGTCTCCAGCAGCGACATTTCTCACATTACATACTCGAGGCGATTCTCACATACCCGAGGCCATCCATGCATGTTCGACGCTTGACCTGATTGTAGTCGGCGAAATGCGTTTACAGCGATGAACAGACAGATTCAGCATGAGTTGTCTTGTTGGAGTAGAAAACTGACGTTGCGCACTTGCACACTGACACAAGCATCGTAGTACAGGCAGGTAAGAAGGCCTCATATTAGTCCTCTAGTAGCAACATGGTAAGGAAGCCCTCATACCCCGTCTGGTAGCCTTTGACTCACTGTGGAGCAGTAGTCGCGAAGAAAAAGAGAAGAGAAGAGAAGAGTATTTGCTTCGATTCCAGAGTTGCACCGCCCAACACGCCGAAAATGTCTTGGAAAGCAAACGATTCTTACTGTACGACGGTCGAGCCAAGGGACAAAGGACCCAGTTTTCGCAAACATGCCCAGGCAGATTATCAGCGGAGTCGACTGGCGATCGACTGGTGAAGAGGTTGAGGAGTCGGGTTTGCATAGTGGGGCAGAGGCAGCGATAAGCAAGAGACGCGCAGCGCAACGCGACGACGACGAGATGAATCTTCGCGCGACATTACTGGGCGCTCTTCTTGGATAATATTCAGCACAACGGTAACGGGCGGATGGTCCGCTTCTGGACGCATGTTCGCCTCCTTGGCTGGGCTGAAGGAAGGCTTGTGTCCCCCAATTTAACGCGCGCACAGGGTCCAGGTCCTCGTATGCAAGGCTGGCTGGCTGCGAAGAGAGAATCTTCTGATCACCGCGCACAAGTCCGTCTCAGCACACCTTCACGCCACCCACCACAAGCTCCGGAGCGCAGCAAATGTAGTAAGGGGCTAAAGGGGGCATGCGTATGGTTCACCAGCATCCAAGTTGGAGGCGTGCGACTCCAGACGGCTCCAAACTCCACAATGACACGGCCAAGGCCAAGACCCTAGGCTCGATACCGTGTAGACACCCGCTCTCTCCAGTCCAGTGCCTGGCCTCGGACCGCATAGGCCCCCAGATGGCGTTTTTCCTGTTCGTTTACGGCATACGGCGTCTGGGGGCCCTGTTGCGCGTGCCGAAGGGGATTGCATTGCATTTTGGCGGTGGGACTTTGGGGGGGTGTTCTTTGCGAGTCTGGGACGTGGGCGATTAAATGGCACGGTTGAGCGAATCCAGAAGGTGACGTATGGTGCGCTACCTACTCAGCCCCCTTTCGCCCAGACGAATCCGCTTGTCTTCGGGGAAAGAAGCCGTGCACGCGGTAACTTGACCCAAGCGACTCAGGTGCGAGCAAGCAAGCAAGCACCACCAAAAGCCCGCAATCACTCTGCCGCCACCACCACCACCTTAATAGGGACCGACCCGTGTCTGGTACAAACTCGCTCCCTGTCCGCGCCCTCTACCTTATTTACCGTCGTCGTCGCCGTCGCCGCCGCCACTACTACCACGACCACGACCACAAACACCACCACCACCACCACCATCATGTCGCGGCACCGAATTGTTTCCCCCGCAGAGGTCCAGCGTCTGATTGCCCAGAACCAGCCCATTGTCATTCACGAAGGCTACGTCCTGCACCTGGGAGAATGGATCGACAAACACCCTGGCGGCCGTCTTGCAATCCTGCACATGGTGGGCAGAGATGCGACCGACGAAATCAACATGTATGTCGTCTCCATGGGGGTCCCTGCGTTCCCGCTTCTAGCAAAGCCCGCCTCACTGTGTTCCGCGCCCGTGGGGCAGCGTAAGCACTTGATGAACTTTAGACTGACCTCACCCAGCTACCACACCAACAAGGCACTGCTCATGATGACCAAGCATCGCATTGGCCGCGTAGAACTACCCTGGGCCAATCTCGAGCCTCCAATCCGCTCCCCCGAATTCTACAAGAACCTCAAGCTCGGAGAGAAGAGTGGTGTGATTGCACATGGAGATGGCCACAGGTCACGGAAGAGCGTGGATCTTGGATCCGTGCGTTATCCCGTCACTCCGCCCTGCTCCATCTGACAGCTGACAAAAATGCAAAGGCTGCTGCCATTATTAGCAAGAAGTTGATGCCTGTCAATTCGTGCGTCCGCCGAACGAGCGTCACACCCGATCCCGAGAAGCTGCCTCTGCTCGAATCCGAAGCACCAACCATTGACACTGCCGAGGACAAGTTAAGGCACAGGGAGCAGTTTGCTACCGAAGAGGAAAAGAGGGAGATTGAAGAGGGCATAAGAGACAACCCCTCGCTCGACGTCGCGACGCAGCGTGCTATCGTAGAGGACTACCGCGCTTTACATCAGCAGTTCAAAGACGAGGGACTCTACCAATGTCGCTACTCGGAATACGCAAAAGAGTCGCTTCGATACGGCTTTTTGTTTGCTGCCTTCGCCTCTCTGCTCTATTGCAAGTGGTATCTCTCATCTGCCGTGTTCCTGGGCTTGTTCTGGGTAAGTTTACTCTCGTCCAGTTAAATCACTGCAAACTAACACGACTCAGCAACAAATCATGTTCACCGCCCACGATGCCGGCCACCGAGGCATCACTAGCAACTTCGTCGCTGACACCCTTATCGGTGCGTTCATCGCCGACTTCTGCTGCGGTCTCAGCATCGGCTGGTGGAAGTCGTCGCACAACGTGCATCACCTGATCACCAACATGCCCGAACACGACCCTGACATCCAAAACATCCCTCTCTTTTCCACGTCTCCAACCTACATGAAGTCCATCCTGTCGTCCTTCTACAACTTCCAGTTTGTGTGGGACGGCGCTTGTGATTTCATGGTCCCGTATCAGAAGTACACATACTACCCCGTCATGGCACTTGCAAGATTCAACCTGTACTTTCTGGGCTGGTTGCACTTGTGCTCGCCACGCGCCGCTCAACTGGGCGCTGCATGGTGGACGCGGCCCCTCGAGATCGTCTTCATGTGCTGCTACTGGTACATCTTTGGATATCTGCTGGTCTGGGTCACGCTGCCTACATGGCCTATCCGCATCGGCTTCGTTCTCACGTCGCATCTGGTCACCATGATCCTGCACGTGCAAATCACCCTCTCTCACTGGGGCATGCCCACGTCCGACCTCGGCCCCACCGAGTCCTTCCCGCAACGCCAAATGCGCACCACCATGGACGTCGACTGCCCCGCCTGGCTAGACTGGGTACATGGAGGCCTGCAGTTCCAGGCTGTGCATCATCTTTTCCCCAGGGTTCCGCGCCACAACCTGCGCAGAGGACAGGAGCTAGTGCGCGAGTTTTCCGCAAAGACGGGCGTCAAGTACCACTGCTACAACTTTGTCGAGGGCAACAAGGTCGTTCTGAGCCGTTTGGAACAGGTTGGCCAGATGGCCAAGATGATGGTCGACTGCCAGAAGTCCATGGCCGAGACGGGAGAGAGTGGACTGCATTGATATCCCGCTGGTCGCGGATGTGCAGTACTAAAACTTTTTCCTTTCGTTTGTACATACAACCCCCTTGTAACATTAGACTTCTTCCCATAACGATACATAGAGGTACAATGGACGATAATCATTCAAGTGCTTGGTGTAGCCGGTATACACGTGGCTTGACTCTGATCGCACATCAACACCTTCGTAACGGGAACCGTTAGTATCGATAAAGGTGTCTAACTTGCATGGAAGTCGTGCAATTGGCGCAGCCTAGTACTGGCATTCAAACCACGGGTGTCGACTACTTGCGCTCTCGTCGAAAGGCAGGTCCATGAGTGACCACCCTCCAGTGGGAGTCGGCAACTAATTTTATACTAGGTTAACATGTGACAGGCTGCGAATATTATAAGAACAAGACACACCAAGTGTCAGTTCCAAGGTTGTTGGTACCTGCGTTAGTCTAGAGGGTTTCCAGGTATCCGGTGCGTAGGCAATGACTATCCATGCTGTATCAACCAATAGCTCGCACTCCAACATAGCTACGACATAAAACTAAACCATCTCCTCTCCTCTCTCTCCCAACGACAGCGATGCAAACACCTGACCTTCCTCCAGCAAACTCACCATTCCCATCTCTCAGACGCCCTGCTAGCTCCCCAATCCAATCGCCGCTTCTTCTTACCTTTATCCCTCACCACCAACTCAACCGACAACACGCCAAGAACCACGTTCTGCACCCAACAATCTTTTTTCCCCGCTACCGACGTCATGCTCAGCAGATTCTTTACTGTTATCTAGTTATCAAGCTTGATTTTACGGGTCGCTGCCGGAAAATGAGTACCCCAATGGCCTTTGCCAAGGTATCTCGCGGCCTTGGCTGGGGGGATCTCAACTCGCATGTCGGAAAGGTATATATAGGACGAAGAACCGTTTGGAGTACGGAGCTGGCTGGCTTGTTTTTATCCCTCACACTAAATCTTCTGCTTCGGACGGACTTTCAAGACACGGATCCCTATTGTCCTTCGTTGAACGCGCTCGACACTCGATAGTCTGCCGTCCTTATACACCTGTCACGATGAAGGTGTCTATGGTGTTCTGCGCTGCGGCTGCCGCGGGGGTTGGGGCGCAGGATAGTGTGTCTGCTACGGGGGCTGGCTGTGAGCCTCATGGGGATCACTGGTACGTTGATTTCACGTGGGATGGATGCGGTTGTTTTAGAGAGTAGCGGTTAACATGGTGGATAGGCATTGTCCGTCTGGCGTCGCTGAGCCGACGGCACCTCCTGCCGTCACGACTCCTACTCCTGCTGTCACGACATCGCACTCCCATAACGACGACGACGACGACGAACATGACCATCCAGCTACGGCTTCGACTTGCGAACCTCATGGCGATCACTGGCACTGTCCTAGTGGTGTCGCTCAGCCTACTACTAAGCCTGCTGCTGTATCTACCACCTCGTCGGTTAGAACGACGGCGGCGAGCGGTGCTGGGGCGGCTGCTTCAAGTAGCGCGGCTGCGCAGCAGTCTACTAATGCTGCCGCTGGTATTGCGGGTGGCGAAGGGAGATTGCAGGGTGGTGTGCTGGCGGTGCTGGTGGGTGGTGTTGCCTACTTTTTGTAAGTATGGTAGGAGTAGTAAGATTGATGGAAGGAAAATAATATTTAGATCACTTACTCCAAAGTTAAATGACTTGAATATGAATGATCTGTATCTTCTCATGCATGAACTGTTTAGCAAAGTCGAACCCACTGCAACTCGCATTGTTTGCTCCTAACCAACTCTTCTACTTCGCCCTCCATAACGCCCTGCAAATAAGCTTCTCCGATGACTTGAAAGACGTCACTCTCCTTGCTTGGCCGAAGCAATATCGGCGTTGAGCATCCTGGAAAGACTGCAAAGACATCCCCTCTACGTACTTCCAGCTCCTCGTTCACTTGAACACCTCTGGCACATTCCACCCACCCGATACGGCCAGCGGTTGTGGTCACCAACCTTCGAGGACCCGCGAGAGCAGTTCTCACCCACCCCTGATACGCTGACCAGTAATCATAGACATCTGCATCGTCTGGGATCTTTCCGGAGAAGTAGGTTCGCAGATGCCGTCCTCCTACCAGGAGATCAGCGTTGCTGGAAAACCACGTGGTCCATCTACTATAATAGTAATCCAAATCATACACGAAACGTTTCCACCTGAGTGTACGGAATTGTTTTTCGGCATCTTCTAGCGTGAGTGGAAAGTTCAAGAGGGCTTGTGAGTCTTCCTTTCTGCGTCTTCGGCCTGCGTAAAGCGCAATGGACAGTTGCGTTGAAATAGTGTTGGAATCTCCATATGCGCTGCTTGATAGTATTTGTGACTGTATCATGGCTGGATTTTCGGCCTCGGGAGTGTACCCAAGACCATCGACGGTGTCGAGTTTTACTGCTTGGCTTACCAGGTAGCGACCAGTACGTCGAGGTAAAGCGAACGGAAGGCCGCGATCGGCGCAATAGGAACGCGCTTCCATGGTGCCGTCGCCGTTCTCGCGCTGGGCGAAGTCGGGCTGGAAGAAATCATCAGGTCGGCTGTCGCGACTTCGTCCACTCCATGTCCAGTCGGGCACCCAAGAAGGAGTGTCGACTCTGCCCCATAGGTTGGCATCCCGCAGCAATTCAAGATTACGGTACGTCGAGATGTACGCGTCCGCTGTCCGGATAAACACTGTCGCCACATCACTAGTGTAGTCGGGGATAATGGCTCGGGCGAGCAGTGGGTCCATGATACCGAGCAAGCCGTAGACTTTGTCTCGAGCATCGGAGCAGTTGCACGAGTTTGCCATCTCCATTAGCCTGGTCAGATTTGCAGCATGGGAATTAGACTCTTGGACTTGAGTCAGTTGCCATAGGTCTTTCCAGATATGGTCCAGTGTGCGAGTGTCGTACCAGTTGCCGTTGTCCCTCGAGCTGGGTTCCGCCTGGCGATCGTAGTCGATGGCCTTGTGTCGAGGAACCCAAAGGTAGAATTGGATGACGCCTAAGCCACGGCAAAACGTCTGCCAGCTCACGCGTTTTGAGCCACAGATCAACACCGTCCTTGCACCGCCCAGTGCGAGCTCCTGCATGATCCATAGCCGCTCCCAGTATGGACGTAGTGTTAGACGCTTCAGAGCAAGCCAGCTTCCCGGCACATGCGAATACTTCTCCTGCATCATGTTCTCCCGCAGCTCCTCACACTTCTCGTTGGAGTGGTAGATGTCCGATAGAGCACCGATGAGATCCAAAGCTTTGTCGCTCTCGTCTTCTTGCGGCCCCAGAAAACCAATTACCGACCAGGCCTGTGAGTAAAATATTCGCATAGCCCCAACTTGTGCACTGCGCTCTACGTTGTTTTTCTGATTGATGCACAAGGCATCTGCCCAAAGCCGAAACCGACCTGAAAACTGCCCGGTCTCGCGAAGTCTGTGTAATGCTTCTGCCAGGTTCTTGGTAACCTGCGTCTCAACGCCGTTGACGAAAATGTTTGTAGTGTCCTTGGTATTGCCCCATACATAGCTTAACGCACAATAGTCGCCCCACTGAAACCGGTGGTGTGTTGAGTCTGGGAATATCCCAACATTTCCCGTCCCGAGCCAGTCTGCAAGCACGGCAGTGAGACTTGGTACTGCAGAGGATCGCTGCTGGACAAATTTGCGATAGGCTTGCGTCATATCTCGTAGAGACGTCGTCTCTAAGGTGCAACTCATGAAATTAGAAGTGGAGCAGGAATCGATGGTGATAAGCCGGAATTCCTCTTGCGAGGTGTTCACAGGTTTTGACATGTAGACTGCATCCATTTCACATTGCTGTTAGCCTGTACATGTATGTTCTAGGGAGTAGAAAATAACTTATTACAATAAGCCTTTGTTTTATTGACTCTGGAATTGCCGTGGTACAGGTACGAGAATGAATATAAAGGGCATATAGTTGCCTGAGGCCTCGAAAGAAGGCATACAAGGCTGAGAGACCGAAACCTTCCCTACACTACTTGACCGGTTTTTGAGCAGGCTAAGTGATAGCTGCATACTTGAATGCGCTTCGCCACCCCTAAAGATAATGTAGCGTCCAGTTGTTGGGTATCTACATCCACTAAGGAGCGGATAGACCGGTGAGTCCACTTCACTGTTTGCCTAGCCAAAATTGGAAGCTTTCAAGAGTGAAGGCAGATTACGTGAACAGCTAGTACGAACGACAAGTCTATGAATGGCTAAATTGAATTACAAGATGGAGACTTCCTTGATTGTGGGGACTTCAAAGGCTGACTGCGACTAAGCTTTTTCCGAATCTAGCTCTCATGAGAGTTACCTGGGTCTGTTATAATGTCCAGTCATATAGCGATTTGCAAGGCTACAGGTCAAGTACGGGAAATAGCGACCCCGTATTCCTTCTCGTCTTCATCTTCAGAGCCATCCAACCGCACCCGGTACTCAAACCCATCCTCTAAGCCCCCATCTTTCTCATCCCTGCCACTCTCACTCTCCCACTCCTCTACCACCCCCCAGCCCTCAATAACCCTCCCCTCAAACCGAAACGCGCCCCTCCCCTTTCTCTTAACAAACATCTGCGTGCTCTTCTCCCAGCCTACATCCCAGCCATCCACATCTGCCACGCGGAGTTCCCACGACGTGCCGTCCGTAGATGCTGTTGTTTCCGCTAAGCTACGCTGACGATCCGTAGACGCCAGATATTCTACCAGCGCTTCGGCCTTTTGGCGGTTCGTCAGGCGGGGTGGACGGATATTTGAGGGGGCGAATGCAGAGGCGAGTGGGGGAATGCGATATTGTCGTGGTGGGAAGGGGAGGATTAGGCCCGTGTTGTGGGGGCTTGGTGATGGTGTTGATTTAGATGATGGTGATGAGAGTGTGGGCATGTTGTTTAGGGTGTTTTGGAGGAGTTGGGAGAGTTGGGTTAAGCATGTTCGTTGTTGGGACATTGCGGCGGGTTGGGTGGCTTTTTCGATAGACGATTTGGTTTCTTGTTGTCTTTACGTCCAGTCTTGGGAGAATGTAATGTAGTGAATATGTTCTGTAAGAGTAAAGAGGAAGGAAACGGATTACTTAGTACCTGAGATCAAGCTTGAAGCTCCTCGTTTGTACGCCAATTGTGTGCTCACAAGGCAGTGTCCTTGCTATTTGCGTTTGATGTATACGTCAACTTGATTGTGCCTTACTAGACAGCAATAGTGTCTCTCTGCATGTGTGAGATTTAGATACTGTGTCTAAGACTTCTTAAATATGTCGGAAGACAAACACATGCATAATCAACGTCAGAAAACAGCGTGAAAGAGTTGGAATCGAGGTGAGCGTGGATATCTTTCAGCATCAATTCTATGATATAAGTTCGCGTTGCAGCGATCTGCCGTAGCTAGTGTGGTTCTATCTACAGTGACGTTGTCTCACCGCTAGACCCCTACTAACGTTATGCTATTGACCAAGACATGAGCAGGGGTAGCTAGAACAAAAATGACTCATGTCAATGCAGTTGTTTACACTACAATCGCGTATCACCGCTTAACACCCACTGGGCAGTGCTGTGCTGCCAGTCCTCGTGGTAGCACTATACCTAGCACCCGTTCCGAGACCTCTCTTCGCGAAACCCTTCCAGATCTCACACTTGTTGGCACCACCTGTTAGCGCAGTATCGGCGTCGATGATGGCATCACGGGCTTGGACGAAGTTGGGGCTGCACGGTTGCCTGAAGGTTGTGTTAGCTTCTATGAGCAGTGCAAAGATTAGATGAGAAAGACTTACAGAGCCATGCCATCAATGACAAGCTTCATGGCGAGGTATTTTCCGTCGGTGGGCACACCAGCAGCGTTGAAAGTAGGCTTTGGCGCGTCATTCTTGCCATGTTTGTCGATCAAGTTCCATAGCACCTCGTACAGCATGGTGGCCCATACCGTTCCGATAGCATGCACTGCGGTGAGCGAGTTCACATCAGTGTAAACATGGGGGTTCGTTGTCAAGGAGGTAGAGTAGACGTATTTGCGGATACCAGCGGGGTTGTTGAAAACCCAAGCGCCCATAGGGTAGTTCTTAGCGCGTGTATCGGCAGGCTTCAGGCGAATGGCAGTAGCCATGAAGTCTCCCCAGCCCTCGCCCATACCGCCAGACTCGAGAGCGTTAAGGCAGTTGGAGTTAGCAGGGCCACCAGTGAGGCGGGTAGAGACTCCGTGCGTGTACTCGTGGATAACAACACCGGCTTCAAAGCTGCTGTCCCGGTTAGGCGTAGATCGATCCCAGATATACATCCTCATGCGACCAGGCTGGCCATCAGGAGGCGTGGCAAAATTGGCGTTGTTGGTTCCAGAGCCGTCCTGGGTGTTCAAGATCACCAGATCGTTGCCAACTCCGCCTTGGCCGTTGTTGTTCACCTCGAAATTTCCAGCTCTCTCGTTAAATCCAAGAAGGTGGACCAGGTCGTGGTATTCGTTAGCCGTGTAAAACAGCTGCACAATAGAGGCGTTGACGTAGGACGAAGGCGGCGACATTGCGGTAGTGTAAGGGTAGTTGAAGTTCTGGGTAGGGCTCGAGGGACGGAAGTTGTTGAGGTAAGCGCTTCCTCCGCTTGGGTTGGACTGAGCGATACCATTGTTGCCACGGGTAGTATCGTAAGTAGTAGTTCCAGTCCCTTGCCAAGTGAACTCGGAAGCCTTGATATCCCAGGGGTTGGTAACAATAGTACGGGCACCTTCAGTAGGGTCGTTCAGGCCCCAAGCACTACACATAATTAGCAACAATAGGTCTCTGGATATGCCAAAACTCACTAGACTTGGTAGGTGGCATCCGCAGAATAGTCCACAACACCATGAACAGCTTGGTTTGTACCAGCGTCAACATAGGTAAGCAACCAGTTGCTCAAGATATCGGTCTCAACTCGCCAGGTAAGGGCCAATGATCCATCAGCTTTGACGAGGTAGACGAGCTTGGCCTTAGGATCCTGAACTGCGCCGGAGGTACCCTTGAAAGTGAAGGTTTCCTTGCCCTCGGCAGTCTCAGCAGAAGCTTTCTCAGCTTCGATAGGGAGCTGGAGTGTGCTAGTCGCGGTCTTCAGTGCATCAACCGGATTAGAGACATCGCGCTTTGTAAGCGGACGCGGGGGGATGGTGCCCGTAAAGAATGAATTTCCATAGGAGAAGATGGATCCATCTTTGCCAACCTATCGACCGTCAGGAAAATGCGAGGTGGAGAGAGCCGTCATACTTACATTGACATTGAAATCGGCATTGTCAATGTCGATATCGTTGGCGGTCTGCTTGAAGTTGACGTGGGAAATTCCATTCGAACCGGTATAGTGATCTCCAACGACCCGGAAGGTGGCTCCCTTCACAGTAGACTTGACCAACTCGGTAGCCGTCTCAACATAGTCGGCGCGCTTCCCGCTGCGGACACTGGGTTCAGTGACAGCGACCGAAGCGTTCACGTACTTGGACGTAGCCTTTAGTCGGAAGGCATTGAGATCAACGGCACGGCCAACGAGGCTGTCGGCATGTCCCGTAGGATGCGCGCCAACGAGGGCACAGAAGACAAGACTAGCCAGCAAAGAGGCTTGCATGTTGGGCGAGTGAATGTAGGAAAGCGATCTGAAGGTTCGCCTGTCCGAAGAAAGGTATTCTGCTGAACGAGCAAATATTTATACACCACCTGGCGATGTCTCGGAGCCCATCACACTTTTCTAGGAGGTGGGGGGCGGCCATCATGAGCTTCCTCATCTGGACACTCCGGTTCGGATGGTGTAGGTTTGTAGGTATCCTGGCAAGTGTGCTCGTACTGCCTGGTAGAGTTTTTTTTGGGTCTTCAGTACAGAACTTCCTCTTTCGCAAAATCCTCCGTGTAAGCAATCTAACGAAGGATATTTTCGAGTGTGTTTCATGGTCGTTAACGCACGGGCCCATATCACTTGCCCGTTTTGTAGCCATGAACCCGTAGTTTTTGCTTGGCTATGCCGGGCCCTGTAATGGGAAGGGCAGCAGATCGGCATTGCACACGAACGATGCTTGCTGAGAACAGAAGGAGTGAACGACGGCTGGCACTGAAAGGAAGATAAGAATGAGGGTCGTGATAGGCAGAGGGTTGCAGAGCTGACGAGAAATTTGTGTGATGGTGATGGCGATGTCTGTCCCTCAACAAGATGGCTGGTGTGGACCCCATCGCGAGTTCAGGAACACATCTGACTGTAATTCGAAAAGGATTAGTTTACAGAGAAGTATGGGACTAGGGTAAACATGTACCTGACTCGTATCAAGCGGGCCTATTCTACCTCCCTCTAGGGTTCACATCTTCTGGGATGGCCGATCTTAGAATGTAAAGCCAGCCATCCTGGACAGTATCAGCACTCTAGAAGGTACTTAATACATGGACAATATTGGAAGGCAAGTAAGCCGCCGATAAGATGCAGCGAGACACGAGACATGGTGATCTACCTTCCGAATTGGTACATTGACTAGGGGGCAAGTTGCGAGGCGAGCGATAAGCCGGGTATGGGATCTGGATCACTACAACCTCGTGATGCGCGGTGAGCATGGCGTGCTTAGAACTATTGGTTTCAAATGACTAGCTTAAACTTCGTTGGGCGCGTGATTGTAGTGAAGGGGTTGCCTGAGTCAGAGATGATCAGGCATCTTCACCAGCACCGCATCTAGCTAAATCAAAGAAAAGCAAGTCTTCCGAGTTTTGTAGAGGTCAACCTTCTAAAGCCTAGAGCGCATTTTAGGGAGGTGAAGGTTGCTAATAGTCCCAATTATGTGATCTGTTATCATGAACGATTAGTAAAAGACTTGGCAGTCTTACCTGGTTTGCCCTTCTTCCCGTGATTATTACGCAATCCCTGTGAATCTATAAACTCCACCAATAATGTACAGCTATCGGGCCGTTTGAAAAGTAATTTATAATGCGAAGTGACTATGACTAAACTAGACTTCAGGGTTGCAACAAAAATAGTAATGAGTTAGTATTTACGAAATTCTTTGCAACCCTGCTACTCCTTCACCAAACTTTTTTACAATACGAATGCCCAGAGCTCTACGATACGTGGGAACAGATGCGTCAAATTCCTAGCCACACTTCCGGAAGCCGCCGTCTCCGAATCGCCTATAGACAACAAGACAATCCATAGGAAAAGGATTCGAAGACCTGTTAGAGCATGTTAGCACGGAGGGAGAGCGTACTTTTGCTCCTCAAACCGTTGCGGAGTGGAGAGTCTATCCAGCAGGTCGGCCACTCTCCACTTGTAATTTTATTCATACTAGATAAACTGCTCACTCTGCAGAGAGGTACCTCGTTCAAACTCGAGTAAGTCTTATTACTGAAATATTTCCATAGCCAACACCCGGATAGCAGTCCAGCACATTGCGTTTTTCTGTCAACTTGACTCTTCCAAATATCTGAGAGAAGAAACAATAATCTTGATCAAGTGCATGCTATTGATGATTTGCGGAAGATGGGTTGAAAAACTGTAATTGCATTGGATACTGTGAGTCGAAGCATACCCTTGTATGCAGGAATCAACAAGAGAAATACCAGCTTTACCACCAACAAGACGCTCACGAACTCAGATCAAAGGCCGAGCTTGAGAGCAGCGTATTCGATTTTTGCATCCAGCTGGGTCTGGAGGAACCGTGCTTCTCTCTCCAGAAGTTCTCTCTTACACAAATCGTTGCTTACCCCAGCATTGATTATTACCTCCTTACGCCAATCCCACTGTAGTTTCCCATCTCCCTGAATCCGCAAGACCCAAGCGCGGTGTTTTCTGTACGCGGTATTGAAAACAGAATCCGTAAGCCACCGATCGAGTAAAAACGTGTCAATACCGTCTTCAATATCACCAAAATCCACACACCTGGACGAGTGTCGGTCTGCGTGCCTTCATTAATAACTTTCAAAGGCGAGCAGTCTCGAAGAACTTGAAGCGCAATTTCGCGTGTGGGCGCACGACCTCCAAAAGCAACGAGCCAGAAATCCCAAGTTCAGACCCATTTTGTATCCGCCATGGGATGGGTCAAGGATATCTCTTGCGACTGCTTTTCCAAGGTCCCATGTATGTGGCAGTACACTGTATACACGGTATTCTTTCATATTGAATCCGCGTGCAATGAGAGTCTCAATAGAGATCTTGTGCTTGATGTATTCGTCTGGGATCTCCTACCTAAAGATATACTCGTGTCAGAACCGCCTACGCTCTTCTAACCCACATATCTGGACCAGCTCTCCCGCGTGACGATATTTATTCTCATCTGAGTCAGGCACAAAGATGAACGCAATCCAGATTTGGCGCGTTCTCTCCCTCCGCGTAATATCGATGGGAAGCCCGTCGAAGAGTATCGATGATGCGGCTGCTTACTGAGATCAAGGCCGTTTGGACTCTTAAGTATATTTGCTCGTGGCTGTTGAACTCAGCACGGAGGTCAGTTTCTGAGAGTCGTTCACTGCTGCGGCCTTTGCCGGAGACAAGCTTACCAGCGCTGGTATTCCGAAAACACCGATGGAAATACCCTTCCAGGCTCAGCCATAATCTTAGTATTGTGTGTCAGAGAGAGTATAGTCTTGAACGTGAAATACGGCTCCTTTACCCTGCCCTAGCATCGCTGTCACGGGCCGCAGTCGCTTTTCCATAATTAGGACCGTTCATTATCGCCCCGCTTCTACGAAATGTAGAGACCCATGAGCTGTACACGTCCATTTCCATCCTTCCAAGTCCTAATATCCCCACCCCGCAGATACACACAACCAACGACAGATCCCAACTACCCAATAATGGCCTTTCCCTCCCGGAGCTGACCAATGAGTTTTTCCAACCCATCCCGACGACGCTTAACCATCAAATCCTCTCCCGCAATATCCTCAAGCGTGTCAAGGCTCATACCAGTGACAAACTGGGCGGAGAAAAGCGTCAACGGCGTGTCCTGGCCAGTGACAAGCAGCGTGTCAGCGACCTGCATTCGCACACAGTCTACGAACCGCTTCCGGGCGACTTTGTAGTAGGACCGGAGTATGTCGTGGATCTGCACGACGGTGTGGTCTTCGTTGCTCAGTAGCTGCGTCTGGTTTAGATCTTCCAGTTTCACAAATTCACCGTACTCGTCGTCCCACATGCAGTGTTTCTTTAATTGCTTGCGAAGCCGGTCCTGGCGACTTTTTCTTGTTGTTAATATTCGTCATGCGGAGAATTGAAGTGGGTGGCTGAGGACGTACCATTTCTCCAGCGTCTCGTTGAAGTAGTGATTGTATGTCGCTGGCGTCCCCTCGAGCTCGACAGATAGAAGAAATTCTGTTTGAGATATGGCGACTTCATACATGCGGGAGATGTCGTCCATGATGCGGGATTTCACTCCGTCGAAAACACGAGTCGTTGGCGCAATTTGCTGCCAGACGCCGATGATGAAGGAATGCACTAGTGAGATGATATCGCTGATATAGCCCAGCGCCAGGGCCCGCCAATTGGTAGCCTGCTGCCTCATAGTTATTGCCAATAGCGAGGCGTCGAAAGTGCCCAGTTCGAAGCCTCTCGAGCTTCGGTATTCCGTCTTGAGCCATTCCAGGGTATCTTGATCTCTCTTAATGTGTACACTCTTGTTTTCGTGTAACAGGTCCATGATATCTGGGTGATCCTCCATGGTCCTAGTATTGACTGTATCTTTTTCGGGGTTTTCCCCTTCGCAATCGTCCTTTTTGTCATCGGCGTACAAGAAGCTATGAGTGTGGCCATAACAAGCCATTGCATTGGCAAAAGCTTGCCCTCGGTTCACTGCCTCGGTAGCAACTCGGTATTTCGTGTTCGCACTGAGGATTTCGGAACGACTGTAATCCGAGTTCACGGACAGTGAAACCGTTCTCTGGAACTCCAGCGCGAATTCCATGAGATACTGGCTATATTCGATCTGATTCTGTCGCTTCGGGCCTAGAGATTGCAGGGTGCTCTCAGCTTTCTTGAGCTTCTGGGTTATATCAACTTTGACCTCGTAGTTGTCAGTATATGCGCTCCCTGGACCTCCTGTCATGGATCCATACCTTGGGAAATTCACGGCGAATGTGGACTTCTAGAATTTCCTGGAGCCGAGCGCGGAGAGAGACTATCCCCACCTTGCTCTTGTCCAACGTACTCCATGGATGTACCTTGTCGAAGAATTCCATCTCACTTTCATTTCGCCCTCGCAGAGTAGATTTAAGCTCCGCTTGTCCAGGATTCCGAAGCAGGTGCCATCCCAGTCGTAGCTGGTGTGTTTTGCCTTCGACTAGGTTCATGACAGCACTCTCGCTACCTTTGTCTACCAGGTCAGGTTTTGTGAGGATTCCGAAAGTTCTGATGCCGTCGGGATCAATGTCCTCGGCTCTTTCAAGGATTTCCTGAGTTGCGATATCCACGTTGCTTGGAATCACAGCCAGAATGACAGACCTGGGGTTAGACATGTAATCGTGGACCATTTCATTGACCATGGCCATGTCCTCTTTGGTGGTGAGACCGTGCGTAGTTCGCTTGAAGATACCAGGCACATCGATGACGCTGAAATGCTCTTGGTCTGGACCCGCAATTTCCAGCCGCAGAACATCGTTTGAGAAAGTCTTTCGAGGTTCTCCTTCAGCAGACTCGACACCCATCACCTTGAGCACCTATTCCTTCCAAGTAAGCGGGTGTACTAGATATGAACGAGGTACGCATACCTCTGTCATGATGTCCGCGAAGGTCTGTGGGTCCAAAGATTTGAGTCCGGACTTTCGCCAGCCTTGCAACCTCTCCTTATCCCCCGGACTGCTATTCTTGGCTGGTATTATCGACACGGTGATGTTTGGCTCCAGGGATCTTCGAAAGGTGATCTGCGTTGCAAAGCGAGTGCATAGTCCACTGTCTCGTGGAAAGGGCAGCCCTGTCAAGCCTTCCAGAACGGAGCTTTTCCCACTCGATTGGTCTCCCACTACGACAATCTGAGGCAGGGCGACAGCGTCTCCAACGTTGCATGCGAAAAGCCGGTCTATCTTGTCGAGTAGGCTCGAGCTGACGAGCTCAAACGAGTCTGCCATAGTGATGTAGTAGATGGAGAAGAACAGGGTGTAGAGTTCGGAGAGTGCAAATCGTAGAAGCGGTAGAAATCGAGGGATCCAGAAAGATAAGGCAACTGATTGCCCAATTTTTAATTTTTTTACATTTCGATGATGTGGCAGTCCTGTTGCCTTGACCGGTGAGTTTGGTTTCACAGCGCCTACATATTTATCAAAGTCCTTCTTCCTTCCTTCACGCCCCGACAATAACTCGCATCAATACATGACCTCTCAACAAAGGACGTTCCTTGCTGGTCGAACAGTATGGGTCGTTTCCAAGGCAGTAATGAGTAAATTCACTCGAGTTTCATAACTATTGACGCTTCAAGCCTCGTCGTCGTACTAGTACTTTTTACTCACCAACCCCCACTGTTATTAAAGCGACTAGTCCAATGCGATCGTGTATCTATCGCGGGGGGGCACCGACTGTCTATTACCCCGCTGTTGTATGGGTGCCTTGCATTGTAAGATTAGCATATGGACAAATCAGCGATATGTAAAGCAAGGGGGACAAGCATGTACCCAACCTCTCGTGTCTTCGGGAAAGTTGGAATTGAGCTAGTGGTTGGATGCCCCAGACGACATTCATAAATGCCTCATTTACCATATTTCTTTACTCATGTCGCAAGTAGAGGTTACAGAGGTCATAGGCTATACAACAGCTGTTGCTGGTGGTGTTTACCAGAGCCAGCCACTTATCAACGGCGAATACCACGTGATACTCTTCACGCACGATGCAAGAATCGCAGACGAACCTTGGTGGCTGAAAAGAGGAGATACCTAGTTATCCGCAGCTCTACGGCACCTACGAGGCAACAGTAGTACAATGCCAACGCACAGTCAGCCGCCCGAAGCAACAGGTCAGCGCCCATATGTAGAGGAAGCTCGAAACAACAGCGGCTACAGAAGTCAGGCTATGAAGGCACATGTTCCACGGCTCTGGACTGTGGAGGTTTCCAGAGGCGTTCCTCCACGTGCACTATGGCATGCCCGTTGGGCTCGGATCAGGTTGATTGGAATGTGGAAAGGTATTGGGGCTATGAGACCCAATGGAAGTGCTGCGGCGCCTGCGGAAAACGCTGGCATTCGTTTCAGCACAAGGTGCGGCTTTCTGCGTGCTACGCTGTGGCCGTGGTGGCGTTGGGGAGCTGAGCAGGCGATGCTTGATCAGGTAACTCTGGGACTGCTTGGGTTGCGTGGCGTCCACTATGCAACGTGTGGAGAAACGTGGCTCTCTTATGTCTTGAGGGCTTGCTATAGTGCGGTAGAGGTCGGGAAATGGTGCATTCGGAGAGAGACTTGTTGAAATAGGCTATATTCGTCCTAGTGTATTTTCATGAGTGTGAAACACGGCACAGTGAGACCCGGGCCGGTATATCAACATGGCAGTGATGCGAGGTTTCCCGGGTATGAAGATCGGCTAGATGAAGATCGTCGATGACGCTGCTCCCGTCGATAGAAGGTGAAACAGGCGGGCGGTCCAGGCACGGGTGATGAGCCATCGGCAAGTTTATAACATGCAGGGCGGTGCTTTCGAGTAGAGCCGAGTTCAGCAGAAGAAAAAACCGCAGCAAGGTCGAGGGTGATCCATTGTTGTGGTTTGTGCCCCGAACTTGACGGGATCCTGCATTGTTGCTGAGGCTCCCTGGTGCTGTGCCCAGGCAGGGACGACGGCTGGTAAATTATTGACAGCTCGGAGAATACATTGTGCCCCAGGGCAGTATCCTCTGATAATATTTTTTCCAGGGGTCGACATGTGCTTGTACAGCTATCGCGTGATGAGTCGTGTAACGTCTGTCTGCTACGAGCCCATTGTTGCTTTTGCTGAGCCACGCTGGGTACAAGGGCAGCGGAGTAATTGGACAATCCCATGGCCTGATTTCAGTGCAAGGTCTTCTGCTGGTGATGCAGCCAGGACTCGATTTGGCGACAGCGAGGTACGGTGCTGAATGACATGTCTCTTGCTCAACACTATGGTGCGACAAACACGATGTCCGTTGGAGGGCAAAAGTGGGCCTGATCTCCCTCGGGGGCCGTCCTTCAGACGGGAGATTGCGCGGGCTAGCTGCTAAGGGCTCCGCCGAAGACCGGGGCCATTGGCGCATCCAGGAGCAGGGCAGCAGGGATTTCTGAACCCACGATTATCCTTCGAGACTAGGCCATCGCCTGGTCAGTGCTGGGTTGCTGGTATTTCCGCCTCGTCGGCCATTGGCTTCCAAAGCGGCAGCCGTCAGCTGCGGTAGCATGTCGACGCACCGTTGATGCGGCCCCATATTGCGACGCAGATTGCAATTAGAATAGAACAGCGCGTAACGTGCTGGGAGTAGGAATGCCATGTCTGAGAGGGGAGGGAAGAGCATCAGGTCATATTTTCCGCTTGTGTGTGTGTGTGTGCCGTCGACCCGCCATTGTTGCACGGCAGCCTGAGCATCGTAACCTGAAGGGGTCACCCCTGGCGTTGCGCAGCATCCAGGCAAGACGTGTATGCACGTCCAATGCACACGAGGACCATTCGGTTTGGCCACGGACGGCCAGCTGAGGGCTATGTGAGGGCTGAGGGCTGTGGGCTGTGGGCAGTCGGGAGAAAAAGTTGCTGGTGCATGTGCATGCGTGAGCGTCTTGGTCGCAGCCACGACATGGTGTTGGTGTTGGAAATATAATCACCACCTCAACACGGGCCTCGCGCGTGTTGCGGGAGATGATGGAATGTGTGTGATGGAGTCGCCATTTTGTTGGACCCGGGAATACAGTGCTGTCTATGGGCATGCGTGAGGGACCGTGTGCGGGCCAAGTTGGGGGAGCACCCGTGCCATGGATGCCGAACCGTCGTGCCCGCCAGAGGTGGTGCGAGTCAGTGGCGATGCCGCTGAGGCAGCACAGCATGGGAGAAGAAAGACGGTAGGCTTGGGCTTGGGCTGGAGCGCAGTGGCTGGCATGTCAACCAAGCATCTGTGAAGCAAGAGACGAGCGAAGGCAAGCCATGCAGCCAGCCAGCGAACGCTGACAATCTCTCCCCCAAAGCGTGAGAGGCTGCAAGCCAGATCCGAGGAGCGCCTTTTGGGTGCCGTCGGCATCGCGCCGCTCTCCATGGCCAATGAGCAGGGGGAGCCACAATGGGTTCGTCTTTGTCTTCGGCTAAAGTCTGGTACTGGTACAGTGGTTAGTGGGTTAGTGGGTGATGAGTAGTGGGTGGGTGCCCCCCTCTCAATACCTAGTCGTGGAACAGCGCCGTCCCATCCCGCGCACCGCAGTCTGGCTCCTTCTCCCTCTCTGGCGACCGCTGATAACTACTCGACATCGAGAGGAGACGGGCTTGTCGAGAGCTTCTGGACGACGCCGCGCAGAGAGACGTGTTCTGTTGTTGCTGTCGCGTCTATACCTGCCCTACCTCCTGCTACTCCTACTAACCAAGCCCATCGCCCGTCACCCGTCACCCGTCACCCAGCACCCCCATCGACTGCGCAGCCTCCTGCGACGCCGACACCTGTTGCGCAAAAGCAACATTCTTTCGGCCTGCCCTCTCACTTCCAACGGTATGTTTTCCTCCAGCCTGCCCTTTGTCGCCCTTCATCGCCCTCCATCGTCGCGTTGTGGGGGAATGCCGACCACTTGGATTCGGGTTTCCAGCGGTTCCGACCTTGGCCTACCCGCCTCCACGAGATGCCATCGGACGCCGAACAAGACACTGACAGTTCCAGGTCGCCCTTTGTTCCGTGGTCGAGTACGGGTCCATCGAGGGCTTCGTTTGTGTTGAGCTTCCCATTCCGTGGTTGATTGACTGTAAGTGCCCTTCCCGTCAACCCACCCTTCCTGGTGGGTGGAGCGGAGCCTCTCAGTCCCTGGCTTCTTCCCACGCGACAGCAGACACGGACTGACTCGTCACAGCAACCGCCAAACTTGACCATGGCCTCTACCATTGCTGTCGCCAACGAGACGAAGAGCTCCTCTGTCCGCACCACAAAGGATGGCAGGCAGATCCGCTACAATCTGCAGGTCATCCAGCAGCCAGAGCGCGCCCGCGCCTGTGGCAGTGGCGCCAAGTCGAGCGCCGACCGTCGTCCTGTTGACCCGCCTCCCATTGTCGAGCTGCGCGTCTTTGAAAACGACCAGGAAATCACCTTCGCCTACAATGCAAACTTCTTCCTCCACGCCAGTCTCGAGAACGCCCGCACCATCGCACCGGGTCGCGCGCCCCCTACCACGCCCAGCTTCCCCGTCCTCACAGGAACCCCCGTCGCTGGCATGGCCTACCTCGACCGCCCCACGCCTGCCGGCTACTTCATCTTCCCCGATCTGTCCGTCCGCCACGAGGGCAAGTATCGCCTGAGCTTCGCCCTGTTCGAAAACCTGAGCGAGGTCAAGGACTTGGACCCTGAAGACCCCGATGTCATCTTCGACGGCAACCACTTCGTCACCCACCGCGCCGAGGTCAAGTCGGCTCCCTTCACCGTCTTCTCCGCCAAGAAGTTCCCTGGGCTGTCCGAGAGCACCGCCTTGAGCCGCATGGTCGCTGAACAGGGCTGCCGTGTTCGTATCAGGCGCGACGTCAGGATGAGGCGCCGCGAGAACAAGTCGTCCAAGGATTGGGACGAGTACGACGAGGAAGGTGGTGGTTACGACCACGCCCGACGTACTGCGACCCCCGACAGCTATGGCCAGCAGCCAAACCTTCCTCTCGACGATCGCCCACGCTCCGTCTCCAACGCCAGCAATTCCTCTCTGGTGGCTCCTCGTCGCCCTAGCATGGATGACATGGCTCAGTCCTACCCAACGGGAGGCAACTACCAGCAGATGCCACCGCCTCAAAACACTGGATATTCTCCCATGCCATCATACGGATCGAACCAACATCAGTACCAGAGCCAGTACACGGCTCCTCAGTCTACTGCTATGATGCAACCTCCACAGGCTCCCTATCCTCACCATGCCCAGCACAGCGCCTATCAGAGCCAGCCAGGCATGCAGATGAACCAGCAATATGGCTACCAGAGCTATCCGCAGTCGCACTACGAACAAGCACCGCCTCCCCGCCAAGAACAGCCTTCCGAGTATGCGCACAATACCGATTATCGTCGTCCCTCCATCACGCAGTCGCCGCAACAGTACCCTGGCCCTAGTCAACTGATACCGCCGTACAACTCCATGGAGCAGTACAACAGACCACAACAAGTCAGCCAGCCTATTCAATCGATGCACACTTCGCCCAACGTCCCCTCGGTTTCTGGTCCTGGTAGCATGCACACGCCCAACCTTCACTCCCTGCCGACCCTCAAGACGCTGCAGCCTCCGCTGACAGCAGACAAGTCGGAACCCGTGTCGCCAATGTACCACTCGCCGCCTAGTGCCATGTCAACTGCCACCATGTCTGTCAATTCGGATGCTTCCAACCAGAACTACGCACTACCCAAATTCGCTTCTCAAGGCCTGCCGCCCATGTCTGCTGCATCTGGCCAGAAACGATCCTTCTCCAGCACATTCGACACTCGGCACGTAAACGAGCGTTTGACGCAAGGGGCGCGACCCAACCCCTCGGGCGCAGGCTACAACTACGACGGCTGCGACTCGCCCGACATGGAGGAGCCCATGGATCGGGCTGCCATGAGCTACCGCCGAGCCGATGGGACGCAGCGTCAACGCCATGTTCCCGAAGTAGGCGTTTAAATTGTACCAAGTTTTTGGCGGCTTTGTAGCTTCTAGGACTGTCTGTCCTCGGTGATGTTTGGATTTTGGAGTACGGAGTCGTTTTTATGGATGCAATGTGCTCTGATCATCTATACCCCCCCAAGAACGACGCACGCGCGGCCTCGCGATATCTCCCTCGCCCCTGTATCTGTTGTTTTGCCTAGCTTTGATCGTCTTCTGACGCTTTTTTCTCTGCGTTGTCGTTCAATATATTCACCGCACACTCCTTCCGAGGCCCTGAAAAGGGCATTCTTCCCGTTTTTGCCATGTTATTCTTTTACCGTGTATGTTCAATCTAGCTTGGAAAAGGAGATTAGGGGGCTCGACAACACACACAGGTAGCCACAGCCTCACGGGCGCACACACTATTTTCATTCCCATCTTCCAATCTAACATTTATATCTGTTTTATCCTTTTTCTTTTATCGGCGGAGATTCTCTTTCTCAAAGAACGGGCGGCGGCTAACTATGTCACGCGACATCACATTATGTGGGCGGGAAACATGTGGGTGGCTGAGTATGTTAACAGGGCGCATTTGTTGTATAGAATGTAGGGCTGGCATCAATCAAATGGCACGCTGCGCGTTGTTTGTATACTCTATGATTTGCATGTTGTAATTGTCTTGATGTTGTAGACGGGGTATTGGCCACACATACTCATACTCTCTACGCACACCTTCACCCTTCTCCATCTAACATACGAACCTCATCTCCACACTCTACGCAGAAATATCTTCTCGCCAACTTCTGCCTTGTTCCATCTCGCTTCTAGCCTGCTCTCAACCTACCCAGCTCCCGGTTCATTACCCGTCCACCGCCTGCTCGCCACGTTTCCGGTTCTATTCTACCGCTCTCGTCTAACCGTGTGTTATTATATCATCTCGGCTAGGATAGTTCCTTACTATACTATACGACACGGACTGGATGTTTTCTAGCGGGCGGGTGTTTAGGTTAGGGGACTGCATGTGGTGTGGATATACGAGGGCTTGGTGGCGCGCGGGTAAAGTAGAGTGAGTGCGAGAGAGAGGAGGGATTTGAAATAAGTTTGGGATGGTGGTGTACTACTCGGCTTTCCTACTTCTGAAGCTACAATAGTTATGCATAGATGTCGACGTCAGGTCATACGGTAGATTGCCTTATTACTGTTCCAAGTTGTCCAGAGATATTAGTAATATCTTCTAGGTTGGCAAAGACTTATGGTAGTGCTGCAGGTGAGTTCCCAAAAAGCCGCAGTCACGTGTATGCCGGGCGACTTACGTACTTTGTACTCGAGTATCCTGTAACTTCCAAGAAGCTAACCGTCTTCTGAACACTACTTTGCTTTTGTGTAGCCTACTGCTTTTGCGTTAATGTGAGAGACGCCATTCGCGAGTGCGCCACGCGGGGCAGCAAAGAGCTACCCCTCCTCACCTCCTAGCACGCCATCGCACGAAGCACCTCCACGAGCGACACCGGCAGGCCTAACAAGAGAGAATTTTGCTCAGACACGAAATCTAGGAGGCCTTAACTTGTAACAATGTCAGCTCATTGGGCTGCATGGAGCCTATAGGCTAGCCTGGACGACGGTCGAGTGGGGTTGTCCAAGTAGTGAACGAACGACCCTGAGCGCGCCATGGACGAAGCTATCACAGAGCTCCCATAGCAAAGCAGATCCCACACGCGTGGGACTAGCTTGTATGACGTGACGCGAGTGGCCTCTTGCACAATTATCTTCTGCGAGTTTCCCCTCTTTCTCTTTCCTAATCTACTCTTCTTGTGAGACCCTCTAGCACCCGGCTGCAATATACGATACCCCCGAACTTACATACCCACCATATAAGACACCATGGCCGAGGAACTCTCCAAGAACTTCGAGACGCTGCAATTGCACGCCGGTAAAGTTGACCCGAGCCTCCAAGTTGGGGTAAAGCTAATAGATGCTGTTCTAGGTCACACTCCGGACTCAGCGACAAACTCCCGCGCAGTGCCAATCTACGCGACTACCGTACGTTCCAACTTGCATATTTCAGGGACGAGGGGCTAATAGCAGCAGTCCTTCACATTCAATGACTCCGCACACGGCGCGAGGCTCTTTGGCCTCAAAGAGTTCGGCAACATCTACAGCCGTCTCATGAACCCTACAAACGATGTGTTTGAGAAGCGCATTGCTGCCCTAGAGGGAGGTGTCGGTGCTCTAGCCACTGCTTCTGGCCAGGCTGCTCAGTTCATCACAATCGCCGCTCTCGCGCATGCCGGCGACAACATCATAGCCACGTCGAACTTGTACGGAGGCACATACAACCAGCTCAAGGTCTTCTTCCCGCGCCTAGGCATCCACACCAAGTTCATCAACGGAGATAACCCCGAGGATTTCAGGGCTGCCATTGACGACAAGACAAAAGCCATCTACGTGAGTGCGCGAGTGAACCGTAGGCGCGAACGCGGGCTGATCTTTTTGTAGCTCGAGAGCATCGGTAACCCCAAGTACAACGTGCCCGATTTCGAGAAGATTGTCGCGATTGCGCACGAGGCTGGTGTTCCGGTCATTGTTGACAACACCTTTGGCGCGGGAGGCTACTTCATCAGGCCCATTGACCATGGTGCGGATATCGTGGTCCATTCAGCCACCAAGTGGATCGGAGGTACGTCTTCTCTCTTCGATTAAGAAGAATGCTCTGACATGCATAGGTCACGGAACCACCATTGGCGGCATCATCGTCGACAGCGGCAAGTTCGACTGGGGCAAGAACGCAAAGCGTTTCCCTCAATTCAACGACCCCTCCGAGGGCTACCACGGCCTCAAATTCTGGGACACCTTTGGCGCCCACACATTCATCATCCGGGCGCGAGTCGAGATCCTGCGCGACGTGGGTGCGTCCCTGAACCCCTTTGCTGCCCAGCAGCTGCTTCTCGGTATCGAGACTCTCTCCCTGCGCGCCGAGCGACACGCCCAAAACGCCCTCAAGCTGGCAAAGTGGCTAGAGAGCAACAAGAACGTTAGCTGGGTCTCATACCCCGGTCTTGAGAGCCATCAGTCACATGCACTTGCGAAGAAGTACCTACCCCGGGGCTTTGGCGGAGTGCTCTCTTTTGGCGTCAAGGGAGGCGGTGCTGCTGGAAGCCAAGTCGTCGACAACTTCAAGCTCATTTCCAACCTGGCCAATGTTGGTGACTCGAAGACGCTGGCAATTCACCCCTGGACCACGACACACGAGCAGTTGAGCGACGAGGAGAAGCTCAGCTCAGGTGTCACAGAGGTAAGCCGACTTTCCAGCATGCTTTTCTTTTCTTAGGATAAATTGCTGATTCTCTAATGCAGGACCTCATCCGTATCTCAGTCGGCACCGAGCACATCGACGACATTATCGCAGACTTTGAGCAGTCGTTCAAGAAGTCGGCCACCAAGCCTGAGGAGAAGGGCGAACCCGCCAACGCGGAGAAGGCTGGCGAGGGTGAGGCTGCCGCTTCCTTGTCTGGCTCTACATAGAGACGATACTGAGAAAGGGCTGCAGATGCGCCGATAGCGGTCCCAAGGTTGTGATACGTGTAGACAGTAGAGTGAGTTATATCCTTGAATGTGAACGGAAATAGGAGATGGCATGCGTAATGCACTAGGAGCAAATGAACTGGAACAACTCGTTTGACAGTTATTGTACTTGCGCAAACTGACTTCGTACGAGGTCTTGTATTGTATTGCGCGTTGAGTATCTTACACGCATACCTAGGTGTTCGTCGACGGAAAAGAGCCGAGGGAATTGCCTAAACGGTTAGCTCTTGTTCCGATCCCCGTGATGTACACCAGCCAATCACAAGCAGCCCAAATGCGTTGGTTTCCGCATGGCTTGGGGTCGCGTGCGCCTAGATCTCAGACATGTGAAGACGCGAGATCGCATGCCTGCATGTGAGCACTGGCTTTCATACTGTTTTCTTCTAGGCAAAGAGCATGTGAAACACAGTGGCGATGCCATGTAAGAGAGTAGAATCGCTGTGTACACTCCACGTTTTTGTTCGATATAGGCTGGGGGGCGGTTCGGAGCACCAACTGCATTCGGTGCAGAGCCCTCGGTCCTTGGCCGCCATAACGAATAGCCTCCGATTTCCATAACTCCGCGTAGCCTGGCCCCAGTTTTGTACAAGTTGGCGCGTCCTGAAGAAGCCGAGGCACGTTTGGGAGAAATGTGGGCTTTCCCTTTATGAATGACCCACCTTACTTTGGGCGTAGATGACCTCTGGCTTTCTCAAATCGTAGCTTGGCTGGATTCACCTCTGTATTTCCAGTCTTCATCGCCAGCTTCTAGGTCCAAACGCTGAAGTTCGTTGTGTTTCTAGGCGGAGGAATTTGTGGCGCGCTAAGCCCTAGGTATGTCATGGGAGCTCTGAGCTGGGGTCCGGACACGCCGACACCACCAACATGCATTTGCACGGGCGTATGCTAACGGTCATCATGGAGCAGAGACATCATCACCGTCCCTTCACGCCTTTGTCTTTCTATACGGCAGCCCTCGTGCCAACTACGCCGCCTGCGCCACGCTCGAGACGACGCTATCTAAAGCCTTGCACAACGCACATAGGAGAACTCGTCAAGGACCGTCAGCATGTTCAGATCTTCAGACCCTCAGGTCGACAGGGCCGTGGAGCTTCACGCTCCCCCGCCAAAAGGCCAAGCCTACAGCCTTCCACTTCCCGGCACAGAAGCACAAGGGCGCAGTGCAATTTATCGGCATTGGAGGTTCACAGACAAGCCTCTGCTAGAGACCCTGATACCTGAAATCACCACGCCCCATGAGGCTTTCGAAAACTCAGTCGCGAGATACCCAAGGAACAAATGTCTCGGCCACCGCCCTTACGACCCCGTCTCGAAGACCTTCGGCGCATACGTTTGGGAAGACTACGAGACCATCGCGAAGCGGAGAAAGAACTTTGGTGCCGGTCTGGTGCATCTACACAAGCAGGCTGGTGTGACGGCAGCCAAGTACGGCGTTGGGCTGTTTTGCCAGAACAGGCCTGAGTGGCAGATCACTGATCTGGCGTGCATGTCCCAAAGTCTGTACACCGTCTCCATCTACGATACGCTCGGCCCAGATGCTACGGAATACATCATCAACCACGCCGAACTGGCGTGCGTCGTCACAGGCATGAACCATGTTACAGCGCTGCTGAAGTTGAAGCCACGACTTCCGACGCTAAAGGCCATTGTTGTGCTCGATCCCCTGTCAGCCGGAGAACTTCCGGGAGAGTCAAAGGGCGACCTGCTGAACTCGTTGGCGGGCGAGCTTGGCGTGGCTATCCACTACATTCGAGATGTCGAGGCTTTGGGCGAGCAGCAGCCGATTCCGATGAACCCACCCAAGCCAGATGACATTGTCACCATCAACTATACTTCTGGGACCACAGGAAACCCCAAGGGCGTGGTCTTGTCTCACAGGAACGCGCACGCTGGAACATGTTCGAGTATGATCATCTTCGGTATGGGCTCTGATCACGTTCTTTGTTCCTTCCTGCCCCTGGCGCACATTTATCAGCGGTTAGGTGAGCATGGCGCACTTGCAGGCGGTGCGGCTATCGGCTACTTTCACGGCAATATTGTGGAGCTCGTCGATGATATGAAGTTGCTTCGACCGACCATCTTTTCTGGCGTCCCCAGACTTTATAACAGGTTCGGAGCCAAGATCAAGGAGGCGACTGTTGATGCGACGGGCGTCAAGGGCGCCCTCTCGCGGCACGTAGTGGCAACAAAACTAGCTGCCATCAACGACAAGCACAACCCGACCAACACACACATGCTCTACGATCGTATCTGGGCCAAGAAGGTTGCCGCCGGACTCGGTCTCGACCGTGCTAGAGTGGTAGTCAGCGGCTCTGCACCCATCGATCCCAGCTTACAACAGTTCCTGCGTATCGTCGTCGGAAGCAATTTCTCGCAAGGCTATGGTCTGACAGAAACATATGCCGTCACACTCATCCAACACGAGGGTGACTTCTCAGCTGGAAACTGTGGTGGAGTAGCACCAAGTGCCGAGTGCGCGCTTCTCGACGTACCCGATATGGACTACCTTTCAACCGACAAGCCACATCCTCGAGGAGAGCTGATAATCCGCTCAACGACGCAGTTTAAGGAGTACTTCCGCAACGACGAGGAGACTAAGAAGGCTATCGATGAAGATGGCTGGTTCCACACTGGCGATATCTGCTCCGTCGACGAACTCGGCCGCTTCAAGATTGTCGACCGCAGGAAGAACGTGCTCAAACTCGCCCAGGGAGAATACATCTCCCCCGAGCGCATCGAGAACGTCTACCTCGCCAACTGCGGCTGGCTCGCCTCCGCCTACGTACACGGCGACTCGCAGCAGTCCTTCCTCGTCGCCATCTTTGGCGTCGCGCCAGATCTGTTCCCGCACTTTGCGTCCAAGGTGCTCGGCGAGAAGATTGAGGAGGGCGACGTGGAGAAACTGAAGGAGGTACTCGGTAGCAAGAAGCTTGAGAAGGCGGTTCTGAAGGAACTAGACCGTGTGGGCAGGAAGAGCAAGTTCAACAGCTATGAGCGGGTTAGGTCTGTGCGACTGTTTGTGGAGCCGTTTACCATTGAGAACCAACTTCTGACGCCGACGTAAGTTCTGCCCTACCCAATATCTGACATGAGCAGACTGACTGATTGGGCCTACAGATTGAAGTTGAAGCGTCCGCAGACCGCCAAGGCGTTCAGACAGCACCTCGATGACTGCTACGAGGAGGCACTGGCGGAGGAGAAGACGGCCAAGTCGAAGTTGTAGCGCGCATCATTGCATACCTGGCGCTCTGTCATTTTTAAGAGAATATATGCATCTTAGCGACTTGGGTGGTTCAGTTGTTGTACCCATTCACAGCCGGAAGTGCATGGTCGTTCAGTGTACATATAGGTAGTAGAGGAGCCAATTAGCGCATATATAATCGAATCTTCGTAACACTTGAGAACCTTCACTTGGAACTTGTCGAATACATTGCAACACGGTGCTTACGCTTGTTCCACCCTTCTATATTATGAAGAAGTGCACGTGCACTCAGTGAATGCCAAGCCATGCATGACGCCGCAGGGATCGTCGCAGTCGGAGCCAAAACGGTAATCTCCGCATTTACAACAAACAAACACCAACGCATTCCCCATCACTAATCGCCCTTACTTGCTCTACTTGCTTTTTTCCCACTCCCACCACTCTGGCACGGGGTCCCCTTTACCCTGGGTCTGCCCCGCCATTGAACCACGCAAGGCATTGCAATCGAAGCGTCGGCCCACGTGTCGATCACCATGAGCGACGAAGTCGAAACGCCGCTGCAGCCGCGCATCTCGCGCTTCAGGGAACACACGAATACAAATAATAGCATACGTCCGCCGCCTGAAGAGCTGTGGAAGGACCTGGGGATTGACGATCTGATTGAGCAGTTCAATGAGGAGAATCAGAGGCCGCCTGTGCGCAGGAACCTTTCGGGGACCAGTGCTACCTCTATCGCGACTAATGGTACTGTTGTTACTGCGCATCTGAGGTCATACGAAAAGACATCTGGTGCCAGTGCTGCGCCTGTCTTTGGCGTGCGGTCTGCTGCAGCTCATGGCGTTTCTGCGTCTACACCGCCGGTTACAACTGCGGCGAGCGAAGGAACATTTGGACGCTTCCAACGCGCGTGGGCGTCCGTGTTTGGCAATGTGCTTGGAAAGCGCAAAGCCGGCAATGTGGATGCGGAAAAGGACAAGGAGAAGAAGGTGCTAGATGAGCGAAAAAGAGCTGCGGACGCGGCGTACCAGGAAGCCAAAGAGTTGGGTCTTCTGCCTACTCCAAAGGTTTTTGTGAGACCGACATCGACTATGAAGTCGCACAAGTGTGGTAAGCTTGTCCCGCTCCATGGTCTCAGGAATGCCAGACTGACCGCAACAGTGGCCGATGCGGCAACCCCAGTCCGATCCCCGAAAACACCCACGCTCTATCGCTCACCGAGCAAGAAGGATCTACACAAGCAGAAGAAGCTCTTGAGACGCGTTTCCGACCTCGAAGGCAAACTTGCGTCTGCGAGAAAGGAACTCCAGACCGTTCTCCACGACGACCTACCTCCCGTTCCGCCTCTCCCTACCCTACTGCCACCGACTCCGAACACGAGCCCGAGCGACAACGAGGCTTTCCTGCACGAGCCTGCCTCGACTCCCGCCCCCGAACCCCACAGCACCGGCAAGATTACAAAGAAACGCAAAGTCGCCGTCGACGAGGATGCAGATTACAAGCCCATACCCACCGACTCCGAGGGCGACATCTCCATGTCCGGAACCTCGGAACCTGAACGCACGCCCAAGCGTGTCAAGTCCACGTCTTCACGGAAGAATCTGAAAAAACAGCCCTCGCGCTTGCAGAAAAGGAACCCGCGGAATAGCCTCAGTAAGGAAGAGGTTGTCACTGTGGTCCCGGATGGCGTCAGTGTGCCGCCTATTCCCCAGTTGCCCAAGGGAATGGAGAAGGAGGGGAAGAGAGCTGCTGTGAGGGGACAGGAGGATGGGTATGGGGGCTTGGAGCACGAGATGTTCTGAGATGTTGAATCGACTGTTTCGTCACAAACGCATACTTGGAACGACTTGCTCGGCGTGGAAAAGCTTATCAATTTGGCCCCCCCTTTGACTTTTGGCATATTCTTTTTGCATAGCGATCAGCGAGCATGAAGCGTTGTTTTTTCCTCTTTAGTTTGGCGCTTGGGGTTGTTTTCACTTACGATTTATGACAATTACGACGAGTTGATGAAGTTTATTGTTCTTGTATTGTGTCTTCTGGTCTTGCGTTGAGGAGTATATATTTTGTTACTCTAATAACTTACGGGTAGCTAGGCCGCGCGATATACTAAGCTAGATTTCAACCCAAAGTCTACCAGAAGTTCACCGTCTGGGTATGCTAGTAGCGAAGCCGACCCAAGTCGTTTATGAAGGAAACTTGAAGCCCGCGTCGCAATGACTCTACGAACCACTCTTCCCGGGGGAAAAGGGTGTTTGCTACCTATACTCGCAAGCAACGAGGCATGTCATCCATTTGTCTCTCTCTGAGCAAGCACTTCAACACGTAAAAGAATAACCTTACACGGCTGTTAAGGAGAAGTAGAAAGCGTTGCCACCAACCAGCTCCCCTCGCTATCTAGCAGCCATGGACTGGCTCGAAAGCAACAAATCTACCATTGCAACAGCCGCAGTGAACAGTGCCATGGGCATCACTATTTTCTCTCTGCTCCGGTACTGCACGCAAGGAGCCCCATTCCAACGCCAGAAGAATGGGAAGGAGAACAAGGCAAGTCCCCTCACGAACCATCTAATCTGCCACAACACCAAAGTGCCTACTATCTAACATCTAACCTCCTCAGCGCCGCCCTGCCCCTATCCATCCACCCAACACGCACCCTATTCCGTCCAGAACAACCCCACACATCGCCAGCGCGAAAAAGACGCCAGAGGATCAGGTTGATAAGTTGGATTCTACGCCGCTGGGCCAATATGCGCCGAGATATGGGTCGTTTATTGATGACTTTGCACAGCGGAAACTTGACGATGATGACGATGATAATGATTGTTGTTATGGTGGTGGAGGGGAGAAGACGCCTAGCTAGGAAGGAGGTGTAGATGCACGTGATGGTGGTGAGTAAGGGGATGGAGGCGGAGAAGAAGGGAATCTTTCAAGTGAGTTTAAGAGGAGGTGGGTTTCGGGCTTGAGCGTACGATGCAAGAGATGGGGGAGAGAATATGAGGCTGCGTATGAGTAAGTGTAGAGCAGCAAGCGTCAATTTCGCTGGGTTGTAGCATAGAATAGTACATCAAACAGACGGGAAAATGGACAGAAATAGTGTCGCAATGAAGCGAGAGTGATCATAATCATTGAATGTATATATAAATATATACCGAACCTTTTCGGTGAGAGATATGCAGTGGATGCCTAGTCCAATCGCAGCCATAATGCCGGGACAGCCTTCTTTAAACGCCAGCAAATGCAGCCATGGCGCCTTATGTATCGATAAGAATTCATTTTACAAGACAAGGAAAAAAGGAGCTCGTGCTCGACTTTACTTCTTTTTAGAAGCCATTGAAACCCAACATGACTCCCGCGCCCACGGCGGCAGCAGCACCGCCAATCCATGGATTCGCGCTCGCACCCGGCATCGCTCCACCGGTGCTCTTGGTGATGATTTCACCGGTTATACTAGGCCCGTTGATGCGGGGGCCGGAGGTACCCACGGGTGCTGTTGAGACAGCGTTGGGTACGCCGGTTGCGTTGGGCACGCCTTCTGAGCCCTTCTTGATCTCCTGGATGTTTTCAGTGGTGGCGTTGAAGTTGGTCTGCGCCAGGGAGATCTCGTTGTTGGCGAGGTCGTACACGACGTATGCAGAGCGTAGGAAAGTGTCGCCGAGGACAGAGCCCGAAGAGCCAGCGGGCCCGACGCCGAACATGCAGATGCGCTGGCCTCGAGAGACGGCAGCCACAATGACCAGCTCGTTTATGGGCACGGAGATGGTGACGCCGGAGAAATTGAAGTCGAGCGTGCCTTCCTGGTTGGCGACATCGCAGTTCACAATAGCCAGGCCCTGCGAAGCGTCGTACTGCGCGTCGAAGGTATGATACAGTGAGCGAACCACATTGTCGGGGAGGTACGTAAGCGATGAGCCAGAGTCGAGCAAGACGGCGACATTTTCGTTCTGAAAGATGGACCCGTTCTTGTTGTTCTGGCCTAGGCCCGTCAAGGCAATGATGAACTCTGCATAGACACCATTCTGGGGAATAATAGGCAGCGTTTGTAGTTGGCCATGGAACTTGTCCGAGTCTACACCACCAAACAGAATACTTCCAGTTGACGCGTCCAGGTCGTTTAGCCACAAAGAGTAGGCATTCGTGTTAACGGTACCATCGTCGACCAGTTTCTGCGGTAGATTGGGATATGGCTTGAGTCCTCCGCGACCCACGGCGACCTCGTTGATGGTGTATCCGATGCCGAGAATGGCCTCTGGTGAACTGGACGTGTATCCCACACCGAACTGCAAATCTTTGATTGTTAGACCGCCAAAGCGCATTGTATCCTTGACGTAGTCGCCCGATGCCCCCGACCCGTCGACGTATGATATGTTGAATGCTCCGTTTACGTATTGGTATGTTGAAGAGTCGTTCGCGTTGTATGTGCCCGAGGCGCCACACTGGTTACCGCCCTGCTGGCATAGCTGCGAGGTTGCGGCATTGACCCATAGATCACTACTCCCTGTGTCGATGTGTGTCCGGAATTTCTGCGGGGGCGTGCCTAAGCTGGCGTTTGCGAAGTAGAGGGTATCGAGGTTGTCCAGGGTCTGCTGGACCGTCTTCCGTCTTCGTAACCGATCGTGTGCGACGGGGTTGACGACATGTCGGCGCTGGATGTCGAGGCCTACTACTCTCGGGTACTGTTTAGGTTAATGTCGCATTCCAGTGAGAGAAGCATCGGGAAGCCGCAGGAATGGGCCCCATGTTGCGGGAAGGTTTCGCTTCGTTTCTTGGGACAGGCAAGGGTTGTGCTTACCTCTCCTCGCGGCGCAAGTTGGATCGCTACCGCCGACGACACCAATTGCGCTGCTAAGAGCGCCGAGAACTTCATGGTTGCGCCTTGTATGTGTAGTATTAGGAAGGTGTGTTGGATATGAATAAGACGGGCTTCGAATGCCAAGCAGCGAGAATGAGCGGAGACGGCGGTATTTTGGGAAGCCAAGTAGCGAAATGCGAAAGGATGTGCAGTCGGAGGGACGAAAAAGGAAATAAGGAAAGAAGCCAACGAGCAGTAAAGGGCAATAATGGAACGGAGAAGTGAAGAAGAGACGCCGCTGTCAGGGTCTCGCTAGCGAAGGGGCGATTAGTTCGAGGGATGACGACGCTTATGATGCGGACAAGTTTGGAGTTGTTACGGATCCTGGGCTCTTAGTGTGGCAGCTGCCCACGTAACACCCCAGAGTAGGCGCCGAGAGATCCGACTTGGAAAAAGCAGCAGCCAACGAGACGTATTCTTCGTCGGCAGAAGATTGGGTACGGACGTGGCGGTGCTGCATTACGTTTCGGAACTAGGTGCCTTGTTGCAGATCTGTCATAAGCCTCTCCGACAGTTGAGGGATGCCTCGGGAAAGCAAAGCACCGTAAAACAGACAGACATAGACATGACGGTGGGCGGAAGAGCGTGACTTGGTGAGATTTGACAATGGCTGACGATTAGTAGAATGAGTGAGCAACAAAAGCATATCAGCGCCATGCGTCAGACTCGATTATCTCCCTTATTTCCATGATTGATTGCGCATGCAACCGACGTCTCCCGCCGACGCGTCCTGCAGCATTGCGTGAGCGGGAGGGGTCTTCTTAGTTACGTTGTCTCAACGCGCCCTATTCTAGGTGTAAAGCTTCTCAACATTCTCCAACAGACTTGATCATTGCCAACGGTGATGCGATGAGCCGCACGCTGACGTGAGATGGCTCGAGGCGGCTGAGGAGACGAGAATTGGCATGCAGGAACGGGAGTCAATCCCCGGGTGGCGCTCGGGATCGTCTCTGGATGCAATTTTGCAAGAATCTGGGGTGCATGAGACTGGCCGCAACCATCGAATCCGCCACCGAAGAATAGGATTTGACTGACGTGACTAGCATCAACGTTGTGCCCAAGTTGTGTCAAGCGTGAGGGCCCGTTGGATGTCTGCCGTGGAGGGCCCGAAATCAGAAGTGGGCCGAAGTGGATCAATCGTCGCACGTGAGTAATGAAGCTAGTACCGAACAAACTTGGAGCTAGTACCAAACGGACATTGCGCTAGTACTAAACGGATCTTGAGCTAGTACCGAACCGGACTGTCAAGCTAGCACCGAATAGGTCAGACGACCCGTGAAAGCGCGTTCCACTTGCATCGCGTCTTTCGCGTTGGCCCCTCCACAACCACAAAGTACAGCACAGTACAGCACAACATGGCCAAAGCAGAGTCCTCCAAGGCCGCTGCCGGCAACGGCGTCAGACCCAATCCCAATGCAGCTGGAGGTGCCAACTACGAGCTGCCATGGTACTTGACCCTGCACAGTTCCCTCGCACCTCTCCCCGCTCACATGCATCAGGGTTGAGAAGTACCGCCCCGTCTACCTCGACGATGTAGTCGGCAACACCGAAACAATCGAGCGCCTCAAGATCATCGCCAAAGACGGCAACATGCCACACATGATCATCTCCGGCATGCCCGGCATCGGCAAAACAACCTCGATCCTCTGCCTCGCCCGCCAGCTGCTCGGCGGCGCCTACAAAGAAGCCGTGCTCGAGCTCAATGCCTCCGACGAACGCGGCATCGACGTCGTGCGCAACCGCATAAAGGGCTTTGCCCAGAAGAAGGTCACACTGCCGCCAGGCAGACAGAAGCTCGTCATCTTGGACGAGGCGGATAGCATGACAAGTGGTGCACAGCAGGCTTTGAGGCGGACCATGGAGATTTACAGTGCCACGACGCGCTTTGCCTTTGCCTGCAACCAGTCCAACAAGATCATCGAGCCGCTGCAGTCAAGATGCGCCATCCTCCGATACGCACGCTTGACGGATGCCCAGGTTGTGCGAAGGGTCATGCAGATCTGCGAGGCCGAGAAGGTACAATACTCAGACGACGGCATTGCCGCGCTCGTCTTCTCCGCCGAGGGGGATATGCGACAGGCCATCAACAACCTCCAGTCGACACATGCGGGCTTTGGCTTTATAAACGGGGACAATGTGTTCAAGGTGGTGGACAGCCCGCATCCAATCAAGGTCCAGGCCATGATCAAGGCGTGCCATGAGCAGCGCATAGATGATGCGCTTACGGCGTTGAAAGAGCTGTGGGACCTGGGCTATTCGTGTCACGACATCATCAGCACAATGTTCAAGGTTACAAAGACGATTGATACCTTGAGCGAGCATGCCAAGTTGGAGTTTATCAAGGTAAGTCCAGTCGAGTGCTGAGTGAATGCGATCAGGTTTAATATGAGAAATAGGAGATTGGCTTCACGCACATGCGCATCCTCGAGGGCGTCCAAACCCTCCTCCAACTCTCCGGCTGCATCGCCCGCCTCTGCAAGATCAACATGCAGCCCCAGCTCTTCGCTCTTCCTTCGTCGAAGTAATGCAGTCCGATCAACTTGCTTGGCATTTAGCATTTAGCATGGCGTCTGGCGATTCCTCCTTAGCATTACCGTATATATACCAAGGCGACCATGAGAATCTAGTTTTCAACGAATCTCAAGTTCCGCTCCTTGTCCACCCGTAACACATTTCGTCCTGTTCTGAATAGAACTGATGAGGATGCTCCTGTTGAAAGAATGATAACATTACAACTCCTGCGGGTATATGGCCTATAGTAGAAGAAAGGACGACTAGAAACAGTTTGAACATCGTACCCAATTCACGAATATATCCCCAGCCCTTTCTAGACAACATCCCTCGGTTCTCGTCCACCACGCGTCTCAACCTTCCTGTTCTTTGTCTTCGAAAGATGCTTCCCAACATACCCCGTATCGCCCCAGAGATGGAACGGATCCAAAGCCCCAGAAACCACACTCCTCTTATTCGTCTTCTTATCCAACCTCGCCCTCTCCAACTCCGCATCACTCATATCCCAAAACTGCATCTTCTGATCATCCCCCCTAACCAACCCCCACAGATCAAACGGATCAAACACGGTCACAATCCACGGCCTGTCATCCGCCCACCCGGGCCCCCGCCGCTCCGTCACGCCATCCCTAGCCAGAAAAACAGAATTGGACTTGGGCAGGCGTTTCCCCGGGTGCCAGACGTTCAGCAGCGCGGTATTAACAAACATGATGACTGCCTCGAAGATCCAAAAGTACACCTCGTTCTGGTAGATGGAGGATTGCCAGCCTTTGATGTATTCGACCAGGCGGTAGATACAGCGTATTGTCACGATAGTCGCACTGACATACATGACCCACAGCACGACTTTGAGGTCCTTGTTCAGCACGCGGGCTTTACTCGCGCGGCGGTGGAACTGCGCGGCGAGGAGGCCAAAAGCGCCGAATAAGGCTGCTTGCAGGCAGAGCGAAGCGGTCACCATGTTGGACCCGAGTCTCCGCTGGGCGTCCGTCATGCTGCTGTTTGCCATGCGCCAGGCTCCGTTGCCGATTAGGATTTCGCACACGCCGTCGAGCCCGACGAAGGTGGTGGCTACGCGGCCTGGGTGCAGGGGTGCGAGGTAGGGGATGTAGTACAGGATGCGGGAGAGGATGAAGTAGTTTACCAGGGCGTAGACGGGGGGACCGGACATTATGAGTACGGTCGAGGCGACGAGGTAGGCTAGGTTGTCGGTGTTGTAGGCGCCTGCTAGACGGACGGCGAAGCCTGAGATCATGAGGAGGGCTGCCCAGGGGAGGAGGAGCGTGGTGCGCCATGATTTGTGTTTGCTGGAGGTGTTAGTGGGAGGTTCGACGTCTTGGACAGCTTCGAGTCAGGCAATAACAAGGGGAACAAAAGATATAAAAGCGCATACAGCCCAGGACTACTTGTTGAGCTATCGCCTATCTGTAGAGGCCTACTTTGAGTGCGGAGATGTCCGTGATCAAGCAACAGGTCACACTTACATGGTCTGCCAAGCGTGGATAACTCCTGATATGGCAAACAGGACGATGAATATGATCGGAGCAACCTTGTTCGGCGCGTAGTACCACACGCTACCTGGTGCTGGGTAATGTTAGAATGAGTGAAACAGAAGAAGATTGGCAGCTCACAGTAATCTCCCATCCCCATCTTGACTGACTTGAGCTGTTGTGATAGGATTAAGACAAGATGAGAAGCTTCGTAAGTTCAAGATATCCTAGCTGAATCCGAATAGAACATGCGGACAAGCACCATCATATATATCCAGCCAGATACGTGGTAAGGCTCACACATGAAAAGAACACGAAATACGCGAGAGGTTGACAGGTTGAAAGCCTCGCTGAGGCAGTGTCACATCAGTCTGAAGACAGCGCACGGTGTCATGGAATCCCGAATGCGATGGATACGATGCCCGACATCTGCAGGGCACCGAAGCAAGGCATCATTTCAATCCATGCCACACGGCAAACTGCGAGGCTAACGCAGGCGGGATAAAGGCCAGCTAGCATATGCGCGATTGGCTATATGTGCGATAATAAAGAAGAGCAACTGCGAATCACGGGGAAGAGACGACGAGGCTTCAGCCATGTGATCATTGCTATGAAGACCGTTTCACGTGACGCCTTGGCCGTCCAGTAAGCGAGGAGCTAGTGTCTAAGAAGTATGGCCCAAGCGCTAGCGGATCAAGCCTCCCAAGTGCAACGTTCATCTCCTGGCGGCATCGCTAACCGCAAAGTAAAACAGACGTCATCCATCAGCTTGTTTACATATCTCTACCTCGTTTCTCCAGCGCGCGTGTTTGATGAGTGTGGCTGGAAATGGTGCGCCAACCTTGGGTGCCGCAGATGTTTCTAGGCAAAATCACGCCGAACCTACGGTGATGGACGGCCTATCCAGCTCCAAAGTCACGGGTATGGACCTTGCGAACAATCATCTGAATTCGTACTTACACACTGCAGTCGAATACCATGACCCATCTGGAGTGTTCCCATTAATCCAGGAAGACTTGGCTGCTCGACTCCCGCTTCGGAATCTACACTGGAAAGCTCCCACGAGGCCATTAAGATCCATTGACTCTCTCCATGTTGACTTAGTACCCAGCAAAGATTCTGCACATAATGCGGGAGTTACATCATCGGGATTGGCACCTCCGCAGGGAATACCGACTCGGACGACCGAGGAAATGCTTAGGCCGCCCGCAAAAGAGAAAAAAGAGAGACGACATCAGATCCCTGGCCTACGGCAGACTCCGTATCTAAAGGTTTACCTCCTGAGATGTGATGATTCCGATACGTACAAGGCTACCGCGCGAAAGCAGATCCGAGAATGGGTGAAGGAGCACACACCGCCTTCTCAAAGTAGCTCATCGAGTACGCAAGAAGATCACGATGCATTCGAGTGGATGATTTTACATGTCGTGGTGCCTAATACCCCGGCTTCTAGTCAGCCCCGCGGGTCTTCTAGCAGTGGAACCGGCGAGAAAGAGAAGACCGGTGCGACCTCGCGATGGACTCGTGGTACCACCACCTTGCTCGAGAAGCTACGTGCGGATTTCAACATCTCTACAAAGTCAGCACCTGATCGCGTTGCGCAAATTCGACTGCCAAAGGAAAGAGTTCCTCCACATCTACTGCCAGCACCAGCGCCGGTAACTTCTCCACCGATCGCCGAGAGCCCTCAGGAACAGGAACGCGCGTGGATGGACGTGATAGCCAAGTTCAAGATTCTGATTCTGCTGTCTTTCGATCTTCGGGTGAGCCAGTATGAAGAAGACATTCGCAAAAACGATGCACAGCGCTCATTTCCAGGCTGGAACTTCAATACGTTCTTCATTCTGAAAGAAGGCCTTGCTAGGGGCTTCGAGAGTGTCGGTCTAGTCGAGGATGCCTTGTTGGGATACGATGAGCTTTCCATTGGACTAGACACTGTCATTCGCGACCAGGCGACTGACGGCAGCGGGACACAAGGACGAGTCTTGCTGAACTATACCGACGATCTTTATGAGAAAACAACAAAGCTTCTAGAGCGAACCGACAACAAAGGAGAAGATAGTGAGGAATCGCACGCGCTCTTCCATGATGCAAAGCCGATCAACGCGCAAAACAAAGACTACCGGGGACTGATCCTGGGAAATAACATCTCTGTCTTCGACTTCAGACTGTACATTTTCGCACGTCAGATGTTTTTACTTCTGAGATTAGGTAACTCGCTATCGGCAAGGTCCGACCTCGCAGCAAAGCTACAGCCCAGACCCAATGCTAGCACGCTTCAGAGATCAATGGATGACAGCTCTATCGGAACAAAGTCTGGCGGTCAATCAAGTGACTCCGAGGATCTTTTTTCGCTTGCTGAACTCTGCTCCCGTTCACTCAACTTCATTACATTCGCTGGTCGGCTCCTACGAGACGACTTGACCAATGGGTAAGCTCCTGAATACCTGATGATCATCTTGATACTCATGTTATTTAGGGCAAAAGCACACGAAACCACATTTCCTACTCATCTGATTGATAATGTTGTACGGTCATGGACCTTTGCTGCGCTCGAGCAAGTGTTGCGGGAGACGTCTACGACATCTCTTCCATTTACTAAACTCTCCAAAGAGTGGTCAACCGGCTCGTCGGGCAAGAGTCTATCATTTAATGGCCGCAACAAGGAGCAAAAGACCAGTGTTTCGGAGCCCAAGTCTATGATTCATCCATCTCGGTCATCCTCTTTGACCCCCGGCCGAGCGACAGCAGATATGCCCTATGCTCAACCCACGGCCAGTGGTCAAGTAGTCTTTGAGAACGGACAGTACCAAGATCGATCCCATTCAAATCAAGCAAACTCGATTGCTTCCACCAAAAATGGCCTACAAGAGCTGGCTGGGACAAGAGCGCAGCTACTCGCCGTGCAGAGGCGGCTAGTCGAGCACATTGGGAAAGCTTTGGGTTGGAACATCGGTTGGGCCGCTGTCCTTCCCTCATTAAACCTAGAGGAAGAGCTTACTGAGGTCGATCTTGAGGAGGAGGAAGATGAAGAAGAAGAGAACACACCACAGAAAGAAACCGCGAATGTTCCAGAGGGAGGCAAATCCGTTGCGTCTACTGCAGGTATCTTAACAGATGTCTTGATCACTGCAGTATCATCCGTCGAGCAGTTCCGGCAATTCTATGAGGCAAGGCAGCTGAATGAATCTTTCGAAGGAATACTGACCGATTCTAGACACTGAGTGACCTGATTGTCAAGCACTACATGGCTGCAGGGCAGACTAAATCAGCAGAAAGCGTACTTGGGGACTTGGCTGCCCTTCGATTGTAAGGGCGTTCATTCGATAGTGCTATCATCCTTTACTGATACAATCACAGTGAGCTTGGCGACTTCGCAGCAGCGGCAATGTATTTTGGACGCATGGCCTCGCTCTTTGCAGAGAGTAGATGGAACACCGTGGAGACTACCTTGCTGAAGATGTACGCGCGCTGCCTGAAGAAGCTCAACCGCAAGGATGAGTACGTTCGAACGTTGCTTGATTTGCTAGCAAAATCTGCAGCAAGCAGGATGTCGTTCACGACCTCGCGAGCCAGCGCGAACGAATTATCCGATACGCCTTGTGACTGGCTGGATGATGATAAAGTTGACACCACTGGTGTGTTCAACGAACTCATCGATTACTCGCAGCAGTTGCCGTATGATGTGACGGTTCAGATGGCCAAGTATTTTGGTGACACCTCCGTCGAGCCGTACGTGCGTCACTACGATGACAAAGATGGGTTCCAACTACGTCTCCAATTCCGTCATCTTCTTGAAGACGAAGTCAAAATTCGGGCAGCTAAAGTCAGATTAGTCAGTGCTTCGACACTGGGAAAGGACATATGGCTTGAAAGCTCTGAGCCTACGCAATTGAAGAAAGGCTTGAATCGCATGTGGCTTGGGTGCACGGTCAGTTGACTCTCTGTATATTGTAAACAGTAGCTAATGAACAGCAGGTGAACACAACCGGACCGTATATGGTGGATCAGGTCGTCCTGGAGGCAACGCGTATCGTTTTCGTACACGAACCTTTGGCGAAGACCGAAGCAACAACACCCCTTGGGATCACCACTTCGGTGTCCGCGCACTCGCTCAAAGCTGCAAAGAAAGCGCGAGTACTGTGCTTCCCGCCTTCGGAAGCATTCCAGGCTCGAATATATCTCTCGCACTTCCTCCACATCGACAAACCACGTCACATAGAGGTCGAGTGCTCGAGTGGTTGGAACGAGATCACGCGTGCAGAAATTCGACTCAAGTCTGCTTCTGCTGGGCTGCGGCTACGAACTGCGAATGTGAGTGTGACTGCTGGAGATATCAAGATTGAGGATAAGTCCAGCCCTGGAGTTATTATGATTGGAAAAATGGCCGCTCAATCTACTACGACTTTCAAAGTACCGTATGACATGGAAACTATTCTTCAGGATCTCACGGTCAGGATCGAAGTATATTACCACACCGAACATGGCCAATTCCAGTACACCTCGTCCTTTACGATTCCGGTCGACCTTCCCTTGGATGTTAACGTGCATGACCACTTCAAAAGCAAGTCACTCTTCTCGAAGTTTAATATTAAAACAGCGAATCAGGTGCCGTTAGAGCTTCTGGACGTGGAACTGCAAGGCTCAGAAGAATTTGACGTTCATGCGCCTAAGAGGCCAAAGGAGCCCGTCTTTGTCTTTCCTAGGCAGCCATTTGCGGTCACATACAAAATCACCAAGAAAACTGCAGACACTGCATCGAAACGCCAAAGTCGACTGCCCAACGCGGGGAGTTTATCGTTGTCGGTAGAGTACCGATGTCTAAATGAGGATGTTCTAGATCGCGTGCGGAAGCTGTTCGCTGATGCCGTCATCGATAGCCCTGTATATCGACTTGCACATCTACTCACGGACACATTTGCTAGCCGACTAGAGAACGATATCCTACCACATCAGTTCGAAAGCATTGCGCTGCTCGAGAAGCTTGATCTGGGGTTGTTTGAGGACCTAGGTTGGGCGGAATGTCTGGACAGTCTACCGCATGTCATTCGTGGTGAGACGCAGGCATGGTTGCAGCAGTGGCATGAGGTGAAACTAACTACCCCTAATTTATTTACACCGTGTACTGACGCTTCAAATAGCAACATAAAACGATTCTGCTCTCTAAATCCTCGTCTTCGGAGACTGCGATGCCTGCAACCGCCCCAGCATCTCCTTACCCACCGCGCCGCATGGTCATCACAGTCTCGATACCACAAACGCACATTCTCCATACCGCCTCTTTGAATCTCACCTGCCCGTCCTCTGTCTCATCGCTCTCTGCAATCGCCACTGTCGGTCAACCACTCATGGCAAACTTGCGCATCTCGCACACTCGTCGTTGGGCATCATCTGCAAGCCTCACCGCTGCCGCAAACATATCCGCAGCCGATGATCCAATTGACTTTGTCTACACAATTGAAGCACACCCAGAGACATGGCTCATCGCCGGCCAACGCCGAGCGCATTTTTCCGCCAAAGAAGATGAGCAGCGTGAGTGGCCGATTATACTCATTCCTTTGAAGCCGGGTAATGCGCTTTTGCCTACTCTGGAGATACGTGCGAATGTCAAGCCAAAGGATGACGGTAAATCTCAGGGTACTGCGACGGCTGCTGTAGCTGGTGCGGGTGAAGTTCCGGTGTTGAGTTGCGAAACGGATTACCTGGGTTATGGAGAGTCCGTCATGGTGGTGCCGGACGTGAGGAGTAGTACGGTGGGGATTGGAGACATGGCGCTGGGAAGTTCGAGGAGTGTTGTTTGGTTGGAGAGTGCTGGGCAGTAAATAGGGTACGTAGTGTAATGGTGAGCCGGTATAGAATGCATTGATTTATCTCATCGGATAATCAACTAAGCTTCCTTTTGAGTTTCATGACAAGATTCGCACCGAATTAGAGCACGCTGATAGAAGTAGGGCAAACTGCTCAACTGCTCCCTTGCTGAGACTTCGTTTGGCTATCTTTCACGCCAAAAGAAATCCCTAGCTCTTCTTCACGTATGCCACGGGCCCATCGTACCTGTATCTCCCTCTCACTAAGAAATAGAAAATGGAAAACACCAGCACCACTCCAAAAACTAGTACATTCCAATTCATTGCCGCGGGAGATGGATGCGGCACTGTAGGAAAGAATATCATAACGAACGCCAGCGAGAGAAACAGGATCGAGAAGATGTTAATAGGGAGACCAAAACGCCCGAGTGAGAAGTGCGATGGGAGAAGCTTTTCGCCACGTAAGCGCTTCAGAGTTACGCAGGATATGGAAACGATGTAAGAGCAGAGAAGTGCGCCGGTGCCGAGCGAGGTGACGATGTTGAAAGCGACGGTGGATCCGATGTTGATTAGGGATAGGAGGATTGCAACTGCATAGGAGATCTATCGAGAAGTTAAGTGCGTGTATCCCATGTTCCTTGATTCCTCTTACCATGACGGAGTTTAAAGGGATATCCCAACCGGGACGGACCTATGTGGAAGTTAGTAGCCGTATGAACTAACCATGTACCAAGTGTCGAGCTGATAAACCAACGTCAAACTCACATGCGCAAGCCACTTGGAAAACGGTAATCCGTTATCCCTCGCAAAAGCCCAAATCTGGCGCGAACTCGTCGCAATATTAGTGACGCAGCCAAACATCGCCAGGACAATCAGAATCGCCGTCATTGCATTAGTCCCTGCTTTGCTCTGCGTCACATTATAGAAGACCTGGATGAACGGCTGTTTCGTAGGCGTCGCGAGGATTTCTTCCACGTTGTTGCCAATCATCAGGCAGAATGTGCAGAGCATGACGAAGCCCATGGCCCCGTTGACGAGGACGGTTGCTATCATGGCTCGAGGAAGGGATTTGGACGCGTCGCGTAGTTCCTCGGACATGTGGGTTGCGGAATCGGGGCCTATGAGGGAGAAGATGGGGGAGAGCATGCCGACGAGGCAGGATAGGCCGATGTTACCCCCTACATGTGGAGGTATCAAGTCAGTGTATGTTTAAGATTAGATGAATGGGAACGTGGAATCGTACAGCCGCCGCCATCCGTGAAGGTAGTGAAGACTTCCTTCGCGTCGCTCCTCTCTCCACACACCCAGAGGGGGATCAGGATAGCGAAGAAGCCCGCAAAGTGCAGAATCAGAACGATTCCCTCGACGAGTGGCAACTTGCTAGCCAGAAACGTGTTGAAAACTTGGCAGAAGGTGATGACGCCAATGACAAGCAAGGTAAGATGCCATCGTTTCGGGACATAGTCGGGATTGTTCAGGATGATGAGACCTTGGATCTGCTGTGAATTCAAAAAGGCAACGGCAGTATTGCCGACTTGCCAGCCTAAAACGCAGAGCCAGCCAACAATATAGGACAGAAACTTCTGGCCTGAAGGCGGCGCAAACTCGCTGACCCAATGATATTGACCGCCGGTAGTGGGAGCCTGTTATCAAATGAGAAGGCCTACTTGGGGAGGAAGGAGGTGGGGAGAGACATAACATCGATGCCATTTCGGCCATGGAGATAATAGGCGCCAGAAACCCAAGGTATGTACCGATGTACACCCATATCAGACCTGCGGTTCCTCCATTGACGAGGCCGAACCCATTTGCGCTCTATCAGCAGTATTAGCTTTCCATCGTCATGTATCTCGCTGCCTATGAGCGCCTGAAGGATCGGTAAGCTACCAATTGCGCCTCCCATGTTGCCATTAAAACCATTGTGAATCCGAAGATAGTCACAAAGCGGAAATTCCTCCTTAGTTCTTGGGTTTTGCCCATGCGCAGCATGTCACGCTGGTCACCGATTGTTCCATTCTTCTCGACGAGGCTGCCATGCTCGCTGGGCACCTCTTGAACTTCCAATGAGCCCTGTTGTTCGGATCTATCCTGCGTCATGTCAAGGAAAGGCAGAGCACACGACTCGGTATGTCTAATCACCAAGTCGTGAGCGGAAAGATTGCTGTAAGCAATGGAAACGAAAGAGCGTCTGTAGCTCTGCTGTTATAGCAACGAAGCAATATGCATCCTGCATGCATACCCATCGTGCCAACACCCTCGACTCTACAGAAGAGCGATAGCTCAATAACCGTTCCCAGGGCATAGGCTCTGTCCAAATCTTAAGTTTTGCCCTGCATGCCTTTTAATCTACGACAACGAATAGTATAACGCGCTGAGGACGATCAATCAAGCAGCGTAAGCAGACGGAGCTTACTCCTGCTGTACGCCATGGTAATCTAGAAGTTGATACGCTGTGATCCCGAATTGGGACATTGCGAGGGGTCGTAAAAGGCATTGCATCTGCCGGTCGATAAGCTCTGGTGGAGGGCGGCACGGCACGAGCCTCGGTTTTTTTTCCGAAGCAATTGTAGCCGCGCATTTAAAACATAGAGATAGATATACTGATATCGCTTGTTTAGCTCGAGAACGGTTGTTCAATGCTTTTGGTAGGGTGTGCAAATCAGTGAAAGTGGGGCATGGCTTGAGTCTCTGCGGATTAGGAGGCACTTCTACATCTGCTCAAAAAGCCCTGTTCCACACGTTAGAATTTAATCACACAGTCGTTCGCCGAGTAATCAGCACAAGGTACTCGAGGAGAAGTAATCCGAGAGAAACCATTGAAATAGAAAGGGTATCTTAAACGCCATGAACACCAGCCCAGTCGACGAACCCCCGAACCCAACTCCAAAACGCCCTTTCCAAATCCCACCACACACTCTCATGAACGGGCCAGTATATCATGGACCCAATCTCATATTCACAGCACTGTCATCCCTTGCCCTTGCCCTTCCACCCCCAACCATAACCGTCCCACTCCCCTTCTCATCAAACCACCGACTGCTCCTGTGCCAACTGGGCAAGTTCTCCGGATCCTCGTCTTCGTTCTTACACCCACGCCTGCATCCGCCGCCTTGACGCCATGACGTACCCGCCCATTTCATACAGCGTGCATACTCTGCACACCTCCCCGTTCTCCTCTTCTTGTGTTGTGAGAAGTCTGAGAGGGTCTGGCGCGGTGCGAGACGCCGGAGCGTGATGATAGCATGGGCGGAGAAGTCTTGGATGGGGATGGGGAGGTGCGTTAGTGCGAGGGCGGTTGTTTCGAGAGACTCTAGGGCATAGAGGAGATCTTCTGGGGCAGCGAGGAGGGAGAATTGCTGCGGTTGTTGCTGCGACGATATGACGGACATGGATGACGCCTTGCGTCTAAGCAGTCTCTTGTGTCCTGGCTCCTTTTCTTGTCCCTGTACACTTTCTATAGCCGGCACAGCAGGTGTGACTGCCCGCACAATCGCATCGTCCAACTCCTCTAGTGCTCCGATGCCCGCGCCATCTAGTTCCCACTCTAGCACTTCTTTCTCGCACCCTGCCATGCCCATATACACCAAGTCTTTTAGCTCCATCAAGAGCTCGAAGATCATGCGCTGTGGTATGGGCCGTTGCTCGAACAGAGTTTGGATAGTCGGAAGGAATCTCTGTGCTATCTCGCCGCCCGTGTATAGATTCTTGCCGTTTGCGAAAGGCGCGTTGTCGGCCATTTGAAGCTCGATCTTCGACATCTGGCGCGAGAGTCCAGCAGCGAGGTGGCGGATTTGGATGAGGGGGTTTTGCGTGAGAGATGATTGCAGGGTTGGAGACAGGTCTTGAGTACGAGGTTAGCATGGCGCATGGTTTCGACTGGGAGCGCATGAGACGCTCTATGGAAGATGCAAATGCGAGGACGGCCTTACCGGTAAACGCAACCTCTCCAGCAAGAACCACCAAGGCCTCAGCAAGCTCCTTCTCCTTCTCTCTCAGCTCCCTTCTCTGGGCCTGCATGCTTCGCCATGGCACCACGAAGCCGATGCTCTTCCCGCCAACATCGACCGTCTTTCCATCTGTCCCGTCCTGTGTAGACTCGACTGCACTGCTCTTGCCATACTTCTTGCTACTTTGGCCCCGCGCATCATCGGCATGATACTGAAGCGTAAGATACAGGTCATTGTTATCACGGCTGGTGCGTAGATTGCGCCATACGCTCAGGATCGCGTTCGTGGAGAAGATTTGTTGATATGGCGACATGATAGATTTCGCAGGAGTTGAAAGTGCTCTCACATCGCATCACTCGAGAAGTGCGTTGGTGAAGTATGCGATGGGATTACGCATCGTTGCCGCTGTGTTGGCCGCATATGATGGGCGGATCGACCCTTGTTTACCTTCAGCCGGATTTGTTTGGGGTGTGCAGGGATGCGGGTGCAACACGTGGGGTCGCGTGTGAGGGGCATCGCATTTAGCAGGCTTCGTTGCATCATATCTAGAACGTGTCGAGCTTCAAGCATGGCGGACGTGTCCATGTTCAAGAGGGGGTTTTAAAATGCGCATACACGCTCATACATGGTTTCCATCATTCCTGCCTCCGCATTTTTGCCTATGTTACACCCGGACGCTCTCCCCGTTCCTGTCGCCAATCACTCCTTGAATGCAAATGAGCCCCTAACCTCATCTTGATTGAATTGCTGATGCGCCAAAGAACACCGAAGTAATGCATCGCTACATAACCAAGACAATGTCTGAACCCCAGTACGATCCGGGCCTTCTATATCATACCATTTGACGCGTATGCCATGGGCTTGATATTTGGATGCGGTACTGCTTCAAACTGAGTGAACTTGAGCTTGTACTCTGGACCAATCTTGATGAAGGCGCCCTTGTTGTGCGTGCTGTCGCAATAGTTCGGTGCAGAGAAGACGGTGATGCAGCGTCCATCGTGCTCGACTTCGTAACCGCCCATGCGGACTTCGTGAGATCGAATGATGGCTTCGAGGCCGTTGTTCTCGCAGAATCGCTTCGTGATATCAGGGCCAAATTGGAGACCGACGCCGCGTTTGCTGGGTCCTCGTCCAGGCGCAGTCTGGGGGTCAGTCCACAGCATCTCCATCATAAGACCAGCCTGGCCAGGTTGCCGCTGCTTGAAACGATCAAGCTTCCTAACATCATCCAGAGTGACCTTGTCATCTGAAAACAGGCCGCCATGGAGAACAAAGTACTTCTTGCCGATGAGCGTCGCGAGAGGAAGCATCGAGAAGGACTCTGAGAATAGCTTAAACACGCGCTCGGTGTATTTTGCCCTACATTCGCCCTCGAAGCCGTACATTCGGTTCATGTCGTCCGTTTCGTGGTTTCCGCGGTTCAGGAAGAACTTGTCAGGGTATAGCCACTTATAGGCGTACAGCAGAAGCGCAATCTCAGTGGACCAGGATCCTCGATCGACAAAGTCGCCGTTGAAAAGGAACGAGTTCGTCTCGGAAGGCTTGCCAGCGAGGCGGAAGATCTCCATGAGATCGAAGAATTGACCTGAGAATGGTCAGTGAGACATGTTGCAATAAGCGCCTCGTCTTAGACTTACCGTGCGTGTCTCCGCAGACTGTAATCTCATGACCCTCCTCAACTTCATGCTCGACCATGGTCGGTTCCTTCTTTACAATATCCATAACGGCAACGATGATCTGGTACACGTACTTCTTGGCCAACTTTTTGCCGGTCTTGAACCTCTCAATCATGTCTTCGACGAACTCTAATGTCATCTTGTCGCCCAGCTTTGCACCGTCATACGAAGAGTCTACTGCCATGTGCTCGATATCTAGGCCTTCTGCTGCCGATGGCGCATCATCGACCTCGATGGCCTTGAGGAAGGCATCTCGCTTGACCACCCGTTCGCATTCTGCCATGCGTAGCTTCGCTTGGGCATCGTTGGGGGCCTTCTTGACGACGAGCCTCCAGTCGCGGAGAGCCTCACGGTGCTTCAGTATGGCCGTGTTCGCCGAGGCGCGGCGGTAGAATGCCTAGAGTTGCAGTAAGTCGTCATGTTGGTGGGGGCGAATTGGAGACACAGTACCTTGACATTGTTGGGTTCGAGCTCGATGGCAGTGTCCGCATCTTGTATTGCGTACCCGTACTGTTCAAGCTTGATGTATGTCTAAGTCATGCGGAGTTAGGGATATGCTTGTGTGCAACGACCTCCAAGACGACGTACTTGAGCACGGTTGGTGTAGAAGGAAGGTTCTCTGTTGTATGCCTCTATCGCCTTTGTGTAAAATTCCAAGGCATCGTCCCAGGCCTGGTTTCGGAAAGCATCATTGCCCTTGTTCTTATACTCGGTCGCTTCTTCCTGTGGGTTCCCCATGATGTGTGTTTGAGGACTGCGGGACCAGCTGGGGTATGCGAGGGCACAACGGTACGGTTCGAGAAGGCGCGACGGGTAGCTGCTGCAGCCTGCAGGATGACGAAAAAGGAAACTATGGTGTGTTTGTAGCAGTTTCCCTAGCAATGTAGTGACGCGCAACTAGAAAAAAAAAGTATGGTGAAAGCTGTAGCGCGCCTCTTCCAAGCTCCCGCACCGCCAGAAGTTATCAAGCAAGCGTTTCGGTCCCGCCTTGTCGCCTCGCCTTGCCACTAAAGGATCAACTAACGCGTCCACCAACCAGCGCTCCCGGCAAACCACCAAGCCATGGCCCGCAAGGGTAGAGCAACGGTCAAGACGGCCAGCCGAGACGACAAATACATCTTGGTCGACTCCGACTCGGACGAGATCAGTCCTCCTCGCACTACCAGCAAGAAGGAGAAAAACACCGTCTTCAAGAAGAGTAGCCCGGCCAAGGAGCAGTGTCTTGCCCCCACAGAGTTGGAGAACGTCGATCCCACAGGCACACGCGAGCATCTAAACCACTCTAATTCGCCCAAGCTAGACCCAGACCCAGAGCTCTCTCAGCCTCGCCAAGCTTCTTCTGCGACTCTTCAACAAAGCAACACCCTTGCCGAGGCCCTCTTCCCTCCCGACAACGACGACAACAACAGGGTACAAGACCTCTCAGCCATCGAACGTCCTAACCGTGACAACGCTCCGCGACCCTCACGTCAAAGGCCCATCAAGAAGCCCCCCTCGCGCATTCCCAGTTCTTCCATACCTCGCTCTCGTCCAGCTTCCGCAGGAAACACAGGAAACGCAGCTGTAGACACCAATCTTGCCCGCCGTACTCAGACCCTCGATCTCACCCCAGCAAACGGTAGCCCTCAGCGCCAAAGCACGCGCACCGATCGCCCCTCCAGCCAAACCCTCCAAGACACCGGTATCATGGCCTCGCTGCCCGGCGGTGCCGCCATCTCCACGAACCAGCAGCGTAACATGCGCGCCTGCATGGTCTGCTCCATCGTTCGCACCCAGCAGCAGTTCATGTCATACGGCTGCCCGAACTGCGAAGAGATCCTCGAGATGATCGGCAACTCGGAGCAGGTCAACGATTGCACATCACAAGTCTTTGACGGCCTGATAAGCGTGGCAGACACAAAGAGGAGCTGGGTAGCCAGGTATCAGCGGCTCGAGGGATACGTGCCTGGCGTGTACGCGACTCAGGTCGAGGGCATTCTACCAGAGGAAGTCATCGCGGCTGTGGAGAGCGCGGGTATCAACTATGTGCCCAGGGATGGCAGCGAGCAGGACATGCTTCCAAAGGACTGAGAGCGTAGATGGAGCTGTACAATACGTGTGTCGAGGAAGAAATTCGGGCAAGAACACATCATTTGCGATGCATAGGATTACCAGCATCTTCAGCGACGGAGTTTTGGCAAAAGGGTATGGATCAATACCAGACCTACATGATAGATTAGATTCAAAAATATGCTTCAGCCTATGCAAGTCCTTCCTCTGTGGCAACGTTTAGATCTTTGCACGCTCTTCAAGTTGAAATGAATAGCTTGTTGACATCTTACTCTTTGGAAGCCATACATTGGCCAAACTCTTATGTTCGGATCAAGGCCCTACAAAGTCTGCTATGTGGTCCAAATAGGAGGCTACGGCACAGTCTTCATGCTAGATCGGGCAGGAGCGCTTGCTATACCACACTCTCGTTCTCACAAAAAAGAAAACCCTGCGTAGGTGTCTAAACTATATGTCTTTGCATGCTGCAAGCTTGAATGGGGTCGAGATCATCGGCATTCGCTGTAGTATGCCAGGTGTTTGCGATGCGATTCAGTATTTTAGTTGATCCGTACATTCCCAATTCTTCTATACGAATCCGCTCGCTCTCTCGCTACTACTTTGCTAGATTTCGCCGTCGCTTGTATCCGCTAGATACTATCTCCTTCAAGTTTTTGCTCTTCTCCACATGCTTTTTAGTCGAGCTTCTAACCTTTTCCGTACTACAGCCTTTCGTTTTAGGTACTCAAAGTCCTCCTCGGCAATGCTTCTCTCCCAGACGCCACGCATGTTGGGACTGTACAAGGAACAGCTTGTTCCAAGCTCTGGATCTTCATCAGGAATGCTTCGGAGATCGGCGTAGAGACGACTTGGAATAGTGGAAGTTCCTGGTTGGCGAACAGGCCTAACAATATCCTCGTAGCATTCTTCGCAGACTGTGAACTCAGGAAGACTGGGCATGAAGTGCCATAACCTGTTGACTGAAGGTATGTTTCCAGGACACTCGCTTCGTAAAGCGTTCATACGGAGCATCTCAATGAAGGCGCTGATGTTTAGTGATCTGCCGAGAAACTCTGCTTCAGCATCTAACTCAGCCAGCAGTTCGAGATACTTAGGATGACGACGAGAATTGATGCGGAGACTGCATATGATGTTTCTTGACGACTTCGGTAGTCTGGCGAAGTAGCCGATGATACTTGGAAACAGTGCTTCAACCAACTTAACATCGCGTTCACATAATGTGAACTTGGCCACGTCTAAATCGTACTCTTGCTCGGCAAGGCCATACCATGCTAAATGTTCAGAGCCTAATCCTACTGCTCGATCACTAGGACAAGGTTGCTCACTGTCAATAATCTTGTCAATGTCGTAAAGTAAATCCAGTGACTGTCGCTTCTGCTGCACAGTCAGGAGCCACGCAAAGCGCACCCAAGGATCGTTGAAGTCGCAAGCTTGACCGATGGCTCCCTGGTAGTCAGTCCTTGAGAATGAACTGGCAAACGGTGTACGAGCGAAGTTGCAGTCGTAGCAGTTGGAACAGACCTTGGTCGCCTTAGAGCCATCTAGGGTGTACCATTTACCCAGAATTTTGCCCAGCAGCATTCCCATGGAACACGGTGATTTTCGCATTTCGTCGTCGAGCCGTATTGTCCTTTTCAATTTCCCTCCAAGGTCGCCTAGACTTGACAACGAGGAAAAACTGTTCGATCTGCTGTTCCGGAGATCAGCACCGAGTTCAACGGCCGCATTCGAATCGACGTCTTCTCCACCAGATAGATTGATGGGGATTGCAAATGACGCCAATTGCTCCAAATGGGAAGCGACATGGCGTTTGAAAATGATTGGATCAACGTAAATCATGTGGTCAGATGTGTTCGACAGCATCTCTGCTACCTCTGCCCTCTTCTTGAGACGATCGACCCAGTCCGAGCAGCAAGGGCATTCTTGAGCGGATATCTTCTCGAGTGGAGTTCGGGCAAAGTCGGTAAGGGATTTCTCTTCACCGTCTTTTAATAAACTCGGGTGTTTATTCCGGATATGATTGAGATACTGCTCACTCGACCGGAATGTCTCGCTGGGACAGAACCGACAAGTGTAGTTGACGCGATGGTTCTGCATCTCATGGCGGAACCATTCATTAACATCGTTGAAATACGGGGCGTCGCAGTTGGGGAATGTGCAAACGTACGCACGGAGGTCAGAGTAAACATGTCGTCGCCATACTCTTTCGTTCTTGATTCTCTTTATTCGAAAGCAGAACGGACATTCCACTTCTTTCTTAGCCCCTGGTTGTAGCTCCGCAAGCTTTGGAATCCTGTTAGTAGCTGAGGAGTCAAGATCCCCTTGAACAGAACTGGATATGGTTGTATATGATCTCGCATCACTCTCGGAGTTCGAGTCTACTTCTGCAGTGAGCATCTGCGTTGTGATATTACCCGGTGCCAGACTTGAAGCTTTCGTTATAAAAGTAGATGGCCGGCTGAAAGTGTCAGGCTGTAGTTTCATGGCCGCAAACCGCTGATTGGGAACTTGAGATTTGGATGCTACAACCTCGGGCACATTAGTGGGTATGCTCTGAAGCTTCTCGCGGTGGTCTTGGATGTAGCTAAGGTAGTGTCGCCGTCGGGTTATGGCTCGACCTAGTATCTTTCGGAGGCATATGGACCCATGGGTCGCAAGCTTTGGGTACTTCTCGCCTACATGAGCGACATCGTACTGGTCATCGAACTGATACCGAGTTCGGCTTAAGGCTTTGGCAAAGAGATCAGTGGGTGTCGCTTGGCGGATAAGACTGGATATTCTGAAGAGACGTGTGACGCAAGCTCCAATTTCCTTTAGAAGCTCTGTTTCCTCGATTTGAGCTTCGTCCTCGCCATCATCGTGAGGTGTGGAAGTCGCACCCCCTTCGCGTTGTCCAGAAACTATCTCCAAGACTAGACTGTGTTATCCGAGCTGTAGAAGCAAACGAAGCAGCCAACTTACGCTCTCCAGTGACCTCTTTCACGTCGCTTAGCAACTCCAGGATATGCATCAAAACATCATTGGACTCGGAAAGACGCGACTCGATCGACATAGGAGATGCTGGGAGATGCATAGCTCCAATATTGCCAGTCCATAAACTAAATCTCTCCAGCTCATCATTCACATCTCCAGGATGTATTCGGCCATTCTGTTTGCTCGGATTGGAGAGAATCAAGAAGATAGTCTTCAGGTTCGTAATGGAAGCTAGACATTGCTCCGATACAGAGTCATCCATCGCGGTCGACTTCGAGCTAGGGTGATTGGCCTAGCTATGTGTGAATTTAGGCGCCTACGTGATATTTGGCCTGTAGGCCATGTTGATAATATGATGTTTAAGAGTGGTTTGGGTGAGTGCGACAATGCCGCTCTGATCTTAAGGAGGCAAGAGTAAGGTCCGAGCGGTTGCCGTTCAGCTAGTGACTGTTGCTTATAATGAAGAGAGGCTCTTTACAGTTTACGTGGTACGCGTGATCTCCTTCGAGGCTGAGAAGAGGTGTTGGGGGCTGACAGTGCGGGGCTAAACCACCCGCAATCTTCCCTTCCCAGTCTGTAGTCGTGCCCCATACGATCACCACACCACGCTTCGCTCAGACTCCTTCCTGATAGTCCTCTTCACACAATCAGTGTCAATGAGTGGCCTTGAAATCGCAGGCGTTCTCCTCGGCACCTTCCCCTTGATCATATCGGGCTTAGAGCACTGGCGTGGTGCTGCAAAAGTTGGTGGTTTCTTCTGGCGGGTGCGAAAGGAACACACGAAATGCTGCAGGGATGTTCAATATCATGAAATCCTGTACAGGCGTAATTTGAAAGAGCTTCTACTGCCGATTGTGAACGATGCAGATGAGGTGGCTCGTCTGGTCGGTGACCCAGGTGGTAAAGGTTGGACAAGCAAGCCTATGCAGGAACGCCTGGAGGAAAGGCTCCAAGAATCATACGGCCTGTACATGGAAATAATTCGCCAAATGACTGAGACAGCTGACGAGTTGAGGAGAGAGCTTTGTCTCGATAATACGAACGTACAAAGCAAGTTAGCTCCGCCAGAGCCGCAGAAACAACGGAGACCTTCAAGCCCACAGCCGCCGAGCAAGTCTTCTAAACTTGCTTCAACAAAAACAAAATGGGACTATGAGACATTTCGGATCAAGTTCAGCTTCAACGATCCAGTGCGAAGTGAGCTTTTCGAACAGTTGAGGGATTGCAATGGGCGTTTGGAGAAGCTCCTCGGCACGAGCGACAAGATTTCCACGCTCGAGAACGCCGCTACTTCGAACCCCAAACATGTTTACGTGCTAGAAACGGCATTTAAGAAGGCGCGGGAAAACTCAGATCACCTCTTCAAGGCCATCCAAAGGGCATGGCAGTGCTCTTGTCAACAGTACCATTATGCCAACCTTCGACTAGAGCATCGCAGACTTCCAGAAATATGTTTCGAACTCATTCTTATGTTCGTCGCCCCATCGGCTGAAGCGAATATTCCATGGTCATGGAGGGAGTTGCAGTGTGGACAAACGATTGACTGCGCCTTTCCACAAAAGCTCATTGAGCCCCCCAACGCGCTTCAATTATCAGGTTTTCCGTCTGATCGTACTCCAACACCGGAATTAACACCGCCATACGCAATGCGAAAGAAGGTTATGTTCACAACATGCAGCCCATCTGTACCCAAGATTGAGTTAGACATTCCAGTCAGGCCAAATCTTCAGCTGTGTGAGCTTCTGGGTAGCCAAGAGGGCAATCCATGCATTGGCATGGTCCGCCATGCTGACGAGGAATACCACCTCCACCCTTCATTGAAGAGGAGACAACCTAAAGACAGTGGACCACTAACACTGGATCGTATCCTCTCTAGCGACTACGAAGCGCACCTCACCAGACGTCAAAGCTACTCTATCGCTCTACTTCTCGCTTCTTCGGTCGCCCAGCTCCAATTTACTCCATGGCTGAAAACTGGTCTCACAAAAAAAGAAGTTCTATTCTTTCCATGCGAGAACGACGACTGCAGCGTATCAAACTACGAGCCCTTCATCTGCCGCGGCTTTCCACTCTCTCATCAAACGAGCGGTAATGCGGACACCAAAGACTGTAACTTCTACTCACTTGGGATACTCCTCCTAGAGCTTTGCTTTCGTCAACGACTAGAAGACCATCCTCTTCGTCAAAGGTATCCAGTTGGAGCTGGAGAAGAAAAGGAAGCCTTCGATCTGGTAGCCGCGCTGAAGTGGTCACAAAGCGTGTGTGATGAAGCTGGTGTTGATTATGCTTCCGCTGTAAAGTGGTGCTTCACGGGCACGAATAACGCAGATAAATTCTGGCGCAGCGAGATGATCAAGAACGTTGTATGGCCACTGGAGATGTGTCAAGAATATTTCAAGATTGCAACTGTGTCCTAAATGATGCATACACATTGTACATGTAAGAAATTTGAGAGGGGATATGTAAATTCAAGGGAGTGTGTAGCGACAGAGGAAACGCTCCGTCTCTATCTCCAAGTGGCTCCTCATCCCCCAGCACAAACAACGACTTATCTCGTACGTCCCAGAGCGGACAAAAGAAAGCCGGGAAAGCGCAACTACCTCACGATCACAATCTCCGCCCTCGTCCGCAGCCTTGAGCAGCTCTATCGGTATCAACAACCTCAGCGCTCACTCGTTCTGTCGGTCGAGCACGCTCCAAAACTAGCAGTTCTAGAGTTAAAACGATTGCTGTAGCTATCGCAAAGTTCGTCAAAGCTCTCTGGATTGGGACATGGATTATGGTCGATGAGGCGTGGCGTCCCGACGAGCCGAGATCGTGGAGCATCAGGGACGAAGACCTCGAGCAGCTGATTTCTAAGATATCTCCGTTCGACGATGAGCTTGGCAATGGGGTGGGGAAAACGTATAGAATGTTAGTCGATAAGTTGGTGCGCATGGCGAGGTCGATGCTACGCAAGCATCGGAGGAGTGGGAAGTTTGATGCCCATGCGGACTTAAGGACTGAGCAAGACGATGTACGATTAGCCCTGGATCTGGGATGTGAGGTAGGAAGAGGAGACTGCGACCACCAACTGTCACCATGTTGCGTAGAATGACGGTTGACCCGGCTGACATTTCAGATTTCCTATTCTTCTTCTCAGTTGGGTTAGATAGGTCTCTGACGTCGTACATAAAATCTAGGAGAGAATTAAAAGTGGGGTTAAAATCACAAGCTTTTCTTCTGGGTGCTTGTTGATGACATGTCATTCGCTCGGTCTGCCTTGCGAACACAGCCGATGCAGGAAACCAACTCCACTCCCAACCTTGGAACACCTGTGCATGGTGTCAGAGATCGAGGAGGCCAATGAGCCTTGTTGATCGCTTGCCTTGCCTAGCGACATCTGTCGTCTTTGACACTCGATAGTGGCTCGGGGAATCTCACAGTAGGATAAAGAGTTGTGGGGGATCACCCAGCGACAACAGTGCTGCGCCTTGTTGACGCGTAAAAGGAGCAAAAGCACAAATTTTGCTACATCTGCCTGTAACATTGGCAGTACGAAGCAAGGCCACCAAAGGCCAAAACCCAAAAATACGACATCCTTCGTACGCGGGTCCCGCAGGGTCAAAGCATTGAAGGCAGTCACGCAGAAGTGTCGTTGCGATGGGTCAAATTACGTAGGTTTGTGTTCCGCTTTGTACTTTGAGGCCGAGGGTACAGTGTCGCGAAGCCAATGATAATACGTTCTCGGTACCTCGAACATTGGAATGGGAACATAAGTAAGTCTTCTGGATTGACGGGGGGTCGATGGGTGTTTCTGAAGCTTGCCCGCCCCACAACGGTTAATCGGCGGTCTGTGCGGTGCAGCTAGCCTCGCTATGGGCAGGTCGCATGCTACTCCGCCACATCCTCCCAAACTCTCCTTTCTGGTCTCTCCAATCGTACTGTGGGTGGCCTGAAGGTGGGTGGCCTGACACAACGAGGGCACATAGCCGCCTCGCAATGAAGTATTCTCTGTTGATCGCTCTATAATCTGTTTATTAGTTGCTAACTGCTCGTGACTCAGGATGGTGCCGCATGGGTTTTGCTATCTACGCTTCAATTTTTTTAATTTTACATCAATCACTCTCGCTATTACCTTTTCTGAAAATCTTACGATCAGGGGAACAGATAGATTCCTTGATGGTACAGTTTGCCTCTTCACTTGTCAATTAATTTCCCCTCATTATCAAGAACTACATCCAGCTTAGCAATTGCGATAATGAACCTTTTACTCCGACAAATTTGGGCGCTGATACGCAAGAATCTGCTGCTTATTTGCGTACGAAAGCCAGTCGTTACCTTCATTCGTGCAATCGCTTTACCGCTCGCTATTGTTTTGGTTGTCGCGTATAGCAAGGAGTTCTTCTCGACGCCGCAGCATTGGGGCGTGTCTTCACCTCATAACGTAAGTCCTCCTGATTGCATACACCTCATTAAGCCAAACCACTCCTACTAGTGGCGACCCTAGAGAAGCCCTGCTGATTGTTCAAAGATCCGGTCGCTCAAAGATGGCCTGGCGGCCACACCTGGACGCGACATCGTCGGCTTCATCGACAATGGCATGAAAGGCGGAGAGGTTGCTTCAGTCATTGATTCGCTGTCTAAGCAGATCAGCGAGGCTGGAAAAAGCCCCAAAACTTACAATAGTTCCCGGGCGCTGGCTGAAGAATGCCGTACTGATATGAAAGGCGTCTCGCCTTGCTACGGAGCCGTCGTATTTCATTCTAGTCCCAGCGAGCGATCAAACGATTCATCTATGGGATTCTGGAACTATACGTTACGCGGAGAGGGCGGCAGTCCCGCCAATGTTCTGAGCGACATGAATGCTCCCGAGAAAAATCTCCTGCCTCTGCAGCGCGCAGTGGACACGGAAATCATTCGGGTATCAAGAATGAAAAACACGTCTCGGCTTCCGTCAGAGTCAAGGGTCATTCTCTTTACCGACCAGGACCAAGAATTTCTCGACAAGTCTCGTACTTCAAACTACCTGAGCCTGGCAATCGAAGCCTTTGGGCCTGTTTTTGCATTTACTTTAATTAGTATTGTTTACCACATAACCTCCTTTGTGGCCCATGAAAGAGAACTTGGGATGTCGGGCCTCATTGACACCATGATATCAGGCGGTTCCAGTATTCGAGGCCGGCTGGTCCGGCAGATCGCGACTTACATCTCCTTCGCCATGGTCTACTTCCCCAGCTGGCTTGCAGTGGGCATCGTCATCTCCGTCGTGGTTTTCCCAGTTCATTCTGGAAGCCTTCCTGTGGGTTTTCTCATCCTCTCAGGGATGTCATTCACTTCGTTCTCGCTCTTCGGAGCCTCATTCTTCAAGAAGGCACAGCTCAGCGGCTCGATCATGGTCGTCATCACTGTTGTTGGCGCTATATTGCCAGTGGTTCTTTCCACTCAGACGAAAGCTACCCGCGCGGTCATAAGTATTATATTTCCCTCTGCGAACCTGACCTACTTTCTCACCAGTATCGCAACCTTCGAAGCATTGGACAAGCGCGTCGACATGAAGCTTACTCACCATGAGCAACTTGGTCGCAACGATTACCGATTACCACTTTACGCTCACTGGGTCATTGCCGTCATCCATATCCTATTTTTCTCGGCGCTCGCTTTCGCCGTTGAGCATGTCCTTTTCTCGACTGCGTCCTCGCACCGGAGGTTTGCGCAACCCGAAAGTTCAGGCGATGCTACCGTCACGCTCTCGGGTTTTAGCAAAACGTAAGTTCATCAAAAATCTCATAAATAACACTGGCTTACAAGATTTAGCTACCGTCCCAGCATCCTTGCGAGAGTCTTTAAGCGCCGTAAAGACGTGCACGCAGTCAAGGGCTTGGACCTGAAAGCATATCCCGGGCAAATTCTGTGTCTTCTTGGACCTAACGGTTGTGGCAAGTCAACCACACTGAATTGCATCTCAGGGGATCAAAAGATGTCGTCCGGGGATATTACAATTGATCATACTGGTGGTCTAGGTTATGCACCTCAAAAGAATGTGATATGGTATGTTTTTCACCAACGTAATCAGCATGGTCCTCATATGTTATAGGCCGGAACTTACCGTCGAGGAGCACATCCGCATATTCAGTGACCTGAAGTGTCTTTCTTCAGTCAACGATGAAGTAGTCAATGTCCTTGCCAAGGGCGTTGATCTGCTAAAGAAACTAAGAGCGCAGGCAAAGACACTAAGTGGCGGGCAGAAACGAAAGCTGCAGATGGCTATGATGTTAGTAACTCCCTCTGAATTGTCTGAGACACACACTAACCTTTGGTCCGACTTTTAGGTTTGCTGGTGGGAGCGCTGTGTGCTGCGTTGATGAAGTGTCTACCGGTCTAGACCCCATCTCCCGACGACGCATCTGGGAGATCTTGCTAGTTGAACGTGAGCGGCGAACCATCATCATGACCACCCATTTTCTGGACGAGGCAGATTATCTGGCCGATGATATTGCCATCATGTACAAGGGTACCCTGCGAGCTTCTGGAACCGCTGCGTCGCTTAAGCATAGTTACGGAGACGGGTACACAGTCAAGTTACCGTACCAAACCGATATCGACGTGCAAGTATCAAAGCCTATTCAAAAAGAGCAATCACGACATCAAACAGTCTACCGTGTTGGTACAGCCGCCCTCGCTGCTGAACTTGCTGAGAAGCTTGAGTGGCATCAACTCCGGGACTATCAAATTTCAGGCCCTACTATGGAGGAGTTGTTTCTCAAAGTCACCGGTGACAAAGCTCTGTTGACCGATAGGGCTTCCAGCGAGGAAGAAGATACTGCAATCAAAGGTCACGACGCTACAGTCAATGTCACCGATAGTGACTACGAGCTGACAGAAGGCCAACCGATTTCCGTCTTCAAACAGTGGTGGATCTTATTCTGCAAGCGGTTTCGCATACTTCAACGAAGATATATCCCTTACCTCATCGCAATCGCTTTCGCCATCGCAGGTGCCGGCGTTGCACCGCTCCTCATCAAGATACTCAAAGAACCAATGGCCTGCCCAACCCTAGCAGATCTAATCGACGATTCTTCGATCCGTTCCGACTTTGGCACAGGCTATACTCAATCGTCATCCTATATTGACCCAAGAGTATACGTTTTCGGACCAGCCAGCAAGCTCAACGATTCAACCATCAGTTCTAGACTTGAGCTAATGGCGGATGCATACTCGACGAACCACACTTTGAATTTCTCGACCAATTTCCCCAGGGGTTATAGCAATGCAAGTCAGATCGTCGAGCGGTTGCTACTAGTTAACACCTACGATGAGTTCTCTCATGCTGTGCAGAATAACTGGAAAGTGCAAGCCGCAAAAAGCACCTACAAGGGGTACTCGCCCTTCACTTCGCTGCGGGGTGGTATATGGTTGGGCGACGATAATTCAGCGCCAACTCTCCTAGCCAACCTTCGCCAGATCAAACAGTTTAGTCAGCTGACCAACTTTCTGGATATAATGGTTGGCGGCGTTCCTATTTCGATGGCGTACGACACCTTTGCGTTGACTGCCATACCAGATCTTTTTAATTTCAGGGCACTGATGGTTATCATCTACTTCGGCCTCATTATGTGTTGGTAAGTGCTGCCTCATCTTTGAATGCTGCGAAGAACTCCAACCCATTGGGCTAGATTTGACTTGACCTGGATATCACAGAAACTGACTTTCACCTATAGTTACCCTGTATTCTTTGCACTTTATCCTACGAATGAGCGCATTTCCAACGTTCGCTCGATGCAATACTCGAACGGAATCCGGCCAGTTCCTCTATGGCTTTCTCACTTATCCTTCGATGCTATCTTCGTTGTGGTGATCAGCGCTGCTGCCACTGGCCTTCTTTTTGCCTCCACTCCCATTTGGACCGGCCTTGGGTTCATCTTCATAATTTTTGTTCTCTATGGTATCGTAGCTGCGCTGCTCAGCTACGTCATTTCGATGTTTGCAAAAGGAGCTGTATCCGCTTGGTTCTTGATGGCGCTGGGTCAGGTCGTCTTCTACTTCGCATATTTCGGTGGCATCCTCGGAGTCCACAGTGCGACCACGTATCCGGATTTGGAGCCTACGATGAATGCTCTATTCTTTGGTCTGGGTATCGTGTCGCCCGCGGTATGTTTGGAGAGGACTTTGTTTATCGGTCTTCAACAAATGGCCTTGTCATGCAACCAACGGGCGGCTGGATCGATATATCTTTTCGGCGGACCGATCATGTACCTCATCCTCCAGGGCATCTTTCTGTTTGCACTCCTGCTTTGGTGGGATAGCGGCTTCGTCATTCCAGCATCGCGCTCACACAAGGTCACCAAGGATCCCGAAGCGACAGAGATGTATGAATCCGACCTCTTCAGCGAGCGCAAGCGCTTAGTCTCAGGAACCACCGACCTTCGTGTTGACTCTGTCACCAAATCCTTCGGGAAAAACCTAGCAGTCGACAACGTAACTTTTGGTGTCCAACAATCCGAGATATTTGCCCTTCTCGGGCCTAATGGTGCTGGCAAGTCGACAATCATCTCCATGATTAGGGGTGATATCAAGCCTTCTACTTCGAACTCCACAATCGACATTGCGGGCTACTCTATCCTTAAGCGTGCAGTTGTTGCTCGAGCAAATCTTGGCGTGTGTCCGCAATTCGATTCGGCCGATGTTCTCACCGTCAAAGAGACTCTACGCTTCTTCGCGAAGACACGAGGTGTCAAGGATATCGACTATAATGTCTCTACGGTTATTGCAGCATGTGGCCTCGAGGATTGGACAAATCAACTTGCCCAAAAGCTGAGTGGTGGCACTAAGCGCAAACTCTCTCTAGCAGTCGCCTTGGTCGGAAACCCTCGTGTCCTAGTGCTTGATGAACCCTCCTCAGCGCTCGACGCCAACGCAAAGAGAACACTATGGCGCTGTCTCCAAACTGTAGCAAGAGGACGCGCTGTCGTTCTAACAACCCACTCCATGGAAGAAGCCGACGCGCTGGCCGACCGCATCGGAATCGTATCCTCGCGCATGCTCGCCCTCGGGGGACGAGAGGATCTCAAAAGGCGGGCTGGCGAGAACTTCTACCTCCATGTCGTTTCGGGTTCTGCACCACGCACTACGCTCGAAGAACTCCAAGTAATGAAAAACTGGATTCACGAGACATTTCCTGACGCGAAAATCAGTAGAGAAACGCAAGGTGGGCAAGTACGGTTCGAGGTCCCAGCGGAGGGTCGGGAGATGGTGGACTTGATTAGAAAGTTGGAGAGTGCGAAGGGGGACTTAGGGGTCGAATTTTATAGTGTGGGAAAGGCAACGTTGGATGAGGTCTTTGAGAATATTGTGCGGAAGTATGGTGATGACGATGGCATCGAACGGTAAGGTCAAGATTCTACTTCGGAGTTTGTGGAGTGGAAAGGAGTATTGAGGTATAGACTAATTAATATATCATCGGACTACAATCACCGTACAGTCTGTGGGCGTAGCACGAACCTTGTTATGTGGCATAGGATGCCAGAATGTATTTCTGGCGCGACCCGAATGACATTTAGAAACCGAGGCCAAACATCCAGTAAGCAACAGCAACGTCCTCCGACCGACTCCCGCTTCAAACTGTTATAACATGTTCTTCATGGGTGCATGCGCTGCTGATTTTGGAGGCACTACAAGATAGAGTATTCTTTTTAGAGCTTTTCGGATAGGAAAGACGGTGCAATGACGTCATGTTCTTTGCGTGATGCGGGGTGTTAAAATGTCAAATACTGACATCAAGTTTCATCCTATGCATTACGTTATTTGGATCTTAAAAGTTGTCTGTTGTATATGTAGCTTTTCTAAACAGTTTACTATAGCTTAGTTACCAGCAGCTAGTGTCCAACACACATTTACCAACGCCGCCGTCGCGCTCAGGTGTGCAACGGTTCTCGGTAGAGCAACGTTCCCGAGGTACGCGGGATAATGCACCAACAACTTCGCGATTACGTGGAAGCCAAGCAAGTTGACCTAGATTGGACACATGCAGTCAGTGTAAGTGACTTTAAGTATGTACCCAAGCATTGACTGACCACTTGAGCATCGTTCGGCGCAATAACCTGCGCCAACGCCGCAGCGAGTGCGAACGCGGGAAAGTTTTCCATTAGAGCATAATGCGCACTCCTTAGTCTCAATGGCAACCCCTCCAGTGCATTGATATGTTTCCTCGGATGGTCATTATCAAACCCTTCTTCACGGGCCATGGCTTGTCCCGCAGCGGATGCCGCGCCCGACGCGCCGAATGTCCAGAAGAGATACAGGGCTGAGAGGGCAGGAATGGCGCGGCCAGAGGTGACGGACGTGACCTAATGTGGCGGAAGTATCTGGTCAGTAAAGATACCCCGGGTGTGCATTTTTAGTGAAATGGATACGCACGCCGACGCCAGGAATGAGCTTGATCAGCGCGTGTGTGAGAGATTGGATGATGCTGTTAGGTTTTGTGAGGTACGACCTATTTGAGTATCAGTATTGGTCGAATGGCACGAAGTTGAAAATGGTAGGAGCCCGAACGTTAATGGTATAAGAGCAAGGTATATGGGCGCTGCAGCTATGAGGGCTGCACCAGAAGGATTAACACTGCATGATCTATTAGTATTGTACAATTGAACGAGAATGTGGACTACGAACATGCCATTTTGGGCAGCCACTTTCCTGGCTTGTCTCTTCTTGTCGTCGGACATGGTTCTGGTTAGATACTGTACGTTCTTGCAAATAAACAATGCACAGGGCCCCTCGGGTTACCCGGGGTTATATACTTTGTATGACGCCCTACAAGCATGTTGATGACGTAGCAAAGAATTAACTCGATTTCTAATTACCTATAGCCGAACCGAAGGTTAGATCCTAAATTAACGCGCTACCGTAAGTGGTTGACAAATCTGAAATTATCTGGCAATGCGGGGTACCACGATCTTAGGCGGGAAACGGTACAAATGCACCCGAAGTCGTCTTCACCTCTCTATACGCCATCTCAAATATCACAACCCCAGAGTACTGAAATCTGACTTAGAATGTTTTCTGCTGTCACGCGCATCTTAAAGATACAATTAATGGCAGAAAAGAATCAACCATTTCTCACACGTAGCTTCTTATAATTAGGGTTGGCACCGTTGATGTCCCGATTACAGACAAAGTTTTACTCCATAACACACGAAATGATTTATTAGCGCTTCATCCACCACTAAGCTAATTGCCCCACTCCTACGCTCAGTCGTGTCCTCTGAGTACAAAGTCTATGCAATCACTTGACTTCGTTGAAAGTAAAATCCAAGCTTGATGAGGGTCCCCGACGATATTGCGTAATTGCCATCAACCTAGAGAGTTGAATCAAAAACCTTTGGATTATAGCGTAGGCGACGTGTATGCTCGAACAAAACATCCGTTTCTAGCTGGGACATTTCTCTCAAGAGAATGAGATAGTCCCCTTCGTTTTCGTAAGGGATATCGTAGTAGAGTAGCGTTTTTTCGTCAAGATATTGCTTGTGGCACTTAGCATATGTGGGAACGTGAGGCTCTGACTCTGAGACAGCACGACCTTTGCCTTTCACTTCACTTGGACCCGAGTCGATGCACGTACTGACATCTTCAGCTATCTGGGTCGACTCTTTCGGATTGATCATAGCCTCGATCTGTGGCTGTTCGAAGCCAAAGTCAGTGAGACGCTTCCGCATTTGTTTTTCAAGTTCCTCGTTATCGTCCTTGTCGACACCGTTTTGTTGCTCTTGATCCTGAAACTCTACCCTTATTCTCTCGTTACGGCGTTCCTCATCATCATGTCTCAACTGATCTAGACCGGTTTTCGTAGCTTCCAAGAGCTTTCCTAGCTCCTCGTGATCATCGTGTGCCGACATTGCTTCGCGTTGTAGTCTCTCAACGTTCGCCTCCAAGCTAGATACGTCCTCGTTCTTCTCCTGGTCAAGAGGTAGTTGATCTTGCTCTAGTATTGGTATGTGCTCCTCTGTTGCAGATTCCTCTAGCTCCTGTTGTAGAATTTCAATGTTAGTAGCCTATATTACACAAAGTCAGCAAAGTTGTGTATTGATATTAATAAGACGAGACCAGAACACTCAGAGAAGCTGTCACACCCAAGCTTCTCATGCTCATAATTTAGTAATGCTGTAAGAGCATCGCAAACATAGAGGGGGGTAATATGTACGTACCTCCTGTACGAGTGATAACCCTGCAGTCTCTTTCGAGATATCTTTCCCTTTTTCATTCGTAATACGTTCTCGGCTGACATGTTCTCGTTTCTGTGTAGATTTTACATCAGAACTGCTACTGGATTTATCAGACTGATCTCCCACAGCTTTAGAAGCAAAGTCGTGTGCAGATCGTGGCAATGGCGATTCAGATAAATCTGTAACTGAGGGTTAGTGAGGGGAGGGTGATTGACTCTATATACTGACCGTGAACATCGGAGGTCATATCCTCTGCCTTCCAATACCCTACAGGGTCAAAATCGTGAGGAGATTGATTGAGTCTTGAGTGAACCTCTGCATACGGGTTCGCCTGCAATACAGTCTCTTCGTAATTTCCAGCCGATGCGTTGGTAGCCTCATAGTAATCGCTATCACCTACATCGCCTACATCGCCTAGATCTTGCTCGTCGCTTATATCAGATATATCTTCATCATCATCTTCATCGTCAAGATTCAGCGCATCCTTTTCGTCATCTTTTAGATCCTCTTCAGTGTCGTCAAGATTTGGTGGAAGTGCAAATAAAGCCAGCTGTTGCTGATGGCTCCCCAAATGTCTCTGTAGAGTTCTAAGCGTCAGTGTTCTGCCACATAGGTCGCATATAGTCGATTCCATAAGGCTGGCATTTCTCGCTGATGTGCGTTTGAGAGCCGAGAGCATATCTAATGAAGCTAAGTCTGGATGGTTTTTCTGCACATGGCTCTCGAACTCCGAGTCCACCTGGAAGGTCTTCTCGCATCCCTCGACACACTCGAAGGACGTTCGGTGAGCTTTTAGTTCATGTGCAAACCAAGACCTTCGAGAGTCGTAGAGCCGGTCGGCTGTTGTACAATGCTCATAGGTGCAGCAGTATGGATGGAGATCTCGATACATGTGTTGCCTTCGCTTGTCATTAACTTACATCTGAAAAAGGCTGATATACTTACTTCCATCCGGTGGCAGTATGTATCGATACAAGCAGAAAACAGAAAGGGCATTCGAAGAATTCCTTGTTACGTGCTTCTTTAGGTAATGGTGGAACTCTGATGGTAGCATTGACTGAAGTGGCATAGGAGGTCTGCGATGCTGCATCATCCCCTTCGTCAAAAACGTTGAGGCTGTTAGAGCGTTTTAATCTAGTTGCTTCTGTGCTGTTTGTTGTAAACTCTGTGATGGGCCTCTCGTACCCAATCTTTTCGATGTTTTTAGCTAACTTCTGGTGATGTTCTTCCCGGTAACTGAGATACTGTCTTCTTCCCGATATGGCTCGGCCTAACCTTTCAGCTAAATAATCCGGACAAGCCTTAAATTTCTCTTTGACGTGCTGAATGTCATGCTGTTGATAGAAGGATTTGTCGATAGTGATGGTGCTCTTTGACTGACTATTCGGCGCGGGATCGCGAATAGCCATCGAGAGCCGAAATAAAGAGGTGATTACAGTCCTGGTGCTTGCCAACAACTGTTTGAGTTCTGTGCTCCCCTGGAGGTCATTGCTCGATTCGTCATCGTCAGACAGCTCAGAGTCAGAGCCGGAGAAGTCATCCCAAGGTACCCTCTCCCCTTTGACGATCGCCAAAGCTGTTTTGAATTAGATATAGTCTATCTGTAAACCGAAGAACATACCATTATGCAAAGCGCTTGAAAGAGCATCAAGCAGGTTATGAGTCTCTGTTTTGAGATGGGCGGCATCACGTAATCGATACTCCAAGGATCGTCTGCCTTTCTGGTGCGCTGCTATGTTTCCTGCCCATAGCTTGAAGCGCGAGAACTCGTCATGAACCGCTACAGAAGCAACTTGGGCGGCGAAGCGTGGTTCCGTCGTCAAGGCATCCGCGAGGCTAAGGAAGTCGCGCGCGATGTCCAACACCACTGTAGCTATTACAACTTCAGCATCTACAGGCACCGCCATCGTCAAGGTGCTCATTATATCGATCGCTTTATCTGTCTGTGAGTTTGGTGGGTCGCGTGCGTATTGTTAGCGTTGACACTTGGGATATGAGTGGCGATGTATGAGCCTTCGATTCAGCCCCCAATTGCCCCGCACTTTGTGTGCACCTGCATACTCAGCGTCAGCCTTCCATCTCCACCTGGCTTCTCTCATTTCGAAAGCCTCCCCAGAAATTAGATGCTAGTATAACATACTAAAGACGTTCCTTTAGGTTTCTTTTTGACGGCTCTGACTGGAATTGGCCGAACTTCCTTTGGTAGCATCAGTACAGCGAGTCCGAAGGCGCCAGCCCTATCCATTATGGCCACTGGTATTGAGGCTGCTGGACTAGTCCTCGGCTCGATACCGTTGATACTTGCAGGCCTTCAATTTTATGCCGAGGGCATCGCGGTAACAAAGCGATACTGGAAATACAAAGAGGAAGTGAATAACATACTATATGAGCTACGGGCCGAGAACACTATGTACGTCAACAGTATCAACATGCTGTTGGTAGGTGTAGTGAGTCAAAAGGATATGACAGAGTTCCTCGCGGATCCAGGAGGTGGGCGCTGGACAGAGGCGAAGTTCGACCGGAAGCTTCGCAGTAGGCTAGGGGCGAGTTATGACTCGTACATGGAGAGCATAACTCACATGATAATGACTGCCGACAAGTTCAAGGAGAAATTGAAGCTAGATGGTGCCGGAAAGGTGCGAACTTCCGCGCGAACGAATTTCATGTCCTTATGGTTGCAGATTCATTAACTATTTTCGCAGCCCCAATTCTCTGAGCAGACTTCTTTCAAGGAGCACTACAGACGACTCAAATTCAGTCTAAGGAAATCAGATTACAGTGATTTGATGGGAAAGCTGCGACAAGCTAATCAGTCACTATACCGCCTGACGACCCAAACAGCGTACCTTGATGCTCGCCAAACGTCATCGAAGCAGGATTGTCAGTCCGCCCCAAACTTTCGAGTTATCAAAGACAGAGCGGACAATTTCTACACTGCTTTGAGCACGGGATGGAATTGCCCATGTCAAGCGGATCATAGTGTCAGCCTCCGTCTTGAATCACGCATGGAAGACGGCTCGGGTGATGAGGACGACGAGGATTATGAGGACGAAGAAACAATGCGTGACCCTTTCCACGTGCTATTCCGATTCAATCATCATCACAAGACAGAAATAAGCTCTACGAGTATGAAACCATGGACCTGGGAAGAAGCCGACGTACGCATTGAGTATGAAAAGCAAAGCTCGACAGCAACCGCGGCATGTGGAGGTCAAATTGGAAAGGGTGTCCGGTTCGCAAAACAAGCGAAGAAAGCTATACAAGCAGCCTTGGAACCTCAGCCCAACATGCAACCAATAAAGGATCTTTGTTCAGCAATCTACGCGCTCCAAAAACCTCAACGCGACGTTTGCTTTTCATTGTTAGCAAACGAGATTGCTAAACACAAATATGGAGTACATATCTACCCTACGAAACAGCTACCGCCAGACACGGACACTTGGGTGGTATCTTCACTTCGGAATGTGCTAGACGACTCGCAATTTGCCCGTAGGGATCGCCTAAAGCTAGCAGTCACCCTCGCCAGTAGCGTACTTCAGCTTCACGAGACTCCATGGCTCGACGAAAATTGGGGGAAAGACACCATTTTCTTCGTCAAGCGGCCGGGCAGAGCACTTTACGACCAACCTTTTGTATCGCAAAACTTTAATCAGACCACGCCAACCCCAAAGACTGAAACGCCTAATGCCATGAGCCGAATCATCCGTAATCAGACATTGTATGCTCTGGGTGTGGCATTAATCGAGCTCTGGTACGGCAAGACGTTAGCAGAACTGCACAAGGATGCAGATGGGCCGCATGATACCGGCATTATGCAAGTTGACTTCATGGCTGAGTACAATACTGCAGACCGCCTCGTCGATGAGCTGTATAGCGAGGCCGGTGGCAAATACAGTGATGCAGTCAGGCGATGCATCCGCTGCGATTTCGATCGCCGTGCCAGTAGCCTCGAGGACGCTCAGTTCCAGAAAGCGGTGTATCAGGGCGTTGTCGCACAACTAAAAGAGAACTACGAATACATGTTCCAGCATCATCCAGATTGATAAGAACAGTCGCTGCTGATGACCAGGGAGGCCGAGGCACGAGTGTTTCTGGTATCTGTGCAAATGCGAGGCGCACATAACACCACCGGAATGCATGCGATATCTCCAATGGTCAGGGTTTAGGGTTAGGGCTAAGGGCAGTGCTAGGCAATGAAAACTAGCCCCTGTGAACTTATGGAGAAGGCGGGCTGGTTTTGACAACATTGGTCCAATGCGGTTCATGCCTAGCAATGTTTCTGCACCGCCACCAACGTTCAGATTCGAGTGTTCTCCTGATATTCATCTACACTAGACTTATGTTGTATGGGCGAGTGGTAGTGTGGTAGTGATTGAATTCGTTCAAGAGTGTGTCTATTGCGCATACCCGACAAGAGAGAAACGAAGGAGCGGTTTTGTCAGCATAGCAACATTTTCTTGTTGCTTTCTAGCGCTTATGATGAAATCAAGTATAGTGTGTAGCTTGCGAAAACTCGTCGTAGATCTACACATAGTGCTAGTCATGTCTGCAAACTCTCGCCGCAGAACAATGTCTAACCGATCGGTCCTGATCAATAATTGCCTATGGCAATCAATTCCATCAGTGGTTTTGCAGCCCTCCTATAGACCATAGAAAACAAATCATCATCACTCAGTTCCTTCCCTTTGATCTCCATGCCGAATTCGCCTGTCAGACAGTATCTAGTTGCGTCCCGGTAGGCGGGTGGGATGAGATGATCAGAAAGTTCACTGCATAGACGAAACGCCGCACATGCGCGGGTCCAGGCAGGATCTTGCGAAGCCATGTTTCTGTCGTCATCGTTGATCAAATTTTCCATTGTGCTTCCCATGACAATCTCAATGAGAGCGACGCCGAGGCTGTAGAGCGTTGGATTTCGCGAATAGAAAGGCTTGAATGGCTTCTCTGTGGCGGGCGTATTCGTTGTGTTGAATGTACCTTCAAAGTATGGACACAAGGAGCAGTTAGTTCCTGATCGTATGAAGACATCATTGGTGGTCCAGCCAGGCTGCAGCCATGGTACATCATGCTGCTGCAAGACAGTTATCAGCAGTTTTGCCCCAACAGCAATGCGATCTCTAGGCAACTTCAATCTTGTACTGGACGCCTTCGAAATCGGGATAAGTGATTTTGGATCGGGCAAAAGTGTTGAGACTTGAACCAAGTACTGGTAATCTGAAGATGTTTCTGCTAGTGCTGGTAGACCTGTGGTACGAAGAGACTCACAGAGACTGGTCGTCTTCGGTAATGCCGTATTTGACTTGGTCCGCTTGGAAGTGCTGATCTGGAGCGGTCTTATCTGCCAGGGAGATTTGCTCGGTTTGTTCCCAGTTCCAGAGCGCGAAGAGAAGGGCGCAAGTATAATCTTCAAGTCGGCATCTTGTGCTTCTCTACATTGGAAATTGACGACATGGTGGCTTTTGCATGCGCAATTCCAGCTCAGATCGACACAGGCGTAGATGTTCTGCAAATGCGTCCTCGTGGACTTCATCCTCTCAATCTCTTCGTACCATGCCGTCCCCGCCGTACCGATCGTGATACTCAGAGCCTCGCGTTCTAAAACATTTTGCAAGGCCAAGATGGCCTTTCCCAGTCGCTTGATATCTTTTGCTCTACTTGTGCTCTGCACAGTATGTACGAATATGCCAGCCTCTAAATTGAATGCCTATTAGAGAAATTCAAGCATGCACCAATATTGAAGCGGAAAGCTCGATCTCACCTGAATATTTTTCGAGTCTGTTGACATATTTTTGTATCTCATGGATGCGGGATAGGATGACCGTGAGATCTTGTTGACCGAAAGTGGTGTCTAATGCCTTTTGCATCTGAGGATTGTCCCATAATTTGGTCAACTTTGCTTTGTCTTTTTCCCGTAGCAGATCTGCAATGTTTTCAACCTCAGCCATCGATAGTATCTTCTCACAACATTGCCGAAAAAGCATCTTATTCTCGTCCACTGTGCACCGGAGGGCTATTTTGTATTTTTTGCGGAAGATCAATGCATTCGCTGGCTCTAGACCTACGTCTCGGTGTTCCACAGCACTTATAAGGAGAGGCAAGATCGCTAAGACTAAACTTGCTATCTCAGCGCCAGTCAGCATCCTGCAATACCAGACTCGAGTCCTGAACTATGCGCCTAGTTTGCTGAACGTCGACCAAGGTCAGGCTGTGATGCGGTCGTATATGTTTGCTGGGGGTTGTATGGACTCGTAGACTGTCGAACAAGTTCATCGGTTGGAGTACGACACCAATCCTCAAGATACATGAGAAAATAAGGAAGTCTACAAGTAAGAAAGTATTATGGGGCACGAGGAGAATACTTGGTCAGGATCTCTGACGTGGCAATTGCGGCCCCCAAGTGCGGGGTCAACGCATAAGAGCAATCAAAGCCAACACTGCGAAGTAGAAGCCTTGCCTTCTGAGCCAACACCTTTCCCGTCTATAGACACGAATGCCAGCGATAAGCTTTATACAGGACCACGGGAAAGCTATTTTTCTGAATTGCGGTAACTTCCCAATCTGGCTGGTTAGAATACGCCATGCAACCTCTGGCGGATTTGGCTACTTCTTCAATTACCTCCAGCAACACGTCTCGTGCAATCGCAAAGCCAGCGCTGAAGTCTTCAGAACCATCTTCAGGAATTGCCGCTGTAATAAAATCTCGATACCCGGTTAGGACATTATTCCAAAAGGTTCTAGAATGCGTGCATGAACAGGTCAACAGTCAGTCACTCTATCGGGCCAAGTCACTTGCCGAAGATCTTGGAGTTACCTCTGGCCAACTGGACCGAAAGCTACGTCACTCCAGTGGCCTTCGCACATACATTACCAGTCTACTCCAAGAGCTAGTTAACTTTGCATCGGAGACATCTCCTCCTTCTGCGTTAAGCTGGTCGCCGACAAAGATTAATGACAAAGTCAGAGACGCCGATCTCGAGGCCCAGTTCAACAACACGCTTAGCACACTGATCACATTTTCCTCCACATTGAAAGATGCTACACCATCGGACGATATCGAAAGACTCTCACAGGCGGTGCGCGAAGACATCTTCACTCGATTTGACGTGGATAGTGTGCAAAAAAGGTTTCCCAAATGCAATCCCAAACTGCACCGGCGTATAGGTGCTCTCAACAGGTTACGGCGGCTACGCTCTCAAGATTCTCAGTTTAAGTTTAAACGGACTGTCACGAATGCGATGGAACGGGAGCGGGAATCAAAGCAGAGATCGACGAGCGTATCCGGGGAACCTCAGCAACCACTTCTACTGGACGACGATCGAGTCCCACTTTCAGAACTCCTCGAGGAGTTCGGGGCATCAAACAGCGACAGTGAGGCTTCTTCTGTCACCTCCAGCTCAAATAGCTCAGGGTACGGAATTTGGAATTCGAGTCATGATGACCCAGACGACGTCGGCATTATGGAGCCGCAATCCGTACATGCGGATAACAAGTCTCTGTCAATACCTCAGATTCCACTAAACTCGAGGCCTCTTCTTGGTGATGAATCAAACTGCCCGTTCTGCATGATGATCTTGAATAAAGACATCACTCAGGTGGAGTGGAAGTAAGTTATTCATAGGAATAGTTAGATTTATGCTGACAAAAGCATCTAGGGAACATGTCCTTGACGATATAGAGCCATTCATGTGTACTTTCGGTGGCTGCTCCCAGAGCTATCGAACTTATAGCTCTCGAGACGATTGGCAGCATCATGAAGACTCAGTACATCGCATCACTGCCGTGTGGGTTTGCCACGATTGTAACGAGACGCTCTCATCGGCTGATTCTTTCCAAACCCACCTCAGATCTACACATCAAAGCTTGTTTCCGGAGAAGCATCTGCTGGCCATAACCAAGATGTGTAGGACCGTTCGCGCGGATGAGGGGCCGAGGCAGCACTGCATCCTCTGTGGCGCGAACTTGACGACTAAACAAGACGAGTACGACCACCTTGCGACTCATCTAATTGACTTGGCACTCCTCGTGTTCCCAGGAGCTGACCAGCCAGCCAACGACCTGGATGATTCTATCAGCGAAGTCTTTGAACAACCACGTACCATCGAAGGCCTAGAATGGTTCAGAGAATTTAGTAACGATGATGTCATCCCGTTCGAGTATGTCAGAAATCTAGGTCATGGTGCATTTGCTCAAGTAGAGGCAAGGAGATGCACTATCGGGCCTACAGCCGGGACTATATATGCTTGCAAAACCTTCTTGATTGCCCAGCGAAACCGTGGGGCGATGAAGCAGCAGATCCAAGCGGAAGTAACGATCCTTCGCCGTCTGCAACACGTCCATATAATCTCCATTGTAGGCGCTTACGTTCAGCGGAGACGCATTGTTCTTATTCAATTACCTGTGTTCGATTTCAACCTGGAGCAGTTCCTAGAATTGGTATGGGACGACGAAGCAACCTTAAGAGGGAAATGGTTCGGCTGTCTCGTATCCGCACTTGCCTATCTCCATGCAATGCGAATTCGACACAAAGATGTGAAGCCCAGTAATATAGGGGTCAAGAATGGAAGTGTTATAATGTCTGACTTCAGCATCGCGACCGAGTTTGAAGAGGAGGGTTCCGACAGCACAGGACGACCAGACGCTTACACTGGTAAATACGCACCTCCCGAAGTCCTTCAGTATGACGTTCGGAGCAGGTCCTCTGACATATTTTCGCTTGGCTGCATCTTTTTTGAGATGTTGACCGCGTTCGGTAAGGAAGTCACAGCCTTTTACAAAAAGGACAACTCAAAGCTGCCTGCGTGGTACGCCAAAGACACAGAAAGACTTCAAGAAACTATCTTACACTTAAAGAAACTTCCAGTGGAGATTCAGCCAGTGGCACAGATATGCTCATCTATGGTCTCACTCAAGAGGCAGGCAAGACCAAGTGCACAGCAGGTTCTTGATGCGCTAATGGTGTACAATCTGGTTGGAAAGTGTGCCTTGTCTTCATCTTTAGTAGACTTTGACGCTGGGGATACTGCGTCTGTACATACAGTTACATAAATTACACAAGTCATAGAGACACATTTTGTTAGGAGTGTTAAGCGCATTATTACAACCCTGCGCAAGATCCGGGACTGTAGACGGCAAGGCAAACCAATTTGTCTTGCTCGCCAACAAGAATGCCCTACCAAATTGAACAACCCACAATGTAGAAGTGCCCATCTAGTGCAGCACATGTTGATGAGAAGTCGGCGGCTGTTACGAATGAGATGAAGTTATGGAAGCGTTGAAGAACGAAGTGTTTTGCTATCAAACAGGGCGCGCCAAGTCTTCTTACGAGCTCCCCCATATGTGGTGATTGAGAGGAGCTCAAATATCTTGCAAGAGCTATTCAACTCGAGATATCTCAATTCACATGGCAATCAATCTCGACATGGTAGAAACCGTCCAAAGGAAACTGACGTCTATATCATAATCTCTTAACCTCTATCAAATCTTTCTAAGCCCTTGTACCAATAGTCTTCGGCTGAACATAACAACACGTCGGCCGCCTTGTCAATCCATCTACAGCGCCATACCCACTCAACCCCTTCCTCAGCCGCGGAAACTCAAACCGCATCATCAACACCGCGAGCATGATTCTCATTTCCAAGAGCGCAATCTTCTTCCCGAAACACCCTCTCGGGCCGGCAGAGAAAGGCAGCATGTGCACTGCATCTGGAGCGAACGTTCCATCTTCACGAATCCAGCGAGCAGGGTTGAAGGCGTGGAGACTGTCAGTGGCTGGAGCTATCGGGTACGTTTGAGTATGCTTTCGAAGATATGTGGCTTGGGATGTCTTTGAGCGGAGATACTCTGGTACGAATGGCATGTCGGGTGAGTCATATGATGGTCCAGCAGTGACTAGAACGAGCGGTGTCCCAGCGGGCACTGTGTGACCCAGAATATCGCATTGCACTAGTGTTTGGCGAAAGGAAATCGGACCCGTCAACGATAAGCGCAGAGTTTCGGCAATGACGGCATCAAGGTATGATAAGGGTGTGGTGTAAATATCTTTCGCAGTCGGTAGTGTTGAGTTTGGAAATGCAGCGTATAACGACGTTCGAAGTCGTGATTGGACTTCAGGGTGGTCGGTCAGAAACTTAAGGGCCCATGAGATGGAGGATGCGGTGGTCTCATGGCCAGTGATGAGAAGCTCGAGGAGTTCGTCCGTCAGGGCATCGTCACCGGATGCCCCGTTGCTTGCGGCTTCGCTTGCCTTGCTATTTAGTGAGAAGTCTTTCCGCATTACCTCGCCAAGGGCGCAGGTCGTATCTATGGGCTCGCTGCCAGAATTCTGATGTACTCTTTCTCGAGAGATGGCGATGCACCGTTTCAGTACCTCGTCCTTCCTCTTTGCTGCGCGCGCAAGTATACCTGTCGTGTTGAAGAACCAGGTGTACATTCGCGGACTGATGCCTTGCATTACCCAGTCCAAGACCATTAACAGCGTCCCCAATATACTGTAAAACTCAGGCATCACCGTGTTTGAAAATACGGCTTTACCATTCCCACTCTTTCTTACCGCCTTTGGCTGCTCCAATCGTTCCAGCTTAGCATTCAACAGCCCCAGTTCAGAACCAACGTTCATCTTCCAGATCCCATCCAAAGTTGCTATTCTCATATCGTCTTGCACTTGAAACGCTAATTCTTCTTGTACTATGTTTGATTTTTTCTTCCATAAATCGGCGAGCTTGACTGCAACCTCACCAAATCTCTCCACAGCGACATCCTCTAAGAACCGCGGACTAAGCACTACATTCCACAATCTCCGCTGTTCCTTGAACGACCGATCTTCACTCTTCATCCCAATCGTTGCTCTCGGCGCTACTATGCCGAACCAGATATGCATAGTATCAGCACGATCAACCTCAACAGCTCTTCTAGTCACGATATCCTCGATTTCTCTCAGCTCAGCGAGGACCACAGTGGGATGCGTCGTTGAAAAAGACGGAATGAAGACTTGGATTAAAGGTGACCTGTGTTTGAGGCATTGCAGCGAGAACCAGTCAAACACGCCGCCGGTGAGCCAGTTGTGAATTCCTAGAGTGATGAGATCACCCCATGGCATGTATCTCGCGAGAGTGTTGTAGGGAATGCCGGATATGGGCTTCGGGACGAGGTGCGCGTGCGCAAGGACCCACGTAACAACGAAGACGCCAAACGCATACACAAGAAGCGGAGGAGACATGGGAGTTGTAGTACGGCAGGTCGCACAACCCGAGTCGCTGGTGAGTGAATCGCTCGAAAAACATACTGGAATGCTGCGACAAATAAGCGTGGGGTTCCGCTAAACCTGATGTTCCCCTGCAATGGCGCAAGCCAACAGAGGCGGATAAACCCGACTGCCACTGTCGCCACGGCGAAAATGGCCTCTCGCCACCAGAATACTACGTATCTTTCTGCAGGCCCAGCAAACCACTGCAATTCGAATTGGGCCTTTCTTCCGCTGTACATGGCCTCTAGGCTAGATGTGGAAGCTGGGCGAGGACGGATTTGTACGCTAGTCGAGTCAGCATCGTATGACGGATCTCGAAGCGGTATCTCGTATGGTGATCGCAAAGCGACTATGCCTGGAACGGGGGTGCGGCACAAGCTCCGACTTGCGTTTGACTTGCATGCAGTACTAACATTGATGGAGATTAGACAGATCTTGTGTGTCTTGATTGAGAAAAAAAGGTTATAAAGCTCCAAGAGCTATCTGTAGCTTACCTGCACGCGTTGGTGAGAAACAAACATGAAATATCTAGGTCGAGCGATGTTGTGAAAATAAACTTACTCTGACCTGCAACAAGGGATCTGATACAGAATGGGTAGTCAGCTGTATGTTGACCTCGGACCCGGATATTGTGACATCCGAGCAGCGCCCTCATTGCTGTATCTTAGGCTGAATTCATCGAAGCTAAGTATCAGGAAGTTTCCTCGGCGTTATCTAGAAATATTCCCTAGCGGACTGTGACTGTCAAATAGGTCAGTTCCAGAAGTCAGGGAGATGTTGTCGGTAGAGGAGCACAGGAGAAAAGTAGGAAAGGTGTTTCTGAGATCGGGTAGGCCAATGAAAGACATGGCGGCGTGTCTTTCAGCTCCTAGTAGGGCTCACTACTTTTTTCGAATGCGCATTCCATACCTAGCTCGTCTAAGCTTTCAAGATAGAGAAATAGATTCTCCAATAGCACAGGATGTGCCACTCTCGAGCTACTGATCGACGGGGTTGGCAACGACTTAAACGACATTTAGTTCCAGTTTAGAGGCTCCAAGGTAAGATTGCGCAGAACGATAATATTGATGGCACTCTTCAGAGCGCTGATACCTCGGTTCTAAGCCTCTGGTTCTGATGTTATCCCTTTTAGAAGTTAGCCAACGCTACGGTCTCATCGACCGTATTGTAGGGTTACGGAAACCATACCGGCCGTATCGACTTCTGCTCTGCGATTCATTACAAGTGATGTATAGGACTCATTTGTGGAATTGGTAAAGAATAGACGGAGCACAGTTAAGGTTATGACTGAAGGTGGACCCTGTACGATGAACCAATAGAAGAGTCAAGCTAGTCAGCCACCAACAGCCACCACATCTTCAGCAGTATCGTCTGCAATGCTATTGCTTCATTATAAGTATCTAGAATCTTTTCAACCTTATTATAGTGGCAGCTTCATCACATCTGTGTCGCTACAACTAACTGTATCTCCACCATATCGCTACGACTAGAGCACGGTTAAATGCCCAGCTACAATCAATGTAGGTAAGCACGTTCAATCATGAAGAGAAGGCGGTATGTATCGGTCAACTTTGTCACAAAGAATTTGGCGCGGGTTTGAGTTTGCACAGGGCGGTGGTCATGCGCCGCTTGCTATCTGAGGATGTTCACATGAAGTCTGTCTGTGCGGTGTGTAAAGAATTGCAAGGTGTTCACTACTCTTAGAAAGCTATGGGCAGCTCAGGGCTTGCCGCAGGCACTAAATCCTTCAAGTCTTCTACCGAATAAACGGCAACCCAGGATGACTTACGGAGACTTCAGAGTCATCTTGCTAGTTGAGTCAGGGGGTATATACAGCTAAAAAGACTACAGTACGTTCATGGTACCCATACTGTGAGAAAAATTCGCTCCAGTCATCTCCAGTCATCGAAACAGGCCATTCTTGTCCCCGTTCCTTCATAGAAACCTCGCATGATTCGAGGCTTGCATACCCACAAACTCACTCACCGTCATACTTGGAACTCGGAGTCCTTCTTTGGAGACGCTATCCTTTTTCGAGGATTAAAGAAGGAACAAACGAGCTACAACAGGCTGTTAGAGGGCCGATATAGGAGCAATGTTGTGAAGAGGAAGGCGCTCAGGAGGGCACCTGGTACATGAGCGCCATCACGTCCCTACGGCTTCACGCTCACTTTCGCCGCTTCCACCCTACCTGTCCCAAGCGCGCTCTCGGGTTAAAAGCTTCTTTCACGACTTCCTGCCACACACCTCCACCCTCGCTTGCAAATTTTTCACCCACTGGTCAAAATACCGCGGTACTTCAAGCATAACCGACATCGTTCTCATCTGCATCTAGACATCTACCTATATACAGTCGCACTCACCACAGCCATGAGCGTCAAACTCCGCATATTCGCCATGCTCTGCTTGATTAGTATGACGCTCGTCGCATCTCTCCCGCACACCGGCATGATCAACGACGAGTTCGTCCGCGACGTAGGTGCTGTCTACACTGAGCCAGGGTACGGGGGGAAAGCCTCCTTCCTCCTAGCACTCAAAGCAGAGCCTAAGTGCATGCCCTTGTAAGATCTCCCCTCACTTCTAAGCAGCAACCAGCTAACCCATCCCAGCGACGGGAACATTGCGTCGGTGCAGGTCTGCGTGACGGCTTCCTGCACCTTCTATCCGGTAGCCACGCCCACACTTAGTGAATAATGAGTCATGCGCTAATGGGTTGATAGACTGAGGGCTGCGAACAAGACAGCGACAGCTCATCTTTCACCGTGAACGGCCCGGGTGACGTCCAAGACGTCTACGCCCACGTACACAAGAGCAAATATGGCTCGTACATCTGCGGCACCGATGAGACGGTCATCACCAAGGGCAAGGACACGCTTCCAACTACACCGCACGACTCGAGCAAGGACAAGAAGCCTGTCATGGTCCTCGAGACTACTGAGCACGACGAGTCTAAGGAGCTGAAGTCTGCTGCGTGGGTACGTATCGGTGTCCATGTCTAAGTGATTGAAGTTGAGCTAACTGTGTACTAGCAGGTACCTTCTTCCAATTGAACGCCATATGACCTTGCCTCTCGGCCGGCGCCTCGATGACGAATCCTACAACTCCGCTACACTATGATAAGTCGTCCCCTCTTTCTTCTTTAGCGGTATAATAGATGACTAGATGAAGACCTAGGGTCATAATACTGGGGTAGACGGTACAAGTTTCATTACAGGCGGATAGACAAAAGAGTAGGCGCATAGGAGATTGTCCTATTATTTGAGCGATATTTACTGGGTGCCCTCGTGTAATCGGTCATAGCAATCTAGACCTTTCTCCTTTGCACTACGATGCATACGAATGTAGCGTGACGTGATTATGCACCTCAGTGTACCATTCCCAAATGCAAGGCGAGTATGTGGTGTACCTTTGAAACTGCAAGGTACAGCTGCATTGTACCAATAGGCGTCGGGTCTTTCTTGTTGCATGCACAACACCAGAAAGCTTAGTTGATGGCTGGAGATAAACGGTTAATCATAGGCAGACACGGTTCCGGAGTGTTGAATCTTGGTATTGATGCACATTTACAGTTCAAAGCCGTCAACAACTCCGTTTCCCAGCGCTGCCCGCATCAAGCTCTCGCCCGCCCGCCCCGCAGTGGGAGCTGCGCCCCGTCTTGAAGCCGCACCCTCGGGCCTGGGATCGCCGCGTGTTCGCCCTCCCGCTTTGGCAGATCGCCAATCTTCTGCCACAGCAACTGCAACTGGACATGTCCTGGCGTGATGCCGCGCTGCTCGGAACCCCAGCGAAACTGCCAGAGAGGAAGAGCGTCGCCCACGGAAGGGGTGCGTTTGGCGTCGTAGAAGCAAGCTACATCGCCGAAGCAGAGAAAGGCGTATGGAAAGCCGTCCTAGGAGCTGTCAGCTATTGGGTTCTTTTATAGTAGGATGCGTTGTGGACTCACGATTGTATATAGTTCGTCATAGATATCCGATTTGTGCCCCTTGTTACAGTTCCACGCATAGTCCATCTGGCCGTAATGACTATCGCTGTTCTTCTCTTGCGTCTCATCGTCGAACGTGCAGTTGCCCACCTTGCTGGAGAGCGTGTAAGGAAACTCGTTCAAGCGGGAGAAGACGCCGCAGTCGTCTTTCTTATCGTCCTTGACAAACTTGCCATGGTTATCAAGGCAGCCGACTTTCGACTTGGGAGACGCGGTCCGCCAGTCGGACGATTTGAGAACGTAGATGTGGCCGATGCCGGTGAAGTCCCCTTGCAAGACGCCTGCGTGCGCGAATGAGCGCGCAAAGGAGAGAAGAACGAGGAGGGAGGTGAGAAGGCTGTTCATCGTGATGTTTTCGTAGAGAGGGGTCGGTGATAGAGGTCGCAGTGGCTAAGTTGGATATGGGTCCAGGCTTCTTATACGGACCGTCTCGCTACCAGAAAGGAAGAAAACGTGGAAATTAGAAAGCTTATCCAGAGCCCTCAGCAAATCGTTGAAGCGGTGTTTACCACAAGGAGCGGTACTAGTACCTGGCCAAAACCCCAGCGGGGAACACAAAGCCAAAGATCTTCCACCTTCCTGACACTTTTCCGCCCAATCACCCTCTCTGACTCGCACGATAAGTTATTGCTACAGCCCAGGCAACCCCAGTCGACGTGTCTCGGATCCCCTCTTTTGTTTTTATCGCAACGGTAAGTACTCGTTCGCTGCACAATAAGCGGAGGGAAAAAGAAGTCGAAACAGCCGGAAACGAAACAGTATGCGCAGAGCCCGGTCCCTGTACTTTAATATCAACGGGTTGCACAGCATGGGACAGCCAAGGAATGAGAGAGTGCAGCAGATTTGAAATGATTCCTAGGGCTTAGCCGTCGTACACAGGATAAGCGGGCATGTGAGTAGCACCACCGTGCAGCCACATGCGAGACAGGACGACCGATTGCCCAAACTGGGCGGGGGATGTATGGAGGGGGAGACGCGTTATCGTCGTCGTAACAGGCGGCGTGTTTAGCCAAATACTCCGGGACGTTTGGTCAGACATCTGTCAGCGTGATGTCGAGGGCTGGTGGGATACGGAGGTTGACGTCGAGGGCGTGCGAAGAGGTAGGCGTTGACGAGGGGTGTGCAGCTAACATTGGTTGGCGGGTCGCTTCGGGTTGCTTGTGCTACGCGGCTGTACGGCCATTGACGGCCAGACTTCACATCGCGTTCTGCTATTTCGGAACATCTGGGCTGTCGTCGAAGGGCAGTGGTTTTTGTTATAGTTGAGGAAATAGGTCTGATTGGCGTTGATGAATGTTTTCCTAAACCCTAGCTCACTTCCTTCTGCCATGACGCGACAGATTTATTAGGTTAGCTATTCTTACAACTCCACACTCCACACTGCAGGCTACAGTCTTTCTATTCTCTCGCGCCTCGCGGATAAACGCGCATTCCATGCGTTCATGCATCCCCGCCATACGAACACGAACGCCTGTTGGACTCCACAAACGCTTGTTGATCTCCCATTCGTTACACAAGCTATCATGTCCTCATTGCATAATCTTTCCTAGCGCTTCGGAGCCCTTGCATATTGACCTCGAAGTCCGAAGCCATTAACCTAATCATGCCACTTGAAGCATACATGCTACTCTTTTCCGTCAAAGGTATTACAACAATACTGTCCAAACAACAACACGTCTTACCACCTTTACGAGCTTGTTTTGCACTTCCTCTCTTCAACCCGACATGCGCATGTCCAGATTGCAATCTGCAGCATCATTTCGAAGAAGGACTGCTACGTTCTCTAGGCCGTGTCGCGACGTTTACAATCACGCTGTGCACTGCGCCTCATGTCCTACCACAGTATGCGTGGCGCTACTTCTTCCCGCCGCCCTGCGGACATCATAGATACATACTGCGCAGATACGTGGCACCGCCAGCGCTACTTCGTCTACTGTAGAAGTCCTTCATAATAAAGCAGCTGTTCCAGCTTATCCAAGGACGCCACGGGAAACTGCAAGCTGCAAGGCCTCGCAGGTACGATCCTAACGCTTTTCCGTTGCTCCATCTCCCTATTGGGATTAGGAGCCTGAGTAATATGTACACCAGCGGGGTACGCAAGTACGATGTCCGGTACTAAGATCCGTGGAGAATTAGGCCATTGACGTATCATCCTGTGTATGACGGACTGGATATGAACTCTACGCCGTTTGAGGAGGAATACGATGGGCGAGATCAATCCCTGGCTTTATAGCGTTCGAAGTGCAGCCTTGCACGTTTGATGAGATAAGTCTTTAGCTATGCAGTGAAATAATGCCACTACAGGCAAAGAAGCTTTGTGATGTATCAAAGGCGCGCACGCCAAGTTTGAAGGTCGCGGAGATTCACTGTGTTGATGATTTCCAGGAGGGGATCGAGAAGTGTGAATTGTAGTTGAGAACACACGTGTTGGTACCGCTCACGAGGCAGAGTGGCTTTCGGGTGCGTGTTGGAAAGCTGGTCATAGCGGATAAGGGAAGGACTGCTAGAGCGATGATGATGAATACCGTTTTGCGAGGTGGCGCATAGTTTGGCCTATATCTCGATAGCAAGTAATTTCCAACGTGAAAGGAACATGTACATAGAGAATAGTTACATTCATAGAACTATATAACCACACAGTATAACTTGAACACCATTAGATATATATCGAAAATAAACGCGAAGATGTTGGAGGCCATGTTCTTATCGCGAGAAGTAGGACACCGATGGCTGAAGATAAAGTAGGGTGGTGAAGAGCTGAGAGGTTTGAGGTCCTATGCTCTCGCATGTCTCGTGGGGAAAGAATTTAAGGATACATTATTAATATGTGTTATTGGAGTCTGTTGCATGGAACTTCACGTAAAGAATTCGTCCGCAAGACTAAATCAACGAATGTGCGAGTTGGAGAAGGAAAGTGTTCGCGCTGATACGACTGACGTCGATAGTCGAGAGCTTGACGGACATAACTGTCAGTCGCTCTTCCTCAATCTGGTATCCAGGGAAATTCCCCAGCTACGAATTCTCGGTGCTGTCTAGAAGTAGCTAAGGAGATGACAGACGCAAGTGACGGTAATGACTGACCCGGCAGTTGCCAGTATTTTCAACCGTCTTTCCAGCCGCATCGGCCTGGACACAGTCCAGGCAGATACCTCTGGAGTTTGAGTAATGGATGAGACCGATATCGCTCAAAAGGTCCTCCTTCATGGTGCCCGCAGATCTACAGTTACAGTCGGGATCTGGGCACAGTTTTGCTGGAGGGTTGAGTCCATCCATCTGAGCCACCACAGTCCTGATATGTGTGATTGAGTGTGCGCCTATCGGCCAAAGACCACCAAGTTGAAGATTTACGATGAACAAGCCGATGCACTGCAGTCCTAAATCGCAGACCAATCTTTCACATAAGGTTATATTTACTCCGGAATAATCGATTCCATCTCTGACGGCTACTGCCTTGCAAATGGCGGCAATTGCTCGTTTCTGAACATCATGGAAATCGCTCAGGATACGCTCGAGCAAGCGGGTGGGAAGGAAATCGTGGCCGTGCGCTGCGGTCGTGATGCTGAACGGACTGGCGCGATCGAGAACCAGGCTTCGGGACACTTTGTGGAACTCATGCGGCAGGTCAAGTAGGTATGCAGCCAGCAAGGTCTTTTCAAACCCTGGATCATCTGGAGTCTCAAGGAGTGCCGCGATCCATACCAATCCCCACGCATGCATTGTATCCAAACAATCGTACTTGTGGCATGCGATTACGACATTTGCCAAGGCTGTAGCTGTAATCTTCGTAGCAAACTTGGAGGTCTGGATGTGGATCACTTTGCAGATAATGACGATGGACTCTGGATCATCTTCAGGAAGTGAGACTGTCGGTGGCGAATTTTGAGACAAAGATTCGCCCTCGAGGAAGCGACCATCGAACATGGCAGCGAAGACAGGCGAGGCAAAACTGAGGGCCGTAGAAGAAACTAGGATTTTGCGTATCGGCTGCTCAGGCTTTCCAAGCTGGAGTAGAACGTCTCCTTGCTTATGAATCACCTCTACTTCCACTTCCAATCCTCGTGCTGTAGACATTTCAGGTGAGCCTATCACGTTAGATCTTTCGAATGCACCTGTCGATACGCGGTTGCAACCTACCGGCTAACTTGCGTTTTCGTGAAGTCAACATGTCGCTTTGCAAAATTTGTTATCGATGAAGGACCCTTCGTGGATTGAGATATGGTAATGGAGGGGCGTTAGCAAGGTAGAAGTGAGGTCCTTGTTCTGAATTTGGTCTGACGATGAAAGAGACGGAAGAGATTTGATTCTTGGACGTCGACTACTAATTCAGGTGGCCGTGCGGGGCGCTCTGACATTTCGGTCCAAAATCAACGGGATCGAGCTGCTTGCAGAGACTGCCATGCCACCTTCTATACCTACTTCTGTTAATCCCTTCTTCCGTCGTTCTCAGGTACGTTCTGATCAAAATCGGAGGTTTGAGAGGGGCTCAGAACGTGGAGGATGATGTCACGTAGTCGGCAACGGTCACGCGCTGCGATAACGGCGGTGGCTGGCGTGTTCGCGTTGGCGCTGCTCTCAGGACAACACCGCAGTCGAATGTGCTTCGAGTAGACTGGAATTACTGGGCGCAAGCTTTACCAGTCGCTGGCACTTGTGTCGCAGAACAGTCGCGAGAGGGGTGTGCGATGGGCCGCCGTCTAATATTGTTGTTCCTTGCCGTATCAACGTTGCCTCGCGGCAGACGCGTCCCGAGGGAGCTGGGGCGATGGATAAACTCTTCACGATTTGTCTGCACGATTTGTCGGTTGAAGAGATAGGTATCCTTCCTTGAACCGTTTCCAATAGTGCGCAGTCGACGTTGTCAGGTCACTTGGTCTGTATTGGGACAACAGATGCGTAGCTCCCGACGCGAGACTGGCGCGTATTTATCTGGCGCCGAATCGGAGGCGACCCGCCGAGTCGATAGCGAACAATCTCCAGAGATCCTCCGGCTAATCCGAATCTTGTCCCTCTTCTCCGCGCTTTCTGCACGCTTCGCCCGCAATACCTCCGAGCTTCGACGGCGACAGTTCGCAGCCGCAGACGTAGCGAAGTTCAACCGTGGCCCTCCGTAACTCGTACGCCATTGCCCTATGCCGCGGACGGCCTTCCGTCGCAGATTAGCATCTAGATTGCACGGCTCACCACCCCGCTTGTTTGCGAAGATGTGATAGCAGTACTGGTGAGCCGTTGGTGGCGTCGTTGGCTTCTATGCGTATGTTCCCTGAGGAGACTTTCTCCAGGACGTAGATATGCCCAAAAAAAGAAATGAGGGCGGATTTAGAATCGTGAAAGAGACGTATACAGCAATGGCATCGTGGTTTGCCTGGGGTGCCCCTCCACAGTTCCGCAGTGCAGCCCTTCGGAACGTCGTCGGAACGGAGACGATTATTAGGGGCCGGCTACTACACCGGCGTATGGAGCTCCATGTACGTACCTCCTGCTCCACCCAGGCATGCAATTGGCCTCTAGTTTGACCACCCTGCTGACCCACAGCCCAGGAACTACACTAGGGGGGCATCGGCGAAGCCTCGAGAGCCCCTAAACGGGTAAAATGTCAGTAGAATCTCCCCTGGCGCCTACTAGGGACTGGCTGGCGCCATTGGATGCGACCCCGCATCATCTACGGCGCAAAGTAATCCAAACATTACCGGCGTGCCCGCATACACACGGGAGCAACCAGTTGTTGTGCGCATTTGCCCACCACCAAGTGGGGAGGCCTGGCCGTGTGTCGTGGGCCGAGTGACCCAAGATTAACGGCATGCTCGACGTCAAGCCAGAGGCTCTTTGTGGGTACCTTTTCTTGGAATATATAAGCCCCTCACTACCCCTCAAATGCTCACGTACCATCAGTCCTCTTCTGTACAAATACGACTCGCAAATTCCTGCACGACATTCGGAGCCGCAAAAGGTATTCCAGCCCTGTACCGTACCCCTCATCTGCCGGCAGCAGGGCCATTGGCTGACACTTCTCGTGTTAGAACAAGTACTCCAGTACCTTTCCAGCTCCTAGTATATATCCTCTGCGGAGCCTCAATTGTTCTTCTCAGTTCAATAATTCACAATGGTATTTCTCCGCTCAGCTTCTCGCCTTGCGCGCCCTGCCTCCTCCCTCCTTGGTGCACGCGCCGGGCCTCGATTGACTTCGTCTCTGCGACAACCCAATGCCTTCAGAACGCTAACCTCGACTGCTTCACAACAGGGCAAAGTTCTTCTCGTCCTCTACGATGTAAGTGTCCCTCAGAAACTGGCAACACCAAGGCAATGCGACTGACATGGCTCAAAGGGCGGCATCCACGCCGAGCAGGAGCCCCAGCTTCTCGGAACCACTGAGAACGAGCTTGGCATCAGGAAGTGGATTGAGGACCAAGGCCACACGCTCGTCACCACCTCTGACAAGGAGGGTGCGGGCTCAGAGTTCGACAAGCACCTTGTTGACGCCGAGGTCATCATCACCACACCGTACGTCGAAGCTACCCCGCATCGTCGCTAAAATGCCCCACCACCATGCTGCCGGTGTGATGGACGGGCTAGCGTGGGAAGCATCATCTGCACGAGCACCGGCTAATCAATTTACAATAATAGTTTCCACCCCGGTTACCTCACAGCAGAGCGCCTTGCCAAGGCGAAGAACCTGAAGCTTGCCGTTACTGCTGGTATCGGTTCCGACCACGTCGACCTCAACGCCGCAAACAAGACCAATGGCGGTGTCACCGTTGCTGAGGTCACGGGCTCCAACGTCGTCTCCGTCGCTGAGCACGTCGTTATGACTATCCTGACTCTTGTCCGCAACTTCGTTCCCGCTCACGAGCAGATCGTCAAGGGTGAGTGGAACGTCGCTGAGGTCGCCAAGAACGAGTATGACCTCGAGAACAAGGTCGTTGGTACTGTTGCCGTTGGCCGTATTGGCGAGCGTGTGCTGCGCCGTCTCAAGGCCTTTGACTGCAAGGAGCTTCTGTACTTTGATTACCAGCCCCTCTCTGCCGAGAAGGAGAAGGAGATTGGCTGCCGAAGGGTCGAGAACCTCGAGGAGATGTTGGCACAGTGCGATGTTGTCACCATCAACTGCCCACTTCACGAGAAGACCCGCGGTCTCTTCAACAAGGAGTTGCTCTCCAAGATGAAGAAGGGCTCATGGCTCGTCAACACTGCCCGTGGCGCCATTGTCGTCAAGGAGGACGTTGCTGAGGCGCTCAAGAGCGGCCACCTCCGTGGATATGGTGGTGATGTCTGGTTCCCCCAGCCCGCCCCCAAGGACCACCCGCTCCGCTACGCCCAGAACCCCTGGGGTGGAGGCAACGCCATGGTTCCCCACATGTCTGGTACCTCGATCGATGCGCAAAAGGTATGTCTTCACCATACATGGTATTCTGTCCGCTTTCAAGTTGCTAACATGTCCCAGCGCTACGCCGATGGCACCAAGGCTATCCTCGACGAGTACTTCTCCGGCCGCGAAAACTACAGGCCCGAGGACCTCATCGTCCACAAGGGCGACTACGCCACCAAGGCGTATGGCCAGCGCAAGTAAACGATTCATGTTCTTTCCAAGCATTTTCGGACGAATTTCTTTGCAGGTTCCAGCGAGTCAGAGGGTATCTGGCAGTGTATGAAAACAAATATATCCACTTGAACTCATCCTATTTGCATAGCGATCGTGAAGAAACGTGAAAAAGTAAACGGTATAGGGAGAAGTGAATTTGAAATATTGCAGACAATAAGAAATATATATCTGAAGAGTGTATTTTGAAGTAAAGTTACACCTATGCATCTAGGCAGCTGTCTGGGTTGTATACATCGACCTATCGATTCCGCGAAAGGGACCGCCGCCTCTCATCTTCGTGCTCATCCTCACTATCGTCTTTGAACCCCTCCTCCAGCTCCCTCCCGAGCCGCCTCTCCTCCTCCATCATACTCCTGCGCTGCTCCAGGGCCTCCCTTCTCCTATCGTCAATAGGTTCAAAACCGACCATACCCTCGCCTTCCTCGTCGTCAAACAGCTCGTCCTCGTGGTGTCCACTGCCGTCGATGACCGTGCGGTCCCGTCCCCAGGCTGAGGGCGCGAATAGATTGTACAAGGCGTCGGACAGTTTGGTTCGCCAGGAGGCTGATGTCGCGAAGGCTGGGACGCCAGTGGGCATGGGCAGGTACTGGTTGTAGCGACTGCGGTGGCGGCGTACAAAGGGGAGGATTATCATGGCGAGGAGGACGTAGAGGATTGCGGCCAGGAAGAGTGGTACGAAGATGGTCTGGAGAGTGGGTTAGCATGTTGGGAGACATCTCCTGCATCGACTCAACATGACATGTTTCGTAGAGTCGCTACCACTGCAACGCGAACGCACCTTGAGGAAATGCATAAAACCCGCCATGGCTGTGGTTGCATGTAATAGCGATGCCGGCTAGGCTGGTGGTGCGCGTCCTTTTGTTCTCCCAGAGCTGACGCAAGATCCGGGGGGCTGTTGGGCTGGCGCGATGAGACACAGCATGCGCCAGGTGTGGACAAAGTATTTTGAGCGCCTACTTGCAGGAACTGTGCCGGTGCCTGTGCCTGCTACGCCACGCGAATATGTTCCCCCCAGTGCGCTGCAGAGGTCGAAAGCGAAGAGGTTCGCCGTATGGGCAAGCAAGCAACGACGCTTGCGCCTCCTGGTGCGCCACCACGGGCCAGGCAGGGCACGTCTCAGGGGAGGATCGCATCCCAAAGCGGACGTCCGTAGAGACCATGGCGTGCAGCATGCCCTATTCGAAACCCATGCGGAGCAGCCCTATACCGCGTTGCAGCACCCGTTCGCTGCTGAAAAGGCCCCGTACTTTCATGTTTACCTCTCGGTAGTCACACAAGAGCCGCTAAAGTCGTAGGAACGCGGCCACTTCCCGAGTTCACCTGCGGCCCGCCTTGCCCACCCTTGACAACGCCTCGAGGCATTTCTTCCCACCTCAGATACCCAGTCTCGCGCCCCGCACTATCGTTTCAGCAGATTTCGACGGGCAGCCAGCCCAGCACGGCTACAGACTACGCGGGCTCGGTCGAAGACAGCATACCGCATAGCATCGCAGCGCATCGAACATTGGGAAGGTGGATAGGAGGACACGGTTGGGCGGCGCGCTCCACGGGCGCCACCACAGGGTATATCAGACTCGCATAGGATGGATGGCAAGGGTCGGCAATCATCCGCCGGCAAGTTCTTTGGGCGACGGCACAAGGAGAAGGATAAAGCTGGCAACGAGAGACCCGTCACCTCCACCACCGACAGCCCGCCGGGGAGCTCGTATGGCTCGCAGTCTTCACGGCACTCCCATAGACACAGCACCTCAGCCGCCTCAATCGATCGGCCTGTATCCTTGGTAGCAGAGGGCATCTTTGCGCGAGCCGGCCCCGTATCATCCATTGACCCCCCGCGAGACGACACAGCACGAATGGGCGAGCCGCTGCCACACCACCTCAACAAGGGCGGCGGAGACTTTCACCAGTACCCAGTCTTTACCGCGCCCTCGACGCCCCAGAATGGGTATAGCACTCCGCCGCCGCGCCCCCCACCGCACACGCACACGCAGACCATTGCCTCGAGCCAACCTGGCGACCGCGGCGTGTCCACGCAGCAGTGGGGCACGCGAGAGCCCAACAGGAATCCAAACTATAGCTACTATGCGGCAACAGACTCGTCCAACAACACGCGCGCCTCCTCGGACCAGGCGAGCATCTACAGCAATGACTCCAAGAGTCGCAGCAGCAATATCTTCTTCCCGCAGAATCCTTCTCAGTCCACCTTTTCGTCAATTGGCCTTGATGCGGGGAGCTTGCTCCCCACGGCGGCCTCCACTCCCCGCGACTCGCACCGCCACATGATGCACCACAATTCGTCGTCACCGTCCTCCTCGACTGCCTCGATACAAAGACCACCAGACCATGTTGTAGAGAAGGAGTTTATGAAGCTCATGGTGAAGCGGGGATATAAGAGCTTGCCCGAGCAGGCGCAACGCCAGATGGAGGCATACAAGATTGATAAGAAGTGGACATTGGTCTACCAGGATAAATTGGCAGAGCTCAAGCATGAAGAAAAGAAGCGCCAGACGCAGACGCAGCGGATAACATATGGGGGTGGTGCGAACCCAGATATCTTGATGCGGGCCGAAGAGGAGGGATCGCCTGAGTGGTATGTCAAGAAGGTCATGGACAACTCGATTACCATAAAGCAAATGTCGAGTCTGGAAATCAGCTTAAGGACACAGCCAATCGCTTGGGTCAGGGGCTTCATCGAAGCGCAGGGCCAAATCGCCCTCACGAATGTGCTCACCAAGATCAATCGCAGGAAGGGGCAAGGGCCGGCTCCTCCACCCAGCGTTATGGCGCAGAAGGCGGAGAACGACGTGGAGCGCGAGTACGAAATCATCAAATGCTTGAAGGCGTTGATGAACAACAAATATGGCGCAGATAACGCCCTGCACCATCCATCCATCATTCAAGCGCTGTGCAGTTCTTTGATATCCCCACGCCTCAACACAAGAAAACTTGTCTCGGACGTCTTGACGTTTCTCTGCCATTGGGGCGAAGGGTCTGGACACGAGAAGGTTCTCCAAGCGCTCGACAACCTCAAGGCGCAATATGGCGAAAGCAGTAGATTCGATGCCTGGATGCGCATGGTGGAAGTTACTGTCGACGGCCGCGGCAAGATGGGCTCTATGGTTGGCGCCTCAGACGAAGTACGCAGCGGAGGCATTGGCGTGGAGAACTTGTTGATGGAATATGCAATCGCCACCCTCTTCCTCATCAACATGGTCGTGGACGCTCCAGAGCGAGACATACAGCTCAGGATGCACATTCGTGCGCAGTTCACAGGATGTGGCATCAAGCGTATTTTCAAGAAAATGGAAGGTTTCCAGTACGAGGTCATCGACAAGCAAATTGAACGGTACATGGCCAACGAGGCCATTGACTACGAAGACTTCCTCGAAAAGGAGAACAGCTCCATGGTAGATAGCGTCGAAGGCGAAACCAAGGACTTAAACGATCCCTCACAGATCGCAGACGCTATCATGAACAAGATTGCCGGTAGCAGGACGCAGGATTATTTTATCTCGTCCATGCAACACTTGCTGCTTATGCGAGATACTGAAGGCGAGGATCGGCAGAGAATGTTCCAGTTGGTGGATCAGATGCTGAGCTACGTGGCTATGGACCGCAGATTGCCAGACATGGATCTAAAGCAGAGCTTGAACTTTACTGTTCAGTCCCTGTTGGATAAACTGTATACCGATTCCGAGGCCCGACAAGTGCGAGATGAGGCGATCGAAGCACGCCAAATTGCCGACTCGGCGATTGCTGAGCGCGATGAAATGAAAGCCCAACTCGAGCTCGGCGCAGATGGCTTAGTTCAGAAACTGCAGAAACAGCTGGCTGAGCAAGAGCGCATTATCGAGCTCCGTGGTCGACAAGTCGAGCAGATGAAGGCCGAGCTTGCAGAGGTGCAAAGAATACGGGCGCAAGAGTTGCAACGTAATGAATTGGAGACTCGCGAGCTGTACTTGATGCTTAGGGATGCTCAAGATGTTGCCGCGTCTGCAGCGAAGAAGTCAGGGAAGGATGGACTGTCGACAACCGATCCTGCGCAGATGCAGGGCATCATGGATCGCGAGCGATTGATGAACAGGCTCGAAATTCAGCTGCAGAGAGCAAGGACGCAAGCTACGCTAGAGGGCAAAACGCTGCAGATGCAGCCGAGCGAGAAGTTGAGGGAACTGAGAGAAAAGATGGAGGGTGACATGGCTGCTGGTATGCAAGACCAAAGTTTCGGTGATCTCGACACAAACAACTTCGGATCAATACGACGAGGGAAAAGTAGTATACCACGCAGGAAACCGCTTCCTGGCCTCCCTGGCCAGATCGGTGAAGAAGATGTCATGTCAGAAGATGATGAGGACATGGTTATCGAACAACCTCGTCTCATAACCTTGCACAAGCCGAAGCTCAGCGCCTCGACAGCCAACGCTCTTCTGGGAGAGATCGCCTCGAACGTCGAGCGATATGACGATTCAGATACAGAGGACGCTGGCGACGGCGTTACAACAGGACCTTCCCATCCAAGCATTGATTCCGATCCCAAGACGCCTGCAGATGGCGAAGCCGCGAAGCCTGTTATTCCTCCACCACCGCCACCTCCTCCCGGTGCACTCGGATTTCCTGCTAATATACCTCCTCCACCGCCCATGCCCGGCACTAATGCTAATATCCCACCGCCTCCACCACCTCCTCCGCCAGGCAAGCTTGGGTTCGGTGGTCCGCCTGGAATCCCTCCACCACCGCCCATGCCTGGGGATGACAGCATGCCTCCGCCACCTCCTCCGCCACCAATGCCTGGCGGGAAGCGCCCTGGCTTCATGCCAAAAGCTCCTGGTTTCGCGCCATCTGGTGCTGCTCTGTCAGGACCTCGGCCTAAGAAGAAGCTAAAGGCTCTCCATTGGGATAAGGTTGACCAGCCTTCGACGACTGTTTGGGCAACTCGAGGTCTCACCTCTGAAGAAAAGGAAGAGAAGTACCAGGAGCTTTCGAAGAAGGGTGTGCTCGAAGAGGTGGAAAAGCTCTTCATGGCTAAAGAGATCAAGGCCATTGGCAAGAAGACTGGAAAGAAAGACGACAAGAAGCAGATCATATCGCGTGACCTTATGCACAACTTCCAAATCAGCATGGCCAAGTACTCGTCATATGCGGTTGAAGATATTGTAAAGATGATCATCCACTGCGACAAGAAGATCCTGGACGACACTGTAGTCATGGACTTTTTGCAGAAGAACGACTTCTGCGACATACCAGATAACACTGCCAAGCTCATGGCACCTTACTCGAAAGACTGGACTGGACCCAATGCTGGTGAAAGTAAGCGCGAACAAGATCCAAGCGAGCTTACACGAGAGGATCAGATCTTCCTTTACACCGCGTATGAGCTACATCCTTACTGGAAGAGTAGGATGAGGGCCCTCGCGCTTACCCGCACCTATGAATCCGAGTACGACGAAATCTCCAATAAGCTTCTCGAAGTCTCGCGCGTATCCGAGAGCCTACGTGATTCGTCTGCCTTGATCAGTGTCCTAGGACTCATTCTCGATATTGGTAACTTCATGAACGACGCCAACAAACAAGCAAACGGCTTCAAGTTGTCGACCCTATCAAGGTTAGGCATGCTGAAGGATGACAAGAATGAATCTACCTTCGCCGATCTTGTGGAACGCATCGTTCGCAACCAATACTCTGGTTGGGAAGGCTTCACCGACGAAATCAGCGGCGTCATCACTGCTCAAAAGATCAATGTCGAGCAACTCCAGACCGATGCGAAGAAGTACATTGACAACATCAAGAATATTCAAATGTCCCTTGACGCTGGTAATCTGTCGGATCCTAGTAAGTTTCACCCTGAGGATAAGGTGTCTATTACGGTACAGAGGAGTATGAAGGAGGCGAGACGGAAGGCCGAACAGATGGCCGTATTTTTGGAGGATATGCAGAAGAGCTATGATGATATTATGGCATTCTACGGTGAGGATCCTGCCGATGATAGCGCGAGGCGCGACTTTTTCGCCAAGTTGGCGAATTTCGTGATGGAGTGGAAGGTCAGTCATTCTCTATATTCAACCCCTTCCCCTTTCCCAGCCTTGAGTCTTCTTATTTTCGACGCTTTCGACGGAGATTTGTTTGCTAACTTCAATAATAGAGGTCCAGAGAGAAGAACACCGCCCTTGAAGACCAACACCGGCGCAACGAAATCTCCATGCGCCGCAAAGCCGCCCAAGTCCCCAATCCACTCTCACCCAGCGCCCTTTCCTCAGATTCGGACGCGCCCAAATCACCCGCGTCCACCGGCGCTATGGACGACCTGTTGCAGAAACTACGAGCGGCGAAACCCGAGGCAAGAGACCAACGGGATCGTCGTCGTCGTGCAAGGTTAAAGGACAAGCACCAGGTACGCGTCGCATCCGGGCAGAAGATTCCCGAGATTGGTGTAAACATGGAAGAAGAAGGTGCCGGCGGGGAAGAGGAAGCAAGTAGCGAAGTCAAGGAGAAAGGTATACTCTCACCTACCAGTGAGACTGCCGAGAGTGAAGCTAGTGCTGCAGGTGCGATTACAAGTCCCGCAGGTACCGACGCAGATGTTGCAGATCGCGCGGCCGCCATGCTAGAGGGTCTCCAAGGCGGCTCGTCCCTGAACAAAGACGGCAGTCTCAGTGTACGGCGCCGGCGAGAAAGCGCCGATACGGAGCGCCAACGACGGCGGAACCGCAGGCAGCAGGCTAGTTCCACCAAGACCGAAGACGGCGCCCTCTTGAGCCCGTCGACCATCCCCGAGGAACTCGAATTCCCGGCCGACGAGGATGAGAACGTCGCTAGAGGGCCTGATACACCCGTCACCGTCGTCCATCCACCTAGCCCCGAGCAAAAGGGAAGGGACTTGCCCACGCCGCCGCCGGAGGAACGGTTGTAAAATGTGGGAAAGACGGGCAGGAGGGATGGATGGAGGGAGGGAATGGGAGGAATGTGGGGGGCTTAAATGGTTTCGACTCTACACTTTGATACCCGATCGCCAATTATTTTTTAATCTTGGAAGCAAAACTTATATCAACCTTGTTTTTTGTTAAACTTTGGGTTTTATCATTCGTTTGCCTGTTTGTTGTGGTTTTCGGCTTTTCTGTTTTCGTTTGCATTGGCGCTTTGCTGATGATAGCATAGCGGAGTTTTTTTTGGGGGGGGTTTTTGTCCTGTTTGGTTTGCTTGGTTGTGATTTACAAGAGTGCGGCGTTTGCGTTTTGTGAAGACTTATTACTGGCATACGCTCGGTCTTTTTTTCCTTTTGCGTTTGAGCTATCTTTTCTAGTTGAATAGATGATCTTGGGAAGTTTGATTTGGGGTTTCCCTTCTACTATTTTGCCAAGACCGTGCTTGCGAATATCGTCAAAACCAGGGTGCTTTCTGTGCTTCCCTGCTCTTCTCCGCGTCTTGTCGATTGATTTTCAACTTTTTGCCTCATGGGCTGAGGGCGTTGGTTGGTTGGTTGGTTGATCGTCTGGTGGTGGTTGCACGCATGGTACGTGGTGTGTTACACTTTTTTCATGGGTGTGGTCAATCACATGGTTATACTAGAATCTAGACCATCATCTTCCAATACACTACGCATGTGGTTCTTCGTAAGTCTCTCCACTTGCGGATCGGTAGGCACCACGTTGTCACGTTTCCTACGGCGACGTTCTCGCGTAAGACACTTTTTGAATTTGACAGAGAGAAGGAGAGAGAGGTAAGCTTTATAACTTTGTAAATGTATGACCAAGTAGGTAAATGGTATTCAGAAGATCTTGCCTTTTCTAGATCGTGTTTTCGGTGCCGACTGGAACCCGTAGAAGCCAGGTTAGTTTATGGCTACCTTTGTGCAACTACATTGACTACAGCCTACTTATCGTACTGAAATCATGCCATGTTCGCTGTCTTCGCAGCCTCGGTGTTGGCAAAAGTTTACACTAACATGATCATTCTCACGACATATCCGCAGCTCACGTTGCAAAGAATTCAGCGCAGTCAGCACTTGCCATGCTGTGTAGTCTCACGATTACAACGGCGTTGTTCAACACAGCCGGGCCACTTCTTACTCTGCATCTGTTCATTGGGCGTGGTTCTGGCAAGGCCACCAATCCTACAGTGGTGGAGCCGAAGGCACAAGTAGCGATTGAGTTTAGCAAAGCGATCACAATTTTGAACGTAGACCTCAATCTGACAGTTGTTTCGAGACAAAAACTATGCATTACGTGAAAGGCAGACAAGAGGACTGCGTCCGCGGATTCTACGTCGTGCTGCTTGTTCCTAGGCTAGCCTATGATAGTGCATGGATCTCCATCGGTAAGCGGGGTGTTGGGTGTCCCGCTCTCCCTCAACATTCGTCGTCGAATCGTCTTGTCCGACACTATCAAAGTTCGGCGCGCGCGGTGGGTGCCTTAGTTGCCTACTGTGAGATACGCAAGAAGATTTGGCGAGTCAAGATTCGACAGAGGATCACGCTCTTAGTTGCTCCTCGGCGAGCGTCGGATCCCCTCGACATGTCCGTACGACCACCAGCGCCACTACGGAGCAAGCCGAGTGCCCATCAAATACGCAAGCGTCTATTGGTGAGTGGTTTTGCGTTGTTTGAGCGCATTCCAGGGATATGCGGGTGTGCCATTGAAAGAGATGGAATAGACCTCCTCCGATTGGGAGCTAAAAAGGACCGCTATGGATTCATTGACCTATCGCTGTGTAAGACTCGGGGTAAACGCCACAATCCTATTTCTATCGTAGTACTTACGTGACTTTGGTAGACGTGCGACATACTCAGCCCTACCTCTATGGCCCTGCGGCTCTTAACACCCCCAGGCTTACTCCGGGTTTCTAGCAGACACTTCGGCTACGGGATTCCTTCTTTGGCTAACCTCGAATCTAGAGAGGGCTTCTTGACGCCTCAAGCGAACCGCGCCCTGGTTCAAGAGCGCGGGGCCGTAATGATCGTCGTTTGGTAGCTGAACCTCCACGCTGGCCAAGTCCACGTCGCCCGGCAGCAACATCTCCACCACTCCTTGATGAAGCCATGTTTAGACCAAGAATGGGGATTCTCACTCAATAATGGTGCTGTGAGATAAGGGGGCCAAAACCGACCAAGACTTGCCTTGCCATTACCTTGCGGGCTGGAGACTTTTCGGCATAATGCTGTGTCCATCGTAGCATACGCGTAAGAGGCTACTACTTCGGCGAGTGAGATGCACAGCAGGCTTCTCACATGCAACCTAAAATCTGGGCTCACATTTCGATATTCTTGGTCGTACGCAGTTGGCCTTATGATGGGGGATCTACTCAGCCGACTCAGCATCTCAACATGATCGACATATGTTGCGTCTGCCATGCTACTGGCTCGCACACGTCAGTCAGCCACTCATGGCATATACTCCATGCTCTCTTAGTAGCTCGAGCTCACCGTCTTGATACCATTCCGGCGGGCGACCATGCCAATTTCAGCAGAAGACGACCCTTTAGGCTTGATGTCCAGTTGGGAGATGCACATTGCTGACATGGTGGCACTGCAAGTCACGCGTAGCATCTTTTTGCATGCGCCTTTGGATATCTTGATAGATGTATAAAGAGCTGCGTAGACCTCTGTTTGTCTCACATCTGCATACCAGTACCTTCTATCGCTTACCTTAGGAGTCCGCTACCTTATTCGTCCTTCATTCACTAGGATCTTAACCTTCTCACTACATAAATAATGTATATTCGCTCCATCTTCGTCACCACCTTGGCGGCTACTAGCACAGCACGAGCGCTGAACCTAGCTGAAGGGGCAAACTCCGCAGCCGGCAGCTCAAAACGCGCACTCGGAAGCGTTGTTAACTGGACTAGAGGCATTTTCAACAGACAAACAACATGTCCTGCTGTGTGGAGCGAGATCTCCACCAACCTCACAGCCCAATTTCTAGCAGACGGTCAATGTACGGATGCGGCACGCGCAGCCATTCGATCAGCCTTCCACGACTGCTTCAATGGCGCCTGTGATGGATCCCTTATCCTTGCCAATGAGTGCTCAAACTCAGAGAACGCGGGTCTCTCTCAGCTATGCGGCAACCTTGCGAACATTGCAAATCAGGCGAAAGTCGGTGTTGCAGATCTCATCCAGTTCGCTGCTGCACACGCGATCAAGACGTGTCCTGGTGGACCCACCGTTCCCGTCAAGATAGGCCGTAAGGACTCCAGCACTGCAAACGCCCTTGGTGTGCTTCCAGCTCACAATTCCGGTGGCGATGATCTGGTGAAACTTTTCGGTACGTTGACTCTTCCACGAAATGGTTATCTTGGCTAATACTGTGACTGCTTCAGCGTCGAAGGGATTCACACCTACCGATCTCGCCGCCTTAATCGGTGCCCACACAACGGCTAAGCAGCGCTTCGCTGACCCATCCAAAGCTGGCGCATCTCTCGACTCTACCGTCGGTACTTGGGACACCAAATTCTACTCAGAAACGAAGAGTGGCAAGGCACCTTTCACCCTACAAGCCGACAAGAACATTGCGGAGAACTCGCAAACATCCGCCCCTTTTAGCAACTTCGCCTCGAGTAAGGGTGCTTGGGACGCGGCTTTTGTTAGTGCAATGACGAAAATGAGCATGTTGGGCGTTGATGGAAGTAATCTGATCGATTGTACGGGTGCGCTGCCCGGGGGGAGCAGGAAGCGGGAAATCAAGAACAGCAATATCTTTGACCGCCTCAAATGGTAGATGCCGATCGAATGATCTTATAATGTATCTCGGGCAACGGAATGTGTCGCACAGTTTATATGATGGAGTGGTATTGCATGGTAGGCGTTAAAATGTACACTGGAATCTGGATGGCAGATTATCTTTTCAACTACATTAGTTCGAAATGGCGTTGTTGATGGAGGCTCCACTTTCATGCTTGACAGTCGTAGATTCGCCTTCTGGCATGCAACGTCTGTCGGACGAGTTTGCGCGCTGTACCATAGAGTGCTTTGGCTGAGACGGGGAGCATGCCACCCTTACGAGGTATACTAGGTTTGATTAACAGTTAATGCGGAGTATGATCTCCTTGGTCCATGCTAAGTCTTACATTTTGTCAAGGAACCTTTTCAAACAATCTCCTGCTGTCTGCGTAGGGACGATAGTGATATTGGGGTGGCTATGCACCGATGTGAAGGCCACTAGGATATAACTAACAAGTTCGCGAGGTGCAGCGTCGCTAATGAGCCGCAAGTGTCCTACCATTGAAAGCGTCCACAACAAGTAGGTTAAAAAGCATCCTGAAAAACTCTGGCGAGTAGTCAGTCTGCTACTGCGAAACAGTATTGGCCAATAGATGTCAAGCTATTAACAATTGACTATGATTTCTTTGACAAAAGATTTGAGGTACAGCGGACAACGAAGCGGTTTGAAAACTCCCGGATTGCTAATCGCAATGAGGAAAGTTGTTCCGCGCCGAGAGTAGTGGGGAAAAATTGGTGCAATCTTCCAACTTTCAAACATCATACTGTAGGGGCTGCCGTATCGCGGCTGTTGATGTTGAATGGTTGATGTTGAATGGAAACCCGTCTTAGATAGCCGTACATCTTGCGCATACAGTGTAGCTCGAACAACGAGCACATGAGATCCCCCTCGCGACCGAGACCGCAACATTTTTTAAGATATCTAACTCTTCTGGGCTGTTCTTGAAGATCTCCACATAACTTTGCAGTTGCTAATTGTCAAGAGTAAGATTCTTTGGGGCTGTTCAGGCCGCGCAGGTTCAGTAATAACGAGACGAGGCGAGTAATCGCTTCTGGGGCAGATGCCGAGATTTGTATCACCAGGCTACCGATATTTTGAGGCCCGAATTCTCTAAATAGCGACGTGTAACCGCATCGTCTCCTCAAAGTAACACAACGTAGGTAAGCATATCTATTTCGGGACTGGCGGCTGGCTCTCCAGAGGCCACCACGCCCAGACCATTTCCGGAGACCTCAAGGTCTCGCAAAGCTTTCAAGGCTGCGAAACATCTCGAACAAGCACAATTTGTCGCAGTTGAAGGTCTAGTCATGGTCCTGAGGTCTGGTGTGCTATGTCTGAGTGCAACACGATCTCGTACCCGCGCAGTTATTTCGGGCGAACAAATAATCTCAGCAATGGCGTTCGGGGACTGATAGCGTCGGGTTTTCAGTCTCAAGGCAGTACACAAACAGACATGGTGAGGTGCCTTGTGGTGTGGTGGAAGGATCATGTTTGTGTTTCACAGTTAGCGCGCCAAGACCGCTCGTGTTCCCCGCAATAGCTGCGTTTCCTCATCCTCCCTGTCGTCTTCATATCTTAATCACGAAGACAACCCTTGTAAGCGCACCATGTTGCTTCTGAATGCAAACTGCTTTGTTCGAAGTTAGCTTTTGCTCTCATCGTTCAGCGGCTCTCTGTGCATGTCAACGTTCGTTATCCACGGAACGCCACAAATCGCGGATTAAGACTCCAATTACAGGATACCCTTGTGTAAAAAATCGAAGCTATCCTCTTCGTCTGGCAGCAGCTTCCTAGCCGATATCGTTTTGCGTTGTAAATGCGGTTGAGGCGTCGAGGATCTGGAAACCGTTGGTCTATCACACCTCTCTGAGCAAAAGCAAACTGCGACTGCTCACATCGTCCCGCAAAAAGTAAAACGATCAGCAATCTCGACCAAGATCCTGATAGCAATTAAACTCCGCATGTTCTGTGGCGTCGACGAATCCGAGCCATTCCGAACCCTCAAAGAGAGGTGTCATAGATACGCTCGGTGGCAGTGTTTACTACAACGGCAGCTGAGTTCGTACATCAAACGACAGATCTCTTAACATCTTATTCCAAATTATTAGACATACCTCGTCAATCGTTGAGGATGGTGACATCTCCATAGCGACGTCGGCGAGAAGCCGGTGGCCTGCACCTGCAGTGTTACCTGGGCTGGCCCGCCACGTTTTGGGTGTCGTACAGCGTAATGCTCTCCTAAACATACACGGAGGGGCATCAACACTATGTTTTCTTTTGCAACTTATTCGTCCTGCCTCATAACATCTGGTAACCTGCCTGATCAGCTATAACGGATGCCTTCCAAATTTGACGATAAGGGTGCCACCGCTACAGCAACACAAGATGCGTGTCGATGCCAGAGGACAACTACCCGATCCGTCCTCGACAGTCCACGACAAGGGTCCTTTCATCCTTGCCATTGCCGTCACGCTGGTCTCACTCGCGCTATTGACCTTCTCGCTCAGAATCTACACACGTGGAAGACTCCTTCGCTCCTTCGGCATCGATGACTACATGGCCGCAATAGCTGCGGTGCGTTGGTTTGAAAACTATGTAATGATTTGTTACTAATATTGCTCCAGTCATGCCTACTCGGAGCTCTAATCACAATTGCCTGCCTCGTCAATCTAGGTTTCGGGAAGCAGTCATGGAGTGAGACCTCAGACAACAATCCATTTGAATTCAGCCCTTTGATTTGGTCATATTCTTTACTCATCATCATCGCCATTGGCCTCGTGAAGCTCTCGGTTGCTTTCTTCATATTGCGCATATTCGAACGAAGATACTGTCGCCATTTTCTTTACGTTATCATTTGTGAGTTCATCAAAAAGTGCTTCAAAACTGTCGAAATAACACATCTAGGCCTTTTGGTTGCCCTGACGCCCGTATGGTTTGGATCGACACTCTTACAATGTATACCAGTTGCCGCAACATGGAACACCTCGACTCGGTCTGGGGCTCGGTGCATGTCACGATCGGCGTACATGACATTGAGCCTGGTGAACAACTGTACTGCCACACCCTTTCACTCGGGCGAAATTCGTTTCTGACTTGTGCAAATAGCGCTCAATGCGGGCACCGACTTGCTGCTAGTCATTCTTGTGCTCCCCATAGCCTGCAGCCCTTCACTAGGTCTCACAAACCGAGTGTTCATCATTTTGGTGCTCTCTCTAGGGCTTATGTAAGTCCTTGACTTCAATGCTTACGCATATATCCATGTGTAGATTCGCTTATGCCTTAACACAGCGCTTGCGCAGCAGCCATCGAACAAATGAGACTAGTCTTCAATATCTGGAAGACCAATGAAACAGACAAGTTAGTCCATCTCTTCTCTAAGTCTCGACATGATACATCGACTAACATTGGAGTCTAGCATGCACGACATGGCCTTCGTTGTTTGGAGCATGCAAGTACTCCTCTCCCATAATAATCCCACCTAGTGCTAAAACGTTCATCAGTGTCGAGTTAGCTACCGCCCTCTTAGCTGCGTCTCTTCCCACACTGAAGCCTCTTGGAAAAAGTCTACTCGAGTCATTCCGTAAGCGGCAAAATCGCACCTCTAACCCCATCCCGAGCACATCCATACCTCACTCAAATTATTCCTCCTACCACTCCAGGTACTCAAGCCGAACTGTCATCTACCGCCCGAACACTGCCTACCTCCCTAGCCTGAGTCGCTTCCATGACGACGTATCGAATCTCGACTTCGACATTGAGACACGTACCACACGAACGCGAACACAAACTATGCGAACCCGCACGACACACAGTAGGAACGTGAGTGACTGGAGTCAATTCTCAGGTTTCACGTATTACACAACCGCGACAGAACCTCCGGACCTAGAGCATATGACAACACGCTCCGCTGGAGCCAGTGTGACTGAGTTGGAGGATATTGTGAAGGCACTTGGACTCGGGAGAGACGTTGGGCGTGAGCCAGATGTCCTACCTGCGATCACGGCGATGGACAGTACGTTGCCCCATGAGAGGGGTGATGGTGTAGAGTTAGTGGACATGGAGAGAGACATTGGAGATGATGAGATTCGTTCGAGCGATGGAGGCTATGGCCAAGAGGAAAGGAGCATGACTGGTATAGATCTCCCCAACGCTCGTGCTGTTTGAATAATTGTGGTGACTGCTAGAACGAACTTTTAACCATTAGAGGTGGCATGCTCTATGATAGATGAATTAAGGGTATATCATTTTCTATATAATACTCGTTCCAGATACCCGACTGGTGGCGTATCTGGATATGTGGGTGTGCTCACCTCTGTATATTTTCAAGTCTCACGACTCAAATTCAAAGTTTCATGCAGGTTGTCGGTATCGTTTATTGTGGGTCATGTTGGGATAACGTGATGTAGCCGTCTAACATGCCAGTGCCTGTATTTTTCATAACAATGATGTACTAAATTTCTCCTGACGAATCATTTGAAAAATCTGGTTATAGGGGAATAATCGAAGCACTCCATACACTAATAATATTACAGGAACTCACGGTTGCTGCTCAACTATGTAGATACTGAGGTTCTGTAGTACACATGTAATCGCTAATATTATGTGCTAAAGTGGAGCCCGACGAGGAGAAAACATTTCTGATTTCACAATTCGCCACGGAGAGAGCATGTCAACAGCGTGTGGCTTTTAGACACGCATTAGCTGCCCGTTCTTTAGGCGCTGGTGCACAGACCTGAATACTCCACTTGTTGCTGTAGATCCCCTGTTGGCGGGCCCGATCGGCAGGCTCAAGATCAGTATTGAGTCCTTGCCTTCTTGTGATTCGAAATGAAAGATGTGATCAGCGCCTGTGCCCTGGCTGAGCTATCGCTAGTCTGTAGAGTTGTATCTTAGGTATGGAGATGTCTTTGATGATCATACATCACATGCAGATAGAAAAACTAGATCCCGGCATGGTCTATGAGGAAATACGGGTGTAGTGAGAAACAGTTGCGAACGGTACGAAGTAAATGTTGGTTAAATGTCCCCGGGAGCTGAACGATTTCCTATGGTGATCAGCTTACTGTTTGCCACTGTCTTTTTCGCAAACCTGTAGGGTTTCGAATGTTTGGCGACGTAACTAGAGAAACTGGGTAACTTATAATGTACTGTGTGCGTTAATAGGGCTGAACATATTGAGGTGTTAGGTGGTAAGATCTCTGGAGTCTGAGAGAGTTCCCTGGCTATCTTAATCCAATGTGATGGGGACTCCCGGACATAAGGGGGGGGACCTAAGAAAAACGTCATGAATTATCGATTTTGAGTTAGTGTGCCACCATAAGGCCTGGCCTTAGGAGCGAAACCCATGCCACCCAAGGCCCCGCACACACTAATCATTAGCTCGTCCTCCGTTCCTGTGGTGCATGAACCATGAAACAATAAACACCAGCCTCAATAGCATGTTACTGATTCTAGAACACGTTGGGAAACTGAGGATGCTAGCGTCTGAGCTACGGGCACGCGCGTCCGGGAGGTGCAACGGCTGCGCTTCCCGCCACAATCTCACAATCTTACGATATTCAAGGTTGTTCTTGGGATACATCTCTAAAAGGGGACACAGCCACCCTTTACTAATTACATTTCCATGTCAAGACCGTATGATTCAAACTAGATCAATCGGTCTTTTTCCCAATACAGTGGCCCAAGGGCCGGCATGTCGGAACAGGGAGCCACATCTTGATCATCTTTCGAAGCCGTGAATTTAGTAGGAAATGAACGCGTGATTTGGACCTGCTACTTGGGGTACACACCCTACTTCCACGGCATTAATTACATCATACTATTCATCGAATATACCAGCTCTTAAATTATCCCCGCTTGATAAAGGGGCTAACTACTTCTGGTCATGAGAAAACCGATATGATTAATCAAAACTCCTGTCCAACGGGAACATGATCAGTGGATCATTCCTATTGAATGGGAGCCATCAGACTGCACTAAATTGCCAACATGGGAGACGCTGATACAGCGCCATGTGTGAGTGGATCTCCCGTGGAACGTGCATACTCTTTGACAGCACGTGTCCCGAACAGTCTCCTTATTAGTACATTTGATGAATTTGGTAGCTACTGACACTTGTTATGCCGGCGACCCACGAGATCGAACCATGCGCGTCTGGGCGGACGCGCATTCAGTTATCGCATCTCTCAGCTCGCTCAACCCCTGTTGCTCCCACGCATTCTACACCCTCGTGTCTTTAACCGGGATTCTGACCCAATCAAATGTTTAAGGTTTTGTCAGCCCCTCAAAAATGCAGGTACGCCCTAGTTACGATGCGCTGAAATAGCGCCCTGCAGAGCTATCTTTCCTTGGTACCTCGATCAATGCAGGGTCTACTCGTCTTGCAGTATGAAAAGGGCAATACATATGTGTATATATATGAGCATTTCACTTTGTGATCGTACAACACCCATCACATATAGCGACAGGGCCTGGAGCTTGACTGCTACATCACTTTCTTCATTTCATCATGGACAAGATACCACCAGAACAATTGGCCATCTTGGCTAAGGAAGATCAAAGTTCTCTCACTAGCTCGCTTGTCATTACTTTTACCGTCATTTCGTTTGTCTGCGTTTGTCTTCGCCTTTTCACGAGGGTCAAATACCAAGCTATGGGTTGGGAAGATCCCATCATAATGTTGTCTATGGTATGCTATCATATGGACAGAGCGTGGAGGTGACCGCTAATAGAGGTTTATAGCTGCTATGTATTGCCACGGCCGTTTTCCAGGTGTTGCGTAAGCTCATTCTCTACCTTTCAACGTGCAACTGCTAATGTTTCACAGAGGCCAATGCTGGCAATGGCAGGCATGCTATATTCATACGTTTCCCTGACGAGGTTGAAAATAACCTGAAGGTATGTAGAGGTCGCTCACCGCAGCCTTTCGGAGCTAACTTAAGCGACTAGTATTTGTTCTGGAGTGTTATATTTTACAATGCCAGTCTCATTGTAACAAAGATCTCGATTCTACTCCAGTATAAAAGGGTCTTTGCAGTAAAAGAAATGAGAATTCCTTTGCACGTTCTCATGGGCATCTGCGTTGCATGGGGTATTACGACCTTATTCACCTCCATCCTCACTTGCGTGCCAGTCCATGCTTACTGGAACATTATGGAGAAAGTAAATGCGAAATGCATTGACAACAAAATGTAAGCTCCTTTGATTGGCGTTCAGAGATCGCTAAAACTGTACTCCGTCGTCGTCTTCATTGCTAACCGTGCTCTAGTATCTGGTATGTGAATGCCAGCGTCAATATCACGACCGACTTGTTGGTAGTCGCATTGCCCTTCCGTGTGATTTGGGGCTTGCATATTCCAAAAAGACAGAAGGTTGCATTACTTGGCGTTCTTACCATCGGCTGGTTCGTGTGTGTGGTCTCTATCCTCCGACTTCACGCCCTTGTCGTGCTCATGGCACACCCCGAAGATAAAAGCTGGTACGGTTCCAAAGTTGCATACTGGTCTTCGATCGAAATCAATCTTGCCATCGTCTGCGCATGCCTTCCAACGCTTAAGCCGCTCCTCGTCAAGATCATCCCAGACTTCACATGCCACTACGGCAGTAGAACAAATGGCTCAACAGGATTGATCAGAAGGCTTCGAATTCACGGCCTGGGGAACAGTGTAACGCGAAACTCGGTTGATGTTGATCTGGAGTTGGCCAGCAACTTGCTCAGCAGCAAGGCACTTAGCAGCAAGGCGCATCCTTCAACATCCAACGAAAGCGTTTACGGCGAAAATATCTGCATCCCTCACAACTCCGGGGAACACGTCGAAGAGCACGGACGAAGGAGCTATAGTGCGAGTCACAAAGCTGTCGTTACTCTACCCCAGCCGGTATTTGTAAGACCTTGAAGGTCCAATATACATAGATGCATGCTTTAACGAAGACGCGTATCATAAACAGTTAATATATAATATAAATCTCACACAAACATATGACCTACTGTTCTCATTTTCTTCTCATATTGCTTCTAAGTACTGCCACGCGCCACGAGAAGAAGGAAAAGTTATAAAGCTCGGAGAGCTCTCCACAGATCATGAGAGTAGTATGCGCAAAAACGAAAGGTATTGGTCACCGAAGTAGAGCAACAACACACTGCGATCGTCGCGTTCGACAAATTGGGAATATTGTAATCTGGGATATGCAGGTCCCGAAACCGAGCACTAGCACTCTGAGGAATCACGGACACGGTAGCTTCTCCGCTTGGCTTTTGAGATCCCGCAAACATGTGGCCCTTGCGACTTCGCCAACTTAGTGCTCTTGAACCGCGGCATGGCGGCTACCAACGCGTCTTTCTCCGTGAACGCCTAAACCTTTTGAAGGAAGCGAGAAAAGCCTACCCCGCCGATGGGATCGCTCCCGCCGATGACAATCGTACGAGAACTATTAACCCTAAATGCGCCGGCCCCCCGGGCGAGAACAGGCCTGGTCTAATCCTCAAGATCATACGCCACTTAAGCCCTAAACGCAGGACTAGCAATAGCCATTCATGAAGTGGTCTGATAATGACGGCGATAGACCGGTTTCCTGGGACCTGGGACTTGAGGCGTTCCAAGGTTGCTTAGATAGCGTGTATCCGCTTGGACCTGCTGGTGGCTGTTCACCACCCTAAGGTCCTTTGTCGGTCTCGACTTCCTTCTTACCGACGCCATTGGTTGCGATCGGGACAAGCCGTTCGCAGGTGTCAAGGCCTTTTCTACAACCGGCCTGTTTTTCGCCCGATGTTGAGGCTGTTCAACTCCCGGTCGCGTCTAGTGTGTGTCGCTACAAATCATTCTTCTCAGCCACTCAGTTCCGAAGGTATCAGCCAATACGAAGACGGACGCTAGATAGGATGGCTGGAATAGGCATATAGCGTCGATACAACGAGGCTTGAAATGCTGCTATGGACCCAAACAGCATCTGAAAGTCGTACGTTTGCAACAATCCCCCAAAATTTACCCCCTTGCACTTCCCTGCCAGTTCGAAACGCAGCATCAACTACGAGCGCGAACCAATGGACCGCTCTAGGTCCGCAAGCATCTAGCTGTATTGCTAGGAGTGACTCTCCGGGATGGGTTCATGGTGTACGACGCAAGCACCGTGGCGCAGGTAGCGATGGTGGAGTGGCCACGTGGATCGGGAGCTCAAGTGGCCAATTTGGACCTTACAGGGGGTGGGTCATATGAGGTCGTGACGCAATTGCGTGCGATGGTTTCGCATTTCCAGAACTATAACCGGTGTTTCGGGAATCCAGGTGGGGGAAAGAAGTATAAGATCCAGCGAAGCCGGTATAAGAGAAGGAAGTAAGACCGTACCTGGTATGCATTCGTAAAAGAGAATTCGATGAGTAGGGTATTATTGAATACTAATTGGACGCATAAAGCAAGGCCACAAACATCTCATTGCGTAGCTCGCCTGGGCGTTCCATGAAGCGGAAGGACTGGTGGTAGATGAAGAATACGTTGCATATACCCACGAGCTCGAGAGCGTAGATAGACGGTATAAAGTTCAAGTAATGAGTGAAATGGTGATGGAGATACACTGAGCGAGTTGTAGGAGGCGTGTACATGCGTGAGGGTGTGCGTCCGTCACCGTAGGCGCTCATGAACGTAACTTGGGAGAACACCGCCAGGTCTACTGCATCGAGGCCAATATATTCTGCTTTTCTTTAAGAATCGCAGCGTCATCTGGTTGTAGTCGTAGAGCTTTGTTGATATGCATCAGCGCTTGCTCCTCTGTTCCTGGCTCCCCTTGTAATCTCAGGAATAGCGCATAACGATACCACAGCTTCGCCAAGTGCTTGATTGAAGGTTGATATTTGTACCCTCTGGCCCAAAACCCTTTCTTCAAAGACCTAGTGGCAGATTTCAAAGCGTCCTCGGCCATTAAGCAAGCGAAGTAGATATTACCCGGCTTTTGCATAGCGAAGATCTCGATGTGGGCAATGTTGAGACGCATAAGGAAGTAAAGCTCAGCGAGCTGGGAGAAGAAGGGCTCACCACCTCGACGCACTAAAGTGACCCATGAGCTGGATTGAATGATTTTTTCGATGTCGACGACGGCATCTTGCCAGCACAGGCACGCTTCCTCGAACTTGCGCTCTTGAAAGAGACGGGATCCATTCTGTTTGGCTGCGAGGAGCTCTTCTAGGACACTCCGCGGATCAGACCACTTCTCTTGCCCCATATCTTCGCGAACCGCCTTAGCAAGGTCATCAGCGATGTGACCATTCAAAGTTACAGCGTTGTACCCTCGAAGTATCTTCCTGAAGGGCGCTACTAGTGTTTCCTGAGTTTTCTCCGAGAAGAACTCTTCTAGTGAAGGTGTGTACCTTTCACGTGGCATTTCGTTCAGAACAGGTGCCACTGTGATCGATATCTGGATACATTCACTGAAACCGGGGGTGTGTGCGTCGCCATCCGTCAACGCCTCACAAAACTTTTCCATGTCACGATGGAGAATCATCAGATTACACGCTTTCAACAATGGCGCGCTCTCATGGTCCTCTGGCACTTGTGAAGGTGTCTTGCGACCAAGATGCACAGCAAGCACGTATCCCTTGAATCGTTCGACGAGTGCCTTGTTCTCAGTTATGACTCGGACCCCCAATCCCTTAATCAGGAGACGTAGCGGCACTCCTCGTTCTACGGTGATCTTGACGAAGCGATTCGTCTTGATCAAGACAGCATAGGCTTCGTGGTATATTTCGGTACTCGTACGGAGGAGGGCACTATCGATCGAGTGACGTATAAGTGCCAAGCTAAACATATCTGTAGTGTCGACCGTGGTTGGCGCAGGTGAGACCTCACAGAGCAGGTTGCGATAGATCTTGTTCCGGATCTCGCTGGGAAGATCGCGGAAGCGAAAGGGCGCCGAAAAGCTAGACGCCATTGCGTAGAGTGATTAGATGAGGTTGAGTTGAGCGTAGGGCGGTATCAAGCTATCGTTCCGTCGAGGCAATACGGCAGATGGCAACTGTTCATTCGATTTCGGAGGGGACGAGAAACAACGATGGAGGGGCCCGCGAGTTTCAGGCTAGACGACGCTAGACGCGCAGTCACGTGCGCCGTGTGAGGTTCGCGTCTGGCCGAATCTGCAACCGAACAATTATATTTCATCTTTGACCTTGTTGGCGGGTCCTAGTACACTCAACGGTATCATTCACACACCCTCTCGCCTTGGCTATCACTCTTTCATTGCAGCCCGAGGTCTCGCCAACGGTGGCCCACCTTACTTTCGTCGCCGTTTGCTCGCCGCTCGAAAGCGTTAGCTTGGAATCACGTGCCGCTTTGCGCGCCCCTTCCATCGACCATATAATTTGGACTTCATTCCCACGTCCGTCGCAACTTCTTTTATTTTCTTTTGTTCTCTAGCTCTTAACGCGACTCTTTTTCGTCGACTTCGTTTGCCTAGTGCGAGGGTTGAAGAAGAAGGGGGTGGGATCATGTGGCTGGATGTCTTATTCGCTCACAATACGGTAGTTTTCCACATCTATGTATTCAGTGTGAAATACGCTTCTCCTGTTAACATCACTACACGTTAGCATAGCTATTCGAATGTTAGGGCTGCGCAGCCAGTCATATCTACTCTGCGTAAGGCTTAATCAGATACCGTCACCAATACTGTGGGCAGCAGAGCATCGCTGTTATGTGTTGGGTTCAGTTCCATAATTGCTATAACCAGTATGGGCGAGCTTTATAAATCTACCTGTCTCTCATCCTCCTCGAATCAAGAAAACCGCAATGCCCATAGTGCAGTATAAAGAGTAGCCTCACTTTCCTTTCCTTTCACTAAACTTTCCTTTGTAGAGGTCTCATCACACAAGCCACTTGCCGGACTCTCCTGCTACCAAGGCTGCTACGTTGAGCCTTCTGAGCCTTGTTCCCCTCCTAAGGACCCATCACACATTGACGCAAAGCGACGCATCTTCTAAGACACGGTGACGATAGCAAGTTCAATATCACCACTGATAGTTGATAAGTCTGAATAATCTCTAATACGACACTTTTTCACACACGGGAGCAGATTAGGATTGTGGTGTTTAGGTAGCTACATTACGCTATACTAGTTCTCAGGAGCATCTGTTTGAGGAACGTATTACTCGTACTAAATCGGCGGCACACAATGTATCTAATGTAATCAAGAATGTTCAATCCTGATCCAGAAATCGCCATTTCCTTGCACATAGGCTGCTCCCGCAACTTGAATTCCCGCACTCGGACCGGTGTTATAAGTACAAGCATCCATGATCAACCCAGCAGAAGCAGCGACGTTCTTACTGCGAAAACATCAGTACCGCATTTTTGCGATGAAATATTCTCCCTTCTTCCCTAATGAAAGCATACTTACCATGGCGTCGATGCCCCCTTGGGGCCACGGCTATGCGACCAGATCATTGCCGTTCCACAGATTCGCAATATCCTTCCGCCATAATCTGTCGTGCAGACTGAGCCAAGCGCTGCAAGCTCTCTGATGCATCGTGCTGCGTCGCCGGGCTAGAAATTGCGGTCTTAATGTTGCATTCGAAAGTGTGTGGAGTTAGAGATGTACATTTGTGCGGGTCCCGCTGCTACAGTCGGGTTTGCGGGCTACGAGAGTGCTGGGAACTGCATGTGTGAGGGAAACAGCGGCCAGAAGGGCCAACAAAGAAGCTGTAATCTGAACCATGGTGCTGAACGGTGATGTTGGTTGGCGAGAATGGTTAACAAAGTTGAGAAAGATATTGAGTTTAGGGGGGTACAAACGGCTATTTATATATATCTAGTTAGGAAAGCGCCACCGAAAAGCGCCTCTTTATGTGACTATATCGGTAAAAGGTTTGATTTCTGTCTGTACTTTTGATGTGAGTCCATGCATGGTAAGCTAACGCCCGACGCGATATTGACAGGTAAGGTTGGACCATGTCACGGGCGGCCCTGAACACGAGTCTGTAAGCTTATTCGTTCAAATTATTTATCGGATTTTTTTAGCTTCTTCTTCATCTCTACATTCCTAGATAGAGGATTTGAAAATAAAATAAAAGATGACTTCGCGACAGGAAGCTTAATGCGCAAATTGTTCAAGCCGGCACTATGTAATGCACCACCTTTTTTGTTGACGTGCAAGTCCCCAAATTACCTTGTTTCGACCAATCTGGCAGTGTGTTAGTGGATACTGGGTCTAGAGTCTGTGGGTTGTTTGTTGTCAGCGTTTGACCCGATGCGTCAATTTCGTGCCCATAAGCTAACGCCCGATCCAATTATAGTTTTATAAAGCGCAGAAAGATGAAATGACAATGTTTAAGCTTTCCTCTTGCGGAGATGTCTCCTAGTTTTACACCGTAATGATAGCAAAAGTGATTAGCGACAATCATATAAAAATCGTTAAAATCGCGACACTTTTGTGTTTTGAGAAACACAGAACCCTTTGGGACATGGGAGGCTTTTGGAACACCCACCCTCGTTGATAGAATAAGCTGCTAGATTTATTCTTGTTGCAGTATCCCCTGTCTACTACATAGTACTTGAGAAGACTTGGATTTACGTCTGGCCTTGTGATGGACTTCATAATCGAGAAGTTGGAGGATAGAAGATGCGTGTCTCTTAAAGACCTGAACGAATGTGAAAAGGTATTGCGGAAGTTCCAAACTTTGGAATGTTGAATGGCGACGTAAATATACACAGTTTTCTTGGTGGGACAGGCACGACCATGCTCATCGACTATGAACACTCTACGGGAAATGCAACAGACGAGGACAGCAAAAGAGAAATGCAGAGCCTGCGTACAGAGCTAGTCGACTAGTCTGGAAGGGGCGCGGGATTCATTTCCAGTGGCTAGGCTCTGCATAGAAAGACTATATGGATCTCTTATGTCTTGTCGTAAAAGCCGTTAACTATAGGTGCTAGGGCGTGCAATGTTTATGAAGCAATATGAACCAAGATATGCATCCTAACTTGCCCCTGTTTCTGAATTTTGACGCTAAGAGCGTGGATGCACACTGCCATACAGCTTCGTAACATAGTGGTCAGCATGAACTTCGAACAGGTGAATGTCGCCGTTCACCCATAAGTCCGTACTTTCACAATGCGATCAGGTGATTAGAAAGGTCACAATGTAAGTCGGCTGATAGCACACCGTTTCCTAGGCATTGAGAGCCAACAGTGTAATGAGGGTGAACGTTTGAAGACCAGCGCCCGAGTAACGAGATACTGTCGCGGGATGGAAAGGACTGACCTGCAGCGACCAACTGTCATATCAATACCAAATTCTTCTCCCCAATCTCTTCCTATACCCACAACGACCTTGACACAACTCACTAAACCGGCACTCACGCATTCTCCTCAACCCTGTTCGACAAGTAACTCGGAGGAGCAAATCGCCTTGTACATTGTACTATCGACCCCACCCCCTCGACGTCTCCCTATTCTATAATTCTTCCCTCACGACAAGTCTAGCACCTGACAACCGCTCTCAACTCTTGACTATGTCTGAACAAGCATCAACCAACAACATCGACATATCGGCCGAACAGAGTAACGACATGGCCATGGAGTCTCAAAATGCCACACCTAGGCAACGACCTGCCCGGTACCGCACGCGTACCAGCGTAGCCCCGACTCCCCTGTCCTCCACTCAGTCATCTCCATCATCACTAGATATGCCTCGACCTCCGATTTCTGGTGGCGTTGATTACTTCACTCGAAGACCGACACAGGGTTTGCAAACCCCTTTGCAGCAGCGCCGATATACTCCAACCCCAACGAATGAACTAAATTCCGCCGGCTTCATGGTCCCTCAGCACAACTTTGGGAATGTGAACCATCCCATTCTTGGTCCTCGAGAGAATCGCCGCTCGTATGCTGCACCTATTGGATCCTCTCAGTCTCCTTTGAGCCCTGAGAATCATCACTCGAGGCGCCAGGTTGTTCAGGCGCAGATGGACAACGTCAACCGCCGATCTTCGTCGATACGTAGTCCTATAACCCAGCGTTATAGCGCTTCTAGTGATCTTCGTGTTCCTCTGCCATCAGAACAGGTCCCTGCACAGCGTATGTATGGTGGGGCGAGTGGATTTGGATACACTGGCAACGACCGTAGTACATTACCGTCCCAGCGGCAGCAAGCACCTCATATCTCTTCTTCAAATCGCCAGAACATTTCTTCACTCCATGGGCCCGGAGCACGAATGATAAATGTCCCCCAAACCCAAAACCATTCCACTGTGGGTAGTCTGGCTCGCTCGCCAAAGCCTGTCACAAATCAGCATGCATCAATGCGGATGTTGCCTCCTATGGATTTCGGGACGTCTAGTCGAAACAACCTCTCCCAGAGCAATGTCGTCGAGAGCATTAGCATGCCAAACTTCGATGTTGGAGCAGCGCCGCCTCGCGGTCATCGCCGCAACAAGACAACTGTTTCGCACCTTTCAGATGTCTACACACGCAATGCTCCTCATGACAATGGAGCTAAAACCATCCGTGCAGTCGGTGGAGATATCGATATGAAGGTATCCAATTCAAAACGTGCAACGCTCCCAGCGTTTAGCTTCGGCTCTTCGGCTGCGGACCTCGATGAACTCACGAACAACATCGATGGGTTCGCTGATATGAACCTCGAGGAGAAGATCCCCACACGCTCATCACGTCCCAATGAGCAGCGCGGCAAAGCCCCACGCCCTAAACATGAGCACATGCAGTCCAATGACTCTAGCTCCACGGTCGCATCGGACTCTTGGAACGTCGTAGATCCCACGAGTGCGCCACCGAAGAAAGAGACTGGCCTGAGATTCGACCTTGAGACTGGGATGCCCAGTGTCGTAGGCGCCTCATTCATGCGTCCAGAAACGTTGACTTCCACAGAGGCTCGGAGGCGATACCCCTTGGATGAATTCGTTCATGCTATTCAAGCTGGGAAGAAGCACGGTGTCAGGGGTAACGACTTTGCCTATCCAAAAGGCACGCCATCAGTCAAGAAGCACGTGCGCTTCGCCTCGCACAGCGACTACGCGCCTTCGATGCACTACCCGTCCGGATCGGAAGACTCCACGGCGTCAACGCGTGCTAAGATAGATCTGGTCAAGTATGCGGGCTCTGCCAATGACCGCCGTACTGGTCGAGCAGTCTTGCAGCGCAAAGGAAAGGACAAGCGAACGACTGTCATGCCTCGCAGTGCTCTGAAGACACCTGCCAAGCAACAGAACAACCCCTCTGGCACCGGTGAGGAACGTACTCGCAAGGCCGGCGAAAAGGACCAGCAACACAAGAGGCACAAGCATAGCAGCTCTCTCGATCTTCTCAGCCGTGCCTCGGACTCCGTGATCAAGTTCGTTGCTGCTCGCGCTGGTATAGCTCCAGTACAGAAAGACGGTGCGTTGGATCGTGGATTCCAGTTCCCAGCCCGCGACGATGAGCAACGCGTATCAAGTACGCCTGACTTGCGCGAAATTGGGGGCAAGAAGGGCAGTAGCCGCAAGCGCAGTGGCTCGCTTAGCAGACTTCTAGAGGGATTCGGTCTCAAGAAACCGACGAAGGATAATCGTGATGACGATGAGTAGGAGCCCGAAGATAGGGATGGATCGCGCGAGATCATCTTTCGCAAATGTTCATGTGCGATTGACTAGACATCGGAAAGCGTTGTCAGATGGAAGAAATATACAGTATGAATCTGGAGGAGTATATGGTAAGTAGCGATCACGAAAAGTAGAGGATGGGAAATAATCGCGCCTACGGTCGCGTTGGCACAATGCTGTAAAACATGGGGGACCGAGAGGATATTCGAAGTTTGCTTCTGATAGCAAATAATGAATAATCGAATCGCTATGTCGCGTTCGTTTTGTTGTACAAATTCTTAGCCGTAGCAATCGCCGTCCAGACTTTCCATTATCAAAACATGTGAGACTCGCTCGTTTATCTCCTCTCCAGAACGTCCTTTGCTCCATCCTTAACCTTCTGTGCGGCCGACGCGACAGTGTCTTGGCTGAGGCCGAAACGCGATCCGTAGCGATCCTACATATCGTCAGCTTTATCCCAGATCATCAGACTGCTCAACTCACCTGTTCAGCGCCAGTACCAGACCCAGCCAAAAGCTTCGCGCGCTGTTGTCCGTCATACCCGAGTCCATGGTAGCTCGCAGCATTGCCCTTGGTTACAATGCTCTGAGCTGCGTGCTTCACCTTCTGCGCGTCAAGGCTGTGTAGCGCTGGGCTGAAGTGTGTGTTGTAGCGATCTTGTTCTGCGCCATCGCCCCTGTACTTAGCAGCATCCTTCAGCTTGTCATAGCCCCTGTTGCCTACACCGAGGTGTTCGTTGTATCGGTCCTGCTCGGCACCTTCGCCCTTCGTTAGGGCGGCGTCCCTAAGTTTGTCTACGCCCTTGCTGAGGGCATCTTTGGGGACGCTGAAGTGTGCGCCATAGCGGTCTTGCTCGGCGCCTGAGCCGGACTGTGTTGTGATGTCTGGGTTTACGGGGTTGCGAGCAAGGGTGCTCTTCTCCGTTGATGAACTGAATAGACCCATTGTGATATAGATTGAGGTTTTAGGGATGCAATTGCAATTGATTGAATTTGGGGTTTATGGTAGGGGAATTGATGAAATCTGGAGCTGACGCAAGGTGTGGAGGGATAGCTTCGTTATGAGCTGCCATGCGGCGGGGAATGACGTAGTTGCGAGGGGGTCGGTAGGATCCACTAAAAGCCACTGTTTCTATTGCCACTCGTCATCTAAAGGTCACCAGCAATGAAAACTCGTTCCTGAGCCGTGCCAGAGCCGAAGAATGATTTGCAGCGAGATGACGCGCTGTTGGGGCCTCTTTCTGTGAGGATGGCCTTCGCGTGCTCTCATTGGCCCGTGGTTTATTTGCCATCGTCTTCGATCTCCTCGTCTCTTCATCTCCTTCATCTCTTTCGACTGTCTTATCTCAAAAACTTAATAACTGTGCTCTTTCGATCACCATATGTAACATTATTAGTGCTCATTCTTTCTTTCATGTGGATTACATCACGATGACCTCATTCCTCGTGTCTTCTTGGCAAAACAGTTGCGCTTCCACTCGACCCCAATTTTACCGCTATTGCCGTTAAGAAGAGGTATCTAGAAATACTCGTTCCGAGGAACTAGTCCTCTCATCTAAAGGAAGCCTGACTAGGAGATCTTTAGACCTATCGCAAGACTGAGGTGAGCTGTAGACAAAGTCGGCACTTCATCCTCCCCAGCTTTCGCGGGAACCCTTAAAATCAAGAACTAACCTTCAACCTCTCTGGATCAATGGTATATATGACCACTCACTTCCTGCTCATCCTCCTCAAATTTAGCTTCAGCACAACCAACCAACCCTTCCCCCAAGGCCTTGCCTAATCCACTGCTCGAACAGTACACCCAATGCGTTGAAACACCATTCAGCAGTCTGTCTATGTCTTCTCTCAACTCCCAGCGCCCATCACTCACAACTCCCATTTCCCCGACCAGCCGCTGCTCATCGCGTAGATGATAAAAGATCGCAGCATCCTTCTTCTCACTACCATTTTCAATCACAGGCACCTGAATACGGTGAAGTTTGCCATTCAGTGTGATAGTTTGCCCATTCTCCTCTAGCACATTGTCTCTCAAATCCCAAGATAAGCATATACGCTTCGCATTTACCCTTGCGTTTATCCAAGTGTCCCGTTGTCGTCCAACTTCGTACTTGAAAATCCTCTCGACGGACAGAATCCCAGCCATACTGTCCGTCCCTGTCTTCCATCTGTTGAGACTCTCAAGCATGATCGCAATTTTGCGCAAGATACTGTGCATGCTCACTTCGACTCTCCCACGATCAAGTAGAGATTTGCACGCGGGCATGTTGTCGGGACCGGAGAAGTGCAAGTGAATTTTGTCGGAGTAAAGCCTGAGGAGTGGATGCAACCCGGCTAATACTTCGCGTTTCCATACATACTTCCAGTCCGAAGATTTGATAGGGCAGAACGACGTGAATGGTAAGGTGATTCTGAGGCTACGGAGTTCGGCGAGCGTACTCGATTCTGGAAAATCGGAGATTTGAATCGTGCAATCCGTTGTGTTCTCAAACGTGGACTTGAACTCTCTGAGGAATTTCCCAAGACTACGTGCTGCGATTTCTTCTAAGTCTTGCTTCGCGCTTCGACAGGAGATGAGAAAGCCGGAAGCCGAAGGTTGGAAGCCTCGGGTGATAGGTGGTAGGTCTCCAGCCTCGATGTAGCTGTAAATACTCGCGCGAACGTCGTAGGGCAGACGCTCGAAGAATGAAACGGGGTGGGTTGCGCGATTGGTTGGTGTAGATTGCGACTCATTAATTAACAAGCCTTCCATTATGTCTGATCTGAAGAGAAAGAGGGTTATGGAGCGAACTTGCTAGACAAGGTTTGTCTGAATGTTAAGGACACAGCCACAATGCCATCGCACCGGTGAAGCTGCCGGTAAGATGTCATCATCGCAAGCTTATGGAGACACATGTACTACCATTTCATCGTAAAACCTAACAGCGGTGCAAAATGCTACAGTATACATGAAGAGGATGGTCGCGTGGTCGCTACTGCCATTTTGACCTGCTGAGCCGTGATTGGCCGAACCTCATCTAGCTCCACTTGGATTTCCGGTTCTTTACGTCCTCACTTCCATCAAACTTCCCATCACCTCATCAGAATCTCATCTTGCAAACTGCTGTCGCATCTAATTCATCTGCTTTTCGGTTCTCATAACCCACATACATCCTTACGTGGGCTCTTCTTTTGAACAACCACCGCACTGCGTTAACCATGCATCGCCGGATCACGCCGCACCATCTTGAAGAGATAACCCGACACGAGGCACTAGCTTACAGACGCTATACGTATGATCTGGCAGCCATGCTCATTCGTAATATTAACTTCTTTCTCATGAAGCGCCCTCTTGTGTTGTGCTTGTGAACAATCTTACAGTGTTAGCAGCGGCACGGATTCGGGCAACAGAGTCGCGGAAAGTAAGGCTTGAGTATCATAATTTCAATTGGTAACGTCTCACGCAAATCTGAGATCTTAGCGGGCTAGCTAGAGTGAAGGGACTAAAGTTTAACTTCTAACGCGATAGCCTAGAAACATCCAGTGGGTCCTGTAAGAGACTTGAAGCAGATCTGATCATCTCGATAGTAATCGTCTGGCACAGTAAGACGCCACTTCGAATATGTATCTCCAGTATTTCCTTCGAACAATCGCTTAGCAAGACCACACTATAGCTGCACTGTTAGCTTCTTCGCTTGCGCAGCTGTAACAAGCATATGGAGGCTGAATGCTGTAGAAGGAGCTTATTTCCCTTGGGGAGCTGTGACTTTCCGGGCTTTCAGCTTACGCTGATGGTACGACTGAGTGCTCTTAACCCGGAATGAATAAGCCTTGTCATCGCCCATTAGTAGCGTGATCTCCATGTCAATATCCTCGCCGACATCGCCATGTTCGTTCGCTCCGACTGCCGCGCAGGTTTTGTGAACTGGGATGTTTATGTCATTGGCCAACATCACTACATCGATACAAGAGGCGACGATACGGAGCCAATTCTCTAGCACGAAGTCGGGTGGAAACGGTTCGCGCTCCTTGACTTTGTTCCAAAGCTTAAGCACGAGTCGTGCAAAGACTTTGTACTTGCGCCATAGCTTGGGGAATATCTTCTCGAAAGTTGGCATGAACTTTGCAATTGTAGCGCGGGCGTCGAGATCTACGAGCAACTTCGTTATATCCGCGACCAGTTTACGAACCTTGACACGATCCGCGCCAAAGCATGCTGCGAGTCGAGGCAACATGCCCGGTTCGTCTGTATTCGCTCGTAGAGCAGCGACGTACATGTTGACAGCAGCAAGTTCTTCGTATGAAGCGGTCGTCCAGAGATGTTGATGCTCGATACAGGATGTCACACCTCGTGTGATCGACTCGATAAAGGGGGCTGAACAGCCCATACCCTCAGTTGCCTCGACAATCTCGTTCAGGATATGCCTAACACGTAGCTCGTCTTCTATACGGGCGAGAGCAATGTCTTGCATCGAGTGAAGGACCAAAACATGACCCTTAGGCAGCATGTATACCGCATTACATTCTCGAGCGCGACCGATAATTGGCACCTGCGAGTGGTCAAGTACCGGGAAATCTGGCAAGATGAGCTCCGTGAACCGTGAGCTGCGGCGCGAGGCTTTACCGGACTGCACCATGTTCCAACGCTCACAGATGATACACACAAACGGTGCGAAGGTTGAAATAGGAGTAGAGCAATTGCTTGCACACATCGATTCCTTCTCAGTGTGGATGATATGGCCGCATGCTAGACGGTGAAGACGCGAAGAGCCCAAGTGACAGTGCTCTGTGCCCTTCTTAGGGGAAACGGGAAGAACCGCGCCATGATTTGCAAGCTTCTTGTCTTTCATCATCCGCTCGTACTCCTGTACAGCGCGAATTTGCTCCTTCTGGTAATCACGATCTTCGTACGTCTCCATGATTTTGGCGTCAGCGATGGTCGACACTTTGTAGGTTAAGTCTGGCGTGAGAATTCTGTTCTATTCAAATGACAGAAGCTTATCACTGCGACAGTGGGGGGTATTTTATGTTTAATAGAGCTATTTGGTCAGCACTTCCGGTTGATGAAGATAGTCAACAGTGGGCAGTGAAGGCTAGGCGGGAGCATTGGCCGGTGTTGGGGAGCCCTGACAATGTGACTCCCATTGTGTGCACACAGTGACGAAAATATGCTAGACTGCAAATCAAGGGCTGCGAGTAAGTAAAAGGTAACCAGTGATGATCCTTGGCCTTCATCTAACCAATAACTACACCAGAAGCCACTTATACTTATGAAGAATATACGACAGCTTCTCAAATGATAAGTTAATGCATCGTCACATCCAGCTCCATCTGGTTAGCGGAGTTGCATTCGACGGCTCCCTTCAAGTAACTTTCTTTGGTTTCTATCGTGGAAGTATATTCACCAATTGTGAAGGGACAGTTTTGCCATTTGCCTCAACGTGTCCTTGATAGGCAGGACGCCAACTCAATTAATAGAGAAACAATGATGAGGCAATCTTTCATTTGAATCAGTCCAAGCAGATGCAACTACTAGCCAGGCCTACATTGCCTAAAATCACTCTCCCCCACAATTGTGTTGCAACACCGCTTTTACGATTTGCAGAGAGTTATGGCATATTAAAAGTTTTCAAAAGTCTAATTTGAGATTAGTAAGATATTTGTGAAAGCGTTGTGGCGACAGCATTGTGAATCTTCAATGAGCGGTCAATAGAGTACGTTTGGTGAAATCACCCCTAGTACCAATCTAGATTGGAGTCTATCTCTAAATATCAACATGCTGTTGCGGTGCAAGCCATGAGGAAGGGGGTCCATACACGGAGGGGCCCCGGAGCGAGTGAATCTGGGCGAATGACGATTAGGAAAGGAACAAACATCTGGGTCACATATTTTTCGTCATGGTTCGTAATTGGCGTTGATCTCATATGTGTAGAAGTGGAAGTAGATTCTATCTTGAAATTATATGACTGCTGGATGATATAAACATACTAAAGTCCAGTTATTCTTTATTCCCTTTTATTCCTTTCAAGAAACCGTAATAAGCAGGTTTCTTATTGTAGTCCTCATCCCATAGTAGCGCAGCTCCCTCGCCGGCAAAGACGCCAGGAATCCACGAGTACTTGTCTGAAATGCCCCAGACAGTCATACCAATACACTTCTTTACCGCAAGACAAGATGCCGCAATACGCTGATAAGTAGCAGCTTGTACGGCGAGTTTTTCTGCGGTAGCCGGAGTGTTTAGGCGGACGTCGATCTCGGTGTACGCAACGTCTACGCCTTCATCGGCCGTTGCGCGAAGAGCAGCTTCGAGTGTCTTCTGGTCCGGTGCGGGGCCTGGTGCGGTTTTGGTAGTCTCGCTGGCTAGATGAGCTTGGTAGCCAACACCGTCGATCTTGACGCCGTAGGATTTGATGAGCTTGACGATGCGCTTAGCACCGGCGGTCTTCTCCGCGTTGTATTCAAGGTTGTAGTCGTTGTCTGTCCATTTGTAAGCAAATTTTGTGTGCGAGGAAGGATTGATAGGAGCTTACAGAACAGCTTTGCTTTGTTGTCATACTTCTTCGCGAGTCTGAAAGCGATTGGGAGATAGGCTTCACCGATGGTATCTAACCACAAACTGGAGCGGTAGGTTCCGTTCTCATTCAGCGCTTCATTCACGACGTCCCAACGTGTGCAAGATCCCTTGTATCGGGTCACAATTGCTTTGATGTGATCTTCCATAATTCCGATCAAGGTCTTGTTGTCAAATCCGCCATCCGAAACCCACTTTGGAAGCTGGCTGTGCCACACAAGTGTATGACAATGGATCTGGAGATGGTTTTTCTTGGCGTAGGCCGCGTAGCGATCTGCGTCTGCGAAAGTGAAGTTGCCACGTGATGGCTCGGTTGATTCCCACTATTGTCCTCATGTCAGCAGTAGCTCTACATCATCATTTTATCCAAGGGCTAAAGGAAAGTAACCAACCTTCATCGCGTTCTCGGGGGTGAAAGAATTGAACTCTTGCTTAATGATCTCTCCCTCTGTAGTCTCATTTCGGAGCGTTAGGGCGGTGCCAACGAACTTCCTCCCTGCTTTCGTTATACCCTTGTAAAGACTATCTCCCTTGCGAAAACTATCAGCATTATAGCCATCCTGTGGAGCACTACCATGGTGTTATTAGCATACCTTTTAAGCAATTGTATTGGTTGTTGGACTTACGGTGCGGCAATAACCGATCCAGCGAGAGCTAGAGTGGCGATAATGTTGGAGAGATGCATCTTGATCGAGACTTTTGAAGCGTGGAATTTAGTGCCAATTTGTCTGCCACGGTTACCTGAACAGCGACACTCACGTTCCATTCTATATATTATTCGACGGTTATTCTAGAAGTCTAGCGCCTGTAGATTTAATCTATCTATCCGATCGTGCGATTCACCCGCAAGGTTGTTTAACCGGGCTTGTGGCTCATCTCTACTGTAACCATCTTTACTAGGAGTACTCCGCACCCGCGTGCATGTGGCGTTGTGGAGAATGGAGTTGTGCAGACTAATTCACAAATCAGCCGGCTTGGACCTCGGAAACGTCGGGGCGATGAGCGGCTTACCAACTTGTTCTGGGATAGACTCTCGGCGCTGCACTTCATCTAGTTAGCAAGCCTCATGCCCCGGGGTAGGTAAACATGTGAGACGCAGGTCCCCCATCCACCTCCGCCATAACGGAGCTGCAGTTCTAGCAAACCGGTTAATGAAGGCTCTTGAAGCAAACTTCCATCTATCCGCGACTCTTCGAAGAAATGTTACCCCCTGCAGATATCATGGAGATGTGCGCATTATGCCAGGTTACTGGGCCGCTCCGGGTCCATTACCATGGTTGATGAATCGATGCGCGTTAATTACAAGTGATTATCATGCGCAACAATCTACACACCCCAAGCATCGGCACCAAAACATCACAACAGTATCCTCAGGACAACTACCTATCCATAGATATGCGATGTTTCGCAAAAATTTAAATTGTTGCAATTTGTGTTCGAGGCAACGGTGGGCAATTGAATACATTCAATGACGACACAGTTTTCCGCGGGATAGCAAGCGATTGATCCGTTCCTTATGCCACGAGCTATAGGATCATTGTAGACACACAGTCCAATCATACCTGTTCTTTGATAGCCATTTTGCCGGACTTGTACTCACGAGGTGGCTCTTAGCGTAATAGAGTATATAATTCCGCCAGGAAAGACTAAATGGCGCGGCTGTGGATTGTTGATGCTGCCATAATGACGGGTGCATGGCAAGCTGAGAAACCATAGCGAATAGACTGTCAGTCTGTTCTCTTGAAAACTGTGCAATGGACTAGAAATTAGACGAAGAAGAAAATTGGGACGTTGAAATAGCTATAGGGGCATAGTTACGTTCGCAGCTCTACCGTTAAAATGATAATATGGTAATAGGGACATATGGGGAATTTTGTGCGAACTCTGATATAGTGTAAACAGAGTTGACGGGCGTGAGCCGTTTTATACTACAAATGGAATTGCCTCTATCATGCGTTACAGTGAGAACATATATTGAGCGCTGAATATTGTGTTGCAGTTCGATATCTGCTAAGGTCGTTGGTGAAGTGGTATGCGAAGGGAGGACGTCTCGACGTCATCATTCCTTGTTTGTACAAGCGCGCCTTCTTTCCTCGGGATTCCGAGGCCCCGAGGCCACCAGACTTCCCTCATTCTGCCCTCTCCTGCTACCCCACCTATCTACTGCATCTTACATAGTTCAGCCGAAGAATGTCAGCTTCTCAGCGTGAGGGTGTTCTCATCCTCGCCGACTGATCGCTGAGTCTCTTGTCATCAAAAGCGGACCGCGCTCATCTTCCTTCTACATCTTCTGATCTACCGAGTCATTTGATAGGTAGAAATATTTCCAAGATGCATGGTAGAAAATTAACCGTGTTTTGTATATCACCAGGCACTTCCCATTCAGTTTCATACTTAATTATACCACCTTGAGGCAGGGTTTCTCGGATCTCAAGACCTGCTGATTTGCGTTTAGTTTGGCTTGCTCCTGCACGAGTAAGACCATCTGCTGTTATCTTCCTCGTGGCGCATTTGTGGTCATCCATCGTCGTGTCGTAAGAATTGTCCAGATTATCCGGTGACGATTGCCCATTGGGCCCTTTGCCCGTTTGTCGGCGAGGGAAAACAGCTGCGCTGCATCCTCAAAGCAAGCGACGAAAAGGTATTCCTAATCGAATGATAGTCACTAGTTTGATTAGGCTATGCCCAGCAATCGCAAAGCGCACTTGATTCAAGGTGTGTGACAATAGACGACGGTATTTAACAGACTCGATAGGGTCAATTCTAGGTGTACCATCGACTGCGGTGATTTGGGTTGCTCGGAGAATAACGTGGTAAGAGGAAAATTACGCTAATTCACTCAACTCTAGCTGCCTAGTCCACATTCAGAGGTTCAGGCTCCCATAGAGTCAAGACCCACTTTCTTCTAGCTTCACGACAGTTTCAAACTCTACTTTCAACTCGGAATCCCGCAATACTCCCTTTTAATATCGATAATCGCGTCCCCAAGATCAACTCACCAGAGCGTCCAACGACAAACGACAGGTCCTTCCACTCCATTCAGCCGCTCTGACCCCGAGTGAAGCTAAATGAATATTTGTTAGAATCGCTTCCGACACGAGAAACTAAACCCTTGCCTCGATGGATACTAACCAGACATTGCGAGAGTTAACGTTCTCCCTCGGTTCCGATTCATCGTCTGTATATAGCGATGATGAGCTGATCTCAGAGGCTAATTCAACTGGTACCGAAGTTCACCACCGCCGTACTATTCTCCAGTCTACCATCGACGGTATGCCAAGAGAGAACGGCCAAAACTTCGAGCGGCCATCAGATTCGTCGCTTCGCCAAACGGGCTCGCCCCACGATCTTAAAGAGGTCAACGACCCGTGTCTGGCATATTCTAACAGCTCAAGGGCTCTTTATCGTTTCGCGACCACAGAGGAGGCACAGGAGCTTTGTCGACGAGAAGCTGGCTCTCGGCGCAGTTCGCTACAAGATAGCATGCCTGTCACTAAGCCGATCATTGAAGTTCCCGAGATGCAGTCACCTCGCCTGCGCGCAATACACTCTTCTCGAAATCTTTCAGAGCTGGAGTTGACAGATCTCAGCACTCAGAGCCAGCGCGATGCAACTCTTCAAGCACTATCAGGCAATGCGCCCCATTCGAATGAACAGGAAGAACATGCAGATTTCGCCATCACTCGCCGTCAAGGCAGAGTGGATTGGCGTGAGACATCGGCGAACGATCGACCACCCCGGGCAAGCTTATACTCAACAAAAGGTCATGAGTATAGTCTCGGTGATCATACGCGGGGTTACCCAAGTGGCGAGTATATCACGCAGCTTGGAGAACTGAGCCCGTCACCGGCACAGACGCGGAAAAACAGCTTGCTGAAGCGACTCTTCTGTGTATGTTAGAGGGTGCATCGCGTGAGATGACCGAGTTCAGTGGGAGTTATAAAGGACTAGCCGGGCAAATTTGCCATAAACAAGTCGCTCACGAGTAGTTCTTAGAGACCGCTTAGAAAACTTCGTATGCCGAGTGGTGGCCTGTCAAATTTCGGAACATAGGCGTAGACATGGCATGTATCTAGTTTACCGGGTTACTTCAGAAAATATGAGTAATTCCTTCTTCAAATAAATGCCGCATTTTTCTTTTCTGGCGCTAGTGCTGGCGAGTTCGTGTGGGTTTGTTTGTATTCGTCATGCTGATTGATAGTTTATCTCGTTCAAGTGGTTTGGCACAGCTCGCCGTATGCGTATCCAATGTGAACCGCGAATTCCTCTTTTGCTCGTCCCCGCACACTAGTTATGCCGCCCGGCTAAGTATCGAAACCGTTTCACTGCTAGACAACACTTATTGACCCAGACATTGAAGAGACCCAAGAAACGACACGAAGGGTTTAAAAACCGCCGTAGCCCTATCACTACCTGTTGGGCTATCGATACTCTGTAGAGTTATCTCAAGGGATGAAATATAGCAAGGCGTCTCTTCAACAGGCCCGAGGTATGCTCCAGTACAGCTTCATGGCTATAGTAAAAGCAGAAGTCTTGCAATGGTCTTGACCGCCCGAACGCTGCAGTTGAGCGCAAATAAGCTGCTGCACGTGATCATTGTCTTGGCGAGGCGTTCACTTTCACCTACACCTGAAACTCTAGATGCCAAGATCACGTGCACGGGTCGCTGCAGGAGCCATCTGTCGTTGTTGTTGCACCTCAAGGTTTCACTCAACGACAACACCCGCATTGCCATCTTAGCCTGTCCATCACCCGCCATCAATATCTCCGTAGCAGCGCTCTTGTTTTCATGCAGCTCTGAACCCCTCCACCTATTTGTTCTTGTTGGAGATTTATCGATATTTGTGGAAGAAATTTCACTTGGTTGTCCTAACTTCGCCAGGAGCAAGTCAACCGTCAATATAAGATTGCCGACTTATTTCAGCTACGGGGTTTCCATTCAGGCAGTTGCATCAACTCTACTCACAGACGACATACATCAACCTAAATCGCATCAATCTCGACGCTCAGAATCTACTATGACAACATATTATCAGTACGGAATGGAGGGGCTGATTACGGCTTCCACAGTAGATCCCGTCTCCCAATACGCACATGAATACCTTGGACATGACATGATCGAGTGTGAAGGAGACATAGTTGGAACCTTTCTCGCTCGTCGTCGTGCGATAGTTTACCCCGCATATGCCTCCCAGCAGGCAGATCATCTCCAAGTACCTACGTTACAGGGCCAAGGACAACAATGCGGCGGTGGCGGGGTCCCTGATCGATCCCATCAAGACTGCGGGTTTGGAGAAGGCTATGACTCACCGAATTATGCAGGAAACTCTAAATTTGACTACCCAAGAATCATGAGCCATGTCGATTGGACGAGATGCTCAGGTTCAGAGCGCCAATATCCCGATCCGGAACATATCCGCCACTTTCACACGCTGCATAGCTTGCTACCATACATTCAGCCAGAACGCAAACTTAACTCACTGGACGGACCAGTAATGGAGATTGTCGAACAAGATACCGGCTTCACCTTCGCATACTCAGTTCCGAAGAAGTTGCTTGTTCTGTTTCTTGGCCGGCAGATAGTCATGAAGTTCATGAAGACCGTCGAGCGCCAGGATAACGAGAACTGGCGCGGTCCTCCCATATGCCAGGAGCTACATCTGCCGCGAGGCCAAACTAGCAAAATTGCGATCAAGATCATAGTATCGTGGATGTTACGAGCCTGCAAGTATCACACTATGGAAATCATGAAGACTGTTCAGATACCGAAAAATACGTTCGCTGCTTGTTCTTTGGCTCAAACAATGACTCTCTTGGGTCTCCACAAAGACGCCTCACGAGTAGACATGTACATCTCGCAGAATCATTTCGTTAAGCCCATTTTCGCCGTGGAGTTAGAAACACTGTGGAATTGCCTAGGAGAGCACAATAGATACGTCTACGCAGCTATAAAGGTGGTTGGGAAGCGGCTCCAAGCATACGACAATGGCCAATCTCGAGAGCTACCGGATGCCGATAAGATGCTTGCCTTGTTAGAAAAGGATTTGAGTCTCAACGCTCGGGTGCGTGATCCAGAGCTCAACGAGAGGTACCAGCCGGTGTTCGGTACTGAATGGATGAAGAGGCTTGGTAACATAGTTTCCACGAACGAATCTGCCGAGGACCTGAATGGGATTAACAAAATTGAGATCCCCCGACAGATGGGCAAGGGCACACAGTTGGCCAATTCTCAAAATAACATCCTGCCAAACACCACACCAAAGACCAACCACAGGGTAGGTGTTCTGGGCATTGTTTCGGAAACCAATCTTTCAACGTATGATGGTTTAAGCACCAATAGGAAGGAGAATCGCAAAGAAATGGGGTGGTAGGCTTTGTGTGGCCACGGACATTGATATAGTTACGCCGCTAACAGGTGTCGTGAACTGTGCTGTCGGTTCCAGAGATTGCTTATCGTGAGGGGACGAGGTTATTTCAATAATGTAGTCAGAATGACCACCCTCTTATCAATATGCAAATATAAGCTCGTCTTCCACCCTATCTTGAATGCAAATCTGTGTTGCCATGCATAGTTACACTATCAAAATCGGCGCACAATAGAGGGAGAGTAGAAAAAGCTCTAAAGCTCGGAGCGCTCTCTGCAGATGGTAAAAGAGGTGTTGCAACACAAGCACAACAGAGCCCCATAAACATATTAGTGGCTAGATGTCTGCGTCGTGCGATGCCTACCTGCGACATATTTTCTTTGTATGTTCATGAAAACATGCTTTTGAGCATCACCTATGTGCCGCCCCGATCTCATCAACCCTCAAGACGATAGCTAAAGTGTTGTGTTGCAACACCGCTTTTACCATTTGCAGAGAGCTCTCCGAGCGTTACAATTTTTCCTTCTCTCTGTGTCCTTGTACGCTATGCTAGCGTACGCACTAATCACATACGTAGTCTACTCTTGCAACTTGCGCACACATGTGGCAGCCAGGTCATGACGCGCAATTCCAGCGCATTAAACAAGCGCACCAAACTAAAGCTTTCTCCAGCTCAGCATACTTGTCGATTATGCTATATCAACTTAGCAACTGACGTGTTGTACAACATCCGCGCACCCAAATATGCTCATAAACATAAAAGGTTGTGATATTCTAAGATTTTGAATATACTAAGTGAGCAACCTTGTATGATAGGAAGCGTTGACGTATTACTCGCCTCAAGAATTATCACGGAGGTACCCTTCGCATTGTTCACTCATCCATCCATTTTAACTTCTCGCAAGATGCAGCTTCCTAAGCACCCAACATTCACAGAACAAGACATGTATGTACTCCCAAGGTATGACTTTAAGAAAATCAGTGCTTCAAAATTAGTAGTAATCGCTAGCAGTTTGCTTGTTCCTTCCAAACAGGCTCAAAGCGATAGTACCAACAAAGATGTCCAGCGCAGAATTAGAGAACGCGGAGAAAGGTTTTATGGACCGCAGATCCTAACACCTGGGGCATCAGTGTCTTCGTGTATTAGCTCTGCAGATCGTGAAAGGCGGAAACAACGGAGCCGTATCAGAGTGTTAATGTCAGGAGCACCTCACGTGGGAAAACTAGGAGATTATGATTCGAGCAAGCTCGATGACATTACGGCGGTGCTGCGAATTGTTACAAATAAGCCAGAGCCGGAACACATGTCCAGACTGACGTTCAAACTCAATATCGAGAATCAAGACTGGATGGCAGACGAACTTCTTGATACGTCTGAAATCCATGACATGCTTCTCTCCGACGACGAAGACTCAGGTGAAGACTTTGAATCTGTTAAGAACGAGCCTTTGGCCGAGGATAATGGGATTGCTAAAACAAATGAGGTCTTGAAATGGCAGAGCACGACCTTGTTCGTCCCATGAGCCAAATGAAGGATTATGTAGAGTACGCACAACGGTAGTGACATTGCTCGTAACTTTGAACATGTGACTAAGTGCCCTTGAAGCTACGCGGTGATGCTTGAAATATGTGATTTCGTCCGTGAATGTACTTCCGCTCCGTGCTTCTAGTGCTGTGCTCCTTGGTTGATCTGGTACCAGTAGCGACACACCAATTCACGCGTATGATCACCACTGTACATACTTGACTGTCATCACTCTTCACGGCTTCCGCTCTCATAGCAACCACCTCCATGTCTGCAAATCTTGTTTCTCTCTTTCTCCCTCTCCTTAGAAGCAACTTTGCGCACCCGCATTCGACCACAACCTACACTTGCGACTTTAAGCGCCCTAATATACTTTCCAAACATGCCTCAAGATCACCAAGACCGCATACTCAACCGCACTGGCTCAGGAAGTGACGACTACCACCACACTCGGGGCCCTCACCAAAGCAACGCCACCCCATTCTCTCATAACGAGCCACAGTCGACGTATCTTCTCGCTCCAAATCCTACATACGCCACCCCACAACGCCAAAGCGGTCATTCTGAGTACGATACTCCTAGAATAACTCCTTATTGGGATGACTTTAACGGCATCATCTATGAAGTTCCAAGCATTTCGCCTAGGCAATCTAGGAACACATATGGCCGTAATATCGCGGCAACATCCTATGCGCGTGGTACTACTGAGGCTCAAGCCAAGCTTGATCATATAGCGCGAGTGCCCCGAGGTTTTGAAGCGAGTGGGTCTGATCCAAATCCGAGGCAGGGTGGGGAGATGCGACGCCCAGCCCCTTTCGACGAAGGCTTGCAAGCCTCTAAGAATCGAGACAGTCGTAACATGGATTTCGATCCGACAGAAGCTCGAAATTCTGAGGCCTTGAGTAGAAAGATTGCGCACAGCCATGTCCCTCTCGGTCGTCTTGCGTTGCACTCCAAAGATGTGAATCAAAAACTCCATGAAGAAGCCAACGGGAGCATCAAGATCGCAATGACAAACCGGCATGCGTTAAATAACGATTTGAAGACTTTACCTACACCAAATAGGGAGAGTCGACCTGTATCAGAGTCAAAGATCAAAAGGGGGGCAGTTTTCGAGGTTCCGCGACCAGGAGCGAAAGACGTACGCCCTATGTCCACATTAGTTGAGATACCATTACCTCTACGCATCTTCAAGGAAAAGAACACCAAGCCTACAGCGGACTGCTGTCCATCATCACCGACGCTCAACCGCGTACGAAAGTTGCGTGAAGTTGAACAGAAGTCGACGTTGGCAAAGCTAGAAGAACAGTTGAAGAGCACGAAGACGATTAAGCCGACTCGCGACGATGCGCAGTCTAGAGTGAGCACAGAGACTAGTTTGTCGCCAAAAGCAGAAGAATTGATTCCAGATATGGAACTCTCGGACTCGGACTGGGCCAGGTCGCTTTACGCTTTGGCGGACCCACCAAAGCTGCCTGTCACATCGACAACGCCGGATCCGGAACTGAATCCAAAGCGCGAAGGTATGATGGCTACAGTGCATTCGGTGGAGGATAGCGGATACAGTGACGACGAAGAGATCGATGCCCTAATCAAAGCGATTGCAGATATGCGCCCATTCCAGAAGCTGCCTTCCACGTCGGCAGAGCATCGTTCGTACGTGTGTAAGAGTGCTGTGCCTGAGGGTTTAGATTTAAGCAAGATTCAAACTGCGAAAGAACAAACGAATGGCATATCGATGCCAACCACAACCCATGATGCAATCATCAAAAATTCGGAAGCTGAGGTGGTAGGCGTCAACCATAGCGAAAGCGTTGAATCGCAGAAGCATGATGCAACGGTATCTCTAGAGTATTTTGCACGGTCTGCGTCAGACGACTTTGAGCGAGTAGAAATATCGATAGATGAAGACACGGAGCATAATGGGCCTAAGAGGAAATGGTATAAGGGGTTCCGCCGCTAATAAAAGAAGAACAACTCAGCCTCTTGTAGGTAGTCAGCTATTTTTCTAAAATGCCCCAATAGCAATTTTTTAAATAAGCATCGGGCAATTCGTGTTCATCTTCATCTTTGATCCCTCATTGAACAGCACTAGTAGTGCCTAAAGTCTGTTAACACGTTCCAGCTTTGTGCTTGCGGGACAGTAAGGACCCTTATCCAGAGTAAAACACCAATATACCACGCTGCTCGACAAATACTATGCAGTTCACACAGCACTGTCGATTGTTATTTTCGAGGCCGCAGCTCTTCATCCTCTAGCCTACCATGTAACATTTTCTGCCATCTAGGAAATCTTACAGGCTACTGACACTCATCCTAGTGATACGCTACTAGACACACTCTACTCTTACCCAAGCTCTAGGGGCCTTTTAAGTGAGTTATATACTGCTTGTGCTGCAGCAAATCTCAAGCTATCGCTGGAGGAGGTTGCAAAACTCAGTGCTGAAGACAAACTACTGGCGTGATGATGAGGTCTACTAGAGTCAAAGGCCGGATAACGCAGAGTGGCTAAGTGTATGAACAACGATGTAGACACTTACGATAAATCTTAAAATAGAAGAGGGGGCGTTTAGAGAAGACAGCAGGTCAACAGAGTAGATATGGTAGCAATCGTGATGACTTGTGCTGCCTGAGATGAGATGCAGTCGCCAAGGCTCTGCGCATGATGACGTACCCCGCGTCGTCGCGCCTCCGCCTCCGCGTCTACCAACATCACCTCCAAAATGTCTCGCAGGCCGGGCTCCCTCCCACCATGCCCCAGCTCCCCCCAAAATGTCCTCCTCGAGCCCTCTTACGTCCGCGCAAACACATGCTCTCTTCGACATCCTAATCCACCACCAAATCTACGCAGAAATCGAGGCCTTCAAGTATCCCTCCACCATCGACAAATATGGTTACCCGTTCCGCAAAGCAGATGACATCCAGTCGACGAGCCCGCTGCTACAAACCATCCTCAACAAGTTTGCGCTGTGTAACCCGGCTATAAGAAATTTCAGCGAAGAATTCTGGCAGGACAAGGTCAGGACGCTGGTAGCGAAGCTTGCGGAGGCAGAACTGAGTGAGAGCTATGATAAAGGCGCTATTGGAAGTAGGAAGGCGCTTGCAACGGCTGCGAGTAGCATAGCTGAATATATTGCGAGGGGGATGTTGGGGGGCTACCCAGTACAGAAGGGAAAGGACGCGAAGGAGACGTATGATACGAGTAAGCCGGAGGATGTCGTGCAGGGATTTGACGACCTGATGCATGGCTTGATATATGGAGACTTGCTTGACGACATGTTTGAGCAGGTCAAGGCGACGGGCAAGCTAGAGGACCATGCGGGTGTTGTGCAGGCAGCGCATGAGTACATTTTGCTAAAGTGAGTGCGACACCTGTCCAACTTTGTCCGTGTCTGACAATTACAGCGTCGCCTCTTTCCTCCACCACGTCTTCGTCATGTCGCCCGACGGCCAATACCTCGTCCGCCTCCTCGAGAACGCACACCGCCTCATTCCATACATGGTCATCAAGCAGACCCTACGCGTCGGCAACGCGGCAACCATGATAAATGGCATGGTCAGGTTAATTCTAGCGAAGCTCTCGGTAACCGCCATGACGAACTGGATAGGGCTAACAAACAACTCCAATGATGGCATGAACCTACTACAACAAATCATCTCAACAGTCCTAGCGTGGGATACCTCCGAGTTCCAGAAACGCGCAACGAAACTCGAGTCTTCGCGCGACGCGCCCGACAAAAAAGTTTTCAAAGCCATTAAACCCTTTGTCTACGCTTCAAGAGACAAACACGAAGCCACTCGAAGCCAGTCTATTTCAGAGTCCAAATCCATCGTTGCGGTCATCCTCGAAACCGCCGACACTCCGATTGATACCGATTCACTCACGGAGCATCAACACAATGTGGCAATGGAGTATTACAGCACATACCTCTCGATCCGCGACCGCGAGGAGCTAACAAAGGTTTTCTGCAAGTTGCAACCCGACGTCCTGACATCCGCAGTGCGCGAAGCTGTCTCAGCGATGGATCCAGTCATCCGAGCGATACACAATGCAGTTGACCTCTCCGGTACTGTCACAGATGCTGAATCTTTCCTAACCGATTTGATAAAGGTCTCCAAGCCCAAGAAGAAAACTGGCAACAAGAGCCGCGAGACGTCCCAGTCAAGATCCAGCACTCCAGCACCAGCCAGTGTCGAAGACAACGAAGCAAGTGATGTCCCTACAGTGGAAGACTATGTGAATCTACTGAGGAAGCACGCTCCCTCCATGCACAAGTTCTTACACCAAGTCACCAAGAACGCCCCGGATCTGGCAGACGACTACCTTGCGTACGCAAAACGTATATTCTCTGAATTTAAAGTCGACGACAATGCGAAGGCCGCCGAAGAGAGAGGCGAAGGAGGCGCAGGCAACATGACAGCACCACTACACTCGCTATTTGAGAGTCTTGGGAAGGAGAAACAAGATGAGTTGAAGAAGTTGTTGGATGAGCACGATAATCATCTGAGGACGCTCAAAGACACATCCCAATCCCGCCTCAAATCAATAATGTCTACGACGTCAACGTCGACACCCAAGCCTTCGGATAAGGGGACAACACACGGCCCTGGCATGTACCTCAGTCGCTGGAACTCACTGATCGACTCCACGCTCATCAGCCCTGCCACGATCCGCGGGCCGGTGCGGAAGGGCTGGGAAGTCAAGAGCGAGCTGGATGGCAAGGGACTGAAAACGTCTAGCTCGTTGCTGAATTCAGCCAAGAGTAGGGATTCGAGTAAAAACAGGCACCAGAACACCATGATGATGGCGAACGGCACGGGTGATGCGATAGAGAGGCGTGAGAGGAAGCGGGATGGGCAAGAGGGGGATGGCATGGTCGCAGTATGGGATGGGATGAGAGACGGGTGGGTGGGAGTCTGTCGGGGCCTAGAAATCATGGGCCCTGATTGAAACATCCTCATTTCGAACACCTTTTTTGGCAGGCGCATTGTAGAACTGGTTTGATACAGCGGATTTCATATCAATATGCCTGGTACATATGATTACGAGCAAAGCACGACACAGCATGACTAGACGGCGGGTGCATTTTCGGCTATACTACCACTAGCACATAATCAAGCAATACCCTAAACCCACCGCTTCAGCCTCACTATGTAAACGCGTCCTTTCTCTAAATCAAGTACGCAACCTTTCGTACCCGCGTGTCGAAATACGAACCCCGCGTAGTGATCGTCTCGCCAGCCGAACCAACCGGCTCACATATGTAGGTACCCGCCGGAAGATCCTCGCATCCGCATCCGAACATCAGTGCGGAACATGATGACGCGCGCGACGCTGATCATTATGTTTTTCCTCGTGGTCTATGACGAAAGCGAGGCACATTTCATTCATTTTGGTTCTTTTGAATGAGCCGCCGGATGAGCGCAGGACCGGGTCGATGGAGATGTTATGTAGGGTATGTGTGATGATCGTGTCATAAGACAAGGAATAATCAGATGTAGTGTGTCGTTGGAGTGTGCTTAGTTCTGATGGGATTGCGCAGAGTGGTTGTACTGTTTCTTACCTACTCGTGTTGGAGTTGTTTAGTGTTATAGGCGATGGAAGAGCTGGTTTTTCAAAAATATTTGCAACACACTGCGAAAAACGCGATTCAAAACGTAGGCATTCGAATAAAGCCATTCCCTGCTGCTCCTTTAATACAATGTGGTATCTCCCATAATAAATAGTATCGATGGTATCTCCAACTCTCACGTCGCCAAAGCGATAACCAGGACGCCAATCAACTCCATACTTGAAAATGGATATTGAAACAAAAGAAACCCAGCGTTGTCAGCATCTCATTCAACACAAAATGAGCTTGTCACCCAACTTCTCTGCATCCAGGACCTTGAACCTACTCTCACCCTCCTCCCACGCTGTTGGTTCCACGCTCAGCGTCCATCCAACAAGCACCATCCGCGCTACAAATGCGATGGTCTCAACACTTAGCGGCAACTCACTCTTGAGCACCTGTTCCATCTTCTTGCCTAGATTCTGAGGTGGAAAGATGTCTGATGGCGCCGGGCTACCAAGACTCGTAACCGTAAGTGTCGACGCCGTACTCGAGCGATTCGATCTTCTCGCACTGGTACGAGATGCAGTGGACGACTGGCGCTTACTCTTCGTGTCAGGCTCGAGGAATGGGGAGTTGGTGATGCTCGCAGAAGGGCTATTGTGCGCAGTTACGGCCTCAGCGTATGATCTTCGCAATTCCTTCTTTGTAGCTTTGCGTACGGCGACGAGAACGTCTTGGGGTTTCATATCAGGAACTAGACACATCAGACGCTCTAGGAGAGTGATGTATCGGGACATGCGGGCGGCTTTGTCTGCGAGGGTATCGGTTGTATCGGGATTGGACGATAGTTTGCCGAGGCGTTCACGCTCGCGGTATAGGTGGCCAGCGTTGTGAGGTTCGTAAAGTGGGCCGAAGATGTCGAGGTGCGGCGCTTGTCTGTGGACTTTTTCGACGAGGCCTTCGAGGCGTTGTAACAATCGTGCTGGTAATAGTCCACCGGATGCGATGAATTGAATGGTCTTGATGAGAGGTGCGGAGGCAAGAGGTGTATGGCCACATGAAAACGGCAGTGCGGCAATGGCATCGATTAGTGTAGCTGAAGCATTTTGTTCTGTCGATGCGGCAAGAACGTGAAATCGAAGTTTTCGAGAGCTTGGTAGCGATGTGAGGAAGATAGACTGTGGTGATTTGGTGGTAGATGATTTCTCGTGGAGCGACGCGCCTGTTTGAATGGCTTCGAATGTCTCATTGGTGACGAATATGCTGCTGATGCCCTCCCTATCCTGCGAGTAGGGCAGAGAGCCAGCTGCTAGATGCTTGGCGTAAAGTAGTGAGAAGCCTGATCCTCGAGCATGTTGTTGTGGTATGCTGCGCTTGTGCTGTCGGAGCGTAACTTGGTATTTGCCATCATCTGTCGGCGTCGTTGATATCGATATTCCAAATGCACCTTTCCTCGAAGGAACGGGATTTTTCTGTGCGTCAGCGATCAAAGGGTTTCCTAGTATGACTGAGAGCGCTGAAAGCTCAGCCGACGTAATTCTAACACTCATCCTGCCGTCGAAATATTTCGCAGTGTGCCCATCCTTCATCCATGACCCGTCTTTATGCCTCTGTTTACCTTCGTGTACCAGTCCATTGACCATAGGAATAAGCACCGGGGCTGGCTTTTTTATGGAGATGCCACGCGCTAGCCCCCTCTCTGCCGTCGAAAAATCCAAGCTCTTTCTCTGGGGCTTTGACGTTGGGTCTACTCGTCCACTTGTTGACCTGTACGACACTGATTTTGCCCTCCCGGGTCCACCAGCGCCTCGCTTCGTCCCAGCAATAAACTTGAAAATCTCCGAAGAGTATGCAGACCGTTCCATCACCGGATGAGCCCGCAGCCCGCTCGCAAACGCTTCGTAGAAAACTTCGAGGGGTACATCGCCAGACTGTCCATAGAGGGTGGTGAACAATGCAGAAGAGATAAGACCTTCATCCCCAGCTTTAATGATGCCTGATAGTGTTGGTACCCATTGACCCTTGCTCTGGTCCAGTTTTGGGGTAAAGAGGCGTTTCCAGGAGCTGGATATATGCGCAAGTTGGTGTTGTCGCTCCGTGCAGCCGTCCGCCGTGTACATGTTTTCGGTCGTGGGTTGTTTGTTGTGCTTGTGGACAAGCAAGCGTGTGACGAGGGCCATTATGGAAACGAGGCAAAGACTAAGTGAGGTTTGCTGCGATGACTACGGTCGAGTGCATCTTTCTCGGGCGTCATTTAACTATTATAATAGTTGTCACCTTGTTGTAGTGGACCCTTGTTGGAGATGGTCCGCAAACAGACCAATCGGATAGCCAGGAAGGCGTAGCTCACCGTGGGCCCGTGCTCTCGGACGAGTTGGGCTGCCGCCTTCCTTGCGAATACTCACAGTGATCCCCGCACAAGGGGGTCGTCCATCCGCGCGAATCATGGCAGCTGGTATCTCGCCCGGTTTGCCAGAAAAGCGCCTTGTGGTCATATGTGGACGCTCTGTGTCGAAAAGACATTCAACCGAGGGGGGTAGCTCGCTGACAGTTGAGAGACAAACAAAGAACATCCACGTTTCGAACTCGCTTACAGCATCTGACTTTTGCTTCCCAAAGCAAGCGAGCATGAATATCCTTAATCTTACATGCGTCATAGCGGAAGCTCGTTGAAGGCTCAACCCGCCCATTCAGATCGTCTTCATGCGCCATTATCAGATTTTCCCACATCCAAAAGATCTGTGCCCTCACATCGAGATCGTGACCAGGTTTGGCGGGCAGCGACGGCAGCGAGAGATATTGGAGCGCACAGGCCGCTTCAAGGGTCTCCTTTCCGGACGACTACCTCGGAGACATGGTTGGAAAAGATCAGACCCAGGCAAAATCTTCAGCGGAAAACAGCCATACGCGGTTGCGAGACATATGACCCTTGACAAGCTCCAGCTGACAGCTGAGGTGGGAAGCTTGCGTGATGAGCTACCAGTCCACTGGCGTACTTTGTAAGCGTGGCTTTTCGACCCACGGCGGTGGAGCGGGGAAGGATGCAAATCGGTCAAATTTTGACATAGCCCACGGCGTATCGCGCAGACATAACTCTACCAGTCGTGCAAGATGCGAGTTGGATGTTGGCAGAACGCGCGCCGTACCGGGCGTCCCGGGTTACCACCAGCCGAACGATCCGAATGCTTCAAATCGGTCCTTCACTCGGATATCCGTCTTCACATCCGAGTTGAACGATCCTGTTACTGATTTTGCGATCTTTGCATCCTGCAGCGGCCACGCTGACCCGGTCGTTCGAACAAGAGTCGGCCAAGTAGAATGAGTGATGACCAAGCTTTGCTCCCGATCAGTCGACCGCCCAGCAGGGGTTAGGAACCATCGCCCGGATCTTGTTGGTAGCTCACCCTCAGTTAGAAGTGATGCCTAAGAGTAATCATAACTAACGTGTGAACTTGTCATGAGACATGAGGCGCTCCTTGTCAGACAATGTGCCAGTGTTCGCCAGTCAGCGGCTGCCTGGATTGGTCTCATGCAGGCCTTCTACCACCATGAGTCGAACTATGGCTTGTCGCATGTATATCGTAACTTGCTGTCTTGGCCTGTATACAGCGAGGCTGTCGGGTTAATGCTTGCCAACAGTCGCAAGCAGAGAGCCAAGGCTACCTCAGGATCTAAGCGGCCTTGTGCCGCCCGTGCGGATAAGCTTCTGTACCTTCAGCAACCTTCTCTGTGCCAAAATGACAGGCAGTGGATGTTGGAAGACTAGGACAATCATGGCACGCGTAGAGAACATGATGAGGGATCGGCGTATCCACACCGCATAGCCGTGGCTAAGAAATCTGGACTGTTGTGCCATGTTGATCGAAGCAGGTGTACGGGCAGCAGCAGCACCAACAGAGCAAACCCAGTAGAGAACGCCCGACATGTCGTCCCATATATTCGATGTGTCAGTGCGCTCCATAACCTCGTATAAGGCTTCGGTAAGGCGAATGGGAAGCATGTGCCCACCAGCCTGCGCATTCGCGAGTGCTCTTGAATCGGAGAACACGAGATTTTGACATGGATCTGCAGCGACTGAGAAGGGCACACGCATGATGATAGAGGTCGTATAAATCAATGCGGTGATGCGGCACGCCTCGTAGACCCAATCATTTGACATTGGGAGGCCTGGTATATAAGCTGAGGGCAGAGAGGCCAATCGTTCACGTATCTCGGCGACTTTGATGTCATAGTCGACAGAAGCAGAGCTCAGGCGCCTCATCTCTCCCTCATCGATATCGAAGATGACTTCCAGTTCTGCATGATGTGTAAGGAAGAGATCGGTCAAGTCGCGCATGTCGCAAAGTAGGTCGTGTGTAAATCGGGAGCAATGCGAATCGTTGACAATGGTAGCGAATTCTGGCCTCGGGCAAAATAGCGGAGACTCTGGTATGGCAGCGGTATCATCGCCCAGGGCGTAATTGGGTGGGTTCCAGTCACGGAAAACTGACAACGAATCTGCCTCGCAAAAGACATCGCAATGATAGCAGCATCTAGGTAAAGTCAGCATGTTGGCCAGAGGATGGACAAGGACACTCACGCTGCGGCTACCTCGCCCACTGTTCCGTTTTCGAGAGATTGCATCCCACCGCGCTGTGCGATCAATTTCGCAACACCAGATTCATGAAAACGCAAGATCTTCTCGTTACAGCTCCACATTTCTCCAGCGAGCAAATGTAAGATAACCATAAGAGTTGCGTCTTCGTAGTTTGTGTCGGAACAGCTTTTTCGTTCATTGATCATGTTTATCGTCTCCTTTTTGACCAGGCTTGTCCGCTCGCTATCTCCTGAGCATCCTGCATGCATGTCGAGCCATGTAGATGCTAGAAGTGTGGAACTGAGCATGATGTGTGGGTGAGATAACAGGGCTGGGAGCCACTTTGCAATGGTCGAGTCTGAAGCGAAGGCTCGCACGCCTGGAGTTGTGGGAATCTGTTAGCTGGTTCAGGAATGGGGTAGGAGCGCTTCATTGGGAGTAAAACAACCTAGCGGATTGCGAGACTTACATTTGCGCAACAGGTAAAGCGAGTTTAACTTTGGGTTTTGGAATTGCGGCAGCACATTGAATGGATCAACGCCATCACCGATACGGAGGGAGGTAGCCAGCTTGCCCACCAAGAGACGCATCTGGAGATCCTCGTGGCTGTCGCTATCTTCATACTCAACGACTCTGATAGAACCTGTCGAATTCGATCTACTATTGCTCGATCCCCGAATGGCTAGCGCATAGTCCGTTTCTTCGGTGTCGGAAAATGGTTCAGACTGTGAGGTTGTACTCCACCATGCTGGCGATGTCGACGGATACAGGTACCGGGGAAATTCATCGTATTCTTCAACCACTTGGGGTCCGAAAAGATCCGGTGTGACGCCGACCATATGCGCGTGCAACGCAATGGTCGTTGATGGTCCACTTACGAGTGATTCTTCCCCAGTCGGGGCTTTCTCGGGCGTTTTCAGACTCTTCAGCTTCAGCTTCGTTCGGTTCTTGTTCCGGAAGGCAATCATGGCTTGAGAACGCACGCTTCTTTTGACGCTCTCATCTTTGAACTGTAGGGGATTGGTCGCTGTGACAAACTGGAGTTGCGGGGAGCCATCGCGGTTAGCCCTACGGTGCTTAACCTTTCGGCGATTTGCTTTCGCCTTGGACTGAGGTTTGGGGGGCGATTCAGACGGCACTATACAGATCAGAACGATTCTAGTAATCGAGCGCTCACGCTTCGTACCTAACCCGCCATTGCCAACGTTTGAGCTCATCAAGTTTAGACTGGAGGAGTGGAATAAGATATAGAAGGATATCAACGTCGCCCGCACAAGTACGCGGCTCTTGCAAAGGAATTGGCTCTCGTATACGGATGGTGCATATTGATATGCAGGAGGCTCGCAGCTAGGGGAGTGGCAAACATGTCAATGGATGCGGGGATCAGTGGGAGCGCTAGTGCTCAGGAGGTGACGTTTGTCCAATCATAGGGGTGGAATGGCGGGCGGAGGGTCTCTCCGCCGCGTTCGGTCGTATCACACGACTCGAGCTAGGTGAAGTGCAACTGAATGTTGCATTCACTGGATATCAATCTGCTCGCTTGCCCCAGGTAGTTACACATAGACGCGCGCTGGTGCCAATCACCGAACTGAGTCGTCTGCAGGAACGCCGATTGCGCTTCGGCGCGCGCGTATCTCGCCTAACATTTCCTAGACGACGGAAACGACCACATCGTCAGACATTCTTCGACGACACTACTGCCCGTGCGCGCATCTCTGCCTGCTGCAATGCAGCAGCAACTCGCCAATTCGAGTAACGTTGTAGCGCATACTGCGTTTACACTTTCCGAGACTCCACATCCCGCGGGATGGCCGACTTGGCCTACCTGATGCCTATCCGCCAGTCCGTCCATTGCGCTGGTGCGAATAGACTGAGTTGCCGATTCCAGGTAGTGAAACCAATGCTTATCATTACTCTTATAGGCCGGTCACAAAGACTACAAATGTGCTAGAGAAGCTATAGGCAAGACAAGAGTTGGGTAGACGTCTCCTCATTCCTGAGCAGATCGTCTACCGATCAGCGCCCACGCAGTCCCACAAAAGGCAACTACATCGTGCATGATACTAGCTCGCCGCTGTACGACGTCCACATCTTGTTCGGCGGGGGCCAGGGAAGACTCCCGCTCATCCACACAAATCCGCGCACTCCCCTGATGGCTCTTACTAGCGTCTTTGGTCCTCAGGGTCTCATCGCTGTTTGCTAATGTCTCAATAGGCGCCCTTGCCCCAGACATGTAGTCCCAGGGCAGTGTCACCCCTGGTTAGACGTGATCAGCTCCTTCTAGCCTCTTCCTCGACGATAGTTCTCATACCTTGCCTCCTCAGCGTCTCGTTGACGTTGGCCCAATGGTCAAAGTCGATCAGACTTGGCTTGTCCCACAAGTCTCGCGGCAGTGCGTTTGGGTTGCGGAGCGGCTCAAACTTCCGACGCAGGTTTGCAAGCGCTATTGCTGCTGATTCGCTGTATTGGTGCATTCGTAGCTTCATTTCTGGGGCAACGAAGCGACCGTCTGGCAGATCTCGGAAAGGAAAATGGTGCTGAGTAAGTGGAAGTGCATCGATGTCCTCGCGGAAAGTGATAGTGTAGGGGTAGTGGGCCGACATGATGCTTTGGGCTCACTCGCCGTGTATTATGGAGAATATAATTAAGCAGTGGAGGAAACAAAATATCCGTGTGGAGGGCGCAGACCCTGAATAGTGAAAGAAAGGTACGCTGAGAACAAGCGCGTGGCGAACCCTTCATTCACCATGTGCATTATAGATGCATCCATTGACATCGCAAGAGCTGGCCGGCGAACGAAACGCATCTGTTGTGCTAGCCACCAGCAGTTTGCAGCAAATAAAATACCGTCTGCTAAAGACATGTCGACAATCACTCTCCCAGCTATGAACTATACAACGAGAACACTAAAATCGCCAGGTCAATTGCTCAGCTGCATTTGATATGTCGATTTCGGATGCATAGCAAGGTTATCTAATCACAAGACTACGCCACCTTTTGCCAAAAGCAATTACCACTCCCGACCTCGGCCCGCGGACGCTCTCTACGTTAGTTCCATGCAGCTCCTCCTAGATCGGTGATCATAGTGTCTATTAGGGTCATGCTGGCTGCAAACAAGCGAGAAAACAACAAGTCGAAGAAACGAAGTCTCTTGCGTCGTCTTAAGAATGTAAGGATCGTGATCATGATCACTACTAAGAAAGAACCGACACATTCCCTCTCTAGAGCTCCCTAGAGAAACAACAAAAACAAGCTCGCAAAACTCTTGCCACATTTCCACTACATGCGCCCATTCCGGTCCAGAAGTTGCAACGGATCATATCGTCGTGCATTCCGCCTCGTCGTCAGAACTTTCCTCAGGACTTTGCGGAGCGGCGTCTTCAAAGACCCATGGCCTTCTGACAATCAAGTGTGTTTCCCAAGGACGAATTGGTTTCGGTTCATGTAGAGGCCCATCCCGAAATGCAAAGCGTACACGATCGCCTCCTTCGCGTATGTATAGAGGACTCTGCACAGGCTGTCCGTCATCTGAAAGTCCAAGTTCCAAATCTCGAAAGTCATCCTGGCGGTGCCCCAGCTGTGAGAACTATTGGCGGCTGAAGGTACCTCCTCCACCGCGATATCCTCGGCTTATGAGCCATTGACGACTGATTTCCGTTGGTTCGATGTCGCGATCGGTGAACGTCGCCAAGTGTTGTTTGCGGACCGTTTCGATGTAGTAGCCGCCTTTGTCCAACCACTGTAGTCTGTACCCTTCTTGGATCGAGCCTGGGTCTTTGAAGACAGGGGTCTTTCTCTTAACGTCGCCAATAAGGCGGTCTTCACTAGGGAACTGTCCGAAAGGATAAGGCTTTGTGTCTTCGACTTCCAAGATCCATTCCTGAATCCCCCTCACAGTAGATGGAGGACCGTCCTCTGCAAATTCCGTATGCAAATGCGGACCACGGCCATTCTTGTAATTCCCGAACGCTTTACGTAGCGTCTCGTCTGATAACATCCACGCAACAAGACAACTAGGGTCTGTATGCCCATATGGATCTTCAAGCACTCTGACACCGCAGGTGTCGCAGCACACCTTGTCTCTGTGCTTCTTCTCCATACGGATCACTTTTTCGAGTCGGAGCTTGATGTGGTCCAGCACCTTCTCCGCCCAGTAGCTGTACCGCGGCAAAGTTTTCCAGACGGCTTTGAGCTCAAAGACCGCAAAGGTAGGTTCAGACAAAAGTAAAGGTTCCAAGCGGAGGCGAATACTTTCAGCTTCTTCCTGTAGGTTCAAGACTAATAGGGCGCGCTCGGCACAACATAAGTCGACGAACTCTTCGATGAATTCTGCTGGGACGATGTTGTGAGTTTTGCAACTGTACGCGGTTTGCATCCACCGAATGATGAGTCTTATGCCTTGATGCTCGCAATGGGACGCGGGGAGGATGAGAAGTGTAGAGCCGTTAGACCGGCGGGAAATGTATTTCTTGATATATTTTGCGCCACAGAAGTCGAAGAGCATTGCAGGGAGAACTCTATGTGAGACGATATCCTCCGGGTCAATAGAGAGAGCAATGTCGAGAAAGCAAGGCTCGTAATCTCTATGCGTAGTCCATCGTGGCATGGGCCAAGTGGTACGTGTGACCAGGCATGATTCTGATATCCTACCATCATAGCTCTTGGATCTATTTGCCCGGTTTGTTGAAACTTTTAGACTTGTTACTGCGTTGGGTGTTCGTATACCGGTTGTTTGGGGCTTTAGCGGCATTGCGGTGATTCTGACGACGATGCCGTCGGTTTTCAGTTTCTGGTCCGAGTCGGTACAGTCGCTGCGTACAGCTGATGAATATGTAGTGAATGAAGTCTCTTATGCGACGGCAAATATTGATAACGGGCGTGATTAGACAATCGTGCATTACACGTTGGTAAGAAGCTCTGTTCAAAGAATGTGGCTCAACGTGGTAGTGGTAATATGTAGAAGATGCACGACGAGTGTGATGTGTATAACAAGAATAAACAACGATGGATATATTTGCGGCTACCAACTGAGCAATACCGATTGCTGCTCCTACCTCGAAATCAATTTGGTAGGTGCGTAACTGCCTCACATGTCGGTTGTCAGGCAGAGAGCATGCAGTACTGCTCTATCGCAGCCTCCCACTCACCTCACTAACCCTCCTACGCATCTTTCAACACCTGGAACGCCACCCGAATCTCCTCAGCATAGACCTCTTCCGCAACATACCTCGCCCCGTGATCCTTCATGATGTCTCGGACCCTCTTATGTCTCGCTTTAATCTCGATCGGTGCCGCTTTCATCTCGCCATTCTCTTCAACACCATTGGCCACCAGTGCGACGACGCGTATCACTTTTTTATCCTCGCTCGAGCTATGGTTCTCGACCTGTTGGACCTCGATAGAAACTTGAGACTGTTGAGCGATTTCTTTGTCAGTGTACTCGATGATAGCGGCTTCGGGGTCAAAATAGCTGCCGATATAGCTAATTATGCGACTGAATAGGGATGGCTGTGGAGCCAATCTCGGTGGAGCAGGTAAAGGCCGAGGCCTTTTTTTCTGCATTGGTCGGCTCTCTGATGGGTAGCTATAGCGCGCGACGATCCTCGGTGGGTGTAACTTGGACGGCTCGCTTTCCTCCCATATGCCCTCGTCTTTGCCTTCTTCTGGACTCGGTTGTGACTTGGTATCTTTCTCTGGAGAAACGGCCACTGCATTTACCGAGCCCATTTCAGTATCCTCAACCATACCAGATACGGAATGGGCATCATCTGTACGCGATGGAGCGCCTTGTTGGGGAGACTGAAGAAACAGCGCATTGATCTCGGACAACACTTCTGGGTCAATGCCAGGCGGGACGTTCGCTAGCGATTGGAGAAACGCGTCCATGGTTGAGTTGTGTTCGGGTGTGGGTGTAGAGCTGTATCGGAGTGATTGTATCATTAGAATGTAGTGATAGAAAAGAGCAAGGCTTGGTAAGAGAAAATTGAGTGAAAGTACGCTGGTATGCCACACTGGGACATCAAGGGTCCTTCAATACACGAGTGAATTGGTAGTTAATTGTGAACAATCAGTATAAAAGGCCCTTGTGGCTCCTGTGACTGGTTTAGTTGCGTTTCTTTCACATTGTGTGGATTTCATCTTCGACTAGTCATTGAAGGTCCACTCTTCACTGACGGAGTATGTGAATGTTTGGAGTATTTTGAATGTCGTCTTTTAATTAGCCCACACATAATCGTAAAATAAGACAGTGACGAAGAGAATAGAACTGCATCTTCCGGCACCAATCGCATGCAAAAACAAGCCCTGATTCAACTTCCCCCCACGGCCCGGTACAGGACGTTAAATATAAAGGGGGGCTAGACAGTTGAAACTTCGTGTTATTACTCGGCGAGAATATAGACGCCGTGCTGGTAGCCATGAGCGCTGTCAAATTATGAAGATCTGTCGATGACAAAGATCAAGATTGTTTATTAGGGGGAAGTGGAGTTGGTAAGGTGGTATGTATGGATCTTTCATTCACCTTCTTGCTACAGACACGAATAAGTCTTGTACTAGTCTACCTGTTTGTTGACCACCAAATTAGAGGGGGAAAAGTGCGAAGTATCCAATATCATTGTAGATACACTATGGACTTGATATGTGTTGTCTGAAGTGTGTACGAATTCGGATAGGGAAAGGAAAGATAAGTCGTCGCTACGATATACCAGGCTTGGTGAGGATATTAGTTGCCTTCAGGGATGAAAGATGCCTCGAGGCGGCCGTGCATGCAGTTCAGGTTGTTTATATAAGGTGGTCAGTGGCTAGTTGGTTTCAGACGCGGGTGGCCGTCTAGAGAAGAAGGCAAGGTCTGTGAAAAAAATATCATCTCGGCCTGCTCGCAGCTTCGAGTATCTTACTTTTCATCAGCCCAGGCGGCATGAATCCAGATTCATTGTAAATAATTTAAAATTGCGTAGTAATCCCTAGAAAATGCTACAGATAAAGGATAAAACTCCATCCCATATGCTCAGGGGTATCATTCATCCCAAAATGCTTTTCGTCGCCCTGTCTGATCCAGGGTACCAGTGAACACCAAGAAAACTTTTCCTCCCAACTAATACAGGCCGAAGCCAGGTTATTGTTACACGGAGACCAAGGGGCCATGGAAATCGCGCAAAGTAGCTACCAAGTCGTCTTCCCGGAATAGCTGTAGAAGTAGCTTCTCTTGCACCTCTTTCCACTTTTTCAAGGCGTCGAGTTCGCCTTTGCTAAGCCACTTCTCCTCGTTGCCGATGACGTCGGAACGCTCGGCTTTGCTGAGCAGTGGCTGCACTTTCTCGCGTTCGAAGGCGACGCGCTGGAGGATGCGCACCATGCCCTTGTACGTGTCGTGAAGTAGCTTCTCGCGAGCGCGTTGCCGGTCATACCAGACCAAATGTAGTGAATGCTTTGCTTCACGTCGCTCCACCTTTGGAATCTCCTGCGTCTGGACGAAGCCTTGCACGGTGAGATCGTTGATGATACCTCTGATATCATTCGCAGGCATCATCATCGCATTGCAAGTCGCACGTTCATCGAGTTTGCCCTTCTTCCTCAGGGCACGGATCAGCTTCACCCCTAAGGCACCCTTTCTCGCAGAGATTGTATTCTCCACCTCGGATTGGATCATCTGTTTCGCGATTTCCTCAAACTCGACGTGCCACTGGGAGTGGCCAGCGCGGGAATGCCAGGTAACGAAGTGAATCGGATCTTCGGCGAGGAGTTGAATGTGTTTATCCACGACTAACGTCCTTTCATCTAAACTGAGCCTGGAAGGATCGGTAGGGTGGGTAAGAACGGTGTATTTGTCTACATGTCCTTTTTTCGTGATGTGCACAATGGCATGCGGATCTAGGCCTTCACAGATATCCAGGTCCCTGTTAAGCTTCTTTGCGACGTCGCGAGCCGTGACAAGTAATCGATGGTCTATCGTGTTTTCCAAAGGTGGTTCGCCACCCGGTAAGGGAGGCTCTGGCCACTCCTCATAGCAGCGTGGTATGTTCGACTCGAGCATACGTAGCATGGTCTGGTATATACCGGCGGTGACGGATCCTAAGCGTTGCTCGACAAGTTGCACGAGGTGTTCGGTACGCATGGCCACAGCAATCTTCTCTGGATTGACGCGGATGACCAGGTTATCTTCCGAAGACACACTGGGTGTAGCCCAGTTATTTGCGCCGCTGATCTTGACTCGCTTGTTGGAGCCGCTGTAATCTTCGGCTTGCCGTTTTTGAGAAAACTTTGGTACGGTCAACCAGTCGTCGCGCATTTGGCGTTTGAGGCTCAAAGTTGCCCTGTGAACTCGGTCCTTGTCTTTTGTACCGGTCGGGGTGACGCCTGCATTCTCCTGTTCAATCGCCTCTTGCTGGAGCATGTCGTGCATGTCACCGGGAGACAAATACTGTGACTCGGTTACTGTTCTTACCCAGCCGCGTTGTATTAGTCGCTGAATGATTTCGTAAAGTTCGTCGACGGAGCCAATATCATCGTCGTCCTGCTCAGCGTCGTCTGCAACTGGCTCATGCGTCGTGCCATTGGTCTTGTGGATGCCATTCACTGCGCCGCCGCCATTTACGAGACTTGCGAGATGTGGCTTCGCGTCATCTAGCTCTGAAGGTACACCATTTACGACCCCGTTCGTCTTGGTCGCAGTTCCGTTCGCCTGGGTGCCGTTTGTTCGTTTGCGCTTCAAGCCGGCGCCGTTCACGACACCGTCGTCTGACTCGTCATCGCTCGCAGTCTCTGGGGGGAAGTAGGCGTCCTTGAGGTCTGCAATGCGCGTGTGGCCCAGCGCGAGAAGATTGGACATGACATTGGCCGCCTTCTTGCCAAAGCGGTCCTCGACCAGCTTGGCCACTTTGCCCAAGCGCACCAGCGCGTACGAGTTCTGCCAGTCGATCTCGTAGTAGGTCACGGACGCGTCGTTGCCGGAGTGGAAGACGAGGTGCTGCTGGAGGAGGATGACGAGGCCGTACTTGATCTGGCGCCCGTTCAGGTAGGACGCACGAGCAACTGCTGCGAGCGTCTGTCGGCCATGGCGCGCAAGGATGGAGTAGACGCGCTGGGGGGGTGTTAGAAGAATGTACATAGTACTGTGGACGGCTGTCGCATGTCGAGTTTGTGACTGCAATGACTGCGTCTTGCACAGTATTGCAAGCGCAGGGAAGACTGCGAGACTAGACATACCGCCGCCAATTCGCCGTAGACATCCTCGACTAGGAGAGTGCAGAGCTCCGCGAGTATCTGTAGAGGTGTTGGTTATGATTCAGTTGAGCGCAGCTCTCTGGCGCGTCTTACCGGAGTCTCGCGCTGATTGTACGACATGGTGGAGCCTAGATATTTGCCAGATATCTAGGGGGCGGTAGTGCTACCGTGGAGACATTTGCGTATATGAGTTGTAAAAAAATAGGCGTGAATTGGGAGCTTGTCCGAGCTGGTCGGAGAGAGGCAAGAAATATGATAGCGGCGGGGAATAATGGGTGACCAGCAGCTGTGGCCAATAGAGGGCAGGGCGGAAGGCATTACTGCAACTTTGGCCCTTTTGCTTGGCGCTGGGAAACCTTTCGTCGACGCCAGCATCGTCTTGCTTCACCCCAGCACACGCCTCCATCCATTGCCGCCCACCACCACCTCGCCAGCCCCCAGCCCGGCGCTCTTCACCCTAATGCTCTCCCGCTCGACCGCCTGCCGGGGCGCGCAGCGTGCTGCCCTTGCCCGTCAGCAGGCCGCCCGCCAGACACAGCGCCGCGGACTCGCTGCCCCAGCTTCAGGCTCCTTCCAGTACCAGACGGGCGAGGCCAAGGGCGTCAAGTATGCCAGCAGAGACTTTGCCGGCCCCACGACGACGCTGGCTCTGGTCGCAAAGGCTGGCACGCGCTTCCAGCCGCTGCCCGGCCTCACCGAGGGCCTTGCCAACTTCGCATTCCGGGTACGCCATTGACAATGAACACCGCACTCTACTACACCAGGGCGCTCGACTGACGTCCAATTGCAATCTAGGGCACCGAACGAAGGTCGACACTGCGCATTGTCCGCGAATCCGAGCTTCTAGGCGCCACCCTCAGCGCATGGCACTCCCGCGAGAACCTGGTGCTCGAGGCCAAGTTCCTCCGCGATGACCTCCCCTACTTTGTCGAGCTCCTCGGCGAGGTGGCCAGCTCCACCAAATACCAGCGTACGCTCCACCACGTTTTTGCAATAATGGCAGCATGGAATTGACAGCGTCTAGCCCACGTCTACGGAGAGGAGGTCCTGCCTCTGATCCACGCCGCCCACAAGCGCTTCCTCGCCAGCGTCAGCGACATGGCCACCAACTCCGCCCACAGCCTCGCTTTCCACCGCGGACTCGGCTACCCCACTGCTTCCGCGTCGCCCACGCCCTACACCAAGTACCTCGACGCCCAGGCCATCGAATACTACTCCAAGATTGCCTTCGCTAAGCCCAACTTCGCCGTTGTAGCCAACGGCGCTGACCACGGCGAGTTCTCAAAGTGGGTCGGCGAGTTCTTCGACAACGTCCCTGCCTCCGCCCTCGACGAGTCCAGCGCTGGTGCAGATCAGACCAAGTACTACGGAGGCGAGGAGCGCATTGCGCACGACGGTGGTAACGCCATGGTCATCGCCTTCCCCGGCTCCAGCTCCTTCACCGGCAAGTTCTACAAGCCTGAAATCGCTGTTCTCGGTTCCCTCCTCGGTGGCCAGTCAGCCATCAAGTGGTCGCCAGGCTTCACCAAGCTCGGCAATGCCGCTGCTCCGGGTGCCAAGGTCACGACCACCAGCGCCATCTACTCTGATGCTGGTCTCCTCTACACCACCATCACTGGCTCTGCGCAGGCTGTTGCCAGCACCGCCAAGGCTGCCGTCGAGGCGATCAAGAAGATCGCCGCTGGCGAGATCTCGAGCGAAGAGATCTCCAAGGCGAAGGCCACCGCCAAGTTCAAGGAGCTTGAGCACGGCCAGGATACCCGTGCCGGTCTTGAGCTTACTGGCAACGGTCTTGTTCACAACACACAAGCGTACCAGATTGATGAGGTTGCCAAGGCCATCGATGGCGTCTCAGAGCAGGCTCTCAAGTCGGTAAGTTCCCTTTGATACTAGATCGGATCAGTTGAAAGATGCTAATGAAATGAACAGGCTGCCAAGCAATTACTCGAGGGCAACGCTACCGTATCGGCTGTCGGTGATCTATTTGTACTGCCGTTCGCTGCTGATTTGGGTCTCAAGGTGTAAATACAGTGATGTTGAAAGATCTTTCGATGGAATCTCGTTAGGCTAGGGGCTTGTGTAACATTATCTTGTGATAGTCCCAGATAGACGTGCGCCATATTGCGAATTCTTTTTGTTCATCTACCGCTTGTATGCCATTGAGGAACCTTCCCAAATTATACTGTCGCATCCCTTGTCCGAGAGAAGACATACGCCTACACAGAGCTGACAGGTGCTTTGATTACTTTGCCAAACTCAAGTGTGCTCTCTAAATACCAACGTAAACAATCAGCTACCCTTCAGATTCTGTCTCCCTTTACTTAGACAGCAGCCCCGGAAGTGAACGCCTGTTCCCACGTGCCAACGCGCCTATGCGCTCAGACCACCATGCACAATAACGTCAACCCAAACATTCAAACACCCTCTCCCAACGATCATTCTACCCCGCCAACACCCCACGGGAACGTCTCGAGATCACCACTATTCTGAATACCCGTCAACCCACAAGAAATCGGTCCCAACACCCAGAGAGTCAAGACAAGAGAGACGATGGCGCAAACACTCTACCCGCGCGCCACAGTAAAGAAGATAGTAAAAGCGCATTCGAACCGCGCATTGAGCAAAAATGTGGATATCCTTGTATGTTTGAACCCACGTCCTCCATTTCTTGGTTTCTTCTAGATTCAAATTCTAACTGCGACGTAGATATATCTCAACTATGCGCTGTTTATGCAAGAGTACGTTCGCCCCTCAACACTCAGCATGCCTCCCTTCACAACGTGATGCGTCGCGAGATTCCTCTTGAAATATATATTGGGCGAATGGATAGAAGGAATGGGAGTAGCGAAGGAAGTGTGGAATTAGAGAGGAGAGACAGAGACAGAGAACGAATGGAAGGGAGAGTGCTAACGGATATACTAGACTCCTTAATGAAGCGGCTATCCAGTCCAAACAAGCCGGCGAGCGCGGTGTTACGGCCCGCAGTATAAGGAGGGTGAGCGAGCGGACGTTGAGGAAGTACAAGGGCTGAGGGCGAAACCAATGGCGCGCGCTATAGAGGGTCGTCCTGATAGTATATTGAGGACGAAGGGGTGATTTTTATGTTCTGGGAATAGCCGTTTTTGCAGGCAGGCGGAGTTTGGGCAGACGGTGCCTTGTTATGCTATGTTATGATACCCCCGGTTGTGCGTTGGAAAGAGATGAAAGAAGACACGCTTTAAAAAAATAGAAAGTGTGGAATTCCAATTCAGTTACTTCTCTTGAGAGGTCTATAATTCAAACAAGACTCAATGTGCTCAAGTGCACCTGCGCGCTTACGATCTAACTCAACCTTGACTTCAAGACCCTGCCCCATTAGACCCCCGGATATACAGGTACAATCTTTCCTCCTCCTAAGAACTTCTATACACATCTACTCCATCTTCAAAATCTTCGCAACAATCCACCCTTCAGCATACCTCTTGCCCGCCCCGGATTCCGGTATCACAACCTTGATACCCAAGCTCTCACTACTAGCTGCATTAGTCTTGGACACAGCGCCCTTGACACCCGCGACAGCAACACCAAGCGCTATACAACTCGCCAACGCGCTCTGAACATCTTTATTCCATGCCGTCGCGACACCTTCCGCTTTCACTGCTTTGGGCCCCATCTTCTTGACGTCGGCAAAGGCTTCCTTGGCTGCTTTGAGGTGCCTGTCTACTTCCGTCCACAGATCCGAGGCCATGTCATTAAGATCCAATTGGAAAGCAGGATCGGGCGCAGCAAAGTCACCGTACGGCTGCGTGTGTGCTTTGAAGTCTTCAAATGGCGGAGCTTCGGGTGGTTGCAGGCTGAGGAAGGGCTTCATGCGTAGTTCGTAGCGCAGTTCTTCTTTGGCAAAGGGGCGTTTCGGCAGCGGCAACATGTGCAGGTAGAGCAAGATGATGTAGAAGCGAGCTAAAGCCAGACTTAACGAGGCGACGCCTTCTGCCTCGGCGAGCAGGCTGTCGAGATACGGTCCTGCGTCATCCACCTCTTGTGCATCGCGCAAATTCCTTGACTTGAGTAGTTGTTCGCCTCGTCTGAGGTAGTGGGCTTCGACGCGTTTGAGCAGTTCTTTCCGCCGTGTGGCAATGAGAGATAGGAAGAGATACATGCCGCTGAACTCGTCGGGTAGGTAGATGTCCTGTTCGAAGCCGAGGAGAATGATCTTTTCGATCATCCAGAGCTTCTTGTGATATACCCATGTTGATAGCGAGAACTCTAGAACTTGATCAGTAATACCCAGCTCTTCGGCGGCCTGCGATATATCCGCATCTACTGAGCTCGCATCTGCTTGCAGCATGTCCCAACCAGTAATTACGTGAGTCAACATGCGTCGCAGGCGGCAGCGGTTCTGACCTAGCGCGACCCAGAGATCGAGGTATGGCTGTCCACATCTGTCTACAAACTCATCAACAAGCATGGCAAGCTGCAGTCGTGGTGGCTTTGGTAGCATCGGGTTCCGAGGCGGGGAGAATGTCCAGTTCACCGGGTCCAATACTGGCGATGCGGGGAAGACGAGCGTCTTGACATCTGACAATGGAAGCGACACGGATGTTTGAAGTACGTCTGGATGAAAGAGTAGTGTGGCTAAGTACGACCTCGAGTACGCTAGAGGTGCAGGTGAGCGAGAGGCGAAGAACCAGAGAAAGGACTGGTACTCGAGAGGATCTTGTGGAAGGCTAATGAAGCGTGTCGCTTCCTTGCAGTCAGTGCAGAGTTGTTGCAACTTCTCCAATGCATCTTTGAATTCGAGCTCTACAATCGGCCGTGGAGGCACTGTTGATGCGAGTCGTCTCTGCATCTTTGTGCTAAAAGCGCCTGGTACTACTTGGCCTAGTTGATGTGTGTTCTTGAGCGTCCCGAGATTTTCTAGTATAGTCGGCCAGGAGTACGATATCAGATCAAGTGGGAGGTCCAGATCCTGTGCTCGAAGGAAGTCTTTCCTGAATTCCAGTCTCGAGTGGATCGCAGACCGTAAAGCAGTGTTGATTTCGAGGCTTTCACTACTAGGAGTAAGCATATGTCGAGATGTTCAAATATGTTAGACAACTTACTCTTCGACTACCTCCATAGCAGAGTCTAATTCTCTCAGGAATACGTCCATCGGTATGCTCACAAACAGCACACGATTGTATGTCTGCGTGCAGAAATCCTCTTCTTCAAAGTAATCTCTTGCAGCAATCTTGGCTATCACAAAGTCGCAACCTTTGATTAGCGCTAAACAATACGCTCTCAGCACCTGGAGAAGCGGTCCCGGTCTTTTGTCGTCTGGGATGTCGCCGCGATAGAACTGCGCTCTCTCGAGTATCCTAGTTTCAGGCCATAGAAGCTTATCGATATAGAGGGATGTGAACAAAGTTTGAGAAAGAGGATAGCCGGTATGCCATGCCATCTCATAGCAAAGAAGCTGATCCATGATCCCAATCAGCTCTTCCGGAAGGAGAGGGGTCAAACAATCATAGTCGTCCTCGAGAGTCTCTCCGGGTTGCAGGAATCCGCTGTCCATCTTGGGGTCCATGATCTGTTCGTTGCAGTGAGTAACAAAGGGTGATTGATGGACAAGTGTCGTATTACCTCAATAGCCCCGATGGACTCGAACAGCGTGAAGTAGTCATCTTTGACGAGCTGTCCAACTTCGAGGGCTACAGCGCATTAGTATTGATTATTGTGGTATGAGTAAAAATGGCTTTGGTCATTATATGCACATGCAAACGGCTTCTTTGAGCAACCCCGCGATGCCCCTCAGCATTCAATGGAAGTGGGAGAACCTACCATTACACGCTTTCGTGAATTTTTCTGTAACATCATGAATCTTGGGCGTAATACCACCAAGAGGATGCCGGAGCGGTTGCCTCAAGGTTAGGTTAGCTGACGTAGCGGCCTGTGCGATAGTCACGGACTCTTGCGCTTTTGAACAACCTGTACAACGTCAACTTCGAGAATAGCATCAGGCAACCCAGGAGAACTGTACCGGATTCATTATTAGTCAGTATCGTGTTTTGGTCTTGGGCAGAGGCTGTGCTGTGGCGAAGAGACGCATCTGCCATGTTGTGAGGTGGTTAGTTTCCGATGCGGGAAGATTGTGACAGCCGGGTTGCACTTGCATGTAAGGCGAGCGTTGGGGAGAAAGCCGGCAGCTCCACAACATCGAGCTCTAGTACCACGAACATGTTCACAGACAAATTTGGGAGTAGAACAGATGCAAATGGGCTCAATTCGTCGTGCATTGGCTTTTCATCAACGTCCCCTTATGCAGTCCTTGGTAGTACAGAATATACATTCACCACCTCCGATCCCCATCCTCATCCCTCAGCATCTCTCCTGCATGCCCTCACTTGAGCCCTCAATAGACGCTTACGCAGCCTTCGTGGCATCAGCCTGTGCCTGCAGCGCCGCAGCATTCAAGTCCTTGACTTCGCCCTGCTTGCCATTCTGTCTCCGGATTAGCCCTCGTCCCCAACCCAGCCGCGCCTTCATCCTCGAGGGCTTCTTACCTCCCACTTGGCGAACCTGAGTTCACTCTGGCCCCGTCGCTCGGCAGCGATGCGCTTATCTTCCTTGAGCGAGCGGCGCACGACGCGCGATGCGACGCCGATGTAGCGGTTGTAGCTATTCAAACAGTCAATTGCGAGTTCTCCTGCATGGTTTGGCGGCAGTTGCGCAAGGTGGGGCGTACGTGAGACCGGCGGCTTTCCACGCGAATGCCATTGTGATGGTTGGATGAGAGTTCGTGGGTGTGGACGGGTTTGCGGGTTGCGGATGCAGATGTCGAAGGTGTCGAGCTCCGCGAGATTTCGGGATGCCGCGCCAAACCGGAGTTAGTGGTCACGTGATACTTAGAGCATCGCTCTCATGGATACTTCAACTTCCCGAGTTAAACATCACAAGCGTAAGTATTGAAAATTTATGTTCTGGTATGTTGAAGGTATATTCATTACATTTTCGTGACCGATCGGCTTCTAGACCGGTAGCCTTATGATCGACTGCCGTCTCGTTAGAGCATCAGGCTTCATTTGCGAAGCCTGCTAGCCACGTCTATCAAGCGCACCATGAATCGTTACTTCATGAGTCCGTCTCCATGGCATCAGCACCCTCTTCGTCGTCGTCGTCGCCTCCTTCCCTGTTCTCGAACGTAGCGTCCAGCCACTCTGCAATGTCCTGATGCTCGTAAAGAGCGAAAGTCTCGCCAACACCGCCAATACCGATACTCGTGTTGTCTACGGTGAGCTCCTTATCTTGTGACAGCGACTCCTTCAGTGCCCTCAACGCGTGCTTAATCAGCTCCTCCCTACTGGCGCCCTCGAAATCGTCTAGGTGCCTCTCCAGATACGTCCTGGCCATCTGACTCCTGGCACCAATACCGCAAGCAACCATCTCCTGTGTCACACCGCTTGGCTGGAACTCGAACAGATGCGGGCCCTTCGCGTCAATACCGGCGATGAGTAATCCAACACCATAAGGTCTCCTTCCGTATTGCTGAGTATTAGTCTGCGCACGATCTGCGATGCGGGAGGTGATCTCGGAAAGTGGGATGGCACGGTCGTACGTCAGGCGCGAGGCGAGGGCTTGCTGCTTCATGAAGTTGGACAGTACGCGGGCGTCGGAGGCTAGACCAGCGAGGGCGACACCGAAGTGAGAATCTATCGGGATAATCTTCTTCTGGTAGGATGAGAGCTCCTCTGCGTTCCTCTGACATGATTTGTTAGTCGAGTTCATGAGACGATGGAGGAACACTGCAGGTGTTAAGTCTCCCAGCCTGATTTTCGATAGTTTGGATAGTTCAATCCTATACTCCAGGACTAGTCATTGCACCTGAGTGTACTCATAGTGCTTGCCAAATCACGCTTAGGCTGTCACCAACGTACCTTGATTGCTGCAAGCACCGCATGTGTCTTGCTAACGATTCCTACAACGACCGAACCCTGCTTGACCGCCTCCGATGCATACTCGACCTGAAATATGCGGCCTTGAGGCGAGAAGGTGACTGAATCGTTGTCGTAGTTGTTCCGGAACATGATGAAGGCGGGAACTGTGGGGTTTCGAAGGCGAGTTTATGGCGGCTATTGCGAGTCGAAGACCAGTAATATGGATATCCTTCACGTTCGGGGTTTAATATGACACCCAGGGGACGAAGGCTGACTTGAGGTGCGCTGCTGTGGGGTGGTAACGAACAGTAGCGATTGTTGATGCGCAAGGCACCTGAAGTGTACGACAGCTCCAGAAGCTCCAGCCTTGGCAAGAGCGCCCGAGCGTGCCTTCCAGTCCAACCTCACTCACTAGGCGGCTAGTTCGACCGCAGCAAGACACCAACTCTACAACGCCGCAATACCGCTTGCGCAAGGACAATCATCTTGACTCTCCAGCACACCCCTTACCCAATCGAACCGCGAACTTGAAGGCTGGACATCGGTTCAAGCATGGCTGGCATCAAGACGATCATAGGGCTGTCCTTCGTATGTCTGCCTCTGGCGCATATCAACGCTTTCGCCATTACCTTACCCTCATACTGATTCATATCGCCTATAGGTCCTTGCGATAGGTTTCCTCCTCGTCATCTTGTCCGCCGCGCTGTTCAAGAACTACCTCACACTATTGGTAGTCGCAACCTACGTAGTCGCGCCATTACCGAACTGGCTCTGCGGAAGAGCAGCGAATCACGATGATTTCATGGAGAGCGCAGGACACGGAGTTGTAGATTTCGGAAGATTCTTGACAGGATTCTTCGTTGTCATGGGCATTGGTAAGTCTTACCACCAGCAACACGTTGCGACTTTGGACAAACAGGACGTTCACGCGGAGGTCAAGGCAGAATATCCTTAGGGTCAAGTCACTGACTCGACTATAGCTCTCCCAACACTGCTGTGGCACTCTGCGCAGATTGCCGGCGGAGCGGCAGCCATGTCGGTCTTCGGTGGTCTTTTGATCTACGCCACTATCATCAGCTTTACACTATTCTTCCAGGAGCAAGAAGACTTCTGACTAACCGGCCAAAGCGAACAATAAGGGTGGAGAGCCACGAGCTGGAAAGGACATCCGAAGATGCCGCATTCACGTGTCGCGGTGGCAGGGCATGCCCGGCGTTGCACTGGAGAGCGTAGATTATTTGTAGCTTTATTTTCATGTAGATTCTGAGCGTTCTTGTATGATCATGTTAGGACAACAGGAGTGTTCCATACTGAACTCAAGATGCATATCCCGCAGGATTTGCAAGGAGTCTGGGGATCTTGGTACGTGCCGCATAATATACTCATGCTTAAATTACTTTGCAGAACGCTTCAAAGATATTCATACAAGTCGGTTGAAACAATATCACACTTCCCTCCCCAAATTTCGAGGCATTCTAGCGACAGCCCATTACAGCGTCCATGAGCTGAACTAGCCCTCCAAGTCCTCCGCCTGACTAGCAAGATCCAGCTGCTCTTTCGTGCGTCAAGCCTTAGAGCGCCAAGTTGTAGGTATACTCGTCCTCCATGTTCTGCGCAATCCAGAGCACAGCCGAACTACAACACGTTAGCAAGCGTTCACATTTCGCAGTTTCCGCCCGCACCACACTTACCTTAGCATCACTAGCCCGTTTGCCACGACATTTCCCACCCCCATCCAGATAGTCGGCCAGGTATACTCCTGTACAATATACTTCATCACTAGTACTACCACACTTCCCGCCAATCCTCCAGCCAACAGCGCAAAGCCCAGGAACAGGACGAGCCTCGCCTTCCACGCAACCCCATTTCCAGAATAGGAGAAGCTGTCAGCGCTGAGCCGCGACTTATCGATCGAATTGATGACGAGCATGCCGAGCGCAGAGCAAATGCCGGGGATCCAGTCTACGAAGGTGATGTGCACGGCAGGCTGGGAAGGGTTCATGACAGATTTGGACCAGACGGATATGTCGATGAGGGTGTAGAAACCCAGCGCAAACTATATGGCTACTGTCAGTGACTATTAGGGCTGTAGACTAACAGGAGGATGCCTACCAGAGCTCCCGCCAGGTAGACGCCGGCTGTCCTGGTGTTTGCGCTGTTCATCCATGCTGGCTTCGGGAAGCGGAAAAGGCGGTTAGACTCCATGGCGTAGTGAGGACTCGGGGTGCGCGATCGCAGACGTATGACAGGTTATTGTGAGCTGTCGTTAAGCTGGAGTCTGACGATGAAGCCGTGTTGCGCATGCGAGCCCTGGAGGTTGGTCGGAGCTTAGCGCTGGACGTCGGCAGCACCTGCATCAAAACGCCGACCGAAAGTTCGAACTTTACAAAAGTTTCGAGCTCTTGCACCAGCTGTCGCAAACAACAATTCTTCCCAACACCGCGCACAAAAACGTACGTCGAGATGGCGCCGACAAAACCCTCCACCAAAGGCAAAAGCGCCAAAGGCGGAAAACCCGGCAAATCCTCCTCCAAATCCGCGAAACCAAAGCCTACCGGCAAGGCACCAGAGGGCATATCGAAGCGCAAGCAGAAGTCCATGTCACTTGCAAAGCCCGGAGGTGCGCAAAAGACAAAGTCGAAAGTGTCCAAAGACGGCAGGAAGAAGAAGCGGGTGTACACCGAGAAGGAATTGGACATACCGCTTCTCAACGGCATCATACCCGCCGGCATAGCGAAACCAAAGGGTGAGAAGAAGGGCAAGAAATTCGTGGATGATCCAGCGAGTATGAGTAAGTGTCTATGCATAACTTGGATGTGAGGCAGAAACTAACGCTTTACTTTTTAGTGGCGATTATGGCCGTCGTTCACGCAGACAAGGAGGGCAGGCTTGAGAGCAAGATTGCGAAAGCGAGGCAGCTCGAGGAGATAAGAGAGGCGAAGAGGAAAGAGGCCGAGGTGCGGTCGGACGACAAGAAGGCGAAGTTCGAGGAGAGGAAACAAGACCTGAAGAAGAAGCGGAGAAGGCATTCTGATCCCTCCAAGGGCGAGGAAGCAGAGCACGAGCACTCAGACAAGAAGGGCAAATTCAAGCCGAGAAAACGGGTTTCGTTTGGTTGAAGAGGTGGAATTGTGTCTGAGAGTACGAGAGCTCAATGCTATTTGCGCATGAGGACCCGGTCTATGTGGTGTACGATGTCTACAAGTCTATGATACCCGAACCCAGCAATACTACATGTCATTATCGGCGTCCTGGTCTTTCGTCTACGCATCCGGCAGTATCAACCGTCTATGATTCGGATCGAAAATCGGGTACTTCTTCCCTGGCGTATCGATGTTTGCCTGCTCCCTCTCTATCTTACTCGCCCCGTGGTCAATCTCTTCGTGCACCCTGGATAGGAAACTGGAGGTCGCTGTTGCGAACCACCTCCCACCGCCTAATTGGAAGGAGCCGAGATGTCCACCCCAGTTCGTAGTGCATAGGACGGCATATGGGTTCTGCTTGAACTCCTCAACGGGGATTGCGAATTTGGATGATATCTGCGGTAATTATGAGTATGTAGTGAAAACGTTTCAAAGGAAGGGGACTTACAGGATCATCCTCGGCGTTGATCCCCAGAAAAGGTATCCTGATCGCAAGTAGCGCATCCACACTCTGCGCATCCCTATAATATGCTCCTTCAGTTGGATATCCCCATGCCGGACACTGTATATGCCTGTCAAACTCGAATAGATATCTGCTCTTCAAGACAGCCTCCAAGTCAATATCTGTGTTCTTGAGAATTTGCTCGCGGTGACGTTCGAATAGGCCCATCATGTTCTTGCCCATCGTCCTGCAGTACACTTCCAACCCCAACCACGTCCTCTGTAGCTCTGTGTTGCACATCTCCAGATTCCAGGGGTTGCTACACGACACTGCTGCTTTCAAGACGCATTTAGCGCCCTCCTCGCCGCAGTAGTTGGTTAAAATGTTGGCGCCGAGGGAGAATCCAACAGCGTAGAGCGGTCGATTCGGAAAGAGCTGTCGAAGAGTCTTGATAGTTTGCCGTACATCCCACGTTGCTCTCGAGTTGAAGAGCTGTGATGTAGTAATTTTCGACATGGCACATCCCCGACCATTGACAACACAAGCTGTCCACCCACTAGCCGTGAGCGGCGCAATAGTCTCCCGCAAGTATACTTCGTGGCTTCCGCCCGTCAGGCCATGTAGGGCGATGAGCATCGGTGTGCTGTCCTCGCTTGCTATCGTTTCCCACTCTTCCGAAGTGAAGTTTGCGGTGCGTTCAGGTAGGTCTGCTTCTTTCCTTTCTTTCTCGGCTAGCTCACCCTCCTGCTTCGAAACGACAAAGTCTACAGCAAACTGGCCAGGGTACACGGAATGGTCTGATTGGAATACTTTCCTCTTGTAGTGGATTGGGGGCCCGGGATCTTTGATTGCCGTGTACATTGTTTGCAGATGGCCATTGAAGAGGAAAGGGTTTAAACGGCATGGCGGGATGGAAGACTGAGCCAATTCGGAAAGCGTGGTTTTGGAACCAGACTTTGTTTTGAGGGGGATTGGGGACGTGTGTGAGGTGTAGGATGTTTTGGCGTGGCCTAGGATCCAGGATACGTCGAACATGTTGGCTATAGCGGTAGTTTGGTGATGTGTGATCCGGATTCTCTCGGTTGCCTCAAAGCTTGGAGCGGGGGATGTTCCTTCTCAGAGGCTGCAGTTCAATCCGGCCTTTGTAATAGTGATAGATACCCTGGCTTTTTCTTGCGAGCAATATCCCAAGTTCGAGGTTCGCGGATGTGTAGACCACCTATTCGACTCTAATCGTCCACCTTCGTGCCAAGAGATTTAATTACGTTTCTGGGTCTATTAACTCCTAGAAATGAGAGAGAAGTAGGACTCAAGGAAGAAGAAAAGTCACACCAAGTTGCCTGGACCGATCTGAGACTTGCCTCGGTCCGTCTGTGAGGCTCTGTGCTGCATTAGTGATCTCATAGGCGCGCGTTTGCCAGGCAATGACTCGAAGAGACATCGCGGTCGGTCGCGGCTGCCCGGTCCAACACCGCGACTGCCATCGCCGGCACTGCCACCTCTCTCCACGTTCACCCCCCGCATTCACCCGCAATGTCGCACCCACATAACGACTACTGGTGACTCCGCTGTCTGCGAAGACCTCAACTATGGATCCACGGTACAACTGGCCCCCGCAGGCCCATGCGAATGGCCAGTATGTGCCCTACACTCCACGGCAACCAACAAACGGCTACCAACAAAATGGCTACGACCCACAATACCCTCCGATGCAAATGCAGATGTCTCAGGGCTATCCGCAGTCGCAGCCATATCAAGGATACCCCCAGGCGATGGCCCCGGGGCCTGGTGTGCAGCAATACTCACAAATGCACCCGCAGCTGCAACAGCAGCAGCAACAGCAGCAGCAACAACAACAGCCATACCGACAGCAGCCTCAGGTCATTATCCCAGCCAGAGCCCCGAGCTTCGCTTCGCCCATGCAGATGCAGGGACCAAAGATACGACATGTACAAGTGCCCGTTCAGCGAACAAGCAGCATGGGAATTGCACAGACAGACGGAGCTGGAGACCAGCATCGCCAGTATAGCACACAGCAAGGACCAACCCGCCCTACCTCGAATTCCGTACAGCGATCACAAGCGAATCAAGAAACTGGACCTCGACCCCAGCAGCGAACCGTGAACACACCAGTGTCGAATCAAGCCCAGCATCGCGTGCCCCTACAACCCCAATCCACACCACAACAGCGTCCGCAGTCTCTGTCACAAACCCCCTCGAGCAAGAACCGAAACCCTTCCGTACAACAGCCATCCTCGGCGCGTAGATCGCATCCTAAAGTCGTCATTCCAAAATCGTCCTCGCACCAGCTCACACCAACAAAGCATGCTCATGTTCCGCAGAAAGCGCTCCCGGCCGACCTCTCAATCATGCTACTGTCGGCTGCAGATGAGTACGTTGCTGCTGCTCGCGGCATGGGGCCGTTAATCATACGAGACAGGAAGGAAGTCGACCTTCGACAGTACTATAAGCTGATGTCCACAGCTATGGGGTGTATGGAGGCTGTTTTGAAGGAGTTTACCATGCTCCCGCGCGATGAAGCAAAGTTGCGACTGCGATATGCAACTTTACTGGTCGAAGAGACGGATAACACAGCCGACATCGACGAAATAGTATCTAAACTAATCTCGCTTTGCTCACGATGTCGACTTGAAGACTTGAAGTATGCCACATTACATCTTCAGGCTCGCTACCAGTTCAAGACGAATTGTCGCGCAGCCTTGATCTCCCTAGACAAACCGATCTCTGAGGCGGAGACGTTTGAGCACACTGCCTGGGTGTACGCCCTTCGCTTCCTGAAGGTCTCACTTATGCTGCAAATACCCGGACGTTTGGAGGTAGTCCCAGCTCTACAACAGTTGCATGCCATATCAGCAAAGGCCAAAGAGAAGGGTGATCGAGCGATTTACCTGGCGTGTAGCGCACTTGAAGCCTTAGTTCATCTGCGATCTGGAGCTCTCGATCGGCTTGAGCAAGCGCAGCGGGCAATCGCAGCAGCGCGAAGCCTACAACTTCAGGTATCTACCAAACAACTAGTGTCGTTTGGGACGCTCATCGATGCCATTGACATTGCATGTGGCATTCAACATGGCATGCCCAACCGCCAAAAGTCAAAATCGTTTATGGAAGCCGCATTGGAAGAGAACGACGAAACACCTAGCCAAGAGGATGGAGTGTTCACTGTTCTTGTCGAACGAAGTGTTGCGGGAGACTTGACGTCTGACACTGGTGGAGTCTTCCGAAAGAGCGCGGATGGGCGAGACGAACTCGTCTTCGCCTGGCTCCCTAAGGAAGACCTGAAGATGCTATGCTTTCACATCAGTGCTTTGGATCAAAATATCCATGATAAAGGTCTCAAGCTCATGCGGGAAGCCCACCAACGCGCAAAAGACGCTCCGATACGCCAAACATTGTACACCCTACCAATTTCGCTGGGCCTTGCCCACACCAACTGGATCAGGGTTTTGGACTGGCATTCGATGTGCGCTATTGGTATCATGGCCTGCTTCCGGCAAGAACCCGCAACAGCCACCAAAGTTCTCACTATACTCAGGAAGCAGGTTGGAAATGCAACACATGAAAATAGGGAAACGTTCAAGCGCACACTATCATATCTTTCAGCGATCAATGACCAAACGTGCGGCTTCCTAGACTCTGCTTTTGCGACTTATGCTTCGGATGTACTCGCGCTACCAGATAAAGGCCCTGCATCCGATATCAGAGTCCTTGCAGCACTGAACCGAATCCTGATTGCACGAAATCCGGCCCATCCACAACGATCTATAATCAGTGTATTGCTCGCGCAACTGAAAACACACTGCCAAACTCATGAAAACCAATACATCAAGATGGCCTTCCACATGTTGCATGCCATGTCGTGCGAAGAAGCTGCAATTAACCGTCACAAGACACTGATACAAACCACGAATAACCGCGCCAACGAGATCTTCAAGAACACAGAGAACCGCGAGTTCTTGATCATGGCACTGTCCTACTTTAGTATGCGTTTCTTTGCAGACCAAGTCGGCGCGAAGTCGATTCAAGCTGTACGAGTTACATTATCTAACGCGAAGCAACACAAAAAGCCCTTGTGGGTGGCAGTTGCATTGGGCTTGTGCATGAACACATATCAACGCAGCGGGATGATCGAGGAGGCGCAAAAGTGTCAAGAACAGTTTGAAGCTGTCAGACCGCTTTTACCTCCTGCTTTGAGAGGCGAAGAGGATATTGATGCAGAGGGTGAAGAGGACAGCTAGATTGAGGAGGTGGAGTGTATCACAACACTAAGTGTGAGCGTCTCTTAGTATAGGCTTGTGCATATTGCGGCGTTACATGGGGGACTGTATCATCTATCGGGTCGAGATACCACATAAGCCACAACAGGCTCGGCGTACTTCGGCATCTGGGTGGTGTTAAAATCATAGCGAGGAGCTGCACTTTTGCAGCTTCGCCGGTGTTATTCCTTATCACGGGGCTCACAGGTCAGTTTTGATACGAATATTAGGTAACCCGAGAGAGACATGAATTTCAATTTATACGCATGAAAGTACTCCATTATCTCATTCCTGTATTCGACATATTCTCGCATCTGCATCTTCTGCCCTCAACGATCACACGATGGACGTGAGATTACGTCTTCTAGCATCTTCGAGGTTAATCCTGAGGGTTGTCAGGGGCCCAGAGCTTCGTGTAACCAATAGCTAATTTGACTAACACCATAGGGTTAGATTTTGCATTTGTACTTGCCTTGAGGTTGATATTGGCAGTTCTACTTGAAGCCCACGGGAAGGCCGAGGTTGAGTCGAGATGATGGCCTGTGCGCCGTTCCCCGCAAAGCAGCGCTCCAAGTCAAGAAGCCTATTAAGACTGAGGCCCAGCGAGTCATCGTGATGTGTAAAACGAAGCTTTCTCGTGTACTTGAAGCATCTAGCTTTATTACTTGTCTGTCCATGAAATATCCATATCGTTGACAAGGGCACGCCATCCTCCATCTCATCACTCACCACCTGACCGCTCTAGTAGCAACGTGCAACATGTCATTGTCTCACACTATGAACTTCTCAATCCCGGACGACCTTAAGATATACCTCGCAGATCTTGATAAGTTCATCGACGAGAAAATCACCCCGCTCCAATACAAAGGCGACAACAACCGCTTCTTCGATCACCGCCGGGAGCATGCACGAACCGACTGGGATAACGGCGGTTTGCCGCGCAAGGAATGGGAAGATCTCCTAACAGAATCGAGAAAGCTTGCCGATGAAGCTGGGTTTTACCGATTATCTCTACCAGAGCAATATGGTGGACAAAACACCCCAGACGGACGTGGCAGCAACCTTTGGATGGCGGTCATAAGAGAGCACCTTGCAGCAAAGGGTCTAGGTCTATTTAATGATCTTCAGACCGAGCACTCCATGGTTGGAAATTTCCCAGATGTAATTATGCTTATGAATTTTGGCAATGAGCAGCAGAAGAAGGAGTTGATCCCGCTACGACTGCAGGGCAAGTTTAGGATGACGTTTGGTTTGACGGAGCCGGGACACGGTTCGGACGCAACGCATATGGCGACGAAAGGGCGACTAGAGACGAGGAATGGCGTCAAAGGCTGGCTACTAAACGGATACAAGAAATGGCAGACGGGCATGCACCATGCTACGCATTGCTCTATCTTTGCACGGACATCAGGCAAGGTCGGCGAAGTAAAGGGCATCTCCTGCTTCATTGTTCCGAGGGAAACTCCCGGTCTCGTAGCAGAATCGTACGAATGGTATGCAGTCAACTTACACCCTCACTCTCAATGCCTCTGCTAATAACGCGTAGGACACTCAACATGCCCACAGACCACGCAACTGTTTCGATAAAGGACGTATGGGTACCCGAAAGCGCCGCTCTAGGTCCCATCCACAACGGTCTCAGCGTCGCGCAAGCCTTTGTCCACGAGAACCGCATTCGACAAGCTGCCTCATCCCTCGGCGCAGCCGTATACTGCGTGCAACAATCGGTCGGATATGCGAATGACCGAGCTCCCTTCGGCACACCCCTCTCGCACAACCAAGGCATCCAGTTCCCGCTCGTCGAACTCGCAACGCAATGCGAGATGCTGCGACAGTTGATTCGGAAGACAGCGGTGGAAATGGATTCCATGCCCCACAACGAGATTGAGAAGAGAATTGGAGACAAGGTGTCCATGTGTAATTATTATGCCAATAGGTTGTGCACTGAAGCGGCAGATCGGGCGATCCAGGTCCATGGCGGTAATGGATACTCTAGGCATTATCCTTTTGAGCACATCTGGAGGCATCACAGGCGGTACAGGATTACCGAGGGTAGTGAGGAGATCCAAATGCGCAAGGTTGCTGCGTACCTGTTTGGCTTTGGCGGTAGGAAAAGCTTAGTGGATGCCACGAAGGTGGAGTCGAAGCTGTAGCTCTAGATAAATCGAGTCGTGAATTACCGGAGCCAAGCCGATATTATGTAGATGTTTTTGGGCTCATGGCCGCCAACTTCGGAGCCATCGATTAAAGCCAGGCATTGCGTCCTTCTCCGTGATGACAGGTAAGAGGACCACGATCAGTACGAACCACACACAGAAGCCAGTTATTCCCAGGACAATGGTCCCGTAACCTATACCCTTTGGCGTTTCTGGTAGTGGTTTTGATCCCGAGTCCCCTAATCCAAGTGCAGCCTGTCTACCAAGACTAGGTACAGGCGGTAAAGGCTTCAGCCTTTGGCGTATCTCTGGTGGGTAGACCCTGCGCGTTGGTGCAAGGGAGGAGTTCGTATTGTTGGGTTTTGGCGGTACTGGCGGACCTTCCGGACCTTCAACATCTGCCGGACGCTTTCGATTGCGTACGCTTTGTTCATGAAGGCTAAGATTCGACATTGAATGATTGGGAAGTGTCGTGAATGCTGGCTGAGTTGGGTTGGGCTAAGAGCGCATGCCCGTGGCGCTACGCTAGATCAAGTCTAGACTCATACGTGACTTTTTTGATCACTCGAGGAAATCACACTGCAAAGTGAACAACATGGACTCTGATTAGTCTCCCTGTTGCGAAACCTGCCAGAGAACTTGAGCAAAGCCTCGATCTACTTACTATTCAAAAAGTCTTCCTACAGGACCGTGGCTGCCTAGCTCACAATCGCCGCCTCTCTGTCTTCCTCACTTAGCCTCCTCGTCTTACTTTTCGTCTTAGTTAGCTTACATTGTTAACAACATAAGCGCCTGTGTCAGTGTGTTTCGAGCGAGGGACATAAGCATCTGGACACTTCAGGCCTATACGACGGGACTCCAAGGACCACAGTGCGCAGTATTGAAGTTTAAAAGTGCGGAAGGAGTGTGAATATAGTATAGCTTCAAGGGTCTGGCTAGCTTGGTCTGTCTTGTCTCACGGATTGATAGTTTTAATGTTAAATGTAACAATATAAACTCGTAAGCGAAATATCTGGTACCCCTAAATCGTAGCCACTGTTCAGCGCGTAAACTTTGCGCCGCGTAAGATGGGACGTCAATCTGAACGTGCAAGAAACAATGCGCCAGGTCTCAGGTTAATCTGTTCACCCAAATAGATGTGGAAAGAATGTCTTTGTTCGAATCATACAATGGCTTTGTAGCTGTCCTTACTAGTCTTGAGTTGACTCTAACAAGGTTATTCAATAGTCACATTGTGAACTTCTTACTCACTTTGTTGTTTAGCGTTGCGTGAAATGATTTAAGAAGTTTGTACCAACCTCCGGTATCTCCCTCTTAGCTCTACTCAACATTAAGATTGCAGTTTACACACAACACTTTAAAGCATTAAACATGTCCCCAAAAATCTCTCTTCGTCGGTCTGAACGCCTCTTGAAGCAGCGAAATGCAGTTCAAGACGAATCATGTCGCATTCAGAAACCAATCCGCATCGAGACGCGGAAGAAAACCCAAACCACAACGCGAAGCAAGTCCTCTATAAGTAATAAGGTCAAAGTCGAGTCGTCCAAATCATCCAGAAACCACAAAGCCGAAACGAACGTCTCACATCTCATAGAACATTCAGCATCCGATACAGAGGACGATTGCAGTATGGAAGGCTCAGAAGAAGAGACAGACGATGAGTTCAATGAATCAGCCAATATGTCTACGGACAATGTTGCATTTGTTACGGCTGACATAGTAGACAGGCGTGAATCGTGCGATAGCAGGTACGAACCAGGCAACGAATCTTACCAGATCGATGACTTCGTTGTCCAAGATGACTATGAAACGGAGGACGAGTCGGAAACGGAAACAAAAGAAGGTGGTGTCGATGATGAATTTGACCAGGATTATGCACCCGCACCCCAACAAACGATAGAGAGGAAGGCTGATTTTGATGGCCAGTCTGTCGAAGATGAGGATCCAGTCCTGAGGAAGACTTCAGTCACATCCACACGATCGGAATCCTCAGCATTGTTTGTTTCCGATCCGGATGACCCTCCCGAGCCATTGGAGTGGTGTCCAACCGATCCCCGATCGAATCTCATCGCGTTCCTATTCGAGTATGAAATTTACATGGGAATGAACGTCATCGATGCAGCGCTGGAAGATATCGTAGAGGAGATCATGGACGCAGTCGGTCTTTTCTCTCGGCGATGCAATCGCAAGCGAACACCGCTGAGACTTAGGTTAAGTAGTAAGATATTGGATGACGGTGAGGTTTGTGATGCATTGCAAACTGCGGAGAGGTTGGGTCTGGGACGAGGCATGAACTTGGGGGATGGGACTGAGGGATGGGTCATAGGGCCTTCTAGGTAAGTCATGTTCCTTGTTGAACTCTTGATTGCCTAAGGCAGGTGTATTCGCTATTTACTTGCATATATTTCGTAATTCGGTCAATTTCTTCAAACAGCTGGTTCTTCTTCTCCTCCACCACCCAAAATCTTTTCCATAAGCCCTCCTCCGCCACCCCCGAATGGTGAAAATATCGGCACACCAAGCAGCGCCATTGTCGTAACGGGCAACACAACCTGCAGCGCCTTGAACAGATATCTACTGCTTCCTTTCTTCTTCCTCTCCGTACGAACACCGCTCTTCTCAGGTTTCGTCTTGTTCGCAGACATGCTATTCAGCTCCTTCGACAACTCAGCAATCTTCCTTTCCAACTCCTCCCTCTCTCGAACAGGAATCTTACTCTCATTCGCTCGCACGAGTGCAACAGCTTGATCAAAGTTGAGTTGTTGGAGCATGACTTGCTGAGCCTCTCGTTCGGCGAGGGCCCGGCGCTCGTACTCTTCGCGCATTTGGTGCATCTGGAGCCCAAACTCGGACTCGATCTTTCGTCGCTCGGCGCGGCGGTCGTACCGCAGTTGTTCTTGCTGTCTGCGGACCTTGTCCATTTCCTTGTCTAGACGCTGTGACTGCTGCTCTAGGATGTATTGCATTTCATGATCTTTTTCTTCCAGTGCCTCGTGCAACTCCTTCTGTACGCGCTCAAGATCTTCTGCATGTTTCTGCTGAAGTCGCATAAGCTCCTCATTCACCGCTTGTCCAGCTGCGGTATCGACAAGCGACTTGTTGTCTTCGACAAGTTCATGTTGGATTTGGAGTGTGACTTGTGGTTTCTTGACTAATAGGCCAACGATCTCGAGTGCATTAGGGCGATCAACGAGACGTTTCATTGTTGAACCGCGGTCGAGCATATCGCCCCAAAATTCTGGTGTGGCTCGAAGTTGCTCTTCTCTTCTGAGAGCTTCATCGTCTGTCACTTTGGACCAGAATGTAGTGGCTAATATGACGTTTTTGAGAGGTTCTCTACCGCAGAGCTGACGGAACATCTTGAGGTTACGCAAGGCTGAGCCTTCCATGCGAACATTGCCGAGAGAATGCAGGTAAATTACGCCGTTCAGCCGTGTATCACCTTCATAGGTCTCTCGCAACCATGTGGCGATGTCTTGCAATACTTCAGTCTCCGACTTGTGTGTGTCGTTAAAACCAGGCGTGTCGACTAGGTTGATGTTGTAACCGTTGAAATAGAATGTGTAGCCAGTTATGTCAGATGTACCTGAGAGATGGTTAGCCATTGGCACTTTCAAGCAATCAAGAGTCAAGCGAAACTCTTCATCCGTATCTCTTTTAGACAATGTTCTTCGGGGTTGACTTACAGGATTCAAGATCATGCCCTATCTGGATCTCAGAGCTTCCACTTGCCCATTGAATGAACGTACTCTTCCCCGCTCCAGTGACCCCCATCACAGCAATGAATGCCCATGGCGCACCAGGCACAGTTTCAGTGCTGAAGTTACTTCTCATTTTGTCGATTGTAATCTATGAATGTATTCGAACCTCAAGTTGACGAAAATGGAGAGAGATTGATGTCATGCGAGGACCTTGAGGTATACCAAAAGTGGAGAGACCCAGAAAGAGCTGAGCCTCGGAGAAATGTCCATGAAAGTCTAATCGGCGAGGAGGCTGAGTGCTCCTAGCTCGTAGGCGGCAGGCAACAAGGCTGGGCAAACACAGCTGAGACGCAAGAAGTACAGCAGACGGCAAGGTGGAACTCATGCGGCTCCGTTCAGCAAATGATAATCTATACAGCGAAATGTGGTGTGGAGCTAATAAATCCCGCAAATTGAAACCGGTCAAGGGAAGCTGATGGTGTCTAAGCTGCAAAGCCTTGCATCGCATGCATCTCGGCCTCATTGGACGCCACAATATGCTTTGAGAATGGAGCTCGCTAAGCGCCCGGGGCTTGAAATTGGACTATGTACTTCATTCTCGTATTTCGAGGCTTTCAATCGGCCCCAAGTCCTTCTAGCAACCCTTTGAAATCAGGCCTCAACCTTCAGCTTGTTACTCAGCCCGATGGTCATGTCGGAAAGCTAGTCGAAATGGCAGGTTCATCGTACGATTCTCCAGCGCCATCGGGTAGCTGACCCATCCAACAAACAGCCTTCTTCAACACAGTCTTCCTGCCGAAATCGGTTCCTTCATCATCTCCAAGTCGGACTAGCGTTGGATGCGTGATCAAGAGGATCGGCATGCCATCCAAATGAGCCGGATTTTCGTCCACATGTTTGCTGTGCAGCTGATGCGCGTCCATAAGGGGATGGTTGTGTGTGAACACCTCATCTAGGTGTTTGAGGCTGTTCGGTAGTAGATCAATCTTCTGCGTCCACAAGGAATACGATAGGTCCGCTGCTCTCATCATGATTGACCGTAGGCTATCTTTGACTCCCTCTTGATTAGGATGCTTGAGGAGTGCGCGTATGCCAGAACCGAAGTAACTCGAAGCGAGAGACTGTACCGCTTTTTCTCGATTTTTGAGCGTCTCTCTGCACATGTTGTGTTTCGCTTCCAGGTGAGGGTCACCGTCTTGCGCAGAAGGATGTAGCTGTCGAAGAGTTTGCACCCTCCAGGCGATGGCTTCTTGCACATTACCTATGTACGTTAGTCTCCTGCTTCATAACATTCGGACGAACATACAGGTCCTTAGCTTATAATAGAACGACTGCATGTGGAGGCCAAATTTCCAGTTCATAACATCCAACTTCTTTGGCGAAAGCTCTTCTGCTTCCTCGTTGATCTCTTTCACCTCGATCTTACTTGTTTGTTCAATACTGACCCCGAAGAAAGGATGGTCAAACACATCAAAGTAGAGATTGTGCATGATGAAAGCCTGCACTAGGACCCACGCCTTGTCATCTGGAACGCCCATAAGGTCCACCTCATCGCCCAGCTTTGCGAAACCTTGTAAGGCGCTTCTCAACTTCTTGTAAAGAATTGGATGCTCCTTAGGATTCAGTACGTTCAAGTGCAAGATGCTATTGACCTTGGACCAGGCCTTGACCTCAGAGTCTAGCTGACTTAGTTTTCGACGTATATCAGCGTTGGATGCTGGCGTCCATTCTGGAGACTCAAACCGTTGGAATACATGCTTTTGTAACCTTCTGAGGTCCGATTCCATCTGCTCGCGTTCCGTTTCTACCCGGTCGTTTTTACTTTCCAGATGTGTGATATGTGTTTGCGCATTTTCTAGGTATATTTTGTACGTTTCCAGCTGTTTTATCAAATTCCGTTTCTCCGTTATCCAACCACCTGTATACTTCGAGGCGTGATCGGAGAATGTTTTGGCGGGAGTGTTGGGGGGTCTCCCTGCTGCTGGTACGCCCGCGCTGGCTCTTTCAAGTACTTGTGGAGGTAAAAAGGCATTCTCTTCGTCATTGCAGCTGCATGCATGTGCGCGATCAACAGTCGCGACCGGAGTTGCTTTGCGTTCGGAAAGTGACTGTTGCCTCTTCGGAACTGATCCACTTGATATCACACCGTCAACAGTCGTGATAACCTCCACCACATTTTGAGTCTTCTTGTCGCCCTGACGCAGTATTATTAGTAAGAAGTTACGCGTTTCCCTTTTATACGTACGCAAATTGCAGTAGACTCTGAGGTTCTAACACGCTGAAGCTTACCAGTCTGTCTAGTGCTTTGCTCCACCATGATGACACTGGCTTTGTGAGGATACCCGCAGCTCAATAGATGAAAGTTGCAGGTGAGTTTTCTGTTCGTTGCAGTCTTTCTGCCTGTTCGTGTGGTACGCTTGTTGCCTGCAAGGCTGAGCGAGATTTTGGGCGCAAAGCTGAGCGTCGAACAATTGCTGGCCCCCACTAGTTTTAACTAAAACGTACTTACCAAGCATATGCGCCGACTATTCTGCAGGAATGCAGAAAAAGGATCCCGCATCTAAACCTTGCTAGTTAGGCGGCCGCAACCAAGAACTTTGTGGAGGCGAAGCGCGTATTGCTTTTGGGTGTCGACCAACCATTCGAATCGGCCCCCTCAGCCTTGCTGCAAGCCCGCAACATCAATTCCAGGCCAGGCGGATCTATGCCGTGATTACTGTAGAGCTCATATTCCGCTGCCTGATTCTGCACGCGGCAATAACCTTCTCTTATCTTCGCCTAGCACTGCAAGAGTGTCGTCGAGTGCAGTCAGTAGCACTTCGGTATTGCTTAAATCTCCGCTTCTTCAATCTACTGCGAGTTCTGGGTGCGATTTATAATATCATCCTCTACGCAAGAGTATCAGCCGCGTTTACCTTTCGCATCCTTGTCACAGGAACACTTCTTCGCGTTAAAGTATAAGTCTATAGAGTAGCGATAGCTCAACCAGAGCGCAGGCGCTGATCACATCTTTTGTCTTTGTATAGAGTCAGATCTACTCCTAGGACCTTCGAAGCATGACACGCGCAGCCTCTCGACTTCGTTTTCGGGAAACGAATGGTCGCTTAAATGAAGTAGAGTCGCTCGGGAGAGGGTTCTCAGAGCTCGGTCTGGAGACAAATCATCGAATAATAATTGGTGTCGATTACGGAACGACATATACCGGTAATAATCACTGCCTCTTATGAGCTTCTCGATCATCTGACGAAATATAACCAGGAATCAGCTACATTGACTCCACCAACACCGCGCAATGTAGCGTCAAGGACGTCCACGATATCCGAACATATCCAGGACCCGGAAGGGAAGGCGACGCGGTTTGGAAGACACCATCACGTATCGCTTACAGTTCTGAGAACGAGGGATGTACCAGCAACCAGTTCGGCTTCCAGGTTACTCCGAAGATGACGTGCTACAGCTGGACCAAGCTGCTCCTTGATGAAAATGCGCGAGCCACGGAATTTGACGATCCATCTTTGAAGCGGTCCGAAGGAGAGGGAATGCTGAAGTTGCCTCCCGGAAAATCGGCTACAGAGGTTGTGACAGACTTCCTGCGCGAAATATATGACTGGATCGAAAGCTACCTTGCGCGACGCATTTCAGCAGAGATTCTCGATATGACACCGATGGAGTTCTGGTTCACCGTTCCGGCTATCTGGTCCGATCAAGCCAAGAGTGCTACTTTGGCAGCCGCGAAAGCCGCCGGGTTTGCGAGCGGCGACGAAGATAGGATATATCTCATTCCTGAGCCGGAAGCAGCTGGTATAGCGACCTTGAAGGGCTTTTCAGAAGGAAACTCCGTCGCGCGCGCTCAAGCTGGGGATGGGATCCTCATCTGCGACTGTGGCGGCGGAACAGTGGACATCACCTCATACAAAGTCACGCAGATGTCTCCTCAGTTGAAATTCGAAGAAATCGTCGAAGGCATCGGTGGCAAATGCGGGTCGACATACATCGATCGTGAGTTTCACCAATGGATGTCGAGAACATTCGGACAGCGGTTCGAGATCTTGAAGTTCGAAAAGACTGGACCAGGATCGAGATTCATGAAAGACTTCGAGTCCCACAAGCGCGATTTTGGCTATTCAAGCAATCTTGATCAGATCTACGAGATCAACTTGGTTATCCCGGGTGCCCAGGATTCCGCCTCGTATGATACGGATGAGTCGATTGTGAAGCTTAACGGGTGCGTGATACCGGTGTTTCTCGAACAACGAGGACTAACATACCCCTAGACACGCGATGTTGAGCTTTTTTGAACCTGTTGTCACGAAGATAATCGCTTTGTTGAGCCACCAGATCGAACGAGCAAGTCAGACTGGCGGACGAAGTACGATCAATGTATGGACCACCACACGCTCTCTTGAGGTACTCACTGACCTAATCTAGCGCGTCGTTCTTGTTGGAGGCTTTGGAGACTCACCCTATCTGAACTCCCGCGTCCGTGAGTGGTGTCAACAAAAAGGACTAGTATTGACATGTCCAGAGCACCCGTACGTTCCCATCGTAGAACCTTGATTAACCATACATAGCTAACGACCTGGCCATAGACAAGCAGCGATTGCCCGTGGAGCAGCCCTTCGCGGGTTAGATTCGGTTGCCCCGATCCGCCGGAGGAGCAGACGACATTACGGCCTAGTGAGCACCGACGCATTTCGGGAAGGTATAGACCCAGAGTCTTCTTCTGAGATAGACATGTGGACGGGCGATAAACGCTGCACAGCCCGAATGTACTGGGCCATCGCCAAAGTAAGTCCCACGCTCGAGGCCCATAGTGACCGAGACTGATTATACAACTAGGGTCAAGTCATAGACGAGGAGACGAAGATAGTTTTGAGGCGGAGGCGAACCTACACAGAAGGCCAATCTCTCGACCAAAACTCCAAACTCTTCGCCTGCTCATCGGATGTCGCGCCAGAATACAAGTGGGACCCGGCAATTGAGCAGGTTGCTGAGCTCAAGCATGCGGTCCACCCTTCGCAACTGGGTACTTTCGATACTAAAGTAGTGCGTGGTGTTAAACACTGGGATCTTCGTTACGACCGGGAAATAAGTATGGGATCTAAAGAGGGCACATTGAATTTTAAGGTTTTTCATGACGGTGTAGAGTGGGGACAGTCTGAGATACAGTATCAGACGCGGCGGGGGGAGAAACGGACACCTGCGCGTACTTTTGGAGGGAGTGGTGGATTGCTTGACGCGGTAGGGGCGGCGCACTGACTGTCACGTCAACTATTGGCGTTGGGCGTCCATCTCACTCTCATTATACCACCTACTGAGTGCAGGACAACAAACGGCATTTACGACTGCCAATGTATATATGAATATGAATTGGGTCCATCGGCTTTCAAGCATAGTGTCTCCTAGCAGTATCCACGCGCAGCGTCTTCCACCTAGTCAGGAGAGGAACCCCATCTATCAAACACCACGCGTAATACTACGCAGCCCAGATAGGAATAAAACCTACCCTACCCAACTTATACACCGATTGCGCCAAAGCTAAAACACCTAAGAGGCTCTCCTTCGCTAAAGCTCAGTGGTATTTACAACCAAAGCAGCATCGTCGCAACAAGAGAAGCGACCATGACGACGTTTTTGATATTGTAACGGAATGCGCCCGCCTCTGCTTTCACATTCAGTTTGACCACCGCTCCAGGGAAGTTACACGTCAATGTGTCGCCCGATGGATCCCTCCTCCCATAACTGTGGTCCACCGCAGGGCCAATCGGACACGCAAAGTTCAATTTCGCAGGACAGCTTCTGACGATATCAAAACACAAGTCCTGGCAGGGCTTCATCTCCTTGTACGGACCGGGTTTGATAAGCTCGTCAATCATGGGATTGCGCGATTTACTGTAGGCGAAGCGATCGCGGTGCGTTTCGTTGAACTCCTTTGTAACGTTGTTGTCGAAAGTAAGGGTCCCGTTTGGGAATGGGGCGTTGATGTTGCGGGGTTGGAGCCAGGTCCCATTTGCGGTCCAATCTTCGCAGCGGGGAATGGCAACGGTGCAAAGCCAGCTTTTATAGTCGTTTTCGCAGTCTGTGCAATTTCGGGCTAGAGAGTACTGTGCCTCGGCGGTGGTGTCGCACGCGATTTGCGCAAGCGATCTCGAGAAATTTTGGTAGTACGAGCGCGCTTGATTGTCGTAGAGCTCTTTGAGACCGGTGTCATTGAGTTTGAACGTCGAAGACGATGGGACGGCGTAGGCGACGGAGTCGCAGAAGTCGAGGTCGAAGATGACTTGGCAGGAATCGTCTTGTTATAGTCATTAGCAATCTTGCAAAAATACGGGATATACAATATGTTGAAGAAGCTTACCTGCTTTGGTGGTGAAGACGATCTGTTGAAACACCTTGCCACCGCCCCTCACTTTTCCAACGCCTGGTAGCTCTAAGCCGTCTTGAGTCCCTTCCACAACCACGAAAGCATTGTACGTTGTCGCTGTATCGAGATCTTGGACATGAAACTGACTGTTAGGAAGACGGCCTCCATATCTCATCGTGACATTTTTTGAGATAGTGAAGTCTTTAGTCGAGTTCGAATTGAACTGCTCTTTTAGCGCGCAATAGGAGTGCTCCATGCCAGTGATGGGCGTCCGGTCCCCAGCTTGAAACGCGTACATGTTGAAGGGGTTATGCTCGCGCCACCCCTCGACTTCTTCAGTCGCGTTCGATGCGCCGAACTCGAAACTAATGAACAGGGCCGACTCGCTGTCGGTGTCGATCATGTAAAGGAAGGGGGTCGTATTGTTATGGGAATGAAACAGCCCATCCGTGCTTACAGCAACTTCGAACTCCCAACTTCCGAACCAGTCTTTATCAAGTTTGGGTGCCGCAATACCAATGTACACGTCGGCATTGGCCTGGACTTCAAAGCCTGTATAGCCATGGTCGAAAACGACCCCAGTTGAATTTGTAGCAAGATGATCGGTGGCATTAGGGCCCGGCTTCTGATTCTGAGTCGATGTCGAGACGTACATGACGAGTTGCGGCGGGTTTGTAGCGGCGGTCGTTCCATTGTCGTTAACGTTGGGCACGGGTTGACGACACGTATTGGTTGATATCCAGACGCGACTTCCAGCTTGTCGTTTTCTTAGCTCGTTGGGTTCTTCATTATCATCAGGGCCGTCGCTTTCGGGCCCTGCCGCCTCTTCTCCAGATACATTGTCTCCTCCTCGTGCGTCCAGCGCTTCTAAAGTATCTTCATCTGTCCGTATGATGCGCGGCTTCCGTTTCTCAAGAACGAAGTAAAGTACTTCCCCAGGTGTGATAGGCATGACCTTCTTCTGATTGTTTGCCAGCTTATTTACTTCCGGCTCTTGCCGTCCCACGAGACTTCGATCGAAGAGGGCAAAGTCCGGCACATAGCCGTCGCTCCCAGTGTTGTCCATAGCCTCATTATCATCCTCAATGGGCACCAGATCTCCACTAGGAAGCGCATGCAGCTCGAGCTGACTGAGGGGGTCATGGTGTAGAGCGAGGGGCAGTTCGGTAGCGTATGCGCCGTGGCGCGGAGTGAGCGAAGCCCATAGTGTGAGGCAGAGGCAGGTGGAGACGACGTATTTGAGCAGTCTCGACTGCAGCGGCGTGAGGTTCAGAGGTTGCATTGCCCTCTCACGCTCCCTTTATCGATGATGCCGGGGATGCATTGGCGGGTCTGAGCGGGCGCAGAAGGTGCGCAGCGGGAGCAACGAGCGTCCAGCAAGGGTGATTATATCATGAGACACGTTTCAGTATGGCGCAATAGGTTTGGAGAAAGGTTAGGGCGTCGAAGGAATTTAGTTAGGGTGGCGCGTTGTCCTCTGTCCCTTCAGATGTCAGTCAAGGCCGCGGTCGCTGGCTGAAGTTCGCCGCGCGCCCTGCCAAGACATGCGGCTGTGGCTTCTCGCCTGCTATGAGAGAACGAGCATGAGGAAGCTATGGTACTGGGAGCAAGAAACCTTAGTGAGGCCTTTGTATTCTGTTAAGCCGGCTATGATGAATTAGGAAAAAATGGAAATAGATATATTCTTCCCGACACATCCTATCGATGCAGCCCGTATTATGTCCGTCGTTCTCATATTCTCTGTCCTACTAGCAGTAAGTATGTCTAAACGTTGAGGCCAAATATATCAAAACAGAACCCTCTCTTTGAGATGCTTGCAGTGCGAAATACCCATCTTCACCGACTATTTTACAGCGCACACAAGACATAGCCCGTGACGTTGAGAGCGACGCTTTGATGTGAGTGGTCTGATATCCTATAACGAAGCCTCCAGGGTTATCGTTTGCGCAAGGCCTGCCTTGCTATATAACGATTGGATATGACTGTGTGTCGTAATGTGCATCCGACTGGTCTTCTCGCGTGCGTGCTTTGTGTCACATTGAAGGTGGCTAGGTCGATCAATGATGCTGGTGATAGTTTCCGTACACCTGCGAAGGATCAATGATGATCGAATCATCCAAATTCGTAAATGCGAGAATCTCCGAATTCATGTCAAAAGCGCCTGAATCATCAAACGTAAGATCGAGACTCTGTTGCACCTGTAGTGGTGTCATAAAGTTCCTTTTCCATGATTAGCTATCCCATCTCCGAACAGTTACGAGCAGGCAAAACTTACGGGTCCCAATTCCCCCAAAGCTGAGCGATCATCTCATCGTTTAGATGAACGGGCGCGTCCACGTTCCCGTTCCCGTTCGGCGGCTGCGGCTCTTCTGGAATACCGAGATCGGCAAGCCGTCCAGGTGTTTCCTCGGTGACCATTTTGGTAAACCCAATCTGCTCCATGCCCCTGCTGAGCGATATCAGAGTTTCGATGTGCGAACTGTACTGTGGCATCCTCGTGTGCGCATAAGCAAGGATAAACACCATAACCAGTCTTAGTATGCAAGTGCTGTCGAAAGCGGTAAGACTCGAAAGCGTGCCGTCAGCTGCCATCTGTTGCAAAATGGTGATACTTTTCTGTGCAGCATCGATACACGTCTTGCCCATGCGCTCAAACCATATCTTCTTACTTGAAGCAAGCGTGGTATACTTGATGACCAGATAAAGCAAAAACGGTCGCGTAAGGAGGATGGTAGTGCCCCAGTAGTTTAGGTGTAGGAGTGAAACAGCTCGCTTATGGGTTGGTGGTGAGGGGACGTCGTACTTGAGGTGCGCTGGCATTTGTCGGTACCACTTTTGGAGGAGCAGGAGGGATTCTGAGACTGTAGAGAAGGATATTGAGTGTGATGAGCGCTCTGTATAGACGGCTTGGGTGATTTCACGTTTCAGGCGACAGAGAGCAACAGATGTGGATAGCCAGGAAAGCGGTGTATGCAGTCCGGGGTACAGTGTCTAGCAGATGTCAGGGTCAATCTGAAGACGAGTCGATCGGGAAGCTTACCTGCTCAGAAGACATTGGGGTAGTGACTTTCGTGTATCGCTCATCGATCACGCTCGGGCTACCACCTCTAGACGATATACCGTGGTCGAGGATGAAGAGCGTCCACCATATCCGACGATTCCGTTCGCGCTCTATTGTCGTCTCAAATTCCGCTATTTGGTCGCGATGAAGACCGAGCGTGTACGCCATTTGCACGCTGGCTCCCATGTAGAGGTACGCGCTTACCCGCGAACATATGTTTTCCATCACAATGCTCTAAAAGACACGTCAGTTGCATGCGGTTCGAGAAGTTGTACGCACTAACCATGATCGCCAGGGCACGTATACTATCGATGTCTGCTTCATCATAGACGGTAGGGATCAGCTGCTTGGCAAGAGTGATGTAGTCTTCAGAGGTCTTTGGATCCATGGCAGCTGGCGAGCCTGGGAGCGGTGACTCCCCATTAGTTCCTACATAGTTGGCTGCTCCTATGGCGAATATGGCATAGAGTGAGCACATCCAGGAACTCGATCGAGCTGGTGCTGCATCTGAATAGGTGCTGTCCACGCGCCGTAGCAGACTTTCGACTGCGTAGAGCCAGTAAGTGCAATGTACATCTTCGAGAAACCTCGAGACGTAGATGTCACAAAGCTCACGAGCCGGAAGGTAGTAGACTTCCTCGGCCCCAAAGTCGGTAGCGGGTGACCGACCTGGGAGGGGAGGGGGATACAGTCCCACCCGAGGGGAAGGAATGATGGCTGGATTCTTTCGTTGAATGCCCAGGGTTACGACAGCCGCGTTGAAGGGAATCTCGCTATGGGCGCCCACGTATCGGAACTTTCCTCTTGAATCCTTCATCATACAGCCCAGCGGCTCGTGCAGTTCGCTAACGTCCTGTTCCTCGCCATCATCGACGCTTTCTTCGTCGTCTGGTGGGGATGCTAGGTTGTTAGTGAACAGGCCTTCGGTTTGCAGAACCGGTGGGGCCGTGAAAGTGCCGTCCTTGATGGCCTTTGCTATGGATCTTAGGGATTGCAGATTCAGGTCATGGCCAGGGAAGAAGTGCTCGAGAATGCGCATGGCACATTGATATTCTTCTTCCGTGACATGGTAGTAGGGTCTTTTTCTCCGTGGGGTAGCAATGGTGCACGTGGCGCCAGTTCGAGCACAATAACGACATGGTCCTGGGACTAAGGAGCGTCAGCCACTGGGTGTGGAGATAGTGGACAGATCGTCTTGGAGACGAGCGGACGAACATACTGGGATCAATACACTGCGAGCTGCTTTAGTGCCTTGGCGTCTTGAATTGCGGGGAAAACCGGTTTACTAATTACCTTGGTCTTCCTACTGCGACATCGATCACAGCTGCTGTGAACGCGGTGTGCGTTCGGTGCTCTGTTGGACGACACTGGCGCCCGCGGCGGCGCGACTGAGAAGTCGGCCATGACGTTCCGACGGCGACGACGCGTCTGCCCCGGTCGATTGGCAGAATCTAGCAGCAGTGGACAGTAGAGGTCTCATTCGGCCGACGAGCAGCCGTTCATGGAGGAGGCAAGGAGCAGAGCGCCCCGTGAGATCGAGTTGGAGAGAGGAGCCCAGTTCTGGCGGGGGATCATCTACTGGGGCCGCGCAAAGTGGGCTGCAAGGCCACCCTGCAGGAACGAGCCGTTGGCTAATCAACTTCTATCACTAGCACCGAATAGCGTAACACAACACGGCATGGTCAAATCAACTCGCACACGCCCAGACATGTCTCACCCCCTATGAAAGCTTGATCAAGACGCTCTTCGTCTCGAGGAAGTTGTCCAGCGAGTACAACGGCTCCCCTTCTCGCCCTGACCCCGACGACTTGTACCCGCCAAAGGGCATGTCCCGCCCGGTAATGGGCGACGTGCAATTGACGCCCACCGTCCCAGCCTCGAGTCCTTTGGCGAAGCGAATGGCGCGATCGATGTTTTTGGTGTATACTGCGGCATAAAGGCCGTATCTGCGGGGTAGAAGATGGAATCAGCCCACATCGCATCACGAAAGCGTGCAATGACTTACTCTGTATTGTTTGCTTTGGCCAGGACCTCTTCTTCCGACTTGAACACGTTGATGTTGACGACGGGGCCAAATACTTCTTCTTTCATAATCTTTGCGTCCTCTGGCGTGTTCTTGAAGATGGTGGGCTGAATGTAGTAACCTTCACGGTCAGAGGGCGCAGCGCCGCCAATGAGAAGCTCTCCGCCAGACTGTTTACCCGATTCAAGGTATTGTAGCACTGTCTTATGCTGGACCTCGTCCGCCTGTGGACCGTGGTTGATGCCCTTGTCAAGTGGGTCGCCCATAGACACCTCCTTCTCAAAGTGTTGCCTAAACAGCTCGATATACTTGTCGGCGATTGTATCCTGAACGTAGACACGCGAGTTGGCCATGCAGACTTGGCCACTATTCCACTGGATGCTGTACGCTGTTTCCTTGACAGCCTCCTCGATGTTGGCATCTTCAAATACGATTGCGGGTGATTTGCCACCGAGCTCAAGAAACACCTGTTTCAGGTTGGACTTTGCAGCAGCAGCTTGGATTATGCGTCCCGTGCGACCAGAACCCGTAAACGTCAGGGCGCGAACATCCATGTGATGGCTGAGTATCGATCCACTGACGTTGCCAAAGCCAGAGATGATGTTGATCACACCTGGGGGAAAGCCAGCTTGCTGGACCAGGGTGGCAATTTTGGCAGACTGTGGGCACTGTTAGCCACTCCAACATCTGAAATAGGGCGTGGAAGCATACCGTCAAAGGTGCCTTTTCGGAACTTTTGAGAACGACTGTGTTACCGACGATCAACGCTGGTGCCAGCTTGCCAGCTAGAAACAGTAGCGGCACGTTCCACGGGATGATAGCAGCTACAACACCGTAAGGTTGCCGCAGCGTCAAGTTGAGGAAACCTGGTGTCTGAACGCTGGATGTCCCTTGTACGGTGTAGCCAGCTTCAGCATAGTGGTCCCACTTGGAAGCACATGCATAGGCATCGAAGAAAGCTCCGAGAGGTTTTCCCATTGAAGCCGCTTCGAGGGCCCCAAGTTCGGCATTGTTTTCCCGAATGAGACTCGCGAGCTTCTTGAAGTATGGCGCTCGCTTGTCTGGAGATAATGCAGACCATGCAGAGAAAGCTGCCTTCGCTGCAGCGACTGCCCTGTCTGTGTCCTGTTCAGAGGCCTCGTGCACTGCCGGCGTGGATACTTAGTTTCGCAAGTCATCAAGCATGGGTTAAAGGCTAACCTTTGGCAACATGCTTCAGTGTAGCTGGGTTGATGATATCGAAAGTCTTTCCATCGGATGCTTCAACGAACTGGTATATGAGCTATAAATCCCAAGTCTGGTGAGGGATGCTTACTTCTCCGTTGATGAAAAGGCGCGTCTCGATTTTGTCTGGAACACTCATATTTGGCCTAAATCTAATGTTTTCGATAATATGTGTCCGAAATCTAGGTAGGACACTTTGTCTTCAATGTAGCTCTAATCATACAGCTCTCGACTTGACTCAAATACTTCGCTGTCTAGTCAAGACTGGCGCCAAGTGGGGGCCAATTGGCATGTGGTACTTGGTAGTTCCTTTGATTTCAAACCATCAAGGTAGACAAAATGGTGGAGGTATCATGCCGCCACGGCGCAGTCGTGCTGGACCCCACCACTGTGCCTTGGTGCCCCTCTATAGCTCCACAGCTTCGCCAAGAACATACCATCGGCGAGATTAAACCGCATCGCATGCACTTCGCATCTATATTGCCGGCACCATGGAGAACGTTATTCGTGGAGAAGAAATGGGGGTCCCACTCTTGCTGCTAATCCCCGGGACTGTTGCGGAAGCTACGTACACATTGGAGCATGGAGCATGTGGCTCTACACGGTCATTGCTGGATGCGTTGAGTTAAGAAGAGGAGTCTGCCAGAAGACCATGTAGTCAATTGAAACGGTCCGAAATCAATCGTCTTCAAAATGCATAGCGAAGTCACCGAACTAAAAGCCGTCGTCGAGCAGTTGCGTAAGGAAGTGACGCGGTTGAGTGGTATGTGCTTAGTCATTCAGCAGCAGTAGGCGCGATGCTAATCGACGTCAGACCAAGAAGACATCCGCAAGCTGCAGTATACGTACGGCTACTATCTCGACAAATGCCTATACAAGGAGGTGAGGCGTTCAATCACTAATTGTTGCCCATCTGCTAACGTGTTCCAGGTTGCAGAACTCTACTCGGACCACCCTGACACCTGCGTCGAGTTCCTAGGCGGTCGCTACAATGGCAAAGAGGGCGTCGAACGTCTTTACATTGGCCGCTTCGCCAAAGCCTTCGTAAGCGGTCGCAATGGCCCCGTCCACGGCTTCCTCCTCGACCACCCTCAGATGCAAGGCATCGTCGATGTGAACCCCGAAGGCACACGCGCGAAAGGTCGCTTCCGCAGCATGATGTCCGCGGGCACACATGAGAGCATCAAGGATACACACCCTCGTGGCCTAGTGCAGTGGTGGGAAGGCGGTATCTACGAGAACGAATACATCAAGGAGAATGGCGCGTGGAAGATCTTCAGGCTCAAATACTACCCCTTCTGGCATGCCACGTTTGACAAGGGCTGGGCCCACACGAAGCCCAACTACGTGCCTTTTCTTTCGAAGACGTACCCCGAGGATCCGAACGGGCCGGATGACCTATGTGAGAATCCAATGATGTGGCCAGACACGCGTGTTGTGCCCTTCCACTATACGCATCCTGTTACCGGAAAGCAGGTCGCTGACGATGACCTGAGAGCGCCAGAGTTTGGTAAGGATGTTTCCACCAGCACACCTCAACTCGTGCTGAGTAGGCCCAAATCGGAAACGGTGAATGGGCAAGCCTAAATCCGCGACAGTGTATATAGAACCTAATACCTGGTTACCATGAGTAGCGTCAAATTTGTACTTTCGCACATCCTATGTTTCCTTGATGCTCTCTTCAAATGATCTCTTCCCTTCTGCATAGCTTCTTGTCTAAGTAAGACAGGCGTCTTAGATGCCACATCAGTGTAGATTCTCGCTGTGTGTATTTGCTCAATTTGATGGGCATGCTTCATTGCGCGCAACCCAAAGCCACGGCCAAAGCTAGAGGATCGTATTTCTAGAAGGTTGCGGAAGTCGGCTATTTAATGGATGAATGTCAGGGTTTCTGAAAGAAGACGTCTAAGAGCAACCAGGATGAACATGCGTTGACTACTTGCAGCTACACGTCTAAGCGCTCCCTTTACTCTTCAAGAGGCAGTTTGAACAGCCTAATCGCGTTCTTCCTTGCCACAGCCGCCTTCTGATCATCCGACAAATCCACCGATTTCCACCAGGTTTGTCCTTCCTCCACAGTCTCGTACGGTGTATCTGAGATCGTTAGCCGAACGTTTCTAGCCCTACTAGCAGTTCACCTCACCAATTGCAAACAAACACCGATCTAGGCCTATCTCATCAATGCAGTACTTGAGACCTCGCGTGTTGAAGTTCCCCGAGGTGGTAATGGAAACATTGTGCGTCCAGTAGTACGAGTAGTCCTGTTTCATGGGTCGCGAACCGCGCTTGAAGGGGTGGTTGATCCAATGACTTGCTCTCCAAAGATTGAATGGTATGCTAATATTTTCTTAGTATTGCGCATGAGGGACAGTGCTTTTTGACGTTGCTTACCCTTCTCCTAGATGCCCAGCCACGATCTGAATCTTCGGATAGCGATCGAAGATACCCGAGGAGCAAATCGCGTACAAGTGCCAGCTCAAGTCTAGATGGAACTGCACACCTGCGCCAAGCAGGTGTTTTCGATCGCCATACTTGGTCCCAGCCTTGAGATCCTGTGGGATAGCGTAACGTGGGTGGAAGTATATCGGAACATCAAGCTCCTGTACGACAGCCCAGAAAGGTTCGTAATCCGGTGTATCAAAGTACACCTTTTCTTCTCCTTCGGCACCTTTGGATTGAAAATCGTTCACCAGCCCGCCAAACATGCCTAGGTCCTTGACCGCTCTCGTAAGCTCATCCGCAGCATCTTGTGCATTATGCATCGACAGTGCAGCGAAGGCTCCGAATCTTTTGGGGTTCTTCTTCACCTCTCCTGCCAGGTAGTCATTCGCTACTCGTACCATGCTCTTCGCTTTTTCAGCATCTGGTTCACCTTGAGCTCCGGGTGAGGTCAAAGACAAGAGCATGTACTCCACACCATGCTCATCCATTTTCTTCAATCGCTCGTCATGAATATCAAGCAGGCGTCGCTCGTGTGCTGAGAGTCCTTGCGATGGGTCGCTACCTGGTCGCATCAGACTCTGAAATTGGGCAAATGTGTGAGCTTCGACTCCTGCTGGATCTATGATCGCTTCCTCGACAGCGATTGTTCCTTTCATGGTGTTGTTCGTGTGGAATTGCTACTCGGACAAAAAAATTGGATTTAAGAATAGTACCGTCTACGATGTTACAATGCGATCGATTCAGGTACACGTCGTTACGAAGCACTTGTCTACTACAGACTGTAGTCGTCCCCACCCCACCACTATGACACGGCAATGGCCAATCTACAGGGGTGTATGTAGCTCGTGCACAACGCATCGAGATACCAACATGAAGTTCTCGGCTGTACAACTCCGCCTTCTCTAGTCGCCTTAAGCATTCGGTTTTATAGTGCCGGGTCTAAGCCATCCCTGAACTTACCCACACGCTACCCCGCAACGTTCTCCTCCCCACATTCATCGCGTAAGTCCCTGGCACGATTGTACATTTGAGCACAACGATCCTCTTTTGAATCGAAGTCGGCGTGGTAGAGTCGAAGCAACGAACTATAGAGCGCTGATTGCGTAAAAGACCTGTCCTATACGATGGCACATATTTTCTCTCTTTCAACTCCAGCGCCATCGGCGTATCACGAAGGAAACCGTTCTGGTGACCAAGTCAAGTTTCCAGACAGCGGATTTTTCCAAGGCTTCAACAAACCTTCACGGCTCGAAGCGGACATATTCGAACTGGAAACCACTGGCACGGTAACAAAGTTTCTGCATGCTTAGTGAATACTGAACTGAACTCGATTAGATTCCAAAAGACATCAACGGTACCTTTTACCGCATACAGCCAGATCATTGCTTTCCTCCTCTTTTTGAAGAAGACATACACTTCAATGGCGACGGTTCCGTGTCAGCCTTCAGATTTGAGGATGGACACGTCAACTTCAGACAAAGATTTGTGCATACAGATCGCTTTAAAGCAGAAAGAAAAGCCAAGAAAGCCCTCCTAGGGAAGTATAGAAACCCATACACCGACAATGAAATGGTCAAAGGCATCATCAGGACCGCATCCAACACCAATATCGTTTTCTGGCGGGGCGTACTGCTTGCCATGAAAGAAGACGGCCCGCCCTTCGCTATGGACCCCGTCACTCTCGAGACAATTGGCAGATATGACTTTGACGGACAAGTGCAGTCCCCAACATTCACCGCACATCCGAAATTCGATCCTGATACGGGGGAGATGGTGTGCTATGGCTACGAAGCGGGAGGTGATGGACATGATGCGAGTTGCGATATTGTTGTCTACACGATTGACAAAGATGGGAAGAAGACCGAGGAGTGCTGGTACAAAGCGCCATTTTGCGGCATGATACACGACTGTGCAATTACGAAGAACTATCTTATCTTACCACTGACACCGATCAAAGTAAATGCTGAGAGGCTGAAAGGAGGTGGAAATCACTTCGCCTGGGATCCAGATGAAGACCAGTGGTAAGTAACGTGTGTTTTCGAAATTTGTGTGAGAAATACACTAACTTTATACCTCACCGTTTAGGTATGGCATCGTACCTCGCCGAAATGGCAAGCCCGAGGATATCATTTGGCTACGCGCTGATAATGGTAGGTCGTAATTTATCTCGCATAGTGAAATAGTTTATTCACAGCAAAAGGCTTCCACGGCCATGTAGCAGGCTCCTATGAGGATGAAGAAGGTAAAATCGTGGTCGATCTTTCAGTAGCCTCCGACAACGTCTTCTTCTTTTTCCCGCCAGACAGCCTTGCCAACACACCAACTACACTCCTGCAACGCAACAAGTTAGTTTCCGACACATATCGCTGGATCTTCGACCCGCGTACTCCAACACATACGCGCGTCAAACCGTTCAAGGCATTTGGCATCAACGGCGAGTTCTCGAGAATCGATGACAGAGTGCTGACGAAGAAGTATAACCACTTCTGGCAATGCAACATCGATCCGAGTAAGCCATATGATTTCCCCAAGTGCGGGCCCCCGGCTGGAGGGCTATTCAACGTGCTAGGCCACTTTCAATGGGACGGCGAAAAAAAGGATACCTACTTTGCGGGGCCGACGTGCACGTTTCAAGAACCGGTATTCGTTTCCAAAGCTGGGTCGACGGTAGAGGGTGAGGGGTATCTCATAGCGCTGTTGAATCACTTGGATGTGCTCAGGAACGACATTCTGATCTTTGACGCCCAGAATCTTTCGCAAGGACCGCTCGCTGTTGTGCATCTGCCTGTGAAGCTCCGGCTGGGGCTACACGGGAATTTCATTGAGCAGAAAGACATTGATGATTGGGCGGAGAGAAGAAAGGAGGGTGGGGATGTGGGACCTGCGAAGGCTGCGGCGGAAATGTTGCCGTGGCAGAAGAAGTTGGCTGAGAAACAAGGCCTGGGAGAGGCGGTTCCGGTGCCGGTAGTGAATGGGGTAAATGGGCGGTAATCATATCTTGAAACATGGAAGTTCGGCATAGTAGGTGTCACGCAGTATCACTTCTTCAGCTTCTAGCTCCTGGCTCGCAGACATCGCTCAAATGCCTCATAGGCTGCTAAGAAACACCTCAAACAGGCAGAGAAGTCTCCCTGATTAGATCGCCAACGTTACGTAGGGTGAGAGAAGTGCACAATTGATAATTTCGTCTTCAGCCTTATATCGGTCAACAGTATACCGTTCATTGGAATAGTTGATTGTAGAATGCTCGTGGAAATACTTGAAGCCCGCTGTTGCTCCTTTCGACGGGTTGGTCCGACATGGCACCTTCTTGTCTCGTACTAACGTCTAATCTAAGCGAGTCGTAGGCCGCAATTTCTCCCTCGACTACCTTTTCAACAACCAACCCATCCTAGATCATCAACACGCTACTCATTGGGAAATTCAAATTCAGATAAACTATCTGTATTGCATCCCATCCCCTTCTATACAACGGTATGCTACAACTTACGTGGTCGACAGTGGATTAATGCACAGCCAACTGACATTAGAAGATGATAATCCCCGGGCGCGTTGCACTTCAACGCCAGGTTATCACTCACTTGCGCTCGGCTGAGCATCAAACTCAACCATGCGGCATCGATCTTACACTCAAGCGCGTAATGAAGTGGTCATCGTCCGGCACGATCGACTTCGACAACTCCCAACGCAAAACCGCTCAGACTATCGAAATCCCATTTAAGCCTCGCTCCAATTCTGGTAACACTTCACTTCATGATGTTCCCCAGCAGACACATGATCCAAACGTCTCACTCTCTAAGGAATACCTGGATATATCTTGTGGCTCATATCTGGTCGAGTTCAATGAACTCGTGGACATGCCACTTGATCTCATGGGTCAAATTCTAGTGCGCAGTTCACTATTTCGCTCCGGTGCGCTTATAAATGCTGGTGTCATGGACAGCGGATACAAAGGCGCTGTTGGTGCGATGTTACAAGTGGTCAATCCTCACGGATTGCGCTTACTTCGGGACGCGAAGCTTGCACAAATGGTCTTCCATCAGATGAGTGAGCCTGTCGATGGTTACAGTGGCGTTTACCAGGGGCGTTCATTTGTCTAGAATATAAAACCACGTGATAGGCCCTAATTTGAAGGCCTGTAGCTATTTTAAAAGCCTCATCCATTTCAATCTACTTTGTTAAAACTCCGGAAAACTTTTGTATTCTTCATTTGGTCGTGGGACAAGGCTAGTGTGCGTAAACGAAAGAAATCTCCCGGGGCATATAACAAGACGTAACGTAATACAGGAGCCTGCAGGACCACCCTTTTAAAAAATATTGAAAGATATTTATGCACAATTGATCTGCAAAGGTTTGTAGTACTAATCGCAACGGGGAGCACGAACATACACAGAGGAGCTCTTGCATTCGTTTTGATTAGGTCTTTGATCGCTGAATTCATTTAACGGGAAGATGTTCTCTCAACCTAAGTATTCATCTTAAAAATATCGCCTGTCTACCCATTATTCTTACGTTATCTTGACTAGTGCATTGCGTAGAATAGCGCACTCTTCTGAAAGTTCTTCAAGTCTCCTCTCACCCTCTCCCCTCGCATCTCGCAATATTCCAATCCTCTCAAATTCCGAATCTACTTCCACGCTATGCGATGCTTCACATGTTCGGTTGATCTTTCTCAACACTAAATACAGCAAATACTCACCATTGACATGAGCCGGAATCTTGGACAGGCCAATAAGTTTGAGGCAATATACCGTATCCCTATGATTTAACCGAGGCTTGTCTTGATTGAAATCATAGTCCTTATAAAGCATGCTGGAGTTCAGCGGGGTTCTTCCGTTTGGGGCGATTTTCCACGATCCTTGCGTTGCTGAGCAATCAAGAGTAGCCTCAATCAAGGTTCCAGAGAGCACAATGTATCCTGACAACAACTTCCGTGACAGATTGTCTCCCGTTGGTTCACAACTCGTTTCCACCACGGTCGCGTAGATATCTGTTCTTGAGTCTTGCTGTTTACGCTCTTCAAGATCTGTCTTGAGACCCTTCTCTAGCACAGTCATGAGGTAATAGCTAATCCCACTTCTGCCTTGCTCTTTCGGTATAATAGACGCCCAAGAGAATGTCGGTGCCCGCCACTCTTCACACCTACGCACACGATTTGGGGCTTCCACTGTCCAGACCAAATGGGTGATCAGATTCTCCTTCCACAAACCAGCGATGTACTCCCACCCAGTTGCGTCCTTCACGCTCTTCGCTATACCGGCAATGGCTGGAAAAATATCTCCCGGGTGAGAGAGTATCATACGCGAGTAGTCTTCCACAGCTGATTGCCATACACCAGCAACAGCGTGAGCACGGGAGTTTAGGAACTTCAATGAGGATTGATGGAAACCAGTTTTAGGCTTGAGCCACGAGGAGCGCGATGAGTATTCGTTACCAAGGGCCCCGCATTCGCATGACATCCCCTCCATACACTCCCATATCAGTTCATGCTCGCCAAAATGGAGGTAACGTGGACTCAATAGACGCTCCTGGAATACCCAGCCTCGCCGTAGCAACGGAAGATCTGCGGCCTTATGTGGTAATGGCTTCCGTTTCCGGATTACGTCAAGGCCTTCTGGCATGGCTGTACCAGAAAGACCATGATCAATATGTTTAGGGTCTGCGTTGCGGAAAAGTCCTTGCCGAGGACCTGATGAAGCTGACCCCGCGAACGTAATGACCGAATTTTGATAAATGTCCGCCATTTGGGCGGCCTGATCTTCCCAGTCCGCAGTATCGTCTTGGATTATACACAACGAATCTATCCACAAATATTGAATGCCAAACATTCTGGTAACAATGACAGCTTCTTGAAAGGTTTTTGGTAATGCTTCCCATTGAATTCCTTGCAGGTGAGACGTAAGGGTGTTTGGATTCAACGTCGTCTGCAATGGTTTTTCGCTACCCCAACAGTGACTTAGGCTAGCGTAGTATCCGTTCTCATTATTGTTCTGCAATAGTCGCACGTCCTGTGTCCCGGGGATGCTCACGTCAAGAACACGGAGTGGCAGCCTAGAGGGAGTAGCCATGGTCGGACAGAGTGTGTGATGTGTCTTGATACATTCTTTGAACCACTTTATAACAGCTTCAAAGCTCTCTTCCGAACCAGTGTAGCCTGAGATCGGCGTTGAAACTGGAATGATAGGATCATCATCCCCTTCCAAGCAATTAGCCATGTCTTGTACAATTCATGGATGATCCCCTTACTTTTTTTGACGAATAACTCCGACGAAGAACCTTGATGATCAAAGTACAATCCGGAATGTTGACCAAAGTTCAATCCAGAGCTTCTGAACTCCACGCTCAAATTATCTCCTCCGTATGTAATCTTTCTAGAGTTTGTGGAACTTTGAAAATCCAACACAGAATTAGCGAGGCTCGCATCAAGATTCTTCTTTCTGTTCTTCTCCACTTCATCATTGAATTCAACTGCATTGCATGCAGCATAACAGTATCGGCACCCACACTCGGACGACTTCACTAAAGACCCAGTTGGATTGGCCCACGGAGTATTCGGTTGGTCCTGCTTCTTTCTGAGATAGTCCTCAACCCCCTCGCAGATCGGCTTGGCAGGATTCGACATCTAAGGGGCCGATATTCAAGTAGACGTTGTCATTGTAATGAAGACGAACTTTGTACATTGGAGATATATCTCATCGTGGCTCAGCTGACTAGTAATGCAAGTAGGCGCTTGTGTCATATAAATATGAGGGGGTACATGGTTCACGATTGGCTACGCATGCGAGAGTGGGTACTAGATCAGCGAGGTGATGGAATGCGGCACAGTGCATTTGACCAATGTGAGAATATTAGACAATGCAGTTGACTCCCTCATATATTGTTCGATCAGCTGGTCCATAAATACATTTTTTCCGGAGATTACCAACCTCAGGCTGTCGACCCAATCATAAATGTGAGGTCTTTCTATCACAACAAGAAGTGGGTCGTTGTAGATCATTGAATTTTACTCTATTACCGCCATCTTATTATTTTATACCTTCGACATGCTGAATGTCTAGTTAATAGCAAGGTCCATGTCGTATGAAATGCATACAAGCCCTTTCATGAACCGAGGAATAAACTTTATCAAACCTATTGTATCTTGCCATGGAGACGATTCGCCTCACTCCGTGTGTCCTGTAAGATCATACCTCAGGGGAAGCATATCCTCATCTATAAGCGGCCGCTACGGACTCGGTGGATCGTTCTCAGTCAAGTCAATGTAGTTTCCAGCAGTTGAGGAGCGAGCGATCATCTTTTCCATACTTGCGTTGACCTGTTTGGCTTGCCTCAAAAGCTCGATCTCACTGAGGAAAGGCATTGAGCTCGCTGTTTGTTGCGATCGTTGACGCGTGTAAGAGGGTGGAATCGTTTGGAGCGGCACACGACGGCTAGGGTGACGAGTTGAGGGGCCTGGAAACCGTGAGATCGAAGCGGCTGAACGGGGAGGTGGACCCATGTTGTCCTTTGGAGAACTAAGAAATGGAGGATGGCTCGATAGCCCATTCGGCAGTGTTGGAGCAACGTTGGTGATGTGTGGAGCTGCAGCGGTCGCATTTCTAGTCAGTGGATTCGTGGGCTTGATGTTCTTCGATTTGAGGAATTGAAAAACATCTCGTGCGTTTAGGACAGTCTTGCACCGTTTCATGCCCACTACCATTCTCTTGCGGGCAATCGCACGGACATTGTCATCAATGCCCCGCCGTTGATATTCTCCTGCTGCTAGTACCTGCTGATCGCTAGGTTCTTTCTCCTGCCACTTGTGGTAAATAGCTGCAAAGGGCGCCTTCTCTTCTGCAAGCATGCGGGCCCATAGTTCAGCAAGTAGGCTGCTAAGTTCTTCTCCTTGAGCATAGTTAGTATTTCAAAAGTCCTCTTGTACTGAAAGAAGATCTTACCAGTGATACCTCGAGAGTTGTCCTTGTTCTTGTTTACATCGCCCTTGACCTGTTCCCGCTCCGCAAGTACAAAGAAGTAGTAAGCCCCATCGTTATGTGTGAAAGTCATCTCCTTGTGAGCTAAGGGCACGTCCTTGGTCTTTTTCTTAACTGGACTCGTGCCTGGCGAGCGTGGTATAATGTGCTTCGGAGCAATAGGATGCTTAGCCATCTGGGGAAGATTCTGTGTGGTCGAGCTGGGGAGCATATGCGCGGCTGTGGCTTGTGCTGCATGGCTCAACTCCACCAGTCGAGCTCCGGGAACTGCCCTAGCATTCGGAACCAAAGCTGTATTCAGGCCAGTTGGACTTTGATATAGCGTAGTCTTGTCTGCCCGTTTCCCACAATTTCGTATAATCTTTTGCCCCAGTTGCTCCACGCCCTCTCGAAGCATTCCCCAGTCCTGCAAAGAGATGACGAGAGTATCGGGCCTAGTTGATACATGACTATGGTGAACAGTGTCAAACGCTTTACGAAGCAGCAAAGCATGATCTTGAATAGACTCGGACCACTGGGTGTGTCCCAGCTGGGGAATTATCCGATAAGCTCTATGAGCAGACTGACCCTCAGGTCTCGATTTGGGCTGTTGCGCCATGGCAGCAAATCGGCCCCATTGTGTGTGAGCTACTGCGTTGATGATGTTCAAGATGCGGTGAACGTCTTGTGCGGCCGCCTTGTTGTTGATAGCAAGCTCTGGGGCGTCAGCGCTTTGTACAACTGCCTTTAACGCCTCTGTCGCCAACTGAAAGGTCGGGTGTGTGCCAATATTAGCAGAACGCCAGCGGTCAGCGACGCGATTCAGCACGATTTCGAGGATACTGCGAGCCCACTCTTCTCGGGTTTGTGCGTAAATGGCTACGTTTTTGGGGGTAAGGAAAGCAATGAGTTGTTCAACGGCGGGGTCCGGTTCGGTTGAGGCCATAGTGGTCGGGTAGTGAGTTTGTGCGGATACAGGTTCAGAGTGGACGACGGTTAGTGTAATATTCTCGAACAGGCTACTTGTAAAAGCTTGGGGGTGAAAGCACGGTTTAGTACGCTATGACGTAAAAGTCCCGACGCGTCGTAGCTCTTTCACCGGAGTAACGATGTTTGGGAGCCTAACTGCCTAGAGCATATTGGTAGTAGGTTTGTCTATATTGGGGAAGAGAGGGTATGTACGAGGTGACTAACCTCTCACTCTATATCTATGTCAGTGCCCGGCGCTCGTAGACAAGGGATCTTCAAAGTCTCGGTTCTTTCGATGGTGGTTTCGAACCTTCCTCGGGCTTCATAAGCTACGCGCCACCGTTCCGCTGCCGTGTAACCTCTCCCTTTGCCTTCGCGGGAAGTCGCCTCAACACGCCCAGCAAACCCAGCGCTAGACCAACATTGCACAGCCAGAACAGTTCGCCGCCTAGAATATGGTACTTGACACCGATGGCATAAAGACTTGTTGCTAAGGCCGGTGCAACGGCGCGTAACCCACTCTGAGCCGCAAGTGCGATGGCATTCAACGTACCCAACGTCTCGTGCGAGGGCGCGATATCATTGAGGGCGAGTTGCACACCCGCTATCATACATATTAGCATTGTATAGATGAATGTAGAGATTGGACACTCACTAAACGCCATGGCGACTCCACTTCCCAGCACCAAGGTCGGCGGACCGGTAGACCAAAACAAAGCTTTCTTTCCATGTGAAAGCATGACACTGAACATTGGATTCAGTGCGAAGAAGACGGGCCATACACATGCACACCACCAAAGGAGTCTTCCGGTGCCCACACGTCTGTGTAGAACAGGAAAAATGAAAAGCAGCCAAATTGCTTGAGAGGCTCCTGTTAACCCGGTGCAGGCGGCGATTAGCTCTGGTGTGAAACCAAGGCCACCGAGGCGAACGGGCGTATATTGGAAGACTGGGTAAACGGCCGTAAAGGTAAATGCTAAGAGCATAACGTAGTTGTAGACTAATAGAACAGGTGTCACCCCAGGGTATCTGATGAGTTGCCAGGCAGACATGGGAGGCCCGCTAGCCTTTTTGTTGCTATGATGGATATGCAGGGTCTACAATATGAGCATGGTCAGAGTACTGCCACTCTTATGCTATAAAGTAGACTTACCTCTTTGACGAACAGCAAGGTTGTAATAGCTGCAGATATAGCAACAGCAGAGGTGACCATGTTCGGCAAGGCATATGGGTAATCCTGGAAGAATTTGACCTTGCCAAAGGTTGAAGTAAACTTCTCAGCAGGCCTCTCGAGCAGACCACCTATAGACGTAGTATTAGCCCTAGAATGGATCAATGTATACAGAGTGCTTACCGAGCAGCGGCCCAAAAAGGAGACCTAGGTTCCCAGCGAAAGCAAAGTAGCTGAACGCCCTAGCCTGGGTATATTTCGTGCTGTTCTCACTGAGCATAGCCCGGACTGTCACGACGGTCCCAGCAAAGACGCCTGCGACACATCTGGCAAGAATCATCTGCCACAGAGACTGGCTTAGCCCAAATAGCGTTGTAGAGATAGCGATTCCGAAGAGCGAGATGACGAGGATAGGCTTCCTTCCCCATTTGTCAGAAGCCTTAGGCTGTCAGCTAACTCCCATTCATCGCATCAGGCAGACAAGTATACGCACCCTGCCCCAGAATATCATAACACACATCTGCGTCGCACTAAACAGACTCTCAATTAATCCCGAATAAAAGCCAACATCCTCTTTCTCGACGCCACCAACCTTCTCGATCATAAAGTTGATGTACGGAAAAATCGAGAAGAAAGCAATGGGTTCCACGACCCTCGTGTAACACAGTAGGAAGATCTGTGCCTTTGGTAGAGGTACTTGATCCGCGTCTCCTTGGTCGTTGTTTTGGCCGACTGCTTCCTCAGCGCTGCCATCAGCAGCTTCATGCGACGGGTCGGCAGGTCCCGCTAACAGTGCAGTTTCCACACTAGCAAGGAGTGGCGTCGTCTCATCGCTTGCCTTCACAGTCGGTCTGTCATGGTTACTAGGCGGCGTGGGCATCGTGTAGCTCTGCTATTTGGTTGTTGTTCAATGGGTGATCTGATGTTGGACTATACGCGCTGCTCTTTTCGGGGTTTGTACAAAGACGGACGTTCAAGGAGCAGACAGTTCTAGCTCTCTGAATTAGCGTTCATGTAGTCGCGCAGAGGCTCAAACAAATGTAACCTAGAGTGCACATGACGGGAACGAACGATGGTGGGGCAGATATAAGTAATGGGAGCGCGGTCGCTGTCAGCCTCTACGAGATGATGCAAGTGCTGATTCCCGCGCTAGTGGATCGACTATACCGTATTAGGGAGAAAGCTCTGCTGCCTTCAATCCGAAGGCAGCTTGAGGTACGTGAGCATGCGGATCATTATCGGATCTACCGAAGTCGCGAAGCGTGCGTATCTATGTGCTGCCTTGTAAACATGATCTCAATTACGAGATAGGAACGACCAAAATCACGTCATTAAAGATGAAAATGTGCAATTATAGGGAATGTGAAAAGTGTCCATAGGTTCTAAGCTACAATCTTAAGATCCGTACTACACCTCCAGTATGAGCTCAAGCTCCTCCATAACTCAACCACCCAACCTTTGGCTCGCTGCGCTATTTTGTGAACAACCGTGAACCGTGAAATCCCGGGGTAACAGATCGCCAATAAAATGATGCTTCCGCTACTAGGCTTGCCATGAAGTCGACAACCGCACGTAGGGATACGCTGGGAGAGGTCGTTAGTGGGCGGATCCCTCAAGTGTAGGAGATGCAGTACCTTAGAAGCACTTGCGGTGGACGATGGAAGGACCACTCTCGTCGTACTCCTGCTTTGAGATCCACATCTGCTGGAAGGTGGAGAGCGAGGCCAAAATGGAACCACCGATCCAGACGGAGTACTTGCGCTCGGGAGGAGCGATGATCTTGACCTTCATCGAGGATGGGGCGAGGGCGGTGATTTCCTTCTGCATACGGTCGGAGATACCAGGGTACATGGTAGTACCACCAGACTAATTCGCGTTAGCTCTTTTGTTGCTTGTCTCGAGTTCAGTTAACGCACCATAACAATATTGCCGTAGAGGTCTTTCCTGACATCAACATCGCACTTCATGATGGAGTTGAAAGTGGTGACGTGAATGCCACCGCTCTCAAGACCCAGCACGGAAGGCTGGAAGAGAGCCTCCGGAGCACGGAAACGCTCGTTGCCAATGGTGATGACCTGACCGTCAGGAAGCTCGTAGGACTTCTCCAAGCTGGAGGACTGGCTGGCAGTCTGGATCTCCTGCTCGAAGTCAAGGGCGACGTAGCAGAGCTTCTCCTTGATGTCACGGACGATTTCGCGCTCGGCAGTGGTGGAAAAGGTGTAACCGCGCTCAGCCAAGATCTTCATGAGGTAATCAGTCAGATCACGACCAGCCATGTCGACACGGGAAATGGCGTGGGGAAGCGCGAAACCCTCGTAGATGGGGACAACGTGAGTGACACCGTCACCGGAGTCGAGCACGATACCGGTAGTACGACCGGAAGCGTACAGAGAGAGAACGGCCTGGATAGAGACGTAGAAGGCAGGGGCGTTGAAGGTCTCGAAAACGATCTGTGTCATCTTCTCACGGTTGGACTTGGGATTGATGGGGGCCTCGGTGAGCAAAACGGGGTGCTCCTCGGGGGCAACACGCAGCTCGTTGTAGAAGGTGTGATGCCAGATCTTCTCCATATCGTCCCAGTTGGTAACGACACCGTGCTCAATGGGGTATCGCAGAGTCAGGATACCACGCTTCGACTGTGCCTCATCACCCACATAGGAGTCCTTCTGGCCCATACCAATCATGATACTGCCTTGTTGTCAGCTCGCGAATTACGTGGGAGGTATTATGAGGGTCATCGTACCCATGATGGCGCGGTCGGCCGACGATGGAGGCTGCAAATCTGTCAGAATGTGACTTTGACAGGCACTGGAGACCAAAGTCCAGCGCACTCGGTGCAGCAATGGCTGACGAGGTGGGGATGAGGGGACTTACGGAAGACTGCTCGGGGCGCATCATCACCGGCGAAACCGGCCTTGCACATACCCGAACTACCAATTGTCAGCTCATGTGCATGCTATGGTGGCGATACCTCGCGCGGTGCTATGGAGGCTTCCTCGCGGCCTTGTGAGGGCTTGGGCGCGGTCGATGCGGATAGCCCCTCCACAGCAAGGATGACGGGTGTTGGAATTCAGGGATCATCATACCCATTGTCGATAACGAGGGCAGCGACTTCCTCTACAGGCGGAAGGACAGACGTCAGCAGAGCTCATTGAGATATAGGGGCGCAAGTGAATAGGAGGCAGCGGGAGATGGAGATGGCCTGAATGTTGAGCTGGGCAGCTTACCTTCCATGTTGACTGATTAGGGTGAGATTAGAGGTAAAGTGTGGTGTTGCGGGTGGCTGGAGCGATTGAACGTCAGTATTCGATACTCCGAGATGTCGGTAGATTGGCAAGTTGAACAAGGGCGCGGATGTCGGGAAAGCTTACAGGATGCGTTGGTGGTGAGGTTAAGGTTGTTGTGCGAGAGGCAAAGGTTGGTGGGTGCCGCTTATTTAGCAGTGCACTGGCCTTGCCCAGATTTAGCGGGGTGAAGAAGGAGCGAAGAGGTTGGGTACAGCGAGACTTGTTAGGTGGCTTTGCAGCGCTTCACACGGCAAGTTCAGCGAGTGGCATTCGATCCAATTCAGTAGCAAGAAGTCGGCTCTTTTACGGGAATTATATAAATGCACCAGGCTGCCACTGGACTCCAGGCTTCTCTCTTTTCTATTTTGGTGGTGTGTACGCAAGCTCCCGCCACAGGGCGAGGAAGCTGCGGTCCACGCGTGGCATACCAGACCGCCAGGCAACGCTGTTTTCCACTTGGCACAGGGCCATCAGAGATACTCCACTAAGGTACTACGTGTTCCCTGACGGCGCATGCTTGAGGTAGACTGATGCAGGCAAGAAGCTGCGCGCGAGCTTTGCAATCCCCAGCCATCCGCTTGCTGCTCACCGCCAACTCAGATGTCAACATCCCCCGCCCGCCCTGCTGAGGCGAGTTCGAGCTGTCTGGATCCACCCACGTCACGTGTGAGGGGCAGAGCGCTGCACTTCCAATGTTGGACACCATCATGGTGCATCGTCTGCTCTTCTCTTAATAAGGCCATGTTTGATTGCAGACGATGGGCAATGTCTATTAATGGATATAATCCGTAAATCCAGCTCTGGATGTATTGGATGTGATAGCTGCTAGCCATGGAATGTCTGCGAACCTTCGAGTGCCGTCGGCCAACCAAATCGGCGTCATCTGGTTTGCGCGCGCCAAAATTTATTTCAGATGCCTACATAACCACGCACGAGCTGTTTCAATCCCACCACACACCAAATCTACTCTTGTACTACATCCTTTCATCCTACATACGCCCAACACCATGAACAATCCCAGCCTGAACGCAGCCTTAAAATGGGGCATCGAGAACTCCCAGGTCTCGCAGGGTATCGATGGCCCAAAGACGCAGCTTGACCACGAAGCCATCATGGCCTTGTTCGGAGGAAACATGAGATCAGATGCGGATTTCATGCGCGACAGCATGGAAGTCATTAAGAATGAGGAGGCGGTGTTGACGAACAGAGTCCAAGCCTTCCAGAACTTCGAGTCGCTCATCCAGAACCTCGACAACGCGAATAACATCGAGGCGCTGCACCTTTGGACAGACTTGGTGAAGCAATTGGATAGTAAATACGCCGATATGAGGGAGTATGCCGCATGGTCTTGCAGTACCGCTGTCCAGAATAATATCAAAACCCAAGAACGAGTAAGCAGCCCTTGAATCTGCAGTCGCTGGCATAGCCTTGCTAACAGAGTGACAGCTTTTGATTGTCGGCGCTATTCCCGTCCTCGTACGCCTAGCAATCACGGATGTCGAACGGAAAGTCCGGAAGAAAGCCATTAGCGCCCTCTCGTCCTGTGCCAGGAACTTCCAACCCGGCCTTGATGAAGTCATATCGCATATGCCAGCCGAGTTCAAGCCTAAAGAGAAGCTTGATGCCAACGATATGGCCTCTGTGGATGTCCTGATCAGCAAGCTACGTGGAAGCATATAATCGACTTTGGTACGCATTGGGTCGGCGTTAGGGTACTACAATTGGGTTAGCATTACAACGGCGCACTGGTAACGAATGATCAGTGAAGGGGGAAAGGAAAGAGAGGGATAAGCGTACCATGAAACAGAACTTTCAATCTCTGGGCTTGATTTTTGCACCGTTTTCATCTAAGCGGTATGTAGCGCTAGATTTCCAGAGTACAGGTCACAATCCATACGCGACGTTTCATATCACTTGCAACAGCACTCCAACAAGCTCGCCGAATTCCTCTCTTCCAACCATATTCTTGTCTAGTCCCAGGCCAATCACCACCATCCTTGTCTCCCTCTCGTCGCGCGTCTTGATGGCACTGGCGACTTGTGTCGCAATAGTCTGACCGAGAACATCGAGCTCTGGTATCGTACCACCCAGTATTGTTGTGGCCGTGAGGTGGTGCATAGGAAGAAGGTCAGATGTGGGGTCTTCGTCATCGCGGTCGAGGTAGGGATTGTAGTTCATAGAGGCATCTGTCGTAGCGATGTCGAGGGGAACATGCACCTAGACGCAGATCAATCAATGTCAACTCCTATGAAGCTATAAGAGGGAAACACGTACCCAATGTGCTAATCGTCCATTTTGTGTGACAGTGATGAGTATCTTATCCGTGAAGTTGACAACAGTTGCTGTCGTCTCTATGCCTTTGATCGTGGACGAGGCGACCTTCGTACGTGCTGGATATGGTGCAGCTGTCACGCTGTACTCATCTGGTGTAGCAGTTGCCATGATGCTAAGCGCGTGTATCTGCCCGTGTTGAGTGGGTGCGGAAGCTGTCTGTGTGTAGTGTGATGTAGGGAGCAGAAAATTTCAGTCGCGAGCTAGAAAAATTGATGTATGCTTGGAAATCTCCACGGTTACTGTCAGGCTGAGGTCCGCGCAGCTCAAATGTAGAGACGGGTGGTGTTTATCAAGCATGGACAAAGAGTGTCCACAGTCGAATTGAGGCCGCGGGAGTGGATGCGTCACTAGCGCGTTCTAAGATACATGGATATCGATCCCCACCAAAATTTCCAGCACTCCAGCTCCGAGTTGCAAAACCAGCTCAACATGCCGCCGAAGTTCGTCCCTCGACAGCGCAAACACAAGGTGATAGCGCGACGAAAGCAATCACAGAGCAACGATGTCGACGCCAACACAGCAGAAATTCTTCCCGAGGAGGAACGTATTCGAGCGGACAAGAAGAATGCGCTGAAGGCGGACTTGCTGCGAGAAACGCAGGGCAAAATAAGCGGGAAGAAGAAGAAGCGACTCGATAAATATGTTGTAAGTATTGGCTCAAACTGAAGGACTTCACAATCCTCATGCGACCAACCACCTTCAGGACTGACCTTCATCCAGGATACCAAGCTCAAGCAAGAGGAGAACCGTGAGCTGCTGAAGAAGCTCGCTTCGCAAAAGGTCGACACTAGCTTGTTCCAGAGCTCCAAGAAACTAGGAAGCGGAGCAGGTTCCAAGAGGGAAATCCTGAGGAGAGCGCTGGCCGAAAGCAGAGCTGGGATAGATATTGAAAAGAACGAAGGCCTCCTGCTGGAGGAACGCGATCTACATGAGCCGGCATCCGAAAGCGACGATGCACCAACCACCGGTACGCAGTCGGTGCCAAAACCGAATCCCACCTCGAAACCCACGTCCCGCATACGAGATCGATCATCCCCAGAATCTTCGCAGCAAGCCGATACTACAGCGCCGATACCTGAGCCCTCTGCGACATCGTTACCGGCTACTGGGCTGTTTGGAACTGGACTGAAGCGGCCGTTAGAAGTGGATGAGTCTGGTAAACCTGTCATACAAGTACGAAAACGTAGAAAGGCAGCATCTAAGCCGGTCGTGATCGAGCAAGAGGTGCAATGGGAAGGCTTCAGTGCAGGCGAGGAAGACGAGGAGTCAGAAGAAGAGAACATCGAAGGATCTGAGTCTTCCAGCGCAGAGTCAAGAGGATCTGACCCTGGTTCTGATGAGGAAGATATATCGGCATCCGACCCTGGAGACTCAGAGGGCTCGGAAGAGGAGGGCTTAGAGGACGAGAGCGACGACGAGAGCGAGACCAGTTTCGATGAAGATGCTAAGGTGGCGAAAAAGGAAAGAACGTCAGCTTTCAAAGCTTGGGCAACGCAGCAAAGAAACGATGCAATAGGATTCGTTCCAACTAATAATCTCTCACAGGCGGTAGCACCGAAGCCCGCAAACTTCAAGCCTCGAGCGCCTGAGCAGGATCCGCTACCACCAGAGCTGGAAACGAATACTGCCACCGATGCAACAAGAAAGGCATTCAGCGTCAACGTCGATCGTTCGCCCGAGATACAAGAGTCAAGATTACAGCTTCCAATTGTAGCCGAGGAACAAAAGATCATGGAGGCGATACACAATAATGACGTGGTAGTCGTCTGGGGAGCTACAGGTAGCGGCAAAACCACACAAGTACCGCAGTTCCTCTACGAGGCAGGATACGGTGCAGCAGACGGACCCACACCTGGTATGATTGGAGTCACCCAACCGCGACGTGTGGCTGCAGTCAGCATGTCTAAACGTGTTGGAGACGAGCTTGGCGATCAAAGCACCAAGGTGGCCTACCAGATACGCTTCGACACATCTACGAGTGCCAAAACCGCCATCAAATTTATGACAGACGGAGTGCTCTTACGAGAGATCACTCAAGACTTCGTACTAACCAAGTACTCTGCGATCGTCATCGATGAGGCCCACGAGCGCAGTGTGAACACGGACATTTTGATTGGCATGTTGAGCCGAATCGTAGACCTTCGAGCGCAAATGACCAAGGAGGATCCGAAGGTTAAGCCTCTTAAACTGATCATTATGTCTGCAACCCTACGCATATCGGATTTCACGGAGAACAAGCAGCTATTTAGGAGTGAGCCTCCGCCATTGATCAAGGCAGAAGGCCGACAATACACCGTCACAAACCACTTCGCTCGACGCACTCAGCGGGACTACGCTGAGGAAATGTACCGCAAAGTGTGCAGAGGACACCGCAAATTGCCGAAGGGTGGTATGCTTATATTTCTCACTGGCCAAAACGAGATCTCACATCTGGCGAAACAGTTGAAGCAGGCCTTCTCCTCAACACAGGGCCAAGAAGCAAAGGCTGGGAAGGTCTTGATCTCCCCAGCTGACACACCGTTGGAAACAGAAGACATCGAGCTAGGGTCTAGTGCGAACAACTTCGAAGACGAAGATGGATCGGACTCTGAAGACTCAATCATAATGGGACTCGACAACGAAGATGACAAGGAGTTCGAAATTGAAGACGAGAAACCAGAGGAAACTGTCATGAATGTGCACGTGCTACCTCTCTACTCTCAGCTACCGACAAACCAGCAATTACGCGTATTCGACCCCCCACCGGATGGCTCTCGCCTCATCGTTCTCGCGACGAACGTCGCAGAGACTAGTTTAACCATCCCCGGTATCCGATACGTCTTTGACTGTGGAAGAGCGAAGGAAAAGAAATACGATCTCGTGACTGGCGTGCAGAGCTTCGAAGTCGGCTGGATTAGCAAAGCGAGCGCCAATCAGAGGTCCGGTCGTGCGGGTCGCACTGGGCCTGGTCATTGCTATCGCCTGTACTCTTCTGCTGTCTTCGAGCGGGATTTCGAGGAGTATGCCGCTCCAGAGATCTCGCGGACCCCACTAGAGGGCGTGGTGTTGCAGTTGAAGAGTATGGGTGCTCCGGTTGTCAACTTCCCGTTTCCAACCCCACCCGACCGGGAGAGTCTACGGAGAGCTGAGAATCTGCTCTCATATCTGGGCGCGTTATCTCCAGATGGAAATGTCACGAAGCTTGGTCATGAGCTATCACTATACCCTCTTAATCCCCGGTTCGCTCGCATGGTGGCCATGGGTGTTGCGCAGAGTTTGACTGCTCAGACTATCGCCCTAGTAGCCGCACTCTCTGTACCAGAACTCATCATCCCAGAGAACAAGCTTGGGTTACGAGAGCCACCGAAGAATCCTGACCCAGAAGCTATCCGCACCGAGCAAGACAATGTCGAAGCCGAAGAGCGCTCCTACCTCCGAAAAGCCTACAACGCCGCACAAGCAAAGTTAGGCGTCAACGCAAAGCAGAGTGACTGCATTAAATTCAGCAATGCTGTCTGTGCTTACGCCTACGAGCCAGACTCGCAGCGCTTCTGCGAAGACATGTTCCTCAATGCCAAAGCCATGAACGAAGCTAGCCAGCTCCGTCAACAGCTCACCAATATCGTCCGCGCACATCGACCAACCGCTATCGGATCGTACAACGCAAAGCTACCTGCGCCGTCGGAGCGGAACCTCAACCTCCTCACGCAGATCTGCGCAGCAGGGTTCATCGACCAGATCGCAATGCGTGCAGATCTCGCACCCGTACCACCCGAGCTTTCAAGGAAACCGAAGACAGCCATCGACGTCCCATATGTCACATTATTCTCCTCGAACACAGCGCGCTCAGACGATCCAAACGAGAACTATGTCTTCCTGCACCCTTCCTCGCTCCTCGCACGTACTCCGCCCGCGAAACTTCCTGGTTACATCGTCTATAGCCACCTACAGCGTGCAACTTCGTCGACTATCAACGGTACCAGGACACCGAAAACGCGTATGCATCCCTTAACGCCTGTGACAAGACCACAGATCATCAACATCGCTTTGAATACGCCGCTCCTGCAGCCAAGTAAGCCCAAGGGCAAAATTGCAGAACTGCCACGCCAGAGCGGAGTGCCTGACAAGCGCGAGTGCGAGGTGGAATTGAGCCTCATGGGCGAGAAAGGTAGCCAAGGTTGGGGGCTGGGTGTGAGGCGAGTACTGCAACGAAAGGAAGCTAGTGGGAGGTGGGTTATTGAAAAGATTCTCGGGTAGATCTAGTGCTTGATGGCTTCGTGCCTCTTTGTAGTTTCAGGTTTGGAAATAGAGAAGGGTTGTGGGAGTCTAACGTCGAGCGTCTGTGGTGTAGAGCTCGGGCGGGAAAATATGTTGAATTGAAAGATACCCTATTCTCCGAGATCTATGTATTGCCATTTCGTTCTTCTTTTGTCCCATCTCAAATTTCAAGTGACACATAAAGCCTAGAGCACTACGTAATGTAGAATCATCAACCTTGGAATGAGCAGTAGCTTCCAAAACGCTAGGAACCCATCGGCGTCATGACCTACCACCTTGCCTCCTCTCATTGCTCACTTCGCTACACTCACTCTGGCTACCCCTACAGCATGTTCGTATTACCTATACTGACCGCAGAGTCCCAAAGGAAGGATGGAAAGAAAACAAATGCACCTAAGGCCTATACATACGTCAGGCTAAGCTCTAAGCTGCTCAATCGAAGCGAAAAAGTACACGAGACATGCTCGCTACTTTTATAAGATCATGATGAAGTTTCCATCGTCGATTACGCAAATGCAGATATATAGAATTTTGGTTGCCAGCCGTTAGCCGCCGAGATGCCGACAAGCTTTCGTTCCCCGCGTGGGAAGCGAATTTGACCCATACGGCTCGCAACGCTAGCCCCTGTACCCCATATTTCCCCATGATCACTGACTCAATTTCCATCGAATTGTGTCTCAAATTACTAATTACAGTCTACTATTGCCCGTCGGCTCTATGAAGCCGCGCGCATGCGAAGTACCGTCAACGCCTCTTCTCGCGTGCGAACAAACATCGCGGACAAAGGTATCCTGGATCTATCGACGATAACAGCTCGAATCAGATCGACATCGTGTTCGAAAGCTTACCTGCAGGCCTACCCTGTCACAAATTAATATCCAGCGTCGCCCTACTCAGACAGGGAATGTATGGGCTTGGAAGAATTCCTTCCCTCTGTCCAGATATCTAGAAAATTAGGCTGAACCACCCTACGCTCCGAGATATGGTAGCCTGAATGACTCCAAGGCAGTATAAAGTGTAACTTGGCGACTGCGCAAGTGTCTGAAGATAGTCAGCCCTCACTTCCCCACATCCAAAGTGCACAAGGTGCCAAGTCATCTCCGCCACGCTGTGGGGTCAACCCCTGCCGGAGTACTTGGCCATGTTGGTTCGGCAGATGGGTAAATGCGCTGGATTCATCCACGCCTGCTCCATGTATAAGGGACCCATGCGTCGAAACGGACCGTTCCTGCAGAGCTCAACTCTTGCCTCTAACTCAACAGTACGATGGCTGAGATCAAAGGAGAATCCTGGCGCAGCCACGGACGGCTCTTCCTCGCTTGCGGTATCGTCATTTTGAGTCCCTTCCAGTATGGTTTTGACTTTGGCATGATTGGCGGCTTACAGGCTATGCGGGGCTTCTTGCAGGTACGAGCTGTTGGACCTTTTTTTTCTGAAGTCATTGCCTACTTACACTCGACTAGGTGTTTGGTTACCGCACCAACAAGACGGTCACAGGATGGAACATAACAACAGAGAGGCAGCAGCTGATCTCCTCACTCATGACACTGGGCGCTTTCATTAGCGCTGCTACCGCTGGTATTCCTTCGACCCGCATTGGACGTCGGATGTGCCTGGTCATGGCATGTGTTACTTGCTTTGTCGCCAACATCATCATGATGACCACGGACAATATCGGAGCACTCTATGCGGGGCGACTGATTATTGGTCTCGCAAATGGATACTTCATGACGTTCTCGCAGCTTTACATACAAGAAAGCAGTACCGCAGAGCTAAGAGGTGTATTCCTGACCGCCTTCAACTTCTTCGTCTCCTTCGGAACACTCATCGGTACTATAGTCGATTGGGCTACCGCGAAACGACCAGATAAGACAGCCTACCTAATTCCACTTGGGCTCATCTATGTTTTCCCGTTCATTATCATCTGCACAATCTGGTTCATCCCTGAGAGCCCGCGCTGGTTGCTTTTACAGGGTCGGTTTGAAGATGGTGTTAAGTCACTTGAGTGGCTACGACCGAAAGGCCACGACTCTCGTGCAGAGGCTTTGGCAATTCAGACTGCCATTGATAAGGAAAAGGAATCGAGCTCTGGCGTGGGATGGCTTGACATGTTCAGCAATCCTGTTGACCGCCGACGAACAACACTCGCAGTCTGCGCAATCCTGCTCCAAGCAGCATCTGGCTCCATGTTCATCATCGGTACGATACTTACCTGTTTATCTTACTCACTTAAAGCTAACTCCACACAGCGTACAAAGCATACTTTCTCCAAATGGCCAAGGTATCGGACCCCTTTGCAATGTCTAATATCCTATCCGCGATCAGCATCTGCGCCTTCATCGCCAATAGCTTCATCGTCGTACGCTATGGCAACCGGCGCGTCCTTCTCATGACCGGCCTTCTCGTATGCGGTATCGTCCAACTCATAATCGCCGTCGTATACCATAAGCAGCCTGGGAGAAAGTCCACCGGAAAAGTTACTGTGGGACTTACAGGAATCTACATGTTTTCCTACAACGGCATGATCTCCACATACGCATGGCTTTCAGGCGGCGAGCTCCCCACCCAACGGCTCCGATCCCATACATTCGGTCTCGCGGCCTCGGCTGGCTTCGTCGGCGCGTGGCTGACTACCTTCACCGCGCCGTACTTTATCAACCCTATGGCCATGAACTGGGGTCCGCGGTACGGATTCATTTGGTTCCCGTCTTGCGTGATTAGCGCGACGTGGGTGTTCTTCTTTCTGCCTGAGGTCAAGAACAGGACGCTTGAGGAGATCGACGAGATGTTTGAGGCGAGGCTAGGGGCTAGGAAGTTTGGCACGTATAAGTGTGTGGGTATTGCGGCTACACTTGATGCTGAGGCGCGGAAGAGTATCGAGTATGAGAAGGAGGTTACTGTGATGAGGAGTGAGAAGGTGGCCGCTGAGAGCGCCGTGACTAGGGATTGAGCGGAGAAGTGTATTAAAGGCGGACACTACTTTAGTGCCGCGAATGCCTGTAGGCTGCTGCAGACGCTTTCCTACTTAATACTGTAAGCGTATTCCTAACTCTAGCCTTTGCTCTCAACCTCTCGAATTTTCCTCTTCGTTCAAAGGCTATTGGTGAACGGCGAATAAATGTGCTGCAATATGGTTGATCCCATCCACCTTAGCTTTCTTAGTTGACCGTACCCTGGCTGTCCTCGGTGTATATTTAGGGTCAGCTACAGTTATAATGAGTAAGCTATTGTACGGGCTCTGATAATAGCTCTGTCACCTTCAAGTGGTTTAGAAGATTCCCTTTCCCAGAGGTTAGGTTATTGAAGTGACGGCTAGGAGTAACGTAGCAAGGGATCGCGCGTAAGCTTTACGCTTCGAATCGAGGTGTCACTTCTGTATCAGTTCGAGCTAACAAAGCTTGCTAGAGCCCACCGACGCTTCACCATCTACACGGCCAAAAGTGAAGTCTGGGTAGTCACGAACTGAAAAAGGATTGAATCCCTCCTGGGTGCACCTAGTTGGTCCTCTGTACATGCTCATCACACTACGTATTGGTCTCCTGATGGCAACAGCTTGCTCACCACGACTGTAACTCTCGGAGTGTACCTTTCGCCACAGTCATCCAATCGCCTTCAAGTGAAAGGAAAATTCGCGAGGTTGGGAGCAAAGCCCGGAGTGAGAGCTTATGGTGAGGGCACTGACCAATGGTGAAGACAATCAGCGCACAATAGAAGACATCAGAATCCTATATTTAAGCCTCCCTCGTCAACTGAGCTTCGATACTTCTTCTTCTCACTTTCAAATATCCCACTTCAATTACTTCTCTCAAGAAACAAGATCCTCTCAACGATATTAACATGTCTTCCACTACTTCGACTTCGACTCCTCTCGTCTCCATCGGCGCTGGCGCTGGTGTGGATACCTCTCGTCTTCTCGATCGCGATCCGAGCAAGTTCCGATCTATCAAGCAGGTCATCGTTGTCGGTCGTCCTGGTACCGGCACTGATGGTAAGTACTTTCACACCGCACGCACAGTTCTGTACTGACTCACTTTTCTAGCGATCGCGGAGGCTCTCAGGATCCTGAAGTTCAAGGTCTACGATTTCAAGGCTGCGAGCGACCGTCATGCACGCGACTTCCCTCTTTGGGTCGAGGCAGCTCGTCTGCGCAGTGAGGGCAAACCATACAGTCAGCTTGACTACGACAAGGTCATCGGTGACCACAACGCGCTCGTTGGTGCGCCGACCTGCTTCTTTGACCACGACTTCGTCAAGCTCTACCCCAATGTCAAGGTCATCATGGTCACCAGCGAGCCTGACGCCGACACCGTCGAGACGCTACTTCAGAACCTCAACAAGTTTGCAGTGAAGCAAATCATGGCTCGTATCGACACCGAATTCTTCGGCAACATTTCTACCTTTCTCGAGCTTGCTTGCAAAGCCGAACTCGACCACCAGGCCATCCGTGACACCGTCCGCGAGAACAACCTCCTCGAGATTGATACCCTCGATGACTGGAAGTCTATTTGCGACTTCCTCTGCGTTCGCGTCCCGAAAGAGCCACTCCCTCCGATGCACGACGACACGACAGCGACTGAGCTTGTACTGCGCCCGCTGCAGGTCATTCACAAGCTGACGAAGATCCATGGCATGAGGGTCATCCGAGCTCTTCAAGGCCTCTGTGCTGTAGCAGGTATCTCTCTCTCTGCCAACCTGATTGTCGAAGACGCTCGAGGCGCTGCAGTCCTTGGCTTCGGTGTCTGTACCATTATCGCAGCATATTACTTCACCAACCGCACAGATCCGAAGGCACTCGTGACACCTACCTCTGCCAATTTCGTGACCCCACAGAAGGCAGTCACTACCACTATCCAGAAGCAGCAGCCTCCTCACCGCGAGAATAACCGTCGAGCCTACGGGAAGCAGGCCCGCGGCCGCCAGAACCACCAAGTTCAGGGACAGCCGCGGCGAGGGGTGCGACCTACCCCTCCTACGTTACCTGGATGGGGCAATGTCCAAGCAGAGATCAACGCAGACGACATGGTGAAGTACGAGGAGAGGATGGCGATGGAAAAGGAGCTGGAGGGTCAGCGAGTGACGTTCAACCACACTCACAAGGAGACTGACCGCGGTCAGAATGGTTCTAGCAATGTGCTAGCGATCAGGGAGGAGAAGCTGGAGTAGAGACTGGTGTCTAGTAGTAGTTGCAGGTGGATACAGGTGGCTGATAAAAGCTAGAGTACAGCAACTCATTTGACTCACTACTTCTGTCCCCATCTCGTGCCATGTAGCAACCCATCTGCTCATTACCCACGCTCACATAGCTGCCACACTCCTTGTATACGGCTGGGGCAACCATGATCTATGCCTATATTGCCTCAAAGCACGTTGAAGGCCTCCCCGCTCTTATGATAGGTGTAGTTTTGTGCAACGAAATGATACTGAAGGAGCTAGCCGTGATGGCCGTGAACCACACATCCGCGCTAGCGACACCAGCTCTCCACACCAACATGTATCCGCAATTGACATGCCACGCATTACGACATCCCTCCTCCGCAAAGCGCGTACGATAGACCCGTTTCTCCCGGCGCTGTTAGGACCCTGTCGTGACCTATACGCCGCGCAAAACGAGCTGCGATGGCTCCATGAACACGTCGAGAAAGTCGCGAAAGCGCGTCGCGCGAAGGGAGATACACTGGCTGAAGAAGCATTGCTAAGACAATTAGTCGTGGAAAGAGCGTCTGGAAAGCCACTGCAGTACATCTTGGGGACCGAATACTTTGGCGATCTAGAAATCAGGTGTAGGCCTGGTGTGCTGATCCCTAGGTATGAAGCTGCCAGCGTCCGGCAGAGCAATCGCTAATATCTGATATAGATCAGACACAGCAGCTTCAGTTACACATATTGTGGGCTTGCTTCGTAAAGCGCATAATCTCCCTCCCGAATTACGCGTCCTAGACCTCTGTACGGGCACCGGCTGCATACCCCTCCTCTTCCAGCACGAGCTGTACTCCACGCGCAACGACATTGATTTACGCGTCCTAGGAGTCGATGTCTCCCATAAAGCCCTGAGATTGGCAAGTTACAATCTTCAGAAAGTGCGCAACACTAGGCAATACGTAGACAAGGGCAGGGTGAGGTTCCTAAAGGCGGACATTCTTCTCGACCCGTTCGCAGATCAAACCAGAGGTCCTCTGCCGTTAAAAACTGCTCTGAATCTCAAGGGGCAGCCACCATTCTGGGACATTCTCGTCTCAAATCCGCCATATGTTTCTCCTTCAGCATGCTGGAAAACAACGACACGCTCGGTTCGCGGCTTCGAGCCAAAGCTTGCCTTGGTGCCTCCTCCGTCTAAGCCGAGCCAGCCCGACATGGTGCAAGGCGATGAGTTCTACCCGCGTCTGCTCAGCATTGCGCAAGATGTGGAAGCGAAGATCGTGCTTCTTGAAGTTGCAGACTTGGAACAAGCACTTCGCGTAGCGCGATGCGCGCGAGATCTAGACATCTTCGATGGCATCGAGATATGGCGAGATCAGCCAGATTCTTCGCCAGATGATATCACCGACGAGGATGGTTTCCCCGTCCTTGGTCAAGGCAATGCTCGTTCAGTCATCTGTTGGCGAGGCACGGGCGCCCTTTGGCTTGGTAAAGTAACTGCAGCTACTTCGAAAGGAGACGACGTGCAGTGATTGTTTCGCAGCTCGATCGGAAGCCACTTCATGAGAGCCCCATCGCAGCCTGGTGGTATAGGATACTTAGAGCCGCGATTATCATGATAATACTTCTCTGATATTCCTTCGCCTCCTATGCGTCCCGCGCTGTGCAGTCTACTCAACCACCCTCCAAAGACGGCGCCGGTCAACACCAGGGACCATTCACAGCAGGAGAATCAAAACATAATAGTGGAGAAGAACCAGTCAAGCAGCCATAGCGTAGTTGGCGGGCATAACAAACATTGCCTGTTGCATTGGTCAGCGACTCCCCGTTCAATAAATCGCCCCTTTGGCATGCTGCCATTCGAATAGAGTGCTCTTCGGGACTCTTAGAGTTGATGGACAAGCAGGAGCCGTTGGCAGAGTCCGTCGAGGTTGAGGTTAGTCCACAATTCAAAGTAGCTTGAAAGAGTTGGGGCATTGCTTGTATTCGCAAAAGTTCGTTCGTTATCAACTAGTGCTCGCGGCTGCGCAATCGGCTCCGGTGCGACACTTTAGGAATGATTTCCTGTTGCACGAATCGAAGTTCGACCAAACAAACGTTTGGCATAATTATATACCCAGCCTACGGGTTAGTCTTCAACCTGCTATCAAGCACCGACACTTTTACTTTAGCTGGCTTGCTACGAAACGACCTAAGGTCGTGTTGGTCGCGGCCCCCAATGTCAAACCCATTTCTTTCTTACCAATCTGGTATAGGCCTCATACGCCGAGAGTATGCTCATCTCATCTTGGCAATGAAAAGGACCCCTAGGCCCCTGCGCCATCTTGTGCTTCCCGAGAATAAGCTTCCTTCGCCAGCTTTGTGTAACTGGACAAGCTTCCAACACTCAGCTCAAGAAAAGCAGGTGTTGCATGAACTCGGGGTCGGTGTCTGGCTTGGCGTAAGATCTCGTATACCCTTTATGTACAAGATGAAACACGCATGTGCGACTACGACATATCAGTTACTGTTCGGCAGATTCTGAATAGTATGGACGTGTATCTGGAGGTTTACTGCGCAGAGGACGCTTTGATATTGCGTTCCAATTTCAACTGTCTAGACCAATGAGGGTACGCCTAGTTTCGCTGAGACATGTCATGACTCCATGAGAAACCTCTATGTCCGTGGGTACACGGCCGTGTTGAGAAACACTGCCAGTATTGTCTCGCTGCATGGTCTTGTTTGTGGCCGTCGGCACATTCGGCCCAAAGGTCTGAAGCCATGTGGCTCGACAGGTGGCATTCGGAGAAAAGCTTTACATGCAGTGAGAGTCGTGGCCCCTGAGCCTAAGTCGGCTTTACGAGCGCACTATTTCCACATTGGCAAATCGGATCCGTTGGCGGGCGGGTATGTATATAATAAGTAAGTAATCTGGGCCTTGGAGGAGGAATAGAATCTGTAGACCTCTCTCATTCACCTCTTCAGTTCATTTTGAGACCATAGGGCCGGATCCCTCACTTCCAAAGAGTCATTTGATATCGACTTTCACATCAGCAGACGTTCTTTTATTCTCGATATGGCGCAGGAAGCCAACCACCGAGAAGAAAAGCAGCCCCTCTCCCTCTTCGCTTCTCCCCTCCATCGATCGACTACGCACAATATCTCGTCTATCCGATATGAAGACAAAGATGCCTCATTCTCCGACTCCGACGTCGAGCAGCAGCACAAAGCCTCTGCGCACAAAAGATTCTTCATCCGAACCAACTCCAGTCAACCCAATTTCGAAAACATGAACTGCGAACTCCATGAGAACCCAGCGTTCCACCGACACGCCGAAGCTACCACCGCGGAACTATTCTACGATCTTTTCTTCGTCGCAAACCTGACTACCTTTACGTCGTTACAGGAGATCAATGACCGGCACTCCTTGACAGATTACATCGGCTTCTTCTCTCTGCTCTGGCTAACATGGTACCAAGTCTCACTCTACGACGTGCGATTCTCCACTGATAGCGGCTTCGAGCGCATCGCGAAAGCACTCCATTTCGGCGTCATGGTTGGCTTTGCGGTCATCGGCCCACAGTGGAAACCAGGGCAGGAACACAGCGATTACAAGATCTACAGAGCGTTTGGACTAATCTTGATGGTCTCGAGGTTCACGCTGTTTGCGCAGTACGGAGTGACTCTGTGGTATACCAAGAAGTACAAGAAGATTGTTCTTCCTATGGTACTCGTGCTGGGAATGACGCTTGCCGCGGCCATTATTTATGGCGCACTAACTTCGGCGTTCCCAGGGACAAAGTACAATGCACTTGGAAACGCGATCATGCAGCCGAGCAGCGTGTATATTGCATGGTACGTGGTTGGTATCTCGGAGACGTTTTTGACCGTGGGTGTGAGCTGCATCTGGCACGTCGTGTCCTTCAAGGGAACGCATATGGTGCAGCGCATGTCGCTCCTGACACTCATCATTCTCGGCGAAGGCATCATTGTCATCTGCAAGTCCATCTCTCGGATCGTCAAGAACGACTACCTCTGGACTGTGCCCGTCGTCGGCCAGATCATCGCCGCCGTGTTGATCATCTACTTCCTGTACATGCTGTACTTTGACCGTATCCAGGAGGAGCATTTTGGAAGTATCAAGCAGCAAATATGGTCGTTCTTGCATTATCCGCTGCACACTGTGCTCGTGCTGATCTTGCAGGGCATTTCGCTGCTCATCATCTGGCGCCAGGCCGTCGAATCTTTGAACGCACTCGAGGCAGACTGGCTACCAGCGCTGACCTGGCTTGAAACACGCGAAGTGGTAAACGGCTCGAACTTCGCATCGTTCATGAGCGCCATACCCAACACATACGCCACTGAGGGAGTGGCATATGCAACGTACATTAACCAAACGTGCTGGAACCAAGTATACAGGTACATCCCCAAGGGTGTGGATGCATCCAAGGAGATCAAGATTGTCTTGGATTCCTGGTATGTCATCCAGCAGGGTTTGGACAACTACCTAGCCGACTACAACAATCAGACTGCTTGGACACAATTTGACACTGGATTGAACGAGGTCATCTCCGCGACATTCAAGACGCTCTTTGACACCTTTAGCGTCACGGCTCCGAAGCGCACAAGCAAAGTTACCGGAAATGAGATTGCAAACTGGACGGCCACGATTACCCAGTATTATATCATTTTCGAGCTCGTCTTGACATATACATTCATTGCGGTAAGTCTTCTTGTTAGATCTGAAATTTTCGGACTGTGACTAACTCTCCACAGGGCGGCCTGGCTTTGGTTTTGACGACCCTGCTCGGCTTCATCTCACTGCCCAAGCAAGAACGTCGATTTCCTATTTACGCTCGGCTTGCCATAAACACAGCGGCGGGTATTGGCCTCTGTCTAATCTCCACTATTCGGTACAGCGATGGCAGCTTGTACAACTTCTTGGGCAGCGCCTGGATCATCCCGACTATCTGCTTGGTTCTGTTCATTTGCGTTGTACTCAACCACGTTACCCTACCAAAGTGGGTGGTGCACTGATTGGTGATGTGTAGAGCTGATGGCAACAAGGACATGTAACGAGGATGTTCTGTAGGGGCAGACTGTTTTCTCTTTCCTACGGATCCTAGTAATGGGCGTATTTCGGCGCAGTGAATTCTCTCTGTTCGTATGCACCATAGCGCATTTTCATATATCATATCTTCCTACTATTGTAACCATGTATCCTCTATACCGTATTTTCATGCATTGAATCTTCCATTGCTGCTACCGGGTATCCTCATCATTTACTTCCATCTGTATCCGCATAGCTTCTTGCTCCCAGAAATCAGCGACCTGGTCGGCACCTCTTCGTCCGCCAAATTGTATGTTGTCGTTCGCCAAATCCCCCTCGACACCATCCATGAGTCGTTGGAAGCAGTGTTTATTCTTCGGATCGTTGAAATGCGCGTAAGGGTGGTCCGGATTGAGCCAGGCCGCACACAAATAGCAGAAATGAGTCTCGCATTGCGTACATGTGATGTGATTACATCCCATACTCTTTTGACAAGGTACCGAGCAGTATGGGCAGGGTGATGTGTTTTTCTGGATGAAGTTGAGTGACGCCTGGTCCTCTTCAGTGAGTTGAGTAGCATCACGTGGTTCGCAGCGCACGAAATCGCCGTGCCACGAAGCAAGACAGATGACGCAAAAGGCGAGGTTGCAGTCCTCGCAGACGGCTAGCCGTTCCATGCCCCTGACTCCTATTGCACGCTTTTCTGGGCCATCTGGGCCGTCTGTGCCACCATGTTGCGCAGGGTCTTCTTCTTCGGGTTCCGAATCAGAACCGTCCATTTGGCTGACATCGGTGATTTTGGGGTACTTATCCGTGCGCATTGCTCCTTGACACCATGTGCGTGGGCAAAATACGATGGTCGGATCCGACTCGATCTTCTTCTTTCGCTTTATCGTCGCATAACGATCCACCTGTTCGCGCGCTATTGGAATCTGTAGTAGCTCCTTTGGAGACAGCAAGCGATCCTTCTTCTTTCTGTTGCTACTCTTCCCGCATTCGGTCGACATGCACTTGACATTATTGACATCACCCTCCTTGATGCAATTGTTGTAGTAGTCTTGCAGACAGGCGATGCAAAATACATGGCTGCATCGCTCCATGCGATAGCACGCTGAACCCTTCTTGGGTTCCAGACACACCCCGCAATCGAAAGTTTCTTTGTCAAACAGTTCTTTCTTCATCCGTCGGCTATACTCTACGAGCTCTGCCCTCATTGACGATGCTAGTGTGAGGTCCTCCAGCCCGAACGACGCGTCTGCTTGCTCCTGCATCGAACTGATGTATGAGAACAGTATTGTGCCTCCTCCATATTCCTCCCATATCGAATTTGCCTCATCTGCGAGTCTATTTAGGACATGCTCAGGCAGCCAGGATGGCGACGTCGAAACCTTGACAACTGGACAAGTTTCCGCAGGGTACTCTGCGGGCAGGATGATGTGAAGGTGTAGCAGAGGTAGGTAGGCTAACCGCTGCACATCATTATCTGGCTCGAAGGTAACGGGTAATGGCTTCGTAGGTGCCACAAGAAGATCCAGACGTGCGGTATAGGGTTGGTTCGGATCGAGCACGAGCTCCGGATAGATAGATTGCAACGTATCGAGCTCCTCGGTACGTTCGTCGCCCAAATCCATGTCGGCCATGGTTTCCCTCTCCCTTGATCTCTGGGTGTCGCGAAGTGTTTCCAGCTATGATGTATGCAAGTGGCGGCCAGCGGAAAGAGGGCGGAGATAAGTCTAGTATGGACGGGGCGTTGTAAAAAGGGCGGGGCGACTATCGATAGCGCATGAAGGAAAAAAAGCCCTTGAAGAGGGCCATAATGAGTCAATCCCTGGAGTAGTCTCCACGCTGCAAGACTGTGAAAGCTAGCCGATGCTGGTGTAGCTGTGGCCATGGTCGACGGCGATGGCTCGCATACGCTACGCCAAGCCGACAGGGTCCTGCCGAAAAGTCGCCGTCATCATGCATGCACTCCTATAATCTACGTGATACTTCTCTCATTCTTGATGCAACACAGCCATGGAGGATCCTCCGCTTGCATCACTGTCTTTGACGCATGTCCATTATGTATGTATTGTTCGAGATAATGTCAAGACTAGTGCTAATCCAAGAAGAATCCCGCCGACCGCATCTCGTACCTATGCGCGTGGCTGGCTCTCGTCCCGCAAGGACTATGCGTCGTCTACGCAACCCTCATATGGTCGAACCGCGAGATTGAGATTTTCTTGATGTTTGCCGGTCAGATGGCATGTGAGGCGCTCAATTGGGTGCTGAAGCGCTACATCAAGGAAGACCGACCGCGGGGTACGTTAATTCAGAAGTTAGTCAACATCATTCGGATACTGATTCTAGGTAGAAATGCACGGCAAGGGCTACGGGATGCCATCCTCGCATGCTCAATTTGTCTCCTTCTTCTCGGTAACTTTGACGCTGTTCCTCCTCTTTCGACACGTCCCGCACCCGACTGAGACCCACACGCCCTTCACATTTGGCGGACGTTTCCTCCTCTCGCTCATCGCAATAGCTTGTGCCGGAGCTGTAGCCTCAAGTCGCATATATTTGAGTTACCATACGAATAAACAAGTCCTCGTTGGATGTGCAGCTGGTGCCATCTTCGCCTTTGTGTGGTTTGGTTTCACGACATATCTGAGAAGAGCTGGATGGATTGAATGGGCGCTTGAGACTTGGATACTTCGCATACTCCGTGTGAGAGATTTAGTCGTACAGGAGGACCTGGTCGATTCGGGCTGGGCACGGTGGGAAGACAGAAGGAAGCGCCAGGCTTCGTTCCGAGTCCAGGGCAAGAAGAGCAAGTGAGCGTTGAAACGCTTACGTACATGTTACATATAGGGTGCATGCATGAAGCTGTAACGCGTTGCAGAACGCGATCATCTGTCAAAGCCATGTCGACTGCTACGTTGCCAAGTGTCGCGATGGAAATTTCGGGAACTTGGCGTTTCTACGTTGTCAACGAGTTCCGCGGACTATTTCCCGTCTTCGTTTTCGTTCTTAGCCAATCTTACGGTTGGCGATTGCTACTGACAGGTATGTGAGCGTTGAATGGCTGCTTAAATTGACGTCAGTGGCTTCAAACTTGGTCAACGTCTGGACGCGAATCACACACGACAAGCGTTTTCGAAACAGCCCCCAAAGTGTGGACCATGGTGCACATTGTGCATGAACCGAAATCCAGGCTTCAGATCTTCAGTTTTCCTTAGCATCTAGTTTTTGTGGAAACATGGCTTGATTCCACTGAGACCTAGTGGGCCACTAATACTGGACCCCTGATGCACTTCCTCGTCGTCATCAATCAGTCGAAATTCCGTATCCTAAAAGAGGCGTCCGCCGCGGAGTTTGATTATGTTGGGCGACGGATTCAACGGTCGTTAGTCGCCTATAGATCATTCGATTATCACTTGTCAACTGCAGTCTACTTTTCCCCCTTCAATCTGTTCTCCGTCACCGTTCAGTCTGCCCCTAAATTCACGGTACATCATATTCCTTCCTCATCTCTAACGACTCGAAAACACCAAGATGCCACGCGTTCCAGCCTATCGCGAGCCCAAACCTCGACGACGCTCACGCTCCCGAGGCCACCATAGCCCAAGCCGTCGCGATCCCAACATGCAATACCCATCTCCCCACCGCCCATCTCGAAATGCACCTCCCAAAAACCGCATCAGCACGCTCCAAGGCCACCTCATTGCCGCGACCGGCGAGTTCGTCGGAACATTCATGTTCCTGTACTTTGCTTTTGCGTGTCAAATTATGCTCACAAATCAAGCGAGCGAAAAGTCGTTAGTAAATGGTGGACCAAGTAGCCAGCAGAATGTGTTCACGGCGCTGGTGTATGGACTTAGCTTATTAGTCAATGCATGGGCTTTCTATCGGATTAGTGGGGGGTTGTTCAACCCTGCGGTATGTATTTATGATCCATTCAAGCAATGTGTGTGTGATTTAGGAACGGAGGTAGTGGGTGGAGGTTATATGAGTCGTAGATGCTAACGCGCTTCACAGGTGACTCTCGGCATGGTCCTTGCCGGCAGCCTTCCCCCAGTCCGCGGTCTATTCCTCTTCCCTGCGCAACTCACCGCCGGAATGTGCGCAGGCATAGTCGTGCAAGCCATGTTTCCAGGCGACATCAGCTCTGTCAATACCTCGCTCTCGCCCGGCACGAGTATCGCCCAAGGCGTGTTCATCGAGATGTTCATGACCGCCGAACTCGTCTTCGTCGTGCTTATGCTAGCAGCCGAGAAGAGCAAGGATACATTCATTGCTCCAATAGGGATCGGGTTGGCGTTGTTTGTTGCTATGTTGGGCGGTATGTCACTCCCAGTCGCCGCTTCCACTCGAATGATGTCTCTAACCTAGCGTAGGTGTATATTATACCGGCGGATCCCTTAACCCAGCCCGCAGCTTCGGTCCCGCAGTCGCTTCTACGCAGTTCGTCGGCTACCACTGGATTTACTGGGTTGGCCCGTTCCTGGGTGCAGCGATTGCGGCAGGATACTATCGATTTGTGAAGCATTTCAACTATGAACAGGCAAATCCGGGACAGGATGATTCTGGTGAGGAGTGAAAAGTTGAGGCTGAAAGGATTGATATGCACTCGCGCAGAATTTGATAGGTTTGAATCAGATAACTGAGAAGACGCAACAGGAGGGACGAATACACATTTTGAGTACAAGGAGGAAGGTTTGGCCTTAAGGGAGCACATACGCTTTACGCTGGCGGTCCGTCTTTTTAGAAGAACAAGTGTTTGTTTCGTGGAACCCAAGGAGCGCAACAAATATAAGAGGTATACGCGTGTGGTTGCAGATAACGCGAGGCCAAAAGGCGCCGGATGATGGCACCAGTCTCCTAAAGAGTTGGAAATAGCGACCTATTTCTCAGCAAGGGGGGAGGGGGGGAACCGGTCACAATACTTTGAACGCATCGCATGGATAGCGCACAAAAGGTACAAGTGCACTCAGACGTAAGAGTCAAATCCATAATAGCAGTATTTATTTTGTGGCTATCGTTTAACAGTTTCTTCTTAACTCGATAAATAATATTATGTTACAATGCGCATTTAAACTCGCCGTCCTCCGTCCGCCGACAAAACGTCTAATAGAAAGGGGTAGTGTGTAGAGACACAAGAGATGAAACTTGTTACGGCTAAACACAGGTGGTTGATACCTAGGATATCCTCTCGTCAAGCAGATCAAACAAGAAAATTATATTGGAAAAAGCTATCTGATGTGACCGAGCATCCATAATGAGATATGTCCAACAATTACAACCACGGTAGAGCTATACTTCTTACTAAGGAAAGGGGAACAAAAAAACGTAGGTCATCATTCGAGCAGTGAGGTTTACTACTTCACCTCCTGGCCAATTGCCTCCCCAATCTGAGCCGAGGGTCCGAAAGGGTGTTGAAGGCGCTTGAAGCCTATCTTAACGCGACCGACTCGAGCCATCTTATCCTCGAACTTTGTCTCCAGGCGGAGTACCGTCTCACGGTACATAGTCGCGGTTGTCCAATCGTAGGAGCAGCCGATGATACGCTTCATGCCACCTTCAGAGCCGGCCATGAGGAAGCAGACCGGCGGACGTTCGGCAAGGAATAGCGTGGCAGTCATGTTGCCTGAAAAGTATTAGCGATTTTATATCTTCCATCAAAGTGTTTACTAACCAGTATCAACAAGCGTGAAGATGCGCTGGTCGCCAGGTCCAGCGGTTTTGGCCTTCTGAACTAGAGCAGCAACGGCGGGGTCCGATGTTGGGTCATCGCCAATACACTCTCCATGTTCATTGCGGTGGTGTCTGGATAGGGGACTGGCAGAAGCCGTCCACTTCATGCGTCCCAACTTGCCACCAAAGATCTGGCGTTCGATGGTGTCAATGTCCATATACCTAAGGTAAGAGGAGGTGGTCAGTACATCTCACAAGTACTTTGTAGAGCAACAACTACGTACCCCTCAAATCCAAAGAACCAGCATTGCTGATCCCAGAATTTGCCCAAATATAGTAGGCGAAGCAACCATGGCGACAAACCCATAAGAATCAGGGAGTAGATGAGTAGTATGACTCCAATGACGAATGTGAATGGGATAATGAGGAGGATAATGGCAAGTAGAAGCACAAAACCCCCGAGACGCAACATGGTCTCTGAGATTGCACGTTTCCATGATTGGCGCCGAGTATAAGCGACGGGTGTGAAAGACTTCCAGCGGACGTTGGCCGCGCGGCATCCATCAAGAATGATGCTATCGTCCTCGCCAACACCAGCGATACCGACGTCCTGGGGCAAGATATCCCAGAGTTTAGCGTGGTACGCGTCATCCATCGAGTGCCAAGGCTGATTGGGGTCCTTTGGCAAGACGCAAATCAATCGCTCGAGGAGTTGGTCGCTGCCATTGGCTAGTGAAAGGCTACGATGATAAGCATTGTGGCTACGCCAGCATCGATAGACCTGGCACTTACCGTGCAAATGCTTGGAATGCTGTATCAGTTGGATCAATCTTTGGTCGGATGCGAAGAAGTCCCATGAGCGCGTAGCTGTGGTCTCCTGGTAGATACTGGGTAGTCTCCCTCTTGTGTAGGCATTCCAGAGCCAGCGTAACAAGCTCCAACTGGCTCAAGATCATGTTACCTTCATAGTGGTCGATGAGCTACAGCAGTCAGGAGGCAATATATGTAAGGGCGAAAGGATACCGTACCTGGCGGGCAACCCGAGCATCGTCCTTCCAAACCTTAGCTGCGAATTGATTCTTAGCTACAAGAAGGGGAGTCGTGAGATCACTACCGCGCATGTAGATCTTGATGTCCTTGCCGGCGGGAGCCAAAAGGACTTCTGGGAAGGTCCAGATGCGACGACCCCATTGCTGAAGCATCAAATCAGCAGTACTAATACCGCGAACGTCGTTTGGCGGGCGTCCGACAGCGATGGCGAGAGATTGCGCTCCTCGAATAACATCGCAGATGCGGTAGACCTAGGCGATCAGTGGTCTGAAGTGTTTTTCACGAAGCCAAAGTGAAACTTACGTCTTCCTGGAGCTGGTCTGTATCAGGCATGCAGGAACAGCCAACCCAGTAAGCCATCACTCCCGCATTACGAGCCGCTGCGTCAGAAATCTGATGCAAAACCCTCAAATCCTCTGTACTCTGGAACTGCTCTGCTGTGTACGCAATAAAAACGTATGACAAGTTGCGCTCAGACTTGTACTGGGTGATCCTGCGCCTGTCAGTGAGTACTTACGATCATTTCTCATAGAGACATACCACTCTTCTACGTTCATTATCATGGCGGGTTCGCCCTGTTCTCGCAAGAAGCACAAATATCGTGGTCGCAACACGCGTTCAGCGACCGGATTCGTTTGACTTGGATCGTGACCTCGGGACCTGTCCATCTCTAGCACGTTCCTAGCTACCTTAGGGTAGCCGAAGTACTGATATGGTACTTGGTCGTAGTTTCCACCATTCCTGGATGCAGTCTCCGCGGGGCTCGGGCTCGAGATCTGAACAATACTGAGTACGAAAGCATATGAGTTCATTTGGGAAGTGACATACCACAAAGCTGATAACGCACGAAGTAACGAACCACTTGAGACAAAGCATTGGATAGTCTGGTACGTGTTAGATCTTGATTCTACCAGTCTTTGGTGCAACCTACCCTCGCTAGTAGGCTTACCGCCATTCTTCGAATAATCGATGTGGTTGAACGGCCAGTTTGCTAGCCTGAGATACAGAGGCGCAATGTTCCGGATGAATGTACGCCTATATGTAGATCCCGTATTGTTGTCGTAAATGTCATCGACGGCCTGAACGACAAGCTTGGAGACCTTGCCATCCCATGAGGATATGTAGCGGTCATCATAGTCTCCTACCCACTCCCGGTCGAAGACATCTCGGTGACGATGCTGTGCTTTGAAGGTAGAACATCAGTTTGATTCTTACTTTAAGCTCGTAAATGAACACCTACCGAGTTTGTGGTAGCCGAGACTAGGCTTTCGGTAGAAATTAGGAAATTCCCACTTGACTGTCGTCCAGGGATCCAGTATATGTCTATAGCCTTTCAGAATCATGGGCCCGCTGCGCTAAGTGAGGTCAGATATATTGTTCAGCAACTCGATTAGATTTTCAATACAAACCTCAATGTACGACTGGCCTTGGGTGCTGGCCGCGACTGGAACTTGACCATGGTACATGTCAGAACCGTGAGGTCCGACCTCATAGACCGACGACTGAGGTTCCTTCGTATTCATACTGAGACCCGATGGATGGATTGCTTTATCGAAAACAGGCACACAGCTGTGATAAGAGACTCGGTCGTAAGTCGTGGTGCTGCGGCGACTGTTGGTAAGGTTGTGGATAATAAGTCGTAGATGTCTTGTAAGCTGGTCAGAAGTGTAACTCACGATGGGCACTCGATAAATACCTGAGAAGAGAATGTTTCTCGCAGTGGAAACGCTGGCGCTGGAACTGGCACGGGTTGAACTACCACGAATGGTTCCTTGAAGGGAGAGTTTGGATCGAAGCTTCCCCCACCGCAATGTATCGGTCTACTCTTGTGTTTGTTAGCTGCTAAGAAAATGGTGAAGAGGGGTTCAAGAGTCGGACGAACTGGATAAGTTTGATTATACGACGGCACTTGGACAAATGTGGCGTTGTTAAGAGAATTGGGATCGTAGCCACCACCGTGTCTACCAGAGAAGTTTGGAGCGTAGGCCTAAATAGAGTTATATGTTAACATAATAGCGATAGGAAGGGGCCAGGATTTGTACCATTCAAATGCAACACGTCAACCACTCAAGCGATAAGAACTTTGGGCGCTTAAGTTCGTACATCAAAGACAAACGGGGGAGAATAAACCTAATCTTATTATGTTCAAGATTCAACTACAGCGGGCTGGGCAAGAGGGGAGAATGGGTGCTGTGCATATTGGCCCCCATCCATGGTGGCCTATGTTGATATAGAGTCGGGCGCTTGTATTACCATCTTAGGGTTCAGCTTAACAGATAGTTCACTCGTCGGCGACACTGGTGGTCTCGTTCGCTCGATTATCCCAGCAAGAACCTGTTGGCGTTCAACCCGGTTACCACTAGCGTAAATAAAAGTCCGGTGAATCCAAACAAGTGTGAAAAAGGCGCATGTGTTGCTTCACAATAAAGCCCTGCGGTATGTGCTTTAGCATCCGGATGTCTGATAGTACTAATTTGAGGTATGTTGAAGGCGTATACCATCAAGAAAGTGGACCACATCGTCGCCCCCCCTGGGCTGTTTCGTATCGCTTGCACGAGGGAAGTTCCGTAACAACGGGGGGCCTGATCGGTCAATGTCTTTGCTGCAGGCGGATCACATTTGTTACACAAAGGGGCTGGTAAAGACTTTCAGCTTTAGCTAATCGCTGCTCGAGTATCAAAAGGACTTTACGGGTTGATTAACACTGTGAAGCGACTTGTAGCTTTCAATGTGCCGAGAAGCTCCAAGAACGCGATGAAATCAAATGCTTGAGCTCTAAGAGCCGCACCCGGCTGTAAGTTTTCATCGTTCTCTTAGCCCAATGGATCTAAAAAAAGAATCCAGCGGGTGGGTAGATAACAGGTACAGTGCATGATAATCGCCAAGATAGCTACGAGGATACTGGCCTAAAAGGTATCTTATTGGTCACCCCTGACTTCCGCATTGACGACCACAATTAGTGACGGGCGTGCAGTCGCTAAGTTGCTCGCCGATTAATATCTTGGCTTTCTCAGCCTTACGCCACAACTCCATCCCGCTATCGTGTGTAGCGCCAACCGGTCGCACATGGTAGGTCGGAATTGATTGCCTCCTACTTCAGCTTGTGTGATGGTCGTCCGTTTTCGGCCGGAGCTGAAGGATGCTGCTTCTAGGGCGGCTTGGTCGTGTAGGTATGGTGTGCCATGAGACGACTCCAAATATTTGTGATACCGTACCACCTCCTGCAGGGGTTCAATTAGCCAGCTGGTAGCGTATGTCGGGCAATAGCTCACCATGTTCACGACAAACACAAATCTGACGTCTGCTACTAGTCAAAAGTGACTTTTGCTTGCTAACTTTACTCTGCTTTGTTGTTCCGAGGGGTGCAAATGCCTCTCAAAATCCAAAATAATCGTAAATCACTCTACTAATGCATAATGACATCGTTTCGAAGCCTGACGGCAGATCTACGGCCTCTACAAGAATTCGAAGCAAGAATTCCCAGAGTCTTTACAAAAGAGCGTGACGGGGGTAATTCAAACATTCCCCTGCACGTCTTTAAATGGTCAGAGGGGACGCCAAATGGCACTGAGATTAGCGGCCTCAAATCAGTCGAAGAGTTGGAAACGCAATGCCAGGGGACGATTCGAGTAATGTGAGTCTGATTTGATTCGGTTTGACTCAAGTTCTAATAATACTAGTTTCGCTCCCCAGGACGTGCCGGCACCAGCTACTGGAGATGGTCTCGTTGAATTGTTCAAGAAGTGCAATATACCCAGCGCATTTGTTGAAGAAGGACTGCAGGGAGTTTCTCAATCATTTGCAGCTCATAGAGATGTAGATGGGACAGTTTTTGTTTGGTTTCACTTCCTCTGCAAGGATATCGCAGTCTCAAACAACCGAATTGTACATCTCAAAACCCGCGAGGATATGGAAAACAACGATGACAAGAGCCGCTTAGAAGCGCAAGAACAAAGTCAAGCGAACTTCACTTGGCTGAAGCCAGGCTTCGTGCTGAAGATGAGGGACCAGCGGGGTTCGTCACCAATGCCAAATCGCACAATGACTTCGAGCAGTGACAGTACATTGGCTGCGCCTTCGACAAAAGCACTGGTCGAACTGTTGTGTTTTGGAGCTCCAATTACACTTCGAGATCGATTCCAGGAGTTGAAGACGGTTGCGACTTGCGACGACCTGTTGCAGGATCCGTACGTATTACTGGAAATTGTTTTCGGGGAGATGTATAAAGTCATAGATCGGACTGGATGGGCAGTATCTGACATCTTTGGAGCGATTGAAACAGTGTGTCCTCCTGTCCACGTCTTTTGACGGAGACAAACCTGACCAAACTCTAGCAAACCCTAGGGATGGCAAGTAAGCCTGGCAAAGCAACAAAGGAATTGCTCAACGACCACTTTACCGGGCTACATAACCTCGCAAAACACACCATATTTTTGCGAGAAAATTGCGAGTCAGCTCTCGCCACCCTTGATGGCCTAAAAGAACACCACAAAGGGGTCGTAGGTGACCTCTCAAGCCCCTCTCAAGAGCTGACGCGTCAAGCACTGAAGTACCGAAAGACTCTCTATCAGTCAACGCAGCGCCGACTCACTAGTCTGGATGCGCGCATGGCGAACATCATCCAACTATCCTTCCATATCGTCACTCAAGGCGATAGTCGGCTCATGCAAAGCGAAAATCAGAGCATGAAGACGATTGCGGTCATGACACTTCTTTTCATGCCGTGAGTAAAACAACGTCCCAACTGCGTGTGTATAGATACGTATGCTGACCTCGAGCCCACTATTCTTAGGCTTTCCACGGTAGCCACCATTTTTGGAACACAGTTCATGAAGGTGCAGGACGAAGCTCCATTCCATATCACCGTGTCGCAAGACTTTTGGCTTCTCTGGCTCATCGCAGTTCCGTTGACCGGCATCGTTATGATTGTCTGGCGTGTTTGGTACATGGACGCGAGAGGACGGTTGGTCGATGATATACCCCAGGGTAAGCCCGGCTTCATGGGGTGGAAGACGTTGAAACAAACACTGCGAAGACAGAACGAGACACAGAACGGGCATCATAAAGTCACGGCGCGCAAGGCGCCCGATGTATAGATCTCAACATGTGTGAGGATAGAGTAGACTTCGAGATGGCGAAATGAAGAGTGGGCACGCCAGGTACGCTAGGGTCTTTGGGATCGTCTTCAAGCACGAGCCATTTACCTTGCTTGCTCTTTCTCCAACCATGGAACACAACACAGGCAGCGATGGTTGAATGCTGAAAGTATCCAACCTTCTTTCCTGCAGAAATATCATGTCTTTCAATATAGGAGGAACCAGAGTTGGCTTGCCTCGATTCAGATTACTTTGTATTGAATGCTCTCCATAATTCCTTTCACCCTACGTCTTCAGGTATTTCTCACATTACTCAGCTTTCACTCTCTTCCAAAACTTACAGCGGTGTCCCCTGCCACCCCAGGCTCGCACAATTCTTCATACACCCCAATACTTATATAAATCCTCTTGTACTAGCACACATATAGCTTTTCATTATCACCGGCTCCAAGTTCAACCAACATGCCTAGCGCAACCGGCAATCAGCGGCAAACTGTCATTGAGCTACAGGCTCTTGACCCCCCCGCGTATGATCAAGCTAGCTCTAAGTCATTCCCACTACTAATATCGCAAGGAAGGGGACGGCCGATCCGCGTCGGTCACAGCATGTCCCGTCATCGCACAAACCGCTCGGGAGTTATTCGGGCTGATGCAACATACGATACCATCACTCAAGATCGTCAGCGGCCAGTCGTCGAGGAAGAAAACGCCGTCGGCCTGCGCGCACATCGACGTCTTCTTGGTCCCGCTCACGCTACGAATACTGGGCATGGTGCCTTGACCGATCGGCAGCTGGTCGAACTGCGACAGGCGCGAGCTTTGGTCGGTCTCAATACTAGAGATCTCGATGAGGAGATTACCAGGCGAGTGTTGAGTGATCCGCGAGCATGGGGTCGCGTGGGCACGGAGATGGCAGCGCGAGGTTGGGTGGACGACACGGAGATCGCGCAACGTAGCTTTCGCCCGGAACAGAATGGTCGTCTTCCACAGTACCTTTGGTATAATCCCAGGCGTGTTTTCATAGCGCGATCTTAGGGCGGCCTCGCGACCCCTACCCGTTGACCTATAAGATCGAGGATACACATGCCCTTGAGTAACAAACCTCTCGAAGTATTGTTACATCTTCGTCGTTGTATCTCGAACTGAGCAGTTAGGGGGCAAGTCACATGGGCTGATTTCATGGATTTCTAGACAGTCATTTCAAACCCGTTTGAGATAGCTGGTGCTCTTGAATAGAAGTTCACCTCAGCGAGTGACAGTTTGTATGGCAAATAAAATATGCCACAATACAATCATCATTTTGGCAAGAACGATATTATTTGGAGTAGGTACATCATCCATCAGACCTTCTCTCTCTCTCAAGATCCTGTTGACCTTCCTGGTAGGTGCCATTCGCTGCTGCGTTCAGTAGCATTATGAGGCAAGCATGACACCTTCTTCGAGCTGCATCTGCAGTTTTGCATCAGCATCTACTAAACCGTTCTTCACACCCGCGAACACCAGCTGCACTATCTCATAACAACTCGTTTAACTCGCTTATTATCACTACTCTAGAAGCTAGTTTTCTATTACTGCTTACTGATAGCCGACAAACTTGTCATCACACCAATCGATCAATCACCATGCCTTCACTTCCACTAGACCAGAACAGCAATCTCAACACCCCAGGAAGCAATGACACTCCAGCACCCGACAACGGGGGAGAAAGTCAGAGTAGCATAGGAAACCAGAGCTCTCCTTATACCGATGTCATGAATATCGCAAGCGCCCCCGTACAGGCGTCTGCACATCCCGGGTCTCGCGGACAAGAGATAGTCTCGGTCCTGGCGAACTCCGAACTCACGGTTGATCAGCAATTGGAACACTTAGGAACCATACGTCACCATCCAAATATGCTCACTGAGGATCGCCTAGCTATACTTTTTCGGATAACTCATCTACTTGACTTAGCACTCATAGCCTCAGGACAACGTTTAGCACAGCAAAGGGATTCTGCACAAGCGGCTACAACACCGGCAGCTACTACACCAGCAACCACTACGCCAGCAACCACTACACCAACAACTACTGCACCAACAACTACTGCACCAGCAAATACTGCACCAGCAACCACTACACCAGCAAATAATGCATCGGAAAATGCTGCACGCGCAACTACGACACCAACTACCCCACCGCAAAACACTTCACCAGTAGGTACTTCACCACCAAGTACTCCTACATCGGGACATAATGCGGCCCCTCTCTTCAACAGAGACCAAATACTCCAGCGTTTACAACTTCTTTGTGACCCAACAGCGTGTTCGACCTGCGACCAAGCCCGTCAATTTTACATGGCATGTCTTGCCGATATGCCCACACCACCTGTTCTCTACGATGTCACGTACGATAAGCTTGTTAGACATCTTCCGATATTCAATTCCGAAAGGTCCTTAAACTCCTCCCGTAGCAGTAACTCAAATAGGCGAAACCCCTCACCCGGACCCCACCCTTCACAATTTCAATACGAAGAATTCGATGGTAGGAGAGGATATACATTCCCTCTCTTGGGCGACAGGGCCCTCGTCGGGACAAGACAAGCACGAGCGCTGGCTGGTCTTGACACATATGACTTGGACATTGCGATAACGCAGCGCATATTGAACTTTCCAGAAAGATGGGGCTCTCTAGGCATTTTCATGCAAGATGCTACTGCTGGCTCAACGACAGACTGGACGGAGGAGTACTTGGAGCGGTGAGGGGATGAAAAGATGAGACAAATCAGGTGGCAAGAATCTGATTCTGAGCGTATGCTTTCACAGCAATCTTTGCATCGTCGAGAACTTGCCTGAGCTCTGTTGCTGCTGGATGTTGCGGTCGTAGATTTGGATGTATAGGATTGGGAATGAAATCCGTATGATCGCCGAGAAACCCAAGCCATCCAGACACATTCATTTGCGCTCGGAACCATCTCTTATTACTAACTTCTTCTGTGCAAGATTATTGTGCCTGTGGAGAAAGACTTTTCAATCTGCTTTGATAGAGCCATCATCAAGCGCTACCATAAACTCCGCGATTGTTCAGCGTCCGTTCCGCACACCGGTTGTAAAAAGACGTAACCAGCGCCTTGGGAGTAATCTCTTCCAAAAACAGACACGAGACTTCTTACAAAAGGCCATGATCCACGTCCAAAGACCCCAGGGGATCAATATCCCTCTGCGCAATATCCACAGCACTACTAACCTCAATGAAATCTTCCAATTCCTCACTCGTGGTCTTTAGCTTCTCCTTAACAGCAGTCACACCCTCCGTCCCTACAATATGCCGCGCAGGCGGATTGTCATGTCCCCCAATAGCCGTAAGCGCATGCACCGTTTCCGCAATCAAACTACTCTTAACTGCCATCGGCAGCGGCGCATACAGCGACGTCACACTATCAGAACTCAGCAGGTCGCCCATGGTCGGCTCGTGCATGATCGCATCGGGGCTGGTCGTCGATGTGCTGTCAGCTGGTGATCTCTGGTCGTCGAATGCGGGGTGGCGATTGAGACTAGGATTATCGATGCGCTCTAACTTGTCGAGTAGGCCGGAGAAGATTTCTCGCGCAAGCGGGGCGGGGTTCTCTTCTTGCAGGTACTCGGCCATGGGGGGAACGGAGGTGATGCGATTAGTGAGCACGTTAACTTCCATGTTGGCTTGGACAATTGACATTTTTACGTTAAAGGGAGCGATCTCGTACGCGAGACTCTACGTATGGTGAGCAGGGATATGTAAAATTCACGGTAGGTGGGCTTACATCGCAGTACCCTTCAATTGCCCACTGCGAAGAGCAATACATGCCTAGTCCTGGTGTTCCAAGATGGCCGGCTAATAGATGTTAGTAAGATACAAGGCAGGATTGCACACAGCCTACTAATCCCAGTTATGACAATAATGTGACCATTCTTTCGTTCTCTCATGGCAGGGAGAATAGCCTTTACTATGTTCACATTGGCAAAAAAGTTGATCTCGAATATCTCATCCACAAGGCTTATCGTGCGGCTGCTCTGGGCCAGTTCTTCAACAGCGCCAATGACAGCTGTGATGGAAAAAAGATCAGCTACAGTTTATAATAATAAGATGAATAGGGTTACCTTCGCTAGCTGTGCATAGCAGGACATCGATGCGCCCAAAAGCCTCGACCGCCTCAGCTACTGCTGCTTGACATTGGCCGACAACGCTGATTGTGACGCCATGTCAGCCTCTTGGACCTCAGAGTTCAAGTACGTAAAGCCTTACCGAGCATCGAGTCCAACAACCCTCAGCCGCTCTCGCCATCGCTCCGTCTTCTTCACATCTTCCAGAAACGTGCGAAAGTCTTCGCTTTGTCCTTCTCTTTTCTCGAATTCAGTGGGCATGACACCTGCTACTACATAGTCACCATGTTCGAGTACTTGCCTCGCTAATGCGATTGCAATGGGTGACACTCCTCGTGTGATGAACCACACGCGTGGAGCATTGTGTGGTGGGAAGTGCGGGGACCGCGGCCGTGGCGGCTTCGATGACGATGGTGCGCTACTGCTCATGACAATGACAGGAAAAGAATCATCTTCGTTGTGGTGCGTGAGCCGTAAAGCTCTGCTATATACAATCCAGACGCTCTAGGAAATGGCTGCGGGGACGGCAATGCAACTGCCTAAGTCCGGAAAGCCGCTAGCCTATTATGCTCACTAGCGCGCCGAAATTGACTTCGACTTTCACTACACAACTGTCACCACCACGAGGCCGAGCCAAGACTTCCACAATTTTGCGTCCCGCATTCAACGATTTTACTGATGATCTAGACTAGACGTTTGGTTTCTTGGACTTGCTATTCATTTTGTACTTGGTAGCTGCTAATCTCAAATTGCTGGTTCAGCTTCGCACCGCAGGCGTCCTTCACCTCCCTTCACCAAAGGTATGCTTACTACATCACCATTTTTCTAGTACTGCCTGCCACCTCCCAGCCACCGCGTTGCTTCCCAGCCCCCTTTTTGCCCACCCTCACATACTTTCAACGCAAAATCTTTCTTTTTCTTCCCACACATACTCGACCCCCATCTATTCTACACACTCGCGATTTCTCAATTGAAACAAGTCACACAACATCCTCTTACTCTTGACTCATCATGTTTGACGAACGCGTGCTCGATTTCACTGACGTCAACTGGAACGCAGCCTTCAAGACTCCAGAACTCCTACGACATCTCATACCCGAGGAGGGTAACATTCCCGACTGGATAATCAGCCTGCGCGAGCAGCGACTTGGTTTCCCCTCCAAAGAGTGCATCAATATCAAGAAGAACTCAAAGATCAGTGCCACCGCATCTGCCGAGTCCGTCGAGGTGAGTCAATGCCCCGAAGGTCGTCAGCTTCTATGCTAACCTCTTGAAAGACCTCGGCAATCGAGAGCGAGAAGGGCTCCACCACCCTATTGAAACCAACGGACTGCAAAACCTGGATCAAGAAGAACAACTTCCACGTTCGGGGTATCCGCAAGCGAAAACCTGAAGCTCGGCTACCCACCTTCGGCATGGCTCGACCAGCAAGCCTCGCGCAGTACCAGCGCCATTCCATTCACCTCATGTCAAGGGTCCTCAACATTCGCACCAATGCCTCACCGTTTACACTCATCCTCGACGATCTCAACCAACGCGCCATACCGCTCATCGGCGAGCTCGTCCGCCGCGCCCTGTCGCGCAACGTCAATGTCGTGGTGGTTTCTTTCGAAGCCACGCGTTTTCACCCAGCTGTTCGCAACGTTTCGGCCTATGGGGATCAGAGTGGCGATCAGATCCTGCAAGATATCCGCAAAGCCATGGATGACGCGAAAGAGAGCCTTGTCATTGTCGACTCGCTCTATGAGCTAAGCAACACGAATAATGTCGATGTGGGCGCCCTCCTCAATCTCGTGGCAATGGAGTTCGCATCCACCCTCGTCGGCATCTACCACCAAGACATGGTCCCTTCACAAGACGCGCAGAACGAGTACGCACCACAGCCACTCGAGCTCTTCAAGTACACAGCTACGACGGTTATCACATGCAAATCTTTCGCGCACGTGCTCGCTACGAAAGCTGCTAAACAGCGCAGTCTGGCCGAGCCAACTCATGGCCTTCTGCAGGGAGCTGAAGGTATTGTGCAGTGTCTCGACGCCAACGACCACCGCGGCATCGTCCTGGAGGCCGAGTTTCGACGCAAGTCTGGCCGACCAGAAAGCGAGACATACTTCCTCCGCACCGCTCGCCAGTCTGACTACCACATGCCTATTTCGGGGTTGCCCTTCGGTACCCTTAAGCAAGAGTTCGTAACGCTTCTCGACCAAGTGCCCGCCTACGGCAATCAAGAAGTCATCGGTTTGATCAACGCGGAAGCCAACGACATCGAATCGACTTTCAATCTTGGTCTCACCGACAAACAGAAGCAGGCTCGCGAGGGTGTTGTGCTTCCCTACTTTGATGCGCAGAAGGGGGAGGGCGGTGAGGGTGGTCGCATCCTATACGATATGGGCGCCGAGGACGACTTTGATGAAGAGGAGGACGAAATTTGATGGGAGAAAGACGGGTACTGGTGACGATGAGAATTAAGTCTCAGCATGGATGGCAGTGGCAGTGGAACGTACTAGATGGACGCACGATCGGATGATACCCTGCATGGGCTGGCGTTAAGGACATCATGGACAGTGATGATAGATTAGGTGCTTGCTGAATGCTCGTTACCTCTCAAATGTCTTTGCATGAGATAGGATTCATTAAAATACTCTGAAATCACGCTGCAGCAACTATTGAAAGTGAGTGAATAATCATTGAACATGGTGTCGTGTGCACCACACATGCATGTTGCACTGCACAACCGTCTCTCATCCTGCAATCGATACTTAGGAGGACTCTTTCCTGATTGGGAAGGTTGAGCACTCGGCCTTGGCATCGAAATCACCAACTGAATCACTCCTGCGCCCAACTCACTCATACTCAACACAACACAACAAACACCATGTCGGACAGCGAGCGACCGCGCCGTGAGCGAGACAGTCGTCGTGGGCCACGAGACTCTCGCGACGGCGATGCACCCAACGAGCGGCGCAACCGATCGCGCAGTCCACGACGAGAGCGCGGCGGCCGGCGCGACAACCGCTACCGCTCACGATCACCATTCCGGCGAGAGGAGCGCGATAGCCGAGAAAGTGGCAGAGGAGACAGAGGAGGCAGAGGCGACCGCGGACGAGGTCGAGATGACAGAGGAGGCCGCAACGACAAACGATCAGACCGGGCGCCACCCACAGGTCCTCGCAGCAGTGCCGCACCGCCTGCCAGAACCAACGACCCCCGTCCCAGTAATGGTGGCCCCGTTAAGCCTCCCCCTACTGGCCCGCGAATAAACCCTGCTGTCATCGACGAAGAGGAAACTCCTGACGTGGAAATGCAAGAGGAGAAGCAGAAGCCCAATGATATGGACGAGGATACGTGGGAAATGTACAAAGCTATGGGTTTTGGGGGTTTCAAGAGCACGAAGAATACGAAGGTGCCAGGGAACGATAAGAACTTTGGGATACGGAGGGACAAGCAGATGGAGGCGAGACAGTACATGAACAGGCAGGGTGGATTCAACAGACCGTTGTCGCCTGGGAGGGGTTGAAGAGATGTGCAGGAAAATCAATACTACACTACTTAGATTGGACGGCGGCGAGCAGTGCCGGAGTTTTAGGATATTGAAGTCGAGGTTATGGCTGCGGCAGGCTTGATATGATTCAATGCGTCAGGCTGGCCAAAGGCATGCTACGGGCAACTCGGTTATTACGGCCTTCGCAAACCTTCGAGGCGCGCACATTCACATTTAGAATCGGCTGGTTACGGTATGGCTTCCCCTTCTTCTTCCATTACTACTCTACTTCACTTGCCAAGGCACTTTCGATGGTCTGACTGGAATAAAGGGAGGAAGGGATACTCTATGTTACGCTGTGTCTAGCGGTGGGTCACGGTTTGGCTTCTTTCAGATTGATTGTAGCACAGCAGAATGCGCTCCAAAATATATACCCATGGCATCTTTACGCACTTGACTATCGTTGCGTTTTGTGGTGCGTGTCTACTCTGTTCGCCAAATGCATGCTTCTGAATCTTCTTTCGACACCAAAGGACATATTCTCATATCTCCTCATCAGCTTCGCAGGATACTATTTCTAGCAAGCAGTAGTTCATGTGTAGTACATAAGGCGGAAGGAGCTCCCACGTCATCCAATCAAAGTCCGGTAACGCCGCGGTGCTGCTTCCTCTCGAAATGTGTCCCAAACCCCGCGACCTCTTGAAGCTCAAGCTTCACGCGCTCCACTTACATCATGACGCGCGACTCACGGCATAGCCCCCTGTGGAAAGGGCTCGCATGTCTTTGGGCCCTCCAATTGCCTCTTACGAGCGCGCAGGTCGCCGGCATCGAGAAGGCCACGAATGACAGCTTGTTATGGGGTCCATACAGGCCAAACCTGTACTTTGGCGTCAGGCCGCGGATACCGAAGAGTTTGATGGGCGGACTGATGTGGACGAGGGTGGAGGATTACTCGAGTGTACAGAACAGTAAGTGTTTCCCGTCAGCTCTAAGTAGAGAACAGCGGGAAGCTAGCAGCCAGCTCGTTTCTCTGCTGCAACATGTCCAATCAAGGCCAATTGCTAAGCTTAAGCAGCCTTCCGACACACTTGCGAGCAGCACGAGCTCGACGGCTACGGCTGGGACGAATACGACGTCCGCAGCGGCGGCCGGCAGACGATTCACGACCCTGCGAACCGCATCGACATTACGACCGAGTTCATCAAGTTTCCTGGTGGAGAGCATGGCGGCAGCTGGGGCGCCAGGATAAAGGGGACTCCGCGCGAGGATGCTTCGCCAAATTTGAGGACTACGGTCCTATGGTACAACTCCTTGGAGGGATTGGGAAGCTTGGAAGTGCAGGGTGCGAAAGCAGAAGAGACGGGCGTAGAAGGCGATGTTGTGCTCAAGGGTCAAACAGCTGAGCTCGGTGACTTCCAAGTCACAATCACTGAGGGCAAAGGCGACCATCCGCTGACTGGCCATCCGAGCTATGACGAGAAACCGCTGGATCGGACCCTGGTGCATAGTGGACAGGTCCCTGAGGATGCCCTGTGGCAGGTCAAAAACTTGCTCTTTGCCCACTTGAAGGGCCAGATCGATCAATTGATCCCAAAGTACGGAGAGGACAACCCGCCACCACCTGCACAGGTCTACACTATCCAGCATCAGCCGAGCTCAGGGAACATACATCTAGTCCAAAAGGTTTTTGAAGGCCCATTCGAGTTTGATGTCATCTTTTCGTCTGGCTCTGCGCCAACTAAGATTACATCTGAAGACCTCACAGAGCAGATCGACTCTGTTACTTCCGGTTTCTCTACTCGGTTTGCCGACATCTTCAAGCCACAAGCTCCCTTTCTAAAGGAGCGCTACGAGGAGTTCTCCAAGTCTCTCTTCTCGAATCTAATTGGTGGCATTGGCTACTTCTACGGCGACTCCCGTGTCGATCGCTCCTACGATTCTGCCTACGAGGAAGATAGCGAAGGCTTCTGGGAAGAAGCTGCTGAGGCACGAGGCAAGAACCAGGCCCAGTTCGAGGGGCCATCGGAGCTGTACACAAGTATCCCATCACGGCCATTCTTCCCACGAGGCTTTCTATGGGATGAAGGCTTTCACCTGTTGCCCGTCATTGACTGGGATGCTGATCTCACACTTGACATTATCAAGAGCTGGTTCAAGCTAATGGATGAAGATGGCTGGATTGGTCGCGAGCAGATCCTCGGCGCTGAAGCTCGCAGCAAAGTGCCTGAGGAGTTTCAAGTGCAGTTTCCTCACTATGCCAACCCACCGACGTTGTTCATGGTCATTACTTCTTTCCTCGATAAGCTCGATGCGCTAAAGACCGACACCAGCAATGAAAAGCTACTACACGAGAAGTCTTACTTCATGCAGCTTTCCAATCGCGAGGCAGCGTTGCAATATCTTCGTACCCTCTATCCTTTGCTCAAGCGCCACTACTTCTGGTTCCGCAAGACGCAAGCGGGTGATATCAAGAGCTACGACCGTGAAGCGTTCTCGACAAAAGAAGGCTATCGCTGGCGCGGACGCACTCCCCAGCACATCCTTACCTCCGGCCTCGACGACTACCCTCGCGCTCAGCCCCCACACCCCGGTGAGCTCCACGTTGACCTCATCAGCTGGATGGGCATGATGACGCGCGCGATTAAGCGTATAGCTGTCTACCTCGGCGAAGAAGATGACGCCCTTGAATTTGCTAAATACGATGAAGCCATCACTCGCAACATTGACGATCTGCACTGGTCCGACAGGGCAAAGACGTACTGTGACGCGACAATCGACGATTACGAAGAGCACGCGCTCGTCTGTCACAAGGGATATATCTCGCTGTTTCCCTTCTTGACAGGCCTTGTGGATAAAGACAGTAAGAGACTCGGCGCGGTGCTGGACTTGATTGCCGACGAGGAAGAGCTTTGGAGTCCGTATGGGCTTAGGAGTTTGAGTAAGAATGATGAATTCTATCACACCGCGGAGGATTATTGGCGTGGGCCTATTTGGATGAACATGAACTATCTGGCGGTATCGCAGTTGCTTGTAAGTTCTTACCTCGCTTGTTACAAACTGTCTCTCATCCTACTGTATACATGTTGCTAACCATAAAACAGAACATCGCTCAACACAAAGGGCCGCATCAAACCCGCGCAAAGACGCTCTACACGGAATTGCGGAAGAACCTCGTTAACACGGTATATGAAAGCTGGAAAGAGACAGGTTTCGCGTGGGAACAGTATAACCCTGAGACGGGCAAGGGCCAGCGTACGCAGCATTTTACGGGGTGGACGAGCTTGGTGGTCAAGATCATGGCCATGCCTGATCTGAGTGGAGCGAGGGTGAGGGATGAGCTATAGTAGGCGTACATTACTACTGATAGAGGGACAACCAAAGAGATGGGAGCGCCCTGATGACGACAGGAGCGATGGACAGCAACGAAGTGTCGCCAAAGCAGTCTCAGCTCGCCGGGTCTAGACGGTTCATGTAAATGTGTGTGATCAAAATATCGTATCTGGCGTAGTAAAATGACAAGTGATCTGAACCTATGACTGTCTTTCAGTACTCACCCGTCTCAATCTCGCAATTTTCTCTACATCTCCAATGACTCAAACTACTCGCCATACTGGCACAAGCAATTATGGGATCGCTCCGTGCAGACCCCCATAACACATGGCAACTGAGCGCAATTTCTTCAAGTTTGGCGTAGACTAATGCGAGCCAGAACATGCTTGATGTGTCGATATGCACAAGACAAAGCAAGAATGTTTGAGACAAGTCTTTGGTATCCATAGTACATCATGAGGATCTCGCGCTTGATCAACCTCCTCGGCTATACCGTTATGTTCTTCTAGCTCTGCATAACCGTACTCTACACTGCAGCGTACATCGCCGAAGAAATGCGCTAGGAGGGTAGGGCCATGTTCGAATTTATGTGGTTGGCCCGCAAACAGGCGTTCGAGGATCTGACCGCATGGGAAGCTATGCGCTCAGCCAACAGGATGGACTGGGTGTACGAGGCCGAGGGCATGGACGGGGAGAACACATACGCGCTCGACCGATGGGGTGACACTTCATCTACCCTGGCTCAACTCAGCGGCCCTACTGTCTGTGCTTTTTCTAGAGAGGGAGGTCGCGAAGCTGAACTTGAGACTCAAAGTGTACATGGAGAAGATCGAAAAGGCCAAGAAGGAGAAGGGCATGTTGTGGACGGCATGGTTTGGGGTGTCAGGTGCCTGGAGATGATGGTGGACATATAGGAAAGGGAAGGTTGTAGAAAGAGGAGGGGATGACTGCCCAGAAGAATGTGGAGGATGAAAGGGTTACTGGTGGCTATCTTCGGGTCTGACAATGTGGAGTTGTCCGGGCACAAATTGAATACAATGCTTATGATGGGCCCAGAAATGGTATGGAGTACGGTTGAATACGCTACACAAAGATTGACAAGAAAACTAATAAGAGGTTGACAGAATCTTTTCGCTGTGAGAGAGAGGGAGAGAGAGATTTGTAAAGCTTTTCTAGAGCTCTCTACAAATTGTCGTTCAGATCAAGTTTGAACGTGTTGTATTTGTACGAAGAGAGAAGGTGTTCAGTGCGTACCCAAGTCGTTATGGCATCTTTATTGATCATGGTAACTCTTATAGCTCTGACAGTTGAGACGCACACCTTTTTCTCCATTCTAAAACACCATCATCGATCAACTATGCCTCACTAGGAACAGCGAAGACCTCAGTAGGTATGATCGTGAACTCGACAGCGGGGCCATTGCCCGTGTGTGCCACAGAGTTGTTGCCGGTGTACGTGTATTTCACGCCGTTCCTATAGCATGTTAGTCTGCCTTGTATCCCCACCATGCATCGCTCTACTTGCGAAGTATACTTACTGTTCGAACGTATACTGCACGCTAATGCTTGCCCCAATATCGATTCCATGATTGAACTCTTGAGCCTGCACGTCACCTGGTACGTCTACTCTAACTTGGGAGCAGGACTTGAATCCGCTTTGGACACTAGTACCTGCGCAACCGCTAGCATCAAACGAGGGTTGGCCAGATGGACCTGGGGGCCCGGAAACGTTGAAGGAGTAACGGCACGTGGCTGCTGTGCAGACGCTGCTGAAGCCATGTATTTCCCAGGTCCAGGGTGCTGGTGCTTGACAAAAACCGGCAGGTGCGGCAGAAACGCTGGCTGCGAGGAGCGCGAGAGCGGAGATCTTGGAGAGCATGTCGAACAGTTCGGTTAAAGAGCAATGATGGGAATTGGTTGGAGTCGTTTGAGCTTTGTGTTGTTGATACCAGTGGAGAGCTTGGTGAATAGTGTCCTGTGGTGCGCAACTCTGACTCTTTATACCCTCTATTGTAGAGCTCAGTCGACAAATTGTGCTAATCCAATACTCGTCAAAGCTTCCGTGTCGGTACTACCAAACACGAGGAAACACGAGTGGCTTCGCCTCAGGATACGTCAACGCATCTACTTGATGGCGAGACTTCATCAGTGAAGGCACCAACATCCATGGCCACGATGCTATGATGCAAAGGAACGTAGATCAATCATGCAGCACGGCTACTGCGGCGCCACAACCGTGGACTTTAACAGTTACCACTTGCGGGGTGCAAAGCTGACGATCCTCGTATTCCAATGGCTAGTCAGCGGACGACCATCAGCATTGAGTGCCAATAATAGCAACTTAGCGGCGCTCGTACTGCTTTTCAAAGGCTTATATGCGGTACTGAAAGATGGAAAAACTGGAGTTACGAGTGCTAGTGACATTCGTGCCATCTGTGCATCACCTCCACGGCTCGCTCGGGCGATTGAGCGAAGCTGCGAAAATAGAGCGCAACCACTAATAGTTATCAACACAGGTTGATAGCCAATTACGGTCGTCTTCAGTCCGCGGTTGTTGTCCCAGATGGTTATGGCGTTAGGGCTCATGATGGTCGTGACTTGGTATTCTTGACATCCACATTCCAACTTTGCCTGCCCTATGCAATCTTGTGAGACTTGGATGATGTGACATTTCGCAGGAACTGTGTTTATGTTGCGTTGACCTTCCTTTTGCTCACTGGCGACCCAGTGTGAAATTGAGTGTCGGTCACAGACCTAGTCACGCCCGCCCGAGCTATACTAGGAAGATCGAAAGGGCTAGCATGGCTTTGGTTTGACCTGGGGACACCGAGCTTCCGACTACTGCCCGGGGTAGCTACAGGGTTTGCAGTCTCATTCGAAGGTACTTCCGCAAGTGGGTCGCTCAGGAATATCACGAGTAGTTTCTCGACAACGTCGCGCAATCGGGCTGACTGGACATGCAATGGTTTATCCGCCATGTGCTTGCGCTGCGAAATGTAACGTTAGCTAGTAAGGATTAGAAAATTGACGCTATTGTACGTACCAGGGCCAGTGCTGCGCCTTTGTACGTCTGGTGATAAATTAGCTTAAATTCGTCGTCATTAGCGACTTCTTCAGCGGTGGTCTCTTCGCTCATCTGCTGGCTCTCTTCAACGCCCGGAGCTACAGATACGCCGCGTGATCTGCTCTTCTTCCGCTGATGCATCCCGTGCATGCGCATTGCCGCCATGACTACTCGCGAAAGAGCTTCCTTGTTCCTCGATTCTGTTGTGGGCTCCTCTGGTTGTAGCGGTACGGTAGCGACTTGCGAAAGGTTAGAGCGTTTGCCGTGTCCGTCTGCAAGGCCTTTACGACTCAAAGGTCGTGTGTCAGAAGATACACTCGGTGAGCGGGATAATTGACGCGAGTTGTTACGGGAAAGTCCGCTGTTGGCAGACGGTGGCCTAAAGTCTGGGAAAGGGGGAGGTTTAATATCGATAGAGAGCGACTTCCGATGACTATACTGCTGCTGTTGCGATTCACTCGCTCGAGCAGCTGCAGCCGCAACACCCTGCCCACCCTTTCCCCTCGCCTTCTTATTCGCAATGGTCGCCTCTTCAAAGATATCTCGCGTTCGCTTTGGTGATTTGGGTGTAAAATGGCTGTCATGCAGCGGCGGTAGAAATTGGACATCGTCATGGAAGGACGGTTCGACACTCTGATGGTATAGAAGATCAGACGATAGCGGCAATGCATGTACGCGGAGCTCGAGTAAGGGTTCGGCTGGTGCATCAAGGGGATAAGGCGAAGACGACGGTGGTGTTGGGAGCCCCGCTGTGGGACCTGCTATGGTACCGTAAAAAAGCAACTCGGTCACTCTGGGCCGCTGACCCTCTTGTGCTACATCCTGAACTTGGACTAAGATCCCAATTGGCGACTGCGAGCGCGCAAGATGCCACCACTCGTTGGCAGCAGCGCTGCCCGACGTTCCAATGGTGGGAGTAGGCTTGCTAAGCAAAATCGACTCGAACCATGCTTCTGTATCTTCGCTTGTCGTCCAGACATTTAGGCTCGGTCCTGCGGCGATATATAGTGGAATCTTAGCAGTGTCAACGGTGGAGAGGAAGTGGAGGGCGGGACCAGGAATGGCGGGTGACGACGCGAGGGTATGGGACGCGAGGCCGACATCTACACATGCATTAGCACCTCGCGATAGATAGGCTTATCATTCTTAAAATACATACCTTTAATTGAGTTGCCATCGGGGAGCAGAATGTCTCCGCTCCATATGTCAGGCATTGCAAATGTGCTGTTGGGAATCGACGTACCGGGCTACAAGACCGTGGATGACGCGCCGGCATCCGCGCTTGTTTACGCGACTGCACGTGCAACGTGCAGTAACTTTTCTATTTTCCTGAGAATTGACAGACCAAAAAAGCATCACTTGATGCCTCAAAACTACTTGCCGTGACACTAAAGGAAGCATCATAGCCGCATGAAAAAGGCCTAAAAAAGAGCAAAAAGGAAGTGTGCATGTGAACCCACAGCGAGTCGAACCTTTGTCGGTTAGTATATCGCACACACGCATTTTGTACGTGGACATTAACTAACGCTGAGCCTTCAGGTGTTTCCAATACTACTGGAATCTGACGCGCTACCATTGCGCCATAGGTCCGATAATAAATTTTTCAAATTAACACTATTTTATACCCGTATCCTGTGATCTTTTAATTTTTCGGGATGGTAGTCTGGCGGCTAGTACAAATTACGGCTGTACGGGAACGTCAACTCAGTTAGCGTCGGTTCAACGTCAAAAGTCCAGCTTTTAAAGAGGCAGTTGCATACAGTTTACGGTAGACCGTTGTTACATTAGTCTATGAGAGACCAGAGGCTGATTCCAGTCTTTAGTACTAGATTGATTTCCCTTTGCAGCTCCAGTGTTTGCAGCGAGGTGAATAGCTACGCTCATGAATTCTGATTGGATGCAAAAGTTAAAAGTTATTCACGACGCATGGGGACCTTTCAAGCTATCCCAGGCTGTAGACGTACTTTGAGTGCGGGAACTCGATCCATCCGCGCAAACTTGACGCGCGTATAATTTTTTTAAGTCCTTCGGGTCTGTGGTGGTGGTCAGCCATGAGCAACGGAACAAGAACAGCAATCCATTCGCCATACCAAATTACTCGATTTCTAAGAACGAGGCTGACTGAACAAGATAATTCAAGGACCAGATGGGATGCATAACAGCCGTCAAGTTCCTAATTATCCATGATCATACTGCGTGCCTATTAACTCGCACTGACGTTGCGAGCGAAGAGCAGAGTACAGTAAGTCTACGTGGGTGCCTTTTCCTCTGCGACACACACTCAGATACTCATGCACAATCTCTTTCTGGTGGGCGAAAGATGTGTGCAGAGTGATGGACAATGGCAGTCTACTGGGGGTGGTTGGTCATATCGCTCTTCCACACCGCGCGACTTTCCTTTCACTCCTGACGTAGTGAAGTGGGATCCAAGCGCGCGAGGCTGAGATAAGAAGCCCCGCCTCCCACTCTAAATTCAGCTTTTTACTCCCACCGGCGGCAACGAGCCCAATCAAGCTTTCTTATTGTCACCCGAATAGGAGCATTCTCAACATGGCAGACCCAGACCAGAACAAAGACAACTTCATCAGCTCTCTCCGCGTGGTCATCGAAGCGCACGCTGTTGCCCACGCCGCTAAGGACGAGCTACTCGCTGTGAAAGATGCCCAAATTACCGCACTGAAGGAGTCAGCAGAACGCAAGCTACAGCATATAGACTACCTCGAGAAAGTACGCCAGACTACGAGTCAAGTCAACGAACAAGATCTACGTGGCTATCGCGACAATGACGACGACAACGACGACGACGAAGACGCCCATACCAGTGACTACAACGGCAATAACGTCGACTACTACGATGGCGACCTGCCAATCAGCGACTACTACGACTTGTACAAGCCCTCCCGTTATAACGCCGAACAACAGACGCAGAAAAACATTATCGAGACTCAGCTGTCGACCGCAATGGCGGAGCTAAAGGTTGCAACAAACATGAAAAAGTTGAGCGAAGTTGAGATGTCCAACGTCTCCCATGAGGTCCAAGAAATATCATATCGCAAGAACAAGCTAGAGAACAGCATCAAGAAACTAGAGGTGAAGCAGGGGAATATCGAGCTGCACGTTGGTAAACTAGAGTTACACGTCAGTAATCTTGAGACCCAGAAGACGAAGTTGGAGGTGCATATCGGGAACAATCACGAAGACGCAGAATGGGAACAACGTATGGGCCGACACCGTACACTACCACGCCACTTCACCGTCTCCAGCTTTCTTGTCGCCTCAAACCCCTCTCCAAGGTCAAACTGTCCCCCAACTGCGAGATCAAGCCCCTCTTCCCAATGGTTCGCGTTATTCGTAAGTACATCCCGGAAAGCACACCCAACACAACTAATGCATCACAGTCGCGGTCATGGCCAATCTCTTGGAAGGCCGCCCATGCCGCGCTTCCGCAACAACTGTATTCGCCGCGGATGCCGCGAGGTCGGGTGCCATTTCGTGCATGCTAAGCAGGTCCAGGCTTATGGCAACGAGATCAACAAGCTCCCCAGGTATAAGAAAGGCAAGAACTAGGAGTCTTGTCCGTTCAGGATTGGACCGAAGAAAGAGGGGCGAACACTCGAAGGTCGGCAGGACGGATCGGGAATAGATTGGAATAGTAGTGGATACTCACAACAAACCTACCTATCCATGCTCCTGAGGTTACCTGCTGTATTGCTTATATCTCGCGTTTCTCGTGGTTTGAGAGCATCCTAGCCATCTTATTCTCACATTAATAAGCTGCCAGAAATCACTATTCACTTTGTCGCACCAAGTGGTGCCCAAGGAGTGTTGGAAACAACGTTGTAACAATGAACGTGAAGAGTGCAGATTTAACCTCATTACACTCTCTACGAGTTGCTCTTGTAATGCGATAGTCTCGATGTCTCCCCGGCTCATCAATTGCTAACCTTCAAGTGCACTTCCTAGCTACCATTATTATAAACTTCATCTTCGTCTCTCTTGTTCTTGTTCTTCGCTCTTCGCCTTCAAGTTAGATCACAAGGATCTAGGCTCAACGGAAAAGGTAAAGTAAGAACACTGTTGGCAGACATGCACCAGCACAGTATGAGAGGCACGAAGCCAGTGTCGACAACAGGGACCGCGAGTAGACAAGCACTCGTGCAGTGTGAGGCAAGCGAAATGTTGAGGCATGATACCTAGAGATTTTGGCAGGCCAGACCAATACAAAGAGAACGTCAACGGACGTATAGCAGATAAACCGCCTACAAGAAAAGGCCCACGCCAATGGGCGGACGGCAACAACGGTTGCAAAGTGATCATCGCCAATGGGCGGACGGCAGACAACGGCTGCAAGATTATTGCCAATAGGCAGATGGCAACAACGGTTGCAAAAACATTGCTAATAGGCAGATAGCAATAATAGTTGCAAGAGTATTGCCAACGGGCAGACAGCAACAATAGTTGCAAGATTATTGCTAGCGGGCAGATGGCAATAATAGTTGCAAGATTATTGCTAATGGGCAGATAGCAATACAGTTGCAAAAGCATTGCTAATAGGCAGATAGCAACAATAGTTGCAAGAGCATTGCCAATGGGCGGATGGCAACAATAGTTGCAAGATTATTGCTAACAGGCGGATGGCAATACAGTTGCAAAAGTATCGCCAATAGGCAGATAGCAATAATAGTTGCAAGATTATTGCTAGCGGGCAGACAGCAACACAGTTGCAAGATTATTGCTAGTAGGTAGACAGCAATATAGTTGCAAAAGCATTGCTAACAGGCAGACAGTAACACAGTTGCAAAAGCATCGCTAACAGGCGGATAGTAATAATAGTTGCAAAAACATTGCCAACGGGCGGACAGCAATAATAGTTGCAAGATTATTGCTAATAGGCGGACGGCAACACAGTTGCAAAGTAGTTATCGCCAATGGGCGGACGGCAACAATGGTTGCAAAGTGGTCATCGCTAATAGGCGGACGGCAATAGTGGTTGCAAAGGTAATTATCGCCACGGGCGGACGGCAGGCAACAGCTGCAAAAATAATCAACGCCAAAGGGCGGATGACAGACAAAAGCCTGTTGGTAAATAAGGGGAAAAAGTTGGCGAAGGTAAGTGAGAGCAGGCGGGTCTTATATGTGAGAGGGTCGGCCTGTGCGCTCTTAGTTAGCGGCCCGTCTTCGGGCTTCCTTAACCGAATCAGGCAGCAACTTTGGCGTAAAGGTGAAAGAGACTGGCACGTGCATATGTTAACACCCGAACTCCGAGTTCCATATCAATTCTTGTTGCTATTGTAGTTTTTTATTCCAACACCCTTGGTCAGACCTGTGATTTTTTATGCCCATTACTCTATTTTTGATGCTCTAACGCCATATCGTCAATTGGAATCTTTCAGTCTGAGATCCACCGAAAGAGCCAGTGGGACGTACATTTGCCCTCATCCGTGATTATCTACCAGAACCACTGAAAACCAGTCCGACAGGAAGAACCTAGGAGGTTAGCGACATGTTCTGTTAGTTTTAAACATCATGAATCTTGCTTACAAAACATGCTACTACAACCGCCGTTCTTCTCAATGTTCACCTTGCACCTTGGGCACTTCCTTGTCCTGGATCTGATTGTTTGGAGCGAACGATCTTCTTCCTCAATACGGTCCTTGATCCTTGCTTGATAGGCTGAGCACGTTTCGCCCTGGTGGAATGGTCGGTTGCAAGGAGCACAAGCGTACGCCCCGCATCTGTGACAGATGCAAATATTGGTCTGCTCTGTACTGTCATGGACTTTCCCAGCGTTGCAGTCAGGATAGAGACACCAGAACCAGCCAGGCGTGTTGTTAGCGATATGCCTGCGCACTATCTCTTCGAACTGCAAGCGCATCCTCGGGTCTGTGGCCATCTGGACATTGACATTTCTCATGACCGCGGGGCATTCTGGACACCTGATGCCGAAGGTATTATCATCGCCGATCGCCGTTAACAGACGACTTCTTATCTGAACATTGACCCATATCCTCAAACAGTCAGTGCAGGTGTGGATCTCGTGCTCGCATTCGCTTGAAGGGTTGTAGTCTGGGAACTGATTTTCTAGTTTCCTCTCGTCGCAGGTGTGGCATTGATAGTGGACAGGTTCTGGTTTCCTCTGCCGCTTGACAGGGCGATCCAACGCACCATACGTAGTACCGGAGCGATGGTGTCGCTTCTCCGCGAGAGTTTGGGACCGAAGTTGTCGCGTCGACATGGCTTTATAGGTTGAGGAATTGAACAACGTTTGGACTCCCTTAGAGTGGAGTTACGAGCTAAGTAGGAGGGCCGACCTTATTAAATATAAGGTCCAAGCCGCTATTGTATCTGTTGTCTCTCCATCCCTGGACGAGAATGGCGAGTGAGACAAGGAAGACAACAAACTGAGATGAAGCAGCCTTTCGCACGATTGGAGTTGGCTCTGGCTGTCTTCCCAATCTGAGACATCCCTGGAGTAATCAGTGTCAACTTCCAGGGAGAAAAGTCAATACAGAGGTCATCATCTCTCGCGCCCTCAACCAGGTCTGGCAGCTTCTCGCATGTGCAGTCACATCCGAGCCTATTGTTCGACGACATGCGATATAATTAGGACATTTATTTAACTACATTCATTCGCTAGATCAGACACAGGTAGGCTATTCCACTCTCGTCTTGGTCACTGTTCTTAGAAACCCGTCTGTCGACACGAACGATCCAATGCCCTAACCCAACAACCCCGTCATCACAACCCCAAGTACTCCCATAACACTTCCATAGCCCCAATGATTCCAATGATTTGTTCCTGCCTCCTTTCCAACTACGTACCCATCAACGCCCGCACACGCACTCGCCGCCATGAGCACCAGTCCTGCACTTTTCCTCGTTCCATACCACGTTGACGCAAAGATAGCCGCTGCAATAAACAGATCCTTCGCACCGTAAAGAATCATTACGCGCTTCATGACGGCCCAGTCGACTAGATTTGTGGGAGACGATGAGAAGCCATACAGGGAATAGGCAGTCTGGGGATAGAGGATGTAGGTGACTCCGAAGCCGAGAAAGACGCTGGCGAAGAAAGAAGAGAGGTAAGGGAGTGTTGGGTGGGTAGAGAGACCAGGCATTGTGATTTGACGCTGAAAGGTAGTATTGCTCTGGAAAGAGTTTTCAAGAGGTGCCTAAGCTTGAGGACGATTGATGATGTTGGATATGGAAGTCGCTGAGCGTTGACTTTGTAAGAATAAGAATTTAGTTTTCTTCAATACTGCGATGAACATGTAGAAGTTTGACGAGTTGAAAACTGTTTTACGTTTCGCCATAGAGCGCGGATGCCCCGCCTTTTGTGTTTACTAACAGTGGTTGCCTAACGCGAGAACGCGAGAACGCGAGGGCACGGGACCCCCAAGATGAGATAAGGCCCCCAACACCGCCCTTCAAGTAAACTTTATCAGCCCAAAACACAAAAAGGGCGTTCTCCCCGATAGGCTGCCATAGTCGGCAGCAAAACCACTTCACAGCATGATTTCTAGTTCAGCGATAAACCATGCGCAAAAAGTACCAAAAAGGACGCTCACAATTCGAAAAAACACATCACCATTTCCACAACAGTTATGGAGTTATTGAAATTCCCACTTGGGCTTGTACTATCCCGCACTTCTACCTCGTCAAAACTAGCTATATCCTCTTTCTCTATTCACAATGCCCCAACAATCATTACAGTCTTTGATTCCTCTAGATGTTCGACGCCGTCCCCGACCCAAATTCTCAGTGCTTCGATCCCCTAGTAGCACCAAACATCGTGTTGGCCGGGACCCTCGTTATCTTTCCATCCCACTCCAGTACTTCCAGTCTCATAAGAGGATTTTCAAAGCGCCTACGCCCTAGTTGAGCTATCGCTGGTTCTGTGAAAGTACTTTGAGTGCGGAGATGTTTGTGATTACATTGATTCTTCCAGGATAGGTCATTTCCGTGCACATGCCGGCAAACTTCGCAGCCAACTGGCGTACATTGGAGGCAGGCCCCGGGGTCAAAGGGATTTCGTAATCAGTTGAGCTGACTGGAGTGATGCTGTGAGTTGATGATGGGAGAGGGGCATGTCTGCGCTCTGTGTGGCAAGACTTTGGGGTCGAAATAGAACTTGGGATGGACTCCTCTGGCTCTGGTAGGTCAACTTGAGCTATACGGGATTTCTCCTTTACTTCTTTTCTCACGCATCGGCACTCCTCGGCACCACTGGCTGATGAATGTCTAGAGTTGGGAAAGAGGCAGTGCGGATTTGTGCATGACGTGACGCTCTCAAACGCTGCATTTTGTACCAGAACGATGTGTTCGTCTTCTTGGTGAAGATGGTTGCTTTCAAATGACTGGATTCGGGCACTGTCCATTTGCTCGGACGAGGATTTAGGTGTCGGTGTGAACGAGTACATTGCTTCCGGGGCAAATGAGTTTAGAAAGTTTGTTGTAAGGATTGATGTAACATAGGATGAAAGTTTGTACAAGGGAAAACACCTTTTATTTGCGCTTTAATCTTGAGACAATGAAAAATCACATGAACATTGTGTTTTTGGGCTACCTAGATACCGTACCAACAATTTGTACCCCACGTGACGCGAACTTCCATTGCATCTCAGCATCTAACGCTGTTCGGGTGTCGATCCATGGATAACAGCGAAAGTATTTCGTCTTGGAATTGTCAGATGTCGGCAAATTGTCAAAGTTCATATGGTCTGGCGGTCGATGAGAGTGAATGGATGAACCGTGGTTCACCACGAGTGAAAGCAACAAGGGCTTGCAGCCTACTAAACCCGACTCCGGACCAAGTCTGAATTTGCTTCTTATATTTCGAAGCTCTTGCACCTTTTGCGCAATCCAGGCCAGTCATCCACGACATGTCTTACCTACTCGAATTTCCTACGAGCTCGCTTCCTCACAATGCCCACTCACCACCTTACGTTGTATTCGCTATTCAAGGGAATGAGATTGTCTCTAAGCTCCCGCCGCGGATTCCTCTCAACGTAGTCCTACACTTCGCGCCAAAGCTCAATCAATGGGTACTACCCTGTCCCTCAACAGCGCATCTTCCTTTGTCAATCGCCCGTCTTGCGTTGCGCACACCCTACATTGGAATCGATATTCTCTCCGAAGATATTGAGCCCACCGGCCTGGAATGGATACTGAGTAAAATGCTCATGGCCTCCGGGCTCGCTTATCCGAAGTCACTTTTCCACGTCAGCCCCACGATCACAACATCTATCTCCATCCACAAGACCTGGCTCGCGCTCGACCTGCCCATCGCTGGCATCGAAAACCTCCACACACATATCCAAAGCCGTCTCATGCTCGGTCCTGCTGTCACACTGGCGGTAGTGATGGCGGTATGGGGCAACTTCCCGCAGTCGTCGCACATCGTACGTGCCATGGGTCTTAACTTCATCCGCTCGCATATAGATCTAGAGTATACACAACGCGAGACTTCATCCATACGGCATTGGTATCTAAAATCTGCAGAGCGGTGCAGGTTCTTTGCGAGCCTAGAATGTCAATTTCCAAAGTTTGGCGAATCCCAGGATCTGCTAGTGGAGAAGGCGGCAAAGGGTAATGCAACCCTGTCAACATCGGCAAGGACTGGGAAAATGATGGAGAAGACGGGCACGAAGACAGTGAGCCAAGAGGAGAAGAAAGAAAGGCGGCAGAAGGATGGAGCGGCGATGCGGACACGGTTGAGAAGGACGAAGTCAGATGTGAGTATAAGGTCGGTAGAAACTGTGATCTGGGATCCACCGAGCGAGAGCAATAAGGATGAGGGAGCGACTGAAGGTGAAGTGAACGACAAAGACGCGACCACCGAGACTAAAACGGGACCAGAGGTGTCGGAAGCATTACAGGATGTGTCTATTGAAGGCGAAGCCAAAAAAACGTCGCTCGTAAGACTACAACAAGTGCTTATTCCAGACTTGAAGCGCTTGTCTGAACTCGCCGAAGCAGCAACAGAGTCGTCAGAACTAGAAAACGGCCCACTCACGAATCTCAGTGCAGTCCCGAAGCGGTATGCAACCCTAAGGAAGAAAGCGGGTCGAGAGGAGTTGGACGCTGAGAGAAGACTTTAGAAGCTCAGTTTGTGGAGAACAGAACATCGTCGCGGGAGACTAGTCACGAGCAAGAAAAGACACTTTTGGGATACGAGAAGAAAGAAGAGACAGAGGACGACTCAGAAGGTGGACTGCCCGCATTTGAAAACCTCTGTGTACCCACAAAACGGTCAGACGGAAACTAGATTACGAAAAGGCATCCTTGCGCTGCACGCCCTATGGGGATTCTGAATGAGGTCTCGCACAAGCACTCATAGGAACTTTGAATACAGTCCTACAGGAATACAAAAATATTTGTGACGACTTCGTGTATGTTCTTAAGCGGGTATAAATCTAGTATATGAAAAGACAAGTTTTAGCCTGTATCGCGAGTCATGGTATGCAGAAACGAGTTGCTGCTGAGTGTGATCATCCCAGCGCCGAACAAACATTACTTCGGGAAATCGCAAGCTATACTACAAGGAGCCTTGATGCTCAGCCTGTCTTTTCTTGCTTCTTGAACAAGAATCGCATAGCCTTGACGCGCTCCTTTATCGACCGTGATTGCGTAACCTCGTACAGAGGCTTGTGTTCCTCGTTTATGTCGTGTTCGTCCTCATAATCGACATGCACGTATGCTCGCTCAACGTCCGCGAGGCCTATACTATGTCAGCATCATTTATGCATAGGCAGGTATAAGACTTACCTTCGAGCTTGCGCTGCAGCGTTTGGCTGACATCATGGGTGATCTTCAATGGCAAGTCTTCATCCATCACAATATCAACCTCAACATAATACTTCTGTCCAGCATGATACGCTCGGCACTGTAGCCAAATTAGCATTGGCCGATTCCACAGCCCCACACTTCAAACACGTACCGTGTCGACTTTGCTAATGCGCGTATCGTGCGTCACAACAAGGTAGATCAGCTTCGAAATGAAGTCTTTAGGCGCCGACTTGCCCACAAGCAGCCAGACGTGGTCGAATGCATTGGCGGCCCATGAAACGAGAATCAAGAGACCAATCAGGATAGCACCGATTGGGTCGACATACCAGACGACTCGGCTTCCAACAATAGACATAGCAAGACCAAAAGCATTGACGACAATATCATTGCGATGGTCGATGAAGAAGACGTGCACGGCGGGATAGCGTCGGTAGATGTAGCAGTAGATGCAAAGCGAAGCTTTACAGAAGACTAAGGTACTTAGTAAGACCGAAGACGAATTGAATAGTGGTGCATGTTGGGAAACTTACTTGCTACCGCCACGAATGCGATAGGGATGATGTGAAGTTCTTCTGACTCGGTGGCACCGCCTCCTAAGGCTCTGCCGGACTCGATCTTTAGGTCTGTCAGCCATCGAGCAAGAACATCGAAGCGGGGAGCTTACGATCAGTTGAATGGCGACAGTCGTCATCAAACAACAGAACATTATAATACCAATCGTTTCAATGCGTGTTCTTCCGACAGGGTACTTGTAGACGCTCGGTCTCGCTGCCAGACGCGACGTGATCAACATGACACATGACGATACTAGATCCATGAAAGCATCTGCAGCTGTGGCGAATAGTGATAAGGAACCCGTCGATACGGCGGCGTAAAGTTGAATAATGAAGAGACAGAAGTTGACTACGAACGATGCGTTCACGGCGAATCTCACTTTGGGTCCATTCTCGAGGTGGTCAAGAGCAGCTAATCGTTCCTCATCTCCACTTTGGAGGAACTGATCAATCAATGCGTTTTGCCTTGTGTAGAATTTCTATGGAGGTCAGACCTATGCAGATGGGCAGTGAGCGAAGTCGTACCTTCATGTGCTTGGGCTTAGCTAGCGGATGGTCTGCCTTCATTTGCTTTTGGGTCACGGCTTCTCGCCGATAATGCCCCAAATTTAGAGGATCAGCACCATCCACGGTGATGGCAACATCATCCTTGGCTTCCCGAGTGGATGCATTACCCACAGATGACAGCGGCTCAATACCATCTGTTCTGTGCTCGGCAGCGATATCAGATTGGTCTGACGAGTCCATGGGTGATGTGGGGTTTGCATTGACTGGAACAATTGTTCGCTCCGCAGCTTGGCCTTGGGGTTGGCCAATAGGTGAGGCTAAAAATGGCTGTTAGTAGAGAGCACCGTGGACGTGGATACCTGATACCTACTATGAGGATCGGAAGACATATTGTCCGGCTGTCGTCTGAAGACTGTGTGAGGGTATGGCGATCGCTGGGATCTTGTGTGATGTAGTTACGAGGGAGGATATCTGCCTCAGAAAGAATGGGAAAGCAATGTAATAAAGCACCACCACTAACGCCAGCGCGGCGTTCATCCGCCCGCCCAGGAGTTGTTCGAGCCCTGAAGTCATGATGAGGTGGCTGGATCGCCTGCAAATGCGCGAGAGAATCTGAGGGTGCACGCCGCTACGTGATGGCAAAGGGATGAAGCGGAGTTTGAAACTCGCTAAGCATTCACCAGGCCCTACTACCGGCTTTTAAGCGAGCCATGTTACTGAAAGGAGAAGGGGTTGACATGCTTAGCCTAGTTTTGATACTATAAACTGCCTTGGCGATCTGCAGATGCGGAGGAGCGATGCGCACAATCCATCACAATCGAGCCTTGTACGCGCATTTGCGGGATAATTAGAGATGCTGTAAACTCTATGAGCGCTCAGAAAGCTTCTTTGGAGATGAAGAGAGATCTGAGTAGATGGAAGTTAGAAGTATGGGTTGGGCACACATTGGCACGAAGTTGTGACGTCTTGGCAAGCGGGGAGTCGCAAGTTCTGGCTATTCCTGCCTCTCCATCGGCAAAACGCATCAGACGCGCATCAACCAACTAGCGCGATACAGTGATTACTGTAGAGGATTTGACTTGTTGCCTGCAGGCCCATAGCGAGTGCTGCACATCCCCCACGGATCCTCTCCGGGCCTATCCAGGTTTCAAAACTCCCCGTCTGGGACAAAGCCAAGCTTATCCTCAAGCGGCTGGTCTTGAGCCGTGCTTGGCCTTTCATGTCACTACATTCACGGAACGTCCCATTGGAGGACAAGATTTGTGTACAAATGCTCGAACTGGAACTGCAGCAGAAGCTTCCATCAAAGCGTCAACCCGTTACTTCATTCATCCACATTTCGTAAGCGGCTCCACCCTGTGGAAACGAGACTTGGGCCGTATCAGAGCCAATGCCATCGTAGATCTGCCCAAAATTTCGAGCGCCTAACCATTTGAGAGCCTGCAACAGGCTTGGAAAGATAGGCGAGCCTCAATTCCAGATGACGCCTGGCAGCCTCACGGCTTGCTTCCCGTGGCCAGCGCGTTCCTGGGACAAGTTCTGCTGGCAACTCCTTGCAGCGTCTGAACCTCCGCGTCCTCTGTGTATGAAGCAACGATCCCAAGGCGGTAGTTGATGCACAGACCATTGTATGGAGGTCCATCTCAAGACAGGCTGATCAGGCATGATGCAGTTAGCGTCTCTCAACATCTTAAAGCAAGATACATAGCCTGCTGATGACAACCTTGGTACCCACCATCTTCAACCTTGGACTTGAATTTGTTGCTCTCTGGGAGAGTTTTGGACATTTCCTTTTCTTTTCGATTCTTTATTAATCCTCCATCGTCGCCGGCGACGAGGCTGCTGGCAAGTCTGGGACAGAGCTTCTACCGCACTCTTTTCCCTGGGTGGATATTTTACCTATATTTTTATTCCTGAAGATGGACGAAATGGCGAAGCCCGTTTGTGGGAGCAAGGCGGATGGTGCTGTGTATGACTTCTCACTACATGTTGGTGCAGTTTGTAAGCGTTCTCGTATCCGTTGACTATTATGCCGTTACTAATCCGTCCAAAAAGTCATTGTGTTCTTCGCGTCCATTGGAGGCTGTGGATTTCCAGTCGTCGCAAAGAAAGTCAAGTGGATGAAGATACCCCCGAAAATATTCTTCTTCTGCAAGCATTTCGGTACCGGGGTTCTAATAGCGACTGCCTTTGTCCATGTAAGTACTATTGCAGCCGATCTTGAAGTCGTGAAGGCTCCTTCGTTCCTTCTTTCTCGCATCTGACACTTAGTCCAACAGCTCCTGCCTACCGCTTTCACCTCGCTCAACGACCCATGCCTCCCAGATCTGTTCACCGACAAATACCCAGCCATGCCTGGTGTTATTATGATGGGTTCGCTCTTCATTCTCTTCGTCATCGAAATGTGGCTCAATGCAAAGACTGGAGGACATAGTCACGGGAGCGCAACTGGCCAAGAATTTGCGGGAGGACAAGCACCACCGGGTATCCAGGCCGCCTTCAACAATCCTATCCGACGCACAGACAGCTACGACTCGCAGAAGACTATGCTAGCTATGCGAGACGAAAAGCGAGGATGGGTTGAAGACACTTACCCAGTCGACAAATTCCCACTCCCAAACACCAGCAACGACGAGCTAGAGGCTAGATCTGAGATGCCGCCTTGGTTTATAGTCTTCTATGAGCAATATGTCCGCCAACGTGACGAGATGCTCGGCATGGTCAACCGCGCCATGCCCGCCTTGCCAAGCTACCCGCAACAAACTACCCAAGATATCACACCGAACTCGTACTTTGAGGACGATGTTGAGCAGGCAGTAGACCCTATGGTCTTGAAGAAGCAATCCATGCAGATCACGCTCATCGAGGGTGGTATTCTCTTCCACTCCGTCTTCGTCGGTATGACCATCTCCATCACTTCGAGCGGTTTCATTGTCCTCCTCATCGCCATCGTTTTCCACCAGATGTTCGAAGGCCTCGGTCTCGGATCTCGTATTGCCGCTGTGCCATACCCGTCAAATAGCTGGAAGCCCTGGGTCCTCGTCGTTGCTTTCGGAACCACTGCCCCCATCGGTCAGGCTATTGGGTTGCTAACGCGCGGATCGTATGACCCGAACAGTGCTTTTGGCTTGATCATTGTGGGTGTCTTCAACGCTATCTCGTCTGGTCTCCTGATCTACGCTGCGCTCGTGGACTTGCTTGCCGAGGACTTCCTTTCCGAAGAGGCTCAACATACTTTGACTGGCAGGGATAAGACCACAGCATTCATCTATGTCCTTCTTGGAGCTGCTGGGATGTCCGTCGTCGGTGCATTCGCATAAACCTTTTCCTACCGGGAACCTTTCCTCCGACCGTTGTCATAGTTCATGCATCGATGCACATTGGTCACAATCCACTCGCCTGCCACCGGATCCCCTTTTCTGCAAGCCCTATAATGCCTCACCTTGCGGTGTAAAGCCTCCTAAGATATCCTTTCCTTCTTCTATCTCGTCAGGACGTCCTCTTGTATTGGGCATTAGGTCTAGTCATGATCTTTGTACGATTATGAGAATAATGTGTGGAGTTATAAGCGGCGCATATTTACTTGAATACACATAAAGAGCATATAAATCGGGGCAACCATTCACTCTTTTCTTGGTTATTTTTAGTGGATAATATCATGTATTCCGTTGCCTCTCAACCTCTATGTACTACCACCTATGGGAAGATATTGACAGCGACGCTCAGCGTAGGCGAGCTCTGAGGCATGGATATTATAGCATCATGAATGAGGAAAGAAACTCCTCATAAATCCACAAATGTCCAAATTGAACGTGGGACGTGTTGATTTTCGAACATGGTAACCTGAATTCCAAATAGGAACCTTGTCATTTCTCGGCAGTCGCTCAATTGGCATCTTCGTGACATTTGCTTAGAAAGCGATAACAAATGTAGTAAGAGGGATATGGCCAGCTTGGGGTGCCTGAAGCAGACATCCGACTTTGGAATCAAGACACGTCTAAACAGAGGTTCGCCTTCAACGAGAAGAAAATGTCGAATCAGAGGTTTCTTTGGCAAAGTATAAAATCAACCAGAGCTTCGCTTCATGGGAGAAAGACGAAGATTTTGGCGCTGGTCTTATTGTACTCAACCTCCGATCTGTCACCTCTTTATATGTGAGCGATACGGGTTGTGCCAATGCGTGGTGGAGAAGGATCCATTGCATTGAATGCTGACACAAGTCTACATCCGGTTGTATTGCCAGGAAGCTATCAATTTTTACGGGATATGCTGTTCCCGGAAACAAAAGCAGAAGCATAACACTCGGCGATGATGCCTTTACAACTTGGCTGAGCCAAGCCGTCACGGGGAGAGCCTCGGAAACCACGCTGCAACCAAGTTAAGCCTGTACTCCTTGATCTTCAGGGCTAGCAAGGTCAAAAAAGGTCATGTTTCAATGTTTGCTGATCTTAAGACCTGGCCTCGCTTCACTAGCTTTTGAAACGCGTTGCGGCCCGCTTCTGGCGCATGGCGTCGCAGGTTGAGACGGAGAGATCTACGAATCTTCTGTTGCATTAGCGCTGACTGAGGCTCTGGCGTCCCTGACGGCTCTGACAATTAGTTTACAAATCTACGTCTGAAGGACGGTATTTGTGGCCTCGCCACACGGTCTGTTCTATAAATATTCGGCGACGTGGGTACAGTAACTAAGCACCCAACCTCTCAGAGCGTCCTTAAAGAGTTGAGGTCACTTGGATGTTTCAGTAGCCCGAGATTTTGACTCTTTAGATCAGCATGTGCGGCTGTTCTGTATGGTTCTTAGAAGAAAGACGACAGTTCGCGACCACGTCAAGCAATGATAACTTGAACAGCACGTGAGCTCGGAAGTCTGAGCTGGTTAATAAAACGCGTAGAATTCGCTACTGCAGCTAGCATATCATCAGCAAGCGGGTTGCTGATGTTGCCAATGTTCTTAGAATTATCGGGTGGCGGGGGCTGTTGAGGATCCGCACCTGCCCCGCAGTAGCCGGCTGAGTGTGACATCAGAATTTGTATTGTCGAGCATGACCATGAAGTACAATTGATGAATGCACTAATGAGACGATTGTAAGTTCAAACCCAAAGTAAACAGATTGAGCATCATTTCGTCGTTAGAGAAGAGAGAGTCGACTCTTCGTAGTAGGTACAATAGGTTTGGTTTGGTGCTAGCGCGCGGGCTGCTGGCGGCAACTCTCGGCCCAACGAAGCCCTGCAGCAGTGAAAATCCCTCGCCTTCCAGTCATTGTCGCCGCTACCCGACGACCGCTTGAACAAATTCTTTCCTGCGCCATCCGGGTATCACCTTACACCGGTACAAAATGTCCACAACTGAGGAGACCAATGCCAGCAAGAAGCGGACCCATCCGGAAGACTTCAAGCGCGCGTACAAGGCATGCATCAACTGCCGGCAGCGGAAAGCAAAATGCATCCTGGGCACTGGACCGGATGGTGGTGAGCTAAAGCCGCCTTGTCAAAGATGCAAGCGAGAGATGCGAGAATGTGTCTTTCCTTCGGAACGGTCCTGGGTGAAGAGGCGGAAACCCGGGGAGACGAGGGACCTTGAGGACGAGGAAGATGACCCAATTCAATCGAATCCTGCGCCAATTGTTCAACCATCGCCTGGCCATAGATCATCTGTTTCGGCGCATGGTACAACACCGGGGTTTTCCCCACGTATCAACGGCAGCCATCGTTCTGACATCCTATCACCACCAGGCCATCTACGCCGCATATCGACGTCGCAGCCAGACCTCGCCCATTCCGTGATGAGGACTGTCGTCTCCAGCGGCAGCGATGCGTTGAACTTGCTTTTCGAAGCTGCTCATCATCGTGATGCCATGGATAGCCAGGAGCAGTCAGGGTCTCAGGCATATGAGACGCCAAGATCAGGGCCATCTGGTTATGAAGGCGTGCCTTCATCGCCGTTCCACACCTTCAGGGCACAGCCAGTGCAGATGTCTACGCCATCGCCAGAGACTCTCAAAGTATGGACCTCGTGCCGATTCGTTCAGATGGGATGGTTTTCTGCACATGAGGCAGTCACCTACGTTGACCTATTCTTCAAGAATTGTTCGCCTTTGTCACCAATTCTGGGAGAGTTCTACTCTCATCATGAAAATCACTACACTCTAATTGCCCTGGATCCGTTTCTCTGCACTACTATACTCATGATCTCGTCGCGATACAATATCCTCCCTGGTGTAGGCGGCGCATCGCGCGGGTACTTCGTGCACGATAGACTCTGGGAACAGTGCCAACGTTTCATTATGAAGATCATGCTCGGTCAGGTCAAGCCTTCCAAAGCACAGAGCAGGACGATTGGGTCAATTGAAGCGCTTCTGCTGCTATCCGAATGGCATCCTCGTGCGCTCCATTTTCCTACGGCTGCTGACGGCTGGGATTGTGAACTCATGATCGGCGCAAACAATACTACAGAGGAAGGCTCGAAGCTTCTTGAAGGAGACGCGACCTCAAGTCGATGGCTTGAGGACGTCATCGAACCCGCGAAACGCTCAGATCGCATGTCCTGGATGCTGATGGGTTGTGCCCTTTCACTAGCGCAGGAGCTGGGTCTTTTCGAGGACAACGCGAGTGTTGATAAGGACCAGGTATCCTATCCCAAGTTCACTACAGAGTTCGTGATCTTACGACGAATTCGAGCTCGGAAGCTACTGTACGTATTGCTGGAGCAGCTGTCATGGCGCTTAGGTTGCACCTCTATGATACCACAGAGCCTCAATCATGCCCTGATGGAGAAGATCCCCGTAGACTCAGCAACGGGTGCAGTCGAACAGTGGCAGTCATTCATGAGCGCGTGGGTGGAGCTTACGAAGCTTGCGCGATCCGTGTCAGACACCATCTACCCATCTACGGCGACGACGCGAAGCTTGCTTCGTACTGGACGCTATATTGGACTACTCGAGCACTTCCAGCCGCTATTGACTTCTTGGAGAAAGAAGTATCTAGATCCTTGCAGTAGGTCTATGATGTTGCGTGATATTATGTTTCAAAGTACTGATAGTTGAACAGAACTCAAGGTCGGACTGCACGACATGTTACACATAGAGTATCAGTATGTTCGCATATATACAAACTCGTTGGGTATGCAGGCTGTTGTCGAACGCACGCTTGCCGAGACCGACCCTGATGTACCTCAAGAAGACAACCTTCCTTTCAATCTTGAGCCACGGGACTATGACTTCATTCAGGAAGTTGTGGATGGAAGTTGTCAGATACTACAAAAAGTCTGCCAGCTCTCAGAGACAGGAGCTCTTCGCTATTCACCAGTCAGGATATTCTTGCGCATCACGACTTCGTCGATCTACCTTATCAAGGGTCTGAGTCTAGGATCGCGTAATCAAAAGCTGCAGTCATCGCTCGATATTTTAGATGCAGCTATCCGTGCTCTGCGAGCAAGTGAGTAATACGTAGCCCTGTCAGCATGGGTTGATCTAACAAACAAGCAGGCACTCTGGATGACATGCACCTAGCTTCGCGGTACGCCACTTTACTCGACTTGCACGTTACGCGTCTCCGAGAGAGCTTCGTAGTGTCATCGCGGCCTCCACGGCTCCCATCGCGCGCTACATCTGCAGACCTCAAAAGCGCGACCACAGGCATGGATTTCCTGAACAACCACAATGCAGGCCAGTCGAGCCTTTCATCTCTCGCAGAGAATGTGACTGGTCTCATGCCAGATGATGACTGGCTTGCGCTACCTTTTGATCCGGCGATGGCGCCGTTTGGGCTCGACCATCAGCAAAGTTTCCAGGGCTTCGATGATGGGACGCTGGACTTCATATGGAATTTACCCATGTAAGGTGTATGATTAATAAATCGATGATCGATGTTAGATGAGATTGTGAGGATGCACATGATACGACAGGACTAGTATAATATAGAACAAGGAGATGAAGTGATTTGAGAACGCCAGGAAATGCTACCGCTAACTATATTCTCATGTCAAATTACCCCTCAATTCCTGCTCGCGCTCAATAGCTTCGAATAGTGACTTGAAATTGCCCGCACCAAAGCCATCGAAGTTATTCCGCTGGATGATCTCAATGAACACTGTTGGCCGATCCATCAAATGCTTCGTGAAGAGCTGTAGCAAGTAGCCACCCTCATCAAAATCAATGAGAATGTCCAGACCCTTCAGTACCTCAAAGTCTTCGTTTAGCGACAACCCCGCCTTCTTTAGTCGCATCTTCATGTTGTCATAGTATGTCTCGGGGACTTTGATGAACTCGACACCTCGCGCTTTGAGGTTCGTGATATCGCGCACGATGTTGTCTGTTCGGAGAGCAATGTGCTGGACGCCCGGTCCGCCATAGAAGTCGACGTACTCTTCGATTTGCGATTGTTTCTTTCCCTTTGCAGGCTCGTTGATGGGCATCTTGACAACGTCGTTGGGTGAGCTCATGACGATGGACTTGAGCGCTGAGTACTCTGTGCAGATGTCCTTATCATCAACGCTCCAGAAGCGGTGGAAGCCGAGAACCTTCTCGTAGTATTCGCATGCGTTCTCCATTTCGTCCCAGTCTTGGTTCCCAACGCAGTGGTCGATGTTGGAGAGCTGTACTTGTGGCAGGAATCGTGAGAGGGGGTCGGCGGCTTTGGTTTCTGGTCGATATCCCGGCAGGAAAACACCGCTGTAGTCGCTCTTCTGGATCAGAGTGTGTGTCGTATCGCCGTATGTCTTGATGGTAGCAAGCCGCACTGACCCGTATGCATCAGAGATGTTGTGGGGTGCGGCAATTGCGTCTGCGCCTGAGGCGACGGCGGCGGAGTATATCGCGTCTAGATCGTCGACTTCGAAAGCCACATCTGATGGTGGTTAACTTGAGGTACAAACACTTGAGCACATCGGCTTACCTTTGACAGCATCCCCGTGTCGTTCCTGATGCTTATGGATCTCCATCAGCAACTGTTCATCCTCCTTGCTGAATCTCGAGCCCTGCTCTAGACACCTTAACGGTGATGTGAGAACGAAAGTAACATTGCCATTTCGCACAACATGAGAGGCAGTAGCTCTTGATCCGGTCTCTAGGCCCCTATATGCGACACGCTCGAAGCCCATGCGAGATACATAGAAAGAGGCAGCCTGCTTAGCGTTTCCGACATACCAGTGGACATGGTGGTAGCCCTGATATCCTGAAATGTCTGAAGAGGGGGTACCGGAAGGGCGCGGTGATGACGGTGGCGAGATTGCTGCGGGCGCCATATTGAGTAGAAGTCGTCAATTACAGTTGAGAACTGATCAAGTTTGGGGAACTTGTTTGTTATTTGAAGATCTTCAGGTTGTGCCGTGAATTTGAGAGGGTGAGATGCTCGAATACAGGCATCGATTTGTAGCCATCTTTATCTTTCACTCTATGCTGCCCACTTTCCTTGAAGAACCGATACCTCTTACTACCAGTCGCCATTTTTGTGTTTAGCAGCGTCATCAAGCGCTTATGCCGAGCTCACGTGTAGGGACCTTCCTGATAAGTTGGGTTTGTCCGTCGGTGTCCGCCAATGAACGCTCCGCCTGTATCCGCCCCGTCGAACATCTCGTTCAGTCTTACAGGAACGTATCTATGCTCCGGGATCAGTTACCAAGCCTATCGGGTACTTTGCAACGGGTTATGCACTGTAAAATTGATATTTTTATAACGCTAATTGCTCGTTTCACAAAAGAGACGTCTGTTGGATAGTAAAGCGATGTTTGACCAGTTTGGGTAAGAGCTAGACTGTTCCGGGGTAAGCCCGCGTCATTTGCCGTGAAAAGCCGCTTCAATGCTCGGTGGTTAAGCCGACGCAGTGAACATCATCTCATGTTTCGTGAGCATGAGAATATAGATACAAACATTTTAAAGAGTCCTCTCAACACCATATCCACCGCCAACCCTAGCAGGCTGCACAAAGTCAACGTTCTGTATACCACCACAACACCAGCAATCATCTAAACATTTCGAGACATCCAACCCTCATCTCCAATATGGCAATCGACGTTCCCGACACAACCTTGTCCGCAAACGACACACGTATACTGAACGCGCTTTTCGACCCAGAAACTCTCCCCTCCTCAGTCGCAAAATCAAAAGACGCAGCCGCAATCAACGCCTCATTACCGCCACATCCAAGCATATCCCCCGCCCAAATATCAGACCTCGAAAAGCAACAGAACGAAATCGTCCAGCAAGTATCCAGCAGATCCAACACCGAGGCCATAAACGCTGCAATTGCCCAATTAGACGAAGCGATATCGAACTGGCCAAACTACCCTAGCGCATACGTGAACCGTGCAATGCTACGAAGAATGAAAATAGAAGCCTCGTTACAAGATGATCAGACCATCTTCTCATCATCATTGTCACCACCCTCGGAAATCGAAGCCCTATTCACAGACCTCGCCCGCGCAATTCACCTCTCGCTCCCCGCGTCCTCACTAACAGCTCCCGTATCGCCCTACCAAGCACGCATTCTACGCACAGCGTACTCGCATCGCGCGTACCTGTATTTGAAGGCCGTTGAGACAGGTACGCAGCTGAAAGGTCTAGGCAAGAGTGAATTGGAGGAGCTAGCGTCGAGAGATTTTGCTGCTGCGGCGAGGTATGGGGATGAGGTTGCGCGGGAGATGAGTGTTCGGACAAACCCGTATGCGAAGATGTGTGGGGCTATTGTGAGGAATGCTTTGAGGGAGGAGAGAGAGGGTGATGGGGCGTGATTGAGGTGATTGAGGTGAGGTGAGAGAACTGGCAACGTAGTCTGTATTGTGAGGTAAGTGGTTAATTATCAATCAGTAAAGTCACGACAGAGGAGATCGTACACCACGTTGAGTAGATTGGGGGCGGACGTTATCATTCTTGTGGCCTCGTTAGACCTGCCTTGTACGCTCCTAGGAGCAATAGTACAAGGCACTCATGTAGAAATTAGTCCTAGCCCCATGCAAAAATAACCCGTCCAGGTAGTCCTCTCACCTCGACTGCATGCCCATCTCGTTGTCCTTGCCACCTCCTCTCTCACTACGACGAGTGACCAACTCATCGAAAGCAGCGACGATCCTCTCACTGCGAGGGGGAAACGAACAAGGCAAGGTTGCGGGTCCCAGGATTCACGGGCCCAACAACAGGCGTGTCGTCTACAAGCATGTTGTGGCATGGCTGGTTGCGCGAGTGGTGGTGGTACCGGCACTTGAGGGTTCCTTGACGAGCGTTGCACAGAAAGGCTTGCAGCCCGGCGAAATCGACCACGGCGCCTCGCGGCTCAGTCCGGTTGATCAGAGCCCATGCGACCACGGGGACCTGTGGCCTGAGCAGAGCGCCGGGATCGACGATGTCCTGCGTGACGTTGTCCCTCAGTGTCGCGGTGACCTGCTGTCTGAACGCGGCTGGGTAGGCACTCAGCGGCGGAACCTGGCTCGGGTCGACGTTAGCGAAGTCGCAGATGTAAGGAAGCCGGCCCTCCTCCGGGGGCACGCAAGCCCAGATGTAGTAGTCGATGAGGAACTTCTGCAGACCGGAGACGCGTCCAATGGCTGAGTTTTGGTACACGTTTGTCACGAAGCTGACTGGCGGTGGATGGTTAGCGCGGAAGTATTTGATGATGGTGTTCATGATGGCGTCTTGGAAGTGGACGTCGCCAATGTTCTGCCCTAGAAAGTAAGCGAATACCAACCTCCTAGACTCCCCGGTGGTTGACGGATCGTTGTCAAGCGACTCGTCGGACATGGTGAGCATGGTGATTTCAGGGTGGTGAACATGCGTGGGGATGTTGTAGATGAGAGTGAACATGGTGGCGTCGAACCCTTTGAAAGGGCGAGAGAGGTCGACGTAGGGGAATAGAGGCGCGTCGAGGAGCCAGAGCACGTAGTACCCGAAGACGGCAGGAGTGAAGCTCTCGAGGAAAAGGACGGGGTGGTTCTTGTCGAGGTTGGTGCAGAGATTCTTGATTTCAATATGTCAGTGCTGCATTGTAATTGTTCATCGATATACAAAACTTACAGTGCCCCACTGAGTCTCTAGGAGAGCAGACATCGGAACTCGATACCAGAGAAGTGCTGGTTTCAACACTAGAAGGATCATGGTTTCGGCTTTCGCCTCCGTGTTCTTCCCGGGGTTGTTCGTCGGCGGCATCTTGGAAGTAGGTTCTTGCGGACTCTGTCTCGTCGTTAGTGGTTTGTGCGGTGAGGTAGTAAGATGTAACGAATAAACGGTAGCTGCTGTCCGTTTATAGGTTGTTGATCTTTTGAGGGTTTTGTGATAACGAAAGGCCGAGAATATATAGTTGCGTACACGTACCGTGCCCAATCCGACTGGAAGGTGGAAGTGAATGAGACTTCATATTTAGGCATCTCCAATATTCGAGAGAACGCGAGGACTCTAGTGACCCGATTCGACTTCACATACGGTGTAATCTCGTTTTGATATCAATATTAACAATAGGCACGTCCGCGACTGCCTATTGTCTATTTTCGCTGCCATTGTTGCAAGATCGTACCTATTGTGATCAAGTACCATGGCCGCGCAACAGGCTATCCACTCTTACTCCTAATTCAGGCCTACCTGCCTCCCTTTTCACCTGCTCGAATCGCCAACAATAAGTCTCTGACTTGGCGCCGTGAAGGACCGCAGTCTGTATACCCCTGTCACTAGTAGCCAAACTCAAGTCCCGCACAGCATCTTGTAAACATTCTTTCGCACTCGTCAGCCTAACTTTGAGCAATCTCAACTTGGGCGCGTGAATATCTCTTTCTCTGACGAATTTCCTGATCCGAGCAATTCTCCTGTCACGACTCGAAGGCCGTGACCAGTAACAGTATGGCACAAAGTCGTCCCGCAGGGTGAGCTCAGTGATGCTCGGAGGTAGGACTTCTTCCAGCTTCACAGACGTCCTCGGAAACCAGCCAAAAAACATGATCATGGGAATTTCGATTTTCGTAAGTAGCGGCATGTCCTTTAACACGGATAGCGTGCCCTCGATGGCGGGGAATTGGATCCCACACGAGGCGTACTGGGAGGTCGAAATAGAGCATGGAGCTAGTCGTAGGACAAGCTGGCATCGTTCGAGACTATGACGGACACAAGCTAGCGCGGAGTTCAATCCGTCTAGTTCAAGATAAGGGGCTAGCGATGGAGCGTGTGGTGTAGAGTTATTGAAGACGATCTCCTGCTCATAGTGAAAGCTCTTTAGATTAGGTGTAGCAGATAGTAGTTGATGCAGCGTTGATCTCTCGATGTTTGTCCGGAAAAGGCGTAAACAAGTCAGGCTAGTATTAAATGGGGCCTTTGTTTCACTCCAGGAAAATCTCCAAGGCTGCGCTATGGTGCATTCGAATGTCTTGACGGTGGATGAATAGAAGATTGGCCGAATTAGGTTAAGATCAGTGTAAGAAACCGTACTGCTGTCTCGCTCGGGCTGCCGATCGCCTAGAATAACCCGCTCTAATTCCGGGAATAGGTAGTCTGTTCGCTTGAGGATCTGCGGTAGGAATATCGAGTGTCTGAGAAAGCCATCACCGAGCTCTAGACTATGTAGGTTTGTCAACCGTGTCATTACTAGTGTAGCTAGAGCGTCTTTGCTTCTTCCCTGTACTTCGGTTTGAGATATTTGTATGTCGTCGTCAAGGAAATTTTGGAGCATGTCTGGCGTAAGAAGTGATTCGGCTTGGGTCACTCGGTCGAAACCCCATAACTTGACACTAGTGAGGCGCTCATTATTCTCCGGCCACGGATCGTATTTTTCCCAACACTGGTGGGGTCCAAATAGTCCAAAGGAGATAATTTTGGCGGCAAGTTGCGATCGCTCGAGTAGTGTACGTAACAGCAATGCAAGCTTTCGGGCGCAGGATCGTGACTTTGTCGCCGTGATTTTGATATTACGATATAGGTAAGGGGTAGCTGCGGTGTGGAGAACATGACATGTTTGTGATAAGGCATGATATTCCCTTCTGGAGAGATAGTCGAAGGTCGAGGAAAGTAAGTTCGATGGCAGGTCTGTCAGATGCAACATTGTATGTTTTCGTCGAGCCGGAAATTAGTAGTTGAGACAAGACGTATAAGATCGGGAAAGTCTTCCAATAATACAGGAGAAGAGACCGGAATCAAAGACAAACGCAATTCTCCATGAATGCATCCAATTTATGAGCGAAAGGCAATGTAGCAAGAATGTGGATGAGCTAAAGTACCCTAGCAATGGCTCCACCGCGTAAGCGCCTTTCTCATCTGTTAGCCGCCATCGAATCAAAAGCTAGCCTTTCCTATCGCAGTTTTTACTCGGATTTTCTGGTGTCATCTCCGCTGCTTGAGTGGGTCTGGATTGAAATGAACGATTTTGCATGTTGGTCGTGTGTGGAGACCAGCCACCGGGTTTCGGGTAATCTAGCAGCCACATGGCAATTCCACGCGATCTTGTCCTCGACGCCAGGAAAAGACCTTGTCACAAGATCCAAGTCATGAGTCTTAACACCCGAGGATTAAGGACTAGGATTTAGCACACCCAGCTTTTCTTTCCCCAACGGTGTTGATATTGAAATTTCGTATTGCTTAGTCTCTCAGATAATCGACGAGTACATCTCTCACTGAATTACGTCTCTGGTGCCTGGAACCCAGCTCAGATATGATCTACCCATCAGATTCCAGCATCAATATGTACCGTAATGTTGAACTTTGGGATCAGGTGATTCCCAGCGTCCTCAATATCTATAGATGTTTTGCTCCCTCCATTGTTTACTCCTTCAACCCTTGAGACCCTATCATTCAATATGCAATACTATTTACTTTCAGTCCCGTCTATCCCTCCCATGTCACATCTCTGCTGTGTGGGTGTACACCTCTCTCGCGATTTATCTCCTATGCCCCTTCAGCTCTTTTCATGCTAGGCTAAAGTAGGGAATTAGCATGTCCGTTTGTCGAAGTAGGACGTGTGAAGTAGGTACCTTTTAGTGTCGTGGAGAAACTATATCCAGAGACTGTTGACGAGAACGTCGGCTTCGAACCTTATGCGCTTGTAGCGCATACAGGTGGTATTGCGATGCCAGACCAAGAGGAATACCAGCCCACTCTTCCCGATGAAACTTCTCCATTAAACCTCGTGCAGGAGCAGTCCGATCGAAGACGGTGATTTCCTTGATGAGATTCCAATGCTCTGGATTCATCCACCGAAGTAGCATGGGCTGAATGATCTTGCCATTGACAGATTTGTTTCGGCAGATGGTAGCAAAGTCCAATACTTGACCGTCGAACCAGCTGAGTGAAGCATCTGCAGGCTGCCAGACGGAGATTGTGTCCAGTCCTGGGGCACAGTTAAGGAATTCAAGGGTTGCATGGAACATGTAAGACACATCCATACGTGCATTCATCAAATGCCGAGCTTCGATTTCAGACTCCTGAAATGTGAGCCCACTTGGTAGGATCGACGTATCCAACGGAAATAGAGCCTGAGCATGCGACAAGTCCGGACGTAGCGAGAGATGGCGCAGATTTGGTGGAAGTAGTGGGTATATCTCAGTAGTGATGGAAAAGTCGACGTCGCCTGTCAGGAAAGGAAAGGGCGCCTCGAGAGTGTGCAGTTGTGGGAAATTGGTCAAGTCAAGGTAGCCGTATAGCTTGTCTCCAATACTAGGCTGTTGGAAGGGGTACTTATCAGTATGGCAGTATTCGACGCTAAAGACCAATTTCTGGAGCGTTGCCCTGACTTCCTGCAGCAGATCACTCCAAGCTGCCAGATCGATGATGCGATCATCGTTTACTCTCAGGCCGTTACAATTGTAGAATAGATCATAGGTGAAGGACTGCAGCTGAGGAGTGCAACTAAGAAGCGAAGGGAGGATTTGTAGAAGAGTACCGGTACTTCTGATTACTAGGGTGGTAATCATCGTCGGTCGGATCTCAGCGACTAGTGGGCCTCTTCTTGCATGCGGATCATGGAGAGGAAGGCCGAACATTCCATGTCCTTGACCGTCGGGTAATGAGAACTCGAGCTTTGTAATTCCAGGTAGGTTCAGGATAGAGTCAAAGATAGAGTGTACCAGGGTCCTCGGATAGACCAACCCGCTAAGACGATTCACGTTGAGTGAGAATTTGTTGATCGACGACAGTCGATTGAGCAGAGCTTGGGAGGGGGGGCGATCAGGATTATTCAAGTTACTCAGAGCAACTTGGACAAGTAACACGCTGGTGCTGAAGGAATGTGCGATTTCCAGATGTTGCAGGGTCGGAAGGACCAGAAGGATTAGAGCTGCAAACGCGGAGTACTCTCGCTTGTAGATGCCTTCTACGATACGTTCTTCTTCAGTGATGACAAACTGGTTGCGCAGGAATTGCATGGCCCTGTGGAGCATCAGGTCATCGTCAAAGTGTTTGTCGGTCGCTAACCAGCGTGCACCTTCGTGTACTACTTTGGATGGCTGTTGACCCAGTCGAAGTGATTCTACCCGACTTGCGAGTCGGGTGTCGCTAATGATGTTGAGACAGAACCTGTCGATACGGGGCAGCCTATCCTCGGAGAGGACGGATAAATCAACATGGCGGTACAAGATTGGAACGGCGAGTGCATAGAGGCTCTTGCTGGTTCGGGCGAAGGCACAAATGTCTGCTTGTTGGAGGTATGTCACGACATACTCGACGAGCTCAGGTGGGAGATGAGAGAAAGCGGCCATGGTTTTGGGTGGCAAGGAAACAAGCAGTGAAGCCGTCCATATTGCAGCAAACTGCTGATGCCTCACGAGGGTGGGGGTGGGAATTAGCGCTTGGTTTGTGCGTTTAGCGGCATTTCGACAGCAAAGCGTGAGGAGTCCTCCTAGCATCGACTAATGATACGAGTGGCATGACTGGAAATGCCCCTTCTCCTTGCTCATATGAGTTGGTCGGGTGTAGACTGTCTGTCCAAGGATGGAGCGACTATGGAGGAGAGACACTACGCATAGCGCAAACGGATAGATTCTCGGACTACCCCGCCTTGTGCTGGGAGGGGGGTATCGATAAGCTTCTCCACGAGGGGCAACGACATGGTCAGCCGCTTGATGAAGTGAGAATGCAGTCTGGTACAATGCATCCTTGGTGGGCTATACTACGGCTGTGCTGGTTGCTACGCGTTGGCTGATGCTACGTGAGCTCACAACATGGGGAGACCAACATGGGGAGACGCGACCTGGTCCTTGGAAGGCCAGCGACAATGTGCCCATGCGATCCTACACAGCAGATGATGGTGTCCTGCTTGGCATTAGTAGTAGCTATGTAAGGCAGCCTATTGTGGGCTGCGAACCAGTGCTGAGTGCTAGACGCAGGCCATGTCTGCAGCCATTCAGCATGCAGCCATTCGTCAGATGGCGGGGCGGCACGGCATGCAGAGATGCAGAGAAGATGCAGGAGGGCTGAGACGATGAGCGAACCGCGCAGCGGGTGTACCCCCGGAAGACGAAGCGAGAACAGGACCGAGCGAGCGAGCGGAAGAGAGAGAGACACAGGAAGCTTGATGTTTTCCGCCGTGGTGAGACATGTGATTGCCGCTGGCCGCCGTCACTCACTGGAATTTGTCGCCGGTTTCAGCGTTCGGTGACGGATCGGAAGGCGCAGCCGCTTAACAAACCACCTGCTTCCGACTTCTTCCTGCCTTCCCTTCTCCCACGGTCCACGGTTCGAACCAACATTTCCCACGCCAGACGCCCTCCTCTGCCCCGCCATTTACACTTGAACCCTCCCAAGCCGCGCCCGTCACATACCCCTACACCCAGCGCGAGAGAGCTACGTCAGAGATACGCTGTCCACCCATAGCCGACAAATAGTACAAAGCCGACCTTCGATTCCCACGCAGTCGCTTAGATACGTCGCGTACAGCACACACGTTCTACTGCCCCCTCAAGTCCACGAGGTAGCTTGGGAGCCATCGTGAAACTCGGCATTTACTAGCTACACAAAGTCGCGCCTAGCGATTTTGATGCACGAAGATCGACAACCTTCTTCCTCAGGGCGACCGGCTCTCGAACACGACATGACGACGAACAGACCATTCTTCGGCGGCTTCCTGGCGGCTTTTCGAGCGCAACCCGCCTTACAGAAAGCCGCGACGTCACAGGCAACATCAGTGGCCTCCTACTCCCATACCGCCTCATCACCGCAAAGCCAAAGTCATGACCCGGCAACGACAACACGGACAATAACCACAAAGACGCGCTCACCATCACCGGGCCCAACAACAGTATCCGTACAAGCAACAGGCCACTTCCAGCCAACGAGGCAACACGCTGCACCATACCACCGCTCTACATCACCCAGAGCGAAAGCCTTTCCCATACCAGGCGCGTCGCAACGAAGTAGGAGAGGCTCAGACAGCTCATCGGAGGGCTTCCACGAAGTCATGGGCGGGGAGAAGTGGTACATAGGCGGCAGGACCGCAACTGGGGAAGAGAAATTCTACAAGCTGGGCATGGTGAAGCGACAGAGGAGCGCGGATCGGTTGAGTCTGGACAAACTCAGTATATAAGCGAGAAGAATCTCTATGGCAAAAGCAGGATTGCATGGTTGGCGTTTCAAGGCGTATTTCGGTACTATCACATCTCAGACAGAGATCCAGTCACATGCGTTTAGAGCAGGGGCCCCCAACGGGCAAATTGGGTCAGGTCAGTATCACAATTGAGCGGTATATATTATTGAAGAACGTATATAAATCAACAGGCTGAGAAGCTCAAACTTCAACAGCAGAGTTCATCGCCGCTTCTCAGAGTCATGCACCGGAACCGAATGCCAAGATATTTAGTGCTCAAAGCCGACTCGTTATTCCCGGTCATTGACGACTCCTCGCACACCGCACCTCCCTTACTGAGCATTCAACAATGAAATTTGCCAATCATAGAGGAAGCTATAATTCGGGACGTCAGTGCCGGGCAAGCTTTCTGCGATACCCCTGTCGAGCTACTCCACCTTTCGGATACAGTCTTGTCGAGGCGCAAATTCTTCACGGAAAAGCCTCTCTGTGGACGTGCACCCAACGGCAATAGTCACCCAGCCGCGGAAAACCACCAAGCTAACGTATCAAGATAGCCCAGATGTAACCTAAATGTGTAGATCCTGACAGTTTGACTCAACCTGCATTATTTCTTCATTGCAGACTTGAATTATAACTTTCGCTTGTCTCGTACTTTTCCGAGGCATTGTCACTCTGCTCTCTTTCTTCCACTTCAATCGCTCCTTAATCACGCAGTCTTGCCTTCTATGAGTACACACAATGGCACCCTCTACCACATCCGCCTCAGCACCCGCTGGCCCCACAGCCACCGAACCTGAAGGGACAAAACAATACGCCTCCATAGTCCCCCAGGAAGATCGTCGTCTAGAACTCCAACGCACCATCTCGACCGTGAGTCACCATGACATGCCGATAGTCAGCTACATTGCCACGGGCGACAATGACGAAAAGTACAATATATTTTCAGTACGCCGAAAGACAATTATCCTTGCTATCATGTCGTTTTGTAGCTTCTTGGCTCCCATGTCGTCGACAACGGTCTTGTCTGCGGTGCCGGAAGTTGCTGAGACGTTCGGTACGGATGGAAGTATTATCAATGTGTCGAATGCATTGTATATGCTGTTTATGGGCATTAGTCCTTGTTTTTACGGGCCGTATGGGAATATCTATGGCAGGAAGTGGGTATGTAATGACCTACGAATACAATATGCCTGCCTCTACAGACATCCAAGTCTTGAAAATTTACTAACCCTCGTGTCTAGGTCTCTGTAGCAAGCGCCACACTGTTCACTGCCTTCTCCATTGGCACCGCCCTGGCACCCAACCTGGCATCTTTCTTCATCTTCAGGATCCTTACTGCTTTCCAAGGCACTGCGTTCCTCGTCATTGGTTCTGCGGTTATTGGAGACATCTACAAGCCTGTGAGTATCCCATATCGTTGCCTATCATAGAGTAGATTCCCTACTACTGCAAGCATACGTCCAGTAGCTTTCAAAGGAGCCAGCTAGTATCCACCCATCCCAACTCGAGGGAAACGAGCTATAACTACTGCATTCCGCAGCAGGTAACCCCTCAGCATCTCTCTGTACACGACTGACATGACCACAGACTGAGCGCGCAACGGCCCTTGGGTGGTTCATGTCTGGGACCTTGATCGGGCCTGCTCTAGGTCCCTTCATCGGTGGCATTATCGTAACCTTCCGCAGCTGGCGTGACATCTTCTGGCTGCAAACCGCCCTCGCCGGCGCCGCAGCTGTCTTTTGCTTCTTCCTGCAGCCTGAAACCATCCACGTCAAACGCTCCGAGGAACTCCAGGGCTTGCCAGCATCAGAGAAAGCGCATAAGATGTGGCAGTGGCTCAATCCCTTTCGCGTTCTCCGCCTATATCGCTACCCGAATTTATTCCTAGTCGTACGTCAACTCCCCTTTCCAACGAATCGCGAGTAGAGAGATCGAGTGGGTGGACAGTTTGCTAATATAGCACACGCTTCTAGGCTTTGTCATCATCTTCATTAGTATGGAACATGTACTCGCTCCTCACACCAATCCGCTACGTCCTCAATCCCCGCTTCAATCTGCAGTCCCCCCTACAGTCTGGACTCTTCTACATTGCACCCGGCTGCGGTTATCTCGTCGGCACCTTCGTAGGAGGCCGATACGCCGATCACATTGTCAAGAAGTACATTTGCATCCGCGGCCACCGCGTCGCTGAGGATCGCTTGCGCAGCTGCCTGGTCTTCCTCGGCGGTGTCATACCAGCGTGCATGATCATTTATGGATGGAGCGTGGAGAAGAGAGTGGGCGGTGTGGCGCTACCCGTGGTCATGATGTTTCTGCAGGGCGTGGCCCAATTATTTTGCTTTCCTAGCTTGAATACGTATTGTTTGGATGTTATGCAGAGTCGCAGCGCGGAAGTCGTTGGTGAGTCTCCATTTTTACATCCTACGTGTGTTCATCAACTAATATTTTCCAGCTGGAAACTACTTCATGCGCTACGTTTTTGCGGCTGCGGGTTCAGCTGCGTGTCTTCCAGCTGTTCGCGCCATTGGCGTAGGGTGGTTCTCTACTATCAGCGCTCTGTTCCTCGTCGCTGGTGCGGCTGCTACGTATGTGACTGCGCTGTATGGGGAGAGTTGGCGCGTAGCTATTGATGAGAAGAAGGCGGCAAAGAAAGAAGGGGACAATAAGGTGTAAGATATTACCATAGACGTCGCTATGTTGTTTGAGCATTTGGGAGTATCATGGCGTTTGCATTCGGACAAGGCGCCAAGGGCATGATCATTTGGGACATAATCGAGGGAAGATAATAGAGTAATGAGAGTTTAATAGATAAACAAATGATACCAAACGGCTTTTACCTCCAGTTGTCATGTGTGCTTCCACTTCTCAGCATGAGAAAGTAGAGTAGTGGAAATTATAGCAAGACGCTGCTGTTAGTCGCTGACACCCGCAAAATCCCGGCCACCGTGATTGGGTGCCAAGCCTCACCTCTCCCCGGCCAGCAACTTCAACTTCTTCCACCCATCGACACCTCTGACCTCACCGCAACCCACTGCCGCAACCATGCCTTCACACCCGTCCCACGGCGCGACGCCCGCTGCTTTCGTAAGCTTCTAGCCCTGCCATTGGCCCTGCCGTCGCCGAAGATGGGTCGGTGAGAACGTATGTTGGATGAAGGCTAACAGGTGGGAACAGAGCAAGCGCACCCCTTACAAGGCTTACCGGAGTCCTTTCGGTCCTCAGTACGTATTCTCGAGTTATTACAAGCGGATTGGGTGCCATTGGAGGGTGGAGAGAGCCGTTGGGGAGATCCAGTAGAAGCGGCGGAACAGGAGCGAGAGCACGATATAAGAGATGGGAGCTTAGCTATACGCTGGCATCAAAGCATGAAAGCAGATAGAATTGGGATCTCGCTCTCACCGGCCAGGCGATTCGAAGATGTTGGGATTTGAGCACGACTAATGCACCCACAGATACACCATCGCGAAGCATTACCACGGTATCACCGCCCAGACACTCATGAAGGCGTACGTTGCACTCCACAGGACACCCACTAACTGTCCCACGCCCCAGAAATTGACTCTTCGCAGTGGTGTTCTTGCCGGTGGCTTCGGCGGCGCAGCTGGCTTCTTCGCGTTCTTCTTCTTCGCTGAAGTCCCCACGGTCCGCGATGACATTGTCATGAAGATCCCGGTTCTGCGTGAATTCTTCAGGAAGGAGATTGCGCCCGAGGACAACCCATTTTAGATGCATTGCGTTTCAGAAGGGTTGCAATGGAGGAACGAGGAGGCTGACGGGGGACGATGTACCATACAAAGCGTGGCATGAGCATCAAGATGGAATAGCATGCTGTACATTAGCGGCTGCGATTGCGGAATAGACATTTCTTCTGGTCAATCCTGTGCAAGATGCATGCATGGCTTCATTGATCGTGACTATGATAGGCGCTTTAAGATGCTCCTTTTGATATCCTCTACATCTCCAGATCGTGGCCTATCGCGATTGTACTCCGCGCTTGCTACTCATGACCTAATTCGTGGGCAGCCTTCCTACGACCTCCGCCATCTCCGCATCCGTGTAGATCCTGAAGCCCTTGTCCTTGGTCACACTTGCCAACTGCACATTCTTGCTGTCTAGCTTCTCCTCCATAACCTGCTTCAGTGTCTTGAGCACGAGCACCTCGGCCTCAGGCAGGGTAAGCGACTTGTGGAATTCGTTCTGGAGCTCTGCTTGTGCACCCTCGGATCCGGATCCGATAGCTTTGGCATCGTAGCGGTAGAAAGTACCGGAGGGTTCGGCGTGATATCTACGTCTTCGTTAGATCCTTGTCCAAAGAGAGGTTCCGCGCGAAAGATAGTTTGAATATGTGACGTACAGACTCGGCCCATCTTCATCGTAACCCGCAATCAACAGCGCCACGCCAAACGGCCTACTCATGATGCTCTCCTCTCCCTCAGCACCCTCGCCAAATCGCAGCGCCAAATCGCATATCGCCTGCGTGCAGCTCTCGACGCGCAGTGGCTCGTTGTAATTGAAGGCGTGGTTCTGGCTCTCGACGCGGGCATGCTCGACCATGCTTCGTGCATCGGCTTGCAGGCCGGACATGGCACAGCCGATGTGGCGGTCGATTTCGACAATCTTCTCGACCGAGCTGGTTTCGAGGAGGGTGGATGTTACGCGCTTTTCTACGCCGAGGATTACACCTTCGCCTGTTGCTACCTGTACGGGTCCTTGTAAGCACGAGATCGCTTTAGAGAGGGCGAAGCGTGTGTGCGTACACCTATCGCTGTTGAGCCGAGCTTAATGGCTTCTAACGAGTATTCGACTTGGAAGAGGCGGCCTTCGGGCGAGAAGGTGCTGCAGACTTGTGAGTTTGCGAATCGAGGACAGGAGGGTATGGGTGACGTACTTGATGCCGCGATCTGAAGCTCATTGTTAGCATGGTTCCTACGGTGTCTGATAATCTGAAGTACTCACCATATTCGCTTCGTGCTATGAACTGCTTATATTAGCAGAGAGAGCTCTAGCGGGGCTTAATGAAAGCGTACCATGGTGGCTGTTTGTGTGGACGAGAATTGAAAGGCTGTGGGGTGAAGCTACAATGTAGTCGGCGAGAAAAGGAAGGTCGAAAGAGCAGTACTAGGTCACAGAGGCGGTATGTCGTAGACGTTGGTGTTTCTGAGCTGGAGCTTCAAGGCAACATGGAGCCGCGAGTTCGCGCTAGAACTTGATGCCAAGACATTACAGCTATCACCCTAGCCACATCAGCTACCATCACTTCTTCTACCCTATGACCTCGTTGCATTTCATACACATTCTACTACGTCGCTCGATGCTTTTTATGGCGTAATGATCGATTTTATGTCTACATCTTTCTATAAATTAATAGAACGACCCGCCACTACCCTGTGCAGAATAGTTCCGAGTTCTCTTTTGGAACACATCTATCGCATACCTGAGATCATTGAAGGAACAGTAATGAAATGTGTTGGGAGGCGATGAAGCATCTTGCTCATTTCCCACAGCAAGGCCCCTTATATCGACTCCGACCCTACGCTACCAGTGGGTGGTTGGAAGGCTCTGGTTCCGTAGCTCTTACATCGAAAATATGATCAAGCCCGTGAAGTAGCGAAGCTTCGTAATACAGACACTCCTTGGCGAAGTGCGGAGACACGCAGAATCGGCTCTTTTGGTCGATGGTATGTGGACTTCATGAATCGGACAGCCTAGCCTGTGATGTCTAGATTTAGCACACATTAAACTTATCATAGCCTATATTAGGCATTCTGGCATTGGCCCGGGCTATTTCTTGCGACTGAAGGTGACTCAGCCAGCTCCGATCTTCGAGAGAATTCATATAAATTCAAAGGGTCCTATACCTTGATGTTCTACTAATTGTCGACTGTCCTTTGTACCTGGAGAATAAGAACCACTTAAAGCGAATCGACAGTTGCCGGCACTCATCCTATCAAAGCCGGAACCGAACGGCCTGCCACACACATCACGAACCGAGCTGGAAACACGAAAGAAGGCAGCTAGTACACATCGGCCCTACACTGCCGCGTGCGAACAACGAGCCTGATTACATCCCCAAGCGATAGGAAGCCTGCGCGATGATGAAGGAGGCTCTACATCATCGTCCTGGGTGGACGGGATTGATAGCCAGCGGAACGCCCTGCTTTACGGACACTCTCTCGACCCAGGCCGCGCCCGATTTCTTGTAGTTGCTTCTTACTGTTTCGAGCACATGGCCGGCCTGGATCTAAGTATGCAAGCTACCCTAGATGCAACGTGTTCTACTTTTGGATCGGGATGGCCTCTAGCGTTGTCCAAGGTTTACGAAAACGCTACTAAGGTAGGACAGCTAATAAACTGCGGCAGCCGATAAACTACTTTAACTAAAGTTACCTATCTGTAAAAATAAGGCTGTAGAGCTACTTACAAAAGTTAGTATTATAAAATTTTATAAAGTATTAGTAAACAAAAGCTTGCAATTAATTTATACTATTTAAATTTTTCTAGAAAGTTAATTTAGCAGCTGCGCATAGTAGTTTTAAGTAAAAGCTGCAATAGCTGTAATATATCTAAACTACTACTTTTAGCGTTTATAATATAATAATACTTTGCTATATTTAAATTTACAAAATATAAAATTATTTACTTATATTTATTTGCCTTATTATAAAGTTTTTATAAAATTATAGCTTTTTTTTTTTATTGCTTTTACGCGCGCATAGTAGTTTATTTTTAAACTACTACTATACGCTTTTTTATAGCGCGCTCTTTAGTAAGCAATTGCACTACTTTTACTTTTTTTATAATTTTTTTTTTATATAATATTACTACTGCTTTTAGCTTTTTTATTTTTTTTTTTTAAAATTATTTAGTTTTATTTTTATATTATTTTACTATATTGCGCGCGCGAGCTTCTTAGATAGTTTTTAAATTTTAAAATACTATAGCGCTATAAAACTTTTTATATTATTAAAAATTTAAAAGTTTATTTTTACTTTTATACTTTTTTTTAGTTAAAAGCGCGTTACAGAAACTTTTATTTTTATAGTAAAAAAACTTATTTTATACTTAGAAAGAATATAATACAAAACTTAACTATTTAGCTTTAATTTTTATTTTATTTTTTATAGCAATTTTAAATAAATTGCGGAGCTAGTTTTAAGTATCTTTATTATTATTTTTTTTATTTATTAATTTTTAATTTTTTTATTATAGTTGTGTTTTAAATTATTGTAGTATAATATTAGTATTAGGTAGCTTAACGCCTATAGTTTTAAATACCTTTTATATATTTATAAAAGTAAATATAGTATTATAAGTAGCCTAAAATAATAAAAAAAAGTTGCTTTTATTTATAAAAATAAAACTTTAGCTATAATAAAAGTAGTGCAAGAGCTTAGTTAAATAAGTAGTTAAAAAAAGTAAAAAAAGCACTATATCTAAAAGTTATAAGCTGTAAGTTAAATAAAAAGAAAATATTATTAAAAAAATCTTATTAGCGTTGTAAAAGTTTATAAAATTAGTAGTAAAGTAGCTGCTATAACTATTAAAAATAAAAATTTTATAACTTGCCTGCGCTTTACTCTTTATACGCTAATTAAAAACCTGTTTAAACTAGGCTAAACTAATATTATTATTAGACTATTTAAAAAAACTTATTATAAAAAAAACTTAGTATTTTTTAGCTTTTATATTGCGTAATTAAGTGTTATAAAGTTTTTTTTTTTTTTTAAAAACTATACTTAAATCTACTGCGCTCTTATCTGCATAAATATATATTAAAATTATTATTTATTTTTAGTTGCTATCTTATAAGGCTGCTATAATTTATTTTTACTTTTAAAGTTACTTTAAAAAAACCTATTTAAAGCGTAAAGTAATGCTAATAAAAAAATTTTTTTTATTTATATTATAAATATAGCGCGCGTTAACGTTATACTTTTAAATTTTTAAATAAAAAAAGTTAAAATATAATTTATAGTTATATTTAGTATTAGCAAGGAGCCGTTTGCGATTAATCCTAGTAATATATTTAAAAATAAAAATATTATAATATTTTTTAAGAAATTACAAAATCTACTTATTAGAAACTTTTTATTTTAATAACTTAAAAGCGAAATTTTTTATTATAGCTTTTATAAGTAAAAGCCTGTAATTAGATAATTTTTATATATACTATATAAATTTTAATTCTTATTATAAGTTAAAATGCGTGCGTTGTTAAAACTTTTTTATATTTAATTATATTTTCTTTTAGTACTAATGTATTAAAGTAATCTAATTAATACTAAATATTTTTATAGCTGCGCAATATAAGAGTTGTTTTTTTAAACTTTGCAAATTAATTACTGCAATTATATTTAAAATTAGATTATTAGTAGTTAATATATTGCGGTTTAAAAATAACGTGTTAAGTTTATTTTAATATTAAGGTAGTTCATCAGCTGCCGCGGTTTATCAGCTGTCCTACCTTAGTAGCGCACCTACATCGTCGCCTTTTTGCAGAGATTCCACAGTCACCGTCGGCTCACTACAAGCAATACATACGTCTCGCCTACGGAAACCTGGCCTGGACGCTATTGGAAAACGTTGGTCACACATCAATGTCCTAGACGTCAAATTAGTCTGAAGGACACGACTAGAGAATCGCCAAGATTCCACTTTTCAGGGAGGAAAGGACCCCACATTGTCAGCTCCACCTTTCTAATAAAACACTCGCACTGACTCGAGCGTTGAAAGAGCTAGGGAAGCATGGTGGTGTCTGATTATCCAAACCAACAATTACCCTGCTCGGATCACTGCTCAGCTTCATGAAAGTCGGCTCGTGTTCCAGCGCCACAAATGCATATCCGAGCCGTCTGGCCCTCCCTGCTTAACCACATGGAGTCCATCCTTTATAGGTGGTGCTCAAATGAGAGCGTATACCCGAGTGACTCAGCAACGAAAATCTTATCTAACTAAGGCGGCATGCAACATCCTAGCTGTCGGCGATATGAGCTCCAGGCTAGTAAATTCCCGTCAGACTACAAGTGGCCAGAATCAGTCTCAAAAGATGATTTCAGTGTACACCTCCAATCTAAGCGTGCATGTCTCACGGAACTTACCATGATACCACCTGGGTAACCGAGCTTGCAAGCCCGATAATAACGGCATCATTGGCCAAGCGTCAAATAGAGCTTCGAGACTCTTCACCTCCATTTTCTAGTTGAAGGGCAAGCCGTGTGGGCGCACCCTTCTTTGGCAACTTCGTGCGCTTATGCAATCCGAGCTGACCGCTCTTGCGAATATCTAGACCATGGAGCACCCCCCTTTACGGTTCTGATCATGTCTACAGTATTATTCGGTCACTCTGTTTAACCACTTCATAATGGCTCATCACATAATCTACAGTCTTCTAGTAATGCAAACTTTTCTTCGGCTCAGTACCGCGCAGCTCCCAGCTGTATTGAAACCAAATGATGTGGTCACGTTCTTCTGTTCCCGTTGGTATCATCAATGTACGTTGAAAGCACCACTCATTAGAACAACTCAATCGCTGACTTGAATAGCCATCGTGAAGAACGACATACTTTATTTGTATGGTGGTATCCAGACCTTCAATGTACCCAACCTTACAGTAAAGTCGACAAATAACACACTTGGTTACAGTAAGTAACAATCCTCTCACGGTAGCCTTGTTTGTGACTGCTTACAAGCCCAAATATTCATGATCGCTCCTTGCTTCGTCGAAAAAAAGTCAACCTAGAGAGACCTTTCCTAACAGTAAATAGATCCTTTCCTTTTACAACTCAGCTTGAAGGACTCGTGGAACTGGCAAAACAATATTTCATGGCTTTCCTACCCCATTGAGAACAACCCCAGAACCGGTGCCCATGTCCGACACGCGATGACCAACGGAGCCATGTATCATGGTCCGTACAATTCCTCCAGTATATGGACTTATAGCGGTACCGTGTTTAGAGGCAACACATCTGTTCTCGATGCAGATGGACCCTATGCCAACCAGTATCCACTCTGGTCGTTCGATAATGAGACGCAGAACTGGGATCAGTTCGACCTGGGACAACTCAAAACACCGAGCTACGGACTCTCCGCGGAAGCACCAGATCAAGGCTTGGCCTTCTACCTGAATGGCCAGACTGACAACGGCACAGACCCTGATACATGGGTGGGTGGTGATACCACAACGCTGCTTAGCGGCATGATGGTCATAGACTTGGTTCACCAGAGGGCCACGAATATCTCGACCACGAGTATGAAAGACCCTCAACCTCGAATAGGCGGCGCTATGCAATATATACCTGGTCTAGCCGACAGTGGCGTGATAGTCGCGTTGGGCGGTAAGGTATATGATGGCATACAGACTACAACCTCTCAAACTAGAGGTCGCTTATTGTCCTTCGACAACATCGACTTGTTTGACATTGCGTCCTACCTAACGGACTCCCGCAGTAATGGAACTTGGTATCAACAGGCCACATCTGGCGAGGTCCCTCCTCCGCGCATCGACTCTTGCACTGCCATGGCATCGGCTCCAGACAACTCTACTCACAACATCTACATGTACGGCGGTTGGGATCCAACAGGCGATCAAACGAAGTGGTATGATGACGTCTACGTATTATCATTGCCATCCTTCACTTGGGTGAAGATGTTTCAAGCTGATTCACCACGCTATGGACATACATGTCACCTAGTTGGCCGCCAGCTTCTCACAATAGGCGGACATAACGTGCGCCGTAACATTACCAATATGTGTGACTGGGAACAACAGTCCATCGGAGTTTTAGACTTGCCCACCATGACTTGGGGTAGTATCTTTGACGCCTCTCATCAACAATATGAAATGAGCAAAGGATTGGTGGACAAGATAGGCGGCACACCCCAAGGTAGCAACGCTATGGCGATTCCTATGAACGGATGGTCTTCGCCTGCCTTGGAAGCGATTATTAGAACAAATCGGACCTACTCCCATCTCAACGGCACCATAGAAGTCATTCGACCCAACACCGGTACCTCCGTACTAAGCTTGAGCACGCGAACCGCAATCATTGCTGGCATCACCGTCACTGTTGTCACGCTGATCACCTGCATCGCTTGGCTTCTTTACATCCGTCACAAGCGCCGCAACGTGGCCAGGAGGGCTGAAAATTCTATGGAAAGAGATGGGCGTTTCAACATCTTCGAAGTTGAAGAAAAAGCAAAATACGAGCTATCGCCCGATGAGAAGAAGGTCTACGAGATGATCAGTACAGAATGCAGACATGAGTCTCCAGATACGGCTGTGACAGCCGAAGCCGACAGGGCGAATGCAGTCACTTATGCGGCAGAGTTGCCGGCGACTAACTTCAGCGAGGGCGGAAGATGGGGAGTGCCCATCATTAAAGTACCAAGCCCAAGTGCTTCGAGGCGAGGGAGTGCTGTGGCTGGTGTTCACTCCGGAAGGGGAGGTGGGAATATAGGTTGAGAACCAAAGACTTTGGATGAACTCATAAGATATGAATGCTACGACCCTAAGGTGCTTCTAGATGGTTTAAGAGAATACATGTGTTCAGGGCATCTGAATCCGACCTGTATCGAGACTAGTGATATGTAGTAGCGTCATCTAGTGCGGAACACCATCTCCAAGGCTCATAGGGCTGAACGCACAACCATCCTACACAACATACTAAGGTTACGCATCACCAGCATCTTGACTGATACGCCGTTGCCTATCTTAGTGCAATGTGGCTCTGCCAACTTCTAGTGCGCGTCATCGCCACGCACGGTTATTCCCGGCACGTGTATCGCTTCTCCTTAGTTCGGACCAGCTGTGTCCACGTCATCATTCCATTCCACGCGTTTTGGTCATCATCGGCGCAGGCGTTTTGGTCGCAAGTACGCATGAATTCTCTCTAGTGTACCACATCAGGCGACAGTCACGATCTAATTGATAACATATCGGACAGATGACACCGAAACGAAGAGTCGCGAGCTCAAAGAAACGAAGATTCACTCGGATTCGTGAGACATTTCTGTTTTGATCCTGAATGATACTTTATAGGTTCAATTTCAGGTCATGATTCTGTACACAAAGAGAATGCTATGCGACCATTTGAATCCAGGGTCATGATCGAAGAACAGGTTATTTTTACCCGGATAGCTACTAACCGGGACCTTTACGTCGCCCTGCGAGCCGTTGAATATTGGCTTCCCCACATCGACCAATGATCAGAAAAGCTTGTGCGAACTGGGCTTTGCTTGTCTCTCCACATTGCGGTTCTAGAATGTGTGGCAGCCCAAAGATCATCGCCAACACTACGGTACAGCAACATACAGCAGCTCCCAGTTGTGCCACGAAGTGTATAGCATCGCGCTATCATCCGATGATGTTTTCGAGAGTTCGTGCGTTCCAGCCAAATGAGCAAAGAACGGAGCCTGACGGGGACCTGATTTGCCTTGCGCGATCCCTGCATATGTTCTTTCCACCATCGTCACCTATTCGCTGTTCTGCGCTTTCCCCTGCGGCTAATGCACGCACCTGCCTATCATCGTGGATGAGACGTCACTGATCAATAAATATATCTTTTCTTCATTCCACTTCAATTTGTCTTCCCGCGCTATTCCCAACAACCTCCTACACCTTTTGATCGGCCTCTGCCCTTCAGTCTCTCACATCGCCCTGTTCCTCCTTTTACTATACAGCAACGATGCGTGTTTCTTCCTCTGTTCTTGCTGCAGCAAGCCTCTTGGCCACAGCCAACGCTGCCATCAAAGGCTTCAATTACGGCGCTCAGTTCAATAACGATCAAGCGAAGACGCGAGTCGACTTTGAATATGAATTCAACGCCGCAAAGCAACTTCCAGGAACAAATGGATGGACCAGCGCACGCCTATACACCATGATTCAGCATGGCTCCCAGAACACCGTAATCGAGGCAATCCAGGCTGCGATCAACACCAACACTACGCTCTTGCTCGGAATGTGGGCTTCAGCCGGCCAGCAGGTGATCAATAATGAGATTACCGCTCTCAAAGCTGCTATTTCGCAGTATGGCACTGCCTTCACAAACTTGGTCGTTGGTATTTCCGTCGGCAGCGAGGATCTGTACCGCATTACCCCAACTGGTATCGAAAATCATTCGGGCGCTGGTGCTCAGCCCAATGAGTTGGTCAACTACGTCCAGCAGACCCGTGCTGCCATTCGTGGCACTCCTCTTGAGGGCAAGCCTATCGGCCATGTTGATACCTGGACGGTGTACGTGAATGCCTCAAACAACGCTGTCATCTCCGCTCTCGACTTCATCGGTATGGATGCCTACCCGTACTTCCAGTCCACCATGGCAAATAGCATTGGTAGCGGTAGCCAGCTGTTCTTCGATGCCTATCACGCCACTGTCGGTGCCGCTCAGGGGAAGCCTGTCTGGGTAAGTGTCCGCTCAACGTTTTCTGTCACTCAAAACGTACTTCAATATATCACGACCGAGCTCTGCTAACGACTGAATAGGTGACTGAGACCGGCTGGCCGGTATCTGGCAAAACTCTAAACCAGGCCGAGCCCAATGCGGGTAATGCTCGCATCTACTGGGAGGATGTCACCTGCCAACTGGTCAAGGACAATGTCAACCTCTATTACTTTACCCTACAAGACGTACAGTACGGTAACCCGGTTCCATCATTCGGTATCAAGCCTGCGGGTGATCTTCTGCAGGTGCAGCCATTGTTCGACTTGTCCTGCCCTGCCAGCGCCAAGCCGGTAAGCTAGTTCCTTCCGCTCTTCCTTTCGTCGTCGCTGTCACCACTTTTGTTCTTGTTTCTATACAACCTCCCAGTCGCCTCTTCTGTGCTCCTCTACTTTCTGCCTGTTATCCAGTCACGTTGCGACTGTCCTTGCATACGTCCCCAACGTGTGCCAGGTTGGATCGCACGGGCTAATAGATATGCGAAGTCTTCGTCGGTGTCTATTACGGCGACCAGCAGAAGTACTGGGTTGCTGACAGGAACTGGGTCGTCTAGTACGGGAGCTGAGGAAAACTGCATAACATGTACCAAATCCATTCTAACAAGTAACAGCGCAACTAACTCCCACGATTTCGACAACCACGCCCAGAACCACCACCGTTCCTGTGATAACCATGCCAGCTATCCCTCGCGGTCTTCCAGAACCTTTCGAAGAGCCGCATTTGATTGTCCCCGTCGACAAGGCCGATCCGTCCAAGGTTGTGGGCGACGGCTACACCGCGCTACTATCTCCTACGGTATCGACCATCTTCTTCTATGATGTCGGTCCAGCCCATCAAGGCAAGACATGCACGCTCGTCTTCCACGTGCCACCGCCATTCAAGTCTTCAGAGTTCGCCCCGGTCCACATCCGAGCTCCTGGTGGCATAAGCGTGTCACGCCTCAGCAACCAAGGACCTGCAGAAGTCAGTACCATTGCTGTAGGCAATTCGACCCCTGTCGGGGTGGTACCCTTGGTTCAGGCTGGGAATCAATTCAATATCGCCAGCGCACCTTGCGAAGCTGGACAGAGGGTTGGGTATCAAGTCGATTCGCTTTATGGCCTGAGCATGGACTGGTTCCAGATGACGAATCCTCCGCTGGGTCTCTTCATGCTGGTGAGCTAGATTCGGTTTGGTGATCACACGAGTGGTTTGATTGTGGGTGAGGATGTTGATGTATTGCTACGACCTCGACGAAAAGTCCTACCTTTCTTGTTAATGTTAAAACTTAATGTTACTTTTGTAGTAGAACATTCCTTTTTTATAATTTCAGTCTTCATTTTGTGCTCATGCCCTTCTTAGTGTAATAACCTTTTGTTTCGCTCGATGATAAAACAGGAGAAATAATGATACGCAAGCGTAGCACCTCAACTACATGACCGCACACGCATCCCCAACATCCGGCTCACTATTTCGCCTTCTCCCATCCACCCTCGCCGCTCCAACACCCGCATCCTTAAACGACGCTGGCACGCTCCCAATCCCGCTTTTCCCCAGCGCAATAATCGCACTATTCCAGCCTGATCTACTCGTCGCAACGCGCCTCTTAGCCCCGAGCGTTCCATACGCGCAGGTAGCGAGCGAAGTCATGAATCCAAGAAGCACAACAACCAGAAGCGCCCGCAGTTCCCATCGGACTAGACTGCCGCAAATGTGTGTGCTCCAATGTTCGACCCGCTCGATCGTCTCTTGTATCCGGAAGTGGGGGTTCGACGGCATATCAGGGCGTGTATGGTGGTGGCGCTTCGGTTGGTGTTTTCCGCGTTGCGGACAGCGCGTCGATGTCGGTGGGCGTGGGTCTTGCTTTGAGTAGAATGAGGGTGTAGCGGAATGCGGACGGTGGGTTTGTAGTTGGAGATTTTGGGACGCAGCGGCGGTGGAAGACCGGGGAGAGAAGATGACGCATTGAGATGGGGATTTGGCGGTGTTATAGGCTTGATTGGAGTCCGTGGAGTAGGGTGGTTGGAAGGGCGTTGGCTAGCTAGCTAGCTAGCTGGCTTGTGATTGTTTTGTGTGGCTTTTTCTTTGTATCTTCTCTTTCTTTCTCTATACGAGGACTGGAATCGTGGAACAAATAAATGGCTGACTTGCGTATTCGTAGGTTCGCTTTGAGACGGTAAAGCTTAGGTGCGCGTAGGTCAGTGTGAATGGTCGAGTCGTGTTGGTTCGATAGGAAGGGCGTCGTTGTCTCAGCCAAAGATGCCAGCCACCATTTTCTTTCTATTATACCTCCTCGTATAGACGTGGCCCAGGCACAATGTTCTTTCCCCGCCGTGGTTGCTTTGGTACTCCATGTCATCGCCATTGTTCGTTCGTTCCGCATCCGGAACCCAGGAAACGGCTGAGCTTTGATTGGCTTCTCGTACGCGACCAGACTGAATGAACAGCTATGCCTGCTTTGGGCATGGGAGGTTTCTAGTGCCTGGAAAAGTTTGGGTTTGGTCATAGGGTTTGGCGAGATGCATGGTGTCTTTGCCTTACGGGGATCGAGGCCAGGGTCGCACCATCGCAGCTGTCAAAGTATGTCTTTGTTTTAGACATTTTGAACAGTGGATTATGCTCTGGACCCTACACGTGCTTATGCAGGTCTTACTTTCGCATGGGAGGAGTGGAACATTGACGTTTTGTTGTCGTGATCATGTCAGCGCTTGGCCCGGCGCATGAGAAACTAATGAGGTAGTTGCGATGACGGCCGGGATACTCGCGCCAAAAGCGGATGACTATATCATCGCCTGAGTGGGGGGCGCGAATGGGTCAATTAGACATGCTCAAGATCACCGCGGCGAAACCCAGGAATGGCGAGGTGGTATCGTTGAACGTGGATGGGGAAACGGACCCAACCCTACTAACGAAGAAGGGAGGCGCTAAAGCGTCCGGAATGTGAGGGCGATACATTTGATGTGGTAGCGAAGGTTACACATCACAATATAGGCATCTATACCTGGGACTCGAGGAATGACAAGATAGAAATTCTTTTAACGTGGCATGCACTTTTGGGACAAAACGTGAGGGAAAAGAGCGGGAGGAGCATTGAAGCAAAGTAGCCACAAAGCATTTACTACAAATGGAAGTCTATAGGCAAGAAAAGCAATGCGAACAGTACATGTACAATTCAAATACGTAACCAACATCTACAACGAAGACTTGCAATCCAAACATTTCGCAAACAAAAAAACAAAAGACTAAGCTGCAGAATCATAAAGCATTAACAAAAAGCAGTACAAGCAGCAAAGCACTACATCTTCCGTCTACACACAGTTTTCACTCATTCTAGTTGCCATCCCGATACATGGTCCACATGTTCCTCATGCGCGCAACCTGCAAGTCCGTGAAGCCCTCGTAGCAAGAGTCGACCGAGTAGTCCATGTAATTGTGAATTGGATCGGCCTCACCAGCCTTCTGCTGGTTCGGGCAGCTCCTCTTTGCAGGGTTAGTCGGGCAGCCATCCGTGGCCGTGAGTTCCGCAGGCGTATCGTCGATATAATCACCGGGGCCATCGCAGCTGTAGCCCTCAAAGGTATGGAGCAAGCCCATCCAGTGGCCTGTTTCGTGAACGGCAGTTTTGCCCTGGTTGTAGCCTTCCATTGCGCCGTTGGGCATGGTATTTGCGTTGATGTTGCAGCCGTCGTTGTAGTACACGGTGGGATCCTGCTTGCCGTTTGCAATGGAGGACGGGAGGGTACAGCGGCCGAGCACCCCTCCAGACAAGTCGGTCTGGAAGTACAGATTCAGCGTGTCGTACGTGCCCTGGCGGAGCGACTTCTTCATTTCCGTGTCGTCGGCTGTTGCACCTACGGCCCAAGCGTCGTTTGTAGTCCATGTCACGTTGATCAGGTTGAAAGTGATGTCGTACGGCTTGTATGATTCGTTCAAGCTATCAAGCTGTGCGGAAGGCATGTCGTTCGTAATGGTACCCTTATTTGCGTCTTTGGCGACAATGTGGAAAACGGCATCGATGGCGATGGGGCCGGTATTTGCTTTTGCTGTGTCGCGCGCAGCAAGGGCAGCGCGAGCGGCAGGGGAACCGGAGCTGGTCTTGCCATGGAGTGCTTCGATGGTTTTCAGGAAATCGTCAGAGGCGTGGGCAGTATCGGTGCCGCAGTCAAATGTCTTGGGGTCGCTGGCCGTAGCTAGGAGGCCTAGCGAGGCAAGGAGGAGGAGTTCACGCATCGAGTGAAGTACGGTAGCGAAGGTGGTAAGGAATGTGTTTCCAATTGCTCCAGAACACTTGTGGTACGTTTGCTGCCGCTTAGAAAGAATGTTTTGAATGTAAGTCGCAGATGAGTTGCACAAGTTGCGGATGCAACATGCGACTTATATCCTCTGCTATGAGGTAGTCTAGATTCCAAAGTTTCAGAATGTCCATGTGGGTTTATTTTGACGACCGCCGTATACATGGCCGGCCTTTTCGGCGCTGATTGAATGCGGTTGTCACATAAGACCTGTCTTGAGTATTACCCGCTGATACGGTTCTGACAGGAAGATTCACTACTATTCCCGAATTAGTCCTATTTTGGAAGAGTGAATACCAAACGTAATGGGTTACATTGACCAGGGGAAAACAAGACATCTAGTCTCTCGCTCATACACCGTAAACTCCAAGCCCCATAAACCGCATAATACATATACAATGCCGAGGACCCAGGGTTCAGTCATGATCCAGCAAAAGAGAAAGCGACTAGAAACCACTAGACACGTTATAGTAACTGAGAAAAATGGGTCCCTACTCATCATTATGCACCACCTACGTTACGTCCGGTAGTCGTGCCCGTATTAGGCTCGTTGTTCCATGTGAGGTAGGTGTGATCGCCAAGTTTCCTGTGAATCGGTCAGCATGGAGATCGATTTGCATGAACTTGCACATTGGCTGACCTTGGCTTGATGAGATGAGTGGCGAGGAAGACGGCACCGAGCAGAATGCAGAGACCACCCACGACAAGGTACGCAATGCCGAGGAAAGGATTCTTGCCACCCATGACGGTGCGCGTGGAGAGCAGAATTGATTTATTACCGCTGTACTTGTTCACCGGGAAGCCTAGAAGCGACTTAGCATATTTTGTCCCATGTACACACCAGCGATGAAACCTACGATCATAGATTTTTAGCCGGTAGGTGCCGGCCTTTAGAACATCATGGTCGTTCCTTTGCGCTAGTTTACTGAAGGTGGGTAATCCTGCTGTTCTCATCCAGACCTGGAATTCCTCCCAAGTGTGCAGGTTTGGGAGTTCCGTATTGTTGTAGCTACCATCAGGGTACTGCTCCTGCCAGTAAGGTGGAGGCACGACTTCATGTGACTTGTAAGCCGTCTTTCCATAGAGATCGCCTTCGTGACTCCACGAAGTGCCCGCTTTGGTCATGTTGTAGGACGTAGAGGCAGTGTTGCCATCTCCGGTCTGCTGAGGGTTCGCAGCAGTAAAGTTTCCAAAGGTGTCATTGAACATGGAATTTGCGATTAGCCCGCACGGGTAATACGGTCGGCCATCAGGGGATATACCGAGAGGAGAGCAGTCGCCAGACTTGATGTCGCCGGCAGTGCGCGCGGTGCCCTTTAGTTGCTGGGTGTCTATAGACTTGACGTAACGGCGGTGATTCTGGTAGAAATTGGTGAGGCGGTAGTAGAACAGAACGGGGGGAGTGATATCGTTCGGTATGGTGATGCTCAATATGCAGACACTAGTGTTTTGCGTCACGCCCGACGGCCAGGTATAGTTCTCGTAGGAATGCCCCCACTGAGGCTGCACTGTCATCGGTTGCTTGAATACGGCCGACACCCTGTCCGGATTTATATTTGCCAGTGTGCTCTTTCTTGAAGCATCGAAGTCTGCCTCGGTCCACGGCGCGGTTTTGCAGTTGGTGTAGTCGATGGAGAGCTCCTGGACCTGTTGGAGGAGTCAGTCCGCTTCCTCGTTATATGGCACCTAAGTCCTCACCTTTGCACTAGCTAGTAGCAGCAGCCCGCCGATGGGCGCAAAAATGACGCCGACAATGAAGAACAGCGGCAGGACCGTCTTCGGGGTTAAGATGGGTCTGTCGCCAGAGTCAGTCGTGATGCCAGTGTACGCATAACGTGTGTGTGCACCTACTGCCATGCTTTCAATCGCTGTTGTCGAAACGCAGTATCTAAGAATGCATCAGTACCGCTGTCCTCTGCGCGCCGCGTGTCCACCATGGTCGCTTACTCGGTGGTCTCCTGCTCTTCGTCTTCTTGGGCTCCTCGACGCGGTTCGGGTCCTGGCTCGATATGGAATCCGTGTGGTCGAACTGCTGTGCTTGCGACATTGTCGTGATTCCGCGCGATTCCGCGACTCCGTGGGTGGGAGAAAAGGTGTTGACGTCGGTCGCGGAGAGTTGGTGAGGACGCGGCGGAGCGTTTGAGCTTTGGCCAAGACTGTTCCCAAATTAGATGCGGAGCTTCACATCCCCGCCGGTCACCGAGACCCTGAATCTGTCATTCGGACTTCAGCAACGAGGCTCATGGGCGTTTTACAGGTCGTGGTAGTATTTAGTTCAAAGAACAAAGACCGTCATGTAAGGTGGTGGTGCAAAGCTGCAGGTTTTCAAGGATATCGAGAAGAATAGTATTCTCATCTAGTACTACCAAATGATAAAGGAGCCAGCATACACAGCGGCAGGATCCACAAGGGATCATAAACATCAATTCGTGTTGAGTTGGGGGTATCGCATGATGCAGACAAAAGAAAATGATGGGGGGAAAACTACAACAAAACGCCATAGAGGGAGGATCGTGCCAGTGCCGAACCATCCTGTTCATACCAACAAACTGTTCTATAATCAACAGTGAAAAATAAATAGAAAACGCCGTTCATGATTCGTGCAGCGGAAGACGGACAGCCGTCGTCTTCATTGTGCTCGCGTCAGTCTGAGCCAAAGAGTAATAATCCATAACACCGTCCCATCATATGCAACTTGACGCGAAAGCAAGGAGGAGGTCATTGTCCAAATGTCAAATGACCCGAGAGCGAAAGATCGCTGTGTGTGCGACGCAGTACATGTCGAAGCGAATGCGTTCAGAGATACTTGCGGAAGTAGTCTGGGCTGAACCAGCCGACCCTATCGTACGACTGCCACAACTTACTAGCTTTGTTGACGTCGATCTTGCAGGCCTGCTGAGCATCTGTCTTGCGGAATTCCTTTCCGATCTTCAATGCGTCAATGCGGGCTTGGAAGACACGTCGTTTGCTGCAGAGGTAGGTTGCGCAATTGAGGCGGAGCGTAGCGGCAAGCTGGAGCTCAGCCTCGTGCAGCATGTGGCGATCGGGATCATTAGAAAGATCGAGCACCGTGCCCTTCCATTCAGCCTTGAGGATTTTGCTGTTGCCCTTGGGGAGAGTGTCGAGGGGCGGCGAGTAGTCGGGAAGGGCATTGTAGTCGGTGTCGTCGCGGTTGGTGGCTGGCCGCGCAGGCTTTGGGGACGCCGAGGCTGGGGTGTAGTCGAAAGAGTCGTAGATTTGGGCCTGAGGAGTCCGCTTGGCCTTGGGTGCACGAGGCGCGCGAGGTGGCAGCCGTGCAAGGGGAACCTTGGGCTGACGGGGCCGGGACGAAGGCGCGGGAGCGAGCTTCTTCAGTGCTGGTCGCTTCTCGACGCCGCTTGGTCTTCCGTAGTACTGATCGAACCGTCGCTCCTGCTCCCACCATTTGCGGGGATTCTTGACAGCCAGATCAAAGACGGTGGAGCGAAAAGAGATTGCCAATTCGTAGTCCTCGCGAGAAGGTTTGCACTCTAGTTGGGCATAGTCGGAAGACTTCATGTGTTCGGCGATGATGTCTTGTGAGGCCGGCTCTGCTGACTCCTGGGGAGGAAACAGCGGGACATCAGCGACTGGAACCGCTGCATCGCCCGAGACGAACAGCTGGGGATCCCGCGAGCCCTGATCCTCCAACATGTCCACATTCTCTTTCTGCGACTGTGTATCGAATGGCGAAATTGGTGGCGAGGCGTAAGCGTCGCGGTTGGCGTGCACTGCTGCCTGGTAGGCGCGGATGTCGGTCTCCATGGCAGGCTTCAATGACGCAGAATTGAACGAGGAGAAGGGTGATTGGGGGTATGCGGGCGCAATTGAAGAGCTAAACGACTCTGAGCGCTTCATCTCAGGGGGCGAGAGGAGTGAGGAGACGGTGAGACGGTGGCTCGGGGGTGTCTTATACGGGGAGTTTGCCATTGCGTGGGGAGAGCGATGTTTGTCCTTGGTTCAAGCGCAACGTTGGGCGGTAGCGATATTTCAACTCGGCCAGGCAACAACCACCGAGATTGGGGGCGTTTGGGGGGGAGCGATCAATGGGGGAGTGTGACTGTTGCAAAATGCGTGGTAACCGTGGTCAGGGTAAACGGTGGCGGAGGCGGCGCTATATGGCTGCTCTCGTCAGAGAGTGAGCCGTGGCAGAGGTGAACCGTGGAAGGCGGCAGAATTGCAGCAATTGGCCGAGTCGGTGCTTACACCATCCACGGCGGGAAGACAATTAGTAAATGGGATGCGTGAATTGGAATTGGCGGCGGAGTTAGGACGAGAGTCGTGTTGGGCAGGCCAAACCTCCCCAAGTGTCGGGGTGGGCGGAGTTTATAAGGGCAGCAGACCCGCTGCGGTTTCAGCAGGCTACAGCACAAGGCGAACAAGGCCGGTGTAGTGTGACTCTCCCTTTGAGACACAGTGCCGCCCATGTGCTAGCCAACCGGGACAAAGAGGGTGTGGTTGGCGCGCCTGCGCTCAGGTGGCCAGCCTTTCATCATGCTCCAGGCATCATTTCATCATCATCATCGCCCATCATCAATCTGAGGGCGCGCCTGTTGCGCGCCTCCACGGCCGGGAGGCTGACGAATACAGGTCGCGGCCAAGAAGAGAATAGAATGGAGACGAAGGGGAGCCCCCGTTGCAGCAGCCAATTGCACTGCGAGAGAGCCGGGAGGCGGAGTTGGAAGATGGTCCAAAGGCGCGATGGGTCGCTGTCAGAGAGGATTGACTCATTCACTGCTGGTGTTGGGCTTGACTGCTTTGGTGATGCGCTGGATCCATCTCCCGCAAGTCCCCCTGCTGCCCGAACCGCATCTCTCTACTCCAGTCTACTACGCCAGGGCTCTCTACCTTTACTTGCTGCGAATACATACACGTCTCTGGCTCCCATTGAGCCCTCAGTCTGTCTGCATTGAGCCCTGCGAGCCCGGTACTGCAGACACCAATGGCCACCACGGCGTCCCAGCACTCGACGTGTCACCTCCCTGTCTAATGGCTGCCTCCCATTCGGATAATCTGACCATACCTCCATCTCAGTCGTCTGGTGGGCGCGTCACCGCTTCCGTCATCTCCTAGCCGGCTCTCCTTTCCGTCATGTCCCAGTCCATTCTGGTTGTGCAAGCTGACCCGCCGTCAATGCAAACGCGATGGTTCCACATTGCTCCACAAGCCACAGCAATTGAGCTGCCATATTGATGCAATGGCTCGCGCCAGGGCTGTCAGAGCCCAATTCACTCCACTTGCCTGCCTGCCTGTCCTCGTCCAGTGGCGAACTAGCAGAAATCTCAATTGCATGCTTCTCGCACACCCCATGACTGCAATGGTCTGCCTCAGCGCGGTAGACTCCGGACTAAGCCGCCAATCTACGCAGTAGTAGCTCCAAATGCTATGTGCTCGATAGATGGCATGGTCTTGTGACTTGTGCTAATCAGATGCGATCCTGCGCTACGCCATCAGCCACGGGGCTGCAGTTGACGCCAACTAGAGGGTCCAGGGCAAGTCAATGTCTCGCAGCGGGTACCAGGCAGCGCCTGCAGCACTTGGCCACTGCATTGCATTCCCGCAGGAATGCCATTGACCATGTTTGCCATCTCTCAATGGGTGTGTATGGGTGTATCCCGTGAGCCATCTCGCAAGCATGTGAAAGCTCCCTAGGCTCAGCTGGACAGATGAGCAGACAACCACTCCCCACGGCGTGAGGGCTGCGCGACTGGGGCGGTTCACGCATTGTCCCGAGCAAGCAGCTCACGAGATGAATGGCTCTTCACACCATCTTGGGGATTAATCCGAGGTCATCCATTCAACACACCCTAGTAGTACGTCCCTTATCGTCGTCTTATCGCTCTTTGTGGGGGAGGGGTACAATGCACTCAACAGCCCCTCAACACCGCATTGTTTCCCACTCTCGGATCATTTTGTTGCTCAGCGCTGCTGCCGCCTTCAACTCTTTGGGACTGCTCAAAGCCGCCAATTACCGCTTGCCACCAAACTACTTTGTCCTTTTGTCGCCCGCTCCCGGGACAGGTAGCTTTCCCATGTACCCCTCACCCATTCTGCCGTCCTCGTGTAAGCGGCCCAGACCGGTTGCGAGGGACACTGCATTGTCTGAAGTGCTGGCCGCTGATTGCTCACCATGCTAGAGAGCGTCTCCAATATTGCGCAATCTGGCCCTCTGGTTCAGCAGACGTCAGTTCATGGGCGCTTCAGTACAGTAGGGGGCGCCGCCGTCTGTTCGGCAGACAAGCTTGGCCATGTGTGCGGCACCTCTAGACGCGATCTGCTGTTTCAACTGCTGCACCCTGACCTGGTCAGCCCGATAGGCCAATGCTGGCAGCTGACCCTGTTGTTTGCGACCCCGGCTCCGCAGGCTGCGACGACACCTGGACGACCCTGCGTCTGCCACGCTTACAACCTGTTGTCCAACATTGCCAACTGTAAGATCATGTTTCGAGACCTGGACAGAAGCAATCTAGGCGGCAGTCCTGTCATTACTCTGTCGTCAATGGGCGTCAGGTCCCGACGTCGAGGCAGGTACGCCCTGTATTACCACAGCTAGCCTTGGTAGAACCACTCGCCATGCCCAAAATAGCATACCTCTGCAACGCAAGCAACTGGGCCGGACTAGGCAACTGCGGACGAATTGCCTCCCCGAGGATGACGCACGTCGTCGTCTCTGGGTGTGCTTAGCAAAGCATCGCGAGGGCCTCTGTGTCGTCTCCCGCATCTTCGAATCGTGACATCACAGATCATTCGATATCTGAATATCTCAATTTGCCATCATCTTGCAATCACCGTGTCGTCGTGAAATGCCGCTTTGGGCCGAACCATGATGGCCTGCGAAGATCTTCACGTGCTTTCGTGGACAAAGCGTCGCGCTATCCCGCGTCCCGTTGGCAACTTCCTCAACCTTAATCTGACCGACGGCCAATTTCCCCGCCGACGTCATTGTGCCTGCCAGACTTACCACACGATGCCTTCATGCAGCAGAACCCTGCCATGCCCGCGGCAGCCCTACCCTCGTCGCGCGCCTTTGTAACGCAGCTGTTGAATTCTTTGTCCGCACTTTCGCAGCACACTGCAGATGCCGCAGAAGAGTCAACTTTACTCAGTGCCGTACCCGACGAAACGAAGAAACAGCTGCTCTCGCTACAAGTTCTGTTTCCCAGTGAATTCATACCAGCACTCGACTTGCTCGACAGGCGACTGGTCACCCGCTTCCACATTGGCAGCGATACTCAGCAGAGTACAATCGATGTGGGACTTGAAGCAGAACTCAATCATCATGGAGACATTCAATACCAGCAAGAGAACCGAGTGCAGACAGGCGACGAGCCAATGAAGGATGCGGATCATGAAGCTATCACAACACCCGCATTCAAAGCGTCTATTCGAAACCCAACAGACAAGCAGACGGAGGACCAAACAATAGTGGACGTCCCTACACAAGGAGACAACACACCAACAGACCAGCAATCCAAAGTGTACTACGTACGCTCCGCCCAACAACGCTCCTCCCGCTACAGCACTTCTTACGACACAACAAGTTCCTACGAAGTCCGCCTCCAAGCCTGGAACTGCTCATGCCCCGCGTTTGCCTTCTCTGCATTCCCAGCCGTACACCCTGAGCCTCCAGCTACCCTATACTCTCCTGCCAATGTGGCCGATGCTACGGTAGAACAGCAGACGACAGGACAGGAAGAGCATGTCGGGTGGACTTTTGGCGGTGTGGGCCTAGGCGATGGGATGCCACCGGTCTGCAAGCACCTCCTGGCATGCGTGCTGGCGGAGAGGTGCAGTGGGTTGTTTGGCGCGTTTATAGAAGAGAGGCATGTCAGTGTAGAGGAAGCAGCTGGACGGGCTGCAGGATGGGGGGATTAAATCTGCGCGTCGCGGGTCCAGATTCTGTGGTTCTGCTGCATATGATACCCCGCCGAAGCAGCACGGCACTGACAAAGCATGAGATTGTTCACGGTGTTCACACACTAGTTTCAGTGAATTCAAGACTTTGAATTGTGTATTTGCTTTATCATCATGTCATCGATGCTGTGGCCATGGACGTTACGCTCAGCCCTCTCTTGACCAATCATCCCATGTGTGGTATAATACACTTCTACCGCAAGTAAGCGGTGGTCAAATCTACCATGTCAGAGCATTCCCTGTGTCATCCCCGCCGCTCAACCCTTCTTCTCTCCCTCCTTGGCCTTCTCCTTGCCCTTTTCGCCCTCTTTGACCTCGCCGTTCGACTTGTCGTCTTTCTTCTCCTTCTCGCCATCCTTGTCCTCGTCCTTCTTCGCCTCCTTGTCTTCCGCCTGCTGCTTGTTCTGTATCTTGTTCTCAATCAGATCGTGGAAGGCGGTTATCGCACGGATCAAACTTGACAGATAGATGGCCATCAGCTGATCGTTGGTTTTGATGCTCATCGCCCTCGCAAGCTCTCCGTTATCAACTGCGCCCGCTTGCCCCGACGCGGCTCCCACGCCGTTCGTTGCGCCGCCTACCGGTGCAGCCTTGGGTGTAGACAGATTCGGGAGCAGGTTGAATACGTCTTGTAGGTTTCCGAGAATGGCGTGGTTGACGGGCAGGTCTTCGTCCAGGACCTTTTGTAGGTACTGTCCGATGTCGCGCAACCGCAGGTGGAGGCCTTGCAGCGATTGCAGTTGTGAGGTTATGCGGGTAGAAAGAGTGCCAACGGCGACGTCGCGAATGTCGCGGAGGAGGTGCTCGACGCCAATCTCTTCTGCTTCTTCAGCTTCGATTATTGAGGGCGTGTGGACGAAGGTCTTTGAGGTTGTTGTGCCGTCCTGGACATTCTGTTAGCACTAGTCCAAGACAAAGATCTTCCACTCAGAAACTTGAGAGTCGTGTCGTTGCAACAACAATAAATTGGGGTGCTTACATCCTTAATCTCCTCAACTGCAAAGTATGCATCAGTCGGTACGCCCACCTCCTTGGGCTGTACATCGATGATGACAAGGAGAGGATTCGGTGTGTACCGCTTGAACAGCTCGTTGACCTCCAAATCCGAAGGCCGCAGTTTAGGCCCTGTGTGATACCAGCCGATGAGCTTCTCCCGCGCGTTGACCTTCTTGAACATGTCGTTCATTGACTCGACGTAGTTGTGATCCAGGAACCATACTGAAGGATCCTTCTCGTCTTCCTCGAACGGTACTATGAACATGTAAGCTTCACCCCATATTCCCCGCTCTAGTTGTGCTGCGCAGGCGGCAAACTAGGTAGTGAGGTCTACATACCAGCAAAGCTGTTCGACACCCTTACATCCTTGCCATCATTCTGTCCCAGCAGTACACCGACTACTCGTTTCCGCGTTCCCTTGGCTTGTCGGCCGTAATGATCTGCTGCGGAGAGGAGCACGAGAGGCGCGACCGAGACGTTGCGGGTCACGAGTGACAGCGTCTCAGCTGTTGTGGCGGGCATCTTTGTGACGTGCTCTCAATATGGGCGGAGATGGGAAGGTATGAAGTCGGGCGAGGTGGTAATGCTAGGCTATCTCCGATGGCGGGTATTGTTGTGACGGTGTTGATGCGGCTCTGCGATGTCCATCGAAGCTTTCGGAACTGTGAGATGTGACGTGGTCCAAGCTTCCACTAGCAATCGACAAGGCGTCAGTGAACGACGTACAAGGCCAAAGAGCTGATTTCATACTTATTAAAGTGTGTGATGGTTGCTTCGACAACAGAATGAGACAGGTTCAATGTGAGAAATGTTGTCCGATTGAAAGGTATGTTAAAGGGTATAATGTACACTACGAAAGTTGAAGAACGTAACGCTTGCGAAACGACCAGACCAATCCAGTGATCCTGAGGCCCCCGGGTCCGCGCCTCTACTAAATAAACTCATAGCCCAGCCTATCCCTAATGCATATGCGACATTACCCAACTGCTTACTTTCCCCCAAAACCTGTGTCAGAATACAAAAGAAAAAGAATCGACTACATCGTTGCTGTTGAGAAGTAGTACTGGTCCCAGAGGAACTCATAGTCCTCAATCACACCGCCAACCATGTCTAGAAGAGGCTTACCCTTAAGCTTTCCAGTGATGCTGTGTATCCAGGACCTGTGATGTATTAGCAAAAGCTCAAGTATTTCGGTTCAATGCACTCACTTGGTGATGTTCTCGTAGAAGGCGCCACGCATCGCCCACCAGCCGAGTTGCCATCCTCGCTTCTTCAGCTCCTCGCGCTCTAGCCCAGTTAAACCTCTCAGTCCCCCGGCGAGCCTCTCCTGGAAGTCTTTCTTGGCAAGTTGGCGTGCGCCGTATTCGATGCTCACACCGATCAACCATGGTCGCCAGCTCTTCCTGTCGCCGCTGAAGTGTTGCATAGCCAAGGCATAGATGACCGGTCGTAGAATGTATAGCGCTTCCGCCAGTTCGCCCTTCCCACTTACACGATGTAATAAAGCTTTCGGCGGCTTGATATCATCCGCTGTAAGAACCTTCGATAGTAGGTAGCTTGATATATCTGACGAATCTGGTAAACTTGGCATCGATAATCCTGTCCTCGGCATCGTCCAGTTCTCTGCCTCCACCGAGCCCTCACTCGGCGGCGTATCCATCCCATCCGCCGACGCCGACGAGTCTTCTAATGAGCTCGGATCAACCTCCCTCTGTGGTAAAGGAGGCGATAACAGTGGCCTTGAGTTCGTCAACCGCAGCAGCAGCAACCGACACACAGCCTTAACCACCTCCAGCAACACAACGACGCGCCACCGAACCTTTTCACCCTTCCTCTTAGCCGCCATTTCCCACAATAATTCGGTGTACTGAATCATCTGGAGAACCAGCGCAATGCGCTTGTATGTCGGTGAGTTCTGCGTCCAGAACTTGGTGTATCGGTGGTGCGGGGTGAGAGGGTGCCGTCGCGTTCCTGGCATCTGCGCCATTGCCTTCGCGAGGAGTGAATCATGGTACAAGGAGAGGACCTGAACACCACTGTGTACTAAGTCTTTGTCAGTTGCAGTGTTCGCGCGATAGCTATGCGTAATACATACACGACTCGGATGCGATTTCAGACTCTCGGAAGCGCCCTACATGAAATCAGTATCTACTTGGCCAGAAAAGTTCAGTATTATATTTACCAGGAATAATATACGTCAAAGACCGCAGCGCCGACTCGATCTGCGACACAGCGCTGCTGTTCTTGGTGATGAAGTCGGAGTACATGCCCAGCCATTTCGGGGGCAGTGACAGCACCTCTGACGTCGTCTGCGTCGCCTGTTTGTACATTGTTGTCGTCGCACCAGTCGACAAGCGACTAATATTGGATTGTGAGGCGATGGTTGGGCGTTGGTGTTGAAGGATGTCTGGCTCTGGGGAGGCTGGGCGCGACGTGGAGAGGGATGGGGGTGAAGTCATGCTGCCGAGGTCCGACAGCCTAGGCTTCCCCGGACAAAGCATAGCAAATTCCATATCGCTCTTCAACTGAAGCTCTCAAACGACAAGCAATACTTCTCCTTTCCGAAAGAGATATCTTCAATACATGCTAAAGCTATAGGTGCTTGGAGTTCCGGTCAATACGCCGGTGCAATGTTATCTTTCACATGCGCCAAAACCGCCCTTTCCACTAAGAGCACTTCAAACGAGCCGCGAACATCGCCCGAGAAGGTATATGCTATGATATAGAGGATACCAAATCGCGTCTGCGTCAGCACGATATCTTAGTTGTCCAACGTCGCGGCCAAAAGGGCGGCAAGTTGACCATAATTGGGTAAGCCTCCTGAGACATGTGACTACGCGTATCACACCAATCTCCACCTACAGTCGCGTTTAGCCTCACCCGGTCAACTATCTATTCACCGCCTAAATATTACAAAGCAGATCTTATCTCTGACTCTTACTTTTGTTACCTTCCTCTTGTTCTCATTACTTGTCAGGATTGGTTCCCAGAAGCGTCCTAAAAATCTAGCCCTCAGGAATCAACTTTAGCGACGCGTCAAACCTCCAAAACACCCTCTATTCTAAACAAAATAAGTTCCCATTATGAGCACTAGCGGAAAGTCATCGCCACCTGTTCCGCAAGTTCCAGTTCAGGACAAGGACCAGGAGCTCCTCACCTCCATCAATGCCTTCGTCCACGATTACATGTCCAAATATGACAGTTCCCACGATTACCTGCACATACTACGCGTCGTCTCCAACGCCAACCGCATTCTACAGGCCGAAATCAAGGCCAACCCATCAATCACATATGACACAACGACTCTATTCCTGGCCGTGCTACTACACGATGTAGGCGACCACAAGTACGCAATCCCCGGTGAAGATGCCGAGAACCAGATCGCAACTGTTCTGAAGGAGAAAGGGGCAAGCGAAGGTCTGGCCCTCAAAGTTCAAACCATAGTCAAGAATGTCTCCTACTCTCATGAAGTCGCCAATCCCACGTCTGTTCTCGCCACCCTCGAACAATATCCCGAACTGGCCATAGTGCAAGACGCAGACAGACTTGATGCGATTGGCGCTGTGGGCGTAGCGCGCTGTTTCTCGTTTGGGGCCGCCAAGTTCCCTAAGCTACCCATGTCGAGGGCTGTTGGTCACTTTGACGAGAAGCTGTATAAGTTGGCGGGGATGATGAAGACACGTAGTGGGAAGGAGATGGCGCAGAGTAGGACCAAGGTGCTAGAAGACTTTGCCAAAGAGTGGGCTGAGGAAACGGAGTTGAGCTTCGAGCTACAGTGATATGAAACATAGCGAGTGCATGCATGTTAGAAGATTTTAAGCAAATCAAGAGTTCTGGAAGGGTGGTTTGCAATGGTAGAGCTTTTGCTAAAGTCAATAGACTTCTGAACGATCGGGCTCTCTATCAAATTGCGTTCGCGCAAACAGTCTTCGATTTGAGCTATCATACCATCATCAATCATCAAGAAAGTGATACAGTCGTTTGATGCATACTCCAGCTCCTAAAGCTGGATCTGTCGAGTAGCAGAGTTTGTTGATTATATTGAGCATTTGTTTGTTCTCTACACGCGCCGTTGCTAGTTGGAGGCAACGATGGATCGCACTGTTTCAAGTTTCACTAGAATCATAGATTGTGCCGTTATTTAGTTGAGGTCAAAAGACGAGAGGCATGATGAGGGTTGGGTGTCAAGCTTGGGCTTGGAAATACTGCAGTAAGCTGCAGTGAGCTAGCCACGCGGCTGACAAAAAAGAGCCGACACCAAAATCCTTAGCTCACCCTACTACCACCAAATTTTATATTTATTAAAAATTTATGCAGCATTTAAAAACTTAAAAAGCTTTTATCTTATAATTTAGGCAATTAAAGTTAAATATATACGTTGTTTTCTATTAAAAAAACTTAATTTTAGGTTGAATTTGTAGTAGATACAGCTTTTGGTGTAGGCTCTTTTTTGTTAGCCGCGTGCTAGCGTGTCAAGTGGGAAGGGGCACCCAACGAAGCGAGCTCTTCATCGTTCTCCGGACCACGGCATCATCCTCCTGGGCATCAACATTTCCAGTGGTACCAATTATCTTAGGCTCGTATGCTCCTGCGATCATACAGAATCGTCCCAGCGCACTGTCTTTTATCCCTTGTATCCATCCCTTCCCTCATTCAATCTCGTTTGTACACTCCCATCATGTTTGGCTTGCATTTGACAACAAGGGGACGGGCGCATGAAGCAGGCAGATGTTCACCACTATCTTCACGGTACTCCGCATCAACATGCGATTGCTCACCTTCCGCCGCAACGTCATCTTAAAGACAATCTCAGCCATCAACATGCAAGCTGGTATATCACCCATCTTGAATATGGTGTCACAAAAGCCGAATCGTCCTCATTCGCGTATTACGGCCCTTCACTGGTCAATCGTAGACTAACGCACGCCATACCTGCAAATCTCGACTGTCATAAGTTTTCTGATTGATCGAATGTTAAGTCTTACAGATCAAATATACACCAACTGAGAAACACGCTACTGTTCCAATGGAGGTGGTCACGGTCGTACTAGGATTCGCATCGCGCCAGCGTGGGTATATCGCACGCCATTCCCCAAGAAAGCACTCCATGGTTCATGAACTGCAATCCACGATGCTCGCATATCTAGTCCCCGCGCTAAAATCCGCGTCCAGGCCGCCGCAGTAGACGCCACACTCTCTTTATCTGCTGGCATTCTTTACCGCTAGGGGATTCAAGACATTCCCATGACGTCGCCTAGGCCCCGTCGGTCTACGATCTTCTATGAGCAAGACACCAATACATCGTCAGTTATCTAAAGATCACCGTACTGGTTTGCTGGATTGCGTCAACTTAGGCTCGATCTCGCGCTGGGAAAAGCAATACCAAGCCGTAGTATCAAGCACGTCGGATCGCTCCGCACAGGAGTATCATCTAGGACGTTGCCTATATAATCAAAGGGGTCGTGTTTAGAATTTCAAGGATCTTGCTGTACTATCATAGTCTTTCTGCAGATAACATAAGTCATGGATGCTCCAGCACGATTCTCCTTCGACCGCGGTGTGCCTGCCGCGCAGTACGACGAAATGGTCCGTCGTGGATCCATTGCGAAAGGAGGTAGGACGGGCACGACATTCGTGTCCAGTGGTGTCGACGAGGAGTTCTACAAACCCATCGCCCAGTACGAAGGCATCCATCGATACGACCCCTACTTTGAGTGGGAACCCCAGGAGGAAAAGAAAGTTGTCCGCAAGGTATACGGCTTTTCAGACACTGATAGCTCTATTAACTGACCTCGATACGAATAGGTCGACAAGCGAATTTGTACATGGGTCTGCCTTATGTTCTTCGCTCTCCAGCTTGACAGAGGAAACATCACTCAGGCTTTGAGTGACAACATGCTGGACGACTTGAAACTCACTACGAACGATTACAACTATGGACAAAGTATAGATGCTTTTGTCAGACTGCGGAGAACCACGGCTAATTTAGTTTAGCTATCTTCTTCTTGTCTTTCCTCTGTGCTGAACTACCCTCGCAACTCATCTCAAAAAAGCTCGGACCTGACCGATGGATCCCAATCCAAATGGTCGCTTGGAGTTTAGTCGCTGCCATGCAAGCATTACTGAGCGGAAGAAGCTCATTCTACGCTTGTAGAGCTTTACTTGGCCTCATTGAAGGTGGCTTCATTGCAAGTTTGCCCAGGTTGTTGCTTTGGAACTTGCTGACAGGCAAAGCCCGACAATATACTCTACCTGAGCTACTTCTACACCGGCACTGAACTGCCCAAGCGCCTGAGCTTCTTCTGGGTTTCATATCAGGGGACTAATATCATCGCTGCATTCCTCGCTTTCGGAATCCTGAGGCTTCGGGGCCATAATGGAATGGGAGGCTGGGTACGTTATGCCTCGAGTAACCTCGTTTTAATTCTCAACTAACTCCTTAGCGTTGGCTTTTCGCCATTGAGGGCACCATTACCGGCATCATCGGTATAATTTCGTACTTTTATCTCCCCCCTTCGCCAACGCAGACTGCTAGTAAGTTCCGCGGCAAGGATGGATGGTTCAACGAGCACGAGGAAAAGATCATGGTCAATCGCATACTGAGGGACGACCCCAGCAAAGGAAAGTGTACCATATAACTTCATTCGTCCAAACCTAACAGATTACACAGGTGATATGCACAATCGCCAAGCTCTCTCGATTAAAGCCATCGGTCGCTGCCTAGGGGATTACCATATGTGGCCACTGTATCTAATCGGTCTCTCTTGGCTGATTCCCAATAACCCTATGCAAGCGTACCTGACGCTCCAGCTTCGCTCAGTCGGATTTAAGACCTTTGAAACGAATTTGCTCACCATTCCAGCGTACACCTTGTTCATCCTTCAATTACTCTTCTGGACCTGGCTCAGTGAGCGCTGGAACGAGCGCTTTCTAACAGCAATGGTGAGCCAAATTTGGACTTTACCGATTCTCATTGCCCTCGCGGTGCTACCAAAGACAACGGGCCCGTGGGTTAAGTGGGCGCTGAGTTGCTTGCTTGTGGGTCATCCCTACATGCATGCTATTCTCGTTGCGATGGGTTCCAGGAACGCGGGTACTGTCCGAACACGAACGGTAGCTTCGGCACTATACAATATGAGCGTCCAGGCCAGCTCGATCATTGCCTCCAACGTGAGTCGTGACAGTCTCTCCGAACCGCAAGTGCTGACATGTCCTAGATCTACCGCAACGATGATAAGCCTCTCTATCGTCGCGGTAACCGCGTGCTCATCGGCATCTGTGTGTACAACATCTTCGTTTTTGTCGGCGCAAAGCTCTACTACGTCCATGTCAATGTGAAGAGAGACAAATCCTGGAACGCGAAGACGTCAGAGGAGCGGCAGCACTACCTAGCTACCACTACGGACAAGGGAAACAAGAGACTGGACTTTCGCTTTGCACACTAATCCATCATCTTACTGGAGATCAACTCGCGCAGGTGTAGGACACAGCATGGAACCAGACGGGCAAACCACAGGATAACATTCGCTTAAGTGGTACGATCGCATTATATACGCATATTTTGATTTCATTGCTCGCCATCTCTTAATGTGACAATCCGAAACCACCTAGTCTCCGCTTTCCGCTACTTCAAGTTCTCTTACAGAGCGAACTTGTCTATTCAAGCCATCGCACAACTCTCTTACAAAGCGAAATATCTGAAACTTACTTATCCTCCGTTTCTTTTGCCTCAGAGACACGCAGTTGGACCAACCTCAGTTGAGAAAGGCATAGCCCACCTGTCTACCTTTCCTCAAAGATTTACACCACACCTTCCGTGAACTCATTGAATAACGTAATCTCTTCAAACCTGTGTGCCAACTGGTCAACGTTGGCAGCTGCAGTGCCTGCAATAGCATGATCCATATCAACTGTCCATCCATGTTCCGTTTTGACAACCTCATTTTCTTTGGGGGAGGTCTCATCCTTCAATCGCTCTGTAAACTGAGTAGCTTCCGTGCTGCTTATTGCACCTTTGTCATGTGCAATCGCTAAAAGAGCCTGCATCGTCACATTGACAGCTTTACCCCCGCCCATAGACCCAAATACATGGAACAACTGCATGTAGAAGAAGAAGTACGGACGTCGCTCTGGGTCGAGCCTGTCGTGGAGAACGGCGTTCGCGGCGTATAAGATGGAATCGGGAAACATTTGGTTGTACTGAGTGGGTTGGTATTGGTACGTATATTCGAAGATCAGACCTTTTGCTCGTGTTAACTGGATAGATACAACCAAGAGGTGGCTTGTTTACTTTTTAGCTGTTTTACAGATGCCGCAAATATTGAGGTTGGCGAAGCCCCCTGTGGGAGATAGGATCTGAATCTGTGCTGCTGTTCCGATGCAATGAACGGACGAAATATGTCTAATATGGCAGTGTGGATGGTCATACTAAATCATTTTGATCAGTGTCTTGAAACGTGACCATAGTATACTAATATGAAGTAGCCATAGCGAAATAAGGGAGTAGGATTCGGTCTCGACTTACTGAAATATTAATACATGGTTTGTAGTGCGCCTACTCCGGTCCATTGTTTGAGGTAATTCATTGGCTAATTGAAGAATTCTAGAGTACTTCGAGAGCGCGAAAGCTAACGAGCCCCCACTGCCCTCTTGACCTCGATAAATCAAGTAGACTTGATTGAGAACGGTCCAGATCTTAGCAAAGTTCGAGAGAACCTTGTCCATTTCAACCAACTTTTCTCTCAGTGCTATTGATTCCCGCGTAGCATCTTGCCTAGGGACACGATAGATGCTGAGCTCTGCAGGCATCGGGAGTTTCGGTGGATAGACTATCGGTGACATCAGGTAAAAACGAACTGCATGACTGAGGGTGCCATCAACGTCTGATCTGTCGAGATATAACAGAGGAATGCTTACATGATCATATTGAAGAGACCCCACGCAGTTGCACTGGTTGCTACTAACGTCTCTGGCGAAGCTGAGCTAAGCTCCTCATGTACTTCCGGGACGCCAAATAATTTCATTCGCTCGGCCGCCTGCAAAGCCGCAGTCAGAAATTGCATGCCTCTCATCCCTTCGCCATGGACTGCTAGCGATACGTAGAGCAGTACTAGGCCAGCAATGGTTGGAAGCGAGTCAACGTTGTCTTCTGACTGGAACAGTTTCACCGCTTCCTTCTCAAACGCATAGCTATTCTTCGACCCTTTAGGATCCAAAGGAGCATCGTATAGCTGCTCTTTTCTCAGTTCTTACTCACTACACGGATGCATAAACTTACACATGCCATTGCAAGCAAAGAGCTTACCATGACTGAAAATAAGGGTATGATGTCAGTGTAGGTCTCTCATACATCTCGTACGCAGAGGTTACGTACAAGGCGAGCAAAAGTCTAACCTGAACTCGATCAGGTCACGCACGAACAGTCCTGCGTCAAATGCGCCCCAGACATGGTGTTGTGCTTCAAGATACAACGATATGGCACCGGCTGCCTGCTCATTTGAGATTGGTACGGTCGTCCAAAAGTCAATCTTCAAATGAGCGAGTCGTGGGTCGAAATACTGGGGCGGTTTCGGCTCGGCACTGTTTCTCGACCTTTTACTAGCACCAAGATCTCCCAGGGCAAAAAGACCAGTCGCTTGATCGCTACTTGGTGGGTCATGAGGCAATAGTGTGGATGATGGGGAGTGAGATAGAGTGGCTTGTGGAGTCGAAGATCTCCTAGGTCTCACTAATGTATTACCAGTGGCTTGAGCATGCTGGGATAGATCGACCAGAGGAAACGCACTTGGGTGACGGATAAGGAGTTCGAATTCGCAGTTGGATTGGATTGGTGGCAATATACTCCGCGCCATGCGTTGCGCTGAAGGTGTAGTTGCAAAATTCTCGCTTTTGAGAGATCTCAGTATGACAGCTGGGTCGGATCCTGTTCTGAGGCGCCGTAGAATATCTTGTACAGTCGTTTGTGGTATATTCTCAAGGAGACAGATGATCTCTCCATAGGCGGCGATCTTTTCGCGCAATGTAGTGTTCTCGCGCTTTAGGATGGTGGGCCGCATCTCTTGGTCCTCTTGGTTCATATAAGTGCACTGTGATTGCCTTTTTTGGCAAGCAGTACAAGCGGGTCGGACTCCATCACAGCCTGCCCTTTTCTGTCGGCAGGCATCACAAGCTACAGATGTTCTCTTGCGCTTTAGATTCAAGTCGGGCTTGCGTGGAGGGGAATGCTGCGTGGCCGCCGGCGCCAATGTCCTGAAGTTGTGTTTCTCCATATTGCTAGTTCATTGTCGGAAAAGACGATTCTTGGAGAGTCCGGCAGATCTTTTACAGGATTGGCATTTTTATGATAGAGAGCCAGAGGAAGAGGAGAGGAAATCGGCGCCAAGTCCGCCGGCCAAAGAAAGTCGGGAGAGACGAGGCGCATGCATTGGCCAGTCAGATGCAGCTGCTTAATCCGTAAACGTGAAAAAGACAAAAAGCAATACATGAAATGCATTGTGTTGCTCATAAAGCCTTGGCACACGTACTTGACTACAATCCTACTCGCTTTGCACCACTAAGAAGCGGCTGCTATGTTCTTGGTCAGCCGCGGGTGGCTCTTGTGCGCCGAAGCGATCGATCAGCGGTGACTTGATACGTCATATGTGCGACGAACCATGTGGAAACATTCATGGCCTCAGAAGTAGCCGTCTGAAACTCGCTGGCAGCTGTGTTACGGCTCGCGCCTAAATGAGATGAGATGAGAAGAGCCAGCGCTACTATATCATTCATTTTGTTCCAGCCGACATCCGCTCCACAGAACAGCCGAATATCAAGGCACTGAACGGCCTGGGTTTGACATGCATCTACACTGACTAGACATCAGTTCGCATCCCTGTAGTCTTCACTCCAACTAGAGGCCTGAATGGTCTAGTCTTAAAGCCCTGATTTGCCATACAAGAGAGGATGCGCGCCGACGCCCAGCAACCTTTTGTCCACGTACGTGTTCAAACACCGCTTCTGGCGGTTGATGATAAGAAGACTGCAAGGTGCTGAGGGGACTTGGGCTCGGAGTGGGGGTCCAGTGTGTCTTGTTTTTTTCCTATAGTTTAAGCGATTGTAGGGACAGGTGCTCTACTCCATATAGGAGTGTGATCTACCTATTTAGCGAGCAAGCGAGTGATGTGGCCAGCGAGCGGCTAGTTATGACGTCCCGGTTCGCTCGGCCATGTGTACTTGCTCCCAGATTATTCATGAATTTTTAAGAAACTTTTACCTTACAGTCAGCTCTTTAGTGGAGGATTTCAAGCTTCTCTCCAAGCGTCACCAATGCGCCTTAACCCAGCGCGACAGGATCACACCTGCGTGTGACGAGTCGCATGTGATTCTTCGATCAGTGTTGTAAGGCCATCTAGCTCCATGAAGGTAAGGTTGCGAGTGACGACTGGGCTCAATGTTGAAGTCGAATGTAGGTGAGGAGGCGGGTTTCGAGCAGTGGCATGGTGATGTTTGGAGAGCAGTAGACTGCCGGAATACTGGTCAATAAGGTTGAAGGCCCCAACCAGTGTTACTAGGCAAAAGCATGAGTAAAAGTCCTCAGTGACTTTCAGCGTGTCAGAGACCATGCCTCTGGACTGACCGTATACGAGCAGCGCGCTAGTACGCGCGGTCACATGTTGAATATTAGGTGATATGCTAGGGAGAATTGCAAGATGAAGGATCCCATGCCGCTATAGCAAAAAAGTCCTACCATGATAGTACTGTGAGGGTATCAAAGCAGCGTTGATGGTGGTTGCTTTTTCCTGAACGGTTACTAGGCTGGAGCTAACGGTGCGCGCGGCGATGACGCCCTAAGTACGGCAGGCGGAACACGTGCTCAACGATTGGCTGGGCATTGGCTGAAGGAAGCTCCCCACCAGCCATCCAGCTTCTTGCTCGACACAGAGCTTTTCTGCCCTGCCGTTCTTATACCAAGCTATTGCTACATTGGATAGCAATTGCTGGTGCTACACTCTTTGCATTCCGCACCCTTCGCTAAGTCGCGAAGCCTATCATGAAGTTTGGCACAACGCTGCGCAGGAGCGTCTATGCCCCATGGAAAGACCAATACATCGACTACGATAAGCTGAAGAAGCTACTCAAGGACAACGAGGACGACGACAGCTGGACCACCGACGATGAGAGCGCTTTCGTAGACGAGCTTGCCAACGTGCAACTGGAAAAAGTGCACAACTTCATCAGGGACATCTCGCAGAAGCTTCGCGATCGAACCTCTGCGTGTGAAAAGAAGCTGGAGCCATTGGCTATTGGCATCCAATTCGAAGACAAGGAGGACGACAAGGAAGGCGAAGGTCCGTTTGCGCAGGCTGGCGATGGCTCAAAGAAACCCAATCTCAGCCAGCAGGAGAGGGAGAAGCTCCTGAAGGAGGTGCTGGGCGAGCTGGACAACATCACAAAGGAGACCAAGGAGCTGGAGGGCTTTAGTAGGCTCAACTTCACCGCCATCATCAAGGCGACGAAGAAGCACGACAAGCTTCGCGGCAACTCGTACAAACTACGGCCCTTCATTGACGCCCGTATCGCCCGACACCCGCTAAACACCGAAGATGCCTCGCCGCTGTTATACAGATTGTCGGCGTTGTACTCATTTGTCCGACAGAGCCTGGAAGGCAAGCCTAAGGAGGCTTTGTCCTTTGCTGAAAACAGCACAAGCGGCGAAGGCTTCGTCTCTCACAAATGTAAGCTGCACACCTTGCGTCAATTGCCCACATAAGCTAATCTAGGGCAGTCTGGGTCCACATGGACAACCTCTTCGAAGTCAAGACCGTCATCCTCCGCCGTCTTCCCGTCCTCGTATACAACCCCCAGTCGTCCAAGATCGCCGAAGGCACCCAGCGCGACCCTACCATTACCTCGATTTACTTTGACAATCCCAACTTCTCCCTGTATTCGGACAAGGTCAACAGCAAGCCCGATGCCTCCTCGCTGCGGCTTCGGTGGTACGGACAGCTGGGAGAGAAGCCTGAAATCATGTTTGAGAAAAAGGTCATCAAGGAAGGCAATTCCGCCGAAGAAGTCCGATTCCCCATCAAGGCCAAATACGTGCAGGCCTTCCTTGACGACAAATACCATATGGAGAAAAGCATTGAAAAGATGGAGTATCGCCCCAACAAGGATCAGAAACAAGTCGACGGCTTCAAGAAGGCCGTTACAGACATTCAGGGCTTCATCAAAGACAAGGACCTCCAGCCAGTACTGCGCGCCAATTACACTCGCACCGCCTTCCAGATACCCGGCGACGATCGTGTTCGCATCTCGCTCGACACCAACCTTGCCTTGATCCGCGAAGATGCGTTGGATATGGATAGGCCTTGCCGCGATCCTGAAGATTGGCACAGGCGAGATATCGACAATGGACAAATGGAGTTTCCATTCAAGGCCATCAAGAAGGGAGAAATTCACAAATTCCCATACGCAATGCTTGAGATCAAGGTCAAGGGCATGAAGAAGTACGAGTGGATTGAGGACCTGATACATTCACATCTGGTTAAAGAATCGCCTCGCTTCTCCAAGTTCGTCCACGGTGTAGCGAAGCTCTTCGAGGATAACGTCAACACCTTCCCATTCTGGCTTAGTGAGGTCGACAATGACATTAGGAAAGAACCCGAGAAGGCTTTCGACGACGAGCAAGAAAAGAAACGCAAAGTTGCGGAGGACGAGTTCGCAGTGGGCTCCCTTTTCGGCGCCCGCGCAAGTCCTAGCTTCCGCCCTTCGATCGCCTCACCAGTTGGCTCACCAGCTGTTTCACGCTCCATCGCAAAGAGCGCAAGTGCTGCAGCACATACTCAGCCTGCAGTAAACCCCCCTCTACCCACAGTCGGCTCCCACCTCTCGCAACAGTTCCAACAAGAAAACGGCAACCGCATAAGTGAAGAGCTCGATTCTGATGACGATGACGCACAACCGGCTGGAAAGACCAAGTTCAGTGGCCTCACCTCCCTATTCCCCTCATTCTCTACATCTAAATACGCCCGCAAACAACAGCGTAAAATTCAACTACCCCCCGGGATCCGGGACCCCGGCGTGTGGATCAAGGACCAAGGCCCCGTACGCGTTGAAGCCAAAGTCTGGCTCGCGAACCAACGTACCTTCATTAAGTGGCAGCACGTGTCCGTTCTGTTGGCTTCTCTATCCCTAGGCCTGTACAATGCAGCTGGCGAAGGTAATAACATTGCCAGAGCACTCGCGGTGGTGTATACCTCTATCTCGGCGTTTACGCTGGCCTGGGGGTATGGCATGTATTGGTATAGAAGTAAGCTGATCAGGGAGCGAAGCGGCAAGGACTTTGATGCTGTGACGGGGCCACTAGTAGTCTGCGTGGGGCTCGCGTTTGCGCTTGTGTTGAATTTTGGATTCAAGGTAAGTGATCCTCCTACGGTGACATGACGAAGGCTAACGTGTGTGGCAGTACAATGCTTTGATCAAGGAGAAGAATCACCACGATCATGCGAACGCGTCTTTGATCAACGAGCAGGTGGAGCTAAGACTCTAGACTATTGAAGTGAGAGAAGATATTGGAGGGGATTATGGATGTTTGTAATTGAAGTAATTTTCGGTGTGTACATACGTTTAAGGCGGAAAAAAGATTGTGATGCTGGACATGCACTATACGAGAGGGAGCGTACGTTGCACCAGGAACTATCGGTAGAGTGATGCTAAACGTCGCATTACAGTGTGTATTTCTTCAGTTGTGGAGTGATTCAGGGGAAGTCGTACGGACAAGTGTACAGTCACGGTTACACGTTGATAATTAGTATCGTTATAACACATGTAGATATTGAATTGTGAGCGACGGTCGTCTCTGTCGTTTCAACAAGTATATTTGATCACTAGTACTCGGAGTGCACGAAGTGTGCTCATACCGGTGAAGTAATATAAGGGGAATCCGCGCACAAAGAGGTCACATTTACGACTACTGTGCTTGCGGCAAGGAGAATTCGTACAATCGATATTTCATGGGTTCAGTAACAGCCGTTCGTCGTTGCAGACAGAGTGGTTTATTTGCCTGAAAGTTGATGATTACTCGTGCCGCACTATAGTCAAGTACGGGCTTGTCCCGGGGTTCCTGCGTCTTTGTGTGGTTATATGCAGTCGGGCGCAACGTGATCTGTTGATAGTCGAGTCCAGACCGTCTTTCCAAAGAGGACAGCATATTCGAATGCTACTTGCTAGTGATTGCACAGAGGTGGCTGGTGGTTGCACAATCTTTTGCCTGCCGGGAGATCCACGGATCCTTCCAACTTAATCTTGCTAGGCTTTCAGATTATTTTCGCGAAACCTGGAGAGGAATTGAAACAAGTTTTTTGTCTTCGTAATCTAGGCGTATCTCGTAATGTGACGGTTCCTTTGGCGCTACATGATGAACTAGATAGAAGGTTTATGACTAGAGAGGACGCTAAACACGGCTCCAAGATGGTTAGTTTTAACGAGACGTCGTCATAGTGACAGTTGAGCTGGTGATCCGCGTGCTACAGCCAAGTGGGTTTTGTGGAGAAGTTGAGAGATGGGCGACGCTACAGCGTTAGAGCGAAGAGTACCTGAAACAACGTGACTTTTCACGATGTTGTGGTCCAACCTCGTGCGAGGCGGAAGATAAAGTTGCTAGGGCTACAGGTAGCACGCCGTGCCACAGCCGACCTCGCTGAGGCACTTGAGCCACAGATTGGACGCGGGTTCTCGTTGTCTTTTCGTCGGCCTCGATGTCAAGGCAAGGGAGATGTCCCAGGACATGTTTTCCACGCTGTCACCACGCGGTGAAGCTCCAGCCTCGCGAGTGCGTAAATCGCTCTACTGACCCGCACCGCTTATTAGAGGGCGGAAGTTGCAAGGAGAAAAAGGTGGGCAGGGGTGCCGATCTTGCACAGGGCAGAGTAATAAAGCCGAGGTTTGCAAAGCCGGTCCCAGATTGCGGATGAAGAGGTCGGGTTGCCCAAAGGATGGCTTGCAGAACGACGTGTGACACAGTAACGGTTGCTTTCTGGCAGTGACAAACGCAGTGAGTGGGCTCGAAAGACGAACAATTGGCGCAGACAAAGTCGGTACAACAGCACGTTGGTTGGGCGGGCGATGAGCTGGTCGTGCATGCGGCTGTGGCGAGTGGCTAGGAGGATGCTGGGGTTGCTTGCGCCTGCATTGATCTGCAGTAGACAGACCCCCCGCCAAGTCCATGTTTCGTTTCTTTCCACCACCCGTCAGACCCGCACTCTTCGATGTCGTTGCAACCCACAACGCACCTCTGGTAGCCTTCCTGTCGTCTTCTCGGCTTACAGCCAAACATCCAATCGCCAGGGCGCCATGCCCGACACGCAGAGTCCTTACTTCGCCGCCACGTCGCTTGTTTGGCGTGACGGGCTGGCGTCGAAATGCACCGTGTTGACTTTATGCCTGCATATAGGCTACGCCTCTAGTCCATATGATGCGCCCGGCTCTTTGGTGGCTGTTGCAGATACAATGGCCCTGCGGCCCACCGCAAGTCAAGGGCCGCATGGATATGTCGATTCAGGAGAAGTGCGGACGGATGTGATGGTGTCACCGGTTCGAATGCCCGTTTGTACTCGGCTTGAGCACCCTTACAACTAGTGCACACTCTTCCCAACCCATGTGGACCAAGCAGTCGGTGCTTGCGTCGATGAAACTTTTCGCTGCCATATCTGTACTCGGGCGGACCCATCTTTGCGATCAGTCCCGTACCCCCAACCTCCTAGTGTCTTGACCCCGTTCATAAGAAGAGCTGGGAACCCGTCACCTCTTTAGGCATCTCTCCCCTTGGACACCTAATATCCCGTGTCCATAGTAATTACAGCGTCAATAACCGTGGTCGTCTTAAGTGATCCCACGTGATCCTACGTCGTTCTCTGCTTCACCTTTTAAGCAGCTAATCTCAACCACAACAATCTATACCGTCCCCGACCGATCACTATCGAGCGCAAGAAGGGTCTTCTTAATTGCTGAATCACACCTCGACCACCCCTCGCTACATCATCATCAGCAATCCAGTGTAGCGACTACCTCCCAGGTCAGGTGCACTTGCCTCAGGTCGTGTTGTTTTACTTCACCATGAAGGCTTTCGCTACCCTCGCTCTCGCGGGTCTTACCACTCTTGCAACAGCGAATCCTATCTCGCCCTCTCGCACACATATCCAGACCCGCCAAGATAATAGCACGTCTACAGCACCATGCGCCCAGGTCTCACAATACATGTACGGCGATGGAACGTCAGTCGTCAAGCAGGAGATTCCCGCAGAGCTGGCGTGGAATTGTATCAAAGCCGTTCCCTTCAACGCCACTTCAGGCAAGCGGCTCATCCGAGCCATTCGACCATACATTGACTGGCAGAGCACACTTTCGCAGCTAAAGAACCCTCCTGCTGATTATGCGGATAAGGTTCAACCGCCTATCGATATCATTGGTGGACTCGACAAGATTGATTCCGATATCGACTCCGGACGCTTCCAGAACGAGTACGACTTTGGCTGGACGCTTTACACTCTGATCCAGTCTGCCCATGATGGTCACTTTGCCTACATTCCGGACTCTGTTGGTGGCATCTTCACCTGGGCTCGACGTGTCCCACTAGTGTCCGTTTCTGAAGATGGCACCCAGCTGCCTGCTGTGTTTGTCTTTGCCGACGTGCTGGGTATGCAATTCAAGAATATCTCCTATACGCCGTCTCCTGTTGTGGAGATTGATGGTAAAAAAGCAACAGATTTTCTTGAAAATCTGAGCCAGCTTGGCTCGCTTCAAGATCGCGACGCCCTCTACAATAATCTCTTCTACGAGCTTGCGCAAGTCAGCCTTGGCGCTTCTGGCAGCGTGACTGGTATGTTTACTGGAGGTGGCCGTGGACGATTCGTGTATCCTGGAGCTAGCACGACCTTGAAGTTTGCCAACGGTTCTGAATATACGATGCAGAATTACGCTCGTACATCGATCAGTTTCCGCAATGTCAGCACCGGCGAGGATCTGGCTACCAAGTGGTTTAGCTGGGGCCGCGAAGCGGACGAGGTGCAAAATCAGTCCAAGCAGCTAAACACTGAGATTCCTAAGACCATTTCAACTGCCGCCTCAACTGCCATCTCCGCTGCGGTACCTCCTGGATACCCTGCTCCCATCATTGCAGGCCCTCAGAATCTCATCAACGGTTTCTACATCGATGCCCCCGGTTACGAGGATGTTGCGGTATTGCAGGTGCCGAACTTTGTGGGTTCTACCAGCGCAGAGATACCCTTCCAGCGTGTTACTCAAGACTTCATTCCTCGAGCACTGGCGGATGGCAAGACCAAGTTGATCATTGATCTGCAAGCCAATGGAGGAGGTACTATCCTGCAAGGCTACGACATGTTCAAGCAATTGTTCCCGGATTTGGATCCGTATGGTGCCAACCGATTCCGTGCGATTGAGGCTGTTGACCTCATTGGTCAGTCTTTCAGCGCATATGCCTCGCAGTTCGAGCGAGAGTCAACAACGAACAGCACTATCCTGCAGGCTCAGGCCTCTTACTTTGATTACCACTATGATATGACGGTGGATGCGAAGCCTTTCTCGTCGTGGGAAGAGAAGTTTGGTCCTCAAGAGGTGAATGGAGGTGAGTTGCTCGCTAGAAAGAACCAGTCTCTGAGCTTTACTGACCCCCGTTTTAGACAAATACACCACTCTAAATCGCTGGAATCTCTCCGATGTCCATATTACATACTCTTCCGGTGGTATCAACATAACTGGATACGGCCCCCTCGCCAATGTTACTGGGCCACCCAAGTTCAACCCGGAGAATATCGTCCTTTTGACAGATGGCTACTGTGCATCGACATGTACCATCTTCAGTGAACTCATGACGAAGCAGGCCGGTGTCAAGACCATTGCCATGGGAGGTCGCAGCAACAAGAACCGGATCCAAGCTATCGGCGGCGTCAAGGGCGTGAACAACTACCAGTTTGGCTATATTCAACAACTGGCGCAATATGCTATTCGATACACTCCATCGCTCAACAGCTCCATTCTTAAGAGGGACTACTACAGTGACCTTCCCTTTAATCGTGCTAGCGGTGCTCCTGGTGTAAACACCCGCGATGGACTTGCTCAGAACGATACCTCGGGTGTTGCATTGCAATTTGTCTACGAGGAAGCTGACTGCCGTCTCTTTTACACCCCAGAGATGACTGTTGACATCACTGCCGTTTGGAAGACAGCGGCTGATGCGCAATGGGGAAACAGCGGCAAATGCGTGTCAGGTTACAGCCAGAAACGCAACGCTCACAAGACCACCACCAAGCTGAGCCCAAGGCGCGTCCATATTTCGCAAGCGCAGGTCCAAGGATTCGAGGACAGTTTCGCGCTGCAGACCCAGTGTAAGATGACTGGTGACGGATTTATGCATCCGTAAGAACAGTCATAATTGAAGCGTTCAGTCGATTACTCCACCAATGTATCAGACTCGCCATGTTTGGATTTGATACCGTGGTTGGTCGTTGGCTCGACCACACCCTGGAGGATTCAACCCCAACCACAAACATTTCCGCACGCAAAGTACACCTCCACAGACTGGCGATAGCTTAACAGGTAGTCTTGGGGCGTAGGCGCTCTAGGCCTTTTCTTAGGGGACATTTGTAAAAAACCTAATGGTCTGTTCCAAGGCATGTGGAATTCAATGGCGTCATTCTAGTCGCAAAAAAGGTTGCGGAGTCGTAATGTATTTTCAGATGGAACAACGGCCTTTCGCATACAGATGGGCCGAGACATAGTATTGTTTAGTAGATAATACTGGGCGCATAGAGGTTTTACCTTCAATAATGAACATGTAGCAACTGTCCTAGGCTTCGCTGCAATGTTACCGTCCGTGTGTCCATTGTCGTGCTTATATATTGACTCGTCGCGTATACGAGGTGCCACCCGCGATATTTAAACCTTAAAGGAGCCAATGCATCCCAATATTAGGTAAGCATGACACTATTTCCAAGGCTTCTCTTAATTTGTAGTCTTTGTTGAGAAAGGTTGGCTTTCCTCAACATATTTTGCGGTCGTGAGATGACCTGGACAACACGCTGAAGTCCACTACGCTGCATCCTGACATTACAGAGCATAAACGGCAGCTTGAAAGTAGGTTCGTTACATGAAAGAAATATGACTTACTCACCACGACCGTAATTGCTTTTGCTATCGACTATGCAATGTTTCTGCGTTGTCCCGAAGTCCCACCGTCCCCTTTCCCGCTTTCGCTTCCCAAAATAGAAACATCGCTTCCAGCCGTTAGCCCTGGCCGCAACGGGATTCCACCCAGGTTTACAACCTACCCCCCTGCAAACTAAACCGAAGTTTCACGCCTTTAATAACTCTCATTCTAGAAAACCAATGCGATGCCCCTGCGTACCCAATAAGAGGTGTTGTAGTGGGGTTTCGGACGGCGATGGGCGAAAATTGAAAGCGAAAATGAGTCGTCATCTCGGAGCCACACGCTTACTTGGGCGCTCAGCTTTTCTTCCACTACATGGCATGGCGCCGACGCCTTAGGCGAACCGGTCGCGACCTACTGCAGCCGTTCATTGACAAGATGCAACGCTGGCATGCGGAGACAGTCATCGCACGTCATGGAGGCTTATTGGCGGCACAATGTGGCGGCGAAACAAGTCTACGCTGCCTCACAAACTTCCACGAGTCTTGTGCGCCGTCCCTGCTTGTCAGCTCGTGTTAGGAGTCAGTAAGACCGGAGTGGCAGGCCAGGTTACGGATCGACACATGGTCAGCCAGGAGCGTGGAGGCCACATGCTGGAGTTAGCGTCGACTTGGTAGGTTTCTCGTCGGGAGCATCTGGTCGATGATGCAGGTACGGAGCGGGGAGCTGAAGGCGCTGGGGGAGTTTAAATCATCTTGTTCCCGCACATCGTAAGTCTTTGTTTTGTAGGAACCTCAGCTGTACTGTCTGTCGCTATTTCGACCCATCTTTCGTTTCGAAATCCAGTTTTCCTACCATACGGTCGTTGTTCCGTTTCGACATAGCGAGGTCTACGTCCGTGGAACGCTACCGGACTTTTTTGTTTGCTAAGGACCTGGACCTTTGGATTTAAGGCAGTCGACAGCCCCGGAATATTTGGAACGTATTACTCCGCGATGAAGTTCCTTGTCTCCTTTACGGCGGGCCTCCTCTCCGTCGGCCTCGCCCACGCATCGCCTGCTGCCCCGTTAGCAAAGAGAGCGATATCTTCAGATGGAACTTGCGCCGGCACAAAAGGTTACACTTGCCAGGGCTCGTCATATGGCAACTGTTGCTCCCAGTACGGCTGGTGCGGATCGACTACTGGACACTGTGGAACTGGCTGCAACTCAGCCTTCGGTTCGTGTACCAGCAGCGGTACTACCTCCAAGCCTGTTTCCACTTCAAAGCCAGCTTCAGCTTCATCTTCAGCGCCTGTCTCGACAACGAAGGCATCCACTGTACAGTCGAGCAGCACTACCAAATCGGCCTCTGCATCTCCTTCAGCGACACCTTCTGGCTCTGTCCTACAATGTCTGAACGGAAAAAACGTCCCATACAAGATGACCTCCGATTCCGCCTACGCTGAGCTTGTCGAGCCGTACAATCTACGTCTTCCTTACAAGCCCGCCGTCGTTGTCCTCCCGAACACCAATCAACACGTCCAGGATGCTGTGGTTTGTGCTGGTCAATCTAAACTCAAGGTGCAAGCGAAGTCAGGTGGTCATTCGTATGCCAGCTTCAGCTCTGGTGGTAAGGACGGCTCCATGATGATCGACCTTCAGCCCATGCAGACGATCCAACTTGACCAAGGTACTCGTGTCGCCACAGTAGGAGGAGGTGTCCGTCTGGGCAATCTCGCTGATGGAATTTTCAACCAAGGCAATGCTGCTCTGTCACACGGAACCTGTCCTGGTGTTGGTATTGGTGGCCATTTTACCCATGGAGGCTACAGTCATACCTCGCGCAACTGGGGGCTTGCCATGGATCAGATCATTGCTGCTGATGTCGTCCTCGCGAATGGCACTCTCGTCAAGGCTACTTCCAGCCAAAACCCCGATATCTTTTGGGCTATCAGGGGAGCAGCCGACTCGTTCGGTATCGTCACAACTTTTTACCTGCAGACCCGCGCCGCGCCAGCTAGTATCACCTACTTTCAGTTCAACCTAAACGGTGTCTTGAACTCCAAGAGTGTCTTCACCAACACGTTCCTTCACCTCCAGGACGTCGCGAAGAATGCCTCGGTGGTCGATAACAAGATCTCTTTCGGCGTGTACCTGGATAATAGCGGCACGTACAGTCTTAGCGGCGCGTATTTCGGCACCGTAGCTGAATTCACCGCGAAGGTGAAGACTGAACTGCTGCGTACTCTCCCAAGCGCCTCAGTTAACGTGGTGCAATCGATGAGCTGGTATGACTACCTTGTGAAGGTGTCGGACAAGACTGCTATCAAGGAGCCCCTAACCGGCTACGACGAGCACGACACCTTCTTCGCAAAGTCGGTTACGGTCCCTGAACCAGATGGTCTTGTGGCCAAGACTGTCAACGCTCTATACGATTACCTGAAAACGAATGGCGACGTTGAGTACTTTGTCATCATCAACCTCTATGGCGGCCCAGGATCCGCGATCAATTCAAAGGACACCACTTTTGCTGCTTACAGCGAGCGCAACAGCCTCTGGGTCCTCCAAAACTACGGCTACGGGGCCGAGTCGGTCGACTTCATCAACGGTATCAACAACGCCATCATCACCGCCCAGCCGCAGACGACGTTTGGCGCATACTTGAACTACGTGGACCCGAGCTATGATGCTGCGACGGCACACAGGCTCTACTATGGGACTGCGGTGTACTCGAGGCTCGCGGCGCTGAAGCAGCAGGTTGATCCTCAGTCGGTGTTCTGGCATCCGCAGGCGATTGGGGCTTAGATGATGTGATGACACTTTAATGACTTGACTTGAATATACAGCATTTTCGGTTCGGTGTTTGGCGTTTGACGGTGGGGAAAATCGTATTAGTATATAGGTTACACTATGATAATGTTAAGAACTAAAGTGATTTTTACTAGATACTAGATGGTGTGCATACTCGTTCATGTTGTGAAAGTAATTCTTCATCAAGTTCGATGTATATTGCAACTATCAAGTCTTGTAATAAGTAAAGGGTGGGAAGGGAGCTTACCGGTGATATGGAGATGGTAGCATGAATTGCGACAATAGCATAAATCGGAAGCCTTGCTAAGTGCATAGCTATGACGTGAAATCAAATGGCATACAAGATGTGGATTACAGTCCTATGGCTAAAATGCTGAGCGCGAAGACGCGTATTACCTAAGTGTATGCCGAGGTCCGTGACAGCGCCACTTCCGCAACAGTCCTAGCCCCATTCCCCAGTCGTTTTGACCCTTGCCTTATATCATGCCATCGTCGCAACCATGTTGTCGCGGCTGTTGCTTCTTGCAAGCAAGACCTATTTAGCCATGCCTCGACTAAGGTGACGACTGCTATTTTTCTGAAACTCAAGGATACCGCCTAGGGGCCGTGTCACTGCCAACTCAGCCAGCGAGTCGACCAGCTTGGCCTCCCCGGTTGCGTCACCGAAGCTGGGGACGTGGACAGGCTTCCTACAACACAGTCCCAGCAAGTCGCCACCGTGCTATACAACAGTCATGGCGTCCTCCAATTCGAACCCAGCCTCGAGCGCACCGACTCCAGTTCCCTTCCCACAGCCCGAAGGACTGCGCGACCCCAATGCACAGAGTCCCACTACCGAGTCGCCTACCACAGAAACGCGCCAGAGAACTTCGACGACTACTTCTACAGCCTCGAGTAGGATACGCACAGCCAGCATCAAGCTTATGGGGGCCACTCCTCCTCCAGGAATGTGGGCAGCGACTGGCGCAACCGCGTCCAAGGCGCCATCGCTGTCAGACATCAGGAAAGGCTCCTTTGGGACCGAAGGGTGGTGTGAGGAGACACAGCGGAAGAGGGCAGGTTCACGCACAAGTCAGGGAGAAGAGAGATCGCCCACGGAACGAACACCAGGAACAAAGAAGATGGCATCTTCAAACAACGCGCTTGCTACGGAGCCTTTTCCTGCATTGACAGAGGAGAGAACCCAAGATGTGCCGAGACATGATGGTCAAGACAAGGAGACTGTGCCTGGCGTCGAGTCAGAGCATAGCTCCGAAACGGCTGAGAAGATGATGCGGACGTCCTCTGGACAGGTACGTCGATTATTGCTTTACTCGATCTGCATGCTGGTGTATAATATATACCGAAAATATCCATCCTCTTTTCGCCTGCTTTGCACGAACAAGTCGAGCTCGAGCATTGCGATCGAAACGATCCACTAACCTCTTCTCCTAGTATGCGAATGGCTACGTACCGCCACCCAAGTTGCCCTGGAAGCGGTCGTTCGCTATCGGTCTCAAAGGGTTCTGGAAGTGGTTTCGGACACCCGCTGGCTTTCTTATCACTATATACGGACTTAACGTGGTCGCATGGGGTGGGATGCTATTCCTACTACTTTGCAACGCATCGCCAGCCATGTGCGTCCCCAGTTGCAACGACATCAACTCGCCGCGCCGAAAGTGGATTGAAATCGACTCGCAAATCCTAAACGCACTGTTCTGTGTGACTGGCTTCGGTCTGGCACCTTGGCGGTTTAGAGACCTATATTGGTGGGGTTGGTGGAGACTTGGTGGCCCTAAACGCAGGGATATTGGCATTCGACGGCTTGCCGGTCTACATCGCGGATGGTTTCGACTCCCAGGTTCGGATCGTTTGCCCGAGGAGGCAGACGCAACGTATGTTGATCCCGAAGACCCTGCTGTGCCTATTCCTGTCAGTTCCATACCGGACCCGCCACCAACGGGAATACGGGCTCCACCGACCAAAAGTTGGAAGATGGATTTTGTCCTCTGGAACAATGCATGGAACACGTTTTTCCAGGTTGTTCTCTGCTACTATATGTACAACTACAACCGATATAAGCGACCATCCTGGGCGACAGGTACCTTCGTCGCCCTAGGATGTATAGTGGCTGGTATTGCAGGCATCATGATGTGGCACGAGGGCAAGAATATCAAGAAAATCGAAGGCGTACCGATGCGCAAGGATTACGAGGATAGAAGGGGAGACGCCGAGGCACACTCGCCACAGGAAGTACCCTTGGTCCCGACGGGAAAAGCGGCAAGATCATGATGACTTGTGCCCAGGCTTTTTGCTTTCTGCAGATGCAGGTGGAAGTCGGTCCAATGGAGCGGGGGCGTTCTACTACCTCTTGGCAGAGGCTGATGATCCTCAAGACCGTGTTATAGTTACGATTCGATACCCAGCGCGCGAATACTTTAATCACCCATTTATTCTTCTCTGGCTCTACTTTCTCTTTAGAGTTCTCTTTATGTGGTTCGAATGCTTCCAGGACTTTGGACCTGACAGAATGCGGAACTCTTCGTGTTGCGTATTCAGCAAGCTACCCCCTCTCGCACCGAGGAAGAATCCCGGGCGATGTCTCCACCGTTGCCAATTGATCAACAGCCCTGCAGATCATGCTTACAACATGCCGGGATCTCCGAAATGCATACTAAGCACCTGCGAACTTGATCTGTTGACCACAATGACGTCGAGGGTGGCACCAATTTTGTAGGCCTATAGCGTGACAGCTGCACGAGACCTTTTGACTACTTTATATACTTACTAGGGCCTAGGGCTGATTTGGCTCGTTTATCATCCACGACTTGATCATCTTTCGCTTTGCAACGGATAATCTGACCTTGTGCAGGCAACAGCGACTGATTGAAGGAAGGCTGGAATTATCAAATTTAGAAAAGCTATTGTTCGCCCTGGAGCCTCTCCAACTCACGAATCTCCAACACTTGGCGAAACACCCTACATATTTGAAGACTCGAGGAAGATGGCAGCACAGGAATATTATACGGGCACTCAGGGTGCGCAAGAGCTCCCAAGCCATGACAACCCAAATCTGTATTCGCAACCATCACAACTACCGCAACCTCAGCATCAACAACCTCAACCATATCCGCGCCAACACTTTAATGCTCCGACTTACGCGGAAACGCCTCCACCATCCTACTCGCTATACCCTCAACAACCAATTCAACAACAGCAAATGCAGGTATACCATCCCCCTCAGCAGCAGCGACCCGCGAAAGGACCGCAGACAACGACTGCGCCGTACCCACAAACTTCACCTGCCATGCCATACTTCCCACCTCCACCGCAACAACAAAACGGTTACCTAGGTGCACCTGTTCAGCACGTCCGAAGCCATTCGCAGCCCGCACGCGTCCACTTCGCAGACCAGGAGTCCGATCGTAGTACCGATGTAGGCTCGATATCAGATAGCGATGAATCGCCACGACCGCAACAGCGACATCGTCGGCATCACAGTCACAGTCACGACGCAGATTACAGCGATCGAGAGCGCGACCGCGGCCACAGACATACTAAAACAGATAAGAAAGACCGCAAAATCAGAGACACTTTTCTCGGCGCCGGCGCGGGAACAATCATTGGCGATGTCATCTTTCCTGGCCTAGGCACGGCTGCTGGGCTGCTCCTCGGCGGTTACAGCGGGCGCAAGTACGCGGAACGGTCGAAGAGCGAGGATCCGCCACATCATCATAGACATCGAGACGCGTACCGGGACGGCAAAGAAGAAGGTCGGCGAGACCGGAGGAGGAGGAGAGATGACTACGACGATAGCGAGGGCGAGTACAAGAGATCTAGCAAGGCGCATAGAAGACGCGGTGGAGGTGAGGGTTGGGACGAGAGGAGTGCGACGTTCAAAAAAGGGACGGCTGTGCGGTGATAATTGTCGCGTTAATGGAGAGGTCGTCGTAGTACCCTTTTAATAAGGAGTCAAGGGCGGAACTGATCAAAAGAACTTGCACGTCGAGAGAGTCTTCTTCCTTTTCCATTATCCGGTGACTTCCTCTACACACATGTATATATATATATAATCAACCCAATTCTCTACTATCCATTGCTTCTCATTCCCTACTCGCTATCTACTAGCCTTGACTGCCCTATAGTAGTCTTACATGTGAGCAAAAGATCAGTTTGATCATACTTGAAATTAGGATTACGAGCACTGTTACATCATCAGCATCACACTATCACATAGCCACCTGCTTCAAAGTTCACTGCTTCCAGTCGCTCTTTACTACTTCTACAGACAACCTTTTCGCGTACGCGTTCACACCTTGCCCTTCAGATCCGTGACAGTGGCGAACATAAATTGCTTGATCCCACTCAAACCCCTCTCCGCCAACCAGTTCAGAACAAAGACCTTGTAGCCCATCGGGCCATCCCACTCCACATTGATACCCCCTTTTCTCTTCAACACCTCCAGACTACGCGGAGTCACAGGACCATGATGATATCGAATACTATCCTTGTCGTAGCCTTCCGTCTCAATATCCCTCTCTTCGAGCGCGCGCCACGCGGCAGCCGAGCCCGACGCCAGCCAGGCGTTGTTCGATAATGCAAAGGCGGTGCTGATGGAATAATCGCGATCGAGGCTGCTCAGGTAGTCTTTGAGCGCAACCCGCAGTGATGGATCACAGTACAATCCAACGGACTTCTGGTCTTGGATGCTGAGAGCGCGAGATACCCATAACATGTTGTATAAATCGCGGAGACAAGAGTTCAGCCTTTCCGTAACAGAGACGGGATAGTAGTCTTTTACAGGCTTGGGATGCTGATCGAAGGCTACCTTGTAGGAGCCGATGATGCCGTAGACGCGGGAAAGCATTGTTGAAGAAGCATTTTGAGCCAGCAGGTAGATTAGATGCATTGGTGGTAGGATTATTGGTATGACGTGTGGTTTGGAAGATGTGGAGAGGAGCTCGTAGAAGCCGAGGATAGAAGATATGAGACTGGAGCCTGAGTTCAAGGGCAACGAAAGGAGTAATGATGTGGACAGTTCGGAGACATGTGCGACGAGGTCTTTGAGAACTCGGTGACTTGAACTCGAATGGCGGTCGTTCTTGGAGGATGTTGTGGATACTTGATGCTGGAAGAGAGATGAGTAAAATTCGATGAGCTTTGGGTGTGCGGAGGGTCCATGGCCTGCTAAAGCTCGTTCGGCGGAGGAAAGGTAGGTAGAGTAAACATCTTTGAACGAGTCGATTGGAATGTAAGACAGAAGACCGAGTATGCTGTCAACATTTTCCTGGCCGTTCCAAATCGGTAGATACTCCTTGAGGAACGCTAAGACAGTGGGGTGCATGGCCTTTGGATGTCAATTCGTGAAGTAAAAGATGGAGTAACATGCGTATTCACCTTTGTGTACTGAGCATGCTTGAGAAGTCCATCGAGAACTTCAGACAAGTACTGTGCATCTCCAGTCTCCAAACCCTCAGCCTCATACAGTTCTTCAAGGCATGTTGCAAGCCATAGATCGATTCGAGTTGATACGATCGGCGATGGCGTCAGCTCAACGTACTTTTGTAGAAGTGAATCAGTGAGGAGTGCAACCAACTGGCCTGGCGGCTCTAGCCTGTCAAGCTTCTCCACAAAATCTTCAACGTTGTCGATCCCTTCGAGAGTCACAGAATTCTATCGTACATGGTCAGTCTGACTCATGACTAAAAATAGCTCCCGACTACTCACCTCAGTCGCGTAGTAGGTGTGAACTTCGGGAATGACTGCTACCTTGCTCCTCTTTGGGCCTTTTCGTAGCACCCTGAAGCCATTATGACGATCGACTGAAGAGTCGTTCGTTGCTGCGCTAGCTTCTTGGATGGCAGAGATCCTTGTTCGCCACACCGAGTCCGGTCGCTACAGGGTCAGTAATGTGTTCAACAGTACGACAGACATTTGCGGGGATATAGCGAGATAGAGCAGGAAGTTGCAGATCAAGTGGCACAAGTAGACGGGAACTCACCGGAGAAAATGACTTCCGGCTCGTGGAAGTACTTCCAAGAATGATGTCGGGGTAGTAATCCTTGTATACGCGGAGAAGACCTTGCAGTGCAGGTTCGTTCCCGAGGCCCCGGGATAGTTCAAGGCTGCACCTCAAGTCAGCACTCGTTTGAAGAGCACAACCCATTCGAATGCTCATGGGTTTACCTACAGTTGTTGTATTCGGAACGGCTTGACGTGCTTTCTGCGAGTAATCAATGATAGCAGATGACACAGTGAGGTCCTGCTAAACTTAGCCCAGGCTATTATTGATATCGGACTTGGGCGATGCGCACCTGATACTGATCATGTCTAGCATGCTGAACAGCACACCGTACAGGCGAGATAAGACATTTGCATCTTCAATGATCTCGTGGACAGCCGTGAGCCACTTTACGAGGCTATCTTGGGTCGCCGGCGAAGGCTTGCCCTTACCCTGACCGAGTGCCCCCACGACAGTAACAATGATATCACCGGGTACCCACTGAGCGGGATACAGATTCTTGACCAGTGTTGTTACACTTGTCTGGTCTAAATTCGTCTTTACTGACGCCAGCTGTACAACGTCTCGAAGGGCATCCTGGTCGAGTCCATGTTGAAGCGCGTGTCGGCAGATGACATCAACTATGCTGGATACTTTGACTGTCCGCTGCTTTGCTGGTGTCCTGGATGCTGCAATCCATTGTAAGCACTGATCTTTGCTGGCCAGCCGCATATCAATACATGCCTTTATGCAATAAGTCTAGCGCATCGTGCAGCGCGGGCGGCTCGTCTGCCGAGTCCATCAGTTGAAGCAGGCGAAAGTAGAGGCTGGAGGGCATCTACCAGCAATAGAAGGCATCGCGCTGTTACAGCCACATGCATGTAGTGAGACAGTGATCAGCAGTGAATTTGCTCCAGATTGGTTCAAGCTGGCGTGTCGTGGTGTTTACACCTGCCTGAGCGCGCCTTCCCGCCCACCCACTACCGGTACCGTAAGCGAACTAGCCCAAGACTCGCCCGAGCCTCGCCATTTCACTCACGCTTCACCCACGTTCGTTTTCGCCGTTGGCTTCGATCAACAACACCTACAGTCCCCTCATCAACTATCGCCCAGGACGCCACTGAACTGAACGCTGTTGTACTCTGCCTGTATACGCGTCGTAAGCGCGGCATTGGGCCGAAGCCGCCCGTTATGCAATAAACTCTGCAGAAGGCACCCGCATAGTCGCCCTTGAGCTGGAACATGCATTGCAGCTCTCACCCATCGCCACAAGAGCCTGAGATTTCACGTTACACAGCAAGCATTGATTGATAGTTTATTTGGCTCTGGCACCCTTCGCTAGCCCTGAGTGGTCCGTCGTCTTGCAGGTCAGCGACCAAACGGTCAACGCCTTCTGCAACGCTGCCTCAAAGCGTGCAGCGCCCCGCTCGCGCTATATGTATTGAACAATGGCGTACATGTGGCCAGATTCCGTATCAGATCTTGTCCCCGGTTTCTGGCAGTTCTGTAAGCTTTAGTGGTCGAGAATTTCTTCCACAGCATAGATGGCCCTTCTTCGGGCCGGCCAAGAGGGTCTTCGGTCAGGAGGATGGCCTATCCTTTCTCAATCTTAACAGCACACGAGCCTCTCAGCTGTACGAGATTGGCCATTTTACGATAGTCGAAACTATATCGAGCACGGGTAGAAGCGCGGTTTCTACCCATGATCCTCGTCAACCTCGACATTCGGTTTTCTGCTGCTACCCGACGCAACCACATCGTACTGACATATAACCGTCGAGGCCCTACCCTCTTTGTGTGACCGCTCCATGGTAGACCTTCTAGTGAGTTAACTATACATAGCTTTGAACTCAGGAAGAACGCTTCCAGTCGGTAGTCCTTCCGCTAGACAGCTCAAGCCTGCCATTCTTTCTCGGCACGCGGTACATGCATGCTCGAGGACTTGTACTACTTGCTCCTTCTTTTATGTCGTACCACCCCAAGCATTACTTCCAATACTATTGACATGTCCTTCTAGAACCTCCTTCTTAATTGACTTGGAGGATCTGAAGTTATCTCGGGCACCATCAGCAAGGTCACGGTTCAAGTGGCGACCCGCCAGCACTTAATATCAACGCTCCGTCCAACGGCTCCTAGGATGACCACTGGACAACCTTGGATAGCTACATCTTTGTACTCCACGCTGGTCATATCCGGGACGCTCTTCCTTGCCACTTCACTTCATCGTCTGTGCGCGGTTTCTGCTGGGTAGAGGATTACGAACCTCCTACGGGTGTAGCATTTTCCTTCCGTGCGTCTTACCATTGAGTTGGCCCCAATATCGACCTAGAGACTCGGATTCATGGAGGAGAGCTCGAGCCAGATCTGGTGACGGTCAAAAGGCCACAAACTCGACGCCTCCCATCCTTCGTCTTCAATCCTATTTCCCGTGTATCCCACGTGGCATCGTTACGTCAAACCTGCTGTTTTAGTTCCTTTCGAGACTTTTCGCCTCAGTTTATCATGGGCGACCGGAAAAGCAAGTCTTCATCCAAACTATCCAAATCGCAGCGCTCCAAGATGTCCTCCCCCACGTCTAGCAAATCGAATCTCACTGCACTATTCCGCGGTGCTTCAGTAGCCGGCGACGCAAAGCTTGTACGCTGCCCATCGGAGACCCTCGAACGATTACGACGCCTCAACGAAGCAGAAGTCATTACACTCTTTACACCCTTCGTACCACACCCTCCTTCCACATCACTAGCAAAGGATATGGATCCATTCGAGCCCTTGGGACGGGCACTACCACGACAAGTACGACATGTTCCTTATCGGCTGGACAATGGCATGACGGAAATACACACCGACTTCCTGCCTACCAGTGGAGCCATAGTGATTGTCATTTGCGCTACGGCCAGCGTCATCAATCATAACAAACAAGCCTTCGAGCAGCAGCTCAGATTCGCGAGAGATATCTCAAGGAGGATTGCAGAAGACGACTTGATCGCTGGCATTCCAGTCATATTGCTTCTTGTCGATAACGATGCCGTTGGACCAGCATATGTGAACGCCATGCAGGACATTCCAGCCCTCGTCACTCTCAACGACTACACCACGGCAGCACTCGCAAACGCTGTTGGTGTGCTTTTTGGAAAGTAATGCAGGCAGTGTTGGTAAATATCGATGTTGATGGAGTGTCATCCATTCTGCCTCTGGACCGCGGGTGGTGGCTATGTACGACCATGTATTTGTGTAGAAAGGTCTCGGTGTCCTGGCGGCTCAGTATGGATGTGCGTTGGGTGGTAAAGGTACGCGTTCTTTGGTGGATGATACTCGCATTGGTAGTTGTCTGATCGACCCTTTCGGTTCTGTTCTATAGCCGATGCACAACAGTGATAGTTGGCAATCCCGAACAATAATTCTAGAAGACTGTCTCGCATTCTACCGAGCGGCCTAAGCGGACCCCAGTAATCAATCTCAAACCTCGTCACCGGTACCAGAGCATGATGTTTCAACGCTCCACTCACCCGGTTTCTTATCATAGCCAACTATACATTCCATGTCTGTCAGGGTAGTAATACATGAAGTGATGTCACATGAGGCATGTCTGAGCTCAGCTATATGGAGTGGGAAATGTCATATAGCAAAGTATTAACATTAGTTTGGATTCTATGCCTATGCTCCTGCTTCAGCTAGAGACAGAGCCCGTCACAATATAGACTCACGTAACGCCAACACCGTCCCATGCAAATATGATAGTAGCCGACGTTATCAACGACAAGCCAAAATAAGCCAACAAATCCTAGAGCGGAAACCCTAGCAACAGTACTCCAACGCGTTGCAACGCGGCACGCTCCACCCGCACGCTCAACGCCGCAATTCATGCATGCGTCGAGTTCAGCTCGCCCCTTTCTCATTTCTAATAAATCAACACCAATGGTATTCACACCTCGTTAGTCAATAGCTTTCTGCGACTCTTAGAGTGCTAGGGCCTATGGGTCCATGATGCCCCTCCCCTGGCCCGCCAATGCACCTCCAAGCCCGTTTTGAGGCAGAAGTGCATTAGGCGACAGGCTTGACGCTACGACCTGTTGTCCGACTTTCTGCGCGCTCGCGGCGAGCGTGTCTTCGTTGCCGGAGAAGTAATAGGATAGGCGTCTCGTGATGATGTTAAGGTGCTCGGGTAGGTAGAGCGAAGCGGCGATTATGAAGAGGGATAGGAGGAGGAATAATACAGAGTCTGCGAGTCCAATGTCAGCTGGTTGTTCGTCTCGCAGAGGTTGTCTGTAGAGTGGTGGGATAGGGGGTCGTGTCATCTTGTAGTAGGGCGGATGGGGTGATGGGTAGACGTACTGAAGATGAACTTCTCAGTCGATGTCAACATGTATAGCGAGAAGGTGACTTCGTATTGGTAACGCTTGCGCTGGAACCAGCGGAGGAGAGTAGCTGGGTAGAGCATTGCGGCGAAGAGGAGCGAGGCGGCTGCAGCAAGGAGAATGACGGTTGCGAAGGATGTAGAATCGACCATAGACACTCTCAGTCTACGCACAAGGCCAAACTATACAAGAAGAACGCCAAGACGCTCGATTTGTAGATGTTGCGCGACCAAAGTGTGTTTGCAATGGCGGAAGCACAACTCGATGGTCGGGAATTGCGGAAGTCGGGGGCGCCATTCTGGCTCAAGGACCTGACCACTTTTTTGCCTACGGAGCAGGGATCAGGGCAACTAGCTGCTCCGGATTAATTCCACTCAATGCTATCATCGAAACTCATGCATGCAACGCGAATGCCCGCGAAGCTCGAGCGAATATTCTATGCGTCAATGCTATCGCGATGCCGAGGATATATCGTCTCCAGCCCTGACCTAGCATTAATGTCTATCCTCCCATCCTTCCTCCCACGGCTCTTCAGCATCCGCGTAACCACCACCAGTCTCCGCAATGCCGCCGCCCGCTCGTTCAGCACCTCTACACCCACGCTCTCCAAGTCCCTGCCCCCGCGCACGCCTCTCCTAGATGGCGACCTTATAGAAAACTTCCTCAAGGGCAGCGGCCCAGGCGGCCAGAAGATCAACAAGACGTCTTCTGCCGTGCAGCTCAAGCACATCCCCACCGGCATCGTAGTCAAGTACCAAGACACGAGGTCCCGGGAGATCAACAGGAAGATGGCGCGCAGGATCCTGCAGGATCGGATCGAGGAGATGGAGTTGGGGCAGGATGCTCGGACGAGGGTGCGGGCGAGGGAGAAGAGTAAGAAGAAGGCTAGTAGTGGGAAGAAGACTCGGAGGAAGTACAGGGCGCTTGCTGAGGGGGGGATGGGGGAAGCTGTGCAAGAGGATGGCGCTAATGAGGTAGAGGGCATTGAGGAACCTGTTGAGATTGAGGGAGCAGACGGACAAGCTGCGACGAAGCCAGCAGATGCTGAGGTGTTGGGCAAGGAAGGTCGATGAATGAACACTTGGACTGCACTGAAGGTACAAAGCAAATGAAGAAGACCATGCTCTGCAATCTTTCTTCTTTCGGGACTACTTTGTGTATATGACCTCTGATGACTACATCCCACTTTGTGCCTTGTAACAGTAAACATGTTGCTGGACCCTGGATAGCTTCAACTTTTTTGTGCTGTCATCTAGCAACTCCAAACTTATCTGAAAGCATCCAGCCTTACGTGTACAACACGACTTGGATCTGTTCAAAAATGTGTTTATGTACAACTGAACGTGACAGAATAGAGGTAGAGGCGTGGGTCGTCAGAGTGTGGTGCGGATTTAAATCTCCTCTGGAGGCTCTAGACATCAACCACTCTGCACAAGTGACAAGCCAACGAAGCTGTCAGTAAACTGGCAACTTTATTTCGGCGAAGCTATAAGTAACTTAGGAATAGCCTTCCCCTCCTCCACCTCCACCTCCACCCGACCTGTTCAGCATTAAAAAAACCCTCAACCTCGACCTCGACCGTGAGGTCGAGGTTGAGGCTTTTTTCCAGCTACGCGTTGACAACAGATTCCATCATTTAGTCCTTCCCATACGCATACCCAGCAGTCAACGTTGATCTAAATCTTCTTCCTCGATCTCGAGCGCCAGGCTCGAGAATCAATGAAAAAGGTAAAAAGCACAATGTGCAGACCAGCAAAAATTGCCCCGCCGAGATTCCCGAAGGAAGCTCGTGTTGCCCCAGATACCCCGCTGTGCAATGGAGATCAGGACAACAGACCACTAGATGCTTGAGCTCAGTGAGTCGCAAGAAGGTCTATTGTTGTTAGTAGTTGCAAACGTAGGGGGTGGGGGGAAAGGAGCTCACAAGTATAATTTTGTAAGCCCGCGAGTGCGAGTTATTTTATATGCGATGGAGGATGGCGCGTGCACCACATCACGGGGTCGCTTAATTAGCGTCGGCGGGATGACCTCGGGACCTCAGCACCGAAGATGACCCGTGTCTTGACTAAGCAAATTGTCAGCGAAGGGTGGACTCCTGCTAGTTGCGAAGAACATAGGAAACTATAGAGGACGCTTGGTTTACCCCTGCCGAGGTCGATTGGTTCTCTAGTTGCCGTCGTTGCAACGAGTTGTCGGGCGTGTTCGTACATACTCTGTTAGACGCAAAAAGAGCCCCATTCAGTCTCGCATCTTGTAACGAGGATGTATTCACACACTTTTGTTATGCCACTGGATGGTTGCAAAATATATTGAAGCTAATCAGGACCAACTTTCAAACTAGCAAGGCCTCCAATCCATGCTGCTATCGCAATTCGTGGGTATCAATGTATCAGCCCACATGTCCATTCCATGTCACTCATCACACTAGTAGACCTCCCTTCCTCTCTTCCTCCCTCCACCAGCTACAAGCAATTTCACGGATTTGGTTATGCCAAGAAGGGATTGTGCCATCGCCAGGAACTAGAGGAGCGCAAAGGCTACCCCAGCCAACGCAACCACAAAAGACACACCCACTCCATTCATCGCGGGTGACGCGGCATTCGTAGTCTGTTGGGGTGGTGCTGAGCTGGTCGCATTCGGTCTCTGGCTTGACCTCGAAGGGGCAGGAGTGTCCAGAGAGCCAGTCGAGAGGGGGGTCTCTCCTGCGGGAATAGACAGGTTACCTGTCGCTGAGGATAGCAACGGGTCCGTGATGATGGACGCAATTGAAGTGGGTTCAGGTGTCACTCCTGGAGGAGTAGAGAGGTTGCCTGTCACTGAAGAACGGAGAGGGTTCGTCAAGATTGGACCGACTGAAGTTGGCTCAGGCGTCTCGCCAGGTGGGATGCTCATCAAGCTATCCGAGGGCAACGTTGTTGAGCCTTGCAAAGATTAGCAAACGCACAAAAGGCAGTTAGAGATGTTTTGGTTACTCACACACAGGGCATGGCTCCATAATGCAGACCTCATAGCAAGGCGTAGTCGTCAACGTACCAGGAACAGATGTCTGGATGGTGAAGGGTCCCTCGGTCGTCGGAACTGGGCTGATGGAGACAGATGTGACGACACTGGGGGTGTCTTGACCAGCAACAGCGCTAGCTAGAAGTAGCAACGCGGGAGCCAACATAGAGGCGACCATGGCTGTTGTAAAGACTTGAAGATGATATCTGAGTCCGGAGTCTTCGAAATAGAAAGCCTAGTTGTAATCACACAGGAATGTAGAAGACAGAAAGCGCCTTTAAACAGGGCTTTGATCGTGGCCCGGGGACGCGTTTGCCTACTTTCTGCTTCTCGGCGCTCCGCTGTGAGTGGTGGGGTCTCGTGGGAGATCTACGCTCCTTCCCGCTACAGCACAGCTTCCTCTCACCCCCATCACCGTGCGAAACACTGCACCACCAATCGCCCCCAAGCATTGTTCTACCAAGCCTCCACCATGACGTCCCTCGCAAACTCGAAACCAGCCATCGTCCCGTCCCCGCTGCAATCCTTCGTATCAGACCCTGCCCCGCTTACAAGTACTACGCACCTTCCGAATGAGCAGTCGCTTGCCCGACAGATACTGCACAACCTCCAGTACCAGCATTACTGGACGGACCTGCAGGTGCACACGCATTCGCCCGTCACCAACGAGCCTCTACCCCGCCCGCTGGTCTCTGGCTTGTCGGCGCAGCGCCTCTATGTGCATCCCGATGAACAAGTCGAGCTGCTGAAGAAGGCCGACAGCCGCAAGAAAGCAGGCGAGAGCAACACATTGGATGTCAAGGCACAGCCAGAGCGCGAATGGATTCTGCCTACCCGGTTGAACGAGAAATGGACGCTGCGCAGACTGGCCGCCGTCTTCGACGCCATCAGCATGGTTCCGCCGGCCTTTGAAGCCTCTGCACCCGAGCAAGAAACCCCAGCCAACCCTTGGAGGACTACAAAGAGAGTGGTATTGGGCACAGTAGACTCTGACAGCACCGTCGTCTACTATATCGTCCATGACGGGATTGTCAAACCTCGACAGAACTGAGCATGACTCATACTGTCTATCTTCTTAGAAGCATATGTTAAGGCGAACAAGCCCAAGAATGCGACCTGAAGACACCAAACTCACGCGTGGTCTTGGATGAAGGCACCAGGATCACCTGTTGATGAAACAAAACTATCAGTTGCTATCATACGCCGACTAACTAACGTGCGTTACCAGCGGCGATCACCCTCTAAGGAATGGAAGGGTAGATCATGTCTCCTGGCTTCGGCATCTCGTAGAAGCGACTCATGTCTACCTCCTTCTCCGGCGGCAACTGGTTCGCTTCTGCCCACGACCTGATCGACTCATAATCGCGACATCGGTGTTTGGTGTTGAAGTCAACAAATGGCATCGGGTGTGGCACGTCTTCTGGCTGCCACCAAACCTGTCCGAGCACTCCCACGTCGGGATTGCACATCAGTACCTGCCTCAAGATGTCCAAGCAGTGCGTTGTATGAACGCGCACAATGTATTCGCTGTTCACGAACGGGCCGTCTTTTTTGGCGAGATAGTAGTCGTAGTTCCAATGGAGCGTCTTGCGCAGCAGATCCTGCCATATGTAAATACATTTCCTGTGGCATCTCACTCTGGCACTTACCAGGCAATGTAGGTGATGTAGCCCTTCGACATTTCCCGGAAACCCACCACCGTACTCTTGACTGACCTTTACTTGGTCGTGGCGCAGCCCCGTCGCTTCTGCTTCGTCCAGCGGAACAACGACGCTTCGATCTAGAAATCTTATTTAGATATTACTTTACTCTGTTAACTTTGCGACTTACAATTCACGCCCAGAGCCTCCCATGCAGCATCTACTTCTGGTCCCGCTGACTGTCGATAGACATTCTCATGCAGAAAGCTCCCGTTGAACAGCTGCGTATGCCAATTCGGCTTCACCTCCTTGACGACCGGCGCTACACTGATTAGCCAGAACTCAGCAGTACCCCTTCACACTCACAATATAGCGAAACATGATGCAAGCAAAAGTCGTCCGCATTGGCTACGAATGTAGTCTTGTGAACGCTGTAAGCTATCCACAGTGCGGCGCCGAGATATACAAAAGTGCAAAGCAAGAGGGTCTTCACGGCCACCTGGATATCACGGTTGGAACGATCGAGAGCGGGTATCTTGAGGGGCAATGAAGTTGTTGAGGAAGAAGAGGGCAAGAGCGTGTCGCTGTCAAGGCTCTCCGCGTCGTGCTGCGGCAGGCGCGTATGCTTAGGACGGGAGCGAAAGAGGTCGGTGAACATTGTGGGCGATACACCCCAGAACATGGAGGTCTGATCGGGCTTCACGAGGAGGAACGAAGCCAGACGAGGCCACAGTGTTTGGAGATTCTCCGGTGCGAGAACCAGGCTTCATCAATTGCACGCCATGCGCGGTCGTTATGCCGAAATCTTTGTCCACAGCCATTGACTTTCACAGATTACCTATCAGGTACACCCAGTTTTCGAATAGACTGTGAGTACTACAACATCTGGCGGGTATCACGGGAAGGTGCGTCGTGGCACACTTCAGATGTGCCACGCACGTTTCCCGTTGGACGCTGAAGCCGTTTCCCACTACAAATACCATAAGATGCATCCTATCACACCAAACCAGCTGGATTACGACAACGGGATCGGGAGTGGGTGTTGCGCTCGTAGATTGCTATTGCAACGTAATGCGGGGAGCTTAGTATGCCAGTTTACCTCAACACTGACTAGTGAACAGGTGAGCAAATGGTCTCGCCTTTCGTCGTCCACACATCATGACGATCGATTGTACGATATACAATCAACACTCTGTTTAGTTGGACGTGTTTTTACACAAGGCCCCATCTGTACCAGCACAAATTAGTCCTGCACGTATCATCCTCAGTCGACTTCCCGGGAGCTCAGGAGTAGCGATAAGGTTTGTTTGCTCAATGGGCAGATGGCCGGCTTCCCTTTGCAACTTCCAACGTGGCTCCAAAGAATTCAGGAACAACTTCATCTCGAGGTAACCTGTGCCTTTGGGCGACATGGAGCATTGGTTCTCATTGCATTGTATAGAGCGGCGCCCACTGTGACTACTATGAGCTGTACAGCAGAGCGCAGAAATGCGTTGTTTGTATACTCACCAGTCCCACCTCACGCCATGTTCGCTATGATCGACTCATAGCTCGCAATCGCTGGCTGTATTTCACACACAAGAGTGTCTACAAAAGGTGACTTCTGTGGCCAAGGTAGTCTGTCATCACGACCCAGTTCATCATCAACGGGTACTGAGACTCCAAATCGCTTCCACTTCATAGCACAATTCCACTTCCACCATGCATTTCGAACTCGTTCTCGCCAGTCTAGCGGCCTTCGCTGCGGCTGTTCCGGTCGAAATGGCTCACGATGGCAGCTACGGCTCATACGCGCCATACGCAGGGTACAACCCCTACTCCAGCGCAGTCGAGCAGGAGGCTGCTAAGATGCAGAATGGTAGCACTCCACATCCAACTCTAGCTTGAACAACATCACTGATTGCCTTTTACAGAAGCTATGAACATGAAGCGCGATGGCAACATGGGCCAAGCCAGCGACATCAAGTACTTGAGCTACACGCCGTACGCGCTCTACGGGCCGTACTCTGCGGCAGTCGACTCTGCGGCGGCGATGATGGAAGAGATGGACAAGGCCACGAAGCGCGACAACATGATGATGGATAACGCCATGATGGCGACGAAGGGAGAGGAACTTGCTAACCCGGCGTCGCCCTACGACCCGATGGCCCAAGAGAAGCGCGACATGCTGATGACGGACTCCATGATGCTCGACCCCATGACTGCCACTGCCACGGACGATATGAAGCGCGATGTGAACCATCCTGATGCAGCGGAGATGGCGTCTTCCCCTGACTCTGCGGCTGCCGGTACACTGCCTAATAACTGGTATGGGAAATACGAGTAGGTCTGCAGAGCTGTTGGTTGCTAGTCAGCTTATATCATTGCTAACGTGGCGGCAGTCCGTATACCGACTATGGCAACTATCCCGGTATGGCTGAGTAGACTTGGGCTGAGGCTCGAGGGATGGACTACGTGCGGCAGATTCTGATGCTGCTGCGAGTAAAGGGGGCTGGCTGGCTGGTGATGAGAGTATGGCGGGTCGTTGGAACAAGGATCAAGTGATGATCAAGTCGCTCGTTTGGTAGAATCTTGATGAATGAAGAATGTCGCTCCTTGAATGTGTGGTCATGCTCAACGTGCTGGAACTAATTCATGGTGACCGTGCATTTGATGAACTATTCTGAGGGTACAGTTTAATCACGGTGGATGGCATATGTGACTTCTCGCTGCGGTTTTTTTAAGAAAGATGACAAGCAGATCAATCGAGTAATGCTTACATGCCCCTGGTATCTTACATGGAGAATGTATGCACTTGACCCTCTTGTCATCGTGGGTAAGTGAGTCAGTCATACAATATGAAAAGTGCTGAATATTACCCCGACAGGCAGCAACATGTATGTTCCATCCATGTGTGGCGCGGGTGTAAACAGCGACTAGAATGATATCGCGGCGTGGCTGTTAAGGCGTCAAGTATTGTCTGGTTACTAAGGGCTTTACGTTTGGCCTTACTGTCGAGGCTGTTTATTCCACACATGGCGATAAGAACCATATAGACGTTATATACACCCCACTATTGCAGACCCACAGCTCGACATGCAGGTGGTACAGTACAGTAGCATCGGGGAGGCACCTCAACCTTGGAAGGTGTTGATAGGCTAGTTCCAAACGGGTGAGACAAGAAGGCGTTGAAGAGTTCCGGAGTGCGCGGGCGCCTGATCTGCGGTTCCAAGATCTGCTGCCGACTTCCCCAGCCTGTCGCGTGCAAACAGACAGGCCTACCCCATGATTTCGTGTCTGGTAAGCCTGTCTATCTTTCCTCGCATGACATGGCGCTGCATGCGTTGGGAGACGAGTGTACGGACGAACGGGCCAGCTGCAACCGCGTGCACGCCGGATCAGGTCCGGCTGGGAAGAGGATTCGCTCTGATAGACGAGTGGATGACGAGGAATTTGCAGGTAATTTGTGTAAAGGCATGTTTTGATGTGATGGCGGTGAGGGTTGCACAGGAGCTGGTGGAGCGAGAGCAGGTTGGCGATGAGAGATGTGGAGACTACTACCCAGGTGAAGTTCTGGCTAAATCAAGTATTCATATGGTGGAAGAAGAGAGAGAGCCAGGACCCTCGCAGCTGGCTCGACAAGGACCTGTTCGCTGTAAGGCCCAAACGGATGAGCAGGAAATCGAGCCAGAAGAGGGAACAAAGTCCTGAGCTGCAAGATATGGTTGCGAGGAGGGGCCGTGCTTCTAGAAAGAAGAAGCATCTGAGCGAAGGGGCATCCTGGTGTCGCTCGAATCAACGCAACTTGACAGACAACTAAAACTAAGTTACAACGTTGTTACGGAACAATTGCCCGACGCCTGAAACGCCTTCTCCCGGCGGCTTCTACGTGGGTCCTCCAAATGGAATTCTCGCCCAATGTGTGTTTGTGCGTGCTCGTGATGGGCTGGAAGCGGACATTTAGAAGGTGGTGAGGTTAGGCGATCGGCGGATGGGCAGCGGCTCTAGCGAAGTCGGAGATTACAACGGTCGCGCAGTGGAATGAATGTGGAAATAGAGGGAAATATAGAAATATAGGAAATATGGGTTAATGGGGTTGATGACAGCCTCATATGCATATGCAGCGCGTGGCCTCACATCTGGAGGCAGCACCCCGCAAAAGGGCCATTAGTAGGCGAGGGACCCGCCGCCGCCTTGTATCCATGCTCTCGTCGTGACAGGCAACCTGTGGAGCAGTACAGACATTTACTCTAGATGAGTGAGGCCGCTTGAACAATCAGCAGCGGTCACGGGGTCTCTGGCGGGCCGAGGGCTTCTAGTCCCGAGGCTGCTTTGTGATGTCTGAATAATCATAGTCTAGGTCGCAGACTACGAGGGTGGCCCATGTGGGGAGAGACAGGATTGCGCCTCTGCTACGGCCACTCTACGGCCTGTCCACAAGTGCGCCGACGAGGTTCAAGTTAATCGGACCTCGACGGCTGAGGAGGGCTGCGAATCCTGTCGGCGCTATTATACATGCAAGCTATGCTCCCGTCCCCTTCCCCTGTGCATACGACATGGGATGGATTGCGGGTGCGGTCATAGTCTATGTCAACGAGCGAGCGAGCGGGCGGGCGCCCACTTGGACCCGGGCGTCGTGCCTACATCACTGCCTGTCATCGTTGAGCCTTTCCTTTGCCTCTGCCTTTGCTTCTGCCCGAGTCGTCTCCGCTGCTCCTTTGTGCTCTCTCTTTCTCTTGCGTGCTCACCTGCCTGTTCTTCCCCACATCAAGCTGCGAGAGCCCTACCGGTACTAGATATACACGCTAGCGCCCCCACAGCTTCGACTTGACCATCCACCACCCCCGATTTCAACGCACCACGCCGAGACTCGACGCTTGCACTAGCCTGCCATGTGGTCTTGCGCCTTGCTTTGTACGAGTACATGACCAAAAAAAGAAACAGCACAAGTCCGACTTCGATGTAAAGCTGCTGTACGCTTCGCGGCAGCATAGAGACGCAAGCGTCGAGAGAATGGCCGACGCCGGCGCAAGCGCAACCACCATGGCCACGCCCTCGCACCCCCATTTCGACCACGACGACGCCCTCACACTGAACGAATACGGCCTGCCTGAGCTCCGAGCCTCCCCGAACCCCATTGGGACCAGCCCAGCCAACATCATGTCGACCTTTGCCGACTTCGACATGGCATTCGCCCAGACGGACAGATTCAGTGCCGCCTTTGATGAGGTCCAGCCCAAGATGGAGACTGGTTATGGAGAGGACAGAGGAAGCGTGGGCAATCTGAGCGAGGAGAATCTCGCCAGCGTGCGTGTACATAGGATGAGCATCGGGGCGAGTCCGCGGAACATGTTGCACGACGGGAACAACACCAGTCCCGAGAGCGCGCCTACGCTTGGCCTGCTAGCCATAGGAGACATGAGCGAGGCGACTGCCCTTGCCATGAAGCTCAGCGGAAACGACGGCACCGATCACTCCACCACATCGAGAAGGAGCAAAGATGACACCCAGGACCCGCCACTGTGGAGCGAGATGAAGACAAAGGCTGGCAAGGAGAGGAAGAGGCTGCCACTCGCATGCATCGCCTGTCGGCGGAAGAAGATTCGCTGCTCGGGCGAGAAGCCAGCCTGCAAGCACTGTCTGAGGAGCAGAATACCGTGCGTCTACAAGGTCACCACCAGAAAGGCAGCACCAAGAACAGACTACATGGCCATGCTGGACAAGCGGCTGAAGCGCATGGAGGACCGTGTTGTCAAGCTGATACCCAAGGAGAGCTTGCCTTCGGTCGCCAATGTGGGCAGGTCTGTGGTCAAACCCGCCATTCCGGGAGCCCCGCCCAAGACCCCAACCACCAAGAAGCGCGCAGCAGAAGAAGCTTTTGGCAGCGAGCTGGACGATTGGTCTAGATCGAAAGGAGCAGATCCGGACACCTCCGCAGGACCAGGGTCTCGCGGAAAAGAATCTTACGACACCAAGCTTCTAACCGATGGTGCCGAGAGCTTACCATCGAGAGAAATCCAAGAGCATCTGGCCGAAGTCTACTTCGACTACGTCTACGGTCAGAGCTACCCGCTTCTCCACAAGCCGAGCTTTATGAGGAGATTGGCAGCTGGCACAGTGCCGCCAGTACTCCTACTAGCCATGTGTGCCATATCCGCGCGTTTCTCCACACATCCTCAATTACGGTCGGAGCCGTGCTTCTTACGAGGCGACAACTGGGCAGAGCGGGCGCGGGAGATTGCACTCAAACGATACGACTCGCCCAACATTACAATTCTCATCGTTTACCTACTACTAGGACTTCACGAGTTCGGCACATGTCAAGGCGGGCGGAGTTGGATGTTTGGGGGTATGGCGCAGCGGATGGCGTACGCTCTGCAACTACACAAGGAGAACGAATACGATCCGCTCGTTAGCGAGGCCGACAGGAAACCATTGAGTGCGACAGATCGTGAGATTCGACGGCGGACTATGTGGTCATGTTTCCTCATGGACCGCTTCAACTCGTCAGGAACCGATCGACCGCTGTTCGTACACGAGCAGTACGTCGAAGTGCAATTACCTGTCAAAGAACATTTATATATCCACGAAATCCATGCGCCAACAGAGAATCTAGAAGGTAACGTGCCAAATCCGGTCCCACCAGACAGCGGTCAACTAGCGAATTCACGCGACAACATGGGTGTCTCAGCATACACCATAAGGCTGGTGTGCATATGGGGCAAGGTTATCAAGTACGTGAATCTAGGTGGCAAGGAGCGTGAAGCAGAACCAATGTGGTCGTCGGATTCAACCTACCACAAAATTAGGAAGGAGGCCAGAGAGTTCAAGGTGTCGCTGCCTGAAATGCTTGTATACACTCCAGAAAACCTCAAGAGCCACGCTATTGGCAAGACGGCAAACTCTTTCCTTTACCTCCATATCTTATGGCAACAGGTAATGCTCTTTATGCATCGCTTCGCCCTACCGTCAACAGCAGGCAGTCGGCCACCAAAAGACATGCCGCACGACTTCCTCACCGAGTCCGCCCGCACTGCGCTCGATGCTGCGAACCAGATTTCAATGCTCATCAACGAGGCCATGGATCACAATGTCGTGGCACCGTTCGCCGGTTATTCTGCCTTCTTCTCCTCGACTGTCCATGTCCATGGCGTCTTCTCAAAGAACCCAAAACTCGAGACGCAGTCAAAAAAGTACCTTGCTTACAACGTAAAGTACTTGACCAAGATGAAGAAGTATTGGGGCATGTTTCACTACATTGCAGAGAACTTGAAGGAACTGTATCGACAACACGCAGACGCACAGCTCAAGGGGCCGAACGTGACAGGGGACAAGAAGAAGGGTAGCATCTTCCAGTACGGGGACTGGTTCGACAGATACCCACATGGCGTTTCGAAGACAGACTACGAAGATGCAGCTGAATCAACTCCGAACGAGCCGGGTACCGACGCTGTCCTGGGCCAGAAGAGCGACCTCCAGAGTGTCGAAGAGTTCTTCGCGTCGCTATCGCCACCGACCAAGGCCGACCAGCAACGCAAGCAAGCCCGCAAGAACAAGTCAAAGTCTGTCTCAAAATCTGACGCCCCAACCTCAGTGCATACAGATTCCCCACACATGCAACGGCCTAACAACCTGAGCCAACCAAGACACCCAGCGCGCCTCCAGCCGCAGCAACAGATGAGCCAAGCCAACTTGGCTTCCCAAGACGCGATAGAAGCAGCTATCGCCGCTGGATTTGACCCTGCAGCGCTCTTCGCACAACAAGCACAAGCACAAGCACAACACCAACACACACCCTCCCAACAATTCATGGCCGAGTTCGCAGGACATCATCCCCATCAGCACCATCAACACCACAGCAACCTCCCCATGCTCAACACGTCGCCCACCATCGTCCACCCGGGCCACCAAATGGACATGTCGCCCTTCCCTGACCTATCCGCCGACTTCAACAACGCCTTTTGGAATCTCGAAGCCATGGGTATGGCTAACAATAACTTCTTCGATCCCATGAGCAGTTACTTTGTACCGTTCAATGTCGAGCCTCCCACCATGGGTGATGACGGTGCGTTTGCACAGGCCAATGCCGAGGCGTACGGTTTTGCCCTCGGCGCTGGGACGCCGGTGGATCTCGATATGATGCATGGGCATGGCGGGGGTGTGCCGCGGGGGCATCGATCGAGTATTAGCGGGAGGCCACAGGCACAGAGGAGGGGGACGGGGAGTGGATTGGACTGATTGGAGTTCAATGGAGTTGAGTTGCGTTCGATTTAGCGGGGGCGTCTTTGGGAGGCTTTTGACTTGTAGTCGACAGTTTGCATGTTCAACCTGCGAATGTTAGGGATACGGGTATACCACGGCGCTGTAGAGGCGTACGACGGAACGAAAGCAAGTGCTATTGTTGTTGGTGTTTGTATATACTGTCGTCTGCGACGGTTAGATGTACTGACCTTGTTACGTATGTAAGCTGAAGCTCTGTTCACGCCGTCGAATGTTGGCGATGGATTGCCATTGGTTGTACTTTGTAGTCTACCTCTCTTCTGATATTTGATGATCTGCTGTTTTCACGTTGACAGTATTGCTTGGGCTCATATCCGTTCTCGACCTTCGTCCTGTGCGGCCTTTTTCTTTAGAGCATCATCTCATGACCCTATCGACCGAAGGTAAGATCTGGGCGGACATGGAAGAGTACGCTCAGTAGTGAGAAGAAAATGCAAAAAGCTCATAGCGCTCTCTGCACTAAAAACATAAGCAAAGCGAAAACTGCGTAGATGATTTCCAAAGTCACCGACCGCAGTGCATCACTAGTTCAACAACATCTCGACCCGCCGACTTACCAACCTCACAAAACAAGCACAGCCACCCTTTCCGTCGATCGCCTCGGCTTCAGATCCCAGCCTCGCCGCACCATGAACAAAGTATCCAGCCTCGCAAGTATTGAGTTTGCGAAACCAAGCATAACATGTTTGAAAGATCGACTGTGATCGTTTGGTGAAACGCTAGGGCGACGGGCCTGCAACACCTACGAACAAGTGCAAAACCCTTTTGCGGACATGCTCGCGAACACCGACCTTCTGGAACGCTAAAATTGGAAACGCATAGTTTGTCTTGGCTGTTTTGCTTGTCGTGACTTGGCTTCGATTTGATCTGACGGGGTTGCAGAGGAAGTATGGGCTATTAATAGACAGCTTTGCAAGATGCATCGTGAAATTAGGAGACGACGTGGATAGTGTTGGAATCAACTTATACAGCAGCAACTCAAACTAGAGGAAACTTGCTTCGTGAAAGTCAAGTTCAAAGTATCCGGTGTTGAGTATTATTCAGGCCCCCCCAAAAGGCTTAACCTACCCGGACTGTCCAAGATCCGACCTTCGATGTTGCGTTTCGGCACCATCGCATTGAAGGTTTGCGCCTTGGCGCCTCCAACCCACCTTCGCTAGGTTTAGAATGAAACCAAGTGCGCGAACATTGGCACCTGTCAAGGCCTGGGGACTGGCCTTCCGCGATAGCCAAGCGCTGGAGGGAAACGCTTGCTCGTAGCCAAGCACGTTTGGTCTCGTGGACTGGGCTTTGGAAGAGGCATCTCTGAAGCAGATTCCGGGTTGCACCCATGACGATCTGACATTCCGCTGTGGTAGACTGACTGTTCCGAGAGTGCCAAAAATGGTAATTGGCTGTAAGGCTGAACTGTAGCTAAGGTTTAGCTGGAGCGAAAGAAGAGTATAAGAGGCAGTGTCCATGGCGACATATCTGACCATAACCAGCAATCAACTTCTTCAGCTTTCTTGTCTATTCCTCTCTTCTTCGGCCTGGTGCTCTTCGCTTCTCGCTTTCTCTTTTCCATCCGTCCTGCCTTTCAATACCGAGTTGATCTCGAATTAATATCCTAATTCAAAATGTATATCTCGCAGTCTTTCACCATCGTTGCCGCATTTGCGGCCTGCGTTTCGGCCCACGGCGTGGTCACCGAGGTCAAGGGAGCCAATGGTGTCAACATGCCTGGCTTGACGATTCAAGACGGAACTCCAAGAGACTGCTCTTCCAAGTAAGACTGCAACGATTAGCTTTGTGTACTTTGGTGCTAACTCATAGCTTAGCGGCTGCGGATCTCAGGCAGACACGGCGATCATTCGCGACAGGGAAATTGCGAGTGGCAAGGCTACTCCCCTCGGTCGTACACAAGGCAACGGCCTAGTCGATGCTTCTGTGATGGTTGGTGCCTTCATGGGCGCTGGCGCCGCACCGCCAGCAAACAACGGAGCCTCTGGTAGTGTCGGTGTGGAGGACAACATTCCCCAAAATGCCCAGAAGCGTCAGCTTCTGGCCGGTCTTTTTGGCGGCGGCGGCGGTGCTGGTGGTAATGCTGGAGCTACTGGTATCAAGGGCCTGCTCGGTGGTGGTGGCGACAAGGTCAACGGTCCCCCAGAGGCACGTATTGCGGCCGCACAAGGTGCGGGCCAGTCTTCCGGCTTGCCCACTTGTGCGGATGATGGTACTGTCACCATGACTCTTCGACAGGTAAGCTTTGCTCCAACCTCCTCTCAAAGGCGTTGTCTAACAAAGTTTAGATCAACCAGGACGGCGCGGGACCGTTCACCGCCGACGTTGATGGCACATCTGGTGGAACAGATGAGGCTGCCATGCAGTCTGCCACGGTGACCAAGGACGTTCCTGGCCTCGGTGTTCAGGGCATCTCCCTCGCAACGAACACTGAGTTTGACATGCAAGTTCAGATGCCAGCAGGAATGACCTGCGATGCTACCGTTGCTGGCACCCCTAACGTCTGCGTCATGCGCGTGCGTAACGGCGCTGCGGCTGGTCCCTTTGGCGGCTCTGTGGCATTTACTCAGAGCGCTGCTACCAGGAAGCGAGCTATTGCATACAGGCTCAAGAAGCGCATGGAGTTGAACCGCATGTTCTAGGTTACTGGTCGGTATTGCTGGGAACTGCAGAAATCTGGTGCTTGTTAACGTTTGACCTGGCAGGATCAGTGTCAATGGGAAGAAGGCAACTTGAGGGGAAACACATATTCTTCTGGTAGTGAATAATAGATATCATGACATGTATACACACAGCTTGCACCTTTCTTTACTCCTTGTGTGACTTCTCGGAATTGCACCTCGTCTTACATTCTTTCAGCAACTAATGGTCTCATGTATATGAGAACGATAATAAATTTTGGCATTAGTGGCAACAGACAGATTGAGCAAGACCTTTGCCATAGGGGATGTACGAGAGTTGTGATACTCAGCCAAGAGTTGTTCGATGCGGGGAAATGGCTCCTAGGTTAGCTGGGCTAGCTAAGCTCTGTTTGAGCTAGCCCCTCATCATGCCAGCCCTACGTTTACGTCCTTACAACTACACTTTCCAAATAGTTATCCGACACAGCAGGAGTGCCATGAAATCGAGACCCTGTGGCGTGGCTTTTCGCGTACAGTTTCCCCTGAGGTAAAAAATTTCCGAATGAGCATGCCATGCTCCTGTTGAAGCTATTGTCGCTTATCTGATCACGACATTTGCCATGCAATCGCATCATCAACACGACTGGGCAATGCATGTTCGTTCCATAGTCGCTTCCCCGTGCAACGACATTCGCTCCGCCATGGAATGATATTCGCTGCCAAGTGGTAGCTAAACAATCGCCTATAACCATGGCCTGTCGCCTATCTCTTCACTGCTGTTCAGCAACACATCCAAGCCTCCAACATGGCGCTCTACGATTCGAAAAGCCCGCCTGACCGCACATCGCCCACAACAAGCGACAACAATGACGAAGATTTTCAACGCATGGACCCAAGTGGTGTCAAGCGGGGCCTCAAAACGCGACATCTATCCATGATGGCTCTGGCTGGGATTATTGGACCCGGAATCCTCGTTGGCACCGGAGGTGCCCTCGCGAACGGTGGACCTGCTTCTCTGCTTATTGGATTTGGTATCGTCGGAATTATATCGTTCAGTGTTACTCAATCCCTCGGAGAAATGACGACACTTTACCCAACCGGGGGCGCCTTTGTTACACTTTCCGACCGCTTCGTCGACAAAGCCTTTGCCGTTGCCGTTGGCTGGCAATATTGGCTGGTTTGGGCCTGCGTCCTGGCGAACGAATACAACGTCATATCCTCGGTCATGGTCTTCTGGAGCCCGAAAGTGCCGCTTTGGGGCTACTTTTTGATCTTCTGGTTCGCGTTCATGGGGTTTCAGATGCTCGGTGTAGAATCATTTGGCGAAGCTGAGTTTTGGCTCGCGCTGATTAAGATTGCGGGTCTTTGCGCATACTTTATATTCGCCATCATTTACGCCTCTGGAGGATTGATTGGCCAGAAAGAAACTCTTGGATTCCGCTACTGGCACGATCCTGGCCCATTTTCAAATGGGTTTCGAGGAGTCGCAACCGTCTTTGTGTTCGCTTCCACGTTTTATGCAGGTGTTGAGGCAGTCGCGGTAGCAGCAACAGAGACGAGGAACCCGAGCGTTGCTGTCCCTCTGGCGATCAAACAGGTCATCGGGCGCATAATATTTGTGTACATGGGCGTTGCATTCTTCTTTGGCCTCACATGCCCATGGAACGCAGATGGTTTGGCCAACGGAGCGAGTCGCGCGCTTAAAAGTCCCATGACGATCGCGATTCAAACCGCTGGTTGGGAAGGTGGAGTTCATCTGATCAATGCCTTCATCTTCATAACAGTTCTAAGCGCTGCAAACAGCTCGATCTACATCGGATCTCGCACGATCCTGTTCATGGCACAGGAGAAGATGGCACCGCGTTTCTTGGGCAAGACCAACGGTCGCGGTGTTCCGGTCTACGCTATCATCTTCACTAACCTGTTTGGTGTGTTATCTATGATGAATGTCAGTACCGGGGGTGGAAAAGCATATTCCTACATTATCAACCTGAGCGGTGTGTCGATATTCATCGTCTGGGGTGCGATCTCCTTCACTCACATTCGCTTCCGGAAAGCCTGGTGCGCACAAGGTAGAACTGCAGATCAGCTACCATTCAAGTCGTTCGCATATCCCTGGAACGCCTACTTTGGCGTTTTCGCCAACATTTTCCTTGCTACAGTTCAAGGTTGGACTACTCTAAGCCCATTCGATGCCGGCCTTTTCGTCGACGCTTATATCTTGCTTCCACTGTTCGGTATAATCTACTTTGGCTATAAATTCTGGTTCAAAACACGTTTCTGGAGGAGCCATGAGATCGATCTGGATGCTGGAAGGAGGAAGGATTTAGACACGAGAGAAGAACTTTTACATGGTGAGGCGCGTGAGGAGCCTCAAGCGAAGCAAAGCTTTCCGAAGAGGTTGTGGGCTAAGTTGTGAACAAAAGGAGATATGCAATGGCCGTCATATTGATGTCTTTAAGTGAATGAATGCATCTATATTAGCGAGAGCTACTAAAGGGTACGCCCGAATCACCTCGACTGTACCAACCAACCGCATAGTATATTCCAATCACATTTGGTAAGATGGAAACGAAACCCCCCGCGTAATAATACGCAGTGAGGGAGGAGGTAATCCGAATCGGTCTAAGCCATATGAGCAGCGTCGCAGATCTATGCACCACCAGGACCAGAAAGAGTATCTATTCGCAATAGTCAGCCCCAACAATACCCCTGATCGGTAAATTCCTCTGACCACATACCTAAGTACTATGTATGCCTTTGAAAGCATCATGGCACAACTTCGCTCGTTCCCTTATCCGTTGATAGGTGGTCTGGCTTCACGGACTTTGCAGTCTATACTACGAGGGCTCTGGGCTTGCTCTTGACAGAGTCGTAGTCGCTTGTGACGCTCAATGATCAAGCTCAACAAGAGCACTAGGGCAGCCAACCTCCCGGCCATCGAGAAGAACTTCATGAGCTCCGATGGGTAGCAGTCGTACCAGAGCTAGTACTCATCACACAGTAAGCCTAAAATGAACAAGCTTCTTCTCTCCTTGGGTTCTATATATCTCAAACATGGGTATCTCAAGGAAGCAAGTACTAGAGCATCTTTCCGCGAGAGTGAGACATATTCCCCTGATTAACCGCCTTCGACTAACGTATCCTGCCAAATCTAAAACAACAATATTCAATCATCAACTCCTTTCTCAAAGTAACTACATTTTAGCGACGACAACTCATCCACGGGCCTAGTCGCGAGAGAGCGATCGGCTACGTCAGTCGACCAAATATTGTAACCGAAGAAAACAGGCACAGCTATCAAATGATGATTCAGCCGCAGCCTAAATATTTGTAGGGAAGGATCTGTAAATACAAATCCAGATGATAAAAACAATGATAGAGTTCTTAATCGTTTGCCCCAATATTGTTCGGTTTTCCAGGATTCATCTCTAGCGGGTACGGTAGGCCCCCCATTGGTCCTTTTGGGCCCTCCTAAATCCTGCAACACGATTTCCAAGAGAACTGCGCCACAAAGTCGCATCGTTCTTGTCAGCTCGGAGGCACCTCAATCTGTAGCGTCGCATAACAGATGTCATTTGCTCGTTCGTATAGGTCCAGAGCTTCTCCTCCACATTCGCGCAGGTCCGCTACCGTCCCGCCATCATGGTAACGCCTGATGGAAAAGCACGTCAGAGAGCGTGGAAGCCCAAAAACCGTACTGGCTGCAAGACTTGCAAGTAAGTGGTTGCCTTGCCCTTCATTGCTCGTGCAAATCCAGGATGTGACATCTTGCAGCGATCTTTCTTTGCAGGTGGATGGCCGTCCCGACGGCTGGTCTCAGTGTTGATGCTCCATCAGTCGAATGCTAATCTCCTCAGGATACGCAAGGTGAAATGCGACGAGGAAAAACCGCACTGCAAGCGTTGTACATCAACCGGGCGCAAATGTGATGGCTATGATCCGAACTTCCGACCTTCACCCCCAACAACACCCCCTCAATCGGTGACTTCATCAACACGTGGGCAACTTCAACGTCTCACCAGTCGTGGGATTAATCGCTCTCCCTCACCATTATACTTGGTTCCAGCCCTACGGTTTAACACAGTAGAAGAACGTGAGAGCTTTGATTTCTTCACCTCAAACGCCGTTGTATCTCTTCGGGGGTTTCTCGACTCTTCATTTTGGGAACGGGAAGTCCTCCAAGCCGCTCATCGAGAACCGGCAATTCAGCACTGCATCGTTGCTCTAGGTGCCATGCATCGACGGTTCTTTGAAGGTCGACGCTCGCATATCAATGAGGAACACATGTCCGACAAGTACCTACAATTCGCATTGCGCCAGTCTAACCAAGCCATTCAGGACCTGGTGGGCAAGCAGGGACTGAGTGGTAGTATGGTGAAGACAGATAGAGTGACGCTCATGACGTGCTCCATTCTGTTCATCAGCATGTCCTGCCTCCAGGGTTATCAGAAAGATGCATTCGAGCATCTGCGAAGCGGTATTCGAATGCTGAATGAGATGGATAGTGAAGAGAATGCAAAACCCGAGAACCACCCAGTTGACATGGACTCATTGCGATCCCTTTTCATCGGCCTTGATTTGCAGGCTCGAAGTATAATGCCCACAGCTCAATTTCGAAATTGGGTTCCAACGCCGAAACTGAAAACGCCAGCTAGTCTACCAAATCCTGAGCTGAACATGGCTTCGTTACTCGCAATGGTGCGATATATGGAGACCCTTCTCAACCATCTTCACGCATTTTTCCAAGGGATCATGTCGCGACGTACAGAAGAAACGAACGACATCTATCTCGAATATAGCGATTTGATCACGCGTTTCAATCGAGGATCAGCCATTCTAGAGATACTCTGTGAAAAGTCATCGTCAAATGCAGACGAATTCAGTCAACCCTTGACTGTACTACGGCTTCTACAATGTCAAATAGAATACTTGCTGCGATCCCCTAGGTCCGACGTTGAAGACAAGTTCAAGCTCACGATGAAATCCACCTCCTTTGACGATTTATTTGATGAGCCATTCGACCATTCTACACAGTTAGTCAAAATGTTCGAGTTGGCTACCAGATTACTACCGTTATCTTCCTCCTCTTCGCCAGTCTTTACAACGACAATGGGCGCGCTCTCGGCGCTTTGGCTTGTAGCTTTCCGCGCGCCTTCTACCTGTGCTACACTACGCAAGCGTGCTGTCACGCTCATGCTGAGCCATCCGAGAAGAGAAGGCTTCTGGGACGCTATGGTTGCAGGACGGGTTGCACAAGAGGCGCTGAGACTGGAACAGGAAAGTACGCAAGCAGAGCTTGGTTTCTCATTTAATCCAACTCAAGATGTGATCGTGCCAGACGATCTACGAATGATCGCTGTGGCAGTTTCGTATGTGGACGACAATAAGCGAAGGGCCAGGGTCGAATATGTCAATTCACGGGATCTGAAAGCAGGCAATCCAGGTTGGGTACGATGGATTAATTGGTAGGAATCACTGCTTCGATTCGATTCAATGTGCATAACCTGCGGGTCCGCCACTCATCATGCTTCAATCACACTTGTTCTTCTGAGTGTCTTCAGGCGCTCGGTTCAGATCAAGAACGACGAGAAACACCTCCCAGGCCTATTGCGAGCGATTCAATGTCGCAAAGGCCTTCGGAGAACTCAAAGAGGATGCTATCATCAAGGTACAAAGACGTGGTTAGTACTTCTCGTCGTCCACCATCTTCGCTGGGTTCTCGTTTTCATCCGCCGCCGCTATCTTCTTGGGCTCAGATTCCGTGACAACCAGCTCCAAATGGAAACACAGGACAGTGATAATGCCAACTACACGAAGAAGAAGAAGAAGAAGAAGAAGAAGAAGAAGTACATATAGCTAGCAGTTCATGTCTTATCATAGAGATGCTGCTCTAGACTAAGTTTAGCATCAACCAGATGAAAGTAGGCTACAGAGCCTAGGAAACGATGATGTATCAAGATATCGGGCCAGCTTCCATTCTTTGAAATGGGCGAGTGTTAATAGACGAAACTTAGGATATGAAGTGTGTAAATGTTCAAATTGCACTCAAACAAAGCCAAATAATGTCCAACCAGCTTACAACACCTGAGAATAATATAACAACCGGCTGCGGTCAAGTAATAGTATCGCAAGGTCCTGCCGTATCCAATGCAATTCCAACTCAGTTTCTCCAAGATCAAGTCACTGGAGAGACTGTAGTTTATCATTTCAGCCATGCCCACTAAGGAATCTAGGCCTCGCCCACTAGGAAAGCATCGAGGTCTTTCACACTCATCCTATTCAATGGCCTCCTCATTCCTACTGGGGTAGCAGGCCGCCAGTTCTCCCAGCTCGTACTTATAACTCTCCCCTCTGGCTTGTGCCGCGCTGTTACACACAGACCTGTACCTAGGTTACCACGCTTGACCTGCATGTCGATCTTGCCTCCACGTATATTTCGCAATATGTGGGTAAGGGGGCTATCGTCGTCGGCCCATACGGATGCGTAGGTATCTTCTCCGGGATAGAGGATGCGTGCTGATAATTCGACGACTTGAGAGGGTTCGGTTGGGAAGAGGGTGCGGATTAGGCGTACGAGAGTTGCGCCAGCGACGGTGTTGGTGTCTGGGGAGAAGGGAGGGAAGACTGTGCTGGTTTCGGAAGCGCGTCGTTGCTGACGCTGTGAGGGAGGGTCGAGGCGGAGGCGTGGCCGGTCGGTGTTGGTGCTGGCTATTACGCTGCTATTGGCGATTCGGGTCCAGCGGAGATATGAGCCCCGTACTGGCGTTGGCGTGGTGAACGACTCCGCGAAGCTACTCGAGGGCGTCAGACGCTCTTCGTCACTTGCCTCCTCCGATGAGGAAACATCCGGCTCAATGTCCTTGGGACTGATACAGTATCCAGAAATATGTACTTTTCGCGCCTGCTTCAAGAGGAAAGGATATAAGCTCTTCAACACCAACACACCATACGGATACGACACATAGAGTGACAATCCTTGCTTAGCATCTCCAGGCATTGAAACCTCGGTTCCTCCCTCTGAAGACCGCGCCCGCGCAATCCTCTTCTTGCCCCGCATGTAATCCGTCAACTCATCATTGACAAGCCGACACGTCTGTAATAGCGCCAATGGAGCTGGGTACTCTAGCTCTCCGCCCGTAGCATCGCCTATGCATCCATTATCAATGGCAATTGTAGGTGGATTCGCGACAGAAAATAGGGAGGTATCTCGGTGGCACCGAACCAGCGGCGCGAGAGTGAGGGGCAGGCCTGGGATGTTGGTCTTTCGGGCGCGATCTTGTATTTTATCGCCCGCGATAGTCGTGTAGCCCGCGCTGATGGTGATGGCGTATGAGTCGGTAAGGAGGAGGTCGTAGATATGGCATCGTATCTCTGTTGGTAGATCTAGAAATCCGCTATGTGAGTTATTCGAGTCGTCTGTCGAGACCATATCGCCTGTTGTTCTATTTGCTATACAATGGCGCGGCAGGCGACAAGACTTTATTGCGGTCGAGTTGAGCGTTGACGTGAATCGGTAGAAAACAGCAGTTTAGGTCTGGATTTTGTTTTGTTGTCGTTTTGGCGTATGTTGGAAGGGCCTGATCGAATCATGCAGCGGGGTGCCGATGCAGTGAAACAAGCAAGATCCATGCACGGGCGAGTCGCGTCATATCAACGCAGCGGCCTGTCACCGCCTAGGAAAAGACGGTCAGTATGCCCAGTCATGCTGTCGCCGCTGTTTGTTTACTGACATTTGAAACCTTGAACATGGGCGGATGTGAGTCAAACATGTTTTAATTAATGTTGTCAAGGAGCAGTTCTATTGCGTCTCGTCCGTAATTGTCTCGTATCTATTCAAGACATGACCTTGCAATAGGCATTTCTAATCGTCTTCACTGTCCTCTGCGCGCTGTTGCTCAGCCATCTCCTGGGCCTCCTTCCACTGCATAGCAAACTCTCTTAAGTTACCCTCTCCTCCACTGCTCGCGTCTACTACATCCTTCGGAAGCTTGTGCGCGCTGTACTGAGGAGTCGCAAAGCCATATGCTTCGGGATCGTCTCTTCGCACGAGGCGAAACTCGGGTTGCCAGATCTCTTCAACCTCATCGTCATCCGAATCATCATCCGAATCGTCGTCAACCAGGTCCGCAACTTGGCCGCTAGATTCTCCTGGCTGGGCTATCTTTAAGCGGACTGTAGTCTCCTCCTCAAGTTGTTCCACATCAGGCACATCCATGGTGAGTAGTTCCATCCATGAGAAGAGAAGAGGATCCGTCCGCAAAGCCCATGGGTTGAAATCCACCACCCAAACCTTGTTATGTGGTGGTGGAATGTACACGTCAAATGTGAAGTTCGCATCTGGAAACGTGTCGCGCAGTCGGGTATCGAAGAATTCTTGAACGGTTCGAAGTAGCTTGTCCTGCATGTTGAACAGGAAATCAAAGTGATTTAGATCCCGCTGACATAGGGCGATAAGCCGTCGATTCCGCACGAAACACCTGAATTCTACGCTGGGATTTAGGGTGATCCACTTCCGCAAGACAAGATGGTATGATATCTCTGGATCTGGAGTCGCTGACTGATTGGCTGTGTCATCGAACGCATGCGCTAGATCGTGTGTTATAAAGTCACTGCTCTTCAGCAAAAGGTAGATGTCGTTCGGCGTCCGGCACTCCATACTGTTTGTCGCTGCAATCCAGGTCGCATCTTTCGGCGCACTCCAGTTCAGCTTCGGCGCAACTTTGCCTCCCAGCTCTTCGATTGTGCGCTCGATGGCTTCGTGCGTGTCCCGCCAGTTGACGCTGGGGTCGAGTGTCTCTTCCTCCTCGTCGTCGTTGTTATCGGCGCCTGAGAAGATGCCACTATCATTGTCTGACCAATTTGGGTTGTCATTCTCGTCGGGGGGCAGGATGATACCATCAGATCGGAGATAATCGAGGAAGGCAGATGGGAGCGGAACGAGGCGCGCTTTCGGTGTTATGGCGCGGTATCTTCAATAATGGTTAGGAAACAATGTACAAAGAGTGTGTTTGCGCAAGCATACTTGGGATGCCAGTTGTGGTATGAGCAGTTCAAGATGTGCTCTTTAGTGACTGGTGGGAAGGGAAGTTCTGTCAATCCTTCTTCTGCTGGCGCAGAGGCTTGAGCTTCGCTAGTGACACCTTGGACACTCATGGTGGCCGATATAATTTTGGGTTAGAAGAATTAAAGAAGTAGTGAAGGTATGCTGAGCGAGGCGATGACTCCATTGCTGTGTGAGTCTTTCACTCTGTCCCAGGGAAACTTTTGGTGGGGCAAGTGGGAGATTGGAGCTTGGGCCTCACCTCCGACTTCTCCGCATTCCATCACTTTTTTCGACAAACCCTCCCATACTTCCTACGAATATATCACAAATAGCTGGAATCATGGCAGATAACGTCGGTCTTACCACGCCTAGAGGTAGCGGTACCTCGGGCTACGTTCAAAAGAACCGCTCGCTCCTCCGACCACGCGACAAGGTAGCGCCTTACCCAAAAGACTGGGACTCGGCGAAGCACCGCCCAAGACAGCCAGATGCGGAGATCTTGGAGCATGAAGCAAAAAGAGAGATCGAAGTGAAGGTCTTCGAGTTAAGGGACAAACTTGAAGATGAGGGGTAGGATCCATGGCCTTTGCATATCAGATCTGTGCATTGACTGACATCCACAGTGTCGATGAAGACGAGATCGACGACCAATGCGAAGCTCTACGCCGGAAACTTGATCAAGAGCGAAAAGAAGGAAAAGAAACGAACCCCAACGCTAAGCGACTGAAGTCACATCAAGTCCATGATCTGGCTAAAGCAAAGATTGAAGAGAGTGAGAGACTTAGGAAGGCATTAGGCATCAGCGCAGACTACGAAGAAGGTAGCCACTGGAGAAAACAAGAAGAAAGGATGCGAGAGAGTCTCGCCAAGCGAGAGGCTGAAGACGAGGAGAAGGTCGAGCGGGCGAAAGAGGCCAGGCGGTACAAAGAGGACGACTCCGATTGAGATTCGACATGGAGATCAGGCGTTCGCACAATTTTTTTGATACCCTATCAGGCTGCGGCTCCGACTATCACTAGGAGATATATACAACTGGGCTGATGGAATCCGTTGCATGCGGCTTCTCATTTTTCTATTAGTCACCGGGACAGGGTAGTCGCGGTGCTAGGATGCGTTTTTAAGAGGGTAGCTCAGAGAGCACCAGATGCAAACTAGATATGCAGAAGAGGTCAGCTGCCGTCTTTTGTTCGCTGCGTATACCGAAGGACTGATGTGAGATAGGCGTTATAGCGAGATTTATTATGAAGTACAACTTTTGGTTGTCACGATCAGTATAACGGGTGCAGAAAGTGCCCTTAAATGTCACACAGTATTCCCGCTTTCTGGGGCTTAGATACGTTCGCGACGGCTGTGCCAACCTGCTGAACGGTGCTGAGGCGAACTTCTAGAGTATTGATCTGTGAGGTCTGCTTCCGAGGGTTTACATGCCTTTATTCTACCATGCAAACGGTGGTTTTAGCACAGAAATGTCACCGCGATTTTGTAATCATCTACTAGACTCACACATCCTGCATCAGGAGACCATGAACTTAAAGGGGCGATCGAGTCGCTTGTACAATGGTATCACTCCTGGGAACTCGTCCAGTGTAAGGACTAGTGCATCAGCTAGGATCGCGTGTGGCGGGGACTACTGTGCATTAACTCGGGAAGCCAGGGGTTGGCAACCCATAATCACGCCAATATCCACAGGATCGCCTTCAAGGCTCGACATATTCAGTAACTGCCGTTAACCGGTGAGACTTTGAAACGTTTAGCAGGGCGAGAACCTCGAACACTTCGAATTGCACCACTATCTATATACTCTACAATCAACTCCCAGTGAGAGGCATTTTTTAAGACATGTCGACCATGCTTTTGTCACGCATAGCTGAGAAAGAAGCCTGATTCAACAACACATCACTATCCAGCCTCGATTATTTCTTATCGGTGGGATTGCTGACCCTCGCAGGTTAATAAGATGGTGTCGTGAGAGCCTTCAGGTGCGTGGGCCGATTCGAGATTTTGAGTGGTCAGCGCAGATGAGCCCGCCAAGTCCGATTTGGGCCTGGGGCATGCAGTGGCACAACTTGGCCGTGGAAAGCAGTGTGCCGCCTCTTCTACTGACACGAGCAACAGGCCTCCTCAAAATGCCTCCTCGTCACAAATGTGGGCGTTACAGCCTTTGACTTCCATGAAGAGCTGGAGCGTGCAGCAAATTCCACATGCGACCGTCTTTTCCTCTCATTGGTCGTCTTCTCAACACCAACGTTCCGGCATCGTGGGAGAGTATAAACCAGGGACTCTCCGCATTTCTGGGCTCGCTGTTGCTCCGTAGCACTACCGCCGCCGCCGCACGTTTTGTGCCCCGACAGTCGTCACCATGTTTCGGCCCATCGCCGTCATTCGCGAAACATGGAACATCTACACGCCAGTCGAACGGCGGAACATCGCCGTGTACATTGCTGGCATCATGATGTATAAATTTGGACTCGAAGCATTCAACGGATCCGTTATAGCCCTCGCGACAAACCGATACGACGAGCTGGAGAAAAAGACGCATGTTTCTATTACCTTCCAGCGCGTGGGTGTATTGACGGGTCTCAACCAAGCGTTTCAGTGTGTCGGATCCATCCTCATTGCACCACTCATCAAAAGATATCCAACCAAAAATGTCCTGGCTTGCGCAGTGCTCATATTTGGATTCATGAGCAGTTTGCTGCTTATCCTGGACGCTGCAACTGGTGGGAAGTTCGTGCCCACAGGACATCCGAAAGGGGACTTCAGCTATTATGGTGACTACAATACAGATGGCATGATTCCTATTTGTAAGTCTTCCAGCTTCTGAAGTTCAAAATTGGAGACTATTATTAGCAACTCCACGCTAGGATAGAATCGCTCCCCTTGTAGACCACAGCACGATTCACGGATGATACACAGAGTAGCACTATCTTCGGACTCGCTGACAGCCCTCAGTTTGTGTTTGCGGCGTAGTGTACGGCATGGTCGAACTCATCCGACGGGTTATCCCACGAGATCTAGTTGGCGGACACATCCAGAAACTACGAAGAATGGACTCGTTGGTTCATATATTCTACGAGATCTCCGGCACTGCAGGCGCTTTCTGCACGGCGCTCGCGCTCATTCCTCACTTCGGCAACAACTTTTCCTTCATGATTACACCTATCTGCTTCGCCTCCGCGTCAATCCTTTGGTTTTTTATCCAGGAAGATAGCTTGCCGATAGACGCGAGGGCATTGGTCTTGGAAAGCCAGCCGACTTACGTCAAGGCTGTCATTGGCGGCTTCTACTTGTTCTTTGAGTCGGTTGGAACTGGAGCGAAAATTATCTTTACCCACAGAAAATTCATCTGGCTGCTGCCCGGATACGCAGTTGCTCTATATGGGCATCGATACCTTGAGAACGCTATTGCGCCTGCAGTCGCTCGACGATACCTAGGCAATTCGGCTTGGTCACAAATCATGGTTGGAGGTTCGAATTTTGGTGAACTCTTGGGAGCACTATTCGTCTTCATGTTCACGAATCTGGTCAATACCCCAATCCCATGGCTTCGTATTGATGCGATAGCGCTCCTCATCGTCTGGTACTTACCATACTGGCACCCACCGAAGAATGACGTTGGTCAAGCCTGGATTGTTGCGGCTACCTTCCTTCCCATCAGCTTTGGCTGGGCCGCTGGTGACGTCTCACTCGCGGCTTATATTCAAGCCTCGCTTGCTCGCATAGAATCAAAGATGCAGAACGTTTCTGCTCTCGGTGCGGTCATGGCCTTCCTCTACAGCACCTATATCGTTACCTATGCTATCGCATCCGTTTCTCTCGGTACGTACATCGACCGCGTATCGGACCGAAATAAGGAGGAGATCCAACCAGCTATTCTCAACGTAGCTGGTGTACAATTTACGATTATATTTGTCTTAGTCATGACCAGCACTTTTGTGCCAAAGGGCGCCTTTTCGTTGAATCCTAAGATGTTGGATGAGGAGTTTTTGGATACGGATCTTGAGGACGAAGACTTGGAGTATGTGCCTGGTGTGCAGGTCAAGAGTAAGCAGAGTCATGAGAGTCACGATATGGTTAGTAGGGCGAATAGCTCCTGAATCCACCAAGAGTCACGACAGTCATGAGCTGCTCAGTGGTCCACTTTTGCATAGCGATATTGTATATATCTCATGGTACCAAGTTCATACGCTTTTTACAAGCTCGTTCGAATCTTAACAGCAGCCTGCCTAACACACCAGAGGAATACCGGAACTGACTGAAGCTCAGAAGACGAGTCTCTAATATAGGACCACGGGGCACTTCATGAACCCAAAGGAGAGGAGGTATCAAGGGCAAAGTGTGCTGAAGATCTCCCTGTTATAATATGAGAATGGTCTGTTAATGTTACATTCCACCACACCCGCGAGAGCACATGCTAAATGGAATCACACGTGGTAGATTCCTTCGTGCTCATTGAACCCTTCGCAACCAGGAGATTGCCCCTTGAAGACGCGTCTTGCTTTATTTAGAAGGTGACCTCCACAACGCTCCCGGCATCTCCCCTAGCCTCCGTAGCGGAGCCGCGGCAAGACCCCAACCATAAGCTCTTTAATCGCTCCATTCAAGTGTATAAGTGGCGACTATAAACGGGCCACTCTGCGTACTCGACAGGGGCTCCTTCGCCATGCAGAGTCGTATTGACAGTCTTGGCGTGCCCGTGGGTGGAGGCGACAAGCTGGTTGGCCAGACCAACACTCAAGACACCAGCATCCAGTCTCTCGCAACTCCGCCAAGCTCAAGCTTCGCTCGTTGGCCTTTTGGCTTTTGACGGAGCGATGTACTGTGGGACGGGCAGGATCCGTCCAGATCGCGCGTCTACGCCTCTGCTTTCGACCCATGGGTGAGGCCAACGCCAACGGCTCACGCGCTGCTCGCTACCTGCACAACACTGCGCGTGCGCGCCCAGCAGGCCATAGCTAATCAAGCTTAAGGCCTCAGAGTCTTAGGCGCTGTACCTTCGTCTTACCGCATCGTTTCCGTCACTCAGCTTCCGACTCATCTTGCGTCTGTGGTGCCGGTCTGATATATTCAGGCCTGGTAGGCCGCATCTTCCGTGGTGAACGTTGGGAGGTAGATATCGCATCTCGGAACTCACTGCTATCTTCGATGAACCATGCAGCCATATCCACAGCCGCCGCTGCCCCCACCGCCCGATAATGACAGGAATGAGGGTGGGCACCGGGGTCCGCTGAGCCGAACATGGCCACAACTGTTCAAGAAAAGGAGGAGATATAGTCCGGTGAGAGAGAGCGCACAACAGCAACAGCAACAACAGCAAGCACAGATACAACAAGCACAACCACCAGTACAACCACAACAACATGTGCAGCTACCCATACATCCTATACGCCCGATAAAGTCACCATCATTAATAACGAAATCGATAACATCACCTGGGTCTTCGTTACGATCACCGTCAATAGCAGCTGACACGGCGAGTACCGTGTCATCATTATCCCATGCATCATCAGCACCATCCAACAAGATTCCCATCGCTAGGAGGAGTAGCAGTATCGCTCCCGCCGACAGCAATGGTAAGTTTCTTTCCTTGTGCTTCTTTGTCGCTTTCAAGCGTAGTTCGCTATTCTATCATTCAGTCCCGTGACATGTCATCTCATCTCACCGCTTTGGAATTAACATGCTTACACTCCACAGGAGCCGGAGGCGTGGCAACACCCCAAGCCGACCTTCTAGCCACAAAATCAAACTATGAATTGATATCCTCGGGCCAACACTTGGAAATGGGCCTACATTTCAGCACCGCCATGGCCACTGGCGTAATGATGAAGCGCGCTACCCACCGCGCAGCAGAGCAAGCGCGGCGCGACAGGATGAAAACCGCCATGGTCGACTTGGCCGAGTTCTTGCTCGACGGTGAAGTCACGTTTGGCAGCGGGACGACGTGTTTTGTCGTGATGCGGGGCAAGGACGGTGAAGATGGTGCGGAGAAGGCGGATGGGAAGAAAGGGAGCGTGGCAGGAGAGAAGAAGACGGTGAACAAGGCGCGGTTGATTGAGATGGCGCTCGAAAAGATGAAAGCGCAAGAGAAAGAAATCGAGATGTTGAGGAAAGAGCTGGAGGATTTGAGACCAGGGGATCCAAGTGATCGAATGGATGAAACGTGAGAGCGCGCGCGAACGAGGCGAAAGTTTCACGTTTTGGATCTGGAGAGTCTATGTGCGGACAGGTCAAGCATTTAACGAGATATCCTTCATGTTCGGCGTTTTATTCGTTTCACTCTCTGGGAAGGCCGGACTTCGTTAGAGGTTAGCATAGTAGGGGCGGTCATTTGATATGATAGCATGGCACATACCCCTTCAATTCAGACGGAAAGGAACAGTCTACTCTCTACACATCCTCTTCCACATGTAATTCTCAAATCAGCTCTTGCCTCCCCAGATACGACCCACCCTTACAAGCAGTCCAGTCCATCAATGCCAACCGCCAAGGCCATCGCCATCCAGTCTAATCGCCCTTATGCAGGAGTCCCCAAAGCTTGGGCAAAACATTCGCGTGGCCTCGTGTCCGGTTTTCTCGAAGCCGACGATCGGGCGTTCTGTACAGCGGGGACGTGGCGCGCTCGCACAACTTGATCCTGCATGCACCTGTCCGCGGAGAGCAGCGCCTAGCCTTGATTTCCGCGGCATGGCGTCCATACAGTCTCGTTACCAACTAGGATTGGATTCACATCACAGTGGAGTACAAAGCGGGTTGAATACTTGAAAGGTATCTTGTGAATGGTGAGAGCATCAGATTATAGGCAACTAGCTACGCCAACAGTGCAAAGAGGAGATATGTCTTTTTTGCATAGTCTGCGGCACTCTTTCTCATCCTGTTCATTGCCGCATCGTCAAGTTCTACGATTTCTGTCTTTCTCAAAGAATCCATCAGGGCATCGTTCTTCTCATCGCGATTGGCGATGACTCGCTGGATGTACAGCGCATCGAAGAGTAGCTGTTTGTACTTGTGATCCCTGAGTTCCTGAGTTGTTGATGTTTCTGCGGAATCAACCTGTTTCACTTCTCCACCCTCCTCAACATTTGAATCTTCGACGGGCTTGCTGGTATCCTCTGGAAGTGCCTTGAAGGTTTCCACATGTTCCCCAAGTACTCTACGCACCGCATCAGAAACCTGGCCCTTAAGGACTGAGACACAGCCAGGCGCCCATAGATCGCTACCTAGCGATGCCATGTTTGTGTTCAGCTCCTTCAGGAACCTAAAAGTGCTAGGCGAGGGGTGACTCGGCAGTGCTGGGTTGCCTTCCCAGAGGATATGGCTGCTACTTTTGGCCTTTGTTGAAGCAGCAAGTGTTTTCTGGAAAGCTGTCATCGTCGGCTCGACAATACTTGTAGCCACTACTACATGCAACGGTTGCAGGATGTCGGCTGTAAACGGTGATACGAGCGGTGTGAACTTGTCCTGAAGCCGCAATCGTGGTATTCGATCGCCAACCTCTCTCGCCGCTCGTAGAATGAACGCAGACTTCTGCACCGACCGGTTCATCTCATCTGCAGTCGATGTTTCCACAATCTTGGCAAATTCCGTACCCAAGCTCTGTAGGGCATCACTCAGCGCCTCCTGTGTGACATCTTCCAGTAACTTCGGATCGTCAGCACTAAGCAACATCTGCTTCGAGTCGGCAAAGTCATCATCTGACTCATCACCGTCGTCGTCCGCAAACGTATCGTCCCATCGCGCCTCCTTCATGCTCTTCACGATGCTCTTAACTTCCAAGACGGAGTCCATCCATTTGTCGAATGCAGATGTGACAGCGATCACATACTGATCCCGCCCTTGGTATGTGTTGAGTATCTTGGTTTTAAATACTTGAGCACCATTGCTTAAGTCTGCAGCTCTAGACGTCGTGCTCCACAAAGATAGGTTGGATGTGTCGCTTGAAGCGGGGAGATTGTTGAGTCGATGTGTGAGCTCAGAGACCACTCCTTGAAGCCCTTGCGTACGTAATCTTACGATGCTTTCCAGCTTTTCGTTCATCACATCTCGCAGATCATCAAGCACGTTTGCAGCCTTGACGCCAGCCATTCGTGAGCCGGAGAGTATCCAGGTCTCGATCAAATCCTGTCTTAAGCTAGCAACCTCTTTTAACCTTACTTCGTGTTCGAGAGCTTGCTTGATGCCCTTCAAGAAAGCCGATATCGCATCTTTCGACCAGCGGTGCAGTAACCTCTCTGCGTCCGGTCGCTGCAGCTCATCGTGTCGCGGCCATGGTGTATAGTTCCGCGCTTCGTCGCCTATCCAGCGATCGTGAACATCCAGGTTCAACTCATGGAGAGCTCGCACCTCTGGGTCCTGTATCAACGCATGTGTTTTAAGCTTTGCCAGGGCCTCCGCTAGGCGCCGTGGAAAGACAGTTTGCGTGTCCAGGCATGTCTGGATGCACAGCTTGAGCGCATTGATACCATGCTTCGCAAGTTCGTCGCCACCTTGCTGGAGCTCGCCCACAATTTTGTCCAAACGCACTCTGTGGAAATGTTGTAGAACATCAGTTGGCGCAGAGCTTGTCACAAGCGCATACGCGCTCATGCTCTCCACTAGGGTACCTATTTCGCCAGTTGTACTCGCCAGTCGCTTGTCGATTCTGCGTAGGAGCTTCCTCCTAATAGACAGCAGCCTCTCCCATAGCTGGTCCACAATTGGCGGCTTGTTCTTCGCCTGACTCAAGGCTTTGTGTAGGAGGCGGGAAATGACCAGCACTTTCGCAATGAGCAAATACGATCCTTCTCTTTTCATCAAGCGCGTCATAACCAGCGGTGCGTTGCGCAGGATCGAGAGCTGTGATGCGAAAGTGTAGCGCTCCGCATCTGTCAACGGTCAACCTATTGTCTCCCCCCAGTATCGTCTTGTAGACTGACCGCGACTCCGTGTATGTATATCCATCTTGCCAGTATTGCCCGATATCCTCTCCAAACCCCTAGAATTACAGCTCTGTCCTACTCTTGAAAGCTTCGCTTCCACTTGCTCCATGCAGACTTCCATGTCAATGATGGTTTCGGCGGTATCGAGGAGGTTGCGGTAACTCGCTCTATACATTCATCAGTTTTCTGGTATCAAATTCTTCTTTTGTAAGTGTATTCATACCCCACAAGCGACCGCAGCTTCTCTCGATTGTCGTCGGCATTGCTGCGGAGCTGCTGTTCGAGCTTGCGAACTACGGGAATCGGGTATTGAAACGCATCCTCCCAGGATTGGAAGGACCGCGGATCTGGCGCTTCAGTCGCCATCATCGTTGCTACTGAGGGAAGCGGGGAATGACGTTCGGGCTCGCGATGTATTCACTAAGCTTCATGATACGGTAGTCCATACGTTCCCCACTAGTGCAAAGCTTAGTCAGCGTGTCGAACATCCTACTATGACCATTATGAGTATTCGAGACATGTATAATCAGAAATTACGGTCCAAATTAATCAAATTCAGGTATATAATGCCAATGTTCTGTTGGTGTTGAAACCAGGTATCTCTATCTATGTAAGTCTATTCATATAGTTGCACAGGTTAAGCTTGTAACTCCTCCAATCCCAAGATGAAACCCCCTCTACCTCGTCTCTGCATTAGCTATTGCTTCCCTTGCCTCTGTTCTCCTCCGCAGCTCTTGCTCTACAGCTCCTAGCATCATCTGCGCATCATCAAGACTTAACTCTTCGCGGCCCCTCAGATTCGCCAGAAGCTCTACAAACTGAGGGTTATCGTCTTCTATAATTTGGACCCTCTTTCTTTTCGACGCGCGCTCAGGCTGAGGCTGATGCTGGAAAGCTCTCGCGGTGCTCTGAAATTTGGCGAGCATTTCTTCATACTCGCCTTCCGGTGTACTTTGACTCGTTACAGCTCCACCAGCACCGATCCGCCATACGTCTTCTTTATTGCTGTCTGGGCCATCAATCTTTATGGCGGTCCGGATCACGACGCTAAAGTCGCCGCCACCTCCGACGTCGAGGTAGCCAAGGACTCCAGAGTATATTCCACGCCTTTTTCCGTCCTCTTCTTTGTGTAGGATCTCACAAGATCGCTTCTTCGGTGCACCAGTCATGCTTCCAGGTGGCAGACTCTCGACAAACGCTTGGAAGCCTAGATAAGGAACATCCTTCGTTCCAACACCGGAGGCATACTCCGCCGGATCTTCCCACTCTTCGGGTGTCATAGGCTTCCGGATGCTACTGGGAACCGCATCGATGACCGAGACCAATTGCCAGAGTGTTTCGTATTCTTCGACTTCCATCAGTTGACTGACCCTGACATTTTGTGAGCCATAGACCCCATGGAGCTGATGTCGGGTCAGATCAACGATCATTAGGTTTTCTGCACGTTCCTTCGACGAAGAGAGAATTGCATGTGCACTTTCGGCCGTGACGCCAGGCTTCTTCTGTACCGTGCCTTTGATTGGTCGACATTGGGCACTTTGTAATCTGTCCCAGCTAATGTACCGTTCAGGCGAAGAACTGAGAATGTGCACGTTATGCATCCTCATATAAGCACCGAATGGGGCGGGATTTTGACCCGCTAAGCGCGTGTAGAGATTCCACGAATGTTCATTATCCTCTGAATGCCACATCTCGCAAGCTCTCGGTTTCACAGCCCGGATCTCGTTGCGTGTAGTTAGACAAAGCTCGTAGCTCTGGCCGTCCGCTATGGCACTTTGGCAGGAACTAACTTTGCCGCAATACTCAGCACCGTCAACTACGACCTCTTTGCATGAGTCAATGTATAGGTTCATTGGGCCATGCTGCTCGAAAGGATCCGATTTAGGCAGGGGTGTCGAGCCCGGTGTCGATTCCAATGACTTGTAACCGGCAGCCTCATAAATTCTCTCAGTCGTTTCTTCCACCCAAGGTTCGTCGTGCTGGCCGCGAATACTTTGCACATATACCTTCTTGGTGTGGTGGTCAAAGACGATACTTCTCGTGATATATGCAAAACATATATCAGGATAATGAGCTTCTTCATGATCGGCAATATCGATAATTTCGAGGCCAGCTTCGTATGATACATAGCCCATAAGCCCTCCCCAGAATGGTGCCCAAGTCGAGGTGCGAGGTGGCACCGAAGGTTGGAGGCTCTTCATGACTTCTCGAACGTACGGCCAAGGGTCAGTCACGTTCCACTCGGTGTGCACCTCGTCGCCACCATCCCTCAGTTGCATCCTCCTGGATCCGGCATAGTAATGTAGACGGAGCGTCTCCCCAGGTATGACCACGCCGATGATGCTATACCTGCCAGTGCCAACGGCCATTGGAACCAGATTTGACTGAAGTCCAGATTCGAGCACTATTGCTTCGTGCCTTGGTATCTCTAAAAGCTCACAGACGTCCGCAACTGTGAGCCTTCCACTTCCTGTTGTTGCGCAATGCACAATGCTAGGTGGCAAGTCTGGCAGTGACTGTCCGTCTCCGTGGGCGACCAGCGAGGCCAGCTCTTCTGGGGCGAGAGTGTCACTATCGAGCTTTGCGGCAAACTCTGCGCGTGAATATGTAGTGTTCTTTTTTGCATTGCTAAACCCAAGTTCGCGCCGGAAATCGTCAAAAGATTTGGGTAGTGATTGGGGGTTTGGAAGGAGGCTTTGTTTCGACACGTTGCCGAACATGCGCTTTCGCTTCCAAGCCTGCGCGTCTTCCCACCAGTTTTGGATAACGCGCTTCCCTTCAGCATTCGTACAAATCGATTCGGGATGGAACTGCACACCCCAGAATGGTTTTTGCACGTGTCTCACGCCCATAAGCACTGCACCATTTCGTTCACTGTGGAAGTCCCAGGCGAGTGGCTCCAATTGAGGACAGGTTTCCGTGGGCTCCCATAGCTGCGCAGGGTATCGAACAGCTCGATTAGTTTGGATAGGATGGCCGAGCTTCACTTGTAAAGAGTGATATTGAGTCGCCAGCAGTTGTTCCACGTCTCGGAAAATGGATTGACCCTTGTGTAAAACGAGTGATATGATTCCATGTTTTGGGTCGTCCAGTCGCTCGATTTCGGCGCCGAACGCCAGACACAGGGACTGAAATCCGAGGCAGATTCCCAGCACTGGGATCAAGTGCTCATCCTGGACTTCCCATAGCTCTTTCATCAGTCCAACATCCTTGTCGCACTTTGCCCAACCAGGTCCGGGGCCGGCAATGACGGCATCGAAGCCCTTCAAGCACTCAGTGAAGGCTTGATCTCCGGAAGCAGTGACCCCCGTGAGAAGCGGGTCATCAATAAAGATCTTGATGACTTCAACATCCACATTTTGCTCGACAAGGGCGACAATATTGTTCGAAAATGAGTCGTAGGCGTCCAGGAACAAAATCTTTGGTCGTTGAGTCAGAATCACAGGTGCCATCGCCCACGTAAGGAATCCCGTGAGAAATCGATTGGGAAAGCTTAATTAAAGTCCAAATGGGGTTTGCTGGCCTCTGCCACTCTAGAGAGCGGTTGCAAGTAGAGCCTTCAGACCGGAATGCCGTATTGTTGACCCTGGCAAAAAAAGTTATGAGAGGTTTCGATAGGGCTGAATCTTAAATCCGCGATAAGACCGGTGAACCGCCGCCGGAAGCCGAAGGGCCACGAGAGAGATCTGGTATGCCGACAGCCCAAGTATAGTCGTGAGAAGGCGGTCAGAATGGGTTCGAACGGAAAGGCGAGGATTGTCGGCAAGCTTACTGAGCGATAACGACACTTTATCGCAGCGCTTTCCCCGGGTGGAGATGGCTTGATATGCAGGGTCCCGACTCTAACCGTTAGCGGAGCGGTGACTCAGCTATGACCTCTCCCTGCGACCTTGAAACGGAAGGATGCCACTGTTCGGACTGTTTTGGTCGGATCGAAACGAGGAATTCGCCACCTCCTATTGCCCGTGATCAAGCAAGGCACAGTACTCGAAATGAGGATTCCCATCGCTGCACATCGTAGAGTACTTCTGTTCGCACCGGTAATCATGGAGGAATCAGTCCTCTGACTCGTTCCTAAGTAAGCCTCAAAGTGCACTTGCGACTATTGTCATTTCAATACTAGTCAGTCTTCCTTTAGACTCGAGTCTCGTAGCAAAAGTACACCAAGGCAAAGTATAAGGTGATTCCCCTCTGAAAACAGTATTGAACATGAATCTCGTATGCCCTTTCATCAAGAGAGAGGACATGATTGATTCTCACCCTTTTAGATGTAGCTAGCTGTTCTTGAGCCACTTCAAGCCACTTCATGTACAATAAGATACAATTTTTGGAGTTCAACTTCAGTTTCAACATGGACATGCATACCTATATATTCGCCTGACCAGCCCAAATGCACTTTCATCGATCGAGATTTGCATGCCTTTCAGTAGGGCTCCCTACATCACGAGCACTTCGCACTGTGGCAAGATCATCCTCACTACCATCTACTTCAACAGCTCTCTCCTTCTCTATCTGGACTCGGCCACCAAAGAAAGCCAAGAGCATGAGATCGTATGCAGCCTTCAACGACCCAGCCACAACGAACGCAACCCAGAAGCGACCATGACCAGCAAGCACGCCTGTAATCGACGGCCCACTACTCTGTGCCAGTGTCTTGAGGATGTTGACAACGCCCATGACTGCTGTTCGCTCTTCAGGCAAAACAACAATCGAGAGAAATGCTGATCGCGGAGCTTGATCCATGGAGTTGAGCACCGACCTACCCACCAGCAAGCAGATTGTCAAAGCGAGGCCTGAAGGTACAGGAAGCAGTGCTAGAAAGACGGAGCTAGGCAGGTGTGTGAAGACCATTGCTTGGATTAAACCGAGGCGCTTTGCGAGGGATGAGGCGAAGACTGTTCCAATAGTGGATACGAACCTAGACAGTCAAGTCAGCAAGAGTAAACAGATTGAGTGACTGCTCTGAGCATACCATGTCGCCGACATAATCCCACCCAATTTGTCTTTCGGAAGCTCAAACTTTCTCTCCATGTAGTAGTTAATCAGTGAGAAAGGCACCATGCCGCTACCCAGCGAATCAAGGAAGAAAAGACTGCATAGCTTGAACAAAACTGAGCGACTAGGTTTCGAAATAGTGCTTATTGAATGCCAGAAGCGCTTGGTAGGTTTTGCAGGCACAGGGCTTTGCGAAGCAGACTCAACATTCTCAGGGCTGCCGTTGCCATTCAGCAGAGGCTCAGTCTCAGCGGGCGATTTTTGGTTCTTGGCCCAGTTTTCATGCTCGCATTGGCGGCTCAAGAATAGCGTCATGACAGCCTTGACGCAGCCGACACCTGTATATACCCAGAAAATGGCTCGGTATGCATCCAGATCTGTCCAACCTTCTTTTGCTTGCAACTGCTCAACAGCGACACCTCCCACAGCTAGGCCTGTTGATGTGCCTAGAACAGCCAGAACGACGTACCACGTGTAGACGTCTGAACGCTGTGCCTCGGACACGAGATGGGCCAGTGTGGACTCTTCGACTGCTCTAAAGGGCCCAATTTCGTTTCCACTTGGGCTAATAACGCCAATGATTGCAGCCATGAGCAGTGCGACGTAGTTGCTCGTAGTCGCAAAGACCGCGCCCGACACAGCCATCGCAATGGCACCGAGTAGGAGCGTTCTCCTACGTCCAAGGCTATCCGCGACAAGCGTAAGGAGGAGGCTGATGAAAACATCTCCCAGCAAAGTCAGAGTCATGAAGAGACCGATTTGTTCGTCTGAAAATCCTAGCTCTTGGAAATAGATGGCGAGAACGAGTGCGACAGCGCCGTACGCGAATAACCGGATGTAACGAGCGAAAATTACAATGTACACGTCTTTGCCGGCAGACCTCATAGTCGCAAGACCGAGCTCATGTGCGAGCCATCGTGCTGCTCTGAAAAGGCCATTCTGGGCAGACATGCCCGAGACTTGGGACCCGAGTACAGGTGCACAAAGTCGCCATAAAAGGTTGATGAATAAATGATACAGGCTCAACTCTCTCGATGAGATATATTATGCGTGAAATCCAGAGTGTGGTTTTAACAGTAAGACACCAGAAGTGGTTACGAGGGACGTCAAAAACATTTGCACTGCCATGATGGAGTGTCTGGTGTTGCCTGGAGGCCTGAGTAGGATACGGTGGTACGTCAGCATCCACATTTTACCGCATCGGGATGGAGCGACATGCTGCGCAGGCTAAGGGCGCCACAAGAGTGATCCATGGAATGGTGATAGATGCAGAACGTGCTTGAAATCAAGAATTGGAGATTTCAGTACATTTAGTTTCTCAAAGCCCCGAGGTAACCCTGGTAGGTCAGTAACAAATGAGCACAGCACAGCTGAGGAGATAAAGTATTGATTGCCCCGATTAAGAACACCTAGAACACAAGAAAATTGACCCAACGGCCACCACAAATTGTAATGCAGACCCGGGAAATCCAAACGAGGGCTCCTTCTAAGCGAGTCGCGTCGCCATGCAAGTAGATACCAGGCGCAAACGGGGAGACACGAAGATGTGGGGGAGTAAAGTTGATGCAGGTCATCGGAAGGAGAGCCATAACCATGAGCATTAATTTACCGTACCAAAACTCGCAATCGCACCGGGACCGGAAGATAGACACACACGCCGAGAAACTTGTATATCGCTGATCTTGGACACCTCATCTCCCAACAGCACACCGAATGACCTTCAAATGCTCTTCTAGCAGCAGCCACCGCCGGATCCGTTTTGCACACCCTGGCCCTGCCCGATGGGAACTGTGGGTTTGGTGTTGGCGGTTGTGGTTCCCATGCGCTCCTTGATCTGGCGGGCCATGGTCAGGAAGGCTTGCTCGACGTTGGTGGCGCTCTTTGCGGATGTCTCGAGGAAAGGGATGCCGAGGCTGTCTGCGAATTCCTATACGATTGTTAGACTGTCAAAGGCTGAGGCGTCGAGGGCCGGAGGTTACCTTTGCGACAGTGTACTCAACGACTTTCTTGTCCGCCATATCGGACTTGTTGCCAACCAACAGCTTGTTGACGCCCTCGGTAGCGTATCGGTCGATTTCCTGTAGCCACTGCTTCACGTTGTTGAAGGAGTCCATATCGGTGACATCGTAGACGACGCAGATACCGTGGGCACCGCGGTAGTACGAGGATGTGATGGTTCGGAAACGCTCCTGGCCGGCCGTATCCCACTATGATCACCGTCAGCACCACACACATGTTTCATACTTGAAGTGTACGCACAATCTGTAGCTTTACGGTCTTGCCATCGAGTTCAATAGTTCGGATTTTCTGGGACATGTTAGCCTATCCCAGGCTCCAGGCGGTGAAGATGCAGCTAGACGCACGAAATCAACACCGATTGTCGAGATGTAGCTCTCTGTGTATGTGTCGTCGGCAAAACGGAGAAGCAAGCAGGACTTTCCGACACCAGAGTCACCGATGAGGAGAAGCTTGAAGAGGTAGTCGTATCTAGTGCAGCGTGCGGTCAGCGAGAAGCTTCGATAACGGGGCTAGCAGTTTCGATGCTGTGAAGGATGCGCGGAGGTAACTCTGTAGGCGCCCAAGTTAGCACGTTACGCTTCTAAGCATAGCTTCGATATCACGATCCCTTGAACTGTAGGTGGGAATCGCGCGGAGGCTACGTACCACTCAGGATTCATGTTGGCGGCGTTGCGGAGGGTGAGCTGGAGGCAGGGCTGGTGTATGTATGTCTAGTTGATACCGCAGGTACAAGTCGTGGGGTATTGCGGGTCGTTGAGGCGGATGGTGTGAAGTAAAGGTGGATGAGGTGCAGATGGCTTGGATACAAGGTGTGGAGGACTTGGCGTTCAGCCCCAGTCCGTGGTCACAAGTCCCTGTTGGCCATAGAGCAACATCACATTCGCATTGTCGCCTGCGGCTTAGCTAGCTTCGGCTGGGCGACTGATACATTGTCTGACGTATGACTGGAGTCTTTGTCCCCGTTGTTCTTTCCCTACGCAAGAATACGATTTGCATTTAAGAGGGCGATGATGCTACGTGGCACGTGATCCATGTCACTCCGGCGTTAGCCCAAGGTGCGCAACATCGCTGACAGATTACGAAAGTAGAGGTGGCGACCGCTTTATGAGAATGGAGAATTTTGTATATTTCGCTAGAATAATATGCGGTCCTTTATACGTCGTTTACCATGACGCAAGCCCGCTGCCCAGATCTAAGGCCCCTGTAAACCCAGATTCCACATATATTACAGACATCAACGTAAACGCAACACCATGCATTACATGACCTTGCCAAAGGCAGGGATAAGCGTCTGAGCCAACCAGAACGAGAAGACAAGCTTGGGTCCGGTCATGAGAAGCTTGGGAGTTAGTCCCTTGAAGAACGAAGTAAATCCTTCGTGCTTCATCATGTTGGAGACGATCCTGAAGCCACTCTCGGGGTTCTCGAAGTTCTTGTTCTGAATTCGGGTTTTGATGACATCGAGGGGAGCAGAGACGAGGAGCGAGGCACTGGCACCAGCAATCGAGGCCACGAAGTTTTGCGACCAGGACGCCGAGTTGTAGTCAGTGAGCTTGTAGAGGTATTCCTTGGCAGCGGCAGAACCACCAAACAGCTGGTAGAAAGTCAGATCGAGATCATGTCATGACCAGTGGTTTCAACATACCGCGAACGATCCCGGCGCGTTGCGTGCTGCTGTCCATCCCCAGCCACGGTACAGTCCGAAACCTTCATCGGCAACAATCCTGAACAGTCCACGTCCCCGGAAAGCTTCTGGGTTGGTTTGTCGCTTGATCTTAAGCACGTCCAGAGGTAGGAGGACGATTTCACCGATGCCGATTATGGAGCCTGCAGTCGCGTGCATGATTGCTTTGCCGTTGCCCTTGCCGAATGTGCGGTCGAAACTATCGCCATGGTGTTGCCCAAGGTAGTCCCTTACGAATGGCTGGCCACCAAACTTGTATATGCGTTGGAGTACCTAACGCTGTCAACTCATGCTCTCGTGTAGTCGCAGAGAGTAACGTACTTTATAGGCCGCGGCGTATCCGAGACCGGGGAACAGAGATAGAAATCGTGCGGGGACCGTTGCCGAGGCGGCGTCCCTAAAGACGACCTTGTTCAAGTGTGATGCCGATTGAATCTATTGAGTCTCGGGTCAGACGTGCTTGAAGCCTGTCAAGAGTAGAAGCGCACCTTGCCCTGGTTGCTCATCAACCGCTTCGCCGTGGTGTCGACGGGGTGGAAGACCATGAGCTCCGCAATTCCCGCACATCCTGTCGCTATCAGCAATTGTTTAAGCGGTCGCAATCGAGGTATGTACCTGCACCCAAAACTCTGGCTGTGTTGGATTCCCTCTTGTAAACCGTTGCGGACGAGTTGGTACTAGAAGCGACTTGCGCAACTTTCGCTACGGCTTCGGACGGTGTAGGCGTCATTGCGGTGGTATATGGCGAGTAGAGAGATTAGGGTGTGTAACAGAGTATCAGGAAAACAGCAGCGCAGGGCAATTGGGGTATCGACACGCGAGAATTACGAGCTGAGGATAAGGCAATTCACGACCAAAAAAAAGCGACAGTCAACGGAGAGCTATCGGAGCCACGCCAAGCCGCTACCTACGCGCAATCTCTGGGGATTATCGCTCAACCATACCAGTACATCGACCCACGTAATGACTCGTATTGCTCAACCATGGACTACTGCATATGGCCGAGCATGCCCATATTAACTGCTAACTTGTATGTTTCTTTCTCGCTATAAAGAGATAAAAATACGTCGGACTTCGTATAGACGTATTGTTACAGCAACGATACATATCTTTCACAGGCTTGCCCGGTGTCACAGTATTCCACCCTCCTGATGCCTCTTTTACTGGTCATTCCCGGCTCCATAAGCAGTCTGTTTACCCCACCTGAGCACAACATCACTCCAACGTCCACACCATGCCGATCGAAAGTCTTCTAGGTGATATAAATGCTGATAGTGACAGGTGTAAAGAATTTCTAAGCGAAAACTGATACTAGAAGCAGCCATCACACCGTTCTACTTGATGGCTTTACAGGTAGACCAAGTATATCAAGACATGACTGTTTTACAAATGAAAGGCGATTTGTTCGCGCTCTATAAAACTATCTCTACGCCCAAAACGTGGAATCTAGACAACCCGCCCGGAATGCCTTCCACACCCCGACACTTATACGCTAGGCACTGCAGAATATTTCGAGTCCTTTAGCCATCGGCATTGTAGTACTGCCTCCAATTGTGTTCTTCTTTGAATCCCAAGACCTCCCTTATCTTCCTATTACTCAACGGCGCCTCCCACTCCCCCATCTCACGAGTAACTGGCGTTTTGGGCGCCCATTGCTCCAGAAATTGTCTCGTTGGAAACGTCGCCGTAATGGTATCATTTGTGGCGTTGAAAACCTGGAAACCCAGGCCATCCTTCTCCACACAGAGGTGGCATATCTGACCGAGATCACGCGCATCAATGTAGCTCCAGGCGTTCCGTTTCCGAACTTGTGGGTTGTTGATGTACTTTGGAAAGTCACGCTCGTATTCGTGCGGCTCAACTACGTTGCCGATACGGAGAGCATAGATGTCTGCATCGAAGCGTCGGGCGAAACCGCGAGCTACGCGTTCGCCGCAGAGCTTGGAGATGGCGTACGTGTCCATGGGATTTACGTCTGCATCCTCATCTAGTGGGAAGGCAGTATATTCAAGATCGCCTTGGCCGAAGCACACTTCGTACGTCGTCTCACTGGACGCAATGATGATTTTTCTTACGCCAAGTTTGCAGGCCGCCTCGATCACGTTGTATGTTGATGTGACGTTGGCTGCGTAGCATGCATTATCGGGAACAAGCATATTCCGAGCGTAGGCGGCGAAGTGAATGATTGCATCTGGTGGTCCCGCATTGTTTGGCCCTTCGTAATCGCTGAAGTTGAAGTGGGTGGTTAGGGCGTTGAAGACTTGTCCGCTGTCGGTGAGGTCGGTCTTGAGCGTGAAGACTCCCGCGGACGGGTCTGGGAAGTCGATCAAATCGAGGTTGAGGACCTCGTAGCCTCTCTTGACGAGCTCAGGGATTACATGGCGACCAGCCTTGCCTGAACCGCCTGTGAAGACGATACGTTTTGCCGAAGATGTCATTTTATACCCCTAATAAAGTCGCTCTTTGGTAGCCTTTGAAACCCTGGTATAAAACAGAATTCAATTATTGATGTCCTCAGATTTTAAAGTTGATGATGGTTAAACCGGGTTTAATTGATAGAACAAGGTGGGACTGGTGTGAATAACAAAGCCAATCTTGCCGAAGGAGCTCCATTCTTATAGGTCTCATCGTCAGAAAAACTACAATGGCACCGCGGAACATCATCTACAAGGGTTGACTATGCGGGGTTGCACGGTGCAGTGATGGATGTCCTCGCTAAACTACGTCACGAGCATGGATCCATCTTTCTTCTCCGCCGAGGGCTAGCGCATCAGATTACCGTTCACCCGCAAGCACCCTCCCGGGCTCCACCTACAACCTGTATCGCTCTCTATGATTGCACATCTCTATCCACACAGATGACATCGGTCTGATGCGGCGCTTCTCGACTTCTGCCCGCCCGCAACTTCCCACGTCTTTGACCCGCTCGCTCACTGCGCCGCGGGTGCTTGGTTTGAAGCAGTACCAACGGACCATCACTGACGTCCGGCCACGGCAAGCATCCGTCTCGCGCCAGTGGTTCACCAGCTCCTCGCCATGTAACTATCCGGAGCTCGACGAGCGCGAGCAGCAGCGCCTGAATGAACGCAACCTCAAGCTGGGGACTAGTAAGCTTCACTACGCATTGCAGACTAGTAGCATTGTATGGTTGACACTTTGATAGCTATTAGAGTACTACACGACCGCCTACCAACACTACTCGCGTCGCCATTACCGCAAGATATCCTCTCGCCGCACATCAGCCTCCACTTATTTCCCTCGACGCACCCTCATCTCCCAACCGTAAGCGGAAAGATTGCATACACAGCAGCGCTATGGACAGCACCAGTCGCATGGGGTAGAGTGCCTGTAGTGGGCAACGTGAAGCTCAAGATACTGTCTGCGCGCATGGTGAAGAACGGTGGCACATCCAAGCCTGCGCAACTGCGCAACGAGAAGCTCATTGTGAAATGGCGGACCTGCGGCAAGTCGGATGAGCAGAAAGAGAATGGACAGGCCAGCGACGCGGTGGAGAAGATTACGAGCATTGTCGGCGGGTCGAGTCAGCCGCATGAGCAGTTTGCCGGCCTGTTCATCTTCGAGTTCGATGAGGAGGGGCGCATCCTGAACCACATCATCGAGCATACCGACGAAGGGCGGCGCTGGGACCAAACTGCCAAAGTGCTAAGCGTGACTGACTGGCTCCTCGGACGAGCATGGGGAAGACGCGAAGAGGGCAGCCCTAGCCTAGCATTTGTGAGATGCGGCAGCGAGAAGCCGAGAGATGGCAGCCGAGATGGATGATGGATGATGCCCGTGGACGCATCACTTCTGGTAGCGAAGGAGAGGAGCATGATTCGCTTATTCGTGTAAATATATCCTAGTCACAGCGGGAACTGTCACCACTCCATTGTACACAATATGTAATGACGAACTATGTTATTTTTCTGTAGAGTAAGGCCACCACCTTGAACAACTTGCTGGTGGACAGGGCAGTTTGCATGCATTATAACGAGAACAGCTGGGATGATGCTCGCATACTGGAGCCCAAAGTCGTCTCGCTACCGACTCCCATGCATGTTCCGACCGCATCCCATTCCCAAGTCTAGAAGGCGGAGAAATGCAGTCACATGCTGGCCAGTGAGTGGACAGGGCAACTGGCCGTGGGATGAGACGCATATCAGAGACGCATATCAGAGACATATCAGAGACAAGACAGCGTGGCTGATTCGCACAAGCTGGGCTGACAGCTGTCGTGTCCACCCAATCGCCAGCAGCCAGAGCATCGGCCAAGCAGCTAAAGGTAGCTTCGGAGCTAGCAGCAGCAGCGTCGACGACGAGCATGCTGTTCCGGCGCATCAATCTCCCTGCTGAACGCGACATTGTTCGTCTCTCCTAACCGTCCCTCTCCCTTCGCCTCTACCAGTCTAGTCTAGAGCTGCGGCCGTCCATCGCTGTTTGTCGAGCACACTTTCTGTGCCGCCGAGCCGCCCGCTACCAGCCTCTCGACTTTCCACCCACGCCCGGCCGCCTACAGCTTCCCCGCGCTATTGCACTACACAGGGCCGCGACCTTCAGCCTCATCGCAGGCGCCTGCCTTCCTCCACGAGCTGCTCCATCCATCCTTTGCCCGTTCCACAGCCATGGCCGATCTCTCAGCGAGCGGAGAATTGAGTAGGTTGCTTTTGATGGAACCACTGGCAGAATAGGCTAACCCAGCGCAGACCAGCCCATCCTCAACCTCACCCCCGAGGAAAAGCGTGTGTTCCAGTATCTCTTCCAGCAGGCCGACACCGAGAAGCTCGGCGTCATAACAGGCGAGATCGCCGTCAAGTTCTTCGAGCGCACCAAGTTGGCACCCGCCGTCCTGGGCGAAATATGGCAGATTGCAGATACCGAGAACCGCGGTCTCTTGACCATGGCAGGTTTCTGCCAGGTCTTGCGTCTGATCGGACACTACCAGGCTGGCAGAGACCCTGCGCCAGAGCTTGCCTTTAGACGTACTGTATCCACACGCTCTTCTCGTGATGCGCGCTAATGTCTGTGTAGCTGCACCGTTGCCCAAGTTCGAGGGCCTAAACATCCCGTCCGCACCTCCACCACCAGCAGCCCCCGGCTTCTCCCCGCAGACCACCGGCTCGATACAACCTCAGATGAGTGGCAACGGTCCTATCCGTGTGCCTCCGCTCGTACCCGCCAAAGCTACCGAGTACGCGGGCCTGTTCGAGAAGTCAGGGGCCGTCAATGGAGTGCTCTCTGGTAAATATCCCCCTACTTGAGCACAACAGTCGACTGACCTTAGTTCAGGCGAAAACGCAAAGGAAATCTTCGAGAAGGCTAGGTTACCAAATGAGGTGCTCGGGCGCATATGGAATCTCTCAGACACGGAGCAGCGCGGAGCCCTCAACGTCACAGAATTCATCATCGCTATGCATATGCTGGCTTCATACCGCACTGGCAGCATGAAGGCCTTACCAAACACACTGCCCCCTGGTTTGTACGAAGCCGCCTCTCGCAGAGGCGTCCTCCCACCCCCACCAGGGCGACCAGACCATGCTGCCGCCATACCCCGTCAGTTCAGCGGCCAACAAACTGTCCCACAAACACAGAGCCCAATAGGACGATCGCCATTTGGAGCACCACCCCAACAAGCACAAGCCACCGGCAGCGATTGGCTCATCAGCCCACAAGAGAAGGCTTCGTACGACAACCTGTTCAAAACAGTCGATACCATGGGTCGCGGCTTCATTACCGGAGATCAGGCAGTACGCTTCTTCAGTGACTCGGGCCTACCAGAAGACGTTCTTGCTGGAATATGGGATCTTGCAGACATCAACTCGGAAGGCCAGCTGTCCAAGGATGAGTTCGCAGTTTCCATGTACTTGATTCGACAGCAACGGAAAGGAGATCAGCTTCCTACGACATTGCCACCGCAATTGATTCCCCCGAGTCTGCGCACTGCAGCCAACCAGGCAGTGCCCGTTCCTGCTCCCCAGACCGCCCCACCCGTCGTTCGCGCTCCTCAGCCAAAATCTGCTGCGGATGATCTCTTTGGGTTGGATGCCTTCTCAGCCCCCGCGTCTGCACCCCAGCAACTGCCGCAATCGACTGGGGGTTCGGCTTCATTCAGCAAGCCCTTCGACAACGATCCATTCTCGAGCAAGGCCGCTTCTCCAACCTCTCCTCACCCCTTCCAGCCAGCGCCACGGAACCCTGCTTCTACCTTCAAGCCATTCATGCCCAGTTCTTCCTTTGGCCAGACGCTCACTTCTCACTCGACAGGTCAATCGGGGACCTCTGGTGTACAGTCTCGAGCCCCTCCATCGGCTATGGATGACTTACTCGGCGGCGAGAATGATGCTGAAATCAATAAGAAGCTAACACAAGACTCGACCGAGCTAGCCAACATGTCAAACCAAATGACCACATTGCGGAACCAGATGCAGGAGGTGCAGAACAAGAAGGTGACGACTGAAAGTGACCTGAACAGCGTCAACACTCAAAAGCGTGATCTCGAGCTTCGCTTGTCGCAATTCAAGAGCCAGTACGAGCAAGAGGCCAAGGCAGTGAAGACGTTGGAGGATCGTCTCGCCAGCTCCCGCAACGAGACTCGAAAGCTACAGCAGGATCTTGCTATGATCGAAGGAACCTACCAAGATCTCCAAAACCAGCACCGCGAAGTGGGAGGTGCCCTCGAGGCTGACCAGCGGGAGAACAATAACCTTAAAGAGCGTATTCGTCAAATCAACGCTGAGATTGGTCAACTGCGTCCACAGCTCGATAAGATGCGGAACGATGCTCGGCAGCAGAAGGGAATGGTGGCGATCAATAAGAAACAACTCACTACAAACGAGGGAGAGCGCGACAAGATCAAGAGCGAGCTGAGTGATTTGAACAAAGGACAAGATGACGGTTTCCGTAGCCCACAGGTGCAGACCCCAGCCGTTGTGAGCCCTGCCGCTTCTACGGCCAGCCACAACACGAATCCTTTCTTCCGCAAGTCACCTCAGGCCACTTCCGAGAATGCCATGTCACCGTCAGGCTTTGCCCGTGATGGACCTCACAAGGACTTCGACAGCGTCTTTGGCTCATTTGCTCCACCACAGGGCACTGCACCTCCCGTGTCTTTCCGCTCAGAGAACCAAAATCAAACACCAAGCTTCTCCGCTCCATCTGGCCAGTCTGTTCGCTCTTCTGAAGGTCCAGATGTTCCGACCCCATCTACCTCTCCACCTCTTTCCGCCTACCATGAGTCCCCACGTGGTGTCGAACCACCGGCCCCCCCTGAGTCTCGTCAATTCGCCTCTTCGTTCTTGCCTCTAAGAGATGCTGTCCCACGATCCGACTCATTCAGCTCATCTGTCAAGGTATCCGCGCCTGCTAGCAGATATGGTGGCCCCAGTGCTGCCGGTAACGAGACACCCACAATTTCCAAGGCGTCGCCTGCGAGCACCCCTGTACCGGAAAAGCCATCAGTTGAGCGACATGACACCACCAGGACTGAGACGGATAACTTCAATCCTGCTCTTTTCAGGAACTTCTCCGCATCCCCAGTAGCTAGTGTCACAAGCGACACCCAGCGCTCCACCACTAGGCCCGAGGATCGGAAAGATGCTTTCTCGAGCTTTGGAGCACCGTCTGTCGGTCCTAGTCAGGATATTCCAGGAGCCTTCCCACGCGATGCTATCACACCGCTTCAGCCGACACAGACAGGGGAAAGCAACCTCAGCGGTCATAGCAGGAACAACAATCGTGGTGATCCATTTGGAAGCACTTCTGGCGAACAACCTCGAGGAGGCAAGGATGATTTTGACGCGGCTTTCGCTGGCTTTGGTCCCAGTCGTCAGAACACGGCTGCTGCATCTGGCGCAAACGGCCCCGCAAACGAGTCCCACAAGTTCAACAAGGAGTTTCCTCCAATCGAGGATCTGGCCCACGATGATGACAGCGACAGCAATGATGGACAGGGTTTTGACGACAATTTCACCTCCGCTTCGCCCCATCAGAAGCGCAGCAGCGTGAAGCAAGACAAGCAACCTCAGCAGCAGCGCCCAGGCACTGCTTCGAGTGATGAGCTCTACAGAGCACCACCCCCGACCACCCGTCTCGATTCGAATCTAAGCGGCTTGCCCTCCCCGAGTGCACAAAAGTCTCCGCCAACCTATGAATCGAGTGTCAACCAGACTAGGAGTGGCTCAAACCAGTTCCCGCCAGAATTTGGAGGCCTGCTTCCCTCGCGTGAGGTTCCCAACTCGCCCACTACCTCGCAAGGGCCGGAAAAGTCGTTTAATCCCGCGGGCGGCCATGGAGCTGCTCTCTTTGGTGGATCCTCTTCTAAGCCTGCCACAACTTCGCCGCCTCCTCTAGACACCCCATCGTCGACTGTGCCCTCTGACGCATACCACTCCGCCCTGTCCTATGGAAGTAGCGATACGAACAAGGGACCTTCGCCGCCTGCCAACGTGCCACAACTTGGAAAGTCCGCTTTCAACGACGACTTTGATGCTGGTTTTGACGATCTAGCTGATGCGAAGGAGGTAGATGACAGGGCTGATGACGACTTCATGTTCTCCTCGCAGCACCGTGATGGGCTTGACGAGTTCAATCCTGTATTTGACTCACCCGCAGCCTCAAAATCCAACACCATGGCTTCGCAGCAAACTCCCACTGGCAAGCCGCGCGGCGATGACAGCTTTAGCGACTTCGAGCACCTGTCGCAGAGCTTTGGACAGCCCCAGCAACCACAGCCTGCAGCCTCTGCCCAGGACTGGGACGCCATCTTCTCCAATCTCGAATCCTCGCAGACTGACAAGGGATTGCACTCACAGCAAGCATCGACTGACTTTGGCAAGTCGGTTTTCGACACCTTGGACAAGGAGGAGGCTGCCGCATCTTCATCCAAGGGAACTCTCGCGCCTCAGATGCCCCCACTTGGCCGCGCCATCAGCTCCGGTACCGAACATGACGATCCTATTTTGAAGAAGTTGACTGGTATGGGCTATGGCCGTAACGACGCTTTGTCTGCGCTTGAGAAGTTTGATTACGATATTAATAAGGTGAGCAGTCCAACGCCATGGTCAGCGCAGGGTCAGGACTAACGACGGACAGGCTGCGGACCACTTGGCGAGTGGTGGGAACTAAGTTCACCCGCCTAGCAGAACATACAATAACTTCGATTGCTTTTTTGTACGAGTACACCTATCAGCATGGCTTGCCATATCCTTGAGCGTTGGTTCTACATCGCACCGATCGCCGTCGCGACGCCTTTTCCTTGGGTCAGCCTTTCTTGTAGTAAAGCATTCGTTGTGAGCGGTACTTTTGTCGTTGGTGGATTGGGTTTATGATCTTGCTTATGCACATACTTCATAACTAATTCACACTTCTCTTCTTTCTCTGATTCGACGCGTACGATAGTTGGCTTGACCAGATGACTATTGAACCTCTATGAAGATGATGATGTTAAATATTAAGAGTATGTTTTGCTGTACGGACAGGTGCTTCCGATGTACACAAACTATTGATATTCCCTCCTTTCCTATCGATCATTATTGAAGTATTTCTGCCTGTATCCGAAGTGCGTTTCTATGCTCACAGTAAGAAGTCACCTCATACCAAGTCAACCTTTGCACGTTAGACTATTTGGGTCCTCTGTTTAGGCAAAGACAGGGATGCGATGTAGCGCATGAGGTTGATGGTAGTTTTCAGTTACCAGCCGCAATGCACAGCCACTGAGCTAGCAGTTTTGTAAACACGGCCGCCTCTAGTGTTGAAGATACGAGTTACATGGTACCCCGCCGAACCTGCACAGCCTCGAAAATGAGGTTGTAGCCTTGCGCTGATTATACTTATTCCCCTCAATTTTCTAATAGCTTCTTCTAAGTACTCTAGCAACAGTCTTCTCCCTTTGAACTACACAACTCTTCCCGGCGCAAAAGGCCATTGCTTGACATACAACAGTGTAATCGAGCGATAGTCGCTAGTAGTGGTCAACATGTATGAAGACTACTATCCAATACCGCTCTCACTAGAGCATCCAGACCGCTACAGCGCCGTCCATGCCCTGTACGGTCCTGGCGCCTATCTCGCATGGATCCTCACCGCATACAGCGTCTTCCTCCAACTCTACGTATCAATCCAACACCCCCCGCAGAAACCACAAACAAAGGAGAAGACAAATCTCGACAAAGATCCACATACGCTCCCAAACGAGAAGAATGTCAACGAAGCTCTGCCCACGATTCGCAACAAGACGAACCTCGACAAAGACCTCCTCCTTACACTGAGTTCCTCGCTCTTTGCCGCAGCCCACCTCGTCTACCAGGTCATCCGATACCCCGGACCACGCAGCGAGATCTGGACGACAGAGGACGAGGAGCTAATCCCGCGCGTCACGGCCATCTACGCCACGGCGCAGTTCTGCATTGTAGCGCTCGGCGTGCACCTCGTCTTCATCGGCCTGCTTTACAAGTCGCGGACACGCCAGTACATCGTGGCAGCAACCAGCCTGTGCATCCTCGGCGCGCTATGCTTCGCCGGTTTAAGAGGAGGGCGGTGGTTTACCCAGCTCATCCGAGGCACAGGCGGGATTCTCCTTGCAGCCTTCATGTTCCCCGTCACGCTCTTTGCAGCCTGGAATTTCGTGCTCTTCGTTACTATTATTGTGGGGAATGTCGTGCTCTACCTCGTAGCACTGTCGCAGCTGCGCGTCTGGAAGTTTCTTAAAGGCGTGATATGGTGCGGTTGTATGCCGCTGGTGGTGCTGGGGTTTTATCCGATGGTCTGGGGTGTTGGGAATGGGAACGCGTGCTTATTTCCCAAGTCGCTGCATTCGATTTGGGAGGGGCCGCAGATTGTGGGGGTTTTGGCTGCGTTGGGGAATTTGGGGGTGTCGCTGGGTGAGGCGTTTGGGGATCTGTGTGTGTATATGTGGAATGATTTACCTAGGTTGTTGAGTTGAGGGTGAATGGTAAGCTTAAATCTATGTTCTGCATCTATGACCATCGAAAGAGACGGGAAATTTCGAAGATACATGCAGATAGTACTAGGACATGAGGAAATCGCCTGGTATCACAAGGGCATATGATCCATGTCAAAAGAATATTGTATAGTAGGCTATGAGGTATGATAAACATCTTACAAAGTACGTTTCGCTGCATTCTCGGTGGGTGACTATGCTACATTCTCTTTGCTTCGCTTCAAATAAAACACGATCAAACGATGCGCATCAAAACGCTGTTACACCCTCGTCAAGCAACCGTCTCCGTACGTTGCACAGCCTCGACCTTCTCCTCATACCGATCAAACGCCGCCGTGCCCTCCAGGTGTCTCTCCTCGAATACATCGACTGTGGTGCTAGCAAACTTGCGCGCGGAGATCTTCTTCTCAAAGAGTAGATCCAGTTCAGCGAAACTGCGATCCTTGGGCTCTGGCAGCCTGAAATACGTGTAAACGATACTGAGGAAGCATGCTCCTGCCCAGAAGAACCCAGCATAGTTTCCCCAGTTCCAAGCTCCGGGATTCAGCATGTAGGGCGTGAGGACGGAGGTAATGATGCCGATCACGTTGTAGAGGTTGCGGCCCAGCACGACGGTCTTGATGGCCAATCGGCGGGTGGACAGCTCGGCGACGAGAGAGTAGCAGACGGTACCTACAGTTAGCTGGTAGAATGCGGCCCAGATGATCATCATGGAGCCTGTCGCCATGGCGCCGGTCTGGCGTTTGGAGTCGGGCACGAGGCCAAGGAAGCCCATGACGAAGAGCATGGTGCACAGTCCACAGAGACCGCCGAGGTAGAGTGTTCGTCGTCCGAAGCCGAGCTTCATCAGGTACCAGGCCCCGAACACACCAGCCATGTTTATCCCGTACTGGCCCATGGCGAAGTCGTAGGATGTCGATTCCGGCAGGCCAGCTTGTTGCAGGAAGTAGGAAGAATATCCGGAAAACGCATTTCCACTTAGATTCTGCATGGCCCACGCCATGCAAACAATCTCGGTGCGACGAAGATCGGTGCCTTTGAAGCAGTCCATGTACGATGCGCCCTTGGTAATTTTCTCTTCAAGAGCAGTCGTGTGCACCATCATAGCCACTGTTTCTTCGGCGTCGAAGTCGGTTTCGCGGTTAAGACTGGTGAGGCGAAGCAGAGACTTCTTTGCGTCTTCGAGTCGACCCTTGCGGACAAGCCACCATGGAGACTCGGGAGCCAGGTACACACCAATGATCAGGGGAACGGGCCACATCCATTGCAGCGCATAGGGGATGCGGTACGACCATTCATCGTCTCGCGAGACCATGGCGCGGATCACACCGATGCCGATGACCTGGCCGAGACCCCAGCAGAAGTTGACGTATGTGGTTACTAGAAAGTGTCAGTATGCACTTTTATAAAATGCTTGACAGAATACTTACGATAACCTCGCAGCGCAACAGGACACACCTCACTCGCGTAGGTAATGGTCAAGGTCTGAAAGACGCCCCACGGAATACCGCAAAGAATCTCGGCAATCAACAAATGCACAACCGTCTGCGCCGTGAAGAAGATGGCCGTGAATCCGATAATCAAGGTCAAGCACGCTATAACCGTGTACCGGTACCCGATCGCCTCACTGATGTATCCATTGAGGAACAAACCAATGATCTCGCCAACGATAACGCCGTTGGACAAGCCCGCCTGCCACGGCGCGGGGATCTCGTACTTGCCATTGGGAAGCTGCTCGCCGTACTTTCGCTTGAAGGGCGTGAAGCCGAAGAAATTGTTGAGCAGACACACGTCGTAGCCCTCCATGACGATACACGTGCTGATCAAAACCGACCATCCAATGGCTTTTGGGTACAACTTGATGCCCTGCAAGAGCGTCATGTTGTGCTCTTTCTCCGCGGCATGGCGCGCATCGCTGATGATTCTGTCGGCGGCGCGCTTGTGGTCGTCGGCGTGCACATCGTACGGAGGAGGAGCCGCCGCCGTCGTGGGCTGGAGCACCTTGTCGTCGGCCATGTTCATTCACCACCTCTCTCCTTCGAAATGGCTCCTGACTGAAGAACGAGTAGCAGACGGAGGAATCGGAGCGATAGTGGGGACGCAGAAGTAAACGCCACTCACGTTGCAGCAAAAACAAAGCGAGAAATCCGGGGAAGTGTCACCTGGGCAGCATGGGGACGTGAGGCGGCGGCCTTTAAGCATAAAATTTTGCGGGGTTTGGATGAGCGAGCGGCAGCGTCGTGACCATGTGGACCCTTTCATCTCCTGCGGCCGCACTGGGCTGTGATTGGTTAGCCAAGTATTGCACCTTTCCTGTTTCGGTTAGCCCCAGAGTCAAGATCGCGGAGCTGCCGACCGCGTGCAATCATTGACCCGCGAGTGGTCAAATGCACAGGTCGTGCTCGCTAGCAGGCTGTGGGGTATCCCCGACTATGGAGATCGGCATGGAGAAGCGGTAGGGTTGGGTTGCCGATGGGTGCAATATAGTAGCAGATTCAAACACCGACGACGGGTAGCCGAGGTCAGCACAGGCTCGGCGGAGATACTCGAGGAACCTCTCGTTGTCGCCTCTTGCAATCAAGGATCTATATACGTTGTGACTATATATGTATTATGACTTGTAGAACCGTCCCTCAACTCTTCACTCCTACATTGAACTCCTCATGTTTCTCATTCACAGCAACGGCCACATGTCCGTCATCTAGACTCTCTACGCGGCCCTTCACTCGGCCCGTATCGCCCTTGTGGCCTTGCGTGCCGATTCGCAAGAATGGAACAAAAAGTAGTCCGACGAATGCACACCCTGCGGAGAACCCTGCGAGAAAAGAAGGACCGAGTCAGCCTGTGTCTCACATGACGTTCTAACGGTGCACTTACAGAAGACTGCTGCAAAGGGCTCCACAGCGTTGTTGGCATAGTATCCAGAGGAGGTTGGACGTCTTTCTACAGCGTCGAAGATGGCAGTGGCGATGCCGTAGGCGACTGCCGTGCAGAGGCGTGTCAAGGTCTGCAAGAGCGAGCCTGCGATGGACTGCTTGTTTGTCGGCATGGACGAGAGAACGTACATCTATCATCGTCAGCAATGAACAAGGCCCCAGGAGGCAGCCACATACGTTTGCAACAATGAACTGGAAGTCTGCTCCCACTACGCAGAGCATCAATGCGGGAAACGAAAAGGCCCAGTACGAGTCGCCGTGTCGCTGTACCGCAGCAAGCACAAACGACACTAGATATGCCCCTGCACCGATCCCCACGATCAACTTGTTCGAGACTTTGTGTTGAATGAGAGCGGCTACCAGGTTGGCGAGCAAGCCTACGACGACCATCGGGAGCATATGCACGCCAGTCATCAAGGCCGAGTATCCAAGCACCTTCTGGAAATAGAGTGCAAGCCAGAAGGAGAGCACGGGAAATCCAAGGAAGCCGTAGGTGAGGATGACGAGCAGCTGTTGTGTTTTGTTAGCGAACAAGTAGGCATAGCTACCCATCTGCGCACACGTACCAAGGAGAAGTCTCGGTCTTTCCAGATATTCATGTCGATCATGGCATACGGGTACTTTTTCTCCCACACGATAAATGCAGTGATTAATAAAACGCCCAAAATCAGTAGTACGAGGACGTAGGGTGTCTTCCAGCCATCTGGTGCATCGCCACCAAGACTACCAAACATTAGCAGGCAGTGTGTCAACTTATCATGGTACGTACCTCAGAGCAGCACAAAACATGCCAATACCCAGGATGGTCATCGCGGTACCAGGTAGATCTAGCTTCTTGATAGTCTCGTCGTCGAGGGTTTGCTTCAGAGCCGTATCTTTTGGCACCGTGAATATCGCGATGACGCTGATACAAAAGTACACAATCGCGAGCAAAAAGAAGCCCGCCCTCCAATTGAATATCTGTGTGAACAGCCCTGAAAGTATAGTACCAAAGACGAATCCTAGAGGATTTCCAGAACTGAAGCAGCCAAAAACTTTATTCTTCCTTGGAGAAGGTTTCTCGTAGATAGTACCCAGCATACCCTGGGCTGGCGGAACAGCAGATGCAGACCAGATTCCAAGGACGCCGCAGAGTATGTCGAGAGTCATGCCAGATCGAGAAAACCCAGCGCCTAGACAGAAGACGGAGAAGAGGAACATGGACCCGATGAACATGGATTTGCGGCCGAAGAGATCTGCTATGCTGCCAAAGAATAACAGCAATGCACCTGCTGTCAATCTAGCCGCGATATTAGCCATCCATGTTTCCCACTTGAAGTAATTCAAAGCCATGCTACTCACGAAGTCGCAGCATTCATCCAAGTAATCTGCGCATTACTCATGTTCAGATCCCTCCCAGCAAACGAGCTCATGACGGTAATCGAGCCCGTGAGGAAACTCGTCATGGCCACGGCCATTGTCACCGAAAGCACGAACAAGCATTCTTGGACCGTGGATCTGAAGCATTCTGGTCGTGCATTGGGGTCCTTGTCTGTGATTGGTGGCGTCAGAGCGGTGCCGAGTTCGGCGTCGGGTTCGGCTGTCATGTGTATCGTGCCACAAGAAGTGTGCGACAGGCAGGAAAGAGAACCGCGAAATGACAAAACGGTTGTCTATGAAATCATCTGGCGATGGTTTGAAGAGGATCTGGCATGGGCGTAAGGCGTAAGGCGTAAGGAGTAAGGTGTAATATACGAAATTATTCAGCGCGGAATTGCTCCACTGGTCTAGCACCTTACTTATTAAGGCCATCTCCATCTCACGACTCTCACTAGACCTGAAAGCGGATAAAGCTACATCCACGAAATCCTTTGTAGATAACGGCATAACTTTGGCCTAATTCGAGCATGTAGACATCATTTCTCTTCGACTGCTGCTTTATACATGGATAGGCGCTGACTCGATTGGTGAGGCGAAGGGAAAGGGTATCATTATAGTAAACGTACACTATCGTTACAACTTCAACACCCTCCACTCTCCCAAATTCATATTTCCCAGCTGTCCTCCAAGCGGTCCTTGTACCTCCCTGCCATTCACCCAGAGCTTCTTGCCCGCCCAATACTCGATGAACCCATCTGGGCCCGAGACTATGATTAAGCTCGAGCCCGTCCCTTCTCGCCATCGACTCGTTCTTTTCATAACATCGCTAGGTTGTATGAACGTATTTTCCTCGTCGACGTAGTACTGTACACTCAGGCCTCTCGTGGCTGGTTCACTCCGCTCCTTGAGCGCATCAAGTTCCTGAACAATGATACCTTTGCGCTCGCTCTGGTCTCCTCGGAGCGTTTTTTGAGCAGCGGGTTCATTATCGCCAACAAGGCTCTTCCACCATCCTTTTCGACTCTGTACGGCCGTGTTGCCATCGCGCTCGTCGCTGACTCCGCCAACACATTCTTCGCGCCGCCGGTTTGCCCACAGTATATGCATTGCGCTTCCTGTTCTCCGCCCCAATGCTTGCGCTACCTGCATGGCAGGCGCTATACCCGTCCCTCCTGCCAGGAATATGACCTCTTTGATATCGTGGGGCAGCTCGCATTCGACGTTCGGGCCGCGTAGTTCTATCGTCGATTCCTCAGGTAGCCGATGCAGATACGTTGACACCTCGCCCCCGTGCTCTTGCCGTATCAGCAATCGTATGTCCTGTGGCTCATCTTCACCCTTCCTTCTTCCATCTGAGACTGGCGGCAACGGCGTGTATGCGCGCGCAATCTGCAATTGCGGCTGCTTGATCTGCACGCTCCAAGCGCTGCGTTTCCACACTTCCTTTACGCTTTCCGGGTCTGGTGCGCCATCACGGTTGCGCAATGTGAATATCGCGCTTGTGGAAGACACGGGTTTCTTGTCGACGAGCGTGTATGGTGTAAAGGTATGCGGGTTTAGCGACGCATCGGAGGAATCTGCAGGTTTAATAAAGCGATATGCGGCGCCGCCGAATGCAGATGTTCCGATGATGATTAAAGGGCCGGCTCGCCGTCTGAGCCAGGACATGTCGAACTCGTAGTGGCGGTGACATCCAAGGAGGACATGAGCATTGAGATGTCTTGTTGCAAGGCTTCAAGAAACTTGGGATGACGGCATGGCCCAAGCTTCATACCCGAATTACCCTTTCGGGTACTCCGGTTCAAGATCAAAGTTCAACAGAGTTCAATTTAATCTCGCCCCAGAGACCTCAAAATTACCTGCTACTGCATCTATATACTATTTTTAGGTATAGTTTGCTACCATAGGGACCCACCCAGCCGATCTCGAAAACCAGTAAAAAGGTTCTCCAGATTAAAGTTCCCCAGAATATATTGATCTTGGATCCGGAGGGACGTAAAGGGACAGACCTTGACTCCCGAATACGGTCTTGGATCTGTTGTGGAGGTTGAGCGGTTTCTCAGTAAGTTGCTCTAAATCCGAGAAAAACACCTCCACCTTGCTCATAAGCAGTTTGCAGCAAGTCATGGAAACGTCAAGATTCATAACTAATTGATGATGGGTCTCTTTCAGGTCGTTATCAATCCATTGCTGTATGCTAGATAAGGCCGCTCGAAGTGCAATCAGTTGTGAAGCCAGACTGAGAAGAGTAAGGTCGGCGTCTTCCCATCGAGTTCGAAAATCGTTGATGATTGATACAGTTTTGGTAACAGCGTCTACGATGTTACAAATCGCGCCCACTGAGCCGATAATACCAATAACTTCAGCCATCCTTAAGGTGGGCCCCAGCCTTGTGGCATCCCAAGGGAGGGAGTGCTGATTCCGACGAGCAAAGAAAGGTCAATGTGTGTATGCGGTAGGTTGTAAGATTTCCAGACGTCTAGTGTTGCGAAAAGTCCCATTACTCAGGTTGGTGGCAAAGACGCTCATGGAATTACGAAAGTAGCAACTCGATGTGAGAAGGGGATCCTTCAGGTGGTGGGGTTGAGGCGCAGCCCTAGCCATGGTGGCTCAGCTCCTGGGTTGTACATTACGGAGCCTCCAGAGACTTACCATCATAAGGCATACTTGGAAGCCATCTCATTTGCAAGAAGCAAGAGTGACGTCTTAACGCGCAGAAAATGGGTTGGGGACGCGTTTAGGCACAGGGTAAGATGGTACTCTCGCGAAACATCACAGAATAATCAGGTTGATCATAGAAGTTGCACCAAATGCCTAAACGGTCTGCTCGTATTCCAATACTACCACTCTGCTGCGCCATGATCCGTCGTCGAAGGAACGACTACCCTTGGTTATCGTTCCTTATCAGCGAAGTAAGCAAACTTCCTCGAGTCAGTACATGGGGCAGTTTTCGCAGCGTTTGACCGTGATCGATGGCTGATGATGGGTATAAGAGATGGAGAGCTACCGGCAAGGTTGGACTCGACATTCTCCACCCACAACATCTATCCAACCGGACAAACTTTCGTTCCTCAACAAGAATATCAGTTCACGCCCCTCGAGATCCCACAACAACACCATGTTCGACAAAATCCGCGAAAAATCGTCAATGAGGCACGACAAGAAAGACTCATCTGACTCATCCAACACCGACCCAGTGCCGGCCTACACAGCATCCTCATCCTTGGCTCCAGTACCAGCACCATTCCAAACCCGCTTTGCCACGCTTTCGCTCCACATGTTAGATCGCGTGCGTTTTTTGCGATTCCCACCCCAAATAATCGACGAAGTTCGCGCCACCATACTCCGCGCCTGGCCCCAAGGCATCCAAGAAGAGCGGCCCTACGGCACCAGCCACGAAATAAAGTTATCTGGCTACCCCTGGCGCGGCGTGACCAAAGAGGCAGTGGAATCACGACGACTTGTAAACGCTATACTGGGCACGCTACATACCTTGGGCTGGGTACTCACGCTCAACACAGACATTAGCAAAATGGCGAGAGACAAGGATACCCTCGTGTTTCGGCATCAGACTCCTGCCCCGGCGCCGTGTGACTGGTCTTGTATCGCTTTCAGCAAGACGGATCGCATTCGCTTCGTCGATGCACCCGCCCAGATGTACCAGTCGCTACCAGGCAAGCTGGGGCCGCAGTGGGTCAACAAGCAAGAGGAGTATGCACCAGGCGTGTGGGAGATGAAGTTGCATGGATATCCGTGGATGGCCAGCGGGACGGAGACGATGCGAGTACGCGAGCTGTTGCTGACGTTGGTGGAGACGCTGGAAGAGGAGGGCTGGAGCGTGTATGCCAGCATCGACCAATCAGGCAATGGAGCGAACGAGAGGGAGACTGATACATGGCATCTGTGCAGGCCGAAGGGCTGGGTTCGGGGCGCACCGGTTTACCACCATTGATAGGCCTGGAGAGCACTAGTAGCGGTAGAGAGTCTTGATAGATGTTTGATCAAACTTTTGGAAGTCTAATTATCTAAGCCGTGAATTCTCGGCTCTAACGTTAAGTAATGCTCACGAAACGCCGGCCATGCAGACGTTTTTAACGGGGTATACACAAATCTTACAAACATTCGACGTTCCCAACAGCCGCTCACAATGTACTGCCAATCTCCTTCTTTACCCAGTTTTCGAGGCCACCGAGTGCGATGATCTCTTGAACGTTGGGAGGGAGCTCACCGACCTTGACGCTCCATGTCGAGCCGCCTGGTCCCTCCTGCACGGACACAGTACTTCTGCGCACATCCCACTCCAGGGTCCAACCAGTTCGGCGGGTTAGCTGCTTGGCCTGGGCTGGTTGTTCTGTCGCTGCTGGTGGTGGAGAGTCGAGCGATTCGCGGTTGTTTGAAGGCTCCTTGATAGCCTGCTGTGAGGAGGATGGGCTTGCCGATGAGAACACCTCTCGGAGACGGTTAGCCAATTTGGGAACCTCAACACCCATGAGAGCGTTGTTGATGCTGTTCCTGCTGAAGATGTTGCCGAAGCTGCCAGCGACCACGAGCGGGATGCCCTTTGCTAGGATAGCGGTTGCGGCTTGCTCGCGGCTACTACCGCAGCCAAAGTTGAAGCCTGATACGAGGATGTCGCCTGCCGCTGCTGTTTGTCCGAAGCTGGGGTCATAGTTCTCCATGCATACTTCAGCCATCTTCTCTCGGGTCACATCGTCTTGATATGTGTATTTGCCCGGGTAGATACCGTCGGTGTTGATGTTGTCAGCATCACAAAAGACAATCTCTCCGCCAATCTTTTCCGGAAAGCCAGGAAGGATTTCAGTCAAGGTCTCAGCTGCTGAGCTTGGCGCTGCAGGTGGGTTGACTGTTTGCGTCTCTGAAGTATCGGTGTCAAAGGTTCCAATAGCTGCCTCGGCGTCCTTGATCGCCTTCTCGAGCATGTCTTCGATGGTCATCATGCGCTCCTCTTCCAGAATACCATCGCCCTCGCCTCGACGGACGCCAGAATAGCCTTCGGGAGCTTGATACCACCCAGGACCTGAGATCTTGCCAGACAATGCACTCGCGGCAACGACTTCCGGGCTTGCAAGGTATGCTTTCGCATCAGGAGATCCCATGCGACCCTTGAAGTTACGATTACTAGCACTGATTCCAACCTCGCCGGGTTCCAGAAGACCTGTACCGAGACCAATGCACGGACCGCAGCCAGAAGGCAGTGGTTGCGCACCAGCTTCCAGAAGTGCCTGCCAGTCGCCAGCCTCTTCAGCCGCCTTTTGTTCTGGGATAGATGCGGCAGCGATGTAGAAGTTGACGTGTTCTGGAATCTTGGGAATCTTGCCTCCATTCAAGATAGACGCGTCTTTGAAAACGTTCGCAGCGGCCGCAAGGTCTGAGGCACGGGAATTGGTGCACGAGACGAGGTAAGCCTTGTTGATGGGGATGTTCTGGCTCTGCAATTCGGCCAATGGAGTGGCTATCTTGACAGAGTTTGGTCCAGAAACGTAGGGCGACAAGGTTGACAGGTCTAGGAAAAGCTCCTTGGCATAGACAGCTCCCTTGTCGGCAGCGAACGCAGGTTTGAAGATGTGGCCTAGCTGTTGTCCGACGATGCCGGTTGCAGTGAAAAGTTTGTCGATACGCTCATGTAGGAATTGCTGCTGATGGTGGTCCTTGGCTTCTCCTTCGCCCATGGCTGCCAGAGTAGCTCTTGCCCGAAGCCAACCGTGAAGGACGGAATCGATGGGGAATAGGCCGGTAAGGGCCCCCCATTCGGTTGTCATGTTCGCGATGGTGAGGCGGTCATCGACGGGGATGCTACCTAATGTCTCGTCGGTTCCGGTGAATTCGATGGCATGGTTCAGGACCTCGTCGTTGTTGAAGAGACCGGCTAGAGCGACAATGACGTCCTTGCCAGTTACGCCTTGAGGCATTTTGCCGCTGAGCGTGACTTTTGCAACCGGAGGAATCTGCCACCACGTCTTGCCCGTTGCCCAGATGCTGGCGGCATCTGTTCGAACCACAGGAGTACCCAAGCATCCAATGCCGCCGTACATATTCGAGTGACTGTCCGAGGCCACGGCTAGCGTTCCTGGCCACGCATAGCCCTCTTCCACCATGATCTGATGGCCAATGCCTCTTCCAGCGGGATAGAAAACGACATCTTGGTTCTTCGCAAACTGCTCGATCTGGCTGTACTTTTTCAAATTCTTCTCCGTCTTGTTTTGCACATCGTGGTCGAGCGTCATGACGATTTGTTTCGGGTCGCTGATCTTGGTAGCACCAATGCCCATGAATTTGAGGGCCACAGGCCATGTGTTGTCATGCGTCATGCATTTGTGTGGTTGCAAGGTCACATAGTCGCCTGAACGGAGGACTTTGCCCTCAGCGACGCCAACGGCATGTCGCTGCACGATCTTCTCAGTGAGCGTCTGAGGTGTCTTGGGTGTCTCTTGGAGGGCCGACATGAAATTTGCCGCAGGGCTCTCCTTTAGCGAGTGAAAGACATCCTGGTTTTCGCGTCGAAGTGCGGTCGTAGAGAAGGTACGTGGACCAGCATTTGCCCGGGGCAGGTGCGATGCGACACGAAGAATTGGCAGGCTCGACCGAATCTATAGAGGGAATTAGGCGGTGTTGAAGAAGAGGATTGAGCTCCATTTGACATACTACGATCTGCCTACGAACCAGCAGCCGCGCGGCGCGCGACGACATGGACATTGCTGACTTAGTTGGACAGCAATGTGGTGTTGATGCTGGATGGGCCTTCCCCGAGAATTGACTGCCAAGCCACTTTTTGTCCGCACCGACACCGGCCAGCAGTCATCGCTTTCCGCCGCCTGCGATTGGCCGAATAGCGGGGGGAAGCTCAATTGCTTCACCTAATGCATTCAATTCTCCCACGCGGGGCGCTGGAGGAGACGGGTGGGGAGAAATTAAATTTTGGTTATTCTGCCTAGGTGACAGGCAGTATGCTCGTATTGCATAGCTAAACCGAAATCGGACTCCTTCTTGACTGACTGTGAAGAACGGTATTGGAGTCATTCGTATGACGCGACGTCTGGAGAAATTTACATGTTACCACAGTCACTCACCTTTTCGCTCTTCACTCCTACATCTCTTGCACTAACCTCTACTTACACGCTTCTTCCTACCAGCGCTTCGTCCCCACCATGGTCAACCGCTCTGACGTCAACTACTTCGGCGCTGGCCCCGCACCACTGCCCACCACGGTCCTGGAGAAGGCCTCACAGGTCCTTTTGAACTACAACGACAAGGGCATCGGCCTTTGCGAGATCTCCCACCGCTCGCCGGAAGCCAACAAAATCCTCGACGAGGCCAAGCAGGCACTCACCAATCTGCTCGATATCCCCGACGACTACGACATCTTGTTTCTCCAAAGCGGCGGCAGCGGCGAGTTCAGCGCGACTGTCTACAACCTCGTCTCGATATGGGTGGAGAAGAAGCGCGCCAAGATCGCAGAAGAGGTGGGCGACGACAAAGACGAGGTGCTCAAGCGGCTGCGGAAGGTCGTGGACGAAGAGCTCAAGCTTGACTACCTCGTTACAGGCTCCTGGTCGTTAAAGGCATCGCAAGAGGCAGCACGTCTCGTAGGCGCCAAACATGTCAATGTAGCAGTAGACGCCCGAAAAGCAAATGACGGAAAGTTTGGCAAGATTCCTTCCGAAGACCAGTGGAAGCTCACGCCGCGATCGTCGAACCCCGCCTTCGTCTACTTCTGCGACAACGAGACTGTGGATGGTGTCGAGTTCCCTTCCTTCCCAAAGAGCCTTGAGGGCGATGATGCGCCATTGGTCTGCGCCGACATGTCATCCAACTTCATATCCCGGAAAGTTGATGTGCGAAAGTATGCTGTCATATTTGGAGGTGCACAGAAGAACATTGGCAACACGGGCATTGCTATCGTAATATTGCGCAAGTCACTCCTTCCGCCACATTCAACACCGGCTTCGCCCGACCTGCTGAGAGAGCTCAACCTGTCTGTTGGCCCAATTGTGTTGGACTACCCGACGATCGCGAAGAACAACTCACTATACAACACATTGCCCATATTTGATGTCTGGGTAGCTGGGCAAGTCATGTCTGGACTTGTAAACTCCTATGGTACCAAGCGTATTGGTGGTCAGGAAGAGGTCTCGAATGAAAAGGCCCGGCTAATCTACGAGACGCTTGAGAAGTATCCCGATGTCTATCGCGTCGTTCCGGACAAGTCTGCACGTAGCAGAATGAACATCTGCTTTAGGATCGGCGGCGGAGATGGTGACAAAGAGAAGGCTTTCCTAGCAGGTGCGGAAAAGAAAGGCTTGCTCGGCCTGAAGGGTCACCGTAGCGTGGGTGGCATTCGTGCAAGCAATTGTAAGTCACCCTATAATCCCCCCATTATTGATGACATTGTCAATCATGCTTTGGCGATATCTACACGCGCATACCTCCTGCAGTTCATATGTGTACCTCGTGCCTAGATGAGTTTATTCCATATTCCGACTTAACGTTAAGCTGCTGAACGGAGTAAGCTAACCTCATCTGTGTAACAGACAATGCCGTCTCTCTGGATGGCGCGAAGTTGCTTGTTTCGTACCTCGAGGAATATGCAAAGTCCGCTTAAGTAAGGCGATGCATGAAAGCATGACAGTGGCTTGTCGATCTGCTCCAATGTCCAGTGCTCTGCTATACCCAGCAATATTCCCTCCTTGACGATGGGATGGTATCTCTCAACAAGATACCAGACAGTTGCGGAAAATATCTCTCATCTATCTAATACTGCTTCTCTCACTTCCGTCGTGCTGCATACCCACGCGAGACTGCTTATGTGCACATCTTATAGTTCGCATAATCGAAAACTGACCTTGAATCACACTATGGTGCCGCGACCACACCATTCATCGACTGTTAGGGTGGATGGCAGAACGGATCATAGTATTCTAGAAAATTCCATACTTGGCAACATGAACATCATGACACCTCGATGAATTCATTCCTTCCTATCACAGCAAAGAGATGCGAATCGACCCGAGCAGACGCCACCGAGACAACCTGGGAATTAATCTGGGCTCCTCGCGACTTTGTAACTACAGTAATCAAGACAACAAAGATGGAAGCCACGAGATAGCGTCTCAATGTGCCCTGACAAATTCAGAGGGGTGCGTCAAGGAATCGGCCAGGCTTGGGTGGCGTTAAATCACATACTCACGAATGACATTCCCACAGGCTATTCATGTCGCTTAAAACTACGATCGCATTGATTCAAACATCAACCACACTAGATGATGCGACAACGCTCTTAAGACGCTATCTGATCTGCCTAAACTACACAACCTGTGTGTTACACGAAGACCATTCTCCTCGGTATTCATCTTCCGGGCTCTCCCTCAATACCAATGCCAAAGAGTAGCGCAGTCTCGGAGAATGGCCCATTTCAGAGTTGGCTTCAGGACTTAAGCCTCCCATCTTACGCACGTCTTTATCTTCTGACTCAGTACACTTTCTATTCGTCCATTATGCGACCGGTTAAGACCGTTGTGGTTGGCATGGGTTCTGGCGTTGCCTCTGTCTCGGGACAGGGCTGAAGCGAGAGTCTGCGGCACAACCTAAACCCAGCGAGCATCAGACCTCAGCCCGACCACCTCGACATCACCACCAGCACAGACGTCGCGCGAATCGCCAACCACGGCGCCTCCATGCGTGAATTGCTACTGAGGACCTAAATTAGAACAACGTGGCAGAAAACGAAACGACAACGCCTAGTGCGGGCGCTTGATCTTGACAGAAGGCGGTTCCAAGTTGTTGACAGTATTCCAGCACGATAGAAAGCAGACCCCGGAGCAGTTGCAATGGATGGCAGTGACGTCTTCCTGAACACCTCAAACTTGGTCGAGGCCAGTGCACGGAGAGATCTCCACAGCCGCCCTCTGTAGCGGTTGACAAGGTCCCGGAACCAAGGCGCCTGTACGGGTCTTTCTACTTCCGCCTGTCTAGGCTACCTTGGATGTGTGTAGCTCGCATGAGGTTGAAACCCACCCTCGCCAAATGTAGGAGGATGTGGCCTGTAATGTGAAGACATCCCGGGCTTTGCCAATGCGAACCCTTCAGCGAATGAGTGGGTAGACGCCTCAGGACCGCTGTCTCGAAACCCTGCACTACTGGCAACTCTCTCTTATACCGTTTAACGTCTCATACTCACCCCACCCCGTGTTCTACGCTCAATGCCGACGCTCTTTTCGCCTTCCCTTTCGTCGCTCTGCTGGCAGGCTCAGGCAGATTCTTGATTGACGCTGAGCTAGTTATCCTCTCGTTCACGACGTTAATCAAGCGGTCTCCATGATTGTCTAGACCAATTATTCGAACCGCTGCTGGTTACCAGCGAGAGCACTCCTTTCTTGTACAATTGGTTGCGGGAGCTGGCAAGATGGAATCATGGACCTCTCCCTTTCCTCGACTCGATGTCCGGTCGCACTTCAACATGACCCTCAACACCTCGGCCATGCATGAAGTTCCTTGGACTCAAACGAATGCGACGAGGATGATAATCGCCAATCTGCAGCTGGCTCAGGTACAGACGCTACGGACGACGCATCTTACATTGGGAGCGTTCAGTCTATTTCTGGCGCTGTTGATGGTCCACCGTATTGTGTCAGACGCGAGAAGAGCGGCAGCTCTGCATGTCACACCGAGAAAGCAGTAAGTGGGTACAAAAATGCGGTGGAATCATAACTAACAGTAGTTAGGAGGTTTAGTGCTCTTCAAAATGTCCATTCCGCCGAGACCTTCCCACTCGCGCTGGCCTGCGGTGCAGTCCTACAGCAAATTATTTTCGTAGCGGTGCAGAGCACATCCCTTAACAGTATATTCTCTAAAAATTGTCGGGGGCTGGCAATGATTACGTACCCTGGTATGTACTGAACAGTGGAGTAACAACGGGCAAGAACTGACGCTTATAGCTATATTTGTGGTCGGATACATCACTTTGGTTTTCGGCATCGAGATGGCGTGGAGAGGCTTCAGACGTGAACGCTTTGCTCCGCGCGGCAAATGGAACACGACAATCTGCGTCGGCGTAGTATCTTTCATGCTACTCCTAACCTGGATGCCGACAATCGCCTGGCCAATGTACAACCGTTGCTTTGGCAGTCTGATATGGTTTCCCATGCGATACGATCTCTTGACATTGATCATTTTGTGTGTTTTGGTCTTCTCCTTCCTATCGTTGGCGGCTCTTATCAGCATTCAACTGATGAGGACATCGGCTTTGGATCCCAACGAGCGAATCTCAGCTTCACGCATGACTTATTTTCTAATAGTTGCTGCATTGATCTATGTAAGTGCACCTGGACGACGTCACGCAGTTTCGAATCCTAACAGTAAATCAGATCCTCGTGATCCCAGTTCAAGTTCAATCCATTCGACGAGACTTCATGAACCTGGTATCCACCTCCAGAGTCGCTGAGATCTCCCTCTTCTCCTCCGGTATAGTAATGACGGTCTTCCACCTCTTCCTCCGCACCAATGCGATGCGAATGGTAATCCGACCAATGGATGAAATGAGGGCTCCCACAAAGCAAAAGCGACCAAAGCTCCGATTCTTCGGCCCAAGCGACCTTGAAATGAACATTAGCGGCCCAATGGCGCTACAAAGCAGCCGCCGACTAGAGAGCAGACAAGGTCTCATTGATGTGGGACCCGAGAAGAACCACTTTGATATCGATCCCGAGTACTTCGTCCGACCAGAGCGAGCCTTAACACCAGCGTCCACCAAGTCGCAAAGTCCGATTGATCCAACCAAATGGCCTTTGCCACCAGATGTCGACGAAACCCAAGTTGCAGCACCGGGAAACGAGCGAGGAAGACAAAGCTATTCTCTTTTTCCAACACGGGCCGAAAATGTCCCTCGTCTACCTGCAACCGTGTACGATCCAAATGTCGCAAAGGACACTGCAGTTTCCAAGCTGGCCAAGCGTCGCTTCACACGGAGGAGTTCCATCACAAATGTCAGCGAAGCATTCGACTTCTTGACTAAACCCAAGCCACTCTTTACAGAAAAACATCGTCGTGATAGGAGCACAGATAGTAGCGCTACCGTTCAGATCGGACTTCGATTCTCACTAGCACCGGCTACACTTGCAGCAGCCAAGTGCACTCAACCGGAACGCAACATGGACCAGGCTAACTCAAGCGCTCCACCACTGAAGCGCGGCGAGACTCAATCTAGTGGAGAATCACTTGGCCTCCCAATCCAAAATCCTTCCACCACCAGTACTACAACCAACAATGACCCAAGTCCCAGCGCGTCCGCCCAACCAGGGCCCAGCAACAAATCTCCTTCCAAGCCACGAATGACGAGCCCAGCTCGAACCCCGGCATTCCCCTTAACTCCAGCCGAAAACAGCAGTGCTTACCTGCAAGCTCAGCGGGAAAAAGTCCTCCCTCCGCCGCCACCACGCACACCACGCTCACCGGTCTCTACGCCGAAACCCGCGGCCCAGCCGTCTGCTCCCACATCCGTCGTCGTGAGCGGACTTCGTATGAACCCCATCACTCCCGTGACATCTGTCGGCTCACCAACGGCATCAGCACCAGGCACACCTGCTTTACCCACTCCAGTAGGGTCAAGCAGTGGCAAATCGGCTCCTAGTCCTACGGCACGGATACCCCTCGGTGCGGGTACGATGTCCAGGAGTCCTCCATTCAATGGTTGGATCTGAGCTCGCCCTAAAGCCGCGCATGCCCAAGGCCACCAAAAAAAAACACAAGAGCTGCACATATGCTATTCATAGACCGGATTTGGCGAGAGCCGCTGTATAGTACGATAACTAAGTTTTGGAGGGGGTTTTCCACGCGCTGGGGCAAGGGGTTCTCCAGCCGGGGTATCAGGCATTCTGAGGCGTTTACGGTTCCGGTTTCATATTTTTTATCCCTCTAGGGCGCTAGCTGTGACTGCTTCACATCTACAGGCACTGGGCACACCTCGCAAGCCCTTCATATTTTCTGTTCATTTTGTTTCTTTTTCCATCACGTCGCTTACGATACGGACACTCCTTCACGACTTTTACTCGGGCTCAGTGCTGCGCACGTTCCTATACGAGTAGGACATGATTCGGCACATTCACTCTTTATACCCCCCAATAGCACTTTCGTTTTATATTGGCTCTAGGTTGATCCTGTCATCACGAGGCAGATTCCAGTTTTGTATGTAGCATATCGCCATCGTAGGCTCTAGAAATAGCGAAAGTGGCAATGTAACATACTCTTTGTAACCCTGCATAGTAGCCAAAGATCTTTTACTTGTTACACCTCGAATTTGTCAATATTTGCTACTGGAATCCTCGACTGAATAGTGTAACTTGACCGTCAATGGGACTTCACATTGATCTGAGTGGTGCATATTCGAAGCGGCTAGTCTACTCGTGTCTTGTAGTAGTTTCAATTGGATTTATGAGTACTGGGAACTTAGCATACACACAAACGTAAATGTCTGCCGGTTTGGATGTATATCTACAGATTTGATAGTACTTCTTGCCTTGCGAGATATATGATAGATAGTGTACAAATATCTACACCTGGTGTATACAACTGCGACTCCTGGATCGCATCTACTTCAGCACATTAGTAGATATATACTGTCTCTTTCTATGTCCTTGCCCTAGGCTTCAGCCTCAACCCCTTGTCACCATCCTCCTCTCCTCTCTCTTTCTTCAACTGCGCTTCAATTATTCTCCCAATATTGCCCCCATTCTGCATAACACCTCCTCTCAACAGCTCGGCGATGACACGCCCCTTGACAAGCGTCTCATCAACCACGCCCTCGACATTCTCCGGCCCAATACGTCCATACCATATCCCCGAGCCTCTCAGCGCATTATCCTGCATACTAGGAGGCACGTATATGATGACATTGCCGGCGTACTTGTGCCCGCCTATGTGGCTTATCTGCGCAACATCTGCGTCTATGCTCCTTCTCTGGAGCTCCTTACGGAAAGAAGCTTGTAAAATGGGACCGAGAACGCCGCAGCGTTGATCGCGGCCGCCGTGTCCACAAATCAAAATCGTAGGTTTGGAAACAGATTCCGCTGGAGGGAGCTGTGCGGCTACCGACTCATCGCGCGTCAAGTTTGCTTTCTGCTCTTTGGACAGGCCATCGTGCATGGGATGCAGCGTTTTTGCCTTGAGGTACGCGGTCGCGAAGTGCGAGAAGGAATCAGACGTATGCGGTATGCTTTTTATGCGCTTGAAGCTGGGAAACAGGAGAGCTGTTGTTGCGTTTTTCGTTTCGGTTTGGGGTAGCGATGATGCGGTAATGAGGACGTTGGTGAATGGCTAAAAATGGTCACGAGCTTGTCAGTACTGTGTTTCTGGCTCGATGTAGAGATACAGAAGGGGAGAACCAACCCACATCGAATCCTACGCCACCCTTGCCTATGACGCCTTTAAGTCCTTTGACGAACGCTCCAGTCTCACCCTCCTCTTGCTCAATATTACTTGTCCAGTCTTCTTTCCCAGTGCATATTATCACTTGCTCAGAGTAGGCGGCCATTGTATTCAATAAAGGCGCCTTGCGATCGATGTCAAGGTCTGGGGGCGTCGAAGCGCATTCGCAGGTCGGCGACGGACATGTTTGTGTGTAAGGTATCGAGGCTTGCTGACGCGAAGGTGTTGTGGAGAATTGGCGAGATATGCGTGATATAAACGTCCGAGGTATTCGAGTTGCGAAATACATTTTGTACCAATGTGGTTGTAGATGTTAGAAAGCTGGGATGCTCAAGATATTGTATGACGAGGGCTCGGAACTCGTTCCGCAATGTTGACATGGGATGTCGGAGATTGCGGAGCTCGGCTTTCGGGCATATCACGTCTCCATAGAACGCTTCAAGTGCGACAAAATTGTATAGCTAGTGATTAAGTATACTCACGTTTCTTTGGATGCAGACTAATTTAAAAAAGAGTAGTTCATTATCCTAAATCGACGCCGTTATGCCATGCATCATGCCACTGTTGGGAGCTTAGACATCATATTGTTACATGTGTATGTACAGGAAAAAAACACGAAAATTCCTACTCTGCTTTCGCTTTTTTTGGCTTCTTCGGGCCCACAAAATTACACAGCGCACCTCCATTGACCGCAATAACCTTCCAATCATCCGGAAGGACCTTATAGACGGGATGCGGGTGGCGCGTTTGGCTAGCTTTCCATATCTTCCCCGATCCCATGTCGAGCCATTCTTTGCCCTCTTCAGTCTCCACTAGTTGGTCCAAGACCCATTTGGACACCGCCATCATGTCCTTGGAGTTGGTGGACTCTGGAAGTTTGTTGATATCAACTTCAAACTTTCGCTTGCCGTCAACTTGGACGACGCATTTCCTCGTGTGGTTAAGTCTGGGTATAATATCGAGATCCGCGATAGGGAAACCGGTCGCAAAAACGGTACGTGAATCCCCGGGATCAAGATCTGCGCTTTGAGAATGTGTGGGATTCTTGAGAAGGTGCCATGCTTCCTCAGCAACACCAGGAGCAATCGGAGCGACCATGCGGATCAGGTGTACTGTAGAGTACCACTTGAGGTAAGGTGTCGCTGTTGACGAATGTGGAGTGTCCCATATAATATTCGTCAAGGTCATTAGATCGCTGACGATAGTATTCAGAGAGTATGTTTGCGAGTACGACTCGGTAACGCTTGCGATGGTTTCTTGCGCCTTAGTCCAGAGCTTCGCATCGTCTGGAGATAGCGCGGCTATTAGAGTCGTATCCGTCTTGGACAGCAATGATGTCCTTGGGGCCGATTGGGATGCCTCTAACACGCCCTTTGTTAAGAGCTCACGGAGAATCTCAATGAGTGTGATATCAATCTGGGATGGGACTTTAAATGTCTCCAGCTCAGTACTCGGCGTGAAAAATGCACCTGAAAGTCGAACAATCCGATGAAGCCAGCGCTGAACACCCGTAATTTTCTTCTCGTCCCATTCAAGCACATCACTGACAGGCGCTTGGAAGAGCATATGCGCACGCGTCACATCGGCGCCATATTTCGCGATCGTGGCACCGGGATCCACGCCGTTGTATTTGCTCTTAGACATCTTTTCGTAGCTAATGTTCGGTGTAAGGCCACTCGTTTTAATGATGGGCTTTGAAGGAGTTGCCAGGTCGACTTCCTCAGGGCGAAGGAATCGGCCGTTTTCTGGATCAGTGAAAGTCTCGCCATGGACCATTCCCTGGGTGATGAGTCGCTTAAAAGGTTCGCCGTTTGCTAGATTTCCTTTTGGCCAAGCGGCAGTCGTGGCGAGAAACTTCGAGATGAAGCGTGCGTAGAGGAGATGCAGTATAGCGTGTTCGACTCCACCGACGTAAAGGTCAACTGGCATACCATCATTTGCTTTTTCAGGGTCAAGTATGGTAGACTCGTTCTTGGGATCTAAAAACCTGAAAAAATACCACGATGAGTCCATGAAAGTATCCATTGTATCAGTCTCGCGCTCGGCAGCTGAGCCGCACTTCGGACACATAGTCTTCTTCCAGTGCTCGTCTTCAGCCAAGGGATTTCCCTTGCGACCCTCGAAGAAACTATCCGGTAGACTCGGTAGTTCAACTGGGAGATCCTTCTCTGGAACAGGCACTGGGCCGCAAGAACCACAGTGGACGATGGGTATAGGCGTGCCCCAATACCGCTGACGACTAATGAGCCAGTCGCGAAGCCGCCAACTTGTGGTCTTTTCGGCTGATCCTCCAGACATGCGAATAGAGTTCACAATCTCATCCACGGCCTGCTTCGAGGACATGCTCCCAAAACGATCGATGTGTGCAGCCACAAAACCCCTCTCGGTGACGGGCTTGTCTTCATCCCCAGGTATAAGCGGCGAGGGCGACATCCCACGCTTGGTAGATATGACAACCTCGATTGGTGTGCAGCCAGCATTTTGCCGCCAAAATGCGTGATCGCGGGCGTCGTGGCCTGGCACACCCATGACTGCACCGGAGCCGTAGTCTTCCAAAACATACGGAGCAACATAAACAGGGATGGACGCATCTTGGGTATTAGTGATTGGGTTCTTTGCGACAAGGTTCGACAGTAGAAATCCTTCCTTGTTGTCAAGGGGCAAGTCTTTTGCCCTCTCAAGGAAGGCACGCAGCGCCTCATCTCCCACAGCCAGATGTTGCACGATTGGATGTCTGAGAGACAGAGCAATGTACTGCACGCCAAATAACGTGTCTGCTCTAGTGGTAAAGACATCGACAGGGTTGAAGTGCTCGTCTCCGTTTGTCGTTTCAATGTTGAACCACACTTTGGTGCCCTCAGACTTGCCAATCCAATTCCTCTGCATGGCAAGCACTTTCTCGGGCCACCTACCGTTCTTCGCTAATGCATCCAGGTCTTTCAGCAGCGGCTCTTGGAATTCCTTGATCTTTAAGAACCACTGCTTGAGGAGCACCTTCTCGACCTTTGCGCCTGATCGCCAGGAGCACCCATTGGCATCTACTTGTTCGTTGGCGAGGACCGTTTTGTCCACCGGATCGTAGTTGACGAGGGACTCGGCTTGGTAGGCTAAGCCGCGCTCATGGAGCATGAGGAAGATGCGCTGGGTGTGCTTGTAGAAGGCAGGATCGCATGTTCGTATTTCCTACACATGGACGGATCAGCTCTCGTTTGTAGATGAGAGTAATTGTGCTGCATACGCTATCCCAGTCCCAGCGGCCACCCATCTCCTCCATCTGTGTCTTCATGCTCTGGATGTTCTGTAGCGTCCACTTCTCTGGGTGCACTCCGCGCTCAATTGCAGCGTTCTCTGCAGGCAGACCAAAAGCATCCCATCCAATCGGGTGCAGGACCTTGTAGCCCTGCATGTGCTTGAATCTAGCCAGGACATCGGATATGGTATACACTCGTAGATGGCCAAGATGTAGTGTACCAGAGGGGTAGGGGAACATGGGCAGCACGTATGCCTGTCCTTTGTCGGATTTGCGCAGTTGATGCCATTGTGAAGCCAGCTTGTCCCAGTGAGGCTGCCATTTCGCTGTGAGTGTTTCTATGCTCGGTTCCTCAGCGCTTCGCTTTCTGCTTGTTGAGCTGCTGGTCCATCGTGACGCTATACACGGTTGTACTATGCGGGCATGACGGAGGGCGCGCCGCCAGCCTACGCGGTGCAGACTGAGGCGCGACATCACACAAGTGCGCGCGCATCTCGTGGAAGCCCAATTACTGAAATCATGGCCTGGAATACTTGGTCGTCAAGCTTCGGTGCCAAGCGCGAATCGCGACCTGATCCCGCGATTTTCTGATGGAGCTCTGACGCTGAAACCGAGACTAGGCCCATGACGGCATAGGAGCTCGTTCGTCTCACAGCGCATCCATACTACCTTCACCGTTCATACACCAAAGCTGCTCAGGCTCGTAGAAAGAAAGAAAGGGGCACTGGAGCACTAACCCCCACATTCCCTTCGTCTGTAATATAATAGCATTATTCCATGGCGAGCAGCTGTGACTGCAGGTAGCTCCCCATCCCTCCTCCTACTCCTCCGCACCATGGCCAGCCGCTACTCCAACCTCCCACCTCCAACCCGCGATTCGCTCGAGCTTGCGTCGCTTGCCTCGTCCTCACACACGTCACGGCGAACCTCGGAAGAGTCTTCGGCCTCAGGCGCGCCATCTTCGCGCCGATTGTCCTTCGACGACGAAGATCCCCTCTCAGAACTGAACCCTGCCGGTCAAGACGAGAACCGACCGCGGCACAATCGCTCATACAGTGTATCCTCTGCCTTCGATTTTGCACCGAATCTTTTCCCATTATCTAGCACAGCACAGGGTTATACCGCACTAGGCGCGCCCTCAAATCCCGCCTTGGACCCGACCAATGCGCTCAACGGCGGCTCGCTAGAGAGGAACAAGAGCTTGACATACCTTAATGGATTATCACTAGTAATTGGTCTTATAATTGGGAGCGGCATCTTCTCGTCGCCCTCGCAGGTCAACAAGAATGCCGGGTCGCCGGGCGCTTCGCTGCTGGTCTGGGTTATCGCTGGTGTCCTCGCGTGGACGGGCGCAGCGAGTTATGCTGAGCTTGGAGGAGCCATACCGTTGAACGGTGGCGCACAGGTCTATCTCTCCAAGATATTTGGAGAATGGGCGGGCTTCCTGTTTACCTGGTGCGCCGTTGTTGTGCTGAAGCCGGGCTCAGCAGCCATCATTGCTATAATATTTGGAGAATACTTGGTTCGCGCAGTAATTGGTGCCGAGGCAGTAGACGCAAGCACATGGTTGAACAAAGGCGTGGCTTTGGTGGGACTTGTGGTCGTCACACTCCTCAACTGCGTGTCCACCAAGCTGGGGACGAGGAGCGCTGATGTCTTCATGTTCTTGAAGTTTCTTGCCCTGATCGGAGTCACAGTAATTGGAATCGTAGTTGCGGCAACAGGTCTCTCCTACAGTGGCCACGCAAATGAAGACTGGAAGAACCGCGGCTGGTTTGAGGACACCAATACCAACGTCAGCAACTGGGCTGTAGCACTCTACGCCGGCCTGTGGGCCTTTGACGGCTGGGACAATGTACGTCAAGCCACTACACCTAAGTTAGATTCGGAACTAATATCACCAGGTCAACTATGTGACCGCAGAATTCAAGAACCCCACCCGCGACCTACCCCGCGTAATCCACACATCGCTCCCGCTCGTCATCTTATGCTACATTCTCGCCAATATCTCTTACTTCCTCGTACTCCCTGCCTCTGTCATCGAGTCTTCCAACACCGTTGCCGTGGCTTTTGGATCTCAAGTCTTTGGACCCGTGGGCTCGCTCGTCCTTGCTTTATTCGTCTCGGGCTCATGCTTTGGAGCCTTGAACGCAACAACTTTCACATCTGGCCGCCTTGTATACGCCGCAGGCAAAGAAGGCTATCTTCCGGCTCTGTTTGGAAACATAGGTCTGGGGAAAAATCATAGAGCGATTAGGCTGCACAGCTTGAATGCGAACCCCGGGAAGAGCAGAATACCAAGGAAATTGGTGAATTGGTTCGCCGATGCGGATGCGGGATTCTTCTTCACGCCCATCTCCGCCATGGTCCTCAACGCGTCGCTCACAGCTTTGTACATTGCCGTCGGCTCCTTCGATACGCTCGTCACCTTCTACGGCGTTGCGGGCTATTCTTTTTACTTTCAAACTGTGCTCGGTCTCATCATATTAAGAGTCAGGGAACCGGACCTAGAGCGCCCCTACAAGACGTGGATTACCACGCCTATCATTTTCTGCTGTGTCAGTCTCTTTCTGCTGTCAAGAGCAGTCTTTGCAGAACCACTACAAACATTACTAGTAGTAGCATTCATGGTCGTCGGGCTGATCATCTGGTTTGCATGGGTGGGCAGACGAAGAAGCAAAGAGAAGAGCAGGTTCCGAAGTCAGGGAGAAGGGAGTGAGAAAGTAGGATGGAAGTTTTGGCAAAGATGGAGGAAATGAGAAAGAACTTGGTTTGAAAAAGAGCCCACGCTGTATCCATGAAGCAATGAAAGACACGTTCGACGACCGTTGTGCCGTCCTGTTATCCGCCTCTAGCGCATACTGATCGTAAACTTTCCATCTTGCTCGTACCCAGATCCCATGTTCGCACTCTCGCCATCTGCCTCGTCCAACGCTTGCATAGCCGCCTCCGCCAGTCCACCAGCATACGTCTCTGTGTATGCCTTTTCCTCCGGCAGCTCACCATATGCCTGGTCCGCAATCGACTCCGTCATCCTCCTCACGGCATCCTTGATATCGCCGCTCGTCATCTGCCACAGCCCACTATCATCCCTCTCATGTCTAGCCTGCACTGCAGCAGTGAGGTACTGAATGGCCACCGCCTGCCTATCCACGCTCCTGCCACTCAATTTGCGCAGCTCGTCAGCCAATCGCGCAGGCCAGAGGTGAGGATCTTGCAGCACACCGCCCTCGCCCATGGACGCAATGGGCAGTCGTCCCAGCTCGTCGGGCAGGCGTGGCGCTATCTCGTAGGGAACAATATGGCTGGCGTCGGCGAGCTTCCAGTGCTCTTGGATGACCGCGATGTGCCTCAAGGTCTTTTGGGTGCCTCCAGAGGCTGCTGATCCCACACCCTGCTGGCGCTCAGTGGCGGTTGCGATGCGGTACGTTTGGCCTTCCTTGAGGCTAGGGTAATGCAGCCTCACTTTCTCGTCGCGCGTGGGGTGGTAGATGATAATGCTGAGGCCTGGACCGATCTTGCCGAAGAATGCTCCGCGCAGCGCGTTGTAGATCTCGTCGCCTTCGGCCATGATGGAGGTGATGGTGGCGTGGTAGGTATCGTCACCTTCGAGCATGGTGATGATTTTGCGGTTGCAGAAGGGATCCATTGCGAGATGGAGAGCTAGTGAAGTGAGAAGATGGTGTTATAGAGTAGTAGAATTGATTTGAGGTAATAGACGAGCGAAAAGTGGCTTTGGGTCAGGTATCGGCTTACGTAGGGTGCAAAAGCTCTCGAGCTGCTTTCACCTTGATAATAGGCAGACGTACATTTACGCGCAAAAAAGGCAAAAAAGAAACAAACGTAAAAATGGTACAGGCTGGGTTCGAAAAAGGAGTTTTGGGGAGCAATAATAATGGCTACCTTATTTCTGATAATCGGACTAGAGAACGGACATCCACTGAACTAACCCGGGATATCTTACTTGGTAGTCATTATTGAAATATTAACAAATCTTAAAATATATATGCTACGAGAAGAAGTTGGAACAGGTGAGAGGGTAATTTTGCGCGTGTTGTTGTGGGATTGTGCGGGGGTGAAAGCGAGCTCATGGGAAAACAGTGAGTGACACAAGAGAAGTGCAACATACCCTTAACACGCACAATGAACTGATAACGACGATGGGCAGCTTCCTGTCGCACGTACGCAGATGTGCACGAAAGCGCAAACTACAAGTTGGCGGCCCTTGGTATCTTTCGCCTAGCTAATCCCCAGGTTCTCACGCCTATGTCTACTCAGTGGTACATTGATATTTTACGGAATGATTGCTAATAATCTATAGAACGTCTTCAGGATAAATCAAGCCTAGTATGGGGCTTTGCTCTTTCTTTTACACATGCGGCCCAAGCTACAAAACAAACACTTGTACGCTAAACAACAAGAGTCGATGCAAGTTTGCGCTTGCACGGACGGTACCAGCACCATTCAGCAGCAACGATGAGAATGACGACGACCATATAGAAGATTTCAGTCCGACGCCAGTCTTATTTGTGGAGAGGTAAAAAAGATGGAGATGGTAGCGCTATGCATCTAGATGGATACGATGACAATGCGCCAGTACATGCGCAGGAAGCCGCTCCGAGTATAGACATCGAAGTTAACGCTCCCAGACGAGAGAGACCGAAATGGTGCGTATCGACGAGAGGGATTTGGCGTGGCCATCATCAGAAGAGATCAAACGGGACGCGATATGTACCTCGAGCGAAGAGCACTTGCTCTGCCGCCCATAAAAGCCGAGCAGTGGGGCACACGATGAAAGCAAGGTCAAGTTACTGAACTTGGATGGTGCGGTTAGGCTTAGTTAGCGCAGTCCCCAATACTAATCTCTGGGTGAAGTGCTGTATTCAGACGACATTTGGCAGTCAACAATATAGAGTGCGCGTATTGCCGTGTTACGCAATGCGTTGCCTTATGCAAGAGATGGACGTAAATTCCTGGGGTGCAGTACCTGACCAGGCCAAAGAACTTGTCACTACGCTAGCGTGATATTTCTGTCAATATGAGTCCGTACTTACATATAGTAGGTCTAGGAGCCCTCAAGAGTAGAAGTGGGGTTGTAAATCTCACGCAGATATCTCTACAACGCTAAACCAAATTGTATCCAAAAGCTCTTCAGCTTGTTATCGACATAAGTTTTACATGAGGATCTACTCTAAAGCCATACCGGCTGTGTCTCAAATGTACAACTCATTGTACAATTCTACAGACTAGCAATAGCTCAACAGGCTGTCCTAGGGCGTAAACGCTGTGTAAATGTCTTCTTTCAGGCATTTATCTGTCCTCGGTATCGTTATGCACGGCTAGCTACCAAGTTCTCATAAGGCAGCTTTGGATTGAACAATAAGATCACTCGTGATATAAGCCTCCTCGGGTCGATAGGACTGGAGTAGAGTGAGGACGTTGTCGTTAACCGCTAGCGGGACATAGAACCAAAAACTTCGCGCATGCGTCCACCTATTTCCCGACATTCTTAAGCTTTTGTTAATGTTCCGTTTGCTCCCACCCGCAATATAATGGGGGTCTCCTCCACGAGTCCTACGCTCACCTCTTGTCCTTCACTCACTTTCACCTCTGCACAATCGTGAACGTACAATACACGTAAAACTTCCTTCTCACTTACTCTAGCACTTTATTATTGTGTATATAGTTGAAGCTTGATGATTGTTTCCATAGACCTAATCGTAGTAAGGCACACGCCGTGTGGTTCAGCTGTAATCAGTTGTCCTCATGGATACGCACTGAACAGTTTAGGTCTATTACCTTTTTGCTCCTAATGAGGCCTGAGTTCGACTCCAGTACTAATCCTTTTCAATTTCAATTTTGTCTATTTTTGTGTGTGTCGGCGTGAACGGCAGCAGCTCAGTGTTGTAGGATAATATTCACGATGCAAACTTAATATTAAGTCTGAAACCGCGACAAGAATTGGGGAGCCTGCATGCCTCCACTACGCTTTGAGTGCAACGGTTATTTGACGCTCAGCCCCAACGAGTACGCGCACATTAGCAACAACAATAAACAAACAACAAAAGCCTAAATTCACTTTACCCCGACTTTTATCTTAGCGAGCTCGCGCCGTACACAGCACATGTACCTTAATCCTAGTTAACCCTGTACATATAATGCAGAGTTTAGAATCCTACAAAGTCACTCAAAATCTGCGAGGTAAGTGTCAGTGCACCACCCTGCGGTGCTCCGCAATCGCAGTCTGCGCAGTCTGCGCAATCATGAAGTCTATGTTCGGACGAGCCGTACGTAGTCCTGTATTTCAGATCGGTTGGTACGTGCTGGTCAAGATCTACTGTAGCTTAAGCAGCATCGCTAGTGTCGAAATTAGATCTAGATATTGCTCTTCCTATCTACGGAAACGGTCCAGTCCTTCTGCACGGCAATTCCATTCGCTGGCGCTCCCTTCGATGTGGTGTTCCCACTGTCGTCGCTTAACCGCATCATTTCTATTTCTGTCTGGTTTTGCCCATGTACAGCATCCACGATCTTAAGATCTTCCTCACTATCTAGCTTAGTGAGCCCGCCAATGGTTGAAAACAAGCCGCCAGTTGCCCCTTTCTTACGCGGACGGGACTTCCGCGAATTGTCGTTGCTGTTGTATTGATGGGAAGGGTACCCGCTACTGGGTCCAGGCGATTTGGCGTCTGATATGCGGGAGCCATTAAAGGAGAAAAGCCTATTGAGGCCGATGAGAGAAACAGCGGGTTTGAGACTGGGGAGGCAGGCGCACGAGAGGCCGATGTTGATTTCGACAATGGACCAGACGATAATCTCGCGGAAGTTGTAAGTTAGGTCTCCGGAGGTGGCGATTGGTATTTGGAGGAAGATAATCAGGCGAACCATTGAAACGACAGCGATGAATGTTCCCAGGACAAACATTCCGGCTAGAATTAGTCGTTGTCCGAGCGGAGCATGAAGGCGCCAAACGTAGGGCAACGGCATAGCCACTATGATGATATCGAGGACAACATTAGGCACCGATCCTCCCAAGTATATCGACCGAATTGGGATGCACTTTGCACCTTTCATGGTGATGTCCCATGCTGCCTGGACCGGTACGCAGTTGAAGATGACACAACACAGCTAGGGTGCCTAATGTAAGTGTTTGCTGATCAAGCTGCGGTAAAGGTACTTACAATCGCGATGAACCATGCTACGCACGCAGCTGCCACAATCCATATTGCTGTTCTTGCGTGGACGGAGAACAACCGCCAATAAAATGCGAGCACTGCGAATTTAATGCATGCGATTGCAAATGTGTAGAAGATCTGGGCAATCCAGATGCACTTCAGAAAGTCGATAATCATCAGAGGATTGGGGAGGCTGTCGACATGTCGCCCGAGCATAGATCTCATGCCTACGTAGTACAAGTTAACATGCCGTAATACTCCTAAACAAACGCAGAAGACTTACCGATTATGCAAGTATAGAAGAAGCCATTAGCTAGGAGAAGGGCGACCACGGTCATAATGTCATCCAGACCGATATTTGCCCAGCCACCTGCTTTTTTTCGACACCAAATCTTGAGCGGAACGAGGAGCATAACAAGCACGTAAGTAGAGCAGGCCACGCCATCAAGGCGGCGAATGTAGGCGTCACTGGCGGCAGTCAGCGCTTGTTTGGAGATGTATGCCTCCCCGAAAAAGATGAACGAGCACTGGATACCATGTTTCAAGATACAGCAATCGACCACTTTTCAAGCTGCAAGTCAAGGGATAGGATTGTTACTTACACGCTTTCTTCAGGGTTGATCACTGGTGCCATTTCATTAGAGCAGCCTCGATAGGCCTGACACTGGTTGAACGGGAGTAGAGCAAGACTAGGTCTTTAAACTAAGAGTGGGGAGGCTCGAGGAGTAGTAAATGCGCTGTTTTGGACCTGGGCCACCTAAAATGACTGGGTAATGGGCAGGAGGTGCTCCCAACACTCCAACGACTATCATCCACAGCGACCAAGCTCGACAATCAGACCGGCGTATACCGTTCTTAGGTTGTGAATTTGATGCATGCGTGCTTGAGAAGCTGCTACCTTGGATATGGTGCCCTCGCTTGTTCCGGCCGGCATAAAGTTTGACTAAACGAATGCAAGTCCAGGGATGATCATCCTTCACCTGCTAAACGGGCGTACTACGGACCGAAATTAAATTACTATGGTCGATGAAGCCGGCGGCAGCTCGGAAGACCAACACTTTCGCGGGCAATCTAGCGTTGTGAAGGCTTTTTTGGTGCTGATCGAAGGATCTATTGCCAGTTAAGGGTGTGTCCAACCTGCATACACGCGCTGCTTTTATTTTATCTGAGGGAAGTCTGAGGCGGGCTCGGTGCGGCTCGGTGCGGTACGTTAGGGGCTGACCCCACGTTGCATGGGCTAAGCAGGGGTGAGGCTTGTGCGTGGTGTTCACAGGCTTCCGCACTCGATTAGCCTACTCGTTCTGCTAGGGTTTGAACACCTATTATGAAATATTTGATACTTCCGTTCTGTCATTGTCAACGCAAGAACATCTTTTGTGAAATGACAGTGATGTCCTGCGCCGGTGCATGGCAAGAGAACCGCGGCTCGTGCTATCGCCCAACCCATGTCATTTTCGTCTCAAGCGTGTCGCGGAAGTCCTAACCCGCGCTTCCGCCCCATGTTGTTATCAAACTTTGTAGGGAAGATCCGCGAGGTGCATGTTATGCCTACAGGGTGTTTAGACGTCGGCTCGCATCCCTGTACTTTTCACTCCAGCCAGAGGGCCTACATTATCTGTTCGTGAAGTTCTGATTTGCCCTTCACCTGCTAGGTTGCGACCGATGTCCAAACCCTTGTAGAGTATGAGCCGCGTCTGAACCCTTTCTTGCAGCTTTTAGGCCAGAAGTCGCCTTCTCCATGACCCATGACTGGTTCAAACTGGTTGAGTTCGTTTGGGTACGAATCGACGTGCATATACGGGCCGGCTAGACAGACGAAGGGCTCTTTCTCGGCAATAGGAAAGCTGCGTCAAAGGACGACAACTAGGTTGCCTGCAATTGGAGTGTTCAGCTGAGGGATACCCAAGTGTACGGTTCCTCTGGACTCTTCTCGCACCCCCTTTCTTTCCTCGCATTCTTTGGACCATTCTCAACATGACTCTCCAAGATCAGCTGGGCGAGATCTCGTATCCCAGTATTTGGTTGCTGGGAACGTCTCTGGCCCTGTCCTATGTAGTGGTCACCGCTATATACAGGCTACATTTTCATCCTCTTGCAAAGTTCCCAGGGCCGTTCTGGGCTCGCTTGACTGTGCTCCCATCATGGTGGCACACCCGCACCGGGGACCGCCACATCTGGCTTTACAGTCTGCAGGAAAAGTACGGTGGGTACAACAATGCCCTAACGAGATGGGTAGAATGCTGAGATTGTATAGGTCCTGAGTTCCGCTACCGACCCGACAGCGTCTTAATCAACACTCCATCTGCCTTCAGAAAGATCTTTGGTCCCGCTGGAAACGTGAGGAAAGCCGATTACTACAAAGTATGGCCGCGCAACGTCGATACACATAATACGTGGAATGCAACAAGCATAGAAATGCACTCGCGTAAGCGGCGGGTTATGAATTATGCCTTCTCTGAAAGCGCTTTGCGATCAACCGAAGGGTTTCTCCATACCAATATCGACCGATGGCTTGAGCTGCTTGGATCGTTGGCTGACAAGGACGGCGAATGGACACCATCTTTGAATATGTGCGACTGGATGAACTGGCTTGTCTTCGACATTCTTGGAGATTTGTGCTTCGGAAAGTCGTTCGATATGAAAGAGCTAGATAGCAAGCTACGGCATGTGCCCGAGATGATGATTGGTTTCTTGGAGATAGTTCACCCTGTGAGTGACCCACATTCCAGTCACACTGTATCAAGGCCTAATGTTGTAGATTGGATGGAGCCCGCTCGGCTCAGCTTGGATTTGGCTGAAGCCTCGCGGCCTCGACTGGCTCCTGTCGGTTGCCTCGCCACCAGCCATAGTGCAGTGGCAGAATTTTGTAGACAAATGCCTGGCAGATCGCACACGTGTCCAAGAAGACCTAGAAAGAAACCCAAAGCCGGATAATGAAGTCCGAAAGGATTTCTTCTATTGGCTCTTTAAGGCTGATGACCCCGAGACTGGCAAGCGTGGCTACACTTTGGACGAGCTCTTCGGCGAATGTGAGCTACTGACTATTGCTGGTTCCGACACAACGTCCATCGTTCTTTCGGGGGCTTTCTTCTACCTCACGCGGCGACCAGATGTGCAGGCTAAACTCGCCAAGGAAATTCTCTCGACCTTCTCAAGCTATGATGAAATTACATCTGGTAACAAAATGATGTCGTGCAAATACCTCACCGCTTTCCTCGAAGAGGCCCTGCGGATGACGCCTCCCGTCTCCGCTGAGCCAGCCCGTAGAGTTCTTCAAGGCGGCACGACTGTGGACGGCCATTACATTCCCGAAGGACTTCACGTTAGCACCGGCTTGTACTGCCTCAGCTTCGACAAAGATGCCTACCCTGAGCCTTTCACCTTCCGACCTGAGCGTTGGATTGTATCCGAGGACAAGACCGTTGGCTCTTCCGAAGAAAGTGTCGCCGTAGCCCGCAAATCTTTCTGCGCTTTTTCCGCTGGTTCTCGCGGTTGTGTTGGAAAGAATTTAGCCTGGCTGGAGATGCGTATCGTTATCGCTAAGGCCTTGTGGATGTTCGAAGTGAGGGCTGACCCAACCAACAAGCTTGGAGGAGGCGACCCGCAGGGCAAGCCAGGAAGACAGCGTGAGAATGAGTATCAGACGTATGAGATGTTTGTATCGAACCGGAAGGGTCCGATTGTTCAGCTGAAGAAGAGGGCTCACTGAAGGCTATCGTCTCAACAATTTTTTGGTGTTTGCAGGTACCATCGCTTATAGCACAGTTACCCATCAACGGGTTACCTTTCATGTCAAGAGAGCTAGCAGATACAAGTATTGGTGTTTGTGACGAGTTTAGCACATGAACATGAAACCTTATGTAACCGCTTGTTGCATATGAACTAGTATGCGTGTAACAGCATTGATGTTGTTCCAAGTTATGTGATCCTCATAAAGGACCGACTGCAAGCGCATGCGATACCAACGCGATCTTTCCTCGCAGTGGGACGTCGCAGTAGAGTAATAGCAGCCAACAGGATGAGGCAAGCGAATGTGGATATCGTTACACATCACAACAAGCGATGGCAGTGTTGTGGATGCCTGATACAACGCACTTTCGTCTCACGCCGAGCTCATGTGTGTATGTCGATTGTCTCGATGGACGCAGAGCGACAGGATAGGTGTAGGAGAGTGAAAACATTGGTGTTGGAAGCACAAAGGGCGGGAAATGGTGAATGTTCTTGGCGGATCGACATACTAAACTTTAGGCGCGGTGCCTCGGGGTCCTCGGGGCCCAGCCCTGCAAGTTCTGAAACCTCTTATAACCCTCCCTGCGTAATGCACCGCTCATATGTTGATCAGTTGTAAATTACATCGAAACAAGTCAACGCGCACACTTTGAACTAACATGGTACGTGGGGAGCCCGGAAAACTGTGCTTTCCGTATCCGAGACAAGTCATACAAAGTTTCAGATATGACAATGACGTGTTATCACGTATGTATAAAAATAAGTCCGTTAAGGAATTGCTAGGCCATTTATCAGCATCTATGGGTCTGTCTCGTCCATCCTTCCGATATCCCTGTATCGAATTCAGCCGCATAACCTGGTACTTCCCTTGGTTCGTTCACAGTGCCCCCAAGCAATGTGATATGATACCCTTCGTTAGCGAATGATTGACAGAATCCCGTTGCCGAACCTTGCACATTCCCCGGTTTATCATCTTTACACCCCCACAGTTTTATAACCTCTGGGGCAGGTGCCCCATTGCGACGGAGCATAAAGGGATTCACAGGTATCATCATGATTTGAAGTAGATGCCAATGAGTCCGATGATAGGTGATGAACGAATCAGATCATGGCGCAGGGCGGATCGGAGTCAACTACAATAAACTATACATGAGCGCGCCTGGTGATCATAACAGCAGTCAGCATTGCTTGCTCGACCAAGGCTGTAAACCCTGCCTCCTGCAACTGCGATATGTATCAATTCAGAGATGGGGTTGGTACTAGGCATTGAATGAATGAAGAGTGTATAATCATTTTGATGAGGATGAATCGATGTGCAAGAGACTCGCGTGGATTGGTGAGCATCGTTGATTGACGTTTATGTTCATCTGAGGTAATCCAAGTAACAGAAATGTCTCAAAAGAGAAACTATGGCGAAGCCTAGGCTCTCATGACCCCCACTGGCGACAAAAGCCAACCCGCATTATAAGGCCACGCAATCTAGCCTTCAGAGTTCAAGGCCAAAATATCGTGAATGACGCGGACAGGCGGACGAATTCTTCTCCATACGCAGGTATTCTGTCCACAAGGGCAGTCTACAAGCAGGTTTAACGCTCATTATGTTGTCTTCCCTGTACATACAGCTGCTTCATCTATCGCGTCTGTGGCCTGCAGATCTCTTCGTGTTTCTACCCCCTGCTGTATCATGCTCTGTAGGTTTGATAGTCCGTTTCCACATACAAATCCATGGAATGCCTGTTCGGAACCTGAACTTCGCCTTTCGAGGTGCTAGAGTAGATGTCTCACACAGGAATCAAAGCCAATATGCCTTATAAGGAACTATCCCCTTTGCTGGCGAACCGTCGTTGGAGCGAGACGAACAAGGTCGAGTCGTCTTTCTGCTGGCAGAATTATACTCACCATGAACATCTCCAACCCCCGTCGAGTATCCTATTTGCGAGCTTCAGCATATGGGCCGGATATTTCTGTTCGCCCACGTTCGTTCAATGTCGGCAACTTCCACTCTGTTGATTTCATTACCTTCAAAGCCGCATGCGAGGCCGAACGCGCCGCGAAACCCGATTATGTGGACATCGAAAGTGTCATCGAACCGATCCCTCGTCCCGATTCTCGCGAGAAAATCCGCCGCATGTTCACTGTCTATCCATATCGCGACATGGGATGGCTTGTATCGATTGTGTTCATGCTCGGCAGCATCGCGTTCTCGATCAATGCTGGGGTTGCATTGCTTATTGCAAAGGATCCGAGTGCTGCCTCCGCCGAAAAAGCCACCGTATCTCTGGTGTCAATTAGTACGGGCAGCGTGCTGTTCCTACTAGTCGGCTTCATGGGCCTATTGACGGCATTCAATGTTGATCGTAGGGTCATTGACCTAAAAGTGGATGATGATGGGGCTTATAAGCCGGCTCTGATTGGAAGCAGTGAGTGGGTGTGGTGGCCGACGTGGCTCGAATTGCGCACTGTATACTTGCCAAACCTGGCATTTCGAGCAGGTCTCGTCCAGCTGGTGGGTGGTATCGCCTTCACCGTTACGGCTGTCGCGGGTCTACCTGGCGTTATCGACCTCACTGATCCTTCGAAGATCTTGACTTTCATATCTGCGCCGCAAGTCATTGGTGGCTCTATGTTCCTATGCGCCAGTCTAATTCTCTTGTTCTTGGCGCAAGACAAGTGGTATAGGCCGAAACCATTAGACGCAAGTTGGCAAAATGGCATATGGAACACAATAGGTGCGATAGGGTTTTTTACTGTGGGACTCATCTCAGTTCTAGCGCCAGCGCAGGCTGTGGCATCTGCTTCCCTTTTTCTTCTTGGAGGCGGGAGCTTCTTCATTGGAAGTCTGATTCAGTGGTATATGATCATGGAGCACTACCCATCCTAAATTTGGTCATAGATAGACACGACTCCCCACCGTACGCGGCAACACCAATTAAGGATGTAGCGAAATGCTCTCGGTGGGTTGTTTGGAGCCTTATAAACGAAAAAAATCAGTTGTCGATAGGATAATAATAACAATAATGATAATAATAATAATAATAATAATAATAATAACAGACTGTTGTGCATTAGAGTACAGCAAAATAAGGGATAAAGCCTTTGTGATCAGCGATTTGTAGTCATTTAAGTGGGTTCAACCATACATGATGTTCTCGAAGTGCTCATCCATAACAAATATATTTAGAGCACTTCCTCTCTTGGTCGGCATTTGTCTGGACGGGGGCGATGTTTAGCATGGCGGTATGGGGGCTACCGTGACGTTCAAGCCGTGGCTATACTTCCTTTCCCACTGTATAATGATCCCCAAAGAGGTTGACTTCAGCGGTGGCATCTACCATGTGGTTTCTAAGCGCAGGCTCGGATGTGGACCGTCGCGATTCCGTGTGCGACTCAGCGCATGCTAAGGAAACATCCCAGCAACTAATTTTGCCGGGGCTTCTTCGGACGCTTGACGTTTTGCGAAGCGGTGTTGCCCTTAGCCTAAGCAACTACCCGGCGCCGAGTCCCTAGCCCTATCCCACTAATTACTCACAGCAGTAATTAGCTAGCCTGTATAGGCAAAAGATCGTTATCTTAAACTCGCCCTCAAAAGTCATTGACGTTGAGACACACCACGCGTGCAAATTTCGTGTCTCAAAATCCCCGTTACAAGCCCGAAAGCAGGGAAGTAAGGGGTGAGTGGGGCAGACACGTTTTGTTTAAATCTGTGCTGTAGAGTCACCACTTCATTTTGCTATCATCAAACTTTCTTCCCCTTCGAGAATCACCCCCCACGCATTCATCATGAAGATCGCCATTGTAGGTTGTGGCCTTGCTGGCATGTCAACATATCTGTCCCTCCGCAAATTCCTTCCTGGCGACCACGAGATCATTATCTACGAATCACGCAAGCCACGCCCTGTCCAAGATATAACAGCTGGGCCTCTCGACAGCAGAGAAGCAGTGGCACCACAGGGTGGTGCCATCGGAATCTCTGCAAATGGAATGCGCGTTCTGCACGACCTCGACCCTGCAGTCCATGTAGCGATCCAGGAGCGTGGGTTCGCACATGATACACTTAAACTGAGGAGTTCCAGTGGTTGGGACTTGGACGTTGTGTCAAGGATGGAGCGAAACGATGACATCACCATGATCATGGCCAGACAGGTTGTATGGCAGACGTTGAGGGATACAATTCCCGATCACCAAGTCGTCGTCAGGAAAGTAGTCAAGGTTCTGAAGAGGGGCCAAGCAGGCAACTCGAAGCCAGTCATCACGTTTGCAGATGGCGAATCGTTGGAATTTGACCTTGTCATTGGCGCCGATGGAGTACACAGTACTGTGCGAAAACAGTTCTTTGGTGAACAAAGCGCCGGTTATCCTGCAGTATTTTCGTAAGTTGAGTTGCAGACACGTCCTTGGACGCCGGCACGACTCTGCAGTAGAGTTTGCATTCTTCAAAAAGATTGACACAAGAAGTATGGCTTACATCCTTTTTAGGAAACGATGCGGAATATGGGGCTTCATGCCAATGACCATCCCGAAAGAAGTGACGGAGAGAAAGTCTGTCGTAATCGTACTCGGTGACTCTGCCTCTATGGGTTACAGTGCTTACCGTCCCACCAACGAAGACTCACTTACATGGTGGTCTTTGTATGAGACACCAGAACCGCCTAGCTCAAAGGAAGTACCTCCCGAGTTCGTATCGAAGCTGCTCCACGACATGTACGGGGATTGGGCAGAGGAAAATGTACAGAAGATTTTGAAGAACGCCTCGGCGCCTTTCATCTATCCGATCTGGACAGTCCCTGAACTCCCCACGTGGGGTGATGGAGGTGTCGTGCTTGTCGGAGATGCCGCTCATGCTATGACTCCGGACATTGGCCAGGGGACGAGCCAAGCTTTTGAAGACTCACAAGCACTTGGCAAGGTTCTTGGCCGTGCACTGCAGGTGAACGGCATTTCTGAAGATGGTGCTATTGATTTGGCTGTGAAGGGTCTATTCGAATGTCGACAGCCCCGTCTTGCGAAGATGCACGTTCTCAATGAACAAGCCAAATCAAAAGGTGTGAAGCGGAACGTATGGGTATCCAGATTCATCATCTTCTGCATCTGGCTGATGCCGAAGTTTTCGTGGTTACGTAAGTTATCGAATTCCGTGACGTCATTGGATGCGATCGATGTGCTAATTTTTCCAGGTAACTTGTCTTTTGGCGGAGGCCATGATACGGATGAGATTCTCTATGGTTGGGATGTGGATGAGGAGACGCGAAAAGTGGTGGAGAAGTCGAACAAGCCGTTGTGAGAGCTCCTATGTTGGATCAAGAGCGCCCTTTTCCGTTTTCTTTTTTGCGTAGTTAGAGTCGTCTATAGTGTGGCAAATTGGATTCGTTTATATATCAGGATTATCTGGTTTTGAACCGTTCTGTGATGTCTCAGTACTGCATGGTTAAAGGTCAACCAACGTTCTGTAACGAATCTTTGTCAGCGCTACAAGGAGACCATTATGTTCAGAGCATTTGGTTCCAGACATTGGCGTTGTCGTTCTTATTTGACCGGGTACGATCAAAGCCGACAGCTGTACCTATATCAAAGGGCGTACTCATTACGGTCTAGGCAGTCATAGTTCTCAAATACTTGATAACACTGAAACAAAATCCGCAGTTATAATGCTTTGGAACGAGGCACAGATTCTGGGCGGTATAATACAACCACACTAACGAGTAATTTGACGCACTCCAAATGCAGACTTTTCCTTCCCTTACCAGCCTCTAATATGTGTAAAACATATTCTAGTACCCGTTGCAGAGTAACCAAGTCCCTCTAAGCATGTCATAACAAGCAGTACGAAACAAGGCTTTACCGCACACAAGACAGCCCTTAAGTCAAACATCATGAGAAACCCGGTAGCGCATTTATCATGCTAGTAGTAAGAGTTCGCCCGAGAATGCATGACCAACCCACTAACGCCTATCGCAATGCCAACCGCAAGGTTGAACACATAAACTGGCTCGTTACGGCCTTTACTTCCCCCCAAATATCCTCTTGATATCCGCAAACTTAACTGGCTTGACCAAATATGTGTCTACACCCGCCTCGTACGCATCCTTTTGATCTTGTCCGCTGGCGAGCCCTGTCAATGCCACAATGTGGCTCTTGGGCAGTCCATTCTTAGTCTCGAATTGCCTGATCTGATGTGTACTCGTAAGCCCATCCATAATAGGCATACTGAGGTCCATCAATACGAAATCAAAGGGGCGGGTAGGCGTGGATGTAGCCTGTGCTTCCCGTTTGTATGTTTCCAAGGCTTCGAGACCATTCGTAGCTTCGGCATAGCGCAGACTCTGACGCTTGGCGAAGACCACGAGGAGCTTAAGGTTTATCGCGTTATCGTCGACAAGGAGGACACGCGGGTTGAAGTACTCCCCGCGTTCGGTTCGTAGCGGGCTTGTGGGAGTGATGATGGAGGGGAATGGCCGTGGTAGTGGCGAGTCTTGAACTCCGCTACTAATCATAGTTTGTTTCGAAAGGTCTTGTGGGAATGCATCGCTCAAGCTCCGCTGCACTAGGGTGTTGGGCACAGCGAGAGGTCGGTGTTGCTGAACTACGAAAGTGCTCATTGAACGCGAAAGTGGCCTCTCGCTGTTGTCCTGTGAGGCTCGCTTTTGGCATTGTAGAAGCGCTCGGGCAAGTTTGCGTGGTCCGCAGCTATTAGCTGCATTAGAAATTTCCCTCAAAGATGTTCAAAGCACCTGAAGAAGCACTTACGGTTGCGCAACAATCTCCGCTATCCAACCTAGCGCTTCGATCTGCCGTCCAAGCCGATTTTCTATCGCTGTCCTTTCTGCAGTATCCGTACAGATACAAACCACAGACAGCGGTAATTTGTTGACTCGATTTGCACTCGGTTTGAGGGTCAGCTGATCAAGAGATGGCGAGTCTGTGAGTAGAAAATCGACACCAGCGATCGATGCATCCGCATCAGAGTCTTTCGAAATCTTCATCTTAAAACCTTGACATGCATTGAACATCGACTCTTTGGTTTTGACACCACGCGCACCACCGCGGGTGTCTGGCTCGCCAATGATACTAACGGTTGCGCCTTTGAGCGTCTTGGGAGCGCGGAGAAGATCGTGATCTTGAGCATTGTCGTTCCGTACAGTCGGCAATCGCATCGAGATTTTGATGGCGGTACCGATGTGGACTGTGCTTCGCACGTCAATCTCCCCCTTCAAGCTTTCAACTATCTGTTTGACAATGCTGAGACCGAGTCCAGTGCCAGAACTGAAAGGGTCTTCTTGGCTGAATGGAGAGAAAAGCTTAGTTCTCTGGTATTCACCAGACATTCCACGACCACTGTCCTCGACAGTCAGGGACAAATCGATAGAGCCGGGGGTACTGCTCGACTGTAGCATCTTGATGGCAATGAAGCCCGAGTCAGTGTATTTTAGCGCATTTCCGAGGAGGTTCATGACGATTCGCCGAAGAGCCCCAGGCTGCGAGCGGACGATCCAGCTAACATCCGGTTCCACAATGAGCGATACCGCTACTGACCCGTGAGTGTCCCTGCCTGCCTCAATGGTGGCATGGTTCATGTCGCCTTTTGTGCTGTTGGCGTCCACGCTTTCAGCCTGATCGTAAATTGCGGACCCGCTGATGTTATGGGTTTTCCGGAAGGTATGGCCAGTGCAGACTGTGTCGCAAACCTCCTCAACCAATTGCGCCAAATCGAACTCGGCTGTAACGCCAAGTATGGAGTTGTCAGCCGGTAATTTTCTTGACCGGCCTTCAACGCGATTTTTCCGCCTTGATGCTGCGCTTCGCAGTTTGTTGATTTTCGCGTAATCAAGAACATGATCGATAGTGTCGAGCAATGTCTTTCCACAGATTTCGATAGAAGATACGAGGGACTCTTGATAAGCCGAGGCTACTGTTTCGCGAAGGAACTCGACAGAACCGAGAATACCATGGAGGGGAGAGCGCAGCTCATGGGATATAGACGCGATAAAGGTTGTCTTGGCACGATCAGCTTTCTGTGCGCTTAGACGTGCCACTTCGCTGGTAATACTGTTCCCAAAGGCTTGGAGGTAGGGAAGTTCGTTCTCTGGGCTCATCAGTCTTCCGGCTTGTGTTGTCCAAATAAAACCTCCTGCAACCCATCGTTCGGAAGCAGGATCCCAGAGAGGTAAGAAGATGAGCGTTCGCACGTTGGGTAACACCCTGAGAAACTCGGTAGGGATGAACTTTTCTCTCTTTTTCTTTTGTTTTCTTGCGCCACTTGTTGTTGTTGTTGCGGATAAGGTGTGGTCTGATTGATCGGTTTCAGACCGCTCAGACTTCTCATCAGAACTGTTGACCCCGACGCCTTCTTCATTATAGTTGAAAAACTTGCCATGTGGATAGCGATGAATATACCGCTCCATAGCCGTATCGGTAAAGGCAAAGTCAGTATGCACCAACGCTGCATTGCCCTCACGTAACGAGAGGCCAGCTACAGGGCAAGGCTTGCTGTTTGTGGTCGAATGATCGTTTGCACCTTCGGCAAAATTAGTGTCCTGTTTTTTCTTCCTCCGTGAAGTAGTGGTGGAGTCGCCGGTGTCGAAGTCAGTAGTATTGTTTTCATCGCTGCTAGCCGCTTCACGGCTGGCGTCGTGGAGATGGACTTTGATGCTAGCTGTAGAGGTATCAAAGAATACGACACCGTCGGCCTCAGTACTCTGGCGCATGATGCGTGCTGCTCGCTGGAAAATGCGAGCTGTATCTGACTCGGCATCACGTTTACGCAAAGCTTGTCTATTTGCGGCTTCAAGCACTGTGACGGCCGGATTCTCTCCATCCTCTAGTGTCTCAAGACGTGCATTCTCAGTCTGTCTCTCCATAGTCGTGGGCCTAACGCCAGAATCTTCGCGTATGTCCTGGGAAGAAGAATGCTCAATAAACTGAGTTAGGCCGCGGACCATGCGCTCGCCCTTGCTACGGTCGAGGCTGTTCTTGGCGAGTTCGAGATGTTCCATCACAGCAGAGGCTACGTCTTGCATGAAGCGCAAGTCGGCAGCACTGATGCTTTCACGTGGTCTCTCATCGGAGACGGCATAGACGCCGATTCGGTGTCCTGCCCTCGTAATGATAGGCACTCCAGCATAGAAGCGAATACCAGGCTCACTCTTGACATAATCTTTGTCGGAAAATCTAGGGTCCGACCTGCAATCAGGCACAACCATACATTCAGCAGTAAGTGTTTCTCCATTATCTTCCTTTGCGGTATATGTTGATTTGAAGGTATGAAAGCAGATGGCGTCGGCCTTGTTCAGAATGGCATTTCCAAGCCAGACTTGATCCTCTGGTAGTTCGGCGGTGGGGGAGAAGAGAGACAGGGTTCGGGTCGCCTCAGCCAGGATGTATTGTCGGTGGGAGTCAATCAGGGACACCATGGCGCGTCGAGCGTCTAGACGGAGGGCAGCGAGCTGGGCGAAAGCAGTCAAGCTCCTGTCCTTTGAGGTCTGGGGCCGATAGCCTGCGTAGGTGAGGCTTTTCGAGCCGCCAGCAGCATCGAGAAGGGTTTGTGCATCGAGCCATGGGCGGTAGTATCTAGACCAACATAGTCATATAATTAGTTTCTTTTCCCGCAGGCGCACATGCGTACGAGGCCATTACATTTACTGACCTGTGCAGATCACGCTCGCGGGCAGCCTCGAGGTAGGGTAAGGGCATGGTGCAGGGCCAGCTACATCAATATGGCACGTCACGAAGGCGCTATCGAGTACAAGGAGGCAGCGAAGGCGGGACCCAAACTCTATTTGAGCCGGCGGCTGTTGTTCAAAAGCGTTCCTGGCTCCCGCGGGCGGCCATGTGGACAAGACGTAACTCCTTCTGTGCTAGACGCCTTGAAAAGTCTGGCCTCTCACAGGGCTATGAGTCGTCAACCCCCCGGTCTATCATCTTGCAAACGCTATCCTGCAGCATCGAGAGTGGGCTGGATGCATCCTGGAAGGCGACGCCAGCGAGCATTGCAGGTTTCTCGTACGCCTTGGCCCGCCCGCATGAGTGCAGCCGCTCGCGGCGTGACGCGTGGAGAAATATTTTTGCCTGGCTGACCGGCAAGCCCGGCATGAAGACAGGTGCGCCGTTGTTGCAGCAAATGGAGACGATGGAGACGACGTCGAAGCAGATCTGGCGATAGTATGCGCATCGGAGAAACGCTTGGACCCCGTCGCTTATACCCGTCGACCAGGCCATGCGAGCCATGCGCGCCACCCAAACTTCTCAACTTCGTGTACGTGTGTTCTAGAGAGACGGCTGCATGCCATGTTCGAGCTACCAGGCGCAAAACGGTAATAGGGAAACTCCATCGTCGCCACAGTTGGTGTACTGACATGTCCAAGAGTCCGTCGCGATGAGCTCCAATCCCCCGCATCGTCACCGCGATCCTCGCCAGACCCCGCCCTAGAGGACCTACTACGCTCACAAATACGCAATGAATATGCCTTCACGACCGCTGAAATCGATACCACTGAGGCTGCAGAGGCTGCACACAGCGATGGAGAAGAAGAAGTGGAGCTGCGCCTCTTTGCTGCGACCCCCAACGCTCCTCTCCAGACCACCAAGATACGACTGTCTTCACCAGGCATAGGCACCGGGGAGCCTGGCTTCGTAGTGAAGAAACCACGAAGCTACTACTTTGCCGATGAGCCTTCAAGTGAAGAGGAAGCCGCGTTGCAGGCGGCAGCCATAGATGGGAAGACGGTGCTAGAGCTGTCGAGGGATCCATGGCCGGGTTGCGCACTTCCCTGGAAGGTGCGCACCATATCAGCAGCCGGTATGAAGAAGGAGGTGCTCATTGGTCATCCTCCGACTCTAGTCACGGTAGAAGAGGAGGAACACAAACGCAAAAGAAAGGGCAAGAAGACGAGGATTGCCCTCCGGAAGAAGCGACAGGCTACAAAGGAGAAGCAGGATGAAAGGGCCAGACTGGCTCAAGAGAAGGACGAGGCAGAGCGAGAAAAGAGAACACGGAGGAACAGAGAGAAGAAGGTCAAGAAGAAGGCCAAAGCGAAGGCGAAGAAGGCGTCAGACGGTGCCGTTGAAGGTGAAGCCCACGACACAGATACTGAGCAAGAAGCCCTTATGCATACTTGAATTCCTCATGCTGGAAAGCACACTCCACGGTGAGGCTTGTCCAGCGTAACGCAAACCTAGCTACGGCTAGAGTACTACATCGACCCACTGAACTTACTCTTTCACTCACTATCACCTGCCGGGTAGAGACACTTTCACTGGTGAACGTGATCTACAATCACCTGGCACCTAAGTTTCTCAACAACTACAACACGTTTCCGTCCACCCAGCCTCGGCTACTTAACTCGCCTATCGCTTTCTACAAAAACCATCAACATCACACAATCCAGCTTTTGGTCCGCTTCCAGTATGGATGCACCCGGTAATCACGACAGCATGGACGCCAATCCCAATACCACCGATGGCTCCAATGAAATGTCAGATATGACAACGCCCAACCCAAATCCCTTCACGTTAGAGCCGGCGCTACAGAATAATATGCTTTCGACTCAAGCTGCATCCTATGACACGAAAGAGCTAATGACTCGCGATCATGTTACCATGACGCAGGATGCAACGATGGAGGGCGTCGTCCAGGAAGCAATTTCGATTCCCATCGCTGACGAAAACATACTGCCTGACTCCGCGCATCTCAATGACACGACTGCTGCCTCCATGGAAGGGACAGATCAAATCATGACGAATATCAGTGAGAATGCAACACCCGACGAGGACTGGAGGGCTTCAGTAGACTTCGACGTCCCCGATTCCACGCAGGCGCGCATCACAGACCTTCCAAAAATTCAAAGTCTCTATGATGCGTATCACACCGCCTACACAGACTCAGCTATTACAAACGCCACGCGTATGAGGCATGCCAAAGCCCTTGCTTTCGTCCTTCTCAAGCACTACTACCCTTCGCAAGATTATGTCATCGAACCAAGCGCTCTGGGCCCAGTCGCAAAACGCCAGATGAACTTCATAAAGGTTGCAGATGATGGATCGGACGTGTGGCAAGATCTCCCTGCTAAGAAACCGGCCAAGAAGGGTAAAAAGAAGGGCAGTCTCACTAAGAAGCAGAAGGAAGCCGCCGAGATCGTCGCAAAGACGGACGAATACAATCACGGCTTGCGTTATGTTTCCAACCTACAGTGGGTCCGAATCGAGCCTGAGGACATTGCCGGCTTCGTCGTTCTACGCAAGGTCAAGAACACAGACAAGGAAACTGGTATTGGCAAAGACGAGTACCGTCCACACACTTACCTCGCCATCATGATCGATAACTTTGATGAACTGCCGCGCTTCTCCACAGCAAATACCACGCACCGCAGCGATGTCCTCGCCGATGCGCTTTGCATGGGATCAAAGATCCGAGACGGCTACGGTATCCTCCTCTACGGCGCCCGTATTGAGTTCTACCGCTACGAGCCCGGTACAGATTGGACTTACTACGAGAGTGACGATGACACCGCGAGCAGGACTCTCGCGGATGGAACCTTCGACGATGACGTCCAAGACATTGAGCCTGCTATGCTGCCGGTTTCGGATGAGGATGGAACCGAGGTCTTGGCGATGGACATGCGCACCACGAGTTTACCAGCGGTAGATGAGGGTTTCAAAAGGATTGCCACGATGAAAGTCACGTACGTAGATGACGTCGTAGACGTTGCAGTCAAGCAGCCCAGCTACAGGTGACAATGTAGAGTAGATTTTCGGAACATCGTGCAGGTCTCAGACATCAAATGCAAGTGGGGAGGTAGGAGCGATTCTTGCTAGAATCATTACTGCGGTAATCTGACCGTCTTGATGACTTCAGTAGGCTACCACGAATGCGTGGCTTGGTAGTTTAGCTCACTATAGGTCAAAATCCAGCACATACATATACCACAATAACTCTACTAAACCCTGCACGACCTCCATGCTTTTTTCACCTAGAACGTATATAGACCCTGTATCTTGAGCCCTGCGGCTCCTTCCACATGTGGCGCTGGGACTATCCGATCACTCCGGTACATGCGGGGCGTTACTCTACAGTAGGGCCGAATGCATACCATACTTTATAAATGGGTTCACAACTACAGCGCCTCGCACTTATCTTTCGACTTGACATTTCTTAACTCAGAATACGCTTAAACCCTGAATGACATGGAGTGGAATGCAGCATGTATAGTCGAAGATGCAGAAATAGGTTAAGATTGGACTATGGAATTCTATCTATCGATAGCAATGGAGTATGAAATAAGGGCAAACATACTACTCGCAATCTGAACATCTTGATACTAATAACCCAAGTCACTCATACTTCTCGTCTCGCTCACCAGGGACCACCCATACTTTGCGGGTACGCGCCTCCACTGTGCTGCTGTCCTTGTGCGTACCCTCCGCCTAGCTGCTGTCGCTGCTGATGCTGTTGCTGTTGCTGCTGGTACTGCTGTTGAGTGTACCCCGGATTCGGCACGCTCTGACCCTGACCCTGAGCATAGCCAGTTGTATAGCCCTGACCTTGCGCGTACATGGCCGGATCCATGCCCATGTCAATTCCCATACCCTGGGGTAGAGCTTGCATCTGCTGCGGATGAACCGCACCTTGATGCTGTGGCGCCATCATCATACCAGGCCCCTGCTGCTGATTCCCTCCATACCCATAAGTGCCCAAGGTCTGGCCCGCGCCATGGCCCTGGCCAAAGCCATACGTGCGGTTCGGCTCCGCCATGACCACACCAGTAGTCGTAGCCGCAGTTCCGTTCGCGATGGCCCCGTTCGCTTTGTCATTTGGAGCACCTAGAGTATACCCCCATGTCCCTTCTTTCAACTTCTCCTTGACGAACTTCACCTTGTCACCTACACCCTTCGGCATCTTACCCTCACACCCATCAATAGCCCACGAGCAGGCCTTCACGACCGCCTTCCACATGCCCTTTTCATACTCTCCGAGTTGAGGATTCCCTTTTTCCTGGCGCACGCGCTCAAGCACCGCCATCATCAAGCCCTGGATTCTATTCGTGACTTTCTCCAAGTTCTGGCTGGTGGTGGGAATGAGGGTGTAAAACGCCGCCGGATTCGACGGGCGAAGTTGGCCTTGCTTGAAGTTGATTTGCACCGGGGCGGCGACGTGGTAGTCTGATGCGGCGGGCGATGCTGGGCCTACTGCCAGGCGCGCAAAGGCTGGGACGCCATTACCATGACGAAGTAAGGCGAATGGACTGTCCGCGAGTTGAACGGTGTGGTGGATTGCCTTGTCCTGTCCTGCGGCCCTACACTTGCTTTTCTCGTAACTCTCCTTATTCACGCATATTCGCGCCCAGTGCTTTGCCTTGCCCGCGTCCAGGTTCTTCTGCACCATGCGGACGACATCGCTACCGTATTTGTTTTCGCTCGCCCCTCTGAGCTGGAAAGCGAACGTGACGAGTTCATCCTGTGCTTTGCCTAAGTGTGGCCGCGCGAGCGAGGGCGGGAGAAACGTGTTGATGTAGTATCCGTAGAAGTACATGTATGTACCCAGATACTCGAACGTAATCATCTGACTCGAGGAATCCAGGAAGATGATCGGTATGTTCAATTTTTTCGCATAGGATTCCATGCGTTCCAAGTCTGGTAATGAATTCGCTCGTCCAGCAGTCGAAGGCGTGACACCATTCGTCAGGTCTAAGCTCCCTGTGATAGTAATTGCAGAGATTACGGATCGAAGCGTGCTTGTAGTCGTGTTGATCCAATGCAGCAAGAACTGTAGGACCGGGCCGTGATGCCACACAACCCTCCTCTTGCTGCCCTCAAATCCTCCCATCATGAAGACGCGCTCAATAGCAACGTTGATGCGCTTGACTACCTTCTCAGACGCCTCTTTATTACCGGTTCCAGTGGGACAGATGTTATTGTTCCAGCCCTTGACGACAACGACCCTTCCAAACGAGCAAACCGTGCCCTCGAGGTGTTTCCTTCCTTCTTTCTCCGTCAAATACGCTGCCAACTCACAAATCCTCCTATAATTATCAATTCCACTTTTCTCCTCGGCGATTATGAGCATACTCCCTTCCTCCGCTGTGGCTTTGATATCTTTATTCTTTCGAACACCGAGGTCGCTTAGCTTGGCGATGACGGAGGTAAGTTGTAGCAGGTTATCGATATCAGCATCGGATTCCCAGACGTGGAGAACACCGGGGTCGCAAATCTTCTCGACAGTGGTCTTGGACGCACTCGCGAACGAGGATTTGTATTGTTCGGGCATGGACTGCACAGACTTGTTAAAGGAGCCAAGATCCTTGGACCAGGGCCCATTGAAAGATGCCATCTTGTGATGGCGCTGGTGTTGCTTGCGCCTGTGATGAGTTCCTGAGTGGTGGGTATGGTGAGGATGAGCAGGTCGAGTGGGCGTCTTGGACGTATGTGGGAGGATTTGCGGACGCGTGTGCAGTCGTGTTGGAGAGTAGCGATCGATGAAGCGATCGATATAGTTCATTGATGGGTAAGAGTCGCTGTGAAATTCAGAGGCGATTGCTCATATAGCATGCGAAGGCCCGCGTTTGCGTTTTGTGAGGGAAGTGAATGTACAAACCCACTGATGGGAGGGAGCGATGACGTGCACGACAGGAAAGTTGCGGAGATATAACACATACTGTGAAGATAGAGGATTTAGTTAACATTGAATGAGCGGAGCGTGAATTAGGAGAATTTGTTGCTCTCTGCCGTTGTGGTAAATGAAGTGTGAGATATGTACGGGTGAAGACATTTGAATCATCGATTGCTACCTCACCAAATTCAGTCCACGATACACCCCAATGCGCCACATATGGTATACCATCCAAACGCCAAGAAGCCAAAGAATCCTTGATCATTCATAATCACTTGCCGACTCCACCGCCATGCTCAATGACGATGCTTTTATCGAGCTTCTCTACCTTTCGGCTTAGTAAGGCGCGCAGCTCCGGGCTTATAACTCTTGCGTCTTCATCTGCTTCGCCGACTTGCTTGCCCTTATCGATACCGGATGTCGCTGCTTGCTCATTCGAGGTTGATGGGCTAGGGCTTGATTTTGGGTCTGGGCTTGGTACATCCACGGCTGCAAGCTTTCGTTGTCTCGCTTGTGGTGCGGAAGGGAAATTACCCTTCTTGTCGATTGTCTCCACTGTTCGCTGAAATCTCTTGAACAGGGACTCGGCGCGAACGAGTGTTGATTCTAAGTCCATGGTGCCGGAGAGTTCGTTCACTGGGAGAATGTTAGCACGATGATTGCGCAAACGAAAAAGCGGTGCACACTTACCATACTTGAGCACCTCATCGAAATGCTTGAGATGCGCCATAATCACATCTCGATGTTTCTCAAGAATAGCTAACGCAACGAAGATGTGGAAGTTGCTACTCTGGTAATCGGTCCACAGCGACTCCCACAATCGGAGGACATCTGCCCAGTCAAACTCTCGCTTGTACCAGACAAGTAACATTCGAAAGAAGAAGAAGAAGTTTGTTGATTCAGCGGACTGGAGGTGGACATAAAGCTTGGGGTCCATGAGCTGGACGAGGTGATCGAGTGTAAGGAGCTGCTTGCGCATGCCGGACTGATCTCGCAGGAAGTTTCGTTCCTGTGCACAGGTCAGATTCTTATACAAAACTTTGACTTCGTTACGAAAGTAACTTACCATTCGGTCCATGAACCCAACGAAGCCCCAGAAGGCAATGGCATCGTCCTGCATGACTGCATATATGGGTGCAAGTAGATCGCTCATACCTTGCACGTAGCCAAGATCTTTGTTGTACTCGTTATATGTGAGAAGCATGTCTTTCATCTGTTCAAGATGAACATTGGTGCCAACTTCGGCGAAGGGTGAGTCGGGGTCAGGGTGCGGAATGTCTTCTCCCGCAAATATTGGTATATTGCGATCTGTTCGGTGTACATCCTTCTCTACACAACGGACCCCATAGAATGGGGAAAAGTTAGCCATGCTGGTTTCAATGCTTTGACGAGTGATGGTACGAACCTATTCTGTTCTTCTGCTCTTTCCACCACTCCTCCTGTTCTTCATTTTGATGGCCTTCGATCATCCTCTCCCACCAAGCACCTTTCAGTCGGATATACTCGTCTCGGCGGCTGTTTAGGTTTGCGCGTCGCTCTTCTTCCGAACTATCCCAATCGTAAACTCCCAGGAGGAACAGCCAGGCCTCCTTTCGAACGCCATCATCTGGATCTAATCCGCCGTGGAATATCCGGTCTTTGACTTCATCTGGTTTCAGCTGTAGTCGGCCTTTTGGGTCGAAGAAGTCTTTCCATTCTTTGAGAGTCACGGGTTTCCTTCGATCAGCCATGGTCATTTTGTCCATGTCGAGAATCTCGAAGTCGCCAACATCGCTCTGCTCCATAGCCAAGACGTCCTTTGCAGTCCATATTCTCTGGTTTCGTTCACGCTCGCTTTGCTCGGCAATGCCCATAGCCCATCTTGCCAGATATAGTCGTGCGCTGTCGAACTCTTCCTGTAGTGTCTGTACTTCTGGGTTCTGAATCAATCGTCGGACCTGTGGTGGAATTTTCGGGTTCTCTGCGACAGCCTGAGCTGTCCTTCTCGTGAATGTCGTAACTTGGCTGAGTTTCTCGAGGAAGCTCCACCTCGCTTCTTTCAATGCCTTTGTGACAGGATCCATGCCACCGTCCCTCTTGCCAGCCTGCTGTGAAGACGAAGCATCTCCAGAACCTTCGGTACTTTTCCTCGGTGCAGCATCTCGGCCAAAGGATCGCTTGTCGTCTTCGGAGGGATCGATGAGGTATATACTCGGGTCGGCTCCAGAGCGCTCCACTGGGACATATCGCTTCAACCACCGCAAGACCTCGTCGCCGCCCCAGAACATGCCTCCCCCATCACCAAATGGATCGAAACTCTCCTTTGCAAGCTTCTTCCTTTGCATGATGGTAGACTGACATTCGCTGTCATGGAAAAACAGCGCCGGAAAGCTATCGCCAGCACGAGTGTTGACGACTACGCTTCCGAACCACCATCCTATACTCGGCGGTCGTATCAACACGGAGTATATCTCGCTGACGGGTAGAGCGAATGCATACCCGGGCGTTCCGGTATGCGTGGATGTTGTAGGCGGCGGAGGGACGAGGTATGATTGTCTCGGTGGGGAGGAGGAGTCTGACAGATCAACTTTGACGTAGGTATCGTAAGCATCTCCGAGGCCTGATTCGGGTATCCAGGCCAGGAGCAACGAAGACGCGTTGACGCTTCGAGCCGACGAAGAGGAGGTAGGGCGCGCATCGTTGGTAGTTCGTGCAGACTTCTGCTGCACGAGAGCTACGAAGCCGGGGATGTTATCTTTGGAAGAGGCCGAGGGGTGCACGTATACCTGTGGATGTTGGATCAGTCTTTGCGCCACCACCTCGAATATGACAGACGGCCACCTACTTTGCTCTTCGTATATAGAAGCTTCACCCCTCTGCCGCTATTTGTGTGTCGAATAGTATTGTACTCTCCCTCTTCGTCGTCGCTCAAGTCGTAGAACGAGGCCGATGGCGAAGGCGGAGTGTGTGTCGGGGAAGCCATGTGGGGCAAGCCGTCCAAAGGAGCGCAAAGGGGAGACACTGAGCTCGGGATCTCGAGAGCTAGAATTATGAGGGTACTTATGTAGCAGTCTATGCGTAAGATAGCTCAAAGGAATGTGCGTACACTTGGTGACTGGGGGAGCTGTTGCAGGTGATGGTTGAGGGCTATACTAAGGCAGTACTCGGACGTCATTCAAGTGGCGCGGGCACATGCTACGCGTCGTACCCCTCAGCAAATCACCAAGTCAGCTTTGGCAACAGCACACTGCACAGAGAAGTAAGTATAGTATGGACTGGATCATGTCTTCTTTGAAAAGCCCGTGTCAACGCTCAACGTCGCAAATATGTAGTACAAAGCGCCTGCTTTATATGCCGTAATAAGGCCATGCTGCCAAAAGTCCAAGACGCATGCTTCGGGCACCCAGTGAAACCCCCCCAAAAACAAACTCCAAGTGCGCCATGCTGCATATGCCACGAGACTCATTAACGCATGCGAGGTCCGCTCGGTAGTCCAACGCGTCCACCTTGTGGGCCGCGTTGTGGTGGTGCGCTACCACCGTATCCTCCCCCTCCCCCTCCACCTTGTGATGCATATGGGTCGTCGTTCCCTCTTCCACCACCGCTGCCATTGCTTCCATAGCTGTTACTGCGCTCGTCGGGATAAGGCACTCGTCCGCCTTGTTGCTGCGTCGGTCGTTCGTATGGGTTTCGCATGCTAGTCGAATCTGTCGACGGCGCACTCTGTACTGGGCTACTGGACCGCCCTGATCCCCATAGCCTAGCCTTGAGCCTCTCCTGAGCTGATGTCCCTGATCCTGCGCTTGGCGGGGGTGACGGGTCCATTTGTGGGCGTCCTCCCAGTGTGGTCTGATAGCTCCCAGCTCTTTGACTTGGTAGAGGCCTGCCATGAACTTGCGGCTCTGGTGTCAGCGAGCTGCCCATGCGGGCCTGGAGTGGACGTGCCCCTCCTCCCCGTGCTCCAGCTCCTCGGCGCAACGAGAGCGGCTCTCGTGGTGGTTGCTGCGGCTGAGGAGTATCCCACAGATCACTCAGTCCTCCACCTCGCCCCATTGCTGGTGCTTGTCCTTGCTGTCGTCCAGATGATGACGCGAACTGGGCGGGCGCAGGTTGCGGCGTTTTGGGGTCGGCCGGCAGCCATTGCGGGAACGGCCTGCCTTTCTCTGTGTAGTATGCGCGAAGCACCCGCGAGATGTGTGAATCATCTTCTGTGTCGCCGTCTGCGCCGTCGGACAGAAGCTGCCGTCGAAGGTTGTTGTATCGTGACGTAGTGTTGGTGAGGAGATTGTTGAGGTACGACGACATGGTGCTGTAGGTAAACTGTCAATGGAAAGGCACAGATGTATTGGCAGCAGTTGTCGCGCCTTTGTCGTCGGGGATGGCGCCGTCGTTGAGGGGGGTGGGTTGCGGGTTGGTCCGCGGTCCCCCAATTTACTAGGCGTTTGGGTTTCAGAAGCGAGCAGGTCAAGTCACTTCAACACCTCCACTATGTTCATATTCTCAGAACCCCGGCCTTAGGAATGCAGTAGCTCTCGAGCAGACACCGGCAGAGCGAGAAAGCCCCCAGTCTCTGAACATCACAACACGAATTACTGAGGATCCATTCGCCTTAGCGTCGGGTATGCGAATATAGGTGTGTATAGACGTGCTCACTCCTCGTAAACCGTCACATGAGCCCCTCTAAAAGAGCCATTGAAGACATACAGGCACTGTCGATCTGGTCCGAATGCCGTCAACCATGTGGCTATGCTCGAGGCAACCTCTGACCAAAATAGATCCACACGTTAATATCATGTCTATGCACTTTGCCACCTGGAATCGCTTTCAAACACTATTAGCCTCTCACGCTCACAACATTACACATTGTATCTTCCATGTACTTTGATTGCCTCTCCAAGCAGCCCAAGGGCCGGCAGGCTATGGCTAACACTATCGAACCATTCCAAGAGCTTCCTGCAGAGCTTCGAGCACACATATGGGATCACGCCCTGCAGGACAAGCAGTGCAAGTCTGATACCCTGGCCTGGCGACAGATCGAATTACGCGAGTACGACTCACGCGTAAACACTATTGCTATCAAAATCTCGACACCATATCCTACGTTGTTCGCAGTCAACCGCGAGACACGATACGAAGCAGCAAAGCTCGAGGGCTGTGAATGGATACAGATCTATGCAGAGCAAGGGAATATCTGGTAGTGACAAGTTTATGATATGCACCAACTTCAGCAGAGACATTATACCCTCGCCAAAGAGTTTATGAGAGCTACACAGCACGAAGCCTGCAAATCAGGAACCGACACTCTAGAACAATGCCGTCTGAAGAGCTTAGCGTGGCTCTTCGACCAAGCTACCATCAACAGAATTGAACACATATCGCTTTGTACTAGTCGGCCAAAATGGAGTCATCGTCTAGAACATGTTGCTTGGTGGAGAGGCGAGGGACTCGAAATATTCTCCCTCGGCAATCTTTAGAGCGTGCGTCGGGCTGAAATCCGACCATGCGCAATGGGCGAAGCTCATTGTGGAGGATCATCTGGAGTACCACTGGGTTACCGACGGGTGGAAGGCAAATCTCCCAGCTGTGAGATTGGGTCAAGCCGTTCCTACTGCGGGTACTGAGAATACCGGAGTTTGACATACGGGCCAGGATATTTTTACGATGCAGCCAAACCTTGCTCTATACTTGATTCAAGATTTTTCATCCTATTTTTTCTCAGTAACCCTCACTTCTTGTGCCATCAAGCTGTCCCATTCCCCTTCACTTCACTCCTATTGTCAATCCGAACTAGACAATGCCTATTTGTGTCTTTCACCTCTTTATTGTCCATTGAGACAATGCTTATAATTGTCTGTCAATAACAAAACAATGCAACAATGAAGTCAATTGCCGTCATTGTTCTAGCAAATATATTCATAAGAGATACATGCCTTCTATCCATCACTGTTCATTACAGATCACATTTGCTCACTATCTCGTCTTGATTCCTTTATACCTGCACATATAGCACATAAACCTCACTTATCATTCCCTTTTCATATCTTCACAATGCCTAGGCCCCCTCGTGAAGGTCCTCTTCAATCTTCTCGACGCATCGTTGCGAATCGAATTAGCAAGGCATGGAGAAATGAACGCCAAAGCAAGCGCCCGCGAGGATTGGTCAATAATCGTAACAACTGCTATCGTCATGGCGCCCTACAACCCTTGCTTCATCTCCCCCGTTTCGTCAATTGGATCCTTCAGCACAACGAAAGGGGTCAGAACTGGCCCTGTAGGTTGGAGGACCCAAATCATACACTCCCCGAGGATCCTATGGCACGTTCAATAATTCTTGAACTGAGCCAGAACCACAGGACCAAGGAGGGCGATCAACCCTTGTACACGGGATGTGTTCCGTGCTTGTTAAAGCAACTTTTCACCGATTACTGGGGAAATACCTTGATCGGTCCGGCTGATGGAAACCCTGAATCTCAACCGCTCCCTCTCCCACATCAACATCCCGCCATTTTTCGCCTTCATCAATTGGCGGAACGGTGGTTCTGCGTTAACCCTTCCGGACTTTTGGAGACACTGAATAATGATGTGAACAAGCACAAGACTCAAGCGCAACGAACCATAATGACACGACTGGCACGCATAAGCAACATGACAGGCCAGCAGGATTCCGATGAATTCCAGGGGATGATTTTCAACGGAATTGAATACAGCTACAATTCCGCGTAAGACTTTCACCTTGAGTTCAGCTTAACAGGTTGTACATGAACTAACTCCAACATAGGACTACTCATGGCGAGAAACGCAATACGCAATTCGATGCTCTCTTCTCACTGATTCGTCGGGAAAACACCACATGCGATAGCTGTCACTCCACGCGCTCTAACACAGCCAACCACCTTGGCTTCAGGCTGGATCCACACCCTAGCGAGCCTGACACAATCGAGGCTGCCATCGAAAGAACGATGCATGACCATATGACACTGGATATTCCATGCCGTGCCTGCGGCGTGCCAAATGTCGAGTACACACAGGATCGTTCCATCGACGCCGCACCAGAATATCTTCGCATCCACCTCAATCTCCTCGACCACGACTCAGAAGGGAAGGAAATCAAGAACCGCAACGCCATTCAGATACCAGACATCTTAGACATCACGCAGCACATGACGTTCCCCGCGACCCAGAACCCCTGGCCAGTGCGCTACAAGCTCGTCAGCGCGACCTACCATATCGGCAATACGGTCAAGTTTGGTCACTACGCAGCAGGCGTCACTGGACCAAAACTCCCACGCACAGAATCTACGCCCCAGTATCACTGCAACGATACCGCAATTAGGGACTGGACCGATGGTGCGCATCCGAATGTCATTTCCATGAATCCTGCGGTCTGTGGTGATCAGAAAGATTGTGATGTTAGCATACTTTTCTATACCAGGATACCGCGTGAGAGAGGGAAGCTGATGCCGTATGCTGGGGAGACGATTGCGGATCGGCTGAGGAATGGAACACTAAGCCGTCGATGTAGAAAGTAGAAAGTATTGGGTCCGAAAAGGTCTCGAAACTCAAAGGCGGATAATGAAGCAGTCTAGTTGGTTTGCCATAGTTAATGAGCAGCCAAAGCATGTTTTTTAGTCTACTATCAAGTTCTGCCCTGACAAAGCTGCGTTGTAAAAGCTACCAAGGGGTTCCCCTCAGGAGAGGGCCATTGCGAAATGTGAACTTAACAGATATTACTGCCCTTTGCTGCAAATGCTTGAGGGCTATACGAGGGAGGGCACCAGCATCTTTTTCCAGAAGCAAGCTAGTCTCTAGGGAGGCCGGCTGCCACGGTAAGCTCCTCGAGCTATAGTAGGCGGTGACCAGTGTGCTCATTGAACGTTGCTGTACGGTAATTACTCTAGGCCACGATGTGTACCATTCTCCGGTCGTATAGCGAGTAAGATCGATGTGGCATAAACGTGTGGTGGAGCGGTAGACCCTCTAGCTCTTTGTACACGACTGACACCCACAAGATTGTGTCTGGTTTTTGTTCGAAGCCGATGGTGCAACTCTCTGCTTCGAGTCCCAGGGCAATCAATTCTTAGTCAAATTCTCCGTCACGGACTTAGTAGAAGGTGTCATAACTATAATCTGGGCTTGGAGTCCTCGCTCTCGGAGGGTTTCGGCGACCCCTCTTCGGCCGTATCGCATGTTGACATCTCGGACATGCCTTCATACTACAATCCGGGCACTGCAGTAGATATGTCCAACTCTCAGTGCACGTCGGGCACTCTGTACGGCCTTGTACTTTTGGCCACCAGCCGTCGTGGCGGCAGACTGATTGGTGAGACTGGTAATTACTTTCCTCGGGTGTGTTGACGTGTGTGTATTGTTTCTGGCGATTTCTGATTGCATCAAGGAAAATATTCTGTCGCTTTCTGGTCTCTTCCTCTCGACGTTTCTGTTCCTCCACCTGTCGTCTTCTCAATGCCTCTGCCACCTCCCGACTCCGTTTCTGCTCCTCTGCCAGTTGCTTAAACCGCGCCTCTGCCGCCTCCCGGTTCCGTTTCTCTTGCTGCTCCTGCTGCTCCTTCCGAATCCTTGCTTGTCTCTCTCGCTCTACTTTCTCCTTCTCTTGCTTCTCCGAAGCCTCCCTAGCCCATATTCTTTGCTGGAGCAGTCGTATGTTCCCGTCATCGACAAAATCCGCTGCCTCTGCTGCCTCTTTCGCCTTTTCTAATAAACTTTGCTCTTCTCTCAAGGCCGCCTTCTTCAACGCCAGTCGCCTCTCCTTCATATCTTTCTCAATTCTTCTCTCCTGTCTTCCCCTATCCTTGCGTGCTTTCTCCTCTTCACTATCTTCTACCTTCTTGTATATAGGTGACAATAACCATGTTCCCCAACTATTCTTCTTTGCCTCTGTAGCTGCTTCAGCAGCTGCAATACTATCCAGATTCTTGATCTCTTGCTCCAAACGCCGGATGACTCTCTGCACTTCGTAGATCGAAGAGTCCAAGACATTCTTTTTGGTCAGCCATCTTACACCACGTTCTTGCTTTAGCTTTTGAATTGCAGCAATTTGTGTCGCTTCGCTGAGGGCACTCGGGGGCGAACGTGGTGTTCCTGTGGTTTGAGGAAAGGGACGACTTCGATTTATAGAAGGGTAGAAGATATCGTAGGCTCGACGTTTGTTTTCGTCTTTCAACGTCTCGTAGGCTTTTCCGAGCTTCAATGTTTGGTATCAGCACAAATGATATGGTGATCGACAAGGGAATTTGACACACCAGTTGGAAAGCTTCAGTAGCATCGTGCTTGGCATTTCGGTCTGGATGGAGCTTCAACGCCAGCCGCCTGTAAGATCTAATAATTAGCTCGGGAGTAGCTGTTTGCCCCACTTCAAGGATCATGTAATAATCCTCCGTAACTAGTGAAGGCGCCATGCCTTAGCAACTGTTTATTCGGGAGGTTCGTTGTGATCGAATAATACCAACAACAGCTATCACAAGTTCAACGAGGGCACGTAAATGGTGTCAGGGCTTGTACAAATAGAGGGCTTAGGCAACGATGGTGCGCGGGGCACGACAAGGCAGCACTTATCACATAACTTTGGCCAGTACAGTCAGCCTGGGCCAAATTTAAGCAAAACGATTATAGCTAGAGGGAGGACACAGAATAGTAGAGGTACTTATGGAGTATGAGATCATTTCTAACTTGCATATCTTGCATATAGTAATGATTATAACTTGCTAGACGCGGCGAGATCCGTTGCGGCACGATATGCCTTCCACTACCAAAAGGGAAAATTTAGTAAAACAAAACTCATAACTATCCAAGTGGTCACATCAAATTCCTCAACTCTCTCCGCAATCGCCCTTTATACCCCTTCCTCCCCGTAGGAGCAGCTGGCATTGCCCTCCCTTCGTCATCTCTGATATAACTCAACAGATATACCTGCAGCTGGTTATAGTCCGTCAAGCCCGTAGGTCTCTGTGGATTCGCTAGGAACTCCGCATGTGTGACGGGCATCATAGCAGCATCCGAGATGCACGTATAAGTGCCAGCGTTCTGCCCTCGTACAGTAGCAATATAGTGTCCTCCGTCTTCTCCTCCTCCTCCATGCGACACCAAGCTCGAAAGTCGATACCTCAATGGAAGTGTGCGCACCTGCTGGTATGCAGTGAGATCAAGATCCTCAGGACACGGAATTGGGTGCGTGATCTTGGACGGGTAGACAAGAATTCTGAACATTACAACAAGAATCTTGGGCGCAGCTACGATTTCGCAGTCGCGGCTGAAGTTGCGGTTTTGTCGGCAGCGGCGGCAATGTCTACCTGGAATGTCGTGATGCAGCGTATCTGTGATGGCTTGGTGGATGTCAGTGTATTTGGGTAGCACGCCGACATCGAGCGTCGTAGGTGTATCCATGGGCGGGTTCGTAACATAGCCACATGTGCGGCATGTATCACTCGCTTGAATGTTGATACGATAGAGGGTGTGAAGTCTAGGAAGCCAGTCTCGGTTCCTACTACTAAGTAAGTATAATGAATTTCGGGGAGTGGTAGAGTAGGCTTGTTACTAACGGTGCATCTCGTGAGAGTGCATCAAGCACCCAGGTATAAAAGTCATGAGCATCTTCCTGTTCGTTCGGAGTGAACCTATTACCAGGCTCTTCGTGCGACATAACGGCGATATCATGTGGATCGTCCGCCGCGCGGATAGCTCTATAAGTGAAAGTAGGGCCCCAATATTCCTCAACGAGCTGCTGGAGAAAACACTTCAAGCAATTGTCAACCGGACACACGGCTGGATCATGCTGAGAAATGAACTGTAAAAATGGTGGCTGATGCAAAAGCGCTTGTAAAGGAGCTGATTGGTAACATAGGTTACCTCCATTAACGATGCCTCTGCTGTTCAGATTGGGGCGGGTGCCCTGTGGAAGCCAGTCCATATTCATACCAGCTGCCTAGTGGTCCTGTCAGTAAAATTTTCCGGTCTCAGAGGGGTAGACTTACAACTTGATCGCGCTCGAGCTGGAGTATTGTCCGTTCAGGAGCCTGTTGAGCCCGCGTGCCTCGTCGGGTTGTAACAACCATGGTGAAATTTGATTAAATATTTTTGATAACGTTGATTCTGTGTGAATGTGTGAACCCAAGTCTGCTTTATGAGATGGAAACATAGGCGCTGTGAACTCATTTTATGCTTGAAAGACGCCTAAGACTAAGACGGGTGACATCTCTAGTAAACAATGGTATTCAAGAAAGAACAATTGTTTGATTCCTAGTCTTCTTTGTCTTTTTGTCTTTTCTCAACAGCCTGTTCCCTGAATTAGAAACAAACAAGGTCAGTGTATTTCCATTGTTTGTCTGCGTCAATGAGACTTGGGTTAGAAATTCTGAATTACATTTGCGTCACTGCCCAAACCGCCATGAGCCCAATGTTGGAATCCCGTCGATTGGTCAAGCCTGAAGGCTCCCAGCTAGCGATCGGTCAAGAGCGCATTTCTTCCTTCTCGTTACTTTATCGCGTTATATACCTTGTACAACCAATCAGAGAAGGTATAAACGACACCGTAGCGTAGATAGAATCGAAAACTCACGAATATTTACCTCATAGCTGACTTGAGGTACTAAGGACCTAACCAATGTCATTTAAGAGCATTCGCTCGATCTCATGATGGCTTAGTTGGCAATTCCTCTCCCACATATCAGACTGCCATTGTTCGAGTCTACCGACAATGACACAAGGCGCTTTCAAGGCAGAGGTCCAATGTCATAAACAAAGGACATGTTCAGTTCCTCTTTGAGTACCATCTACTTTTGTTCGTAATGTGTTGGCGTCAACGACATATATTTCAATGAGCCGTCTTCAATATCGAAAGTTAGATCTTGATGACTTTCAAAACCACTGTGCACTCATTAGCATATCTCGGAATCAACAACTATACCAGCCTTCAAGATGCCAGCAAACCGCGTAACACGCTCCCAGGCCCGGACAGGGGAACCTCTCTTCGCCCAAAAGACCGATCTGCAGAGACAACGAGATCATTATGTACTTACCCGTTTCTCTCCATTTTCTTGGTGAAACTTATACTGACGAGATATTAGGGCCAGAGCCTCAAGACGAAGTGGCTCCCACAAGGCCTGAGGCTTCATCAGGATCCGAGGGGCATACATATCGGGACGCACAACGACAGAAGTCTTCAGAATGTCGTGTATCAATCGTTGATGCACCTCCCAATTTTTCTCAACTGGATTAAGTCACACAATGAACACTGTACTGCTACCAACTGCACCCTTTGTGCCCTGAAGGCACTCGTGAGGGAGTATTGGGGTCCGCACAACATTAACACCCCTTTCCCGGACACGCACATGGCCCTGACACAGATCGCAAACTCGGCTTCAGCACAACACGCATTACAGGATGCATACAACTTCTACGAGTGGATCACCGCTCGAGTCCAAATGGGCGATCCGAATAATTTAATGGCGAATGACCCGCAAAATCCTTGGGATAACGAGCTGAGAGCACTCTTCCAACTCGACGTCAGCCAGGATAATGACTGCCAGTCTTGCAATCGCTCATTTTTGACATCCGAACAGTATGGCATTATCAACGCGAATTTCGATATGTATTTGCACATGAATGTAGACGACATCGTGAACCACTGGTTCGGCCAGGACCGTGGAGTGCAGCACTGCCCAACTTGTGGCTCCGTGGAGGACTTCACGTACACTCGACGCATCGAGGCCGCGCCGCAGGTCCTCAGGATCAAAGTGAATTTAAATGCGACCCTAGCTGGGCTGTTGACTAAGCAGGGCGTGCCTTTCGACGTCCCGGAACTTTTGGATTTAACGCAGTACCAGGAAAACGGGCAACTGCCACTTGAGTATACGCTAAGTAGTGCGATTTCGCACGGTGGGCTAGGTGTCGCTCAAGAAGTGGCATGGGATCTGTTTTCTCCGACTCCATCGGATCACGAGGGCGTTCTTGGTCCGGATGAGTATGAGGAAGAAGATGAAGACGAGGATGAGGACGAGAATGAGGACGAGGAAGAGGAAGAGGACGATGATGAGGACGAAGAAGAGTTGAACTTTGACGATTTCCCTACGATCGACCAGAACATGTTAGACTTGGACCAGCAGGAGGAAGACGACGAGACGGAGGACGAAGATCTAAATGATGACCTGTCCATTCATGACAATGATGATGATGAGCGCGAGGAAACTCCTCCATACCAGACTATTTCAAGGTGGGCGTATCCTGGAGCACCTAGGAGGACATGGACTGCACAGCAGATTGACCTAGCGGACTACAATGGCTTGATAGAAGTGACGAGGGAGGAGTTCATCAACGAGCTAGGCCCAGGGTCGAGTCAGCCTTCCAGTGATATTGACGAGGCAGAGGACCATGATGGGGAGGACGCTCTGTACCGTCGGTCCTCGATATCCGGCGAGACCGACAGCCAAGCTACTATGTCCGAGGCACCATCAAATATTGGCGGTGCGCCCTGGGTCGCAGATTTCCTTGCCGCTTTCCCAGTGCTAGGTCCTGTTCGACGCTTCTACAACTGGGCGTCAGGGTGCAACAACAACAACAACCCTCCACCTAATGCCTTTGGCCAAGGGCCCGTTCAAGACTTTCTCAGCGCCATGAATGGCAACATCATAGGCAATAGCAGTGGTCCTACTCAGCTGAACAGAGATCTTGACAATGAGTTCGGGGTTGTCGATTTAACCGAGGACTGGGACTCTGACGAATCTGGCGACTCTGTCCACGCTGAACACTGGATAGTGAATACGCGCGGCCCGGACAATGAATTCCACATCTCTGACGCGCATTTTGAGACGCTTGGTGCGGGCCAGTTGAATGCGAATCCACAGGCACCGCAAGCGCCAGATCCATGTGATATTCCGCATGGTTACCAAGTGTATATCTTGACGTATACGAGGAATAAGTTGAGGGGTAGGGCTGGGAAGATGGAGCGCAACATTCCGGCCTTTATATAGGTAGTTGCTCTTTTGCTTTGATTTTGAAGGCGTTGTTTCTGGCGTGGGTTCTAGTCGATATTGTAATAGATAGGTGTATAGTTGGTTAATCTTTCATTGAACACCTCGAAAAATCTTTGATAGCCTCCCGTGCTCGAGTTGTGATTTGGTAGGCAGACAGTCGGCAATAACGAATGAAATAACTGTCGCTTGAAAGCAGAGGTGTCGCAAAGAGGAGCATAGGGGAAAGGTGTCGTGCAGGAAGCCCGCCGGTTTTCGTCGCTGTCTGCAACTGCGGTAATTTGTAGTGTCTCACTAATTTTGAGTGATTTTCAAGTCGCAACGCGGAAGGCTACTATACATCGACAGGTCGTGCTTTCGTACAAATGGGTATCTTATTCAAGTCCTCTCTTTACCACCTCAGTCTATTCTTTATGATTCTCTTAAGTCTTTGTCTCCTCTGCAGCACCCTGCCATGCGATGTTCCATCTTCTCTTCACCACATCGATGCTCTGCTGTGTTGTCCGTCCTTTCTCTTTTTCTTCGCGATTTATGCGTGTGAAGGCTGCGGCGAGTCCTATCGAGATGGCGAAGATTGGGTCGAGACGTCTACAAAGACATTGTCAGGATATGGCCCTCGAAGAGAATGTATGGGAAGGACTTACTTCGATATTATGTGTTGGTACGCCATTGCTGTGAGAGGTTTTTGGAGCTTGCTCCTAGGAGCACCTTGCGGCGTAGAAGTGACGTCTCTAGATGATTTGAGTAGCTGAAGAGGAATTACAACTCTCAACTGAGCTATATTAAGAATATAGGGCAATGTTTGGGTTGTTGAAGTCAATTAAACTTCCCCAACTCCATCCCGTCGACGATCGACGTTCCGCACCTGCGTTTGGCCTGGTCCGTGCTGCAGGCGTCAGGAAGGCGCGTGGTGGAGCTTACCCCACGATTCGTGCGCGCGATCACTCAAGCAAACCAGCAAGCAAGCTTGGGGCGCTGAGACATGGATGGAGATGAAGCTTTTGGTTATGTTCATTAGTAGTGCCCCTCGGACTGCAGCCACTCTTACGGACGAGTAGATGAGGTATGGCTTGTCAGGCGGACGATGTCGTCATGGGGTTCAAAGGCCGAATGAGCCGCAAGTCACGCTCATCTGTCAGGAACAACGACCTCACAAGGCATGGCCAGAACGTCACAAAGCAGTATCGAGCTGTTCGGATCCGTCTGGTGCAGTTGGGATATGATGGAATAATCAAACTACAGTAAGCAGCGCAAGAAAAGAAGCCAAATCAAACAACCAAGTTGTGCTCTTCATTCCGTAGCTTGCCTACACAGATCCCCTGTTCGTGCCTTGCCCTTGTGGAAACATTCTGTGCTGCTCGGAAACCAAAGGCGTCATCCTCCCCAGACCAGAGAGTGGTTGCCATGCGCTGAGTGCTGAGAGACTAGCCACAACACCTTCTCATTTATCGTGAAATACCAATCCGTCGTCTTACCCATATATTGTCGCATGAATGATAAGGAAACCCGCAAGTACCGAAAACGCCCTTGTTCACCGCGAGGAAAGCGGAATGCGGCACGCTCCTCAGATCGCCTCGCCGAACGTGTTCTCGCCCGAGTAGCTGTACAAGTGTTAGTTGTTGCTTTGTTCTGGAGTTTGGGGGAAACATGACGTACGTGATGTACAGGAAGCCGTCCTCATCCTTGTGCTCCTCGTATATTGAGCTCATCAGAGCAGCAGTGGGCGGCAGGACCTCGTCGACGAAGATAAAGATGGCCTTCTCGGGCGACAGCTTAATTCGCTTGCGGATAACATAGACAAACTGGCCGACGGTCAGGTCTGCGGGCACCAGGTACTTCTTCTTATCGATGGTCGCGATGTCAGACTTCTCGACCTTCTCGCAAATAACCTGGGCTCTGTTAGCTGTTGCACGCCACGAAGACGGCATAGGAAGAGGTAGGCAGACGTACAGGAATGCGGTCGTTGTACTTCTGACGGATGCGCTCCGCCTCGGCCTTGCGCTTCTCAAACGGGTGCTCGTCCTTGAACTTGGATCTCATGGCGGCGGTGTTTCGGGTGGTTGAGTAGTTGGACGTGGGTTATAGGGCTGAAAGCGCGTATTGTGAATTGTACGCGGTTGTGTGGTGTGGCGGGAGATATATGTAGGTTGGAGGGTTGCGCAGCGGTGAGGGAGACTCAAGTAGGCAGCAAGAGCGGGGCTTACACTGCGTACCTATCACTGGCACCGACACTGGCTGCTCAGCAACGCAACCACCCAAGGTCACACAGCAGCCACTTCACGTGCCGGCCCAACGCACTTTGCTCCCAGATGCCATTTCACATTCGGCTTTCGTCATGCTAGCACCGCCCTTTCTTTGTTTCGAAGCCGGAGTGACTCTGTCTCGGATGGCTGTGCTGACCGCTCCCGCCGCCCAAGTCACTTGCGCAGCTTAGCTCCCCATGACCTGACCATTGTCCTAGGAGTCATCCGCGTTTGAGTACCTTTGAAGCTACCTGAGCTACACAGTGTTTAGTAGGCTACACAACGCACGCAATCTCGCGTTGTTGGTGCCTAAGCGCTCTGGACACGACATTTCATTTTGTTCACGCTACGCGTTGCTTGCGCAGGCTTTACGTGGCGAAAAGCAGCCAGTCTGATCAAACAGCATCCATAGACGAGGGTAGTATCTATTCACGTCTCTCAAGATGATCATCTACATGAGCACGGTTGCTTCAACCACTTAGTGTTGCCCTATATGATTTAGTTTGCCATGTTTGCATCATGCAGGTACCACCACATAGCACCGAGGAGCTCCGATGATGATGCGACCACCATGGGGTGATAATGGACAACTTTTCAGACGAGAGTTCCTCGCACCACCTCTAATATAAAACAAATTTCGCAACTCTACCTGTCCTCCTATCGCCCTCTCCTGCCCATGATTGTATTATAGCCTCACGCTCTTTCAAGCCAGCAATTGCCCACCATGCCGCCATTCCGACCTTCTTTACGCATCTCCAGAGCTCTCGAGCTCCCCCACAGCTATGCACCACGGCCGACATTGCGCCCAAGTCACCTCAAATACCGACAAGTACAGGCGCCGCGAAGATGCATGGCCGGCGTCCCTCCAAAGCAGAAGCCAGACCCCATGGAGGAATGGCGAAACCCCGAGCCTAGCAAATGGCCGAACAGGATACGGCTGATGATGCTGCCCTTCATTGGGGCTATAATATACTCTATGGTAGGCTTTAGCCTTGTGAATGCATGCATCTGTGTTGCTAACGCTCTCGCAGTGGACAGATGATTCCATCAAGACCGAAGCGCCCACCATCGCCGAGAAAGACGCCCTCCTCAAACGCGAAAATGGTGTGTCCGAGAACTCGCCAATGCGCCTACGAATGGAGCAGTTCATTAAGCAGCACCAGAAGAAGATTGTGTCTGAATTGGAAAAGGTCGATGGCACACCCTTTACCATCGATTCCTGGCAGAGGCCGGAAGGCGGAGGCGGCATCACCTGCGTGCTACAGGATGGCAAGGTATTCGAGAAGGCAGGCGTGAACACGTCAGTTGTATACGGACGCCTGCCTCGCGCCGCAATCCAGAAGATGCGCGTGAACCACAAAGCTCTCGACCCAGACGTCGACTCGCTCGAATTCTTTGCCGCAGGCCTGTCCATGGTCCTGCACCCGCACAATCCTAACGCGCCGACCGTACACTTGAACTACCGCTACTTCGAGACCGCTGACGAGGCTGGAAACTCGACTGCATGGTGGTATGGCGGCGGTTGCGATCTCACGCCCTCATATCTCTACGACGAAGACGCAATACACTTCCACCAAACAATCAAGGCGGCATGCGACAAGCATGACAGGGGATACTATCCGCGATTCAAGAAATGGTGCGACGAGTATTTCAGCAACAAGCATAGGAGCGAGTCACGCGGCATAGGCGGAATCTTCTTCGATGATCTAGACGAGACGGAGAAGGATCAAGAGCAGCTGTTCTCCTTTGTGCAGGACTGCTTGTCTGCTTTCTTGCCATCGTACATACCCATCATTAACAGGCGGAAGGACATGCCCTACACAGAGGAAATGAAGCAGTGGCAACAGCTCCGGAGAGGCCGATATGTGGAATTCAATCTCGTGCATGACCGAGGCACGGCTTTTGGACTGAACACCCCCGGCGCAAGAGTGGAAAGCATCCTGATGAGCTTACCGCTCACGGCAAGGTGGCAGTATATGCATACGCCAGAGAAGGGCTCAAGAGAGGAGAGATTATTAGAAGTGCTCAAGAAGCCAAGGGCGTGGGTGTAAGATAGCCATACTGTGTAAATACGTGTACCATTAGACAGGAATTACAATAGTTGTTGTATCCAGCGATTCGAACACAGTGCCTCATATTCCAAACTTGCTTCTACACACCAAACTCACCATGTTATAACAAAACCAGGAGATGGTTGATCTACGCTCAGTGGTCAGATGACCATCGTTCACGACCTTCATTGTTTCCCGTCCGTGGACAAATGCCGGCCGCGGTAGACAATAGGATTGCTCGTGTCACCTTCTGCGTACAGAAGTGATGCCTCGTCTATGGTGGCGAATGCTCCCAACTACGGCCGCGGACAGTTGCGAGGTATCTAGGTTGCCACTGTAAAGGCGTGTAGAAGTGCATCGGTGACCTCGAGAAGTCGCTGCCAAGTAGTTGTGTTGGTCATTGCCTATTTGGATGCATCCGTGTTAATATTCGTGGTCCTAAAGAGTAGATGATAGTCAGCTCGAAGAGGAATTGTCGTGTAGTCTTACCTCCATTAGTCAGCTCAGCAGACTATGGTGTGATATCGACCTTGCGACCAATCACAGGCTTGAAGAATGTACGTATGTCGGATGCATGTTTGCTTCCAAGGAGCCCACGCAGCCCACAAAACACATGGGCAGTTTGAGAGGAGCGCTTGAATTGGAGATCTGTATAGCGAGCCTGTTATACACAAGATCGAAGCGGGGAGGGGAAAACAAAAAGCGGAAATGCCTAGATTTCTGTACACGAGGACTAATATGACAATGGCCAACCAGGCAGTGGCTCGCACCCCTTCCGATCTTGTTGAATATGTGACACAGACAGTACCAAGCGTAAGGTTGACCCAAGGAAAAGAGGTATCAGTGTTGGTATTGGTATGGTGTGTTTGCTCTGATGTTTTCGATCGGATTCTAATCGTCGTTCTTCTCTACGATGCCCTGCTCCTTCGCTGACTTGCTCTGTACCAGCATTCCCTTGTAGCCGGTGATGGGTTCGGTTCCTTGGTTCTGCGACGTGTTAGCATGGTATCGAGAAAGAAAAGCTGTGATGACAGCGGTGGAGCTACGCACCTTCATGAACTCCTCAGAGGCCTCTTGCCACTCCTTGGTCATGGTGCGAGGCCGGACGGGGCTTGCGAACATGCGCGTGAAAGCAAACAGGGCGAAGGAACCGGCGATGACGGCGGATGAGAGGAAGAAGACGTTGCGGCCCTCATCCGGGGGCGGTGGTCGTCGAGGGCCATGAGGACCGAAGGCGATGAAATATGCTATAAAATTTACAGTCAGCGCGATGTCCTTATCGATGAGCTCTACATGATTTCGTGATAGCTTCGCGTTGGGTACACAGCGTGCCGCGGGCTAGCTCGGGTACCTCGCTGGAAACACGAGATACGTCATGCGACCCGTCGCAGCATCCAGCTTGCGCCCAAGAAGACTCTACGCACCGGCTTTCTTCTCCTGCATAGTCAACTCCTTCCAGTCCGTCTTCATGCGGTCCCTAAGCGACATCCACAAGTCGGCCTGCTCCTGGGGAGGGAGGTCTTCCCATCGCTTCTCGATGTTGGCAAGAGTCGGGTTGGAGATGGCGTGGGCCTGACGAGTCTGCTGGAGCTGGCAAGCTACCGGGGCAATTCTGGGGACAGCTGTGCGTGTCGCGGTCGATGGGATACTGGCAGCCGAGCTCCTCGAAGCCCGGGTGAGGGAGGAGCGCAACATGGCGGCGGGTGGAGTGGAGAGTGTCGAAAATTAGAAAGGAAAGGGAGAGGTGTCCCGTCGAGCTACGTGCAGCTGCCAATGGGTGGTGTTGGTGATGGAGGTGAGGGTGGTGGGCCAGGAGATGAGGACTTGCAAAAAAGCCAAGGAAGTCGAATGATCACGATCATTAGCGTTCCTCTAGTAGGCAATATGGACGCTCTCATTGGCCAGCGACCTATGCGGAAGCTCGCAGCTTCACATTCCTACTGCAAACACCGCTACGCATTTAAGGTAGCTTTGATAAGCTCCGATAAGCTCAATGAGGATAGTAGAGCTGCATTGGGTGCTGACGGCTCCCATGACATTGTTGATGCTGTTGTTGTCCACTGGAAGGCGCGCTGGACACCTGAGGCAGGAGCTATGTCTGTCGATTCCCACACAGGGGTATGTACAACTTGAGTAGTATAGTAGTGCAAGTCGAGGTCTAGCGAGAGAGGTAGTTATATGTTCCCTTGGCTCCATATATATATATTTTTACCATGCATTTGTAGCACCTTGACCATGCAGCAAAATTCTCAAACCCCCTCAATCGCAGACAGCGCGTATCAGGTGATTCGACACCACTTGGGCAAGCATCCTTGTCTTTTACAGAGCCAAACCTAGCAAAATAAGTGTTTGTAATAAGCTCTTGAAGCTGCCCCTGGTGCTAGAAAGGCCCCAGGCTCGTAGCAACGTTTAGGGACTCATGGAGACGGTACCCCTCTCTACATCAACCAGCGGTCATAAAGCATGTGAGAACTTCCACCATATCTTGGTGGTTATTTCTCGTTTGATCTAGAGAGGAACTTTACAATCTTTTGAGGTTGCTCGGTTCTCTACATGAAGTGTGTTAATAGAACGATACCGGCAAGCTCAGGCCAACGCTACACCTCAACCCATGACGCAAGAGCTCAGCTTAAGCTCAGCATGTCAGCCCTACGAAGCTTTCTATGGCCACCTCTGACATGACCTTGCTCCTATGCAGATCCTTCTCGACTGTTTTGACGTCGTTGTAGCACGAGGCGATCATGTAGTGGTGGGATGTAGAATGAAACTGTTTTGGTAATTCTTTGTCTAGCCCCTCCCGGCCGCGGATGCGCTATGCCACACATCTCAGCCTACATGCTCGACTCTTCATGGCGGCGAGAATCTCGGTGGCTACACAAAACGCTCGCCTCCCCGCGTAATCCGATTTCGCTACAATTGAGCCACTGTGTTTTCATTATATCGAATGACCAAAAGAACCTGGCCCCATAGAATCACCGGCCCGTCACGCAGAGCAATGCTTTTGACATCAGTCTGTCTGTGCTGCGTGGAGCGAAGGATTACGGACGCGCAGCGGATACTCTTTCGTAAGCATGATGAGAAAGAAATTCGTGTCGCTGTTTGGACTTTGTCTATCTTGCCGGTTAGTAGTGGCCGGGTGTAGCAATCTGCAGTACATGTGCAAGACTGGGTGGCTTAGGTGAAGCCAAGGTGGACCACAGTGGGTTCAGAGACTTGAGGTGAAATGCTGTCGACATGTTGAAGAGGCCTCAGACATGTCAGAGTTTCAGAGTAAAGGCACTCAGCCATCGCCTCCGTTGCATTCCGCGGCCTCCTACGATGGCAACACACGCCCGAGGTAGCAGTCACGTTCCGTACAGCCCAGGTCGAGTAGCCGGCCGGATGTGTGGGAGGGTAGGAGCCATGCCATTGGATCCCGGCGGCGCTGCAGCTATCGGACACAGAAAAAGAACTGGCCTGTGACGTCCACTTTTCAGAGATCGTTGCATCAGTATAACTAGCGCTGCCCCTCTTCTCTCACCCCACCAGACCCAACAAACACCGCGCCCATCTCAGCCCACGTCAATCTCTTCAACCCGTCAGACTAGCTCCAATTCCCTTTAAAAGAGTGAGCGCGCCTCCAAGAACTAATTCCACCACCCGCATCTCACACTTTCGCAGCACATTACACTTTACACATCATCATGGTCGTCAAGGTGAGCTCCTCCTCCTCCCCGACTGAGCTGGTAGCAGCCATTGACATCTCTCCTCGCAGGTTGGTATCAACGGCTTCGGTCGCATTGGCCGTATCGTCCTCCGCAATGCGTACGTTATTCCCTACTTGAAGCTGCAGCCATGTCCTTCAAGCTAACAGTACCCCCACAGCATCGAGCACAACGACGTCGAGATTGTCGCAGTGAACGACCCCTTCATCGAGCCCCATTACGCTGTAAGCATCCCGCCCCAAAAATTCGGTGGTCGACGCCGCCAACGGCAATCTGCTTTGCCCTTCGTGGTGATGAGCTATACGTCTCTAGGAGCGCAGGGCTGACACAGGCATCTAGGCATACATGCTCAAGTATGACACCACACACGGCCAGTTCAAGGGTGACATCACCGTCGATGGCAACAACTTGACCATCAACGGCAAGACCATCCGTTTCTACATGGAGAAGGACCCCGCCAACATCCCATGGAGCGAGACCGGCGCCTACTACGTCGTCGAGTCCACCGGTGTCTTCACCACCACCGAGAAGGCCAAGGCCCACTTGAAGGGCGGTGCCAAGAAGGTTGTCATCTCTGCTCCCTCCGCTGATGCGCCCATGTTCGTCATGGGTGTCAACAACGAGACCTACAAGTCGGACATCGAGGTGCTCTCCAACGCATCTTGCACAACCAACTGCTTGGCTCCTCTGGCCAAGGTCATCAACGACAAGTTCACCATTATTGAGGGTTTGATGACCACCATCCACTCTTACACTGCTACCCAGAAGGTCGTCGACGGCCCCTCCGCAAAGGACTGGCGTGGTGGCCGTACCGCTGCTCAGAACATCATTCCTAGCAGCACTGGTGCCGCCAAGGCAGTCGGCAAGGTCATTCCTGAGCTGAACGGCAAGCTTACCGGCATGGCTATGCGTGTGCCTACCCAGAACGTCTCGGTTGTTGACTTGACCGTCCGCATCGAGAAGAGCGCTAGCTACGATGAGATCAAGGCCGCCGTCAAGGAGGCTTCCGAGGGCTCCCTCAAGGGTAAGTAATCTTTACTTCTTCAACCTCGCAAATCTGACCTTGTGCAGGTATACTCGGTTACACTGATGAAGACGTTGTCTCATCCGATATGAACGGCGACAACCGCTCTTCCATCTTCGATGCTAAGGCCGGTATCTCCCTCAACAAGAACTTCGTCAAACTCGTCACCTGGTACGACAACGAGTGGGGTTACTCTCGCCGTGTTCTCGACCTCTTGGTCTACATTGCCAAGGTCGACGGTAACGCCTAGGAATTAGGACGGAGCCAGGCTATGCCTAAACTCTAATATCCAGACTTCAAGCTTATACGACTCGATTCGAAGTGCGAGAAGGTACATTTTGTGCGAGTCACGCCAGAAAAATAGGCAGACTCTGTGGATCAATGTGTTATGGTAGACATGAATCAAGTAATGAATAAAGTTCACAACAAAAGCCTGACTTTGTCCAATGCGTAGTGAAGTCGAAGCTCCCCTCGCGGCAGCGGAAGCTACCCCTGTCGACGCCTTTTCTAGCGTCTGCGTCCCTGGTTCCCGAGGTAAGTCACCCCCAGCATTGCGCCATGTCAAACGCGCGAATGACTCCAGGAAATCGTTCTCCTTTTCCGCGTTAGTTTCCGATGTCTAGGCTCGTTCTAGACGTAATGCAACTACTACGGTCGCATAAGGGTAGCGTTTCGCGCAAGGTGTGAGGAACGTACGGAGAGGAACGGGTCGTTGGAAGTGTGACTGAGGGAGGTGTGGCTACTGCCGGCTTTAGATAATCCATCGATATGTATATACATGGACTTGTTTTCTTCAAAATAAGCATGTTTCCCTTCCTTGCTTCTCCTTCCTACTTCAGATTGAGCTGATAGTCGTCGGTTGTATCATGTTTGATGGCATGATGGTCATCACATATCCAAGTGCTATACTCTGTGGAGTGCCAATTCTAGATCAGTAAAGAAGCTTCAATAATCATGCTACTCTCCTGCATCTCTGAATCGAGAGGGCTATGATATATATTTTCAGTCAACACTGCGATGTTCGTTTACAACTATTGTATGATTGCTCTTTGAGGGCTATTGATGTCGTTGTTTTCTACCGGCAATTCATATATTTGGAAAAGCGCAAGAGTATGTGATAACATACACTTGAGAGTAGACCTGGGAGTAGTTAGGCTAGGCTCAGAGCATCGGGACCAGCACAATGGATCCTGGATTGCGGAGACCGATCAGATCTGGGAATGTGCAAAGAATGGATGTTGACAGCAAAGAAGGTACGAGAAGATTGTGAGACGGACTAAAGTCATACCAAAGTTGAGGAGTGACTTTAGGAGCAACGAAACTGTGCCTTGTCAGACATGCTATAGCAATATTCACACGTGTTGGTTGCGAACGGCAGAAGAGCGTTGGCGCTAAACGGGTTAGCGTCGATTAGTCATGCAATATTTCTTGGCGCTTGGCGGCGTTTGGGTTGCTCATTTCCATGCTCTACTCTGTCGTCCCCTACTATACCGCCCATCATCAACGCATTGAGACACGAGCAGACTTCTGCCAACAGTTACTCATAACCTGTTATTAAAAACTCTGCGCCACGTATCTAGGCTCTAAACGTGGAAAGACAGAGCAGCGACTCGCAAATAACGTGCAACACTATCTCGTGAGTACTGCATCAGAAGACGCTGAAATACTTTATCTTTACTTACTATCCTGCAGAGACTCACACATCGGCTGCTCGATAGCCTGCTTTGTCCAACAGAACTGTCGAGCAACTCCAATCTTCTTCGGGCTTAGGCCTTCGGGGCTATTTAGCATAGTGTTACGGCGATCAACACCTTGCAGTTTTCATCAGCAGCCATTTCGATGCGGTAGCAATATTACAAGTGAGTGAGCCCATCCTTGTTTGTTTTGACCTGCTTAACCCTACATATTCAATCACTCGTCATCGCAACTCTTCTTGACTTTTTATTCTTGAAGCTACATGTACACAACACTACTCTCATACTGTGGCTATCATGGTCGGACCCTATTTACTTGAAATCGGTTCGCAGACGATGACTTACACCTTCATATTGTATAGTCGCCTTATCTTGTCCTATCTTTTCGGAAATGACCTTCAACCATGATCTCGTGACAAGTTATTTGTGGCTCATTTCCATTGCTAACTTTGCTCTATAGCTGCTGGACTAGAGACCTGTGAGGCTAGGCATTCGGTGTCTGTCTTACCGGATCAGCCTTAGCTATGGCAGATGAGGACTATCCCATGGAGGAGGATACTGTAATGGCCTCAACAGAGACAAATGGAGATTCCGTCACAGATACCGTTGCTCCTTCCGAGATTTTCGGCAATTTCAGGAGCCATCCACTTCCGAAAAATGAGCAGTTGCCATTTCACAGTCCGTCGAAATATTTATTACAAGCAAGTACCCAGCGGAGCCATCCAGGTTCACATCGAACAACAAAGTCACCAAGTGGCTGGTCCGACAGAATGAACCTAACGCGGCCAGCGCCGGCGCGTCGCTCAAGCCCGCAGGTACGCATCCCCCCAAAACCGAGGCATTCTGTCCTACCATATGCGACATCAAGAACAGGTCTAGTCTACGACCCACGCATGCGGTTCCATGCCGAGCTCCCTGATATGAGTATCAACGCAGACGACATACATCCAGAGGACCCGCGCCGCATTCATTCCATCTTCGAAGAAATACAGCAAGCCGGCCTCGTAGGGACTAGCACATCCGAAGAAGATACGAAAGAAGCCCATTGCTGGCGGATCGGCATACGCCCTGCTACAAGACCAGAGATTCTGCTCATACATACAGAAGAGCACTACACCTTCGTAGAATCATTGCAAAGTAAGTGAATGTTCTTTATTGTTCCATGAATCATAACTGACTTATTTCAAGGGATGCCCCCCGAGCAACTAAAGGAGGAAGCTGACCGGCTAGACTCTATTTACTTCAACCATTCTACATACGATTGTGCCAAGCTTGCAGCGGGAGGTGCCATCGAAGCTTGCAAAGCAGTCGTGGAAGGAGCCGTGCGGAATGCTATCGCCATTATTCGTCCTCCGGGACATCATGCTGAAAGCACACAGCCTTCTGGATTTTGTATCTTCAATAACGTTCCCATCGCCACCCGCGTATGCCAGAACGCCTACCCAGAGACCTGCCGTAAAGTGTTGATTCTCGATTGGGACGTCCACCATGGCAACGGCATCCAACATGCTTTCTACGACGATCCAAACGTACTTTACATCTCTCTGCACGTTTACAAAGATGGAACTTTCTACCCAAATCTGCCGGACGGCAATCTCGACTACTGTGGAGAAGGCCCAGGTGAGGGCAGGAACGTGAACATTCCATGGGCGGAACATGGCATGGGCGATGCCGAGTACCTATACGCATTCCAGGAGATTGTTATGCCTATAGCGACTGAATTCGATCCGGACCTGGTGATCATCTCCGCTGGCTTCGACGCAGCTGAAGGAGACCTCCTGGGCGGCTGTTTCGTCACTCCTGCATGCTACGGGCATATGACCCACATGCTCATGCGTCTAGCGAAGGGAAAGCTCGTAGTGTGCCTCGAAGGCGGTTACAATCTACGGTCGATCGCACGTTCGGCGTTGGCAGTCACTAGAGTGCTCATGCTCGAGCCTCCAGATCGTCTGCGCGAGGATCTACCGGCTCCCCGAGACAGTGCAGTTGAAACCATGGAACAAGTGAAGCGTCAACACTCAAAGTACTGGAAATGCTTATATCCGAAACATCTCGACAAAACGGACCCTGGTTATAAAGATACGTATCGGTTGCACGAAATCATCCGAGAATGGCAGAGTCAACGCTTGTCACAAGAACATGCGATGACACCTCTACCTCTTCAGATCAACAAGGCAAACCTAGCGCAGACATTTGAACACAACGTTATTGCCACGTAAGTATCAAACTAAGTATAGTGCCGTACACGACTAACCACTGTAGACCGAACTTCACCGAGCGACATCCTCTCCTCGTTATATTCCATGACCCACCGGGTTTCCAGGACCATGCAGACCCCGTGACTGGCAGGCGAGAACTACATAACACTTGGCTTGTGAGTACTGGTACAGTCTTGTGCTGTATATCCGCTGACTGAGTTTGAAGACTGATGTCACCAAGAGGTACATTGATTGGGCTATAAGCAATGATTTTCAAGTCATTGACGTTAATATTCCGAAAATTGTTGCTGTTGAAGATGTTAGTTGTCCTGCATGTCCTATCTAGGCAAGTACTGACATGGAATAGGTGGGCATCGGATATTTGAGATCTGACGACTCTGCTGCTCGAGCACAACAGACGCGCGATTTAGCCGGGTATCTCTGGGACAATTACATTGAGTGAGTCGGCAATCGTACTAGTGTATTGTCCACTGACAGGCTCCTAGACCACATGATGCAACACAAGTCTTCTTTATGGGCATCGGAGACGCGTATCTGGGACTTGTAGACCTCCTGAGCCATAACGGTAGATCGCCCATGCAATGCCCTATTTGTGAACACCTGCTGACTTTTTAGACCATACCACGGAACTGGATAGCCCGGTGGAATGTCTGATCGGCTTTGTTGCAGACACAACCATTCAGGCAATAAGGAGAGCGACAGGCGATACTATAGCAAACTGGTATCATGCTGTAAGTCACCAAAACTTTGCACCGGGCCATGAGCTAAATTTGTACCCTCACAGCATTCAAACATCTTCGTGAAGAACAGCCACTTCGTCTGGGACCCAAAGCGGCAACGAAAACTACGTAGGAAGCTCGGCAACCTCGTGAAATCACCGAAAGATTCACTAGATGACATGCTCGAGGAACATCTGGAAGAAGTGCAGAACTTGCTACTAACGAAGAAGAGCGAGTTTGAAAAGGAGAATAGTCTTTCAAGCCAGACTGACGATGCACAGCAGTCGGCGGTGGGCGGCTTTCGCAGCCCTCCTCTACCAGGCGGTTCGCATACCCCAAAGTTTCCAGAGCCCGGCTTACGCCATGAAAGTATGCCGCATCCGGTACGGAGCCCTAAACTGCCGCCGCTGGGTTTGTTTAGTGTGTCTACGATGAGCCCGATGAGTCCTAGAAGTCCGATGAAAAGAACATTTTAGTCGTATCTGGACGAGCGTAAGGAGGGTTTGTCTTGGATATCTGTAGGGTTCTTTCTTTCCTGCATAGCCTGGCGTCTATTTGTTTTCGCGGCGTGCGGACGCATCTATGGGCACGACTGGCTTGTTTTTTTTACTTGCGCAGTATCAATATTTCTCTCTGTTTGGATTATTAAGTCCCACTTTGATCTGAACTCAGGGACGCCTCGGGTGCCATTGAGGTTACAAACAAGCCTGTCGCATGCTGAATGTGGGTGGTATCGTAGCGAAGGTACTTTGCCACAGTTGGTGGAGAAACTGATCCCTCTGTAGCAACTGACTGACAGCATGCGCCTTGGTACAAAAGTCTCCGAGTCAGACCAACTGGCATGCACCTCGCCTGCTCACGATATGTTATCTCAGTGGCACTATTCCAGCGGTACGTCCAGGCACAGCTGCTCACGGCCTGCGATCAAGACAAAAGCAGGGTACAGAATGGACATAACCAAGTATAGTGGCGCACACTGCCTATGAACTATAGGGACAAGGCATGTTGTGCTGAGTTAAGCTATACCACCCATCCATGCGCCATCCAAGTCAACGATTGTCGCTTGCCGTAACCAATTGTGAAAGACTAAGCCTGCTTCAAGCATAGTGTGTTCAGAGTTGCGCTCAGCTTTGGACAACAGCTCAGCTTTGGACCTCCACAATTCGATGTAGACGCAATGTGGAAGCTGAGTGCAAGCTTGCTTTTTACCTAGGAATCCGTTTCAACGTTCCTTCCCATCACCATCATGAACCAGACAAAAAGCGAAGACTTATGAATTCCAAGATCCGGGCGTAGAGACGTGGTACGGAAATAGACCTGTCAGCAGTCGATGTTGTGGCACAGGTCAGATTCTTATTACCTTTCCCTATTCTTACCAGCTTAGCGATGATCGTAGCCCTGCTAGTGAGAAAGCTGACGGACGGCCCCGCTACTTTGACCTCTGCTCAAGCCCAGAATCATGGGTGCCCGCTTTCGAGACACATGCACACCTGCAATACTGAGCAAGGTTAAGCAGCCGGGGATCCATTCAGCAGTCTCTGGGTCCGCCACCCAGCACACCAGATTGAGTGATTGGAGGAGTACGTGAGCTAGGCTGCTTATTGCATGGGCCTTGGTATGGTCACAACAGTGTGGGCTATGGGGGCTAAATGAGGGCGTTGGGAAAGCTGTGCACGCAGCAAGGTTACATTTGCATAAGGCTTGTGGTCAGCCCGCAAGCCTTTGGCTAGGTGTTGTCTTCCTACCTCTCCGCCTGCCAGCCGTCGTCTACCAGTATCGATATCCATACGACAAGGCCAGGACTAAATATCTATTAATCTGAAGCAATCGCTAAACCTTGGAACACTGGATAGCTGGACCTTGGTACGCCCAGAAGAGAGCAATGGCGCGCTCATGGATCTCGAGGCTGGCAGCTACGCTCGCTGCTAGTCATGTTATCTCATTCGTCTCCGCACAAATCACAAGTACACCAAATGTATTGCCCGCGCCCACATTTGTCGAATCGTCGTCTAGAGTGACCGCGTTGATATCGCTCGCCTCATCGTTAAAGACCGCACCGTCTCCGTCGTCGACCGCATCGAAGGGACCGAAAGTTCATCTGATCCAGGCAGGACAGGGCGGCTTCAAATTCACCCCCCAATCGGTGAGCAATGTAGCCGTAGGCGACACCGTCACTTTTGAGTTCTATCCCCCGGATCATTCGGTTGCGCGAGCGGAGTTTGAAAGCGCGTGTGTGCCTTATGAGTATACTGGTAAAGGAAAAACTGGATTCTGGTCGACGACCCAATGGGTTGATACGGTAGACAAGATCACGCATTGGAATCTGACCATCAATTCCACGGAACCCATTTTCTTCTATTGCGCAGCTCCCGGCTCGTGTAAAGACAAGTGGATGGTCGGAGCCATCAACCCTAACGGCACACAAACGCTCGACGCACAGATACGAGCAGCGAGACGCGCAGACTACCAGGTCGCACCTGGTGAGACTATACCCAACGAAGCAACGTCTACGCTGGTAAACGCTCCTACATCTGCACCATCCTCTCCAAGCAGCGGCGGCTCTCATAAACTATCAGGCGGCGTCATCGCCGGTATAGTCGTTGGTGCAGTTGCATTTTTGGTCATATGTGCGGCGCTATTCTTCTATGTTGGCCGCTCAAAGTCGCTGAAGGAAGTACTCAAGCGGCAAGATGCTACCATGAGGACATCAACGACTCCAGGAGGAGGACCTGAGATGGGACAACAGTTTGGACACCAAGCAGAGTACCCCGCGCAACCGAGTCCATATTTATCAGGAATGGCGCCGGGTCAGGCAGAGTACGGCATGAACTCGCCGCCAATGTATGGACAGCATAATGCCACAGAGCAGTACCCGAGCGGATGGGCGAGTCCAGGGCAGCAGAGTGGTCATTTGAGTATGATGAGTACCATGTCGCAGCAGCAGTAAGTCAAATAGTCTTCTCTTGAGTGGATCTGCGCTAATGGGTTGGTAGGATGGACGAGATCAAAGCGGCACATGCGCAACAACACCGGGTAGCTGAGATGCATACGCCCGAGCCGGGACAACAAAGGTTTACGGCAGAACTGGAAGCGCCTGGACAAAGGAAGTGAGGGGATGCTTGTGTTTATATTTGATCGGCCAGGTGCGGCGAATGAAGCTGACCTCGTTGAACTCTGTGTTTATGATGTGTGAGGAAAGAGTGCTCACTGTTCTAAGTTTTGATTTGATCGCGAGATACCACCGTCTCGCCAGATGAGAGCCAGGAAAGGCGTTAGATTCATTATACATATTAGTGTGATTCTCCATACAAGCAAGCGGAATTCGTGCGATTGTCTATACTGGCTCCCCGCCTTGTCGGTAAAGTACGGCAAGTGGCGTTTAGCCTGCCAGTGAATCAATCTCTCGTGGTGTTTGAAAGGAAGATGGCGATAGCGTATCGTGAAGGTCGTCAGTCACGTTAGCTAGTCCCCAATAGCTACTACTTCGAACCCAAGGCTCTCGATGAAACGGGATGATCATCTATCTCTCCGAGCTGTAGGGCTTAGTGTCGTTCTCCTTGGGTGGATGACGGCGCCAGGTGGGGGCTCCAGGTCCCACAGTTGGAGAGAGAGAAAAGGCGGTGGGATTTGCCCGTCTCGCGCCACGGCCGTCAATCCGGATGCGAGCCACAGAAAGACTTTCCATGTGTCATGTATCCTGCGAGGTCTGCGAGTCTGCGAGAGGGTGCGTAGTGTGTGCTTGTCGACCCAATCACCCCACCGAAGGCGCCAACGTGCTGCTCTCGACCAGCCCACGGTGGAAACTGTCTTCGGCTCGCCGGCCAAGCTTTTGCTCACCCAGGAATGGCGGCATCGCGCCTCTTACTACTCCCTCACGCCGGAGGATTCCTCTCCCGCAACTGTCCTCCCTCTCTCCACGTCGCTCTTTCGGCCATGATATGATGGTATCGCGCAACTGCAGTGGGCGACTCCCTCAGCGACCGTAGCACCAGTCTGGACATAGAAGACGGCTCCCAGCTGCCTCGACATGCTCACTTCTTCTCCTACCATCTCTGCGCCGCCCTCGCCCTCTACAGCCTTCTGCCACACCTCCAGCCGCGCATATCATGCCTCGCGACGCACATCGGCTTCCTCCAGCGCCCACTCTCCCCGCTTCGCCGTGAGCAGCGCTGCCGCCCGACGATTTGACGCGCCACAGACGCCCAGGCCAGCATTTTCTGCACCCTCTCCAGTACCAGCCTTTGCGCCTGTGCCTGCGCCTGAACCACAAGGTCGCAAGAGAAGCTACGTGGACTCGGGCACACAGTACACCCCGCCTGGCCTGCCCCCCACTTATCGCCCACAGTCCCCGCCAAACTCCAACATCGACAAGAACAAGGACACGGACACGGCCGATTCGATTCCCTTGACTGCACCCGCAATTGCGCATACACCGCGGGGGCCTTCCTCCGCCGCGCCTGTCGTCACGGAGCCATCAGAGCCGCAACTGCGGGTGGATCCGCAGCCTGATGCGCCCGCACAGAATGTGCAGCCCCAGCGCCGGTCATTGTCAAAGGAGAGCCCAGAAGAGCAGAGTGCGACGCAGAAGGAAGGCAGCACTGTCTTGCAAGTGCCTGCTTCTCCCGCCAAGAGAGCGCGACCTGAAGAGCCCAATGTGAAGGTCATGCCACTGCGGTACGAGACGTGCAACGTCAAGGATCTTGGCGTGTTGATTTCCGATATGCTCATGGAGCTGGTGCGCTTGAACGACGGCTATCCACTGCGCGATGGCACCCTCACAAGGTTCCACTCAAGGTATGTTCCTTACAATGTCCATCGCCCAAGCACATATTAACCTATCAATGACAGAGCTCCGCCTGGAATATCCGTGCGCGAATACCTGTCTCGCCTCATCGTGCATGCGACACTGTCGCCCCCTATCCTTCTTTCCATGGTCTTTTACGTCGACAAGCTGTGTGCCATGTACCCTGCTTTCACAATCAGCAGCCTTACCGTACATCGATTCCTCATAACGGCAGCGACGGTAGCTGCCAAAGGTCTCAGCGACAGCTTTTGGACCAACAGTCTCTACGCAAAAGTGGGGGGCGTCAGTTTGCGAGAACTGGCGCTGTTAGAGCTCGAGTTTCTAAGAAGACTAGAGTGGCGGATCGTCCCTAAGCCCGAAGTGCTCGTAGATTACTACAAGGGCTTGGTTGAACGAGGAACAGGCTATGTTATAGAGAAAGAACCGGAGTCGGAGCCGACACCCAGTCCAAACAAGGCGCCAACCCCTACTGCTACTGGGATACACACTAACCAATCAAGCACATAAGTGCACAGTGGGCCTTCGTACAGCAACATGCTTGTTTTCTTCAAACTCGCTCTCCTTGCCTGCAAACGTCGAGAACACGTCGTTCGCATTATACTCTATTGAGACTCTTATACACCACGAATAGGCCTCGAGGAACCTCAAAGTACTTCATGGCCTTATCAAAGTCTCAACGTCTGGTCTCATCGTGGTCGCCTCTGTATGGCGCGCTCGAATGACGACGCGCTGTCGAACGATGAGCTGGCGAACATGACTCGAGTGCGAGCAATATCAAAGGAAGCTGAGGCCAACGAGAGGTGCGTAGCCGAGCCGAGAATGGTACATTTGTACATGGTTGCAGAACTCGTGTCATGGATGAGGTCCATGATAGGCGTCCATGATGGATGCCTGCAAACAAATCGGCTCCTTGTGGCTCACAGCCGGTTGGGAACGTACCCTGCAGCTAATAACAGCACGAGCAACGCATCAGAGCGTTATAGGGCTTCGTCGTGAGGATTCTGCGCAAGGTGCAGGGCGCGAAGAGACGGAGGGGTGGTCTCATTGGGTAGATAGCATTAGTAGCATGAAAGTAAAACCTCCCATTGAACCGATATTATGTTGTTCCAAGCATGGCGAGACGGTGCAGAGGCTAACAGCGTCGGTCATGAGTAACGTGGACAAATGAGAAGCGCCGCACGAGCATACCCTTGTCGTTGTATGTACGGCTTCCCAAAGAGTGAGGCTAGCACTCCACCCTTCGATGGCCCTTCTCTGCATACGATCCAGCATCTTCCGGCAGCGAGGACGGAGGAGCTCGCAGTGATCAGGGCGCACGGGGAATGAATGGCATGCCCGAGATCCATCAACCACGCCCGCCCGCCAGCTTAGCGACCTGACATGACGTGAAACCGTCCATCCTCCACAATAGCCGTCTCCACCCCCACTACAACTCTCAACGCGATTACCTTGCAAAAGTCGGCATTTGAGAGGTCGTGTGCCCGCCGCTACCTCGAGCACCAGGCGACTGTGAGGCGATCTTGGTTTCCAAACCGCGGTAGACGCGTCTCGCCCTCCAAACGGCACCACCACTACCACCACCAGCGCGACTAAGGGTATTATGAGGGTGAGTGAGTACATGTCACGAGAGCTCCCCCCAAATTGCTCCCTATGCTTCTCCTGTCCCCTATCCTCGCTCTGCCATGTCTCCATCCTGGTCGAGTGCTTGCTACAACTTTCCAGCTAACTTGCCTACCAGAGTCCCACGTAGCTCCATCCTCAACGAACATTGCTATGCGGAAGAGATGACCTCGGAATTCGGCCGTTGGGATCTGAATAGACACCAATACGATAGTCAATGGGGTGTCCGTGTCCCGGAAGCTCCTCAGGCGCCGTGCCCTCTACCATATGCCTTTCCGGAGCAGCCTTTCCCGCAACTCGCCGAGGGGTTTGGGCAATTGCAGCTGGGGAAGGTTCCAAAGCCGCGAACAACGCCCGTAATCTCTCGCACGCGCATCACCCGCCATGGCTCACAACCAAACCCTGTACGGCCCTCCTCCAGCGGCGGAGAGGCTAACATGGCCTCCTACCGCCCTTTTGCACCCCCACGCCGCTCTGAGTCGTACTCGCACCCTACCCCTCTCGAAGACTTCCGTAACTCAAGACGCTGGCCGCCAAATGGACATAGACAGAACGATGCGCTGGCGCCGCAAGAGGCGGAGGATCTGATCTGCGCTGGAGCATCTACATTCAAAGGCTACTGGGATGTGATACCTAATGCCCCACCAGGCTACGACCGTTTCTATGCCGTCATGGAGTCGGAGCATCAGAGTAGGACAGATCGCGCCCCATTCCAACAGCAAGCATACCGGGACATGTCCCTCAACATGACCGGTGCCTCTGACAGCCAGTTCCCGTGGTTATCCCAGGAGCAGCCTTGCATGGCTTATGCGTTCGGCAAGAGTGCAGGAACCACGACACTCAATTACTGGATTAGCAAGTCTGGAAGCAGCAACCCTCCTACCAAGTTTTCCGCCGATGCGAAGCCACGGAAAATTAAGCTTTTGCATATTCTAGACCGTCTACAGAAACTAGAGAGCGGGTTCAATGAAGATGTCAGTCTACAGCCCCGATTGGGGGATGCTTGTGGTTCACTTTGCCTAACATTTGATTTGACAGGATCCTGAGGAGATGTATCGATATCTATACAATACGCTAATCGATGACCCAGAGGGGTTCGGCGATCACCGTCATATCCGTATCGACCAACAAATTGCGGATCTCATTACCGTGTTGAGCAATCCAAAATGGATAGACTTTTCTCTTCCAAAGAACCAGGTAGTGGCCAAATTCTTCGATGCGCCGGATCAGCGCAAGAAACAGGAGTTTTTTCACCAATTACTACTATCTGTTGAGTTATATCTTCGAATTCATTCCAAGGACCATACCGACAAATCCAAGCGAAAACTCATCATGCAACTTCCACCTATCATCACCTGGGACTTGGCTGTTGCACAGCGATGGCTTGAGAACATGGAGATCACCAAGTCGCGAATATCACCTACTCAAAGTACTTTTAGTTTCGACTTGAAGAGTAAGAACAGACAGAAAGAGGCACTAAGATTCTTTGCAGCGATACTGAAATGGCCCAACATGGATGAGATTGAATACGTCCTTGAAGAGCAGGACATGAACGAGAAACCACTGGAGGATCGATCTGCGGATGCAATGTCTTGGTTCTCTGGGATCATCTTGCCTGGAAGGACGCTACCATGGCTGATCATGAACAGTTTAATTGATTGTGACCGCGACACGGGGGATGCTCTGAAATTTCTGACCCATATGCAGCCCGCATCAGGATTTCAGTATCGAGCAAATACTTACTGGTCTTCCCAATGCATTGTCGGCAAGGTACTCGGGGCTGCGCGAGGTGTCAAACAAATAGCAGGATGGATCGGACCGTGCATATACACTCCGGACCTCAAGCGAACAGAATGCGTCAGGATCAAGCAGCATGAGCCTCTAGATCCCAAACTTGCTTCAACTGACGTTGCGTCCATGGGCGAGCGAACGAATGCTCTTGGTCCTGTAGAGTCAAGCTACCCCGTAGACGACTATGATGTGCCAATGCCCGACGTCGAAGATGTCACAGACTTGATCAGAATGGAGAAATTGAGTTTTGTGCCTGCTAAGGAGCAACGTGCATCGACCAGGCACCTGCCTGGTGCGCCACTGGTGTTCGATGCGGCGATCTTCTTCGCATGTGGAGGGGAAAGCTGGCCGATGAAGCTGCGATACGATGTCGACTTCATCAACGCTTTCCCCTGCCATCAAGGTCCCCACGGTAAGACGGTGCTTTAGTAGCATGTCACACCTGATACTAACTTGATGTAGTTCTCTTCTACGACTTCGCATACAAAGCCATCAAAATTGACGATGGCCTCGTAGACATCGACGACTGGGGCCGCCAATGCGGCCGCATAGCTCGCCCTACCTCATCGCGTTCCTCTCCGGCCAATAAAGCAGTAGCTCTGACAAATGGGCACACTAAGACTGCCCATGAACAGGTCACAATCGTCCTCGCAATCGAGGCGCTTGGTGTTAGCGACAATGAGGTCTTTGCACGAGCATGGTGTGCGGACCAAGGACATAGCGCCATTGTAGCAAATATCAAGGAAACGTGTATGGCATGCGCGATTCGGGAGGCTTATGCGGCGTGTGTGAGTGTAGTGATTCTTACCGAGGGTGGTATTGTGAAGGAGAATGATACGGGGGTTTATGGTTTTGCTTAAGATCTTTCACAAGAGCTGGGTAGTTGAGAGAACAAGGGGGGGTAGGTGGCGTCATGGACTGGTGGTGTTTTGGCATTTGCATCCGGCGTAGAGATGCTTCGGCGTATTTTCTACGACGACAAGGAAATATGCATTCTCTTTTGTCCTAGGTTGGTGGGGAAAGGATCGCCCTGTTGGCTTTATCGCTGGTATATCCCATGGGTGCCTGTACGGCTTCGGATGGACGGCTCGGCGAAAGGGTTGCTTGTCTTGCTTTATGACTGTAACGTTACGCTCAAGAGAGCACGGAAAGGTCGGTTATGATAATGCTTACGTAGCTATGTGTTATGAATGTATGTGTTCGGTACTCTACTCTTGGTACTTGGGGTGCTGGAACATCACGTGCTGATATGCTGATAGCGACATTGAAGTCTAAGGCCAACGTCAGATGCGGTGATGTCTGAGCGCGACAAACTGCCGTGCAGCTTTGACACCGAGTTATTGCAACCACTTCTTGTCATTTAACACTAGGAGCTGAAGGTCACGTTCAACCTCTTCAAAGCCAGCCCTAGAGGGGCCTCGTTGCCTAAACGCCATCGAACCAGTAATACTCGACTCGTTTCTCCGGACATCTCCCCGCAAACTAACACTATCTCACCCAAACGATTTGAGGCTACGGTTTGCCGGTGAACCTTTAGTCGTAAAAGCAAGTGTGTACACTCTGCGCTGGACCCCCTTTTCATGCGATTGCACAAACCCGTAGTTGGCGCCGGCCCGTTGTAGCACGTAGACATCACCAATCACCCGCTTCCTCCACGCCTGCGCCATGGGCCGGTCAACGATTCCTCTCGCGCTCAACGAGTTGTCCAACCCCAGCACACCCGAAGCACAAGTCGCCGCGCTACAGAACCTGAAGAATGAAATCGTTGGACACGAACAGAGGAAGGAGCTGGCCGTTACACATGGCGTCGTGAAACCTCTCGCGGGCCTGTTACGGGCGGAGGCGAGGAAAGGTGGGAAGAGGAGAAGAAATGTCACAAACGGGCATGGCTCGGGACTCTTCAGTGAGACGAGGAGAAATCTTGTAGAGTGGACCACAGAGGATGAGCTGAGGTTTCAGGCCACGCTTGTCGCAGGCAGTCTTGCCAACGGTGAGCGAGCACCACAAAGACACAATATACAAGAGGTTGATGGCTGATGTGTGCGGCATATAGGTGGACCAGCGTTTATTGCTCCGTTGCTCGCAGGCGACATACTTCCTCCTTTACTAGAGGCGCTGCGCCCAAGTGAGACGCCTTCGAAACTAGTAACCACGACCCTCAAGTCGCTCAACCAGATCGTCGACGCCGTTGCGCAGGAGAAACCTTGGGTCGATATGTCGGATACATCGTCGAGATCATCACTAGCCTTCGCGGTTAACGAGCAAATATACACAAAGCAAGTTATCGAGAGTCTCGCGGAGATCCTGGCGCAGGTCGCAGGTACAACGAGAGTCAATCAGCAAATAGAGTCGACGGTACGGCTCATCATGAAAACTTGTCGAGAGGATTGTCAGAAGAAGTTGCTGGTCGACGCCGGCATACTCGATTTGTTGGCAGAGAAGCTTGCTGCTGTTGCTGCAACCGACGATTCTCTTCCGGACACGAAGCAGTCGACCCACGATAAGCTTCCTAGTGCGTGTATGCCTGATATACTAGAGGCTATTTCGGCCATCATTAAGGACTCACACTTCTATACCGCACGATTTCTCTACTCGCAGCCAATACAACAGCTTTTTGGGTGGCCGAAAGAGCGTTCGGCAGCATACGACGGTCATAGCTCTTCTTCGCAATCCAATACGTGGGACAAATTGATACCGCGGGTACAGACAATGGCGAGCAAATCGGATCCGTATACCAAGTCATGGCCGGCTCTGGGTGCATACAACCCCGCGGTTGGCGAGAGCAATACTCGATTGCCTAGCATGGAGTCATTACAGCAGACCTCGAGCCGAAGTGTCATCACGGACGAGTCGGAATCCCCTTTATTCATATGGCTCATGTACGTGGCGAGGCGGGGCGAGGGCAGAGAACGCTTAGCAGCCTGCTGGCTACTAGCACTATTGAAGAAGTTTGGCGAGCGATGGCCGCTGAACGACCCCTCAAAGACAACGCGAGAAAGGCACTTCTCATATCTCATCGTCCCACTTGTCGTCAAGATGATTGAGGATTCAAGCCCAACTTCAGAACAAGCGAAGAGAGCGAACAATCTAAGTCCTACAGCAAGAGACGAGATGCGCTTTGTATTGGAGCGGTCACCGCTTGTTCTTGCGGAGCTCATCGGCGGTAACAAGCCACTTCAATCTGCGGCTGTCGACGCTCGAATCCTCCCGACGCTTGTCCAGATTCTTAAAAAGTCGTTTGATATACCCGCGACATCTTCGAAACCGCTTTGGCAACCGAGGTCATCACATGAAGTCAAGGATACGACGATTGATCCTGCCTCATCGACGCTGGGCAGACCTGGGCTCAGCGCAGACGTCCTGCATGCGTTCAAATATCGAGAGAGCGTTCTACTGGCGCTAGCAGCGATAGCGGGTGATCAGGATGGATACAGGAAGCTTGTCATCGAAATGGGTGCTGCAACGCAAATCATCGAAGCGCTGGTCCCTTATACTGAGAGCAATGAGCCAGGCGCACCATCGACAATAAAGGATGGAAATCCTGACACGGTACTTATCGCTGCCTGCAAGGTCACGCGCTCACTATCGAGATCGGTCAGTGTGCTCAGGACAAGTCTTATCGATCATGGCGTGGCCCAGCCGGTCTTCGACCTCCTGACGCATCCAAGCGTCAAGGTGCAAATTGCGGCTACAGAGGTGATCACCAATCTAGTGCTGGAAGTTTCACCTATGCGAACTGTAAGTTAGATACTCGATTCCTTCTTCTATAAAGCTAATCTTTGACCAGGAAATCCTCGAATCTGGAGTTCTCAAAACGCTTTGCGAACAATGCCGGTCAGCCAACTTTGACCTCCGTTTTGGGAGCCTCTGGGCTTTGAAGCACCTATGTCTTGGCTTACCACAGATGATGAAAATGCAATGTCTAGAAGAGCTGGGTGTAGGTTGGCTTGTGCAAGTGCTGAACGGTGAGCCGAGTAAACCTACCATGGCTACTCCAAATGCAGCAGGCGAGCAAGTCGACATTCTGAATGCGGTTGATGAGCCTCACATGGATGTCGATGACGAACTTTCGTCCGAAGAAGATGAAGACGCCATGACCGAAAGCATACCTTCGTTGCGCCGGCATCAGCGCCCAGGATCTAGATACACCAGCGCCACGAATATCCGAGATCGTCTACAGCAAATCAAAAACGATGAGCAGGACACGAGACTCAACGGCGAACGCGATGACATACGCATCCAAGAGCAGGCTCTGGACTTTATCCGAAATTTTGTATCAGAAGACAAGGCCTCGGGCGAGATGATTGACCATTTGCTCAAAACCTTCGGGCATAGCCGTTTCTTCGAAATTCTAGACGCGAAAGTCCGTCCTAAGAACATATCCTCGTCAACATCAACGGCACAAACCCAGCCCAGTCCTGGTACAACAAGCTTCTGGCCGAACTCCAACCAACGACTATCCTTCCCCTCCTCCACACCAACCCCAAGCCAACAACCGAATTGGTCCCTTTACCCCGCCACCGAACTCATCTTGGCCACAGTCTTCATCCTTGTGCACCTCGCCAACGGCCGTCCCGCTCACCGCTCTCTCCTCATCTCCCAAACCGCACTCATGCAACATGTCCTTCCACTCTTCGTGCACCCGCGCCGCGAAATTCGAGTAGCGTGCGCCTGGGTGATCCACAACCTTGTGTGGGTAGAAGATCATACAGATGAACCTGCTACCCGCGAAAGGATACAGACTCTGAGGCAACTGGGTTATGAAGACGGTGCGAAACTACTGGGACGCGATATGGATTTGGATATCAGGGAGAGGGCGAAGACGTCAATTGAACAGTTTGCAAAGTTTGGCGGTGACCAAGGAAGAGGCGGTTATGGCAATCCAGCACAAGGCTTCGGGGGTGCAGAAAGCGGTATGGGCGGCCTAGCGGGCATGGGCGGGAGGTTTGGTGGATTGCATGGGGGGTGGAGACAAGAGAGGGGTTGAGCACCACGTTTCAATGTATGGATGCATGGCGAAAGCCGATGCACGGTTCCTCATTTCTTTGGTATGTATGATGTACAGTAGAAGGTTACGAATTTATAACATCTTTACGATATGAGGGGGAAGTCACACTATCTTTTTGGTTTGGTATGAAGAATGTACTGTTAGATGGAAGTTTGTAGTTTACTTCCATAAATTCTACAAGTATCTCACAAAACTTGGCACAATCTTCCTAATTACTCTCCTACTCTGCTGCTACGGGGGAAAGAACAACGAAACTGAATTATATACATGAAGCGTTGAGGGACTTCCAACTCAACCCAACATCGTCATCCAACGTACCCAGCTCAGAGGCCAAAGCTCCCGATCCTAAAGACATTAATAGTATCCACAAACGTCGAGTTATTATCCACATTACTCGCCAAATCAACGCCATCTCTCGTGATCATCTCCGTCGCACCAACGGTATTCAAATTATACAGCACGACATCATACGAATGCCTATCACCCTCAATAGACAAAATACGCGTCTGACAACGCGCTCCAGCACCAATTTGCGAGCAATTCGTCGAGTAGTTATCGAAGAACGAATACAAGCCAACGCCATAGCCGAGAATGTTGTTCGAGCGCACGATACGGAGACCCCAGCCTGACGCTGCGTTTACGGATGAATTAGCACTAGGCGTGAAGACTGGGTCATTTAAAGCGGGGTTCTCAGGGAAGGGGATGGTGGCGTCTGGGTTAGGCTGGTAGTATGCTGTTTCGGTTTGGATTTGGCCCATGACTATGGAGCGCGTGTCGACGAATTGGTACTCGTATTTTACGTGGTGTTCGACGGCTGTGCCGTATCTGTTTTTTTCTCTTCTTTAGTAAAGGTCGAAAAGCGTGTCTTGAAGAGGAGATGAACACTTACAACCATAAAACGCCTCGCTGACTCTCGATGTACAGACCCCTACCAGCATAGATGGTGATTTGTGTGTTGTTGTTCGTTGCATCGTCCAGGTCGTGGTCTGCGGTCCACAACCAGTTATTCTCCATGTACAATCCTGTTCCAAACTTGGTGACGTGAATTGCCATGTACGCAGCAATGCACTCCTCGACGAGATTTCCTTCTGTGATGTTGGCATTAGGCGTCTTCTCGCACTGCGCAGTCTGCAGGTTAGAGCCCGTGAAGCCTCCAATGCGGGTGTGTACATCCCATAAGCCAGCCGGTTCTGCGCCGTAGGATGCAAGGTTATACTCAATGAGAATGGCTCCTTTTTGTTGTCCTTGTGTGCTGACGAAAAGGTCTGATAGCTCAACTGTGCCCTGCTCACCGGGTAGTGCGATCTTCACAACGACTTGGGGGGCGTCGATGTCGTTGAAGTATTCGCCAGCTGAGAGGATTACTGAGGCGAGAGCCTCGCCGACGATCTTGGAGCCGGGGGGAACGTAGATGGTACCGGTAACTTTGTAGAAACCCGCATCGAGGAAGAGGATTTTGCCCTCCTTTTTAGCATTCAAGATCGCAGCATTCAGTGCGTCTGTGTCGTCAGTCTCGCCGTCTCCCGTAGCACCGAGGTCTCGAGCACTGAGAACCTGTGATAATGGGACGGAGCCGTACTGCGGCTTGGATCGCTCGTAGTACTTTCCTTGGGCATCGAGTAGCTCGATTGGTCGCTTACTAGGAGTGATCGGGCCTCGCTCCTCAATTGGGCCATGAGGGAGGTATCGGTGGCCGTCAGCCCAAGCGCTGATGACCGAGGGGCCGAAGGATCCTTCCAGATATATACCCTCCTGTCCGACTACAGCAGCTCCAACGTTGTTCAGCTTAACGTTCTCCAAATACAGACTTCCAGCACTATCAGGCTCAGAATCGTCGGTCCTAGAGGTAACGATACCAATAGGTGTATTGTTGATCTCGCTGTCCAACAACACAATGGAGCCAACATTGACAGCTGAAGGACCGCCAGCAGAGATGTTCAGACCAACGCGGCAATTGTTGATCGAAACACTCTTGTAAGTCCATCCCCAATCCCACAACTGATTGATGGCTGTATTGACGTTGTTGAATGTAAGATTGCGGGTCGTGAATTGTTGATTGCCAACATTAAACCCATAATTACCACCATTGAAGACCAAATCAGTCATGAAGCCTCCAGAGCCCTCCTCAATGAAGAGACCTTGGTGTAACGTTCCATTAGCAGCATTCATGTTGAACACAATATTCTGCAGGCTGGTCGTCTGCGCCGTGGGCCAGTGGATACCGGTGGCAGAAAAGTTGGCAGGGAGTTGAGTCATATCAAGGACGAGGTTACGGATCTGCCTGAAGAAAGTGTTTGTAGGTCCATAGCCCGTCTTACCAACGCGTGGACCGGATCCCTGGTACGGAGAGCCATCGATCAAGCCTAGGCCGCCAGTGAAGTTGGATGCAGCCAAGATGGTTGGAAGACAGTTTGGGTTCCCAATAATCTGTTTTCGTTAGTCGTAATAATACCGTGTAATAGACTCAATATACCTGAGTATAGTAATAATCCATAATACTAGCGGAGATCAAGTACGTGCCACCAGGGAAGTACACGACAGCCGGTGTAGTCGTCGAACTTTCGCAGAAGCCTGGCCTACATCTATTACCTTCCGTGATAGCCCGCTGAATGGCTGCAGTGTCATCCGTGACTCCATCACCCTTTGCGCCGAAATCCTTCACATTCCTGAACACCTGATACGAGGCCGGATCTGCGTTGAAAGATGCGAGACCTTGATGTTTGATGTTTTCAAGCCAGTACGGAGCGCAGGAAGAATTAGATGGCCCAGTTGGACTGGGTTTCACAGAGGTATAATGTCCTGTTCCAGTTGGATAGAAAATCTCAGAAGCATTGTGGGCATGAGTGGGCCTAGGAGTATACGTAGGGCGACCAGTCGATGAGTCGCCATAAACAAGCGTTGGTGTCGAATCCGCTGGAAGTGGCGTGTGGACGGAGTCTATGCTCTTCGACTTGGACTTTATATCGCTCACGCTTTCCATTGGAGCCCTCCCGTACCCATACCCGCCATCATAACGAGGGTTCAGCGCGAGGACGCAAGTCGACAACCCCAAAACAACCGTTGAAAGAAGCAACATCGTGTCGACGATGACTCGTTAATGAGCGACAGGAAACGAACTTGGAAAGATAAAAGCACCGAAAGTGACCCGGCTTCCGGGCATGCAGTGATAGTTAAATCAACCACCCTTGAACCAGAGTAAATTGACCTGTAGCTGACCTAAGTCGGCGCCCTGTCATAACAATCAGCCGTACGGTCCGCATGTGGACGATCAAGCATATTTCACGTATTGAGCCAATCATCCGACCCTTCAGCGCCGAATTAGGAAGTTGTATGAAGGTGTCAGCTTTAAGCACCGAGGCGTGGCTTGCATGTCCCTCCCGCCATTTGGACGGTCTGAAACACATGTACTAGGTCCGATTGTTCTTATTCGTGGAGTCGCAGTGTCTACATGATGCGAGGATAACGAAGCTGCCTTACTCTGTGGACTGGTGATGCGGCCACGCGGCGACCTCGAGTGAGACTCTTCAGCCTTATGCGTCGTGACGTGGTGAACGGCTCCCCATGTTTTCAGGGATATTATAATCAACTTACAGCTCCCCCGCCAGCCGCGTGCCATGGTACGGTGATCATCATAGTGTGACTGTGTACGCAGGGGCGCCTTTGTGGTTATGAGGTGGTGAGGTGAGCAGGGGTATTTCAGGGGGGATAAAGTTCGCGATCTTCGGGTTCGAGGACCATCCGTTTTGGGAGAAGATCAAGCGTGAATGGAGTTATGCAAATCCCAGTATGCTGAGCAGAGACTCTCGTAGGATCCGCGTGATGATACCCAAATCACTTTGTACGTGCGTCGCGGGTGAGGCCAAAGTCCCCCATCGGCAAAACATCGCGTGAAGCTCCGATATCTGCTCGAAACTTTTACGTGAACGTCATCTTCAAGCTGCCACGTCCACGCCCAAAACATACTCAGCTTCTAATACGCCCTTACATCCCGCTTTACTTTACCTTCCTCTCACAGACACAATGTTCGGAGGTAGGTTTAAATCTCCAACGACACGCCCCAGACCACAGAGCTAACACCTTCCCCAGCACCACCGCAACCCTCAAAGAAGGAGCTCGAAGCCGCCGAGGCGCAGACCATACTGGACATCAAGTGGACGGCCGCGAGCGCTGTTCTCCTTTACTTTTGTAAGCTGCCGAGACATCAAATACATCTATGGAATGGTCGCTGATATATGATGCTACAGCGCCGCACCTCGTCGATTACGTTTCCCAGCTCTTTTAGACGGCGACTCAAAGTACCGAAAATGATGAGTGATTGAGCCGTTGCGCCAATAGCGGAATCACTTTCGATTGTATCATACATCTCCACATTCAACGGCGTTTATGCGATCGGAGGACAAGGCTCTATATCATAGGCGTGCAGTTAGCAAAAGCAGCGCATGTAACATCATGGATTCGGTAAAGCCTTGTGCAATTAGTCTCAGATACAATCAATAGTTCAGACATGTCACCGCAGAGCACTTGTGAATTTGGTGAGGTCTGAGGAGACTACAGTAAAGAAGAAAGTCAAACTATAGAATGGGAGGCGGACAGATGGTGGCAAGCCATCTTGAACCATGCTTGAACTAATATTACTTGCTATGCATTCGCCACTTGGTATCCCAAAACGCCTGGCTTTCTCTGATAAATCGTACATGCCGACGTGCTACTACATCGACCTCTCATCGCTTCGCAGGCCTCGTCTGCTTCAATGCCTCCCATTCGTCGTATTCCTCTTTCGTGTCGTCTACCCACTTCTTGAGGTGCTCGAGCTGCCTGTCATAGTCCTTCAACAGCTGGGATACTTTATTAGCATTGTAATCACTTGTTTCGAAAAAGCAGGTCATACCTTCTCCAACGCCTTTTGATCTTCCCCAGTGAGAAGCTCGCCATTCTGTTGATTCTCAATCGTCTTGCCCAACTTCTCCGTCTCTTCTTGTAGTATCCTCGCTCGCTCCCGCACGCCAGACATGCGCGCCCAGATCTCTTCTTGCCGTCCACCTAGCACAGGATCGAAGGTTTTCTTCTCCAGCTCAAAGAGCTTCTTCTTCAGATCTTCTTCCTGCTGGTCCATGACGTATCCTCGATTCCTCAGGATTTGCACTTTGGTTGCAAGAGCCAACGTCCGCTGTGTGAAGACAATATGCTTCCGCTTCGCCTCGGTGATGCGCGATGCAACGTTCAGCTCGTGTGTGTCTTTCAGGAGTGCAAGACTGTTGTTGATCTCATGTAGGCGGGTTCGTAACGCCGTGACAGCGGCCGCTTGTTGCCGTATGCGCTCTCCGACTTGTTCGAAACCGCGAGCTAGGACAGGGATGGCACCTGGACTAGGCTTTTTAGACAAAGCCTCCTCCCATTTTCTCTCGTCTTCGCCCTGTGAGGGGCCATAGAAGGGCGCTTCTTCAGGCTTGACGGCGTTGTAGAAGTAGTGCGTGAAAACGCATTCGGGGTTCGCTGGATCCCATTTGTTATTCAGCGTCCGTATCTGTTCTACGACCGACTTCTCCCCTATCTCGAGTTAGCATTTTGATGTAGTATTTCTCATTGTACATACTGTGACCGTTGATTGACGAGCCGGCGAAAGGCTGTGCAGATGACTGGCGTAATTGCGGAAGCCCCTCACGCTGCTGTTGAATGTGTTGCGCTTGGACCTGATTGAGCGCTGGTGCTGGCTGTAGCGAGGCTCCAAACAGACTGTTGCCCAGGTTCGGCTGTTGCTGCTGTTGTTGTTGTTGTTGTTGTTGCTGTGGCTGCTGCTGCTGTTGTTGCTGACCAAAGAGACTTGCGCCTGCATTATTTTGCTGCTGCTGCTGCTGTGGCTGGCCAAACAAACTTGAGCCGCCGGGCTGTTGTTGCTGCGTGGAAGCGAACAGGCTATTGCTCTGGGGTGCGGCTTGAGAGCCGAAGAGGCTAGGTTGCGATGCATTGGTCTGTTGTTGTTGCTGCTGCGGTTGCTGGGATTGACCAAAAAGACCTCCAGGTGGTGCTGTCGTGCTTCCGAACAGTGTGCCCGTCTTTTTCTCTGCCCCTCCAGGGGCGCTACCCAAGTTGCCGAAGCTGAAAGACATGTTGACTGAGTTTCCACGAGTATGTAGACGTGTAGGCGGGAAGCGATAGTTGTGGCTTCAGCTGTTTGTTTTTCTAGACGACGCGCTGGGCACGCGGTGGAGCGGTGTCGGGGCGAGGCAGGCAGAGAGGAAGCTACAGCCAAAGTCTAATCGATGTGCATAGTGGCAGCTGAGACGGTTGGAAGAGTGGCGCAAAGAGTTGCTACAAGGCGGAGAGAGACAATGAGGAGCTTGTTGTTCTTGCTGGCGGGCCGTGTCGCTTGTCGATTGTCTACCAAAGCTTTCAGGCACCGCCAATCGCAATCCCTGTCAATTTGACTGACGAGCCAAGACCTGCGACTTCCGCGACCAACAGCTCCATCTCCAGTTCCAGTCCAGGTCACTTTGGGAGCACCCTGCCCGCCATTAGCACTTCAAACTCACCATGTCGTCGCGTCAGCCCAGGTAGTCCTTTTTCTAGCCACTTTTACTGGCTTCCCGAGGCTAATTGACCCCAGGTTCAACCAGCAGGCCCTCATCGACACCACTCCGCTACCCGATGACATCCCCAAGGTCAAAGAACTCGGCGCCAGTTCTGCCCCTCTCCTCAGCGCCTCCTTCTTCATCGGTGCGCGGTGCAAGGCCTTCAACGATGACTACATGATGTGCAAGACCGAGGCGAACGGCCGGGGTGAATTCGACTGCATGCAAGAGGGTCGCAAGGTCACCAGATGCGCAGCCAGCGTGTAGGAGCCCCCGGGTCAACAAGTTGAAAGAAAGAAAGCTGACGGACATGGCAGTATCAAGGATATCAACGAGAACTGTCTGGCTGAGTTCCGCACTCACTGGCAATGCCTGGAGAACCACAATCAGCAGCTATGGAACTGCCGGTCAGAAGAGCGGAGGTTGAACAAGTGCGTATTTGAGAAGCTGGTATGTATTCAATGTGGCTTTGATCGCTCTTGTCGCTTACACATGCCAGAAATTGGAGAAGACGATACCAGAGGCGCCCAAGGGCGAGACGCCCGTCCATTTGCGAGCACGCAACATCTTTGCTACTCATTGAGCTTTGTACATATATCACCAGGGACAGGAAAATCAACGACTCTAATTCAAAAGTCCGACTGTCTCATATGCAGCAAACCTTGTTGCAAATTGTGACCAAACTGCCGGTTTGCTGTACTAACAATTACACCAAGCAGATGACCAACAACGATCCAAGCGCTGTCACGCTCTTAGAGCGTGCCACAACGCCATCTCTTTTGCTTCCGCATAGCTGCGCATTGTGTAGTTTTCCGACTTCGTCGACAGCGTGCGGTGAATTTGCAGGCACTCGTACCGCTTCACTACTTGCACACCATCACTGCACGCTTCAAGCGCGCATATCACTCACTACAACTTCATTCTTTTGGCCATCCTTATTACTCACATTCTTCGCATTTGCCCTACTACCCCTCCCTCTTTATCACTCAGTTCATTACCAGTCCTGCTTGTAGGTCTAGTGCTGGGACAGGTTTGGAGCCTTTGGCGTTCTCCACAGAGAGCTTACGGTCACTACGAGCGTCTTCCTAGCACCAAGGCCACTTTACCATCACCATGAGCGCTACGATACCGTCACTGAATCCCTTCAGCGATGAAAACATCGAGCCAACCATGAGTGGCGAGAAGAACTTCGCCGACTTCAAGGTTGGTAATGATGCTACTCTCGTTAAGGATCCCTACAAAAAGACAGCAAGTAGACTAGATAACGTCGCAGTCCCTATCCTCGATGCCGTCCAAGCATTCCCAACCTGGAGCCCTCAGTCAAGCGTATCCACCCTCAGCATCGTCTCAACAGCACCTACTTCGCCTACAACAGATACCTTCAACGCGCCCATCCAGTGGAACAACGCCGACCTAAGTACTACTACCACCACCCTCTATTCACTAATATGTAGAACTAACCTGATATCGTCAGTGTATCTGCTCTCCTGCACCATGCCAGACGAGCTCCTTGCAAACCAACTCATATTCTCCCCTCCCCTCGAAGATCTCCGCACCATCACATGCCTCATACACCTCCAGCTCTTCAGAAGGACACCCACCACCCCTCCTCCGCCTGAAGCATTCTCTAAACACGCTCCCATCGGCACCGGACGACCGTGCTCAAGCGTCCTAGTCGCCGAGTCAGACAAGAAATGTGGCAGCACTACAGAAGCACGCCGCTCACTAGCGAAAAAGCTGCTTAGTAGTATGCGTGTGGTGGGCGGCGCCGTGGATATGTATAATGTCCTCGTGACGCTGCATCGTCTCTCGACTCCGACGCTATATAGCATCTACCGCAGTCTCATTCTCATGACCGCAGTGTCTGATAGGGAATGGAGCGAGCGCCTACAACAGCTTCGTGGCTTGGTCGATGGATGCGACGCCGTCGAGAGCGTAGATTTCACGTGTACTGTCGAAGCGCGGCTGGAAGTCTTTTTCCTCGAGGTGGGCGTGGGGCAGCTTGAACGTTGGATCAGGAGTGTAGGAGTGGCATTGGCGTTGGGGAGGAGGGGTCGTAAGGTCTGGGCAGATGTTTATGGGGATGCGGCGGCGTTCTTGGGGCGGGCGATGTGGGAATTATTGGATTAAGAAGACGGTGGGGTAATAGTGATAAGGGGGAAGAGAGTGTGAATGGGGTAGGCCCTCGATGCTTTGCATGAGAAGAGGAGAGTGTGGCGAGCGATCGCAACAGGCTGGACAGCGAGTGCGAAGAATGTTAGCATTATTACCAGCTATTGATAATAAACCAGTTCTTCAAAAACCTCCTAATGCTACTAATACCTTCCCATCATAGCTCGTAACTTCATAAGTCGTGTCTCGTGGATATCAATCATGTCGTCAATAGCAACAGCCTAATCCCTCCTTCCACCCCTCACAGCACCTAAGAAGCGGTCTCGAAGAGTTCCTCGCACTGCAGCCGCAGCGCCAGCAGGTGAGCTCCTGAGAAACGAGCTGCTCTCCATAAATGAACTGCTGCCATCCATCCCGAAGCTACTCCTCCCCCGGCCCAGGTCCACCCCAAGACTAAGTCTACTAGCTACAGGGCCTGCACCAGCGCCGGTAGCCACGATACCACTCGGAAGCCCAGAGCTCCTGCGTCCCGAGCTCCGTCTCCCACTTTCTCTTCTCATCGACCGTCTCGACCGAGCTGAATTGAGATGCGGTGTGGGTAGGTGGCTGCGATCGATATCGCTGGAGTCTTCGAGTTCAGAGTCGGTATGCTCGTAGCTCCCCGCCTCAGGCACATCGTCGTCTAGATCGCGCTCGTCTTGCAGAACGCCCGCCATTTCCGCTTCCTCCATCTCCAGCATGTGGCTCACCTCCGCTTCCAGCATACTCCCTTCGATAAAAGAGTCTTCGTTGAACGGCACGGTAGTATCCTGGCCCTCGTCATCGCTGCCAGGGTCGTCGGACGAGTCAGAAGCAGACTCAGAGGCCGACGCTTCGGGCACTTCTTCGTCTAGATCTCGTTCTTCCTCTTCTTGGCCTTCCATTTGGTCTCCCTGTTCTCGCTGTTCTTCATTCGCAGCATCTTGCTGCGCGGCTGCTAGATCCATCATCACTTGCTCCCTCCGCTGCATCATGTCCTGTTCCTCCTTCTCTAGTTCCTCGTCCTTCATCGCCTGCAGGGTTTTGGCAACACCCGGTGGGCGGAGCCAGCCAGCGCCGAAACGGCGGACGTTTTGCTTGCGTTGTTCGATTGTGTTCTCGTCGTTTGTGAGGGCTGCGAGGAGGGCGGAAGTATGGCGCGGGCCATGGTGGGAGGTTGGTCGGCGTTGGTTGTGCGAGTTGGCGTTAGGGGGTGACTGTGAGCTTCTGTCGTCGATGTAGCTGTGGTTTGCGCGGTGGGAGGGCCAGAGGGAGGCGTCCTGGAGCGATTGTAAGTATCGGGTTTTGGTACACTAAGTTTATGGGAGAGCTCGTGTTGTATATAGGTATGTGTAGAACTTGAGCAAGGCAAACATACCGGTCGCGGTGCAATCATAGGTAGCGACAGCATCTTGGTTCGGCTGGCAGATACCTGCGGTCACTAAGTTTGAGTACAGATTGCGATTATTGGTGGGTCTTTGCAGCAATAGACGCGTTGTTTGGTGTTTAAGTCAACATGAGGCTACCTGTTGGCCCCACCTCGGTTCACCCTAAAGCAGTAAGGCGGTCGCCGCTGGCGATCATCCTCCAAGGTTTGTCTACTCGATCACTTGTTACCATACTTTGAACTGTAAGGACGTATGGACTGTTTACGATATATATCTACTCTCTTCTGAATCGTGTAACGAATATAGGTCCAGCAACAAAAAGTCCATGGAGGCGGAAGCCGCTCTCCATCCCAAGCGACTCCAAGTCGTCACTTTTCTTTTTAAACATGCAAAATCCTCCATGGTTGTAGAATCCCTACAATCACAACACACGCTATGAACGCCGTCACTAAGCCCTGAATCATTTCTCTTACATTCTCACATGGAGAGCTCGTCAACCCCTTTGCCAAAAGAGAACTGACGAAACACAAAAACATCTATGCTTCCCTGAAGCTGGTTTGACGTATACATATATTTCTCAGCTGATAATGCAGTAGAACCTGTTCGTACGAACGGCCCCTGTTTCAATCTCCTAGGGGTCTGTCCGAGCTCTGGAGCGGGCATCAGGGAAAGTGTTGGGTTTTGGTAATATGGGATGTGCATAACGCTATGTAAAAGTCACCTAGGGCGATCCGCCCTACTAACTATGTTATAAATAGCAGTCCCTACAATATGATCATGAGAGGTACACGGGCTATGGAGGACGCATCGTCAAGGCGCAAAGATGATTGAAATCTAGGGATCGAAGAGTACAGAGTAGACGATGCATGGTCTATAGGAAGATCTAGATTCCCATGCATTTCTATTCTAGTACTTCATACGAAGACTCCAGAGTGCCATTCTTTACAAGATTGTAGCACTGGTCGAGCTTAGACTATCTTGAAATATGAAGACAGAAGGAAATGTCGCATTTGTCTTCTGCTCCTCTTCCGAAAGCAATTTATTGCTTGCACTCGCTATACATACATACCAAATGCGACTAAGCATCTCGAATGTATGATAAGGTTCTGATCAAATCTCAACGGCGAGCAGATAACCTTATCTCAAGCCATTACAACTCTGATGCTAGTGATTTGTTCAGCACATAGCTTCCTTGGGCGAATCGCCATCAACCCGTAAGCTCCAACCTGTCATGCTAGTCGTCAATATCGGAAAAGGAGAGGCGAGATATCTCCCGACCTTGCATGAACCCAGGCTCAGCCTCCGCGGCCGCCAGTGATAGTACCTCGAGGTATCTATACTTGATCAAATGCCGCGGGCCCATCCATCCCAGTCCAACCCGCAATGCCTGCACCCGCAAACTGCCACGACAGCATATACCCGCGGTATTTGGAGTTGGGTGATGTCCTATCCATGCTGCAGCATCTCGGAATGCTATTTCCTTCGGAAACCCAGCTTATCAGCAGGCTGCTGCGCCAGGCAGTTACACAGCGGTGGAGACGTCGGTTCAACTGCCTGGGGATTGATCATTTCTGCTAAGCACTAATTGAGGCCCGTTGCTAACCCTACAAGCCAGCGAGCCGGTACCCGCACCGGCAGCTCCTATCCAACATAGAAAGTGCATCCACGCAATAAAGACTGATGCTTGGCGCGAAAGCTTAGCGCTAAGCAACCCTAAGGTTGCAGATGAGCCGCTCGCTACGAAGGGTCGAGGCTCTTGACGTGCAGAAGCGCCTCCAATGAATAATGTGGCATGATGGGATGAGGAAAAATCGAGTCATCGCGGCGACTGAAATGAAGCCGTCGTCGGGAACGACTGATGTGCAAGATGTCGGATCTCGGAATCCTAGCGGATTAACGGGAAGTGGCTTGCCTTTTGTCTTGAACTACCGGGTAGTGGCTGCAGTTGCCAGGGCTAGAGCTGAGTGATGAGATTTTGCAGGGCGGTTCGCATTCGCCAGCGTCTTAGCATTGCCGAAATGCAAAAGCACAATGCAGGAGAGGGCCTTACGTTAGTAGCAGTGGAGCAAAGCCTTCGTATGCTCTGCGAAGCGCGGGATATTATGAAGATGGGTTTGCTGACCAGGCAGCGCGTGCTGCAGAACTTTTTGCGCGCACTAGATACATTTCAGCGTAGAAGTTGATTCGACACGTAAGAGGCGCAGGCTTCATGTACGCATCAGCTGAGTGGCTGCTCCTTCACGATAAGATAAGTTCGCCAATGCTGCAATCAAGTCAGCGACAAGGCGTAATTGCAACAAAGGAGGGGTAGAATCCCATGTACCAAAGTACCTCCCTCGGATACTTATACCTCAGCCTACTATTTGCTTATCGGACCAGCCGTTGAGTTCGTGTCATGCTGTTGAGCCCACAATCACATCTCTTCTAGCCGGTCTGGGAGCAGAGTTCGGCTGGAGAAGGGCTGTCAAGATTGCGAACGTAGCCGTTCATGACGAGGAACAGGGGCAGGCGATTGAGCAGGGTGTGGCAGGGCTTGCAGCTGTACGCGAGGCTTGGGTGCAGGCCGTGAAGGATTTTGCAGTTTGTGAGAAAAGGTGGTGTCGCGGGAAGCAGCCCTATTCGCGGGCAAGAATAAGCGAGCTATTGCGAATGCAGTGTGCAGTGTGTAGTGTGCATAACGGTTTCTTCTGTATGATAGCGGCGATCTCCGCGCGAAAGATATGAAGTCGAGACCTAATGGGCATAGGTCGTTCGTCAAAATGACCACTTGGGATATTGGTAGCTGCTTGTATGTCAATAGTTGAGAAAGCATTACATATGAGGCACTACCTTGAGTAAATACCCTTCATAACTACACGCGCCCAGCTCAAGGATCGTTTTGAACAACAGAGCAAAACCGAATCTAGGCATATTGGACAATTTCCCAATATGGCGTGTTGCAGACCTTGTGCACGCGTGGGATGTTACAGCGGCCTGTCAAGACCCTGAGGCTTCTCCTGCACTCAATCAATCGATCCAGGTCGTTGAAAGATCGGCATGCTTCACAGCATCTGGCAGCTGTCACGACGAAGAACCTTCCCGATTGGAAAGAAGCCGGATAGTAGAAGAGCTTCACCAATTGTATGTGCATGGAGCTTGCATTGTCATGCTTGAATTGATCGGTATGCCGAACGCGGCCAACAATGAGGGGTCCGGCTTGCCGAAGTGAGTATGTCTAACATCCGAACGTTGGCTGGAGAGCGATGGTTTCGAGAAATCTCATCCGCCGCTTGCAGTATGAGCTAAACATGGAATTGGGTTTGATGGGCTGACGGACACTTCGCAGGCTATTGGGTCTTTATCGAACAGTCTGGACTGTCTGCTCATCGTGCAAAAAGAATCGAGATCGAGAGCACTATACCTCGCTCGAAACGACGTGCAGTGGCTGGAGAACCCCTGTTTGACACACAACACATGAGACACTGTGTTTTCTCCACACTTGTGAGTGACCATATTAGTGAAGCACAATAAGCCCCTCTTGCTAAAGCAAGTCCTGCTGCATATGAGGGTATAAGTGACGCGTATGACCGGCTGGGGCAAGACGAAACTACTGCTGCTGTGCCGCGTGTCACCCTCTTGCTCGTGCCCACATCATCTCTGCCGTAGTCAAACTCATTACACTAATGCCTCGAAGATTTGAAAGACGAGGTTTCGAACCAGTGGGCCTAAGAAATTCCCGTTGGATGGGGGCTGAGGATTGCGTATGTAAGTGCTACTGATTTCTCTTACTGCGTTTTATATTCCGCTCTTGCTAGCGTTGACTTTGCTTTTCAAAAAAATTAAAATTTGGATCATCGTTCTTGGTACGACTTAAAATAGTATAGTGTTCACACTCCAAGGTGTAGCTCTTTAACTTCTACACTAGAAGCTGTGAAATTGAAAGTTGTAACAGACTTTGCGGGTACTAAACATGGAAGTGGCAATATGGAACGGTGGACGTTTCTGTGAGGACGTTACTGGAATGTGGTAGCTCCACAGTTTTGTCGGGTAGTCGCGTGGTCCATGTACCGAAACAGCGATTTTATACCTTGGTACCACGTCCATGGAAACATGGTAAGGTGATACTGACAGTGCTCCTGCGTTGTCTTATCAAAAACCATCTGCAAGTATAGTCGAACGATGGATTTTCTTTTATTGTCTTGGCATGTCATTCCGCACGCCTGATGAGTGTCTCCATTTATTATGCACGAACTGCTTTGTCGTATACGAGCTGAACGAATCAGAGACGGAAGAGTGTAAACGCAGAGCAGATATGGTGACAGATAGCAGAGAGCACTGCATGAGGGAGAAGACGACCGTTAATTGCGCCAGTATCCGGCCCGACCGCAAGTGAGTGTTGGACGCAGCCGATCCTTGAGTGTGCGACTGCGTAATCTGAAAAGTCGCCTGGCCCATTTGCGTGATTTCGCAACGACCGGCATTAAATATGGGCTCCATGCCTGGATGTATGCAGCAGTGATAGGTTGTGGTTTGATTGACTAGTGTACCGAATAGTTAGTAACAGTTAGAAACTGGGCAGAGGAATGGAGCAACCGCGTGTCCTCTGCTTACTCAGCCAGTACGTTACAGTTAGCTGGGGTTAAAAACGTTTTATAACTGGCACGAACCACACAACGGTGAGCTGCGCAAGCCATCACCAGGATGCACGTTGTCTGCCTTGTGCAAAAAGCCGAGAAAGGACCAATCAGTCATGGTCTATGTTCGCACCGGAAAGCAGACGATCGGCTGGCGATTTCATCATCGGAAGGCCGAAATCGCACAGGGAGTCTGTGGATTCCGAAAAACTCAGCGGTAGTTCGTCCATGGGCACTCGAAGCGGGGACTCAGTCCTGGGGTTCAAAGTTGTGCTGTGTATGACGGCAGCCTAGCCATGGAGCTGATGATGCTCCTGGGATGCAGTTTCTTTGCACGCAGGAGAATGTGCGCAATAGATGGGTTTAATTGTGTCGTTTGGTGCGGAATTTTTAGTCTTAATCACGTCGACAGACATACATAGGGGACAGAGGCGTGTGCAGGTGTGTGCAGCCGAGGCCTCGTCCTGCAGCCAGCTGATGCAGACGTGCTCGCTATTCTCCTCACTTAGCAGCAGCAGCAGCCCTACATTGCCTACGAAGCCTCTAGCAGCGATGACCAGCTATGAAGGCCAGTCGAGGCCACTGGAGACACGCCCAGGAGGGAGGAAGCGCGGCGCTTTCGGTTTGCCGGAATCCACTCCGCGCGCAAGCCAGCCAAGATGGCGTGTGTGCATTCGTGTGCATCACGGCATGGCAGGCCTCGATGCATTATGATTCGCATCGACGGGTGCAGGCTCTCGGACGCAAATGCAGCGTTTTGATTGAAGGCACAACGGTGCGGTGGCACGACAGCAAGCCAACACCAGCCGCCTGCGCCCTGTCAGGATCGAGCTGGGCGACACGAAGCAAGCAACGCGATAAAGAGCAGCGGCAGGGGCCAGGGCAGAATCTGCAGCTAACCGTGGTCGGCTCGTGCGTTCGACGGCGTCGACGTCCAGGTACATCTCCCGCAGCGGATCGCTGGGAGGGTTGCAATTGAAGAGGCGCTGTTGGATGGGGAGGGAACGCCGGGGGAGTATCTTGAGGGCGTAGAGAGAGAGAGAGAGAGGAGGGGAGAGGAGGGCAGGGTGGACAACGAACGAGGCGCAAAAGCAGCGTCCCAGCGTCCCAGCCTGGCTCTCCAACCAAGGCGTCGAGACGGTGGCGGCGTCGGCCCAAGGCCGCCAGAAGCCGCGGCCGCAGAGTCGTCGCAAGTACCTCTACTGTTGCAAGAGGCGTGGTGGTAGTGGTGGTGGTGGTGTCGTCGTTCAGACGCAGTGCAGGGATAGTCGCTCTCTAGACTGCGGCGAACACACGGGCGCCCTCAGTGCTGAGTGGGGTGGGTGTGTCTTGTGCTAATAAGAGAAATACCAGCCCATCGCGCCCATACATAGCACGTCCAATTCACTCCGCAATCCACATCTTTCCTCCTCCGCGCCCCGCTCCTTTTCCCTCGTTCCCTCTTCCCAAACCTGCCAATTCCCTCCGCCTTACCTCGACTCGAGAGCCTTTCTCCCCCCCTCCTCTCCTCATTCATCGACGCGCTCCCGCCCCTGAGACGAGACGTCCCCTCCCCCCCGCCTGCCGACGACATTGGAAGCCCGACTGGGCGACCGGACCCGCATCCTATTGGACCACAGTGCCAGCCCTGCACCCTTGCTACCGTTGCAGACCCCTCACCAAAGTGGCCACCACCCATCTCTCACGACCCAGGGGTCCACTGCGCTCGCTTTAAACTTCCTGACGGTCGCTTCTTTTGGTTCTTTTGGCCCTTAGGTGCCTTCCCTTCTCCATCTCTTCTGCCACTCGTTTACCCGCGTCGATCCCCATTTCGGACGGAACCACATTTCTTACCACGACATCGCTCAACATGGACCAGCACCTGGACAACTTCAATCCCTTTGTCAACCCCCAAGACCTGGAAAACCACGGCGATTTCCCCGACGCTGCCTGGTTGTCGCGCTTCGACCAACATGCTTCTTTACAGTCTGACACCACTAGCGGCTTCCCCATCCCGAACCATCAACGCACTGCTCGCAACCAGGACTCCGCTGTGGACCTCACTGTATATTCAGATTCGACCTATACTCAGGTGAAGACAGAGGATAACTTCAACGCCTACATTGACGATGCATACGGTACCACTTACTCTACACCATCCTCAAACACGCCGTCGCCCAACGACAACCCCATCTTCAGCAACGTCAACTCGCCAGGCGACTTTACTCGCAGCCAAAGCCAAACCAGTTCACCTGACACGAGCAACGACTCGGACGCTTGGCCTGCAATCCACATTCCGCAGTCGATCGATCCGCTCAAGTGTTTTATCCAACTGGACAAGACCAAGACTCGCGCAGAAACCCAGATCAAGACTTTGGTGTCTTTGGACCCCCTTCCTAGGCGTTTTCAATGGGTTCGCTTTCCTCGTCACACCCTGTCCAAATCGAAACAGCTGGCAAGTGACGAAGAAGTCGCCGCAAACGAGAGGAAAGACGGCACAGCCCGTCTCCAGCTCACTCTTGTTCTTGCAACTGCGGTAGAGAAACCAGAGGGCCTACAACGCGCATATCGGCGTGCAAGGGGCGAGGAGCCCACCCCACGGCGGCAGCGCGGAGTTGCTATCACCGAGATTGACAAGGCCGACCGAACTCATCCAGCAAACGGTGGCGCCGTTACCATCTGTGAGGGCTGTAAAGAGCGCGAGGCCAAACGGTATAACCGCAAGAAGAAGCGCAACGCAGAGGAGGAAGATGAGTGGAACAGCTACGAGGATGAGCGCATCATTATGATCAACGAGAAGGAGTTCAAAAGATGGCAAGATGTTGAAGACGATCCGGAGTGTTCGCCAGACGCAAAGAAGGTAGAATTTGCTATGCGAATAACGTGCTATTGCAGACATCAAGAAGAGAAGTCGCCAGTGGGCTACCGCGTCGTCTTCACATTCACCGATGTCCACAACAACGTGCTCGCGCAGCAAATTTCCGACGTCATTCAGATTACCGATGATCACAAGAACAAGGAGATTCCTATAGAAGCCATTCCAAGCTCTCTAAATATTCCCTCGGCGTCATTGGAGTCCGGACCGACCCCATATACGGTTCCCCTCTACGATTACTCGACGGTCTACGGCGTCTATTCACAGCCTACCACACCGAGTGTTCCTCAAGCGCAAAGTCTTACTCACTCTCAAAGTATGTTCTTCGCACGAGATGGTCAGTACTCTCAGATGACAAACTGCGCCTTCACCCCCCAGGTGCCTCCCCAAAGTGGAATGGCCTTCAACGGCACTACCATTCCTGCAACGTCACCTGCTCCCCAATATCCCACACATCAACGTGGTCAAAGCTACTACAATACACCGGCGCCGGCACTGATCAGCCCGACGGTGGAGCAAATGTCACCACAGGCAGGCTTTCCGCTTCACCGCCCTCATTCTTTGGACAGCTTTCCCCAATGGAACTTCCAATTCGCGGCGCAGCAAGCCACATATCCTCAAGTTTTTGCGTCTCAGCCGCCGTCTCGTAACCCTTCACGCCCAGCCTCGCCATCTTGGGATCAAGGCGGCCGCTCCACGAAGAAGATGCGCGCAGTCCCTGGCTTCATGTTGTACGAGGACGACGAGCAATGAGCCATCAACGATACGATAGCACGAGTTACGAACACACGGAAAACTGGAGATTTTAGCAGGATACCATTGAGCGGCGTTGTGGAGTTTCTTTTAAAAATTTATGGGTCACATCGGGATTTAGGGGCCCAAACGAAATAAGCACATCACGAACTAACTTTGCTTCGCCATTTAGCCTTGCAGCGCAAACGAGATTTTTTACCTGCACGGCCTGCAAAAGTAATCTGGGTGGCAGCACTTCTACTTTTGATTCTATTTTTCCGTCACGAGACGTTTTTGTGGTTGGGTTGTTGATGGTTTCTCTTGGATATGTATCCGCGTTTGATAGACTCCTTTACTCGATTACTATCCTTTAATCACTAGACTAAACTTTGTAATCTTTACATGCTAGCTCCTCTCGCGAGGACGATGCACAACAAGAATCAATCAACTCCTCTTCAATCATGGTTTAAACTTGCTGTGTGAAGATGCATGCTCCGCAGTCAAGAGAGGAGAAAGGCAGGCAGACTAGTCGCACCCCGCTTCTTCTCCCCTTTGACATGTGTATGATGCATCTCCCACCATGAGCGGCCTAGGTTGTCCATCTCCTCATTTACCTACCTAGCTACTGTATCTCACACCCCTGATCACCGAACCCCGCCTTCTCATTATGCACTTTCAGAAGCTAAAACGATCCAGACCACCTCCCCAATACCAATTGGGGACGATGATCAAGAAGATATGCTTGACCAAGAAGTCCCATGAGAAACGAGGAAATCGCTCAATGGAGATTACCTCGAACGCATGAACGATTTGCGCCGTGCCCGTTCATTCGGCGGGGTTCTTCAGCCGCTGGCTGGGATGGAAAGCGGTCGAGAAACGGAAAGGTAATATAAGTAGATGAAGACGTGGGTGGGCGGGATAACGGTATCTTTTAGTATTGAGGCCTAGACTGCAGGTGAGCGCAGGTACCCGAAAACGACTTGCGATTGTGAGTCTGTGGCGACGATGATGTTAGGCATGCTTCTCTATCTGCGCATCCATGGACGATAATTAGGGGTGCTGATCGGATAAAGGAATGATTGAGCGTGTTTAGAGGCTATCAGTTCTGCAGCGGAGCACAGTTTATATTGCAGCATCCTGCTGGCTGGTAGACCGTTGCCCTTTACTTGTGGATAGTACATTCAACGGAGATGACCCACAGCACATGTTCACATGCTGTGCGACCAACAAAACCCACTATCGAAACCTTCCTTCAATCTTCCAAATAACCGAGCCGTGCAAGACCACCTTTACTCCCGAACGCTTCTAGATCGCCGGGATGCTTGTTTGATAGCTGCAACGGCCCGAGGCCGCGTTCTTGCATATAAACTAGGCTGCCTATACCGCGGACGCCCGACATGCGATATGCTGCGCGCACTCGCATTGCAGGCAAGCGGGGCATATACGTTCGTCTTCTGCGAACCTATGCAGTACTTCATGGTGGGTGTGAAGTTTGGTGGCGCCATCTGCAGTCGATGTAGGCTAAAAGCCTGCAGCACCGGCTTTCCTGTATTCTTCAAAGGTGTGGACAGGACCAGTACTCGGGTCTTCTTTGCTGCGGAGCTCTTCCTCCCACTTCTCCTCTTCCTGGGTAATAGTAGCTTGAAAGGCGGCAGACTGTCCGCGGTGGAAGTACAGGGGTGCGCGCTTGAGAAGGGCGACGTCCTGCGTGACGAGAATGTGCTTGACGGTCGACCCTGGTGCTGTCAGTCATCTGAACTCATGCGTGGGTTGGGAGGGAGCATACCAGGCGTCTCATATTTGGCCTGCAGGAGCAGCTGATCGACGACATGTCGCAATCCGCGAGCGCCTGTGCCCATCTTGCTGGCCTTGCGTGCGATCTCGCGTAGAGCACCGCTCGTGAACCGCAGCTCTATGTTTCTAAGAAAGGACTTGCGCTCTTCCTGTCTCACGAGGCTGTCCTTGGGTTCTGTAAGAACACGAACCAGCGCTTCCTCGTCCAAGGCTGAGACAGCGCACACTGTTGGTATTCGACCGATTAACTCGGGGATCATGCCGAACTTCTGGAGGTCTGCGGGCTGGACATGGTCAAGTACATTCACCTTCTCCTCTTTTTTCTGCCGTCTAACGCCAAACGGATTCGGGGTCTCTACCTCTGGCGGCACAAAGAAGGGTGAGTCCTTCTTGAACAGGGCAGCCTCTGCTCCTGTTATCATGACACCATCAGCAGCCGCATGTGCGTTGGACGTCCGGATTGAGGCGCCAAATCCCATGCTGCCCATGGACTTCCGGTCTAAGACGATCTTGTGCAGGTTTGAAAAGGCCCCAGTACAGATAAAGAGGATGTTGTCGGTTCGAATGTTGAACACTTCTCCCTTGCCACCTCCTGGCATGGTAGAATTTTGGGAGCCATCAAGCGGGTTTCCACGATTTGAAGCACCCCCTGGCCTACCTGCACTCCTCTCAGGCTTTGCCTGCACCTGTACGGTGGTGCCCTCGATGATCTTGAGCAAGGCTTGCTGCACGCCTTCTCCACCGACATCCTTCCCATAGGAGATCTTCGCCCCGGCAATCTTGTCTATCTCATCTAATACGATGATGCCCTGTTCTGTAGCTTCTATGTCGTAGTTGGAGGCCGAGAAGAGACGAGCGATGCACTGTTCAACATCGTCGCCAATGTAACCGGCTTGTGTAAAGGTCGTGCAGTCCGACATGGATATTGGAATTCCCAAAGTCTTTGCCAAAGTCTTGCACATCAGTGTCTTACCAACGCCTGTAGGACCCAGTATGAGCACGTTGGACTTTTCTATTTGCAGCTGGTGCTCTGTTGTATCTAGCAACGGGTCGGGGTCTCTCGACGCATACGTTGGTGGCCCGTAGGACGGGGCTTCGCTGTACGATGGCGGCTCGCTGTGATTATACAATTCTACGGTCGGCTGCTGACCTGGAAACTCATCTGTGTTGCTCAGTCACGCTCCATCAAGAGATAGGCAATGTAATGTTTAGCAAAAGATATTATAAGAGAGTTGGAGCTACCTTCTACAGGATGTCTAAACGCCGACGCTCTCCTCTTCGCCTGAGCCTCAGTCCTAGCTTGCTCATCCTTCTGCCTCTGAATCTCTTGTATCCTTAAATAGTGCTCATGGACCGCAACACTCAAGACGACCTTCGCGCGGTCCTGATCGACAACGAATTGGTCCAAGTGCTGCCTCAGTACCTTGGGCGTGACGTGACTTGACCCCACATTGCTTGTGCCGCCCAATGGACCTCGAGTCGGCTGATCGGTCTCATAGAACGAGGAGAAGCCCTGGCCGCTGAAGTCGGAGCGGTTATAAGAGGATTGCCTAGGGCGAGAGGAGGAGAAGGGACGAAATGACCTTCCGATGCTGTAGAGAGCAAGGTAGGATGCGCGGGCACGCGGACAGACGGCGGCGAGAGTGAGGGTTCTTCGGGGTATCATCTTGGAGGGGGCAACAAGACGCGACCCGATTCACATGGCGAAGCTGAAACTCAAAGGTCACGACGTTCGCGGGCGACTCAGGCTTAGGTGAAGGGAGACGCAAGTGGTAGTCCACTACCTAGGCATGGGTGGAGCTGGAGGTCACACGGGAGCTCTCCGCATTGAGCCGACGTGGAACATGTGCGGGGCAGCTCCCCAACTTTTGATAAGCAACTCGTCGGGCCGTTTTGATGTGCCACCTACACAGACACTACACGCATTGGCACAAAACCAACTCTGATGGGTGACGCGCATTCCTAGATTCTCGGACCGATACCGACGAATTGCAGCGTGAATCCCTCCGGGCTCCTTCGATGCGCAATGTGGGATAGCTGGTGGCGTGGGCGCGGGCGCGATGCCTGTTCAAGCTCTCAAGCTATGACGTTGCTGGTTGGATTGGCAACGACTTTTGGTTGAGAGCCCGCAGCCCTCAGCAATTCGGGCAAAGACCCCGCAAATCTGAGAACCACCTTTACCTCTGCCATCTGTCTGCGACAGGTGTTGTTCTTCGTGATTGTACATAGAAGGAAGCAGTGTTTCCTGCAGGTTCCCGCCGCTGTCTGTGATAGCTCGCTTTACAGCAAACCCGACGCTACACCTGGACCCTCCTTCTCACATCTCACGCCATGGAGCTCAACAATGCTTCAGCAAACTCGACCCTCACAGAGGCGCCGGGGAAGATCCCCAATGACGGAACTGGTATGGGCTTCTGGCCACTCGAGAAAAACAAATTGACTGACCAACTTTCTCCCAGGCATCGTACAGCTCGATCCTTACTTGGAGCCCTTCCAAGGCGCGCTCAGGAGTCGCTTCGCAAAAGCCCAGCAATGGATCAAGACGATTGACCAAACAGAAGGCGGTCTGGAGAAGTTCTCAAGGGCAAGTATTCTGCGATTGGCACTCACCAGCATGTAGCTGACTGCTTTTTTCAGGGATACGAAAAGTTTGGCTTCCTTGTACAGCCCAACGGCGACGTTATCTACCGCGAGTGGGCTCCGTCTGCCCTGCGAGCATACTTGATTGGCGACTTCAACGGCTGGAACCGTGATGCAACCCCCATGACGAGAAATGACTTTGGTGTCTTCGAAGTTACTGTACCTGGAGTCAACGGCCAGCCCGCAATCCCGCACGATTCGAAAATCAAGGTGTGTTTGCTATACACGTAGGAATGAGCTCAAGCTGACTTAGCATGCAGGTGTCTTTCGTTACTCCTAATGACCATGCTCGCCAGGAGCGCCTCCCCGCCTGGATCACCCGAGTGACGCAAGACCTCAATGTCTCTCCCGTCTACGATGCGCGCTTCTGGAACCCCCCCGAGAAATATGTCTGGAAGAACAAGCGGCCCGCGAAGCCCCAGAGCGCCCGAATTTACGAGGCCCATGTTGGCATCTCCTCCCCCGAGCCGAAGGTAGCCACCTACAAAGAGTTCACACACAACACGTTGCCGCGGATTAAGCATTTGGGATACAATACTATACAACTGATGGCCGTTATGGAGCATGCGTACTACGCAAGCTTCGGATACCAGGTCAACAGCTTCTTCGCGGCAAGTAGTCGCTATGGATTCCCAGACGATCTGAAGGAGCTCATCGATACTGCGCACGGCATGGGCATCACTGTTTTGCTGGACATGGTACATAGCCATGCGTCCAAGAATGTCCTTGACGGCTTGAACATGTTTGACGGTAGCGACCACCTCTACTTCCATGAAGGCGCCAAAGGACGTCACGAGCTCTGGGACAGCAGACTATTCAACTACGGACATCATGAAGTTTTGCGCTTCCTCCTCAGTAATCTTCGCTTCTGGATGGAGGAGTATCAGTTTGACGGTTTCCGCTTCGACGGAGTTACGAGCATGCTCTACACTCACCACGGAATTGGAACGTAAGTATTTGTCCCATATTAGCCATGTTACATGTTTAACAGTTTCTAGGGGCTTCTCGGGTGGCTACCATGAGTACTTCGGTCCCTCTGTGGACGAGGAAGCTGTGGTGTACATGATGCTTGCCAACGAGCTACTGCATACAATCTTCCCAGACTCCATTACCATCGCTGAGGATGTTTCTGGCATGCCAGGTCTCTGTGTGTCACTCTCATTAGGCGGAATAGGATTCGACTACCGATTAGCCATGGCTGTACCTGACCTCTACATCAAGTGGTTGAAGGAGAAGCAGGATATCGACTGGGACATGGGCCAACTTGTTTTCACCCTGACGAACCGAAGACACGGAGAGAAGACTATTGCATACGCCGAAAGCCACGACCAAGCGTAAGTCGGCCACATTAGACCTTTTACACAGATACTGATATCATTTAGGCTTGTCGGAGACAAGACTCTGCTCTTCTGGCTCTGCGACGCGCAGATGTACACCAACATGTCGCTGCTTTCGGAGCTAACGCCTGTCATCAACCGAGGCCTCTCCCTCCACAAGATGATCCGACTGATTACGCACGGTCTCGGAGGCGAAGGCTACCTCAACTTCGAGGGAAATGAGTTTGGGCACCCAGAATGGCTCGACTTCCCCCGCGAAGGCAATGGTAACTCCTTCCACTACGCGCGCCGCCAGTTTAACCTCGTCGACGACGAACTCCTGCGGTACAGGTTCCTTAACGAGTTCGACAGCAAGATGCAGTGGACTGAGGAGAAGTACGGATGGCTGCATGCCCCTCAGGCGTATGTAAGCTTGAAGCATGAGGGCGATAAGGTCGTCGTGTTTGAGCGCGCTGGGCTGCTGTGGATTTTCAACTTCCATCCCCAGGAGAGCTTTACAGACTACCGTGTGGGTGTTGAGCAAGAAGGCACCTACAGGATCGTGCTCAGCACCGATGCTAAGGCGTTTGGTGGACACGGAAACGTGGATGAGAGCACGAGGTTCTTCACTACACCGTTTGCGTGGAATGAGAGGAAAAACTTCTTGCAGGTTTATGTTCCGTCAAGGACGGCGATTGTAAGTCGCCCCACATTACAGAAGGGTGAAGTGTGCTAACTGATTAATAGGTGATGGCGCTCGAAAGTACATTGTGAGTAGTGGTGAGCGATGATAAGTTGGTGGAAGTCAAATTGAAACGGCGAAATGTGAGGCGACCGTACCGTATCACTGCAGGAGGATAGGTAGGAGCCTGTATCTACTAGTGAAACAATCTACAGATAAAATATACTACGTGTTGATATAATGGTTCAAACGCACTTTACGTGAAGACGGTAATGAACTGGCCATCCGGCAGCCTGGAGGTGTTCGCTGTATTTTTGCGTTCCTATTTAGTAAACTTCTAATAATTACCTGAAGGGCACCTGGCTAGGATTTGGTCGAGTGGGATTGTTCAGTACAGTCGGTACGTGGTGTATGTCGCAGCTATAAGAACTAGCCATCATCTGGGAGCCTGGAGGCATTCGCTGTATTTTGTGTTCCTACTCTGTGAATGTCCGATAGATCCCTGAAGGGCACCTGGCTAGCGTTTGGTCGAGCGAGTTTGTTCGGAACATGGTGCACTCAACGGCCTGATAATCGGAGAAGCACATCAAAGAATCGATATTTGAACCTCGTGCAATAGTAAGGGAAAAGCTATCCATCTCCCTAGGTACCTAGGTAGGTATCGTTGGTGGGCACACTTGACGCTAACCCGTGTTGGCTAGGCCGCTTTGGCCCCTTCCCGTAGTGCGGACGTGACTTCTAGCTCTCGAGCTTCTTTTCCTTTCATCACCACCCTCTCCACTCACCACATCCGTCTCATTCATCTTTCAAAATGCTGAAGAGGTAAGATCTTGACCCGAACAAATCAATTGATGATGATTCAATTGGAAAAGCTGTGCTAATTGATGAAACTACAGCGGTCTCCAGAGGACGCTTCGCTCCTCCCTCCGCCGACCGGCCACGGTCCGCAGCGCGTTCCAACCCATCAAGAAGAACTTTGCGCCTGCTCTGGCAGCTCGCTTCGCCAGCACCGATGCCTCCAACAGCGGCAAGATACACGCCGTCATTGGTGCTGTAGTTGACGGTCGGTCCTTCCCTTTCTGTCGCCGAAAAACTTTTCCCGGCAGCGGCTATGATGGAATCCCGTCCTCTGCCATTGCGACCCGCATCGCGCAACCTGGCGCTGACATTTCAATACAGTCAAGTTCGATACCGAGCAGCTGCCGTCGATTCTCAACGCCCTGACGACCGACAATGGCGGCCAGAAGCTCGTTCTCGAGGTTGCGGTAAGGATGCCAAGCATTGGACACCGGGAACAGCTTTACTGACTCTGGGCAGCAACATTTGGGCGAGCACATCGTCAGATGTATTGCCATGGACGGTAAGTCGAAGCCACTGCATGTCCCCGCCATTGGATGAGGCTGATTGTAAACGCTACAGGTACTGAGGGTCTCGTCCGAGGTGCCACTGCCACCGACACTGGTGCGCCCATCAAGATTCCCGTTGGTCACGGTACCCTTGGCCGTATCATGAACGTCACTGGTGATCCCATTGACGAGCGTGGTCCCATCAAGGCTACCAAATACGCTCCCATCCACGCCGATCCCCCGGAGTTCGTCGAGCAGTCCACTTCTGCTGAGATCCTCATCACTGGTATCAAGGTTGTCGATTTGTTGGCGCCCTATGCCCGTGGTGGAAAGATTGGTCTTTTCGGAGGTGCCGGTGTCGGAAAAACGGTCTTCATTCAGGAACTGATCGTAAGGTCCTCCTGGATACGTTAAGATAGAAGCTAACACACATCGTAGAACAACATTGCAAAGGCTCACGGTGGTTTCAGTGTGTTTACGGGTGTCGGTGAGCGTACCCGGGAGGGTAACGATCTATACCACGAGATGCAAGAGACGTCCGTTATTCAGCTTGATGGCGACAGCAAAGTCGCACTAGTCTTCGGTCAAATGAACGAGCCGCCGGGTGCTCGTGCTCGTGTTGCGCTTACTGGAGTAAGTACTCAACTTTCCAACTATGAACTTACTAGGATACATCACTGACCATAAAAAGTTAACTGTAGCGGAGTACTTCAGGGACGAAGAGGGTCAGGATGTGTTGCTCTTCATTGACAACATTTTCCGCTTCACTCAGGCCGGTTCCGAGGTGTCCGCTCTGCTTGGTCGTATTCCCTCTGCTGTCGGTTACCAGCCCACTCTAGCCGTGGACATGGGTATCATGCAGGAACGCATTACCACCACCTCCAAGGGCTCCATTACCTCCGTCCAGGCCGTCTACGTGCCCGCTGACGATTTGACTGATCCCGCCCCTGCCACCACCTTCGCCCATTTGGACGCCACCACTGTCTTGTCCCGCGGTATCTCCGAGTTGGGTATCTACCCCGCCGTCGACCCTCTCGACTCCAAGTCCCGTATTCTGGACCCCCGTGTCATTGGTGACGAGCACTACTCGACCGCCACCCGTGTCCAGCAGATTCTCCAGGAGTACAAGTCCCTCCAGGATATCATTGCCATTCTCGGTATGGACGAGTTGTCAGAAGCTGACAAGCTTACCGTTGAGCGTGCCCGTAAGATCCAGCGTTTCTTGAGCCAGCCTTTCGCTGTCGCTCAGGTCTTCACTGGCATTGAGGGCAAGCTTGTCGATCTCAAGGACACCATCCGATCATTCAAGGCTATCTTGAACGGTGAGGGTGACGACCTTCCCGAGGGTATGTTGTCTATTTCCCCTTCGAAGTATTACAATGCTAATTCGCCACAGGTGCTTTCTACATGGTCGGTGACCTCGAGTCGGCACGCGCCAAGGGTGAGAAGATTCTCGCTGAGCTTGAGAAGTCATAGACGCCTGCTGTGGTAGTGGGTGAGATATGAGAGTCGGCCATCGGTGTCGGAGGCAGTTCGCCGATTAATCTCACTTTGTACAAAAGATATACCTCGAAACGTGGGATTATAGGCGGGTGCTTGGACGGACGTGGCTTCCTGTGTAATCTATCTTGCATGCAAAGAGACCGTTTTCCTTGTTCGAATTGAACTCTCCATGACTCGTGAGATTCGGGCGGAACGTCTGTGGCTCATTGTAAATAGGCAGGGTATTCATCCACTTCGGACAACTACTTCTTTCAGTCCTTTAGCCCGTATGAAGGCCTGTTTGGTGAAATTCAAGTATCCTAATCTGTACCTTTTGTCCTGTAAATCAAGATGCAAAGCTGCAGGTCACCAATCGATTCATAGCCCATGGTCGAATAAATAATTCAATCGCGATGAATGAGATAAGATTGGGGTCTTCTGATAAAATTCTCCCTGTACAGTAGAGACAGATTCCCATATCAAGAGCGATCACGAGAACGAATCCCTCCTAGTATATATAAGAAATAATTTATTTACGGTTCCTAGGTATCTGCTATGAGCTTTGCCTCTATTTCACGGTAATAAACTGGGTTAGACGGAAGCAGGTAGGCAGATTGTATGAGTATTCAAGTAAGAAAGAAAGACTTTCATAGTAAAGCAGTAGTATACAAATGCGCCTGGAATAAACGGCTAATCAAGTCGAAGGACGCCCGCTATGCAATTTGACACTTGGATTATCTTATCAAAGCCTGTACGCCAAGTACTCCGTACAGCCATGATGGAAAAGTAGAGCCGAAACACCCAGAAACGAGTATTTTGTAGAGAAGACACGGATTCGGTATCTCATCGGAAGAACACACGAGTTCCGGCGGGGCTGTGCCTGTCGCTCAACGCCTACCGGCGCCACGACCCCCTTTTATCTGCTTCATGATATCCACGTTGCTCGACCGGTTGCGGGTGTTCTCATTGAAAACGACGTTGCTCTTGGGTGCGATGGTGTACGTGCTCGGACCGGCTTCCATACGAGCGCGTTGGAAGGCGCGAGGAGCTTCGAGATCCTTCTTCCTCCGAGCTGCCTGAACCGCAGCCTGGCTGCTGATGGTTCTATCGCCGGTTCGAAGCTTACTGTGCTTTGGTTAGCCAATGCCTGACTCAAAAAGAAAGATTGATAGCACGTACGTTGGATCATAGTCAGCTTGGGCAAACTCCTTCTTGCGGAAGTCGTCCGTTCGCCTAAGAATCGGACGGGTCCAGTCTGTGAAAAGGCGCTCGGCTTGTCTCTTGATCGTCAATTCCGGGCGCTTGCTCTTGATGTAGAACATGATGACCTTGCCGATGCCAGACGCGACGAGTGTGTCCTTGTTGACGGGTAGCTTGGCCAGGGAAGCGAAGAGCTCCTTCTGAATGTCGTATGCGGGAAGACTACCGTCGCTAAGGGGCTCGAGGAAGAATCGAACTGACTCCAAGAGATTGACCTCGGGGTCTACTATGGTTTCCCTCAGGCTATTCTTGTTGAGCAAGGCCGTGACTTCGGGGAGAAGCTTGAGCTTGTGGCGGGCAGGCTCGTTGCGCTTTCGGCCTTCGTTGTCGGCTTCGGCAGCTTGCGCCATGCGGCGGCGCATCTCTTCGATCTCCTGGTCGGCCATTTGCTCGAGATCGATGCCGTCCTTCTTGCGGCGTCGTGATGAGCCACTCTTAACAATAGCATCCATCTGCGCATTGAGAGCGCGCTTTCGGCCTGCACCATGGTGTTAGCTCATGTCAAGTACCCAAGACAGCGGGGATGCATACGCTCTTCTGGAGTGAGGTTCTCATCCGCGTCATCGTCTGGGCTCGCGCCTCGGACCCTACCCGCCTTCTTGGACCGCTTGCTCCTCCGATCGCCCTCTGCAATGCCCTCGCCCTCATCGCCATCCTTGTTCTTCTTCCGGCGCGGCTTGTCTGCCCTCTTCTTCTTCTTTTTAGGCTCTTCACCCTCGCCCGCGGCCCGCTTCCGCTTGTGCACACCAATCTGGTTGACATTGTCCTCGTCGATGGCCTGCGCCGGGCGCTCTTCAATAGCAATGTTGCTCGCATCGAAGTCGCCAAACTGCTCGTCAAACTGCTCGTCGTCTAGCGCCTCGGACAGCACAGACTCGTTGTCTGAAAGGCCGGCCTGGATGTCGTCGTCGTCGGGCATCTCCTCCTTGTTCTCCGTCACCTCCATATCTTGATACGGCTCGGCATTGGTGGGGTCTGGAACCGAGTGCTCTTCCTCGATCTCAGGCCGCAGGGGATCGCTTGGGTCGTTGCCGGCCTCGGGCAGCGGCGAGTTGGAATGCGACCGGTTGAACTTGACGTCCTCCATGATGCTGGACAAGAAAGTCGGGATTTCTAAGAGGTTTAGGAGGATGGACCGTGGCAGCACCGGTAGGTGAGTGGTGGGAAAAGGCTGAAACACGAAGTAAAGGTAATCGAGCGCGCGAATGGAGGAGTTGGAGCTGATGTCTGCACAGTTCAAAGAAAGTTGAGGGTCGCGACTGCCATGACGCGCGGTGGAACAATTCGCCGGGCTTGGCAGACGGAAGTGAAGGTGCGTCCCATTCAAAGAACCTCTCCTCTACATGTCACGCTCGCCTGAATACCACCTTCAGGCTCCACCTCGACCTTCACATCTACCTTGGCCATAGAGCTCGACGCTGCTGCTCAATCGACATACTGCGACACCGGCAGTACAGCGCCTCGTGGGCTCCGCGTAACCCACCCGCTTGCTTATTCGCGCACTCATAGCAGGTATACCCTCTTCTCGGTCCTGTCGCAGTCGTGCACTGCTGCCACAAACGTTGGCTTGAAGGAGGAAGGACACAGTGGAAGGAGTACAGTGGGGAGGAGAGCGACTTTTGTCACGGTTCTTGGCTGTACAGGCGCAGTCTTCGCTGCGTCACCTTGCGCGGTCATAGCTAGTAGCAACACAAACACTGTCTTTACGTGTGTTCGAGAGCGAGGAAAACACATCGTCTATCTTGTTCATCTGGCATTCGAAGTCGGCCTCTCCGGATTGCGACTCACCGACCGCAAAGCGAACAGCTCCCTCACACTGTTTACGCGCGAGCCTTTCCTCTAACCTAGCACATTTCCTACCCCTCTAACCCAAGATCAAGCTTGCCCATCATGTCTTTGCCGGCTGCTGAAGTAGCAGCCGACTTTCGAGACGCTCTGCAAGACCTGAGGTTGAACAGCAGACCAGAGATAAGCAATCTAACTCTCATCGCCAAGGAGAACACAGAGTATGCCGAAGCCATATCGACCGAGCTCGAAAACCACATACGTTCGGTAAGTCGTTTAACATCAAGAAATCTCGCGCGTCCAAGCCGCTACCGCTCTCTTTCTCTACCCTGATGCATCCCATGTGACTAACATGATGTAGACTCGCCCTGAATGGAAGCTCCCAGCTCTCTATGTGCTTGACTCTATTGTCAAAAATGTCGGCACCCCATACACCGTATACATTGGCCGCAACCTCTATCGTACCTTTATGGATGCCTACCTCGTCATGGCCCAAGACACTCGAAAGGCCATGGAGGGCTTGTTGAGGACATGGAAAATGCCTGTGCCTGAATCCATGGACCCTCGTCCCGTGTTTCCTGCCGACGTGACCAGGGACATCGAGAACGCACTGACTAAGATACGTGCAGCCGTTCAACAACAGGTGCAACGACCGCAGCATGCGCTTCCGCCTCGCCCCCCAACGAATGTGGCTTGGAGGGACACTTCGACGCCTCCGCAGAACCTACCGCGGTATGCGGCTCCCAATGATCCGCGTGCTCGACCGGTAAGGTCCTATCCTCGAAACGATCAGCTTCACCCACTAACAGCGTGACCCCAGTCATTTCCACCTACTACCCCACAATATGGGCCTCCATTGCATACTGCTACACCACCTATGCAATATCAGCAGCCTCAACAACAGGCTCAGCCAATGTCGTCAATCGATCTAGCTGACCTGAAAAGCGAAGTCACGCAGCTCATTTCTACGACACAAACTATGTTCGCACATAATCATGCTGACCTTGCTCTTCGGACAAAGTTGCAGGCGCTTCTATCGCTCAAGCAGATTTTAGATACACAAACACTGCCTCCTCAGCAGCTAGAGGCTGTGCGACAGCAGATTCGGGCACTGGCACCTCCTCCTGCTCCATCAACACCAGTCTATCCTCCACAGCATACATTACCTACTCACTTCCAGCCAAATCTCCCATCAAACTTCCCTCCAGTGACTGCCCCACCAAACAGTGCTCCACCGAACGTGGCGCAGCTTCTTGCGGGCTTTAGACCACCAATGCAGCAAACTCCACAACCTGCCTCGACCCCAAACCCTCCGGCTTTCAACCTAGTAGATTTGCTAAAGCGTGTCTCGTCTCCTGCGCAATCGTCGTCTATACCGGCGCCTGCTCCATTTCAGCTACCTTTCCAGGGCTTCCCACCACCAAATTCTACTCCGATGCCAATTCCTCAAGCGGCTGCACCAGCACCATCTAGCACACCAACAGCTAGTCTGGCTACACTACTTGCTCAATTCAACAAGCCCGCAGGAGCACCGCCCATGTCACAGCCGATGCCGATGCAAAGCACCCCCGTTCCTCAGTTCCCACCGCAGCCAAACACTGCACCTCCCACGCTTGGTAGTGCTGAATGGCTCCTCAAAGCCCTGGGTAGCGTACCTGGTGCTACCCCTGCGATCTCGACCCCAATAGCATCTCAGCAAATGGCCCGACAGTCCTCGGCACCATTCAACGTGATGGACCAGATCGAGCTCACTACTGTATCGATGAAGAAACCTCGCCTCCACCTCATTTCCCGCCTCTATGAAGCCAAGCCTAACATCTGCGCTACCTGCGGCCGCCGATTCGAGTCAACGTCCGAAGGCAAAGAGAAGAAGGCGCGCCACATGGACTGGCACTTCAAAGTAAAAGACCCCGATGCCGCAAAACGCGGTGTCCACCGTAGCTGGTATATGCCCGAGAAAGAGTGGATTGAGTATAAGGAAGTTGACGAAACGTCGCCCAATCATACCTCTAATGACTCCAATAACTCTACCTCGTCCGGGGCGAAACCGAAGAAACAGGCCAAAGACCGATACGTGAGTGTTCCACAGGATGTGGCGCTACAGCAGGCCCCGTGCCCTATTTGTCAAGAAAAGTTTGACACGGTGTGGAGCGTCGAGGCGAATGATTTCGTGTGGATGGATGCGTTGAGTGTTGGAGGAAAGGTGTATCACGCTACTTGCTTTGAAGAGTATAGTAAAGGCGCCGGCATTGCTATGCCCGGGACACCTGACTCAGTGCTTGGGAAGCGGAGAGCTGAGGATGCAGCTAGTGTCAACGGGGAGGGGAAGAAGGTTCGAGCTTTTTGAGTGGAGTGAAGATTGCCGATATATTAGGAGGAGGAATAGAGGTGTATACAGCGGGCCTTTCTTTCGATGCATAGCGTGGCGTTCGGCGGTTCATATTAGTTCTCTTGTGGCCCATGCATTTTGTCACAAGCATTGCATATTGCTTACTCACACAACGGTGTATTCACAACTTTCAATCAATCACATTTCTCACAGTCCTATTTTCAATTTCAATCAGTTGATCCAAAGTTATCTAGACCTTCTCATCAGTGAACTGGGCCGTCAACTACCGTACTATAAGATGATCTGACCGAGTCAACAAAGTAGACTGAATACCACTCTGTTTCTCTGGCTCGGTGTATTTGAACTCTAGATTAGCTTTACCAAGAGTCTTGAGATACCCTAGGGCGAATTGTAGCCAGTGAATGTCAGCACTTTCCCCTTGGAGCGAATTGTCGCGGCCGACAACTTAGAAGTTTAACCCTCCTGTAGTGTGCAAATGCCATCGATTTGCTTCCTTTTTTCTTGTAGTCCAATGGATACTCACGCTAGCAGGTAGCCATTGTCCCTTGAGCTCTACACCTCTTGGTACAATTCTCGCTAGAGTATGTACCCATACGACGAGGGGTGAAGGCGGCCACGCAGCGACGCAACCCGCACGCCGGACTTAAGACATCCTCAAGATCTGCCAAAATGGCGGTTCAAGGACGGGAAGTAGATGGCGACTGATAGGGTGTTGAGGCGAGAGCGGAAACTATCAGACACCGTCTTGGAAGCCGCGTCTACGTTGGGCGCGTGGGAGTATGTTATCAACAAGTTGGTAATAAATGTATCTACATGCAGTAGTGAGCAATCTCCGTGGTCTTTCGGGCTGTTCGTCAAGCGTTTGCCTATCGTGCTATCGTGGTGGAGAAACACATAATACTAACTCAGTTGCTAGTCAAATACTGAGAGGCGTTCCGAGAGACCAACAAACAATCAATCAACTAAGGCTATATTAAAAACGACTGTCCTTTAGAGGTTACAAACGCTTCTCATTATGCAAAATTGATCGTAAAGCAGTGATAATAACAGTTACGTCTCTCACGTGACCTATCGGACTACGGTAAGGCCGTATACACTAACGGTCTTTGACGATGTCCGTTAAGTCACGTGAACTAAAATTGGCCGTGACGGAGAGTTCGTTTTAAAGATTCTATTGCCTAAAGTACGTGAGAATATTTTTATTCAAGTACCAGCGAGCTCTTTCCTTTTTTTTTAATGTACCCCCTAGAATCGTACAAGATAACATTATAGCACTTCCTCTTTCCGACCACACGCAGTCATCAAGGTCCATGACGTTGGACTTCTCGCCAGATAAACAATGGCCTCGCAACATTCCATGCAGCACGGTGCTACTAATCCGCACTCGGGGGTAGTTATGAACGAAAAGTCCACTCAAGCTGTGCACGATGGGAGTGGAGAGTTCAATCCAAGCAAAGCCACCGATGGTAAATTCGAGAACCAACCACTCACAACGATTATAATTTTAACGGCTACATCCCTGATGGTCATGTTCTTGATTGCTTTGGATAGAACCATCATCACCACGGTATGAAATCATGCTCATGTTCGGCGGGGAGGATAAAGCTAATCAAACCTTACCAGGCTATTCCTGGCATCACCGACGAGTTCAAATCTCTCTCTGACATTGGCTGGTATGGAAGCGGGTATCTGATGACATCCGGCGCCTTTCAGCTCATGTTTGGAAAAATCTACTCCATGTACAGCGTGAAACTGGTCCTACTCCTCAGCATTTTGCTTTTCGAGATTGGCTCTGCTATCTGCGGAGCTGCTCCGAGCTCGATAGCATTCGTTATTGGAAGAGCAGTCGCAGGAGTTGGTGCAGCTGGTATCCTCGCTGGATCTGTGAGTGCGCCACTCTTATCATATCAGGCCCTTCTCCTAACCCATCTCATCAGGTCGTGACGATTACCCGCATTGTTCCCCTTCAGAAGCAACCAGCAATGAACGGTCTCCTGGGCGCTATCTTTGGAATTGCTATCATCCTAGGACCATTGATTGGCGGTGCGCTCACTTCACATACTACGTGGCGATGGTGCTTTTACATCAACCTGCCTATTGGTGGTGTGGTTATGGTCGTTCGCGCGTTCACCATCAAGGTTCCCAATTCAAAAACCGTCAGCCTCTCGTGGAATGAGAAGTTGTGGCAACTGGATCCAATTGGTGCTTTGTGCCTCGTACCAGGTGTGATCTGCTTGGTACTAGCACTTCAGTGGGGGGGGGCCAAGCGTATGCAGTGAGTTTCCTTCCATTGTGGTGAAAATCTGGTACTGACAACATGTAGTGGACTGACGGCCGTGTGATCGCATTGTTGAGTGTGATGTCAATTCTACTTATTGCCTTCGTTGTTGTCCAGATATGCCTCCCGAAGACGGCAATGGCTCCACCTAGGTTATTCAGGCAACGTAGCATCGGTGCTGGTCTGTGGCAGATGGCTTTCGTTGGTGCTGGTATGTATGTTATCAGTAAGTATAGTTCTGTTGCTAGATGTTAAAACTTGTGACTAATCATGATTCATAGTCTATTACCTTCCGGTTTGGTTTCAAGCCATCAAAGGTGACTCTGCGGTAAAAGCCGGCATCAAGCTCCTTCCTTTGATGGTGTCAATGCTTGTCTCATCAATTTCTCTTTGGGGGTGTCGTCCAGAAGCTCGGATACTACACGCCAGTCAGGCTCATAGGATTTGTTATCATGTCCATTGGAGCTGGTCTTTTCGTTCTCCTAGAAGTCAACATCGGTCATGCAAAGTGGATCGGTTACCAGGTCGTATTCGGATTCGGCATGGGCCTTTCTATGCATAACTAAACTCACTGCCCTCGAGGCTGAAATGAGCCGAAGGCTCTGGTGGTCACTTATTCTTTTCGACACTCGAATTGGAGAGATGGCCGATTTCCAAGCAACATCATTACTTCCCATGTGGGACTGCAGAGTCCCTTTAAACGTCAATGACTCGGAACTCCGACTTGAGATGAAAGAACCTCCACGGGTACAAGGGAACTCGACTGACGCACTTTTCACTGTTGTGCGTAGTGAGCTTGGGGACTTCGTTCGCCACACTATGTTCCATCTTGGCTATTACGGCCCATCTCTGAAGCCCGCTGACGGAGATGTACTGCGCTGCGCTGGAACAGAAGGTGGGGAAACGGACCGCTTTGAAAAGGCAATCGAGGCCAAGTACCTCAACTTCTGCAACCCCGATGACCCACTTCAATTCTTGACTATTTGGACGACACGTGGACACATTGCAAAGTTTCGTCTCATGGAACACCATTCGCGGTATGCTGGCTCACCGCTACACCAGGCTGAGCCTCAACGGGAAGCCGCCCTTTCTTACGCACTTAGCATGCTCGAATGTAATACAAAACTTGTGACCTCCCCCCTTACGAAAGGATCCCTCTGGATGGTGAATTCCTACTTTCCTTTCGTTGGATATATTCAAGCGGTCCAGTATCTGAAATGGCGACCGATGAGTGCCTAAGCCACCGCGGCCTGGCAAATCATGGCCGATAACTATCATGCACAAAAGGACTTACTATCTGGAGGGTCTCGCTTCTTCGAATTGTTAGCAAAATTTGTTTTCCAGGCTTGGGAGGCCCGCGAGGCTGCTTTCAAAGAGTTGCGAACCTCATCAGAGACGCCTCAGATCGTGTTATCTATCAGACAGCGCTTGATTAGTGCTCAGCAACCGCATGATGCCATGGACATGGGATCGACAGACTCTCTCATGTCCACGACCATGGACCGTGATGTTTACAACCCCATTCCTAACATGGGCGTGCATGATGCCTATGCATTTCCAGGGTTAGAGCCATGCGCTGATTTATCTGGCCCATCTCTACAAGATTTTCCGATGGATTACGTGGACTGGTTAACCATGAATTGGGACATGGGAAATGCTTCAATCAGCGGCACAGGTTCATCTAGAGCTCCAGAGCAGCAAGCGCAGAACGATCCGAATTAACGTCGTAGAGAGTCAAACCATCTACGATGCATAACTCTTCCAAACTAGTCACATCAGTATTCGTATTTTATAGCTGATATGTATTCGCGGCTCGGAGTTGGACGTCGTTCAGGCTTTGTTTTCTTCTCTTTTCTTAGGAAGTACCCATCTCTATAAGATTACACGATCTTTCTCTACACGCAAGAACTCAAAGTACCTTCACAAAACCACGATAGATCGACTAGGTCATAGGCACTTTGTAAACCCGTTACACGCAAAAACTAGTTTCAGAGTGCACTCGTTGGGCTCTCAGATCTCTCTGACCAAAGATTCAGACACCGCGACCAGAACAGTAATGTTTTCTATCCAACTCGTTGGGCTCTTTCGCTCTACGTTAAAAAAGTCCTCACAGGTTGTTGAATACAATAGTGAATAAGGCTTGCAGCCCCTTTTGAAAGTGATCCTTAACTTGTCACATCTCGAAGTCGCCGATGCATGGAAGCATTCATAGAGAATACGCCAAAACAAAAAAAGAATATATTTTGACCTAACCAGGGGTCGAACCTGGAATCTCTTGATGCCGATTTGCGGATTTTACTCCTGAATCGTAGTCAAGCGCCTTGCCATTGGGCCATTAGGCCGGATTACTAATTGTTGAAGATCGTTGTCTTTTAATAAATATATGTACAGCGTTGCTTGCACATTGTAACGTTAGCAGTAGGCTTTTCCGCTCTTCTGGGTGTGGGATTGAGAAAGGGGAGTGTGAAAGGCAGTGTGAAGGTTCTGCGGGAAAAGTTTTACTAGTAAAGTGGGGCGGCCACTTTGATAGCGAAAGACACCAACACCGACCATCAGGCAACACCAATGCTCTTGTGCCTCAATACCACAGTATTTGCCGGCCTATTCAATACGGACAGAGATCATTTTGGCGTAGCGTACTGACTACTTCTAGGCCTCACTGTAGGTGACAAGATAGGAGAGCAAGAATTTCTAGTATTGGATCATGACTTCATGATGTTGAAGTCGACAGCCCCATGAACAGTGGTATTTGCCAGCCTCCCAGATCCAGTTCAGATCTGTCTGCCTATACCACACGGAATATCTCCAGCCTCTGTGATGCAAGCTCTCTACGTCGTCGCGTTCTTCTTCGCGTTCTTCCTTGCTTTGCCCTTCGCCCGTTGGGACTTGACCACTTCCTCCCCCTCAATCTTTTCGGCGTCTGCTTCGGTCTCCGCGGCACCCTGGCGCATAGTAGCTTCCTTGATATCCTGTCTAATGTTAAAATTCATCACTTGAACTGAACATAATATGACTTACCGTAAGCACCGCATCAAGCTTATCCGCAGGCTCTTCGGCGTCCTGGTCATCTTCTGTCTTCGCCCGTTTGGCGGGTTTGAACTCTTTCATCTTCTTCAACAACCCTGCTACGTCGCTTGGGTTGTCGGGATTGATCAAACCCGCCTTCAGAGCATGGGTGATCGCAATCCTACGTCCAGCGTCAGTATTATCAAAGATGAGAAACTTGGGCTTTCTCTCTGCCTCTTGTTGTTGCTGCTCCAACTGCTGTGCAGTCTCTGGCCTCGTCTCAGGCAGTGGCGGCATGGTCGGTTTGCGATTCTTCTTCTTGAGATGGGCGGAGCGCTTCTGGCTTCCGGGCTGCGCGGTAAGGATGGAGCTATTGCTATTCGCCTTGCCTTTCGCGATGATGGCGGCTCGCAAGGACGGATAGGACTGCTCCTGTGGCATGTCGTCTTTATCAGCACTATCGTCCTTGACTGAGGCGGTGTCGCGGTGTGCAACCGTGTCTGTAGATACACGGCTGCTGCTGCTACGGTGAAGGCTATCGAATGATAGAGTTTCATGCGTTGAATCTTGCGCGCACATCGCTCCCGTGGGATCACCGGCATCCTGAAGCTCGTGCTCATCGACTTTGATATTCTGGCGCGAAACTCTAGAGGATTCCGACCATGTCTCTCTATCGTTATATAACATAGCGACATGCGTGTCAGTAGGGGCGCGCATAACAACTCCGGTCACGGCGTCGACGCCCTCGCGTTTGTTATGTGACCACCTGCTGAACTCGGTATGCATCAAACGTAAAGCAAGATCCGGGTCGACATCAAAGTCGTCGTCTTCGGAGTTGTGATCGTGTAAGCCAGAGCTATGGACATTGTTGATGGGCCTGTTGGTAGTCAGATGGGTCCAATGTGATGACAAAGAGAAGCTTACGATGGCATCGATACATCCTTGTCAATATCGCCATCCCCAAGAAAGGTTGGAGTGACAACACTGGAAGCTTTGGGAGACCCCTCACGCAAAGTGTTGGTTGATGAAGAGAAGTCGGAGCTTGGACGTGTATTACACGTCTGCTCTTGAGCTACGCCTGGGGAAAGCACGCTAGATGTCGCAACCAACTCCTCGAGCTGGCGCTGCTTCTGGATCTCTTTCTGATGCTCATATTGTTCGTAGTATGAGATGCGGAACTCAGGCTGTGGCAACGGCCGGACAACAGGTGGCGTAGACGACAGTGGCGAAGGTCGAATGAACAGCGGCGGATCTGGCGTTATGCTATTGCGTGTACCTTTGAAGAGCGGAAGATATCCATCTATAACATTAAGCACCGCATGAACTTGACCCTCTTCGAAGCGAGGTGCATCATCGGTTGGAAGACGGAGATGCTCGCGAATCCATTTCAGAGCATCCCCTTCAGTCGCGGAATGGAAACGAGGCATTTTTCAGCTGTGTATATGTAGCAACGGAACGCGTTCTATGCTGTGGTGAGTTGAGCGAATGAACAGAGTCGAGATCGAAATTGCGTGACGAGGAGGGCGAAAATGGAGCAGAAGAGGCGCAGAGGTGGAATGAATCAAATCTGTGAAGTGAACAGTAATGAGCCAGCCGACCAAAAGGTCATTGCGTTTGACGGTCACGCTAGCGACGCCGTGCTCATTGGTTGCCTGTAGTCGAGGTGAATGAGGAAAAGAGGCGGCTTTCCGTGCAAAAAGGCATTCCCCGTCGATAGAAACGCAGCCAAGAAACTCTAAAGACCTTCACCCCATCTAGCACTTTTTTTCTGTACCATTATACCAGTCCCGATCGACTCCACTCGAGATATGGTTCCAAAGCACATTCTCCCCTCAAGGAAGCCAAGCACTGCGATGGAGACGCACAATGTACGCTCGTAGTAGAGGGATAGGGAAGAGCTAGCTAACAGCAACATGCAATCCAAACGCTAGGCTTCGCCAACCCACTGCGAAACTTCAATGAGAGCGCCAAAGACGACACCGAAGTTGTTCCTTCCAACATCCCAACGGATGCCAATGTTGGTCAATCCCATACGATAAAGGATTTGATTACTACTGCGTTAGCCGGTAGGCCAACAGGCCATAGCAGCAACCAAGATGGACTTGGTGTCAAGCGCTCGGCGTCCAATGAATTGTTGAAGATCGATGACCTCGATGATTACGCGGATGCCTGTTCAGAGTACGGTCGAGGACTGAGAGAGGGCTGGAACAGGGAATTCCTACTGCACAGGGTTGAAGAATGGCAGAAGCTGGAAAAATAGAGGTGACAGAAGTGAGCGGGTGATGAGGTAGGACTGAATGACATCTGGGTAGAAGGACTGAAAGTCAACGAGATCGATATCCAGCAACATGCGCTATCTGATAGTACGTGAAGAACTCACTGCAGCCACATATGATGAAATGGAGATGGAACTGTAGGAATGTGATGACATCCTGTATCCTGTTCGAGGTTTGTCTCTTGCCTTTCAGCAGCTTCTAGTGCAATGTAAAGTTGGTAGCACGACACTGCGGTGAGAAACATGTTAATGATAAACAAACTACCACAACACTATTATAGTTGCGAGGTGGGCACATCGTACCGTGGGTGAGATGAAGAAGATCACAAGGTGGGATGTTGTTTCTTAGTCGCGTGCATGGGCGTTGCGCTAGCGTGACATGTTCGCGAAATCTCAGGCGTGCGCAACAGACTAGCGATAAGATGGTTGAGTCTGAGAATACTTGTCATTGAAGTGCTACTCTAAAACTGACAGTCAGCACATTAATCTGCAACAACAAGAAGCCCGGTGTCCCCCAGAAATTAAAAAACCTGTCGTCGGCATGTCGCCTCGTCCTTCGTCTAGCTCGCTCCTGCGCGAGGTGTGCAAAAAGTTGAACGACCATCCCTAGTAACTTCTCTCACCCAACTAGAATCAATGTAATTACAAACATCTCCGCACTCAAAATACTTTCACGGAACTAGCGATAGCTCAACTAGGGTGTAGGCGCTTTAGAAATCCGTTTAGGAAATCCTCTCACGCCCAACTGCAACGAAGTCAACGAGAAGTCAGCGAAGAAGCTCCATTCACGACCGTCAAAAGGAATTTTCCCAATCCGATTCATTCCTTGCGCCCCCCTCATGTCGAACATAACTTCCTTCGAATCACGAAAGCGGAACTTCTTGATCAAAAAGCACTAATATATAGACAGTCACCTACATTTTCGTCAGCTCCTCACATACATGCCCAAAGCGAAACCTGCCATGAACGCGTCGCAACTTACCGCAGCGAACAAGAGCCATGACCCAAATGCCACGAGCGGATGATCATCTACAAACGTCTGGGCGATTATCCAGTAGCTCACGGCGCAGACCATGTAGACAAAGAAGCATTGGAGCTGGTGCTCGAGCTGGCGGAGGTGTGGCTGCTGAGCTTTGTCGAGTCTTCGCTTGAGCTCGCGGTTCTCAGCCATAATGGTCTCGAGGAGTTTTGTATAACAGTCACAGTCGCAAGTCTTGCAGAGAGGCGTAGAGGTCGGGGTAATGGCGGTAATGGCGGTCATGGTGGATGGTGAGTTGGTAGAAATCTTTTGTCGAGGGGCGGAAAAAAGAAGTGATGGTGGTGGGTGACTGAATTCAGTGTAGAGGGGTTGAGATTGCATTAACGGGGGTGTATGTTGCGGTTTTATAAAGCAACGGGGTTTTGCTTTGTAGACACAGTGGTATTGAAATTTGGTTGTGGCTCATTAGAGCCCACTGCGTCCGTGTTACAACTCAAGGACCGTAGCAGTGCACCCTTCACGAAAGGTTGATTACAAAAGTGCAATCTCATCTTCTGCTAGAACACAAAATCTTCGGACCCTTTTTCCAACCCATATGCGCCTCCGAACTAGAAACTCGAATCAACCAACTCCTCGTATGGACCTGGCGCACAGCAGTTTGGAACCGCCATTACTAACAATCCAGCTTATCATACTTGGATGTTACTAAGTGTACACATCACGCAAGAGAAAACCGTCTAACGATCGAGATCGAATGCATTCGAGTTACCTAATACCAAAAGGAAGAGAAGAGATGAATGTAACCCATATTTATTTGAATTTAATGGTTTATATAAAAATCCACGCTATCTTTCTATACGGGCAAAGCACAACCCGCCCCTCCCCTTCTCCCAATCTTTGAGCTGATGATATATATCTATAGGGCAACAACGACGCCTCCTCTACATGCAACAATGGAAAAAGGGGTATAATAACGCAAGGAGAAAACTCGTGTATACAGGTATGCCATTTACGACGTAATGAGGTGATGTGATGTGATGTGCAGAGTAAACCCCTTCTTCGATAATTCGCCAACCTGCGCTATGCTAAAACCAAATCGACCTAAAACAACGGGGAACAGCGAAAAGGCAAGGGAAAACGGGATGGATTGTCTCTTCTTGGGACGAGCGGGTGCTACCTCCGGCCCTGTTCATTATGTTAGTCTCTATACCCTCACTTCCGTGCTCATCACAATCATATGTGAACTTACCGAGAGTCCCGCACCGCCAACAGCAGCCCTCTGTTTCCCGAGCCAGCCCTTGGGTGCCTCGCTTCGTCTTTGCAGAATAACGGTATTGCTCTGCAAACGGCTTGTCATGTCGTACCAAGCGGAGGTGATAAGTTGGTTTTCGCGGCGTAGGTTCTCGACTTCTTGCTGGAGTTCGACCTGATATGTGTTAGTCTGTTTAACACGCAAAAGGTTTTGGAGAATGTGGGGACGCACCGAGCCCTTCTCGGCTGTTTTTTTCTTCGCTTGCTCAAGCTGCTCGCGCAGGGCGCTATTGGCAGTGATATGTTCTTGAAGATCCTGTTGATACTGTCAGCAAAGTCCGGCCATTCGAAGACCTGGAAATCAAAAGGCCGTGTGCAGGATAGGGGGGTAGGGAAGATAAATCGCAAAGATAACTATACTCCAGGCCAGCAGGCTAGGGACAAACATTACCGAACACTCATTCGAAGCCAGTAAAGAAGAATTATCAGTACTGCGTTTCATCGACTGTCGTGTTCTCTTCGGTGACAATAGCTGCGCCACTCGGCCCAATGTAGTTTGTCCCGTACCCGCAGTTGAAAAAGATATCTCAGATAGCGACTTCTTCTTCCCCGTGCGACCCTTCGCTGGCGATGATATGAGAGTCGATGTAGAAAGTGACGGATCGAGCTCATGTCTCGTCCTCATGGATGAGACTGCAGCATCGAACGCCGAAGAAGGAGGCTTGTCATGAGAAATTTGTCTGATGCTTACTTTCTTTGCCTTGTCTAGTGCTGCTTCTGCAGATAGTACCATTTCTGCGATCTCGGAACTAGTACTATCGAGCACCTTTGGTTGCGCTTCTGGGGGTGCTTTGATGACCGCATCAATCTGTTCGCGCATCTGCCGTATTGTCTCGGCCCTTCTGAGCTCGAGTAATTCCGGCGATAGACGATCTCGGTCAAGCAGAGCTGCTCGTAGGAGACTTGCTTTTTCTTCATTAGCGAGCTCGAGGTCTCGTAACTTTTGGTTTGTCTTCTGTTGCAAAGCAAGCATGCGCTCGTGTTCGGCTTGGAGTGCTTGCTCTCTCTCGGCTTCGCTGAGGTCCGATTCTGGCGACGTTAGTACTATTAGGTCGAGTACAAGACTGACGTACTCTTGTTGAGCTCATTACGAAGCTCAGCCATTTGCAGGTCCTTATCTCTCAACCTCGAGTGGAGCTCTTCCAGTTCGGCTTCGGCGATCTGGAGTTTTCCATTCTGCTCCAGGAAGGGCCTGTCGTGATAGCCATAATCAGCGATATGCGCAAAACTGCTTAGAGTTGAGACCTACTGTTCGCTTTCCTCGTCCTTCTCTGCCATCATATCGGACCTTAAACCTAGATTCTCCTGCATCTGCCTGAGCGTTTCGGTCTCTAGGGATTTCAGGCGGGCATGCAGGATGTCAACCTTCTGTTGCAATGCGATCGAATCCGCGCTCACTCGTGCATCTGTGGATGACTTAGGATCCTCAGGACTCTTGGCATTCTCATCTTGAGTAAGCTCGTCCTCTAGACTGCCTCCACGATCAACGCCGTGAGATGATTCTAGTTCTCGTATTCGGTCCTCGAGTTCCTGTTTGGCATCTTCTGCTTTGTATTGCAGCTCGCGGGTCTGCTCCAGTTGCTTCATGAGCAGTAGATTCTCGTGCTCGATCCTGGTCCGCTTGCCCTTTTCTTCAAAGATGGCCTGTTCGCAGTTGACGAGTGTCTGGCTATTCTCCTTGTAAACCTTCTCGAGAGCTTCACACCGTTCTTCCACACCCTCTAATTGTACCACTCGTTCTCGTGCATTTTGATAGTCCTCGCGCAGCATCTCTAGCTGTTTAGTCTCCTTTGTCAAAGACTCGATTTTCTTCTTGAGGTTCTCATTCGCTTTGGCCCTTTGGTTCAAGTCGTCGCGCTCCGCCTTGACCAGCTGCAGCTGGTCACGTAAGTCTTGCTTTGTCCCTTCCTCACCCTGGTATCTTTCGAGGCGTCGCTTCTGGCTATCCAGTATATCCCTGGCGTTGGCAAGATCCGTCTCAAGCTGGTCAATGTACTGTCGGTCGCGTGCCAGGTCGTTTCGCAATTGCTCGAGATTGTCCGACTGTGCTCGCTGCGCTTGCGCTCCTCGATCGTCCAGATAGGCTCTTGCGTCACCTAGCTCTTCTTCCAGTTGCGATATCCGGTCGCGAGATATCTTGAGGTCTTCCTTTAGCTTCCCGACCTGTGTCCTTAGCGCGGCCCGGTCCTTGTTTGCCTCGAACAATTGTGCTTCTTGCTCTAGTTCATTGTCTCTCCCCACCGTCGAGGCTGCCCCGGAAACTGCGCGTGTTGGTGTTCTATACCCTGATAGATTGGGCTCTGGAGTCAGTTCTGAGTCCATGCCTAGATCCTGCATTCTTCCGTCCAAGGACTGCATATCCTGTATAGCTTCTGCAATAGTTTCGGCCGTCTTGGTGCCCAGCTGAGACATGACCTGCAGCATCTTTTGATTACTCTTTGGCGAGAAGCAGGATGCAAGGAGAACGGCCATGGTGAGCTTCGCCACGAGCATAGTGGAGCCATCTCGCGCGCCCGTCTTTAGGTCAGGTATCATGCGCTTGGTCAGGACAGGTAGCTGCTCGCACTCCTCTCGTATGTATGTTGACACGGTTCGCTCGATGTGCTTTAGGTTCTGCCATCGCGGTATCCAATTGTCAGATTGGCGGCGGTGGTTCTCTTCGAAGTTGGGGAGGGATTCGTTGAAGTACTCGGCATCGATGTCGGAGAGGATCTGCCAGAGTAGCTGGCCGTCTTCGAGCTGTGTCCATGCCGTTATTCTGCCGGGTAGGTCGAAGGTGTTGACCTAGAGGAAGCGCTGTTAGCTGGTGCCTGAAGGCATCTGGTGCCGTTTGTAACACGTACCCAGTCAAGGAGAGCTTTCAGCAGCTCGGGCTTGAAGTCGTCCATGTTGTAGGCGCGGGGGGCTCGCTACCTGCGAACGCGTTGGCCAAATTGAGTGTGTATTCCAAAGCCGAGTAGACTGTCATGCATCATGAGGAAGCAAACTGTCGTGCGGGGGAGGATTAGTTATGCCCTGGAACGGTATTTGGTGTTCGGGGGTTTACAACGCGTACATTTTCGGTTGGTGGTCGGTACGTATGCTAAGCGGAGGTCAAGCGCGCCTCCGCGGCGATATTGGACTGTAGAGTTATGTTAACCGCAGACACAGAAGAGCGGTGGATGCCATGTGAGAGGGCCTAGAACGAAGGTTTGGACAGCATGACGCGCATGAAGCCGCCGCCGCGCCTGAAACGAGATGCGTCCCCAGTGCACGTCCGCCAACTCAGCCATCGCGGGGAAGGAGCCGCTTCCGCTGCAGGGACTCACAGGCTATTATTTGCCCGACTGTTGTCTACGAGGCAATCGTCACTTTCTTAGGCAAACTGACCATTGAAGCAGGAAGCAGGTTCGGAGCAAACACGCCCTGAAGCGCTTCACGCTATTCTTTGAGATGTGCATGAGTCTATCAAGTGCTTGATTCAATTTACGGCGACTTCATAGCAGTACCTATCCCGCATTTTCCGGTATTCCATGTTTGCACCTATAACTCCAGCCTGAGGAAGTTCCCATATCTATACGTAATTCATGTCCATGTTGCCAAGGCCAAAGCCAAAGTATGTCCAACCCAGTCCTTCGTTCAGCGACAGCCTGTCTACTCGGCATCGTTTTGCGTAGTGACAACTCCATCCTCCTCAATCTCACACTTGTATGAATCGCTCATCGTCGACACGAATTCGAGGGCAGAAGCCGGGGCTTGCGCAGCGAATCCCTTGATGATATTGTACTCGTGGGTAACTAAACGGCCTCCGTTAGTGTCCGGTCTCTCGTAACATTTGTGCGTAGCGTAGCGTAGTATAGCACAGTTCACTGAATACATGAGTACTTACTGACGCCCTGGGCCTTGCGAATGGCCTCCTTGGCCTCCTCAACAATGTGATCCGGCGTCTCGTTCGGCCAACTGATTATGACGGAACGATGGGGAGCAACCGCCATGGCGAAGGCAGCAAAGAGCGCGATGAAGAAGGAGAGGAGTGCGAAGCGCATATTTAGGAGCGTGGCGACCTGGCGTCGTTATGAAGATAGATGGGCGTGCGGCGAGCGTAGCTGGGATGTCGCGGAAATGCGTAGGGAGCAGGCAACGAGCTGTCTTATCGTGCTAGCGTAGTACTATAGTTCTCTGCGTATTCGGGTGTTTGCGCAAATCAGAGAGTGTAGAATGTAGGTGCCTAAGAGGAAGGAGGAAGGTGGTGGTGTGGTGGTGTTGTAATAGGGCAGTCCGGAAGCGGAAGGCGCGTCATCGGACCCTGTTTCAATGACGCTTGGCACCTCCAGTCGGATGGACCAGGAGAACGCGCGATTTAGTACTTGAATGAGAAGAGAAGAGGAATTTTCAGAGCTCACCAGACTCTCAATCAATTGGCACATCACATAATCAAAGGCGAAGCAAGTGGATTTTGAAGATTTCATGCCTTCTGTGGAGGTCTTTCTAGCTAGCTACCTTCTCAAGGCATATCATCCGCCATCGTCAAGGAAGTGGGCGCCGTGAAATGGTAAAGGGAGACTGCCGCCCCTTGCTACTACGCAATGCGTGTCATGTTGAGTGCTCTTTTGTGCATCATGCGTGCCGTAAAGTAAGACAGGGATAGAAAGCAAGGGTGAAGGATAGAATACAAAAAAGCAACTAAATGAAAGAAGGCGACATGACGGTGCATGTCCGTTGTAGATCCGTGCCCGCAGCGCCTCCATATGCCGAAGTAATGCCTAGGCTCCGATGATGCTCGTACCGTACTATACAAGACGATCTGCCAATGAAGGTTCTGAAGGGACATGCAACAGCCCGACCGTCCAAAGGCAAGATCGGAAGATAGGAAAGAGATGGATCCTCGATCAAGACAGGACCCAACACCAGCTCCAGAATGACAACTGGTAAGGATATCGCGTATGATGAGGTGTTGAAGTACTGTAGGCGATGCCGTAGCCCGTCAAATCATAACGTCGTCGAAGGTCATCAGGCTATCTTAGAAGAAATTGCCCATGCCGTTGGGCTGAGAGACATATTGCTGATAGCCCTGGTTGTGTACAGAGTTGTGCAGCTGATTCGGCAGTGGCGGGTTGCTCAAGCGGTGCGGCTGAGGTGAAGCGATGTTGGAGCCATAGTTGGCGGTAGCGGTGTACATGGGAGACTGAAAAGAGGACGAAGGGTGATAGGTCGAAGAAATGGGAGTCTGGCCAGCGAACACAGGCGCCGACTCAGAAGACTGAGAGGTGTGCGGAGAGCCATGGCCAGAGTTAGTGCGACCGGTGTATGCCGCGAGACGACCCTCGCGCTCTTGAACCTTGCTCATGATGCGACGACCGTATGGGGTCTGGCGGATGGACGGCAAGATGGGCCGCATGCTCTCAATCAGATGCAGGCACAACTCCGGCGGTGCAAACTCAAGAGCAGTCTGAATAACGTAGTTGCCATAGGAGTCGCGCATGAGCTTTTCAAGCTCCTCAACATCAAGAAGCTCTTCGATCATCATAGCCTTGGACGACATGTCAGCGCAGCGAATGCACTTCTCGATAACGTTGGAACTGAACTTTTGTTTGGAAAGTTCAGTGATCTTGCCCCGGAAGCCTAGGCACATTGGTCCCGTAAAGGAGGGATCATTCAGATCGAGTATGTACTGAACGACATAATTGCCAAATGGATCCTGCACGAGATTGAAGCTATGAGCTGTGATCTTGCGAATCAGATCGACTTTCTGGAATCCCGAGGCGTGGTCGATGCATCGCTGAAGTACGCAGCAGCCATGGCGATGGGTGCCGACAGTAACGCAATGCTCGCCCACAGCATCGAAGATGAACTGGGCTTCCGGAGACTTGAGATGGTTGAGGCACTTCTGAATGACGTGGTTGCCGTTCAAGTCTTGTATGAGGTCAACGACCTGACCAGACAAAGCCTGAATGATGATCTGAGTCTGCGATAATGTTAGTCTTAGTCTATGAGAGGCGCCTTTAGTGGGATAACGAACCTGGTCATCCGTAGAGATGAATTCAATCATCTTCTGCAGAGCGCGCGTACCGTGCTGGTTCAGTGCAATCGAGACCATGGCTGGGGCAGCATTGCGAACAAGCGCATTGCGCTGTTCATCGTTGCAGTACTCCAACAGCTTCTGGCAGAGGTAGTTGCCAAAAGGATCGGTCATCAACTCAACAACGTGGGATGCGGTCTCGTCAAAGATGATCTGGATATGCTCAGGGCTGCGCTCCTCAAGCTTCTTCTGCAGGAAACGGCAGCCATGTTGGTCTTTGCAAAGGCTGTAGATCTCATGGCGCGGCATGGTCTTCAAGTCGTAGTTCATGAAGCGGTTGGCGTCATTCTGCAGGCGGCGGCTCTGGATGACACGCGCCTGGCTGTCTTGAACGCGACCACCTGGCCCATATGTGGCGTAAGGATTGTAGTACGACACATTACCATACATGCCGTTGGGAGCATAGGCAGGAGGACCGCCGACTTGAGGGCCTGGCCCCATGGAAAGACCGTTCATGGCACCATTGAGCATCGACATGCCGTATCCGCCGTAGTATTGCCCGTTCGAAGCCGCTGAAGTACTTGAGTACTGCGACATGGTTGGAGAACCGACTGTTCCAGCGACGCCATTCATAGGAGCGGCGGAAGTGATGGCGGGGCCAAAGGGAGCAGCACTCGCGTGCAGGCCGGATTGCGCAGGGCGATACTCCTGATCCTTGAACCCACTTGAAAGCTCACGGCTGTGGCGATTAGATAGAGCATTGGGTGGGATGCGTCCCAGACTAGCATTGTGGTGGTGGAAGTGCTGCTCGGCGTGAGAGTTGAAGCCAAGTCCGTTCGTGTTCACTCCGGTACCGGTCTTTAGAGTTGGAACCTCGCTCGCAGAGTAAGACTGGGTCAGCTTGGGCATGCCGTTCGGGCTGGCGAAGCTGGAGCGCTTGGGTTCAGCGTTCATGGGACTGAAGTTGAACTCGACTGAGCGGCGATTGTTGGCCTGGTTCTTGGTGGGGGTGGTCTCAACGTTGTTGCCGTTGCCGCCGTTCGCCTGACCGCTCTCGTACTCATCAACCTGGGACGCTTTACGAAACGTGTTAGCGGGGAGTGACTGCTGTGCTTGGCGATGACGATATCCGTGCCATCCACTGGATTGAGCTCCATTGGGTTGGGGTTCCAGGCCAGGGGATTGGGAATGGGCCAAATCAAGCGCAGCGGAAGAGGCAGAGAGTTTCGTACCATTACCAGCGCCATCACGGCGGACCAAGATGGGGAACTCGTCCTTCGTGTTGCTCATTTGGAGATAGGCCTTGTGGTCCGGAGAAGCAGCTGGATTATGCTCCTTGTCGTCCTCGCCGAAGAGGTACCCGGCCGTGTCGATATGACCGAGAACTGAGGCCAAATCTGGAAGATCTCCACGACCACGGAGATCAAGGTTGGTGACGGGCATAGATAGGCGGTTGTTCCTGCGTTGGTTAGTTTGAAGCCTTGATGTTGCGAGTTTGTGGGTGGGTGGGGGTGGTTGAAAAGTTGGCAGTAAGATCAGTAGGTAAAGGTGGGGTTGCAACTTACTTGCGAGTGACTGGACTCAGAGGGGTAAAGTCATCGTTGTCGAAGTCGTCGTGTTCCTCATCCGAGTTGCGGCGCGTACCTGGCATAGACTGCGAGGGAAGATTACCGTTGCCATTGCCATTGCCATTGCCGTTGCCGTTGCCACCATAGAAAGCACCTGGAGGAGAGGTGACCTGGGAGTTGGCGCGGCTACCGCGAGGCGTGGTGGTCATGCCAGGGTTGATGCTAGACATGCTGAAGCGGTTTGGACGCGAAAAGGCAGTAGGAAAGCCGTTTCCTTCGTTGTACTCGGGAGGGGTGGTAGGCTGGCTATGCGCAGGCTTGCCGTATCGCACTTCGGTAGAGAGGCGCTGGATTTCCTCTTCGCCACGGCGAGACTGTAAGTCAATGAGCTCCATCTCAGCCTCGAAGCGACGTCGCTGTTCTTTCAGATATTCGTACTCAAGCTTCTTTTTCTCAAGCTAGCAAACGGTCAGCAGGTCACGCGGACCTTGAGCGTGTTTTGTTGTGAGGCAACAACGTCACTGCGGAGATGAGAAAGGAAGGCTGGCTAGAGATGAAAAAAAGATGGGGATATAGCTAAGAGAAACGTCAATCTCAAGGTGAGACAGAGATGTACAAACAAGAGAAGTAATAGCAATGCTGGGGTTGCGGGGTAGATGTGCTGTTGTCAGTGTGTATCAAAGACAGGAGATTGCGTCCTCACTTAACTGCGCGTCGCCGTCGCAGAAGGACTCTTGGCAATCGCAATCTTACTTGAGGGAGGATAGGAAAGAGCCAGACGGGTAAAATACAAGATAAAAGACGAGGTGAAGCAGAGTTTCTTACCACTTGAAGCTTATGGTACGTCTGTTGGGATTGGTCGTTAGCTTTGACTCTGTTTCACCTCGTATTGTATGGTACCCGAACAACAGGAGTTGAACAATCAGAGCGCACAACAGCGAGGCGATTGAGTTCTTGCCATGGTATTATAGCAGATATGGAGAGACACAGAGAGGGAGAGAAAGAGGAATCACGAGGGTGTCTCTCGCGCGTCGGGTTCCGCCTCCGATCCCTAATTATACGAAAAGTGTCGACATACCGCAGTGGTGAATTCGGTCGGCTCAGCCGCCTGTCTACGCTGTTGCCCAATTGGCGATAGAGGTGTACTCAGAGTGGGTATGTTGTTGGTTGTAAAGCGACGGTGCAGCTGTCCACGCCCGTCGTGGGGAGCGCCGATGGGTCCCACGCCGCGGTGGTTAAGGGGAGCAAATGCGGAATCTTCGCGGGGAGACCTGAGGCCGCTGCCTCCTCCCATGCCTGTAGGATAGGCCATGTTGTACTAGAATACTAGAAATACACTGTGCGCGCGGAAATCAGCGTCAATATCCCACGAATTCGTGTGTGGGGTTTCAAGGTGCGGGCGGTGAGATGTCGAGACGGGAGAGGGTGCTGCGGGCGACGCCATGCTTCACTCGAGGCCTTTGCACGCGTTGGTCGGGGAGGAAGTGCCTACCAAATAACGTACACCGGGCAGAGGCCCTCGCTGCCCTTCGTGTTGCGGATCTCGAGGCGGAACGGTAGCTGGTAGGGTACGTAGGTTGGTTGGTGAGGGATGGATAGAGGCAGGTCGCCGTAGCGAACACCGCAATACCCCTGGGTGATCTAAGCGCACCAGACGATCGCGGGAAGGCGACAGAGTCTGAAAGTATCGGTTCGAGGGTTCTAGCGAGCTGGGTGGAGGCGCAAAACTACGAATACAGGTGTGGAGGGACAGTTGCGAATGTGGACCCTTGATTGCCAGAAGTTGAACTAAGGGCGAGCGAGGTATGCAGCAGCCACACGCTACCCGTCCCTCCTCGTCCTCCCCCCCTGTGCGGTGCTATGCTATCCCCAATGGCTGTTCTACAGTCTCCCCGAGTCTGATTCCATGACACTGTACTCGTACTCGACCCTCTTTGCCCATGCAACCAGCCACCTCATCTCTCTGCGTGTGTCCATGCTACGCCCGGCTAGTGGCCTCTGACCAGCGGCTACTAGTCGCTCGCAGCAACCCACGTCTTCGCTCAGTTCCCAGCCCTTGGAGCGCCTCGGCCCAACTGTCACCATTCAATCTAGACGCGACCCACCTGCTGCTGCTCCATGATGTGCGCGGTAACCGTGGTGCTGAAGGCCGTGTCGACAGGCAAATGTCCAGAAGCATCGGACCCCTGAAGGGGACTCACGTCATTCGGCAGCGTGTCCATCTTCCCATCACACATTTCAACCAGTTGCAGTCAGTGGTTTCGACGTAGGATATATAGGACATCGCTCGGGAGGGGCAGCTCCACGGCCGAGGACGAGCAGCGGGGCAGTCATTGTCCGTCCCAAATACCGACGCCTGCCGCCGTCTGGGAGTATGAACATGTCGCGTAGGAGAGCATTCGTTTAGCTCCGACAACATGACATGCTGCGCCATGGTGCTGGTGGAGCGTCATGGCAATCATGGCCAGACCATGGATGGGTGTTTACTAAGTAATTACTTAGTAATTTAGTAATTACTATTTAGTAAAGCCTAATTAGGTATAACGTATTACACAGGCAAGTCGGTCGCCCGGTTAAGTTAGTTATAATACCAAGACCCTACTAAAATTAGTAATTTTCTACTATTAAATGCAATGCTTTAATACAATAACGTGCAATTTTTTTAAAAAAAAAACTAAATATAGCTTGCAATTTAAGCTTTAAAATGCAATGCAAATTTTTTTTAATAAAAAACTGCGTAAATCTATAGCATTTTTTAAATAATACTTAATAATTAATTAAAAGAAAAGCTTCTATAATATAATACTAAGCTTAATAAAATAAAGCTTTTTTTAATAAAAAAAAAATAATTATTTAGTATATATTTTACTTTAAAAACTGAGGATTTCCGCCCTAACTAGCTACTGTAAATAATATAGCTAATACTTTGCTAGCTAAATATAAGCAACTATTTATTAATAAAAATTAGGCTAGTATATTTATTAAATAATATTTATAGCTTAGTACTAGAACTTTTTAAAAGTATAACTATTAAAAAGCTTTATATAAAAATCCTAAGCTTGTATAAAGCTAGTTTTAACTTATAAAAAATATAAAAGCTAAGTATAGTATTTAAAATAAAAATATATACAACTTTAATAAAATAGGCTTTATAATAAGCTAAATATTATATAAAACTATTATTTTAAGTGCTAACTATTAAAAATAGCCAAAAATAGTGCAGCAGGGTAATTAAAAATAAGTAACAGTAATTTAAAGCATTAATATAATAAAGTAAACTATTTTATTTTTTATTATTTTTGCAGGCAAGAACTACTTTTTAGCCTAATATAAAAAAAATAGCCTGCTTTATAATTAGGTTATTGCAGTTTCTAAAAATAGCTAAATAATAAATAAATTTATTTTTAAATAATTAAAGCACTTTAATAAGTATACTAAAAAGAAAATTATTAATACTTATTATTTATTTATTATTAATAGTTATAAAAGCTACGTATTAGTTTAATTTTAATAGTACTATAAAAAATAAAAAATTATTACTTTTTATATGCTTTTGTATTCGTTGCACCTATTATAGCTATTTAATATAAATTATTTTACACTTTTAAAAAAAGTATATAAGTGCTAAGCTAAAAAACTAATACGTAATAGTATTAATTATATTACTAAAATTAAGTTTTTATTATGCTTTAAACTAGCTTTTAATACTACTATTATAAAAAGCAATATTTTAAGTAGTTTTAAAAGCGCTAGTTTAGTTTTTTTTAACTTTAAAGCTATAATATTAAAGCTTAATATTTAGTTATATACTTTACTACTACTTACTATTAAAAACAGTCCCTAAAAGTTAAAAATACTAAGTAATACTTTAAAATTTAAGTTTTAATTAATACTAGTTAAGACAAGAATTTAAAAGCACTTAAATAGTTTTTTTATTTTAATAATTAAAATTTCTAAAAAAATTTTAAAAAGTGCAGCTATAATTGCGCACAAATTTATATTAGCGCAAAAAAAAATTGCTAAGCTTTAAGCAGCTAATAAAGCCGCTATACAATAAAAATTATATAAAAAAAAATAAGTATAAAAAAAAAAAACTTTTATAGTAAAAAATAGTTTTTAATTAATAATTTTAAAAAAATTTAAGGCGCGTAGTAATAGAAAAAAAGTAAAAAAATAAGTATATACTAAGGCAGGTAAGCCCTTTTAAAAGCGCTATAAATACTATAATAAAGCTAGGTATAATGCGCAAATATGCAAGCAAAAAATAAAAGTAATTTTTAAATAAATTAGCTTATTATAATTTACTGCTATAGTTTTTTATAGTACTATACTATTATGCATAGTACTAATTTTAGTAAGGTTTTAGCATTATAACTAACTTAATTAGGCGACTAACTTGCCTGTGTAATATATTAGTACCTAGTAATTACTATTTAGTAATTACTAAATAGTAATTACTAAAAAAAAAATTTAGTAATTACTAAATAGTAATTACTAATTAATACTATTTAGTAATTTAAAAAAAAAAACTTTTTAATAAAATATTAAAATATATAAATTTTACTATATTAATATTATATTAAAATTCTAAATATAGTACTTAAATTATAGTTTTATACTAATATAAATATATAATAAGTAGTTAAAATAAGTAAATAGCTAGCTTTTATTAAAATTTTACTAAAATTATAACTATATATAATTATATACACTATTAAAAATAATAATTAATATTTATAATAAATTA